ACTTCAATACTTGTCATCATCCCCTGGCTACCTATTCACCTAAATACCCTGGCCTTGCTCACCGTACCCCGGACTGCGCTCGGGAATTTGAATGGGGCGCCGAGTAGCCGCCGTGGACCTTGAGCCGCCCCGTCGATATTGCTGCACAAGACTCAAAATGTAAAAACACAGCTCGATATGTACTATGGTACGTCTTATGACATCTCCTGATCTTTACAACCATGGTTACGCGCCAGGGTTGCTTGATTTTTTTTTTTACCCCTCCCCCACGACGGCTGTGCTGCCGCCACATTGTCTTTCCTTTTTATCAACTTAACGAGAAATCCGTATGGAGTTTATGTTGTGTCACCGTCGCCTACGAGCTGTTATATCATATCTGTCCAACGAGGATGATAGTAGAACGAGTACCGTGGTACTCCTTTTCCTAAGGATATACAGCGGAGCTAATAAAGCGACTAAGCTTGCAGGGCGGTCTTTTTAGTATCATTTCCTCCTGGGTCCTCCAAGGGCTAATCAACACTTCCATGCTGAAATCCCTCCCCTGATTGGCTTGCATCAATCATACGTTGCATCTTGCCCAACCTCCAATCAGGTTTCTACTACCTCACCCGAGCTGCAACTATGTAGCGATTGTGGAGGCATGTTCATGAGCATGGACTGCACATACATACACCTACATACATATTCATACATACTCTCATGGAGTCAAGGTATACTGGACCGGGTATGGTCATTATGTCAGCAGGGTCTTTTTTCGTGCGCAGGAGTAGCATGCCAAGAACCAAAATACGCAAGCATTTGAATCGTTCGCGGCACATAAAACCATAGCCAGATGAGAGGGATTCGGTCCCATCGGACGAACTTGAGGCTATAATGTCACTGTCCCATCACTGATCGAATGAAGAGGCAAATTCATGCCTCATCTCATCTTATCTTAGCGTACTGATTGAATTCTAGATCCGGCTCGATTCCGCGTTCTCTATAACAAGGCTCTATTCATAGAACATCATGGGTCCCTGCGATGGTTGATTCCTTAGTCACAGACCATCATGCGCGCCGTGGTCACTTAGAAATCACCCGTCCTGCGGGTCTTGATTCTCCTCACATATCACTTTTTAAACTACCTAGGCATTTTATTTTCCTTATTATTTATAAAACCATGGGATATGCACGCACATAGATCGTCGGGTATGTGTAGTAAACAAGCAGTCGATCGGGATCGGATTTAAACTAAACCGTCACCTGATAAAAGCCGACTGGTTCGCTATCATCACCCTCCCATACGATTGGTGGTGGTGATTTGATCTATTGGTCGATCCCTGAGACCATGTCGTTAATTGTCTGCGTGGTTGGTGGTTTGACCTCCTTTTGTGCAGGCAGCTAGTTCTCTTCCAATCTTCTCCCTCCAGCGGCTCAGGGTGTCAAAAAGACGGTTGCGCGCGAGTCACGGCTAGCAATAAGCACCTTGTCGCGTGCCGTTACCCTGTCAAATGGGATTAAACTACTCGGACATTTCTAATGTAACCAGGGCAAAGATGTTCTGAGACACCGCCGATCCGCAAGCAACTTTAACGAGCCAGCCTAGCTAACCGGCCAGCCAGCGTCAGACCAGCCTCAGGCAAACGCGGGGGTAGCGCTGTCAACCAGCTGCAAGTGATGATCCCGAACCTAGACGACAAGGGACGGCATTGTGAAGAAAACAAAGTTCATAGCAAGATGGGGTAGACTGCCCCGATCCTAGACACTTTTATTTTTATTTTTATCGAAGACTCTACCGGCATTAGGTATTACAGTACATTACAAACACAACAGGCCTTCTGGCCCATTCGCGGCGGCCCACTTCAGGGCTTGCAACTTGTCGCACTTAGTTGCCTATGATCTTTTACTCCGAGGCATAATAGGATCATCAAGATCGCAAGTGGCGCAAAACTCATGACTCGTCAGGTTGTTGAGCCAGCACCATCCTTCAACCCTATTCATCTCAGAAGACCGGTGTGGCTTGATTTATCTTCACTATGAAGCCATGTTGACGCCTTGTCATACACACTACGATACGCGGTGGCCAACGAGAGGTGCTGATGAGTTCCCCTAAAACATGCAGGGACTCACTCTTCATATCTCCTCATGTATTGTCCCGAAACCCGGAAAGGACCGAAGCGCAACATACCGACTCCTTCTTTTGTACGCTGTTGCATATAATTGATTATACCCGTGTGTGAGCTGGTTTGGGGCGTGTTGGTCTCAAGCGCCAGGCCGAGGCAAAGGAGCTGAGAGCCCTAATAAGTTAGACATAACAGCGCTCCATTTTCAGCGCTCAGCCTCAATACTATGCAACAAACCCTAGCTCAAACTCGGGGTTTCTGACGATCTTTACTCCTATTAAGCACCGAGCGGTCCGTCTTGTCCGCAGAACAACCTGAACGGTTCTATCTCTACACTTTACATACACGTCGCACATAGGATTCCAATACGGAATGTCCGTCGCTATTCTTTTGACTACTAACTAGCAAACTCTTGAAAATGTTCAATTGACATTTAGGTGTTCCTATTCTTATTATTGCTAGCAAGAGAGTCGGTACATGGAGTAACTGACTGTCGCGCTACTATATGCTAATTGTTTACACCCCTGACCTCGTCGCGCCTAGGACATATACTTTTTTCTCCTTCCATTCGGTCCGTCCTATGGTTCGTGGGGTAGGACAAGGGTTGTTTGGCTTCGGCCGAAACCTATTCGATGACTTTGATATTGGCATTAAGGAACACGGTAAAGCATCGTACCTGTCCAGGTGCGGGAGAATGTCCTTGTGAGGATAAGTTTCGTTTCGGGGGGCGCGAGCTTAATTTCAAACCCAGCGTCACATGCTAGCTCGCGGCTATTGAGACGCCTCTAGCGATCGGTAAAGAACTCGATAATTATTATGCTTATCTACCTAATCTTGACTGCTGCGCCGGGTATCGAGATGCTTGTCTATCGACCTAGGTACGGATAACCCGAAGCAAAGCTCATCGTGAGGAAATTGACGTAATGTCTCTCTAGCGTGGCGTTATCCAGGTGTACGGTTCTGGTTTGCTTGACACAGTCGCTAATGATTGTATAGATCATCTGCATCTATGCTACTACTCGCGGCTTCCTGCCTGCCAAAGGAGACCGAGGGGCTTGAGAAATTGGTGAAGCTGCTTCATTTCGGCCAATTGCTTCCTGCTACCCTCCTCTTCACTCTCGCAACACCGCGGGGTTCGATCTGCAGGTACCCTAGTATCGAGACCGTCCAGTCTAGGTATGGATAGTACTTCCCAAGTGGACTGGAACAGCTCGCATACCCTATAATACGCCACAGATCTGCCTAGGCAGTGTAGCATGACCCCTGAGTTGCAGATCGACGGCGAAGTAGAAGGCCTAGAAGCTATTCCTACCCCTAGTATAGATTTGGAGATATCACCTCCAAAACCTATGCCTTAAGCTTCATCTACACTTGGTAGAAAGGAATATGGACAAGACCAACATGCCACCCCTCTCATGTATATGCGAAGTACCCTCTGCTTCAGCCTGGACAAGTTTGTATTTCACATGTAACTTCCAGGGGATGAGGAACGATTCCACTTTTATGAGGATGCAGGTCCGGTAGACAGCGTCAAGGTTTCATCTCCTAGCAGACAGAGGCTCGTTAAACCACCTCTCACAAGGCCACCTTGAGGGGCTTCACGTGGAAGGCTTGGTCGATCCGATATTGCGAATATCGGGGACATATCAGAGGAGCCTTGATGAGGAGATTAAGCCAATTCCTTGAGTTGCTCTCATCACGTTAGTTGAAGGAGACTTTACACAGGATTGAGCATCTGCTCGAACTACCAACATGCTACGACACTAGTAGTATTCTAACAGCTCGGTGACGAGGAACTAGGAGTGAGAATAGCTCTCCAGAGAGTGAAGCCTATCTACCTTAGGTAGGTACGCAGCATCTTCACTTCCGTTGCCTCGGCTTCATGTCGATGTTTTACTCATCACGATGATTTCTACGCATCTGATTACTATCGCCACGAAGAGGGGGTTTGATAATCCGTGCCACGATCCAAATCGTCGGTCCTTATCTAAGTAAAAACCGTAGGATCGATTTACTTCACCACGTTCAACAAGAGTATTTGCCTCTGATGATCGTAAGGGTCTAGGTCCTCCCGGATACTCGCCTTGCCGTGCGAATCCAGGTACCTAGCTTTACCGAACTACGCCGTAATTCGTCCAACTAGCATGAAGCCCCCCGAAGAGGTAGCGATGCGTAAATAGATACCTCGTGAGCGGTGGAGATATAGTCTAGGTACCCAGGTTAGGGTTATGTAAGGAGATGGATACTGGTCCCCATCGTAAATGGTAGACCCTGAATCCTTCGCGCGATTCCCTCGGGGACCTCCTTGCTTATTGATCCTCTTTTAGGTGCCGTGTACCTACATTGGTAATAGTCAATTGCCCTTAATGAGGAAAAAGGTGAACACCGATGATGATCGGGACAAACAACTGGCAGACGGACCACATGATGGGACCGAGAGCGGTCCGTAGCGGTGTCGCATTGTATTGTGTTAATGTTGTCTGTATGTAGCATTCGAGGAAAAAGTAAGATGAGAGATAGACCGACAGATGCAACAACGACTCCATTCTGTAAGCTGTCAATCGCGCATCTTCTCTCCACTTGGCTGCCTAGCCTGAGAGAGGAGTTAGTTCCGGAGTCGTACGTCCCGTTATTGACGCTTCCACCGTTCGCGCATGCCGACCCGCTAATTGATGTGCGAAGGTTTAGTTGGGTTGAGTTGAGATGATGGATCCCATCTCTACTTCGAACCATTGTTTTCCTTTTCCTGTGCCGCCTTATCTGACTCTCGTCTCATCATCGTGGGACCTTTCGTCAGGTTAGTTACAGAAAAGTAATAGAAAAGAATAAGAAACCCCCACGGAACGTCGACCGAGGATGGAAAGGGATTTAGCGCGCGCCGTATAACGCGGATTTTTGTTTCCCAGATGGGGAGGGGGCGGGTTTAGAATAATAACTGATGGAGATGTAGGCCGCTTACAGAGAGAAATGTCGCCTCCGGCCGAAGTTGTGAGAGTGGAGGAATGTTTAAGATTACGGTTTCGCTTTTTTGCTGAATTGGTTCAACGGTAAACTGGGTTGGGGTTAGGGTCGGGGGCCAGAAGGATGATAGTGATGACGATGCTGATGATGGTGGTGATGACAGCCGATGATGAATTGAGGCTCATCCAAATTCAAGGGAATTTCTAAAATGCGATGCAATGCTGCTTGCTTGCTTGTTTGTCTGCTGCAACCTGTCAGTGGCATAGTCGCGGCGGTTAATTGAGTTGGTTGGTTAGTAATTATTGTTGATCCATAAATAGATGCTTCAGGTTGCGTTCTAATGCTCCTTCGTCGCTCGTGCCGTGCTACTGCAGGGGGTGGCTCATGGCTAATCCGGTTCGCAGCGACGGCAGTCAGTAAGCACGCAAGCACGCAGGCAATATCCGAAGCAAGCCAACGCAGGAACAGATGGATACAGCCACGCATTTAGAATCTTTACGCATACTCCCTTTTCAATACTGCCAAGGCGACCAAGTCAGTTAGACTTATCACGAAATCCTTCATAAGTCTTGTCGACATCGGCCAAGACCGCCAGGTCAGCTGCGTCTAGAGAATAAGCGCCTCTCTTTGCGCGTTCACTCAATTCTGAATTAAGAGCCGGTGAAATTTGTCGGCGATGGCGAGTTCCCCTTTCTTTTCTCTGGATCAATGCTAAAGGTTTTGTTGAGGTCTCCGCTTGGTGTGATTGATTTAGGGGAATGATGTACTGTTGAAATTGCAATAATATCGGTTTCGATGCGAAGCCTTCTGGACACCAAGTTTGGGTCGTCGGTATGTCTGTACCTAACCCGGTCCATCGCATCTACCTCAGTAGACTTGTGCGATACAAGGGGGGCTCATTTCCGCGTAAATAGGGGATCTCACGTCCAAAATTAGGGCAGAAGCATTTGCGTGGTAAATACTCAGGGCGATATGGACAGTGGAACAGGACCGAAATAGATGACAGCATAGCGATAGCCTAGAGGGGATAGTAGATGCGAAGAGAACTGGATCATTTTCCTGCGTAGACGGATTATGCCCAGTGAGCGACTTCGCTGTAGTGGTGTTGTGTAGAGATGTATGCGACCGTTAGGGGTACCGAAGCTCTCCTAGGTCTTTGCCTCCTCAAGCCAGAGTACACCATCTAGATCGCATTTAGTTGGCTTGTGTGAAAAAGTAGAGCCACGATAGTTCGACCTACTAAGCTCTTCCCTTATTTCTCTTGATAGGAAACTACCCAGCAGTAGATAGTATATCCAATAGCTTCCTTATGCTAAGTCTCTGTTGTGTCCTCGGTCGGCTTTGGATACGATAAAGACCTGTAGCTACGACTAGGCCGTCAATGATTCCCCAAACATAGAAATTGCTAAATTTCAGTAGCTTGTTTATAGTCCATGCGCTCAGTATGATACCCACCAACTCAGAGTCTTTCAAAGCTTGTCAATTCCATGGTGGTCGAATAGATACCATGGATGAAGATATGGCGGCATCAGTTCGCTCAAGTCGTAGTTTCCAGTTTGAATTCTGGCTAATCGTGGTTCTTGTGAGTATGTTCCAACTCACAATCCGCGATCGATCTGTACTACAGTGAAGATGTTCTCTCGACTCCCTGTAGTGTGATAGGCGACGTAATGATATCCCTGTGACTCATCCGATGATTCATAAGGTATTTCTGCTCGCTGGACGAGATTGAATTGCTAGTTGAACCAGAGTGGTAGCCTCAAGCCGAGTTGAGGTCCAAATCCATAAGTAAACCGAAGACAACTTGGAGGTGGGAGAGAAGACCTTTGATGCCGTCGCGAAAGGAGGCCGCTGACTTCAGCTCCATCATAATTACGGTGTTACCGTATGGTTTAGTATTCAAATCGTCGCTTCCCTCCTTCGTGAGCTGCGCGAAACCATTGAATACGTAAGAACACTAGTGTTAGGTTGACGTCTCTGAACGAAGACTACTCTTATAAGGGTCCGTCTTGACGTTCCATCTAGCGAGTATTGTTATGATGGGATGTCTTAGGGAGATACGATCGTGATATATATAGCCTATGAAACACTCTTAAGATGCGGTAAATCATGAAGTAAATGGCTTACTTAAATTCATTGATCTAGAGTAGAGATCTTGTCTCGCATTAAATCTTAGCTACCCTAAGATATCGTTAACGCGTACCATACAAGACCGCATCAACTCAGGAAAGCCATCCCCTCGAAAGCATGGACGGCGGGGACTTACGCAGCCTTCTTCGCCAACTCCTCCAGAATCGGCTTCTCCAAACTCTCCGGCTTCGTTGTGCTAGCCCAGCGCTCCTTAACCTTACCATCCCTTCCAATAAGGAACTTCTCAAAGTTCCACTTAACCCTCTTCATGCCTAGCAGACCCGGTTTCTCGGCCTTCATCCACTCGAAGAGGGGCTCGGCATTGTCGCCGTTGACGTCGGTCTTGCCCATGATCGGGAAGGTGACGCCGTAGTTCACCTGGCAGAAGCTCTGGATGTCGTCGTCGGTACCGGGTTCCTGTCCGCCGAATTGGTTGCAGGGGAAACCTAGGATGAGGAAGCCGTCTGGATGCGTCGCTGTGACGTCCTTGTATAGCTTCTCTAGGCCGGCGTATTGCGGTGTAAAACCGCACTTTGATGCTGTGTTGACGACTAGCACGACCTTACCCTTGTAGTCGGCCATGGGCTTCTCAACGCCCTTCTCTGTGGATGTAGTTAGTATGGTCACTAGTTACAAGGAGGGGTTAGAGAGTAAATTAGATATGACACATACTGTCCTTGGCCTTAAAGTCATGGAATGATGTAGCTGAAGCCATTGTGTCGGTATTAGTGGAGATGAATCGTCTTTGCGATGGCGGGGTATTCGTTGATGAAGCTGAAGTTAAGATGGTACGACTCGCGATGATATTCTTATTAGTGGGGTATGAAATCCGAAACGGACCATTGGATGACGCAGCTCGTGTTCGGAACGTAAATAAAGTCACCCCGCAGATAGGATTTCTGAGGCTTGACAAGACGGAAGGTGTGGGATGCCAGCTCCTTATGATATTTTGTAGCATGAATATTGTATTAATAATACCGGAAAGGTTTTTAGTTAACTTTAGTAGATTTTGTTTAATGCAGAAATTCCAAATAGCTAAATATGACGGATTGTAAGCTAAGTCCGGAGTCCGATACGTAAGTGGGCTTTTTTTCTAACGATGAATAAAACCACCACACACTTCATGTATCAGGTCTAGATGCCTCGGCATTGTCCCGATCCGTGTTTCTTAAAGCTCAATGCATGCGGGAATTGTGGGACTAATTACCCAATGACGTGTGTATGATTTAAGTGGATCTATTGACTAATATTGGTTCCGCCACCAAAATTCAGCTTATGTAAAAGGAGCTTGGACCTCCTTTGTCGGAGCTCTGATTCACCCGATTACCCAATTTGTTACTCGTCTGATAAGCTCTAATGTCGTACCATCCTAATTCTACTGTCATTTCCTTCACATGTCTGTTAGAGCAAGAGCATTAGGCTAACTACGGTACATACATGCTTGCATTTCGGGAGGCCCCTCTTTGTCTGTTGTTAAAATATAGTCTAGCTTCTAATAAAAGCCATTACCATGCTATCCGATACTTGTTTCAATGTAGAATTCCAAGTGAGCAACTCTTGCTGGTGCTAATCAACGGATAGATCCGAACAAGGAAAGCTCCAAGTCTTATCCGCCGTTTTGGTGACACCCTAAAGTTCAAGCTTGCATGCGTACCTCCCACATGGCACACATGGCAGTACCATCCTAGCAACGTGTAAACTCTAATTTACGGCAAAGGAAAAGAAAGCATCAATCTCGAATCTTGATTAGTATCAACTAATTTTTATTTGCATCGTCGATAAACGTATAAGTTTGGTCATGTCAAATAGATCAATATGGATAGTCGCGTACTCCAACCACGACATATCGTGATCATAGGTGAGTACATCCAAGCCCGTTTGCATGCCTTCCTGATACCTTACCTGTCTCCAACCGTTTGTTTCTAACCCACCCCATACATGCATATGCATACTCGAATTCATGACTTAATAAATCTAGGGTCGAGTATGAAACACTGTTTCTGTTACATGGTGACGCCTATTGAATAGAATAGATCCACTAATTCGGCATCCCTAGGTGGTGGTGTGATCGGCGCGACGACGGCATACTATCTAACACGGCACCCTTCTTATAACACCGAGCTTCACCACATCACACTTCTCGAAGCCGCATCTATAGCCGCAGGCGCATCCGGGAAAGCAGGTGGTCTTCTCGGCCTATGGGCCTACCCAACCTGTCTAGTCCCACTATCCTACCGTCTCCACGCCGAACTAGCAGCCGAGCACAACGGCGCCGAGAAATGGGGATATAGACAACTCGAATGCGTACAACTCACAGCAACAGTAGGTAAGAAAAAAGATAAGTCGAGACGAAAGAGCAGCCTCGGTGTAACCGAGACCGAAGCCGAAGAGCAAGTAGAATGGCAAAAACTACCCAAACAGGACGAAGCAGCGACAGCCTTACTTCAAAAATCCGTTCTGCCCGCGGATCTCGACTGGATTAACGCTAGCCTGGTGCAAGAATACGCGGAGATGGGCCTACCGGGGTATACCGAGACAGCACAAGTGCACCCTTACCAATTCACGACCACGATAGCGGACCTAGCGCGCGAGGCGGGCACTGAGGTTCGCGTCAACGCTAAAGTGACTAACATCGGGTTAAATAAGACCGAGACAGCCGTATCAAACGTCGAGTACCTAGATCGAACCACAGGCGAGGTATGCATGTTAGAAGGCGTGACAGACGTTGTAGTGGCCGCGGGACCGTGGTCGGGACGTGTATGGCCGAAATCCAAAGTCGAGGGTCTGCGGGCTCATAGCGTAGTATTCGCCGCCGACGTTAGCCCCTACGCTGTGTTCACCGATATCTCGCTACCGTACGACTGGGTGCCGGCGCACCGGGCCGCGAGAGGCGAGAAGAGGCGCCGGCACCGCGGTAACGTGGACCCAGAGATCTACGCGCGACCCGGTGGCGAAGTATACGCTTGCGGCGAGCCGGACTCTGGGAAACCATTACCGGACACGGCCGACCTAGTGGAATGCGATGAGGCACAGTGCGATGACTTGGTATCGTATATCGGCACCGTGAGTCCTGTTTTGGGTGCCGCTGCTGTAGCAGCTAAACAAGCATGCTATCTGCCGCGACACATGCGTATGGGTCGAGAGAGCGCACCGCTAGTTGGCCCCACGTCGGTTGGACGTCTGTGGATCGCATCAGGCCACACGTGTTGGGGTATCCAAAACGGCCCCGCGACTGGCAAGCTCATGAGCGAGTTCATATTCGAAGGCGAGGCTAAAAGCGCCGACGTCGCGGAGTTAGATCCCAGAAAGTTCAAGGTGTGAGTCATATTACCTTTTAGAACGAGCGGCATACATACATACCACGAACAACGGAGGGAGGGACATGCAGGATAGAAGAAAAACTAAGATAGGCCGAGGGAAAAAAGGGAAACGGAGCGAATAAAAAAAGAGAACAGCTGAAACGAGGGCGTGGGATGACTATGACGACACAGCGCGGGGATGACGACGTTAGGGTCAGGGGGGAGGGGAAGTAGGGGTCTAGGGGTCCACGTCTCTCCACGTCTCTCCCACTCGTGCCTTGGCTCGTGCGTGGCAGTATATGTGTGTAGGGACCAGATGTGTGGGGATGTAGTCCCTAGGTAGGGATAAGACAAGCAGGAAGCAAGGAAGTGATGGGAGGGCTAGCATCGGTACATGCCGGCATGACACGTCAAATCTACATACATACCCAAGGTACCTAGGGGGAAGAGGCTGAACGGATCGGGGACGTACATCATACTTGCATACGTGGGGTGGAGTGTGGAGAGAACAACAGACGAAGAAGTATGGAGGGAAGAGGGGGGGAGAAGAGAAGAAAAGGAGGGGGAAAGCATAGGTTCCCGACCTATCTAAAATAAGGTATCCAACAATATTAGAGCTTCGCGCATGTGCTTGACCGCAAGATTAGTACATTTTCTCTTCCTTTCCTTTTTCCGAAATGAGAGAAATGTTAAATATGATTTTTGCTCTGCCGCCGTGGCCGCCAACGTAACGAGAGATATGTAGGTATGTAGATAGAGTGAAGTGAGATGTGAGAGATATACAGAAAAAACATTGAACCGCGGGGCAGGTGATCATCGACCTGATCCTTATCTAGACACACGATGGAACGGACCGAGCCGTCCCCCATTAAGAAAAAAGAAAAGAAGGAGGGGAGGGGAAACAACAAAAAACATGGCAAAGCGGGGGGGGAGGTATGGGCGTGGGTATGGGAATGGGAGGAAATAGAGCGAAGAGAAAAAAAAGAATGGAAAAAAAGGAGGGGGAAACGGAAAATGGGATATGGGAATATGGGATCTGTCGAAAAAAGGGTCCTCGTGGGTGGCGTTGTGTCCAGGGATTAGTGCCGTAACCGTGCAACGGATCGTCGCGAGTATAGTTACAATAGCAACGTGTGAGCGTGCCACCAAAGATAAACTTCGGGAGGAAGAAAGGAGGAGGGATGGTTAGGACCCCTAAGATCCTAGGACCCTAGGCACATGAGCGAATGGAGCCCAAGATTTTCCAATGATTTTCTTTTCCTTCCTCCCTTTTCTTTTTTTGCCTCTTCCTTTTTTGTGATCTTCCCTTTGGGCTGACAGGCTGGCAGATCTTTGGGGTGCGTTGGGCTGGGCTGCGGGTTGTAGATACATAACATACATATACATAGCCCGACATATAATAGTAATATATACGATACATACATGCCGCGTGCGCAAGCACATGCTATATGTCCTAGCGAGAAATGCGCAGGGTCTGCAGATCGCGCCCTCCCGGGGATGATCATGTGGGAGGTTGGGCGGTCGAGATTGTTGGCCTACGAGGGGAAGACCTATGGAAAATAGAAAATGAGACATGTGAGTTATCCCAATTTCAAAAATGCGGTTGCGCCAAATGATGCCTTTTCGGCATGCGCCATTAGATCTATGTTGTCTTCGCTGTAACCGAGGATGTAAACGAAGGTAACGGTTTAGCTGATAATTTCAATATTGATGAATTTGCTATGCTAACGAAGTCATAGAAGAAAATATCTTGCTGTAGCCGTAGCTTTAGAGAGGCCGAGATTTGAATGGCTGTAACAGTAAGACATAAGCACAAATTGATCAGCCAGTCCGGCCGGCTTGTTCCCTTATCCCTATCCGTGATAAACCACAGTTGCTAAGTAGTAAAACGAGAGCCAATGGCTCTTCAGGCTTGAGGCTAACGAACGTTCCCAAAGGTTTCGCTCACTTTTTGAAAAGGAGCATAGAGAGTCGTCAATTTAGTAAAACGTATTGTAATATTCGTGTGTTGGTTCTGTATTCGTCTGTGTGCAACCACTCACGTTAAAGCAGTCTGGCCATTCGAGAAAATTGCGAGCTGAGTGTTTCCACCCTCCAAGAGCCTCATCCGTCGCCCCGGAATCAAACCCCGCACTTTCCAAGAATAAGGGGATCATCAACGAGCCACGCGGCTAATATCGACGGCATATAGCCAGTCCCTGCGGGTTTCATAGACAAATTCCCGGTAACCCGTTTTCCTATCCTCTCACAATGACTTCTCGATCTCCATCGCATCCCGTATTCCTTCGGCGATTGCTTCGACCTTGGCCTTCTCGAGACGCTTCAGAGGGCGCCGAGGGTAACCGCCGTAGCCAAAATAGCTTTGAATAGCTTGTTTGGTGCCCGCGATCGCCGCCTTAGTCAAGAACCAGTCCGCTCGTGAGAGGACCTTCTGCAATTTGATCGCTTCCTCTATCTTTCCTTCGACGTATAGGTCCCATACTTTAACGCATACCTTAGGCATGACATTGGCACCGCCCGCAATGATTCCACTGCCTCCCGATGCTAGTGTTTGGACAGTGAAGTCGCATATGCCGCCGAAGGCCATATATCCACTACCTTCCGAGGTGGGGGTTTTCGCGTTTGTAGCTTGGGCTACACGGGTAAGTTTGCCGGTGTTACCGCACGTGAATTTGGTCCCAATAATGTTTGGGTGTTCGGCAAGCTTGATAAGGAGGTCCGAGTCCATATCAATACCGGCAACAGCGCCAGGGTAGTTGTATAGGACGATTGGTAAGGGACTCTCGTCTGCGACTGCGGTAAAATAACCGACTATAGCTTCTTCGTCTATTTGGGCACGGAAGTAACTTGGGGGTAGTAGTAGCACATAATCTCCGCCCACCGCTGCGGATTGCTTGCTAAGTTCAATGGTTCCCTTGACACTCCCTTCCGTAGCTCCAACGATAATAGGTGTTTCGGTGAAACCCGCGGCATCTAGAGCTTCTCTGGTAGCGCGGGTCACCGCCACCTTCTCTTCGCGGGTACAGTGAATGGCTTCTCCATTGGAGCCCATAGTAACTAGACCAGCCAGTCCGGCCTTAGCTAGACGCTCGGCATGGTTTTTGATGGTGGGGATGTCGAGCTCTTCGGTCTCGGGTTCGAAGAAGGTCATGGTGGGAGCATAGATACCACATGGTAGTGGCCGTCTTGTGGTCGTGTGACCATTGGCCGCGCTGCTGCTCGAGACGGTCATGCTTTTTGATTGAAGTGGCAAAAAGTCGAAATCGATAGTGTTGAGGATGTCAGGGTCGAATTAACGGGTCGATATACACCGAAGTGTAAGTAAATAGCTTAGACGGGGGGATAAGCACGGAAAGGAGCGCCGAGAAAATAAAACAGCAACAAAGAGGAAAAAAAGGGATCCGTAGCTATACTTATAGGATTCGAAGCATAGTATTCAATGGATAGCAGCAGAATGTTTTTTTTCCCATAACCTAATAGCTTCTGTCCTCTAAGTCGTATGCAATGCCCTTGTGGGGTGTGGGTCAGCATGTACAATAATGAGTCTTAGTAGTCTTTAGTGTTTTGTTCGCAACGACATTGGTCCGAAGAAGGCGACACTGGTTACCTTTTGAACCCGAAACGCCCCTAGGATCAGGAGCTAATGGAAAACGGACTGGCCCGGAGATGCAAAAGGGGTTTACGCTCTACGGGATCGAAATGTTACAAAGCCGATAGCCATGAGCCGAATTCTTCAACAAGCCCCAGGGGCGGGCCCGGTCATTCGCGCTTCAGGTATATATCCAAGCAATATATCGTAAATAGATCAGAAAAATTCACGCAACCAACCGCGATCCTGAATTCTACAAAAGAACCGGGTATGAAAAAATGTCGGGCTGGTGTAGAGATACCCAACGCGTTTTTTTGGCTGGATGGCTAACGAAATGCAAGTAAGAATTCGAGTCGAGAGCAAGGATCCCCAAAACGGTTGAATACTTCCATGAAGAGAGAGGGTGCCTTATTCGGCAGCTGCTCATGCAAAGAATACCTAGGTTGAGGATACGGGTAGGATTCACGTTGAGCCAGATACAGTGATATTTGCAACAACGTTGTGATTGGCCAGATCCGGACAGCATCTCCGGGTGGGCTAGGCTGATGAGAATCAAGGGATCTGCATGGGGTCGATCAGACTCGGCTGAAATTGAGGGTGGTTGATGAGGGCACTCTTTCGTCACCAGGCTACATGGGATAGTTAAGAAATCCGAGGAAGCCGTGCCTTGCGCGCTGAAAAAAGACGTATGGTGGTTGATGAGTTGTCGAGGCGATCGTGTATGTGCTGGGATGCTGGTGAATCTAGTAAAGACGTCATTTGCATCGACCAAGTCGTCTTGTGACCCTCCAAAGGGGACCATCGGAGAGAGGTTGGTTAGATTTTGGAGACGACAGCGGGTGGGAAACAATCGAAGTATGTCGTACACCAAAAGGTGTTGGAGGGTGACCCCGGCGGGGCAGGACATATGAAGAGTGCAATCTGCCCTAGGATAGAACAAACGGGGTCTGATGGCGGTGTTACGGTGGTTGCCGCATTGTGGGGCAAAAACGAGGTTCTCTCCAGATCCAGGGCATAGACGGGTCTGGATAGGTTCCTGAGATAAGTACTTTTGTATAAACGGAAACGGTGCACTGCCATTGGATTAAGGCAGTGATCTCCTATTATGCCCCCTCGGACCAAGGGCCCATTGGCTTTTACCAACATGTGGTATGAGGTAGGTGGTAGCTTTTGTGTTGGTGGGTGACAGCAGCAGTAGTGAGACCTTCTAGACGAACTAGTAGTACTGTAATACCGTAATACGCACATAAAACTGCTGATTTCTGTTTTTTCCTAGACTTCTGGGTAGACACCTACATGTATTGTAGGTATTGTATGTAAGTAGTCAGTCGATTTCGCATCGTCGGGGCTGCAGGTCAGTCCAGATGTGGCATAATCGACGGAGGAATCATATTACCAGTTTTTCCTCCAGTCAAGGGGCGTAAACAGGCTTCGATGTTAGCGAAAGATAGGCGCTAGAAGGCTTCTATTCTATGTCCCCTCTTCCTTGCGTTTTCGTGGGGAGCTCGGGCATAATCCACATTGGCCGCTGTTGGTGATCCTAGTGGGATGCGACTCCGCGTACCTTAACGGGCTGCGTGCCTCAAATTGCTGTCCAGCAAAGCAAAGGTGAGCTTTCTTGTTTTTTAGAAAATGTGTGCTCCGTTTGTATTTAGCCGGTCGGTATTGCGGTGTTATTCTTGCTTTCGACCTTCCTATTCTAATGAAACCTGGCTTCAATTTTCAAATTTTATATATTGTGCTGGGGGATGGAGTTGTATCTCGACAGTTGGGAGGAAGAAAGATGAATTTGTTAGGAAGACGATAGGTCGGATACGGTACCTCGCAAAATTAATCCAATGATAGACCGATGCCGGCGGGGTCTCGCTTGCCCTATAAGGTGTGAAGGAGCCCTGGAGACAATTGGAAGTTCCCCACCAAACGCGGGGCAATCAAATTTCGTGCGTTCGTCAGAGAAGCAATAGTGGGGGGCGGGGTTCGTGTAATGCCAAGTAAGTGGGGGCGAATAGTTTTCTTCGCCGTTCCTTTCTTCTAGATATATTTTTGTTTCCTAACAAAACCCGACATCTCCAGAGCCACGATGACCAATACAAACCGAAGCTTATCAGATTGGACAGGGGGTTTCGGGGTTGCATCGGCGGGTTACTTCCACTTCGCAATCAAATATTGATAATTATTATACCCTTTGCTCCTTTTCGTCGAAATATTTTTTTCTGTTACAATTTGCCAAATCGGAAGATCTTTGAATGCCAGCCAATTATTTCGCTGTTATTCATGGATTATATATCTACATGTAGGAGGATTTGGCTTCCAGCCCCCTTATAAATGTGCGTACCTACCTCCTTAAGTAGTACATGCCGACAATACGCCATCCCGAAGTTTGTGTTACTTGTCCCCTTCTTAACAAGGTCCAAATATGTACAAGACCCCTGAGAACGCACTTTCTCGGTATAATTGTCATCAGAACAAGTCGATCCTGCTGGTACGCGACAGCGTAAGGTGTGGCTGCCTTCTATGTGAAGGGGTACTAAGTTTCGCTAGAGATTTTCCTTTTCTCCAATTGCCCCTCAATTTTTCCGTCTATGAGCTTCCCCAAGCTAGGTAAGTGAACGGTACGTCGGGGTAAATAGGTAGCTTGACTTAGGAGAAACTACCTACATGTAGTTCAAAGCGACTGGATAAAATATACAACGAATTGTTCTTTCTACTTCGTCTCTATTTTTTTTATTTTTCTCCTTCGTTAACCGCTTCACGATCCCTCATCGCGGATCTTTACGTAAAACTAGACCCCTTTCGGATATTTACGCATCCACGAGACACGAGGCAGAACATACCACAATGGCAGCCGAGGCGATCAAGTCAGTTATCGTCCTGACGAACTCACCCTCGCCACTGAATGTGCTGATGGTGTGTATCACCATGACACGTATCCAAATGGTCCTCGCTAGAAACTGACATTGCTTTAAGGTTGGTACAGGCGAATATACGACGGGTTTTGTCGGCGGTGGCGCTTCGGGCTCAGACAAAAAGGTTGGTGTTGTTGGGCTGACTCTCTTTGATCTTCGGAGAAGAGGGAAGGTCGCTAAGCTAGGAATGGTTGGAACGAATGGGACGAAATTTCCAGCGATTAGTGAGCTTAGAATGAGAGCCGCTGATTGTTCAATGTCAATGAAAACTAACATCAGCAGGACAACATCTCGACACCAATATCTCCAAGGTTTATAATGGCTTAGACTGCTCATTCGATTCATATCCATCCAACGATGTCAAAGACCCAGACGCTTACAAGGCCGCCATTGACGCGCTAAAGCCGGGTGATGCTATCACTATCTTCACACCAGACACCACACATTATCCAATCGCTCTATACGCAATTGAGCGTGGAATACATGTTCTGATCACCAAGCCAGCCGTGAAAACTCTGGAGCATCACCAGACCCTAATTGCAGCCGCCAAGAAGCACAATGTATATGTGTACATTGAACATCACAAGCGATTCGATCCCGCGTATTCGGACGCTAAGTACAAGGCGCAGAAATTAGGCGACTTCAACTACTTCTACAGTTACATGTCCCAACCGAAGTCGCAACTAGAGACTTTCAAGGCGTGGGCTGGTGTCGATTCCGACATCTCATACTACCTAAACAGCCACCACATAGACATTTGCGACTCAATGGTGTCGCAACTAGGTTTCGTCCCCGTGAAAGTCTCGGCTTCGGCGGCAAAAGGTATCGCTACTAGTCTTGGATGTAATGAGGCAACCGAGGATACCATCACAGTTTTAGTCACATGGCAAAAACAAGGCGACCCTAGCAAAATCGCTACAGGTGTGTATACAGCATCGTGGACAGCCCCGCAGAAAGCTGGCGTACACTCAAACCAATACTTCCACTACATGGCGTCGGCGGGCGAGGTCCGCATCAACCAGGCCAAGCGCGGATACGACGTAGCCGACGATACCGCCGGTCAGCTTGTGTGGTACAATCCATTCTACATGAAATACGCACCAGATGATGAAGGGAATTTCGGCGGCCAGACCGGCTACGGATATATCTCTTTTGAGAAGTTCGTAGATGGGTGCCGAGCGGTGAACGCCGGGACCTTGAAACCTGCTGACCTAGATGCGAGGGGTCTGCCAACTCTAAACAACACTATCGCGACGACTGCTATCCTCGAGGCCGGCCGACGAAGTATAGATGAAGACAGAGAGATTAGGATCGAGATCGCCGATGGTACTTGGAAGCTAGTGTAAATTATAGGTTATTGAGGTGAATCATCTACTAAAACCTATGAGATTGGGACGTGATTGATATAATCATTCTGTATTTGGTTTCAAATTTGAAAATGCCATACCTAGGTAGTTATATCCTCGATTTCCATAATTGTGTAGTATTTACTAGGAGTTATGAACCTGTTATCAGACCCTATCTCTACCATAACATCCATAATGTTAGCTTTGAGAAATATTCCTCCTCAAAAGGCGCCTCCTTATCTTCCAGCCTTAGTCGGTCCCTGATTTCAAGAGCCCGTGCTTTGCAAGTATCGCTCTCTGCCACAGCCTCTTTCGCGGCATATAGTACAGACAATTTGTAGAGTGCACGAGCAAGTTGACCCTCGCCCTCACTCAACGATTCCGAAATATCTACTAGTTGCTTCAGAAACTCGCTGAGGGAGTGTTAGCTCATAATCGTGTCAATCCAGGAAAATAAGGAGTACTCACACGGCTGATGCTGAATGACTTTGGAGGTCTAAGATATTAGCCACATCATATAGTGAGTCGCATGTTTTCAGTCGATTTCCTAGCAACTTCTGCCGAAACGCAAGCGCTTTTGATGCTAGTCGCAGAGCGTCGTCTACACGGCCCTGCTTAAGTCGAATGCGGGATAAGAGTACCATATCGCCAGAGAATCGCGGGTTGCCTGTACTTAGGAATGTTTCGTCTGTGAAGTCCTTTAAAGATGGACATCTTGCGAGCATTTCTTCAGCACCATCCGGTTTACCCATGCGTAAGAGTAAGCTAGCCATGTTACTATACGAGTTACCATTCCTATCGCTATTATTTCGAAGTCGAATGTCTATCGCCTGTTGGTGTGTAGAGTATGCCTCTTCCAATTTTCCCATTTCGGTGTAGGCTAGTGCTATGTTATTTAAACTGAAAGCAATAAACGGATCCTCGGGGCCGAGCCGTTTCTTGCGGATTTCTAGGGCTTCTTGAAACGGCTTCAAGGCGAGTTCTGGTCGGCACAAGTCCAGGTCGATCAGGCCAGCCAGATCAATGGCGCTTGCATATGCTAAGGTTGACTTGTCCTGGAATGTCTGAACTGCGGAATCTACTAGACTCCGCGCCACATCGTAAGTTTCGCGCTCATAAAGGTACCTAATAGTTAATTAGTTTAGGCGTTCTTAGGGTGATGAGGGACCTCTAACCAGCTGGAACGGAGAAGTAGTTCGGCATATTGCTGTACGTTCGTTGGTTTAACATTGTGCTTCTTGGATATCTTGGCGAGGTGACCAATATGTGGTAGACACTTTTCGCACTTTTGCCAGGCATTAATCTGATGACCTACATCTTTGCTCCAAGTGTCTGGGAAACCCCACGATAGTAATTGAACGACAACATCGAGATACCTTGGTTGATCTGTAAGGGGTAGTCTTCGGATGGCCGCGAATTGGATCAACCGGTGTACCGTAATAACCGGCTTCTCCATTGTTTTGTTGATTAGAGCTGCTTGTAGGAGAGGTTGTTCCGCATCACCGAGGCTAGCCGTGGTTAGTATGGTACTAATCCTCGGAAGGTATTCGTGACTTACTCCATCTCGTCAGCCACGAATTCGAAGTCCGGATCGATCCCAAGGTCTGTCTGTGAGCCCTCTAGAAATATTGCCTCATCCACTGCATCTGGGTCCAGGAAAATCAAAATATTCAATAGCTTCGTCGCATCCTTCGGGAGCTTCTGAAATGATACATCCCAGACAGTACTCAGAGTATGCTCGTAGTCATCCTTAACTGTCTTCCTAGCATCAATCTTCGCTGTATTGCGCTCATAAAGGGGTAAGAAGTCCTCCAGGGGCAATCTTCTTTGCGCTATGACGCCACCAATTTGGCTTAGAGCAAGGGGCAACCCACCCAACGTTTGGGTGATTGCAGTCGCGTGTTCCATGTCAACTGTAACTTTTGGATCAAGTCCGATCTGTTCCAATAACATCACGGACCCCTCAGCGTCATCAAAAGGTCCCACCTGAAGGCATCGAGCAGCAGGATTGTTCGCAACATCGAAGTCTCTAGTTGTTAGCAGTATCGAGCCGTGTGAATTCCCAGGCCATGCCACCTTGATAGCTTGTAGATCATCGGCATTGTCGAATATTACCAACCACGGCGTCGCTAGAAAGCCCCGTTAGCCTCTAATCCATAAGATGCATATAGAAGCAACGGCAACTTATAAGTATTGTTTAACCAATTCTTGACTTTCCAAATTGCGGCAGCCGAGTCCTGAATCTCATCTGGGCTCTGGCACAATTGTAGACCCTGGGCTATCCCCCGAAGACTCTGGCCAATCGTGATGACATTGTCGGCCGCGACCCAGAGGATTATGTCATATTTATCTACACTTTCGTGGGCATACTGTAGTGCCAATTGTGTCTTACCAACCCCACCCATTCCGAATAGCGCGATCGATTTCGTAGACGATGATGATTGTCCTGGGTCGAGAGAGCCGTGGATCTTGGATAAAAGTTCCGCGCGACCGGAGAATCTACCATTTTGTAGGAATGGAATGTGGTGATATTTAGTTCGACGATCGTCCTCGCTCCGTTTAGTGGAGAGATTATCCATGAGTTCAATCACTTCTTTATACTTGTGTTCATCCAATCTCATTCGAGCTAGATCGGCCTCACTCTCGACATAGATGAGATTCTCTTAATACGCATAGTCGTCCTCGAGAAGTCTGTGCGGAACTTCTTCCATGCATTTCGTCGCAATAAGACATGAGGATGGTCCCGAAAGAAGTGTATGGTTCTAGCGTAAAAGCAGATGACTTCAGTGTAGACGTCGACCAAAGCGGTCTCGAATTGACGGCTCATCGGTAACGTATCCTCATATACACGAAATCTCGGCAATGTCAGACTAAGCTCTTCTAGCATATCTAGTATGTCTTGAAGAGTATCGCCGGCCGATGAGGCTAACGTCAATATTAGGCGAATACTTCCCCATACTACTGCTGTCAACGTTGCGTCCGCCCCGACTGCGAGAGCAATAATTGCTGAGAAATCATCAACAAATTTGAATTTCGGCGCAAGTCTATTCAATGACGCCAATTTCTGCCTGTCCCGCGAAGGTGTTGTCTGCAAGGTGTTCACATGATTTAAGAGGTCATCGAGGGAGTGAACCTCATTTATCGCTTGGTAGTCTTCATTGATCCCAAGCTCCTCCTGGTACCTTTCTAATGCTCGATGCCATAGAGGGCTTGTATTTCCGGTAGACCTAAGGGAGATCAGTGCCTGTTTGGGTTCCCCAGTACTTACTATGCTTTATTTCACTTACTTCTCCATCTTCTCTCCGACGTATTTAGCATAACCAGGTGGTCATCTCATCAGCGTCTAGGTAAATTTAGCTACGGCCTCAATTATTTCAACGCACGGGTGCCTTGCCTGGGTTATGATAGATCGAATTATCAAAAGGTATGTGTACCAACAGACATAGGTCTTATCAGCAGTCAGCCAGCCTTGATCGAACCGTGCGGGGTCCGCTGAGTGGCGTTGTATTGCAGAAAAGAGAACGCCCCCTACACCAACACTCCGTGATTCATGCTGCGTAACAGACCTATTATGATCCTCCGGCGCTTATCTCAGAGAGGAACTCTCCGAGACACCTGCAATGCCCTGTCCAAGCCATACCCATATATAGTATCCATTGCAGGTTTACGGTCACTGACCCTCTAGATCTACGCGCCCGTGGCTGTCCAACAAAAGCAAATCAACGATAATAACGAATAATATTTCAAATTCGAACCGGAGTAACTGGTAATTCTCTGGAATATGGTGACCCAGGTAAATAGTAAGGATCCAACACACCTAACAGACCTAGAGGCCCTGGTTAGCCTCGTCCAAAGGATTAAATTGTAGACTACCTAGGAGGTAACTTTGTAGACGCGATTGTAGTTTCTTCTGATAAACTTGTTCTCCAAACTCTGGTCAGTATCACTACCTGACAATGTCACCTGAGGTCGCAAGAGTCACGAACAATTATCAACACTCGCACTGTATCGGCCAGGTGCCACTTGACATGCGACTATGGGAATGAGGCATCCGCTAAAAGGGGCGACATACGAGGGGTTCCCCAGCTTGCCATGGTACGATTGGTGGATTCAATCACAGCTCGCTCAGCAACCTAAAGAATTATTCGCCTGTATTCAAGATTTCGACCACGAATCCGAAGAAATCTCGTTCGATGCGATTAAGTCCGTTTACTCGAAAGTTTCCACTATAATTATCAACGATGGGGAGCTGGGTATTAGCGATATAGTACAGAAACTCTTAGACGATGGCCGTATCACTGTCGCCAAGGACGTTCGGGGGATTGAAATGGCTATGGACCTTGTGTTCTCGATAACTGGCTGGCAAACCATGCTGTATCGCCCTGATGTATTTTCTTGTCCTCCGTCCGAGCTCTGCATTGCGGATGAAATGGATGGCTATAGGGGCGAAGCCCACATCTGTCTCAAACAATCTCGTATAAGCAGTAATCGAAGACTTTCTGATTTTCTATTGGGATTCGGTTTAATGCTCCCACCCCGGAATCATCATACATTCGAGGATGTTGAGGAAATGAAGAATTTCAGCAGGCTTAAATCTGTCGATTCTTCGACTCTAAACATGCATCTATTAGTAAAAATCGGTGGAATTAGTGTTAATTGGACCGATTGCTTGGCCTGCCATCTCGAGCTGGACAAAAATGAACGAGCTCTTTATTTATTTCGATATCCCTCTTTCTGTGTCGCGAATCTCAGAAATAGATCAACGGACGGAAACGGCTGGTCCGTGATACATTCTTGTGCTTCGAGCCTCCCCAGTAACACTCACTGGGCCGCGTCACAAGACGTTACGGAGCTACTCCAGGAGATAGTCCTCTCTTATAGGCTCTTATTCAACCAGCATGTTAAGTCGCGGGAGCTTCTCCGAAAACTGCGCCCGTTTAAACACGTTCCATTAGATGGTCACGACGACTTTCTCTTGGATGTTTGTGGGAAAAAACAATTCAACTCATCATTAGGAATCATAGAACGCGACACTTACGAATTGGCGCGAGATTTTGCTCATTTGAGGTCGCGAATCGTCCGTCTCAACACATATCTTGATGACAGGAAGCCTAGATCTTGGAGGGAGTTATGGCTAGATAATCGCGATTCAGCATCGTGGTTGACGTTTTGGGCGGTTATCGTTGTTGGTGGGATGGGTCTCATTCTCTCGTTTCTTCAACTTGTGTTTCAAATTGTACAAGTAGCAATGGCAGTGCGACAACCCGGTTCGTAAATTTGAGGATTTGTTTAGATACCACTTGGTTTATTTCCACCAATTAGACGTCGCGTTCCACCCAACTCTTGATGATACCCTCTATCGTGGGTTCGTATTCCTTCAGCGTGACCGTATCCCCATCGATGAACGTGTTTGCTTGTACATTCAATAGGGGCGGCGGCTTATTCGCAATGACTGTCTGCCTCCACTTCAGACATTCTTCATCCACATGTGAGAGGTCTTCATAATAGTCCCGGCACGCTTGAACGTCGGCGGTGCATCTATACATGTGAAGACGTAATAGCATACCGCCAAGAGCTTTCTTGCCGTGGCTTATTATCTTGGGTCGATCAACGATAACTGTGAGTTTCTTAGCTTCCCTGTCGTGCTGGACTTTGAGACATCCTTGGCTATCTCTTAGAAGACATCTGAGCATCGAGAAATGAGCCTGCGAATGATTAGCATTCTTCTAGTTTCACAATTTAGTGCAAATAATACCCGGCTATGAGCCTGCCCCCATGTCTAGAAGCGCAAGTTAGCGAAGAACTTCGTTTTGGTATCGGTACCTTACCATGCTGTCAAGGTTGTAGTTAGAGAGAGCTCGGAGACCATCAACTCCAAGTTGCTGGTACAGATTATATGTCACTTTTCAATGTCAGCCCCTGGCATGGGGAAATGGGAATGAGGGTCCTTACAATCACTAGCCCGAATAGTTGATTCTTCTGTGAAACCGAAGAGAGCTAACAGCTCCGGATCATCCATGAGGTAGGCACCTACTAACTCGGCTCTGCATTCATCTAGTGAAGTTGCCAAGTTGCCAAATTGACCGGTCCATGTCTGACCTGGTTTATACCAAGTATTTATGGGTTTACCATCAAGAGGGTTAAGTGGGGGACTCGTGGCGTCGAAATTGAAGTTGTTGGCTGGTTTCTCAATCATCATCTTACCTGTACCATGACCGAGCAGTTCGTGTAGCACAACCCACCAGTAATATGCGGGATACTTATGCTTCTGGAATACTTCCATCTCGGATTCGTCGATAAATGACCATTGCATCGCGGTACTCTCGGCTGTCATACGATTTGCGATAATGACGTTTTTAAACCCTACATCTTGGCGAATGTCATTGTACTAGTTACACTGTGGTGTTAACGGACGAACTTGAAACACCGGGTGAACGATCCAAAACATGCTTACATTTGGGAGGTTGATGCCTGGGAATATTATACTAGAACAGTAAGCGAGTGCTAAGATTCCAGTTAGCCTCTGAGATTACAAGCGACATGACTAGAGCACCTACCGTGTATACTAGAGAAATCGGGTGGCTCGAAGAGAGATTTCTCAAATACTCCTTTACCATTGTTTTCAGAAGACGCCCAGGGCAGTCGCCGTATAAACTTGTCAGAATTCTCAACTAGCTTCGACAAAAGTTGCGTTTCTTCGGCGTCCGCGATCGCGACTAAGCCTTCGAACTCGGCACGAATGCCAGCAGGGTCTCTATATGGTTCAACAAAACCGAAGATATTCTCCACTTTTGGTGCTTTATCGGCAACCCATGTTCGCTGAGAGTCACGATACACGTCAAGGCTACCGGTTTCAAAGCTTTCAATATATTCCGCGAGAAACTTCCTTTGAGAATCATTTGCGGCATATTTGGCAGCTTCAGCTAGATTGGTACATATTTTCTCCAACTCCGCTGCATGATCACCGCAGAGAAGGGTGACTTTAGTGGGCGAATCGGGGATAGTTAAGGACGCCACCGTAGGCTCGGTAAGGGTTACTGAGGCTTGAAGAACCTCAAATTTATTTTCTTCAATCTTTCGAACTCTAGTATTTTCGGGCCATATGGAATAGGCGTCCATATGCCGAGAAACGAGTTCGATTTCATCCTTTCCAATTGGATCTCCGGGATAATATGAACTCTGGGCCAAGGTGCTTGGGTACCCGAGTGTGAAGGGCGGAATGGCGACGATGAGGTCTTGAATTGCTTTATAAAGGCCCGGGAGCTTAGATGATCGACTAGCGAGCTTTTCTATTGCTCCTAGACTTGTTTATGGTACGAACTTTTGATCCCCCGATCCCTTCAAGGCGTCAACCCCCGCTCGAGAAACCGATAGGTAATAAACTCACATAATAGTTCCCAACATTAGAAAGGAAAGTAGCTGCAAATTCGAGAAATGCCTTGAGCTCTTCTTCCGCGATTCCATCGGGTCCTAGTAGTTAATTCCAGTTACCGTTACAAGATGTGTATAGTTCTAGTATAAAATCGAAAATCCCTAGGGATTCTGGAGAAACTTGACGAAGAATGATCCTTGTGCCAGACCAAGCAGCTCTAATTCCTATTGTGTCAATATACACTTTCGACAAATCTGGGCTCTAGTTATAACCCACCTGGATAGATAATGGCTATATCGCTTTTCTTGCTCCGGAAGACGATTGAACAACGGCGTGATGCCTAACTTATAGATTTGCACGTTAACCGCCATAGCTTACCTATTCGTTTTTGGCTACCTAGGTATATTTTTTATAGTAAACTTGAAAACTCATGTTTAAATAGACGAAGGCGTTGGAAAAGGAGAAGAGTGGGGTTGAATGATTGCGGGAAGTTTTGTTGGTACTCGGTAAGAATTACCTGTCATTACCTGCTATCCAGCCACAACATGGCCTGAGAGTACCCTACCGACCGACCCTAATCCCCTACCTAGGTAGTTAGGTAACTCTTAAAGTATACTGATCGTCATCTTCCTAGAAGTTCGACTAGATCTCGCCAATCTGTATATAATCTATTACATTATGAGATATCGTAGGTGTTCACCGGGGAATCTTGGTGTCGGATAGGTTCCTTAAGAGCGTTTATTGAATAGGTAGTATTGCGATGTGACAGGTAGTTTGATAGGTCCTTCGCAGTGGCATTATTAATCGCACCACCATGCCACCGAGCACCTCCAAAGGATATTCGACGAGGGGTAGTGCCGGTACGTCCCGTCACGCGTATGCCTTTACGTCTTGTGCCGAAATATACGAATGATCTGCCGTTAAAGGCTCCCTGATCATATGAATATCATGCGCAACGTGCATATAGTATTCCTAAGAGCCGGGGCCTAATAGGTGTAGATTATTGTATTTTGCCGAGAACGTTCGGAATTGTCCGCCAAGATATGGTTGTGATAGGTAACTTGAAGACAGTGATACTTGAAAAGGTCGCATGGTATTCGAAGTGATCCTTTTCTTCAATTATTTTCGAATGTGTCAACGAGAAAATATGTCTTTTCGCCCTGTTGTCAATACTAGTTTGGGTCCAGACCCTCATGGGTTGCGTTCCCATCTTAGTGTAGATGGAAAGACATTTCAGACTCTGCTGTCGCCTCAACGTTCTTTTGACTCCAGGAATACCTTGAATATTTAGGTATTTGCGATATTAATATTGTCAACACGAATCTAATAGACCGCGATGGACTCCATATTATCATCTTCAAGGCTAAGAGGGCATTTTCCGTTTACTTCTTTGCTTTTTAGCTATTCATCAAGTGATGGAGATTCCCATGACCATTATGACGACACTAATCGTCTAAGGATTCAGGATTCACCTTTTAGGTTCTGACACTTGATAGATCCCTGTGTACTTAGATATATCGATCCGAGCCTTACGATATACTCGAAGCTTAACCATGGCACCGAAGCCGTTAGCATGCGCAAACCTTACGTTCGGGTGGATCGATAAATTGGATGAAGATTCTGGGGAAATAGGGATGATCGTCAGGGGATAAAACTCTACGGCGGTTTGTACGGGGTAGAAAAGCTGGGGATTTCCCTTGAAGCTGTAGCGCTGAAGGTCTATTTCGCGCCCTAAGAAGGACCTAACAGGACTTAGCATAGCGCTAAGTCAAGATTGGTTAGGCGTCCATGTTGCGATAAGAGATACGCGAGACGTGCTGCGTGGGTAGGCGTGGTTGCCGGTCGGCGGAACAATGCAGCGACAATGCAGCAAAAGAAATTTACCTACAGTGGCAATCCGATCCGGTTCAGGAACGACCGCTGCACGGGAACCCTCTACATTGAGATTGGTGACATGCGAGTAATGTCATGCTACCACCTTTAGTGGCCTAGCAAAAAAAAAAAAAATTTGGGCGCCGTTTAGAAAAATTTAAATCTCTCTACGAGGGTTTTTTTTTTTACCTTCTTAACAGCCTCATAACATAATAGTTTCAACGCTTTTATGGCAAATCACTCGTCCCCGTCCCCATAATTACCCTTCCACCGTTTTCCTTCTCATAGATGTTATCGTCTTCTTTAGTCGTTTCTTTCACCCTCACTATTTTTCTCTAGGACCCCAGTCGGCGTAATCCCGAACTCCTCCGATTTTACGCACATTTTACTCCCGAGGCCCTTGCATCGGCGCTCCACAACCGACGATCGTGAATTATTCTTCTGAACTTGGTCAATTCGGCGCGCTAATCGATAAGCTGCCGTCTTTTCCCACTTACCTAGGTAATTCATCTGGTCGCTTGGTCGGTGCCTCACTCTTGCCGATATCTGTTCCCTAAACGCCGCAAACCGACCACGCCGAAATGTCAACGTCAACAACTGTGAAGGAGGCGGTCAAGGAGACTCTCCTTGGCTCGGAGGAGCCTTCGAACCTCTCTGCTACCCACCGCGCGCTATTTTTGAACAATGCCAAGAAAGATGAGCAGACGGGGGAGTTGGTTATGGGACCGGATGAGTTCATTGAAGCTATTGCGCCACCTACCGAAGACTATGTAAGTTACTGATATTTCGAGCTAATAGTTAATTGATCTGTGGTCGCTAACTATTTACTTCCGTCTATAGCACAAGATTAGTCGTGACCAATACGGTCTCTTATTCCGCGTAGCCGACCGTAAAGGTGCTGGGAAGGTGACACTTGGCGACTGGGCCGCCTTCGAGAACCTCTTAATGAAACCTGACGCCGAATACGAGATCGCATTCCGACTCTTCGACATAAGTCGCACCGGAAGTGTCAAGTATGACGACTTCAGACAGCTATACGAGCGCAACAAAGGATCCAACAGCATCCCCTTCGATTGGGACTGTGAGTGGGCAAAGTTGTACATCGGCGACAAGTCTAAACGGCACACCCTTACATACCCCGAGTTCTCCCAGATGCTTCGCGGTCTACAGGGTGAGAGGATCAGACAAGCTTTTCAGATATTTGACAAGGACAGAGATGGCTACATCGAGCCGGAGGATTTCGCAAGAATCATTCTCGAAACATCCAAACACAAGCTCTCCGATCACCTCTTGGAGAATCTGACCTCGCTCTGCAACATATCCACTGGCAGTAGGATTTCTTACGCCAATGTTCGAGCTTTCCAGAATATGATCAAGGAGATGGACTTAGTGGAGCTTATAATTCGTCAGGCCTGCAAGAAGAGCGCCGACGGGAAGATTACGAGAACTGAGTTCTTAAACGAGGCAGCCAAAGTTACCAGGTTTTCTCTTTTCACCCCAATGGAAGCAGACATCCTCTTCCACTTCGCCAGCTTAGATGAACCATCTGGCCGCTTAAGCCTCACCGACTTTGCGAAGGTCTTAGATCCATCATGGCGACACCGTGGTGTCTCAGAAGAATCCCAAGGTCAACAACTTCACAAAGCCAAGTCTGCTACACAGTCTTTCCTTTTACAGGCTGCCGAGTCTGGCTATAACTTCTTACTTGGAAGTGCGGCTGGTGCCTTTGGTGCCTTTATGGTGTATCCCATCGACTTGGTTAAGACGCGAATGCAAAACCAACGAGGTGCCGACCCGGGACAGAGACTTTACAAGAACTCCGTCGATTGTTTTAAGAAGGTCATCGCAAATGAGGGTTTCCGTGGCCTGTACTCTGGAGTCTTGCCTCAGCTAGTCGGTGTCGCTCCAGAAAAGGCCATCAAACTAACCGTAAACGATCTCGTCCGAGGTTTCTTTACGGACCAGAAGACGGGCAACATCCGATGGGAACATGAGGTCCTAGCCGGTGGTAGTGCTGGTGCTTGCCAAGTCGTAAGTCTTTTTTTTCTCTCTAGATATGCGACATCGGGTTTACTAACTTAATTAGGTGTTCACCAATCCCCTCGAGATTGTCAAGATTCGACTACAAGTTCAGGGTGAAGTCGCAAAAGCTACTGAAGGTGCCCAGAAACGTTCTGCGATGTGGATTGTTAAGAACTTGGGTCTCGCAGGTCTCTACAAGGGTGCCTCAGCTTGCTTACTTCGAGATGTGCCATTCTCGGCAATCTACTTCCCCACCTACAGCCATCTCAAGAAGGATCTTTTTGGAGAATCCCCCACCAAGAAGCTTGGGATCCTTCAGCTCTTGACGGCCGGTGCCATTGCTGGTATGCCTGCCGCTTATCTCACAACACCTTGCGATGTTATCAAGACCCGATTACAAGTTGAGGCACGCAAGGGCGATACGAATTACACTGGTCTACGACACGCAGCAACCACGATTATGAAGGAAGAGGGTTTTAAGGCATTTTTCAAGGGCGGCCCGGCCCGTATTCTTCGATCTTCCCCTCAATTTGGTTTTACCCTTGCAGCATACGAAGTTCTACAGAGCGTCTTACCATTCCCCGGCAAGGCAAAGCCAGAACAGGTTCACACCGGCGTCGCTGATGTCGTTGATACGATCCGAGAGAAGGACGTCGCCTCACCTCATGCTCGCAGCCGAAATGCTCTCAAGATGATCCTAGATCTCGACGAGAATTTCGGACGCATCAAGCTCCCAGACCACGAGACGTGGAAGACCCTGCCTAAGTTCCTTGGCGGTGGTAAGTCATAATGATACACTAGAGAGAACACTACACAGTTCTCGCCTTGTTCCATTTCAATGTTTTTCTCAAGGCACATTTGCATGAAATGGCGTTCGCGACCCACGGCTGGGGAATCTTTTTGCTTGCGTTTTTGCCTGTTTTCATTAACGACCGAAAAGTTCAAGGGTCGGTCGTGGCCATAAGATATGGCATCTTGTGTAACTAGCTAGGATCAGAAAGATCATGGTTTGATGGTCACCGGAGGACCATCCGAAAGAGAGATGGAAGAGTAGCCATAGAACTCTCGGGTTTTGAACTTTGTTCATACCCAATAGACCGAATTGACGAGTCTTGCACAGAAAAGGTCTTCATGCCACGAGTAGTGGATGCATCACTCAGAGTAGTCTATTCAATCCGATTTGAGTTAAATTATTTTATTAGTTCGTGTAAATACCACCTCATATTTGAGATGATATTTATCTAGTCATTTCCCTTCCTTTCCATACCTGACCTACCAACACGTCCCAAAATCCCGCGCGCCGTCCCATACAAATGGCTTGACCTCCGTCCCATGTTCACACATCATCACACCTTCCAACCACCGCGCATAATCCTCAAAACCCCCGACACTCCCCACAACACGCGCCCGCCTTACTCCCCTCACGCCCTCAAATAAGCGCAACGCATCTGGTCCTGACCCGCGCCACGATACCTGATATGTCTCTAGCACAATTTCCTCGCGTCCACTTAACTGCGTCGCCGCCATTTTACTATCGTACCTAGGCTCCGCGTCTAGTCTTATGCATACGTGTAACCGCGCGATTAGGTCCGCCATATTACACGACAACACTGGCGCATAGGCACGGCGTAATCGCGGTAACGAAGCCAATAATGAGGGATGCGCGAGGAAGGTATTGTGCCGGTAGAGTAGGGGTAGGGCTTCGGCATGCAGTTTACGGTTTGTGCGCAAAATGGCTGTGTATAAGGGAATTGGTGATGAGGCGGGCAGGCCAGAGTGGAAGTATGCGTTTTGTGAAGGTGGTGGAGCAGATGGGGGGAGGATGAGCAGGTGAGACAGGATTTGGAGGCGGATTTCTGGGGGTAGGGTTAGGAGGTTGGGTTTATCGTAGATGATAGTAGTGGATGATAGAGGAGTTGGTTGCTTTTCGAATTGTTGGTTGGGTTGGAAGTCTTCGGCTATGGGCTGAGAAGAGAGATCACGCTCGTCTAAGACGAAATCCGGCGACTCCATAATGGCTTCTGCTGATAGTGGGATTTGTTGAGATTCAGAGTCGAAGTTGTGATATCGTTCTCGTTCTCACTCTGTACCTTGAATCTAAACTATACCTAAAACAAAAGACGGAGCCATAAAATAGAGAAAACAAATGGTTTTACAAGGCCGAGGCAGTCGGTCGATTAGTATTTGATTCATATCTTTTGATTAGTATTCAGAGAAGATGCTACTTTTATATAAATTCATTAAACAGTCTTTGGTAGACTCTGACAGGGATCTAAATGGGAATAAGACGGGATGGATCTCGGAATCCATGGGATGTCAATGTAACGCCCCTTACGTCAAATCTGGGGTCCCGTCAGGCGGCACAGTTGGGTTGTATGCAGAACTAAAAACGGTAGTAATGCGCGTGGTCTGCAGCATCTCTGCAGATGAAGCCAATGTTCAGAGATGCTGTATTGTAGCTGCAACGTCGGTACGATGATCTGCAATGCTGATCTAACGTAGAACAAATGTATAGCTGAGCCCTATTAAGATTTCTGTCGTCAAACTCGGGCCTCGAGACAAGGCCGAGTTCGCCTTAAGGATGGTTTACAGAAGCCGATCGTGATTTTGGCAAAGAGGTACGAACGGGCCACCGGGATTTATAGAGGTCTATTGGAACCGCTTTGCCGGAAATAAACGTTCGTGGTAAAATATACGAATCTGGCTTACATAACTGATATCTAGATGCTTATGTAAGTTCATAGCTTGTATTTTCAGTCATCATTGCTGCTTACTTAAGAAAACGTTCTGTCAGCCCGAACCCTAACCTTAACAACCCCTAACCCCAACCTCAACCCTGGGCTTGGGCTTGGGCTTGGCCTTAACCCTGACCCTATCCCTAGATCGTATTTGGCTGGGGTTATGATTGCTGAGTCATACATATAAAAATTGAAATTAGGACTCACACCTCACTTAATAAAGGATCAAGGCGTCTTTAATATGCTAGGATAGAAGGATTTCTTTAAATCTATGTTCAGTTTCTTAATCATGTCGATATGAAATAAAATGCTAGGAAGAAAATACACGAGGAGTGAGATATTGAGGGAACGACTTCTTATGTATGTAATGCCATATTTTTGCTGACTAACATATTGCTTACATACATAGTACTCTTTCTTAGATAATACGGCCAGTTGGGCAGGCGGTGAGGCTTTAATATCTTCGATAAACCCCACATCGGCATTCTGCCGCTTAAAGTGGAGTAGTGGGATGGATAAGACTTGATGAGGAAGAGTGAACCGCGACTTGAGCATCATTTTAACGGTAAACGGCCTCGAGGCCTCGGAAGTTAATTAAGACGATACTAATTCTGGAAGCCCGGGGGCTTCGAAACCGCCAAGATGGTAAACATTACAGAGAAGATCAAGGAGTGAGTTGAACCGTTTTTCCTACCGGTCGCATAGCGCATACTAACGACGCATAGGATTGAGGATGAGATGAAGAGGACGCAGAGTAAGGATGCGCAATTGAATTTATTGAGTAGTTGGATTTCTAACATGTGGATTTTGGATAGAGAATAAGGCGACTGGTAAGGCAGCCACTATTGTTGCGGCAGGGTATTAGCGCTAACACTACACACAGAATATCATCTTGGTCTTCTAAAAGGGTATGCTTTATAATATTTGAGAAATTTAGAGACATGCCTAATGAAGTGCCTGTTTAGAAAACTTGCGCGTCTACGAGCACAACTACTAGAGCCTGGCCCGGGAGCAGGTGGTGGGGGTGGCGCTGGTTTCGATGTGAGCAAAAGTGGTGATGCACGAATAGCACTGGTTGGCTTTCCGTCAGTGGGAAAGTCGACGTTTCTATCGAAAGTAACAAAAACGAGATCAGAAGTCGCCTCATATGCCTTCACAACCCTAACTGCAATTCCCGGAGTGCTCGAGTATGGTGGTGCCGAAATTCAACTACTCGATCTGCCTGGTATCATCGAGGGCGCCGCGGAAGGAAAGGGGAGAGGACGACAAGTTATCTCAGCTGCGAAGACGAGTGATCTTATTCTTATGGTTCTCGACGCGACAAAAAGGGCAGAGCAAAGAGCGCTGCTGGAGGCTGAATTAGAAGCAGTTGGCATCCGGTTGAACAGAGAGCCACCGTAAGATCGAAAACTACGCTACTCCATCGCCCGACTTTGTGGACTAATTGAGGGGTAGGAATATCTATCTAAAAGCCAAGAAAGCCGGCGGCATGAAGATCACATTCCAATCACCACCAAAGAATATAGACGAGAAGATGGTGTTTAACATTCTACGCGATTACAAAATGCTAAACTGCGAGGTCTTGGTCCGAGACGACGAGGCGACAGTCGATGATCTGATCGACGTTATCATGAAGGACCACCGCAAATACATCAAGTGCCTCTACGTCTACAACAAGATCGACAGCGTTTCGCTCGACTTTCTAGATAAGTTGGCACGCGAGCCACAGACTGTCGTCATGAGTTGCGAGCTGGATTTGGGTATTCAGGATGTGGTTGATCGGTGTTGGAAGGAGCTGCAACTGATCAGAGTCTACACAAAGCGAAAAGGCACAGATCCGGACTTCAGCGAGGCGTTGATTGTACGGAATAACGCTACCATCGAAGATGTCTGCGACCGGATTCACCGGACCCTAAAGGATACATACAAGTATGCGTTAGTATGGGGCGCAAGTGCCAGACACATACCACAAAGAGTTGGTCTGGGACATACGGTAGCAGATGAGGATGTAGTCTACATAGTTAGCGGGTACAAGGCATGAAAACAATCAAGTTACATGGTCACGCAACAATTTGCAAAGCATAGGAAAGGCATAAGGAAAATTAAGGTCAATTTCTTTTCTCGTGAATCATTGATGATGGATGATGTCTGTTCATCAAAGCATGTATGCATATCGTTATGCACTCCATTTCCCAGGGACGGTATTTCCATCCAGTCATTACCCTGTAAGTGTCCCTTCCCATCAACGCCCGAGTGCTTGACCCCTATATTGTTACAAAACAGGAACCCCCCATGTCATCAGAGAAGAATTCGTAACGCCGTCCCATGTACGCCGAAGGAAGCCGTGTACCAAGTAGCAGAGCAGGTGAACTTGCTACCTAAGTTACATGTCGGGTCCGTTGGTGTCCGGGGGCGGGGAGGGTGTGTTCTTGGCGCCGAAGACGTTTCCGCCGTCAAGCTTCTTCTCTCCGTCGAGCTTCTTGGTAGAGGTCTGGGCGAAGAGGGACTTGGGCTTCATTCTGTGTAGAGGTGAGATTGTTAGTAAGATCATAGAAGGTAGGTGATGATATGAGAATAAACTTACCGTCCGGCGGCGCGGCCCTTGAGGGCGTTCAACTTGGCAGTGCAAGGGCTCATAATGTTATCCGAAGGAGAGATGTACTGTTGCTGTCTATTGTTGGTAGGACCGACGTTAGCAAGGAAGCGGTTCTGAGGGTTCTTAACGCGGGAATCAGGAGCCGCATCGTTGCCAGCGACGGGAGCCGTCTTGGTGTCCGACTTGGTGGTAGTGGAATTGGCATTGGTATCAGTGGGATTGGCGCCGTACTTCTCTTCGGCCATCTTGGACTGCAATAGTAGGCGATGGTACTCCAGGGTCTTAGCACCAGCGGGCTTGCCGTTGTTGGCAGCGATAGCGTCCTGGCTCTGGACGGGAGCGTTAACGTCCTTGTCAGAAAGAACAGGTGCCATTGTGTCGAGTTGATAAGTAGCAAGGGATAACTTGTTGTAGAACTGTGATGTCGTAAGACGATTGGCAAGCAAGTTGATCGAGCTAGCAGCTATGTTGCGAAAGCGATGGGTTGTGTTGAGAATGATCTCTGGAGATGTAAACTTTTGTGTAATCAATGAATGCGACAAAGGTCTTTTTTATCAAGAAAAGTGTGCATGTGAAGAGATCGACTAATGTGTTCTATGTGGAGTCGGACTTCTCATAGAAAAGAATATGGAAGTAGAGCTGTGGAGATAGGAAAGAAAATAAGAAAACGGTTGACCCGGAGACGGATATCTACAGGAACCGTAGTGGGCCCCTGTAGACCTGGACCGTTGTACCCGTTAACAACAGCTAGCGGCAGTTACGTCCGCTATTCCCACTAAGAAACTTTCGTCGTAGGTACATTAAGTTCAAACCTACAGGGGGGCATCAGCTGGTCCCGGCAACTGTATATGGCCCCACCAAACCGCTGAAATTTCCCGTAGCTTTATGCAACGCTGTAGAAGGTAAAAAAGTAAACATTTCAATCCCTCCACACCTCCATGGCTACGTCAAACATTGTCCCATCAACAACTACCCATGGCAAATCATTTCATCTGAATTATCCCAGCAACAAAACAATCCATCTCATACGATGAGATGGACTTTCTATATGACTCATTCGCTTAGCCTCATACCCCCAAAAATGACAACAAACATCGTTTGAAGCAAAAGTTGCATGCATTGGATGTTCTAACGCTCCATCATGTCTTCACAGCACTTCTATCCAATCAATTTCGACTCGAAAAAATATCCCCATCCGAACAATGATGGCCTGAGCTCTCTAGCTAGTTGATCCCGAGCAACGGTGAACAGTGCCTCGGGACCATGACAGTCAATGTTCACGCCACACGCACCCAGCAGATACTGGCCTGGCATACAGGTGGCATAACACACCCAGTAAAATACAGAAGAAGCCCTTTAAACCAACAACCAATAATTCCGCGGCATCGGAACATTACATATCCTCTAAGCAATGGCCTGCCACCCAAAGAACAATGTTAACACAAAAGTCAATTGCTTTGGTATTTCAACACACATCGCGATGACGACCACAGGCCCTCACGGCGGGGTTAATCTCCGATCAGCCACTACCTAGGTATGCAGCGGGGGTGCTCCATCGCCAGCTCTTACAGTTAAGAGCAGCAACGTTGCTCCAGATTCATGACTCTTGTGACCAAGTGCAAGACCGACGGGTCATAAGCTCGGGCCAAACTGGATCTTACGTCCAGGAGGACTCCAGGGAGTTTCCGACGAACCTCAAAACGAGTGCGTTCCAACCTCTAATTACTAACTCGTTTTCCCGCTAACAATCATAGGGTATTTAGAGAAATTCGTCATGACCGCCTGCCAACTATCGGTCGGCGGCTTGAGCTGAATAGAGGAGCGGGGGATCTGCCATCCTACATATAAAGGAGGCAGTCAGTCTAATTAATGAAAATTGTAGAGTAAAACGAGACTGTTGTATGTCGAATATTATCCCCATCCTATTCTACTACTGTCAACCCACGCCTATGTAACTCATGCATATAGTGTTTCCAGTTGCCATTTTTGTGTATCGTAGGTAGTGTCGGCAAGAGAGGGACCAACACGCCGATTGCTCAGTAGCACCTATAATCCACAAAAATCGCACAGAAAACAACTTCTCTTCCTCGTGTTGAAGCTATTCAATCCACCCAAAATAGAATATTCTCTTCAACCCGGCCTTGTATACACGCTCTGCAGGTTGCAAAATGTCTTCAAACCCTCGACGCCGTAATCCGAACGAAGTCCACTTTGCTTATAACCTCCGAATGGGGCTATTGGTTCGATCTCGGCGTGCGTATTAATCCATATATTACCAGCCTGGAGTTGCTTCGCAATACGAGTAGCTTGCGCTTCATCTCTCGTCCATACAGAAGCACCTAGTCCGGTTTCCGTGTCATTGGCCCTCTGAATGACATCCGATTCATCAGACCATTTCATGAGTGGTAATACGGGGCCTAAGTTGGGTTAGTTTCGATTATTGATAAACAATAAATAGTGCAAGGGGTATACCGACCGAACTGCTCCTCACGAACCACCTTCGCTTCATCAGGTGGGTTGTCAACAATCGTAAGAGGGAGGTAGAAGCCCTTCCTATCGGTTAACGGTTTTGTTCCACCAGTTGCTACCGTGAGTTGATCCTTTTCGACACTCTCGAAGAAGCCCTTTACGCGTTCGTATTGCGCTTCGTTGGTAACGGGCCCCGCATAAGATGTCTCGCCGACCCCTAAGGTGAGAGCTTTGACATGCTCAACTAAGTTCGACAATACCTGATCATATACAGATTCGTGCACGTATAGCCGTTTTATCGACATGCAGATCTGGCCTGCATTGCAGAAAGAAAACAGGGCAATTCTAGGTACAATAGCAGCAGGGTCGACGTCAGCACAAATGATTGCTGGATCGTTGCCGCCTAGCTCGAGCGTCACACGCTTCAGGGTGTCGCTACACGCTTTTAGAATTTTCTTCCCATTGGGAGCTGAGCCTATCGCTTGTTGTTAGTCAACCCACCAGACAAAATGGGAGTGAGATGGAAATCTTACCAGTGAAGTTGATCATGTTGATCCCCGGATGTGTTGTCAACCAGGGACCTAAGTCGTCGTCACCACTCAATGCTTGAAAGACTCCTGGAGGGAAGAAACGAAGCCCCAGCTCGGCCATCTTCAAATTACAGTAAGGAGTAAAAGGAGATGATTTCAGTATGAAGGCATTTCCAGTTAGCAATGCAGGCGCCATCTTCGCACTAGCTATGAAGACAGGGTAATTCCAAGGCACGATCCCCACTGAGACGCCAAGAGGCGAATATCGAGTAACGATCTTGCGCTCTTTCGTATCTTCAATAACCTCCCCGGAGAGAGTCAATTTGGCAACCCCCCGCAGAAAGTGTACTCCAGTACCGATTTCATTTTTGGCCCAGAAGATCTATTTCTAATTAGTCAAATACCGTTGAGTGCTTTTGATTTACTTACAGGCTTACCCTGCTCCTTCACTAGCATTTGGGCGAAATCGTCCGTGTGTGACTCGAGTGCATCGGCGAAGTCCTCAATAGCTTTCTGTCGCTCAGACCAAGGGACTTCCGCCCATACTTTCACCGCTCTCTGAGCAGCCTCGACGGCTTTATTCACATCCTCGAGGGTAGAGACGGGAACATCTGGGTTTTCCCCCAAAGTAGCAGGATTTACGGTACGTCTTGTCGCTCTTGACTCCTCACGCCTCCCATCGATTATGTTATAAAATGCCGTGAAAGCAAGGGGTTCACTAGTCGAAGTAGTCGGCGCCATGGTTATAATTTTCTCTAACTTTTCAAGAATAAGTCTCAACGATGGACTTGAACAACGAGGGACACAAAGAGATTAAATACCTAGCGACAAGCAGCGTCGCCACAGAATAATCAGTAACTATCATCAAGACTACATACTCTCGGGATTTGCCCAAGTCCAAGCCACACTCCTGATTGGCCCCTCAGAGCGGATAGATGTTGGTTGGAACCACAGAAGTAAATCCTCTGGCTTATAGAATTCGCTATAATAGGCATGGACTCCACAGAATAAAGTGGTTAATCGGGTTTGTGTTACTTTGTCGCTATTCGCGAGTCTCTACGTAAGTGGCTATACTAAAGCCACTATAGTAACTGCTTACGACCTAACAATGCGGCGTAGTAGATCGATCGCGGAATTATAGCGGCAGGCCAAGACACATCGTGCTGTTGGAACTGATTATACTATGACATATACTATGCTTAAAATAATCGTCGCAATACCCGAAGTATCATATCAATTCTTCAGCACTTCGCCGAGTCACGATGGCAGGTCGATACGTTTTAATTCTTTAAAGTCTGGAGCAAGTATCTAAAACTCCTGAGCTACACCGCTAGATCGAATGATTGACAATGATCCATATAAATTAATATAGCTAACCCTCCTTTAACCTACCCTTTTCGTAATCCGTATGACAATGGGACGCAGTAAAGTAGGGAGATGGTCGGAGATAGGCGGATTTAATTCCGCCCTCCCTCTCTTAATTCTACGGGTAGCTACCCAACTTGAGTAAACTCAGATGACAGTCGTTACTTTCACTCACTCATGAAACTCAAATTGGGTTATCATTGTATTCCTTCCTCAGTGAACAAAGTATTCAGTTTCAAGCAGTCGTTATTTCCCTGAAGACTCCTGGTAGACGTCTCAAGGGATGATACATGCACAAGAGCCTGCGATCATAAAGTTAGCACCCAACGCGATAATTGTCTCATTTAGTAACTTAATGTGAGCTTTATGGAAACAGAGCCCTGTGAGTCATAAACAAGGTTTCTAAGACTTACGCAACTGCGATGTTATATAGTCATAAAGTTGAAGGGTTCCTTCTACAGTTCTCACAAAAGAAGTCAAATGATCTTGTCGATCATCAGACAGAGTTGATGCTTCATTACTCCAAAGCCATATATAGTTTTATTACGAGATATTATGACACTTGATGCTTCGATTTGGCAGGAGTCGACTAACCAACTCGCATAATCCACGAATATATATTGCACAGAACATTCTTCATCATCCCGACTCTTTTATTACAACCTCAACCACCATACTCTATCCACCAGTCTATATATCCCAAGCACATCCAAATGTCTTTATATCCTTTACTTCCAGAACTCCTCATAGTTTCGTTTCTTCGTACCACATACATGTCAGGCCTCTAATATCCTGCTTACCTAGGTACCTAAGCGGTTGAGGCTCTAGGTGCATTAAATGTGCCACAGAGACATCTCACATCGGAAGGGCACGTACCTATTCCAGGATGCGGATACCTTTGCATGATCTCTGCTGATCCCCAATCACCACAAACTTCATACGAGTTTGCGCCAAACCTCATGCCCCAATCGCTCGATGGGACCCACCACACCGATAATAAGAGCCGCAGCAACTCAAGATGGACAGGCTACAGTCGGAAATTGGCGAGTCAAGTGCCAATCGAAGCTACTACTTGATTTCCAGTGCCCACCGTGGACCTACAGGCTTGCTCCGAGAGCCCACCCATACTCGCACTACGGCGCTTACTAGGTGCACGGCCACAAGCGATATCTGAAATGAGCACGACGATCTACTCCAATGAGAAAGATCTAGGCCAAACACCATTATTAAGCTTGCGGTCGACGCCAAGGTCTTAGGGAAGAGGAAGAGGCCAGCAGCTGCTACTCCTAATCGTAAAATACGAAGGGCATGGGTCGTCCGGTTCAAATGAAGTGATGGGAATAGTGGTTAGGCTGTGAATACATGCGGGAAGTGGAGAGAACGTAAAATGGGATATGAAGCGGTGGCTGTCCCCGCGTCCCTCTGGCCCCAGTGGTTGTGTTGCGTTCAACAATATTTACGACGAAGGCCGGAGAGATTGGTGAAAGGGGGGGCATTGGGGATTGACATAGGAAGCGACATATCGAGTAACTAATGTGTTAGGATCAACCCACTTCACTAGGCTAGTCTGCGTGGTTAATATACAAATTACCCAACACCCAAGTAGTAGTCATTCAAGCAAGAAATGGAAATAAACATTGTATCTTAGTAGTGCCAATAATCTTCCTATATCTTGGGTTTGATATTTGATCCAGGTTGGAAGAGCTTTACATTGTGCTGCTTCAATAATTTTTCTGTCCTCTCCTTCTGCCACTGGATCTTCTGTGTGACCTCCTTACCCCTCTTATTTTCGTTGCGACCCATCTGCTGCAAGTGAACCTCATCCGGTCCGTCAGCAAGCCTCAGTGTCCGGATCTGCGCCCACATGTTTGCGAGAGGTGTGTCTTGACTGACACCAGCACCACCGAAAGCCTGGACGGCGCGATCGATGACCGTCAACGCGGTCTGAGGCACAAGGACCTTGGCTTGTGCAATTTCCCTTAGTGTGGCTTTGGGACCGAGATCATCCATCTTAATAGCAGCATTCAGGACAATGAGACGCGCGGAGTCAATCTCAATACGTGACTTAGCGACCCATTCGAGGATGACACCGTGCTCGCGCAGCTGTTTTCCGAAGGGTGTCTTCTTAGGGTCGTTGATGCGCATAAGCATCCACTCGAGGGCACGCTCGGCGGCGCCGATGCTGCGCATAGCGTGATGGATGCGCCCAGGACCTAATCGGCCTTGGATGATTTCAAAGCCTCGTCCTTCGCCTAGGACTAGATTGCGCGCGGGGACTCGTACGTCGGAGAAGGAAATGTGACCGTGACCGTGCGGCGCATCATCGTATCCGTAGACGTTAAGCATTCGGTGGATGGTGATGCCTTTGGTATTCGCGGGGACCAGGATTACGGATTGCTGTTTGTAAGGATCAGGGTTGGAGGCGTCGGATTTGCCCATTACGACGTAGATCGCACACCGCGGGTCGCCGGCACCGCTGGACCACCATTTCTGCGAGTTATTAGTACGGCGCCTTAAGTGTTATGGGCATAATGAAGACATACGGAGCCGTTCAGGACATATTCATTTCCCTCCTTCTTTATGCTGAGCTGGATGTTTGTGGCATCGGATGAAGCAACATCAGGCTCAGTCATCAGAAAGGCAGATCGGATCTTGCCATCCATCAATGGTTTCAGCCACTCGGCCTTTTGCTCCTCATTTCCGTATTTGGCCAACACCTCCATGTTTCCCGTGTCGGGTGCTGCACAGTTGGTGGCCTCGGAAGCTGTCCTCGACTTGCCCAGCCATTCAGCCATTAATCCATACTCCAAGTTCGTGTAGCCCGGCGATTCCTTGTAGTGGCCTTTGGGCAAGAACATGTTCCATAGTCCTAGCTTCTTCGCCTTGTCTTTCAAATCCTCAATGATGGGAGGATGGTGGTCCCATCGTGCAGAGCCCTCCCCAATCTGAGCTTCTAACACGGGGTCTGCTCTAGTTGGCTTTGGTGTCAGTGATACTCATGATATAAGGAGGACTCATTTGCTCACGGTATGCATTCTTCCTCGACGAATTTGGCTACAACGTCTAAGGTCTTCTTCGCCTTTTCGCTTACGCGATGTTTCACCTAGGAGTTTGGTAAGTGGGAGTACTATGTTGAGTGTACGAAGTTATTGGATCTTACAATATCCGGGATCTTAGAAGACATTTTGATCTGGTATAACTTAATTTGATCGAATTGAATTGATTATACGCAATTCTTAAAATTTAGTTCGAGAAATACATATCCGGGGAAGAAGAAACTGAAATGAATTGAGTTCTAAGTGAGACCTTGTAATAGCTACATTCTAGGAAAGTTCCGAGGCATGTCACTAAATCGGCTTCCCCGTCGACATAAACCGAGGTAGCTTCAGCGGGGTGCATGTAACTACAGCGAGGATTAGCTCCTAAAGCCGATACGAGTTGGGGGGAGCTGAGTACCCCGACCGGGGAGCGGATAGCTATCTGGGTACTTAAGCTAACCCCCTGTAGTTGCTAAAATTATTATGGGGACCCAAAGCTAATCCCATTTAGTGCACTAATGCTACTACCAACATTTTTCCCTATCGAAAACGACACTAACGAGAGCTTAGCCTTGTGCCTTATTCAGAAATTATTTTGAACTTGCCATCATAGTTCTCCCTTCCCATCAACAACCCAAATCCCATCGCCCACCATGTCCGAAGAACGCGAAATCGAGCCAGCCCAATCCACAGAGGTCGCCGCGCCGGCACCCAAAAAAGTCAAAAAGATAATCCGCAAAAAGCGACCCGCGAGACCACAAGTCGATTCCTCCTTCATAACCTCCGAGCCGCCCCCCCAAACCGGTACCATCTTCAACATCTGGTACAACAAATGGTCGGGCGGTGACCGGGAAGACAAATACCTCTCCAAAACCCACGCCAAGGGGCGCTGCAACATCGCCAAAGATAGCGGTTTCACACGAGCCGACAAAGTGCCCGGATCCTACTTCTGCCTCTTCTTCGCGCGCGGCATATGCCCCAAAGGTCAAGACTGCGAGTACCTGCACCGCCTGCCCGGAATCCACGACCTATTCAACCCGAACGTCGATTGTTTCGGGCGCGACAAGCACTCGGATTACCGCGACGATATGGGCGGTGTCGGGAGTTTCATGCGGCAGAATCGTACAATCTACGTCGGACGGATCCACGTCACCGACGACATCGAAGAAATCGTAGCGCGCCATTTCGCAGAATGGGGACAAGTGGAACGGATCCGCGTGTTGAATACTCGCGGGGTGGCGTTTATCACGTATACGAACGAGGCGAACGCACAGTTCGCTAAGGAAGCTATGGCGCATCAGTCTTTGGATCATGAGGAGATTCTGAATGTTAGGTGGGCTACTGCGGATCCGAATCCTATGGCCCAGGCTAGGGAGGCGAGACGGATTGAGGAGCAGGCTGCGGAGGCTATTCGACGAGCACTACCCGAGGCGTTTGTGGCGGAGATCGAGGGTAGGGATCCGGAGGCTAGGAAACGGCGGAAGATTGAGAGTAGTTTTGGTTTGGAGGGATATGAAGCTCCGGATGATATTTACTTCGCGCGTGGCGCACAGGCAGTGAACCCCGTGGGAAGGCAAGGATACGAGTTAGAGCAAGAACAACGGTTGATGATTGAGAATGGTGAAGTGGGTGGTGGCGATGGAAGTACGTCCGCTCCGTTGGCGATGGAAGCACCGCAACAATTTGAACAACAAGGTGGCATATTTTCGAGCAGTACTTTAGCTGCGTTAAAGACAGCGAAAATATCAACAGCACCTAAAGCAAAAGCAACATCGTCGGGACCGTTAGTAGCGTACGGGAGCGATAGTGAAGATGACGAATAATGGACTTCATCACAAAATTGTATCATATCTCAGGCGTTAAAAGAGGAATTGTATATACAAAACAACGCGCAACCACATAGATACCATTGCTCGGCGCGTGTCATGGCATAATAGATCACAAATGACGAGAATAGTCATCCAAATTGCCCTAATGCAACCAACCGCCCTTTTGTGTCTATTGATTCAACTATTAAATATCCTCGAATAAAGCAACTCATGCCTTCCCACCCAAAAATCCATCACCGGTACATTCTGCCCAGCATCCTCCACACGCGTGTCCCACTCCCGATCCACAACCGCCGTGATATAAGTCTGTACTTCCTGTCCAGCAAGCACGCGCTGCGCCTGGTACGGCCCGAATAAACCAGCGCGCACCGCGGCCGAGACTAGTGCTTTTGCGTGGTTTAACATGAATATATACGCCGCTTGGTGTGCCGTAAGTCCGCAGAGACTTGATATCGCGCCGAAGAGAGGCGGTAAATGAGCGGAAACAGGTGGTGGAAGACCTTTTGTGTCTGATCCTTTGCTAGTAGATGAGGTTGAGCGCAGGAGGTCGGAGTAGGTTTTAAGTGTAGAGGATGGAGTCTGCGATGATAGGGAAGATGCGATGCTTTTCTCCCATATCGCTAGTAGCGCACGACCTTGTGCGACGGAAGCCCGTCGGCCGACCCTGCATACAATGGCTGCATCTAGTTCATCGTCGAGATTGGCTGCATTTTCTGATGAGGGGTTGCGGTGTGCGGCGAGGGCAAAAGGAAGGGTTGTGCTGGCGTAAGATGAGAGGGAGAGTGGGAGGAAGGATGAGAATGACGATGATGATGCGGAAGGCGAGGGACCCCGCCGTCGGGTATGCGCTAGATACGATTCTAACCCAGAGCTGAATGCGAAAGAACCTAATGGTAGAGCTGAGTCAGAAAGTAATAGGAGATAATGATGTGCGGATTGAGCTGAGGGTGTAGATGGTATTGATGACGATGATGTGCCATTCTGTTTGGTGGCTGGCTGTGATTTCGTTAGGCGTTTTTTAGCCCTCTGTAGTCGGAGTTCCAAGTCCGAGATTTCATTTTGAAGTGCCTCATAAGACTCTTCGTAGGCCTCATCTGTATTTGAATCCGTCATGTCATTAATTCAAAAGGAGGTATCACCAAAAGAGATGAAAAGTATAAAATATAAGCTAGAGTTTTGTATTTCAGCGCGCATTAGTAGCAAAGTTTAGAAGCAGCCTTTAATGCACGAAAAGAGCTATCTCGATGGCCGGTATCTCGAAATCCCCACCAACGCCTCAAACCTAAATCCCTTTCACCATTAAACCCTCAACTTGCCAGGAGAGTTTACCAGTATCAAATAGAAGGAAAGGAAATAAGCATTAAACTCCCATTCCATGCAACACCATGCAATTCCTTATCATGCCAATTTTCACCTTCGACCATACCATAGTCATGCCTCAATTTCTCGATACGATCCAACCTTACGGATGAATATTCTCCTTGTCGCGGCCGTTGCCACTAATATTCTTTAGTCTCTCGAGTTTCTTCTGCGCCAAGCGAGCTCGGGCTGCAGCCTGTCGATCCACGGGTAATGTACAGCGAGAACTATTCGCCGAACCACTACGCTCGGGCTCCGGGCCACCAAGGCGAGCGAAACGATCTTGCACCAAGTCATAACCGGGTCCTTCGGGTGTATCGTTGCCATAGGATACAGGGCGTGTAGAACGAGGTCGAAGTCTTGAAGAGCGTGGTGTTGCTTTCACGGGAGATACAGGTGCATCAACATCCTTCTCTGTGCGACTTGCACGAGATTCAGTAAGCCTCTGGTCAAGTAACTCCTTCGGAGTAAGATGAGCAACCGAATTTCTCGTTGGTGATCGATTGAGTCTGCTTGAGAACGCTTCAGACATCGCTCGTCCACAGTCAAACGAGGGTAGGGAGGGTTCCGCTTTTGTAACAGATCGAAGTCCACGCGGTTCACGGTCCTCCATAATCAGGTCCTTCTCTCGCTTGTTGGTGGCCGCCTGTTCGTCTTTAGCTTTGTTCATCTGGCTCTTAGTGTCCCTAAAGCCGTTCGACCAATCTGACGGTATCATGCTCTCGGACTTGACCCTGTTGGAGACGGGATTCTTCTTTGGCTCTTCTTTGCCTCCTAGTAATGATTTCTGGGTCAAGTCGAGTGAGAGATCTTCGACGGAAACCGAACGTTTGACGCGGCCTGCGGACTTGAATTCATCATATTTGGAGGGCTTGCCAAGGGACTCGATGCTTGCCATTAAATCGCGTGTTGCTTTACCCGAAGAATTCGCGGCCTCCAGCTCTCTAACGGTCTTCTCTAGCGCAGCAATCTTTTCATTCTTCTCCTGTAAGACCTGTAGAGCCTCAGCGGTTCGGGATTTAGCACCCTTCTTTAGGGACTCATAGTCCCTCTTCATCTTCTGTATTTCTTCATCTTTTTGTTGAGACGTCTCTTTGGCAATACGTAGCTGTGCCTCTAGCTTCTTAGCCACGGCCACATCCGCTGCTCCTCCGTGGGCAGAGTCGTCATGATACTTATTCGCTCGCTCCTCTGCTGCACTCAAGCTAGACCTAAGCTTCTTGTTTTCTTCGCGGAGCTTGTCCATTTGTCTTAGTTCGGCTCGTGCTCGTCGAAGTTCTCGATTGACTTCGAGAATAGTCTGCTCGGTTCTAGGCGAAGTGTCAATATGCCGGCGTTCGGATCGGGTGCGTCTCGACTCGGCTTCGTGGTCTTTGAGAAGAGCTTCAAGATCTTTCACTTGATCTCGATAACGCTGGGCTAAGTGAGTCTGCTTGGCTAGGTCCTTTTCTAGAGAATTGTGCTCATTGCTGCTCCCATGCTTTTTCTTCGCAATCTGAGCAGACATAGCCGCCATATCCTCGTCCATCTTAGCAACCTTTAGTTGTTCTTCCTTCAGTTTCTGAGCCAACTCTATTGCCTCAGCATCCTTTTTCTTAGCATATGACTTAGCCATTGCCTTGTACTTAACAAGTTGCTCAATGTTAGCCATTGCCTCCTCGCGGTATTTATTAAATTCCCCTTTCCAGTATTTTCCCGACTCGGAGTGGGGCTCATTAAGATCAACCGTTGCATCATGATGATTGACATCGTCCTCCCACTCATCGTCGGATTCGTTATCGGCAGGTTTTGAAGACGGCTCCTCCTCTACTGTCCTAGCGGACCTCTTAACCCTTGTAGAACGAGAATTCTCCAATGCCCTTCGTAGGTTTGATGTTTTTCGATGCTGAGCCGAAGCCAAGGGACTGGAGTCAAGAGTACTACTTCCAGCCTTGACATCGTGATTGAACGAAACGCGTTTCCTGCGTGCAGTTCCAGTCCCTCCTGGAGTCAATAGAATACTTGTTGGCTGTTTATTCGGGGATTGCTTAGTCGGGGAAGTCGCGTCTTTCGAAGTTGAGCGGTCGTCCATTTTCTTCGCAGCTTCGGATGAATTCCGATTTCCAAATAGGGCATTCTTGATCGCTCGAGCCGCAAACACAGGCGCTGGCGTGTCTGGTCCCTCGAATTGTGCAGTGTCCTCTGCTGAATATTAGTAAATACAAGCATACCTAGGTAGTAAATATAGTTGCAGCAGAACTTACCGCCACCACCAGACGCGTCGTTTGCGCCGGTCGCGCCTTGGAAACTTCTCTTAATAGCCCACCCGAGCATTGTGCTCGATTTGAGCGTAGCTAGCAAGTTTGTGGCCTTAGAAACACCAAAAAGTTGCTATGTGTGTTGTGGTGGGAGAGAAGAGGAATTGGAATGAATTGGCGAGTAGGAAAAAAAAGAAATAGCCCTGGAAGTAGGTGTGTTGTATGTTTACTTTTGTTCGGGGCAACGCCGCCAATGATAGCTCTATAATTATGGTTAGATACCCCGCTGGAACCACCTGAATGATGCACCTAGCTCAGCTGTACACTAGCACTAATGCAGTACACGTAGAATTTAGTGGACTTTAATGTTTCTACAGCTGCCTAGGTCCAAGTTTATTTTTACACTATCTCCAACTTTATGTGTATCTATGGATTTTAGCATTTACCTAATCTTCATAATGTAGCTATGATTGAAGCTAAATCTTAATAAAAAAACATAACTTTAACATACATTGAAAGAAAACAGTAAATGTAAAACTAAAATTTAGGTACAGGTGTTCAAGTACTAGGTACTTGAATTACAGTATATGATTGGTATTACGTAAGCTAGGGACGTGGGGCAGTCGAGACCCGATGGGCATATAAAAACGGCCCCACCTGTGTGACTGGGCATTCATTCATCAATGAATCACAAGTTCCGATCGTTGGACATACTTCACCGCTGCCACCATTGATATAGAAAAATTTATATGCTAAATATTTGCTGCAAAATGGCCAAAGCTCAGTAGACTGCATACGGCTTCGGCTGTGTGAGTCCATATTCGTTCGTTTTCTTTCTTCGAACGATATACTGAAATATCAAAATGGCTTGGAAGCCACCTCGACAATTGAAAGGGCCTCAGCAGCTCACCACCAAAAACAATGACTCAAGCTATCCCGGGTTGAACCCTATCAGCCCGGAAACTGGCCCCAAAACACAATATATCGACGCCCAAAATGAAGAACTTATGGTCCTACAAGCTATCTATGGTGACGATTACATCGAACATAAAGCTGCCAATAGTGCATGGCAAAAGTCCGAACCCTCTTTCGATATCCGTGTGAAGGCGTTATCAGATGAAGAGGTGGCTGTTACCCTAAGTGTCGTACTCACGGCAACTTATCCGAAGTCGGCACCCCTACTCAGTCTCAAGGATGAAGGACACCTGAAGGAATCTACCGTTTTCAAACTACAGAAGTTCATTGAGACAAAGCCCAAAGCTTTAGTCGCACTAGAACAATCCGAACCTATGATCCATGAACTAGCTCAAGGTCTTCAAGATATTCTCGAAGACGCTGCCCAAGCTAAGGCTCAGGGGTTAGAATTGCCTTCTCTAGAAGAGGAGAGAGCAGCGCACGAAGCTGAATTAGCTAGGCAAGCTCGAGAGCAACAGGAGGAAGATGAGCGTAAGAGACAGGATGCAATAAAGGAAGAGGAGAGAGTAATGCAAGACATGATCCAGCAAGAAGTCGATCGGCAACGAACAAGAGTCAAAGAGTCTAAAAAGAGGAACAAAACTCTAACAACTCCAAATAATCAATTCCAGGACTCTCATATCTTAGAAGCAGGGAAGGTCGAGTTCGATCAAGAATGCGAAGTAACCGATACGGCTGGTAACATCTTTGTGTTTAATGTTGTTACTGGAAGAACCGAGTTTCGTAAGGGACAAGTTGCAACCACATATTCCGTTTGGCCGGAAAGCTCCGGCGGACGAAATGGCCCGACCCTTGCTCTTAAAGAATTTGGACTGCGATCAACTGCTAAGGAATCCGCACAATTCAAAAAGCAATTACAAGTGCTAGAGGGAGAGCTAGAATCCGTCAAGAAATTATCGCATCGCAACGTGCTTGAACTCTTGAATTATCGCATTGATCGAGATCATGGAGAAACTGATCCTGCCTCAATGGTATGGACCGCGCGAATCTTGACCCCACTGGCAGATAAAGGTCCGCTTGAAGAACTTCTAGATCTTGCCGGGCGACTCGACGTTGGAAAGGTTCGTTCATGGACAGCAGACCTTCTCAATGCTTTAGGTCACCTGCATAGCTATGGCATCGTTCACCAAGATATCCACCCTGGCAATGTGCTACTTTTCAGGGAATCAACTGGCGATGTTATTCCGAAGCTCTCGGATGTGGCATTTGAGAGAGAAATGCATAATCTCTGCCGTCGATCTCAGAAAAGTTCTTCGGCCAATTCTGCGAGATCTGCTTACTGGGTACCTCCAGAAATTGCTGGGAGCTCACGACCTCAATTCACCCAAAAGACGGACATTTGGGATCTAGGAGTTGTTTTCTTACAGATGATATTTGGTCTAGACGTATTTCAGAGGTACCAATCTCCGGCCGCTCTAATGGAGTCCCTCTCGTTGTCTAGGCCATTGCATGAATTGGTGGCAAGGTTTTTCAAACTTGACCCTAAGAAACGCCCCCGGGCATTTGAATTGAGCTCCAGTGAGTTTCTAGCTACTGATGCACCTGTCATCATCGATGATTCGTCCGTCGTCTTCTCTCCTTCCCAATCTCTCACTTCTTTGACGCAAGCGATCCCCATGCGACCAAGACATGATTCTTCTGTAAGGGGACCCACTTCGTCCCGATACAGGGAAGATTTCGTTGAAGAGGCTCGTCTAGGTAAGGGCGGTTTCGGTGAAGTTGTTAAGGCGCGAAAGAAGCTTGATGGCCAGATCTATGCAATCAAGAAAATCACACAGCGCTCCCAAGCAAGTCTTACTGAAATATTGAAAGAAGTAAGACTTCTTTCTCAGCTAAGCCACCCTGCAGTTGTCAGGTATTATAACACTTGGTTGGAAGAAATACCCGATATAGCGGATTCAGAAGAGGATGCATCAACCGAAGATTTTGACTCTCGATCCAAAGGCACTGCTTCTCGAGGAATTGATGTCCAATTCGCCACTAGTACTGGAGGCTTGGATTTCATTTCTTCAAGCCATCCTAACATAGAATTTGGTTATGACGAATCAGATATTGAAGAGGAAGAACAATTAGAAGATGATGAAGAAGATGATGACAACGACGATGACGACGAGTCGGATGTCGATTCTGTCGTCCACAATGCTGTGCCATCACCTACAAAGGTTAGGAGTAATCAAAGACATTTCAAAACCGTTATGTATATTTCCATGGAATATTGCGAAAAGAGGGTGAGTCAACGTATCTCGTGTAACTGCTTCAGTGCGAATTTACTGGCCAAGCTGCTAACTCCACTGGCGAGACATTACGAGACCTTATTCAAAGGAGTCTCTGGAAAGAAAGCGAGGAAATCTGGCGCTTATTCCGACAAATCTTGGAAGGTTTAGTTCACATCCACGGATTGAATATAGTCCATCGCGATCTCAAGCCGGAAAATGTTTTCATCGGACTCGGCCCCGACGGAGTCAACAACGTAAAAATCGGCGACTTTGGACTAGCTACTGCTGGCCACTTCGCCGTTGACAAATCCGTCACTGCCAACTTAGATACGAGCGACCTGACAAGAAGCATTGGAACTTCTTATTATGTTGCCCCTGAAGTCCGAAGGACCGGTGGGGGATCATACACCTCTAAAGTCGATGTATGTTATTCTTTTATCTTAACTTTTGAGTTTTTTTTCTTAGCTAACCTGATATTAGATGTATTCCCTTGGGATCATATTCTTCGAGATGTGTTACTATCCCATAATAGGTATGGAAAGGGCAGATAAACTAGGAAAACTAGGCAATTCATCTCTTCTTCCCGATGACTTTCAACCCGGTGATAAGGTCAAATCCGACATCGTTCTATCTTTGGTCACACACGATGTGAAAGAACGTCCAAGCAGTATTGAACTATTACGAAGTGGGAAGCTACCCATCCAGATGGAAAATGAGACGACACGTAGAGCACTCGCGAGTCTCACGAGTTCCGCGTCGCCGTATTACCCAAAAGTCGTTTCGGCATTATTCTCAGCTCCTTTAGAGCCAACGAAGGATTACGCTTGGGACATGTCAACACCCAATCCTACTGCGACAGAATTAATGTTCCAGAGCGCAGTCAAAGAAGAATTGATATCGGTTTTCCGCCGACATGGAGCAGTGGAATCGCCTCGCAGTTCACTCTATCCTCGCTCGCCTCATTACTCTCCGAATCAGGATATCGTCCAGTTATTGGACCAGAATGGGACAGTGGTTCAGTTGCCTTTTGACCTAATGCTAGGTAATGCCAGAGCACTAGCAAAACACACTAACTGTTCAATGGTTCGAAAGTCTTTCACTTTCGGTAACGTTTACCGCGACAGGCGAAATGGCGGCCAACCCCTAATGATTGGTGAGGTCGATTTTGACATTGTCTCTACGGATACCTTGGATCTAGCCTTGAAAGAAGCAGAAGTCATCAAAGTGCTAGATGAAATCATCAACACTTTCCCTTCAACATCGCCTATGTGTTTCCATTTAGGTCATTCGGATCTTTTACAGCTTATTTTCGAGTTTTGCAATGTGGATTTGAGTGCGCGACAGCTAACTGCTGAATCTCTCAGCAAGTTAAATATTCACTCCAATACTTTCCAGAAAATACGAGCCGAACTCCGATCGCCCTTGATCGGAATATCCGCTACGAGTATTGAAGATCTCAAACGATTTGATTTCCGAGGTATGCATTTTATTCCACATTATTAAACGACGATAAGGGAGGTAATTAAACAAATTCTAGATACCCCTGCCAAAGCGTTCGCGAAATTGAAAGGCATCTTTGAGGGAAGCCGGATGTATGAGAAGTTACAGCCAACTCTAGCTCATCTAAAAGATGTAGTCGAGTATACGAAACGCCTCGGTGTTCACGCAAAGATTTACATCAATCCTCTCAGTAGTATCAAAGAGAACTTTTTCTCGGGCGGAATGCTATTCCAATGCCTCTATGACAAGAAATTCAAAGATGTCTTTGCAGCAGGAGGTCGTTATGACAGCCTTATTAAAGCGCATCGCCCGAGGGTAGCCGAAGGCCCCCACGCAGTCGGTTTCAGTCTAGCATGGGAGAAACTTGCACGACTACCCAAGTCTGGAGGAAAAGCTTTCTTAAAGAAACCCGAGGATGAAATGCCTGGGATATTTAATACCAAACGAGTAAGTCCATGACACTCAATTTACTTGAAGTACTTATGGCCAATTATCATCTAGTGCGATGTGCTCGTGGCGAGCTTCGATGCGCACACTCTTCGCACGGCCGGTATTGAAATCCTTTCGATGTTATGGTCTCACGACATTAGTGCCGAGTTAGCACGAGATTCTCGATCTCCAGAAGAACTTACATCCCGAAATCGTGACGAAACCTATTCATGGATCGTCATTATCAAACAGGATAATGTGTTGAAAATCAGGACAATGGATCGCAAAGACATACCCGACGCAGAAATATCAACCTCTCAGCTCCTTCCCTGGCTGCGCGCCGCATTACGTGAACGTGGAACAGCGAGACAATCTGAGGCGATCAGCAATGCGACGCCACTCGCTCAGAACGGAGTTATATCTCCGAACCCCGACCAAGAAGTCCGCGTCCTAGTCGCAGGTACAAGGTCCAAGAAATTCAACCGCCTCGTCGTCATAGAACAAGCCCAAGCCAATGCCGCGGGGCTTCTGCAGACTTTCCTCGACGGACCAATCGCCGCCGTCGAGACATCGGATGTTGTTCTTGAACTCATACAAGACACCACAGCACTCTCGGAACCGGATAGTTGGCGTAAAGCCGAGCAATCAGTAGAAAAGAACGAAAGACGATATGTTCGCGAAATCCACGATATGCTACTTGCATGGCGAACAGCATGGGAGAATAAGGACGGTGGTCGTAACGCTTTCGTCTACAATTTCAGAACGACGAAGTGCATATACTATGACCTTGGCGCCTAAGTTACTTGATAGTCCATATTTGAGTAAGTTGGGCGAAGTCATGCTCGAGTCAAGTTCATGGAGGATATATAGATGGATGTTTAGCCGTACTTAGGTAGATACCCTGAATGGTCATTTCCACTCTTCGTGATTTTCTGAGGTTTTTAGTCTTGATTCGCAGTCGTCTTTTCGCCCGAATTCCACTTGGTGGGGGTACCTTTTCTTTTTCCGTTTCCTCTCTTCCAACCATGTGTGCCGCCAATACGCCCGTGGACGCCACCATATTTAAGTTGAACCGACGGAGTTTCCTTTTGCTATGGCTCCCCGAAAACCAATCGGCATCTTACATCACCACCAACACATTGCTTTCAATATCTACATTAGTTATCACAAGAATTTCTTTTTTTAATTAATTCAGTGTTAAATGGTACAGAGTCGAGATATCCAGCGCAAATTTTATGTAATACCACATGCGTCACGCCATCGCCACGGCGATGAAATCCGTACGCTCTAATATGTAAACCCTAGGTTTTTGGGATTTTCCGTCATCACCACCCAAATCCGGACCACCAACCAATAACCACCGATCACCCTCCAAACAATCCAGCATTATAGGTGGATTATAATGTACATAACGTTCGTTGACGACATGATTAAACTTCCCAAAAGATGAGAAAGTTCTGAATATATCGTTCAAGCTCGGACTCGAACGGGCTGAGGGGTCGGGTCCTGGCTCCTCCGACTAGGTCATCTAGGACCCGTGAGATATCGGAAGTTCGAGTATCGGCGACCATAAGTCCTACGAAGACGATTCGGAGGCGTAATTCTGGAGAAGAGAATCATCGCCAGAGAAGATCCAATCACCCTGGTGGTATCCTGAAGAGTAGAATACAACCCAGGGAAACGGTAGGAGAGTGGCCTAAGACCAGCAGTTGAGCAATGGGTTGAGCAATGCTATAATGGACGCTCAGGGTCGATCCGAGGTTCAACTAACCCTTGCTTCTCGGAATTAGCCATGTCATTTACGATTTTTTTACCTTATGTCCGCTCCCGAATACTTCATTCCACGTTTGCGGTTTCTGGCCGACGACATTGACCTGGTTCTTCTTTCTCTCGTTCTCGGACTCTTTTTCCCTAAATCTCCGGCCGGCCAGTGTGTATTTCTCGAGTTGACCGCGGAACATCTGATACCATTCAGCCTCCTTATCGCCCGTATCCTTATGCACCTTCTGGCGCCTGCTCTTGATTTGTCTGTAGATCGTCTGAGCGCGCTGGCCCTCAATCTCCTCGATGTTGTACTCCAAATTCCAATGATCCCTTTTTTTCAGCTCCTCGGGCCTTGTGACGTAACTGCCGTTAACTATGTTTTTGATAGATAGGACCATGCCAAATAGTTCGGACTCGTCATTCTCGCTGGGGAGGGTTGGTGTTTCCGGAGTCGGCTCCGGGGACGATGGGGTAGGATCTTGAGCACCAGTCGCTTCCTTGTTGTCGGTCTCAATGGTCTCTTTTTCTATGGGCTCTGGTATGGCCCCAGTATCCGCAGTTAGACTGCTATCGTTCGTCTGGCTTTGGTTTCGCTCATCTCTAGAGCGGGCAATAAGCTCGCTTAGTATTCGCTCGAATTCCTTAAGTTTGGACGCATCGTCTAGAGAGTCTTCAACTTCATCTGAGATAGTTCCAGCGTTGATTGTTTGAGTCATCCTCACAATAAGCTCCTTCAGAGGCGACATGTTTGAAGTGTTACTCAGTCCCTTTCTGATTTCTATTTCATCATCCACTTCATCAGATTCGTCGTCGTCTTCCTCCTCTTCGTCTTCCTCTTCTTCCTCTTCTTCTACTTCTCTTACTTCTCTAAGTGTGCCGGCTTGTGGGTTTTCATCGGCAGGAACCGATGTTTCAGGCGCGGTTCCAATACTGCCCCCTTCCACATCGGGTGCAGCCTGCGTGTTCCCATTGGGTTGGTCAGATAACTCTATGGCGTCCTGCGTCCCCTCACTAGAATCACGTTCTTCTGCGGTTTGCTCCGGTCCTAATTTGACGGACTCATTATTTTGTTCTTCTGTCCCCACCCCTGTATCAAATGGTCGTTGCGATACAGCGCCATTCCCTGACCCTTCAGGTTCTCCTATTTGGTTGTCTGGGTAGTCTATATTTACTGGAAGCTCTCCGCCTTGTCGAACTACGGATCCTGATTGTACATCTAGATGGTCACCAGAAATTTGGTCTCCTTCTTCCGGCTGGTTTTCTGTATCCCGAGCGCTAGTGCTTTGATCTCCTTCAATTTCTTCGCGGATTTGGGGTTGATCGGGGTGGGAGCCATCGTCAACAGCCGACTGCCTTTCGCCGGGAGATTCCAATTCTTGTTTCGTAATTCCCTGGGTTGATACTAATGGACTATCATTGGCGATGACAGCTTCTTGTTTGTGCAAACTTGGTGATGATTCTGTTGGTATAGAAGGGTTATTGCTAGTGATAGCAACAAGCAAAGCATCAACATATCCTCGTGCTTCGGTAGAGGACTTAGCATGTAGCAGCCCGCTTTGCTCTAGCGCGTCTTCAATGGCTTCCCGGACGGCGCCGACGCCAACCTCGTCATCACCAACCGCGTCCTCAACCATCTGGCGCACATCCCTCCAAACAGTCAGGCTTGATATTTCTTGAGTCGAAGGGAGTTCTTCATCTTCATCTTCCTCGTCAACTACTTCATTGTTCTCTTTGGTAGATTCCAACGCGGCTTTAGCCTCTTCCCCCGCCATGCCAAGGATGTCCCTTTCAAAGGCCTCAACGGAAGCCTTGCTAGCATCTTGGACCTCTGAAATATCTTCTGGAGTTACTGGCTTGGCAAAAATATACATAAATGGCGTGTTTATTGATGTCCTTGTCTCAAAATGTAGTCGTAGAGACCGCTCGGGGAATTTCGCGGATACCCGGTTTAGGATATCATTGAGTAGCGAAAGGCTAAGCTTGAACTCGCGGTCGCCAAGGGTCAGGTTAGAAGTCCCATGCAATGCAAGGTCCATCTCCTCCAGAGGGATATATTGAAACCCAAATATGCGTTGAGTGTTATGGAATGCAACGAATATCCCATCCATTCGGCCCATGCGGACTTGGAGAGAGTATTTCAAGAAAGCGGAACGGATCATGTCGTAGTATTCCCTTTCGAACGACTCCCATTGGCCGAACCGATTACGAATCTCATAGCCGAGGCCTTTGTGAAATCCTTTGGCATCCATTCGGATAGATACAACTGCGCGTGTCTTGAGGTCAAACATGCCAGTTCCAGGCACTCTATCATCGTGGGCATCCAGTTGAGAGCGCATCATGAAGTCCTTGAAACCGGTATAGTGAAAGGCTTCTTCGGCATTCCGTTCTTCTTCGGTGATCTGGTCAGAATTGGTATGTCGATATCTCTCATACTCCTCCTTAGAAAGTGTAAGAAGCTTTTCCATGGATTTCCCAAGCATGCTCAATATATTGGCCGTGTCATATTCCTTGTCGGCATCAATGGCATAGGTACCATCCTTCCAATGCAAGAATACCGCGGCTGGACCTCGCATAATCCGTGTAAATTGAAGCGAGTCGGGAATAAACGTCCTTGATAACATAGTTGTGTTGATATTTCTCCACGATGATAAAAGGTAGTGGAAATGGGAAAGCATGGATGTCATACTCGATGTTGACCCTGTGTATTTTTTTCCGTGCTCTTTCGCAATGCCAATTAAGGTGGAATCTTTCGAAGAGGTCACATACTGTTTTAGGGCGTTGAAGTCGAATTCCTGGATTGGCATAATTTCTGAGAGATATGGGTCGAAATTATAAACGCGTGACCGGGGATCTTGAAGGAAATACACTCCAGGATTAAATAAAACCCTTTCCAAGCCATACGACAACGAAGATACCTGAGGCTGGGTAATTTGAATAGGACTCAACAGCATCCCTTTGGAATCTAATTTGTTGATGGTTATGGGGGTATCATTTGGTTGCGTTGGTTCTGTTTGAGTTTGTGTTGACGGTGGCTTTTGTTCTGGTAATGGTTTAGGCGGCGGGTGTACGAAATTGCCATAATTGATATCGTTGATACCGCGGCCGTCGGCAAAAGCTTGTACTGATTCTCTAAGATCTTGAATGGAGCCGTAATTTTTGGATAAAAACTCCTTAACGGACAATGTAGCTTTTTGTTCGGTTGAACCTCCCGTAGCTGACTGCTTCTTCGAGGTTGATTGTTTCGACTTTGCAAGTTGCGCTTGTCTTCTCTTCGCAACTCTACCAGGCCGAGCCCTAGGTTTAGTATCGGTAGACTCCGAGACCTTCTCCACGCTCTCCTTCTTTAGGGAATCTTTAGATTTTTGAGACTTTGGAGGCTCGGCTTTTGCGGTTTTCGCCTTAGGCTTAGGCTTAGCTTTCGCCTTCTCCCTTTCCTTTTCTTGGGGCTTAGTCTTAGCCTTGGTTGTATCTTCATGGTCGTCCTTAGTGCTTGGTTTGCTTATTTGATCGACACTGATGTTCTGGGCTGCAAGAACATTTTTCAATGCTTCAAGTGCGCCTTCCAGAACCTTTAATTGTCGTTCATGTCCAGGTTTGGCGGCGGGAGGGGAATTTTTCGCTTCTACCTTCTTCTTTTTCTTTTTCTTCTTGGATGTTTTTTGAGTGGGAGAGTCTATATTATTGGATTCATCTGTGGGGGGTATCGTCGGGTTGAGGGTTGGTTCGACAGTTGGCTCGGTCGTTGATTCGGTCGCTGGTGTAGCTCGGCGGGATGTGCTTGACAGAGATCGGACATGATGACTGGAGATTGAGGCATGGCGGAGCGCAGATAATCTTGCCGGGTGTGAGGCGGCATAACATGAAGCGCATATATAAGAAGAACCAATACGATATGCGCTACAACTTCTCAGTCGAAGCATTGCAAACTTTATGTTCTAAACTTCTTATAAATTGAAGTATGAACTATGTATGTAGTAGTAACGTTTACAATTCTTCAATTCTTAAGACACTTTAAAAAAATTTCTGGATCTTAGAGAGCCGTACTTTCTACAATTTTAGCTACCCCTCCTATCGATAAGAGTAGTGCCGACGATAAGATAGTCTTCAGTGGAGTCCCTGAGTACATACATGTACCTAGGCCGGGTACATGGCAGCTTAAACTTCTCACCAGCTTCATTGGTCAATCCATTTCTGCCATCTCTGATAAATACAAACCAATTCTTTAACTTTTCATATAAGTCTTCATAATAGGAAGGAAAGGGGTCCGAATATTATAGATAAATATCTACTTAACCGTTGACTAACTTTTACCACCATGCCGAGATGCCGAGGTGACGGTACATGTTGGTTATAAGATCCCCATGTCATGGCTATCGACGTAATACTAGAAAATGGCTTTCCCTAATAAGCCAATCGCCCACCTTCTAGGGTCTAACGGTGAGTCCATTCCCAATCACAACCACAAGCCAACCCAATTTCTAATTTCCTCATAGGGCCCGTTCATGCACTCGCGTATTCCGCATCCCCGGGGACTTACATCCTAGCTGGGTCCGCGGACCGCTCTATACGGCTGTACAACCCCCAGCCTAGCACATCCATTCACCCCTCCTCCTCATCATCCTACATCACCCAGCAACACAACACCCCTCAATCACAAATTCCCGAGGGCCGTCTAATACAAACGTACTCTGCACACGGATACGAAGTCCTATCCCTAACCGTGTCATCCGACAACGCACGCTTCGCCTCCTCAGGCGGGGACCGCACCGTCTTCCTCTGGGACGTAGCAACAGCGCAAACCCTGCGCCGATTCAGCGGACACAGCGCACGCGTGAACTGCGTATCCTTCGGCGGCGACGACGACGCGTTAGTCATAAGCGGGAGCTTGGACACCACAATCCGCATCTGGGACGCAAAAGGCGGATCCCCGACTAAACCCATACAGACACTTTCCGAAGCCCGGGACGCGGTTACCGCGATCGTAGTCCGTGGTTCGGAGATCGTGGCGGGGAGTGTGGATGGACGGGTTAGGACGTATGATGTTAGGATGGGGAGGTGTGTGACGGATGTTATTGGCCCGAGTGTGACTAGCTTGTGTCTTACGAGGGATGGGAAAGCTATGCTGGTCGGTGGGCTGGATAATAAAGTCCGGTTGATGGATCGTGAAAGTGGAGGGTGTCTTAAGATGTATGCGGATCCAGGGTGGAAGAACGAGGATTTACGGGTGCAGTCTATATTAGGAGGAAAGGAACAATATGTTCTAGTGGGAGACGAAATGACAGCCACACCGGGTCGAAATGGTGAGGGAAGGATATGGGCTTGGGATGTCCTGAGCGGAGAGTTAAAAGCTAAAGTGACTGTCCCATGGGGACCTACCGGTCACGAACCGAAGAAACTTATCGGCAAAGACGGGAAGCCGAAAGAACGCAGCAATGTTCTAAGCTGTCTTGCCTGGAGGGAAAATGGCTTCGGAGATCAATATTGCGTTAGTGGCACATCTGGCATTGTCACAGTATTTGGATATCATTGATAAACAAGCCCTCCTTAGAATTTTTTAATACTTAAGATAGGGGTATTCTGGCATTGCAAAGCAATATCCAGAGAATGCCAAATGTCAAATTTGACACCAAAGTACAGGTGATCCTCAACATCGGATCTGCGCAACAGTTGCTGGCTAATTATACCATGTCGACTTGAGAAAAACAGCCCCCCCCCCCCCCCCCCTCTATCAAGTGACCCCGTTCTACGCCAAAAACACCGCATTGCCGCCATGCTATCCATATCCATTATGGGATTTTCCCGACATTAGTACAGCATCAGACGATATCGTGCAGCCGTCGCGTGTTATCTATTCTAGATTTTATCTAGCTAGATCGCGTTTAACCCATTCCTACGTACTTGAACCAGTTGGGTCGGCAGTCCTCCTTATTTAACCAAGCCTCACCATCAGTGAGACGGCCGGTAACACAGCCTTTGCACTTCGGCGAGTTGGGACAGTTGAAGAAGGGGATGTGCTGATATCCGATATCACGGAACCTAAAAAATAGTTAGTATGTTAAATCAAAGACATGAAGATTTGACAAGGCAAACTAACCAGTGAATCTTGGTCTTGTCTTCAAATAGACCAAGTGCTATACTGTGCACCGGTGCATCACCCCATCTTTCATAGAAGAAGCCACCAGCACGATCCAAATGGTTGAAATAGTCTTCATACGCTTGGCTGCGCCAGAAGTCCATGCTCGCAACCTCGAAGTTACTCCAGAAGTGGCATGTGGAATATCCATTCGCCTGATCCCAGTGCACAGGTCGACGCTCCTTGTCAGTCAACCACTGTTCAGCTCTGTTATCGTGTAGGTATTCGGGGTGCTGGGCAATAAATTTGCTCGTCTCGGGCCATAGAGTGGTAATCGAAGCGGGAGCATCATAGAGTGTAATAGTAAACCCGTAGGTTTTGTTGTTATCGTACATATAACGGAATACATCGTAGTCCACCTCGCAGAAGAAGTGGACATTGGGTTCGACACGCCAGTAGTATTGCATTTCGGCAAGTGCGGGATGCTTGTAGAAGAGACCACTGTTCCATCGGCACATTTGGTGGTAAGAAATCTTGTCGGCATATTGAATGTCGTGATCCTCGAGAATCTTGACGGATTCTTTGTATAAGTCGTCGTTGATCCAGGATGGGACATCCCAGTGCTCGTTCGGGATGAGTTCTATAGCTTCGAGTCAATAGGGATTCAAAATAAATCCACATTTGAACCTACCATATCGTGTTTCCGCTTTCGTCGCCGCTCGCGTCTTTCGCTTGAACTCCTCGGAGAAAGGCTTATCGTTGAAAAATGTCCAGGGGTAGTTGAACTTCGAATTCCATGTTCGCTCCAAATCTTGCATTGACTGTAACATCCCATCCAATTCTTCATTTCGCACTAGTGCCAAAATTGTCGCATTTATTCTCGAGGTACCGGCGATTCCAGGGGCATAACTGCCCTCGTTAGCGCGTACGAGCGTACCAACGGGTTCTCCTGTGACTGTTCAATAGTTAGGCGTATCCTACCAAGTTAGAGTATAGGAACGGCAGCACTCACGATCCAGATTGGGATCTCGTTCAATGGTACCACGAAAGTCGGCATTAGGCTCAAAACCTGTCTCGGGACGCCATATCGTATAGAGGAAGAAACAACAAACTAGAAAAACAGCAAGCGCAAGAGCGCGGACGGGCCTTGCGATGGCCATGGTGGTAGTTATTGTTGCCTGGTCATCAACTTTTTTTGCTTGGAGGATCTAAAACATCAAAAATTTATTTCTAAATCGAGGGATGATGTCAAGAGGAATAGGGATGGATGATCGTCGTCGTACACTAGTCGTGAGCGGAGTCAGGAACGCAGTCGTGATACAGTGAATAAAAAAAGGAATAATAAATTAATTAAAATTCGTCAGAAATGTACAGATGAATTGAAGTTTTCATCTGGACTGGAGTGTCCTTTAGCGATGGTGCCTATTTGATTTATTTGATTTGATAACCAACAACCAACTCAGCAAGCAATATTATTATCGGGAAAAGGTTAGAAGCAAATCGGAAAATCTTACAGTTGCTGTGCCCTGTTCCAGGCCCCCCCCAACGCTTAATTCTTAGCGTAAAAAACAGGGGTCGATAAGCAGGTGGAAAGGGGGATTTCACCGTGTGGACGACACGTGATATAACGGAGAGATTGACTTTTCGCACTGTATTAGCCACAATGTCATCCCTGTAATTTACAAGGACGCGTCAACGCGTATCAAATACAAGTTTTAAGCTAGATTTTAATTGGGTAGATTCTTACGGGTACTTGCATGTGTGAAAGAGCAATAGATTCCCCATTTATTTCGTGATACCCATCCATTTCATATACCAAAGCCAGAGCCTTGTCAACGAACAACAATCTGGTGATGGTAAAACAAGAAAATAATCATGGCGCATGCCGCTACCCTAAGCGCATTGACAGCAGAGTTAGTTGAAGTTATCACCTCAACTTCAAGTCAGGTAAACATCTCACTTTCATTTTCCAGCTTAGCCGGATAACACTTACACATACAAACAGTCAGATCCCGGACGTTTCAACGTTCTCAGAGAATCAAGTTTGCGAAGGCTTAATCAGCACAATTTCTTACGTACGAATCAGTTCGACGTTGAGGAGAATCTTAATGGCTTTGAAGAACATTTTCGCGTCGCAAATAAAGACAGTCTAGCCGATGCGTTAAGGGAGCGTTTAGATGCTCTGCCACGTATCTCCAATAAATGGACCCCTGAAGTTCTTCATCTTCTACTACAACTCGTCGATCAACCCATCAAAAAGTCAAAACTTGCCGACCTCAAGTTGCTGACAGAGCCCGATGGGACTTCTGGATCATCTCTCACATGGGACGAAATTGCTAAAGAAGAAGGCTGGGACCAAGACCGCGATATATGGAAGAACGTTAAGTTCGGTGGAGATAGCTCTGACGATGAATATTTTGAAGGTACTTCCGATATATCAGAGGCCGAGGTCACTTCAGCATCAACAGTCGATGCGCAAGATGAAGAGTTTCCCGGAAACTTGCTCGTCGATTCCCATGATGAGAATGGACTAAACCAAATTCGAGAAACTCAGGTCTGGAGGAATGCTGTTCCGCCAAAAGATGCGGCCGGTAGACCTCAGAAGATTACTATATCGGAGTTTCACGTAGTACGCGAAATGCTTTGGATGTTGAATGGTCTGGAAAACACCCTATTCGACGCGCAAGGGACTCCGTCACTGCAGTTTCAGATGAAACATTCCTCTTGGGAAGTTTACAAAGCGTTGCTAGGTTCCTTTAGTGAAGCAAATCGGCAACTATCTATTATTAGAGGGTTCGTAAAGCAATCTCAGCAAGTACCGCTGTTGCAAGCATTCCAGGAAGCTGTTGAGAAACGTTTACGATCATTTAACAACAAAATCTCAGATCTACAAGCCCGGTATGTAGACATCCAACGAGATGTTGTCATCAGTCTAGCAAGAGTTCTAGATAACGTAAGACCGCATATACAACCTCTCGCATGCCTTTCGGAGCTTATTCAACAGCTTCAACATTCCAAATATTCCCATCCGTTTCATTATCTAGAACTCCTTTTTGAAACCGCCGAAGTCGCACAGTTAGAAGGAAGCGAAGTGATATATGAATTTATTGCTACGCTGTTCTTCGAATGTTTCCAGGTCTATCTTCGATCAATCCGCCTTTGGATGGAATTTGGAGAACTCATTGAAGGAGATAAAACCTTCTTCATTTCGAGCTCGTCCAGCCAGGTACCCATGAGCCAAGTTTGGACAGATCAATTCAACTTACGAAAGACTGCTGATGGCAAGCTATATGTACCACGGTTTCTGCAGCCAGCAGCGTCGAAGATACTCACTACCGGCAAGAGTGTTGTCGTCCTTAAGCTCCTTGGGAAATATCGACCAATCAACAGTCATATTCCAGAACCACCTCTGAGTGTTAATGAAGGTTTTGCATCTTCTTATGGCATATTCACCCCATTCTCTGAAGTTTTTAATGACGTCTTCGAGAGGTGGATGGAGAGTAAACATCACGCTGCTTCCACAATCCTTCAACGGGCCCTATTTGAGTCCTGTGGTCTCTGGTCAATCTTAGATGCTCTCCAGCAAGTATATCTCATGTCTAACGGGTCACGATCCGATCTCTTCGCTTTTGCGATATTCAACAATATTGATATTATCAATGAAAATTGGCACGACCGCTTCAATCTAACGGCATTGTCCCACGAAGCGTTCAATAACATTTCTAATGCTCATCGGATAGGTGCTAGTGTATCCTCAGATGGCCTGACAGACAATGTAAAGGACGTTCGAAAATCCGTTCGGAAAGGTCTGTCATCGGTTCGGATCGTCTACCGTCTATCCTGGCCTATTCGTATCGTCTTATCGAACGAAAGCCTTGCCCAGTATCAAGCAGCCTTCACATTTTTGTTGCAACTCCGACGAGCCACTTACGTCCTTCACAAGTATCGCCTAGTGTCTGACGGCATTGCGGGTACGGCAAATACGTCATCGGGTCAATCAACTTACTATGGGCTACGGACAAGACTCCTTTGGTTGTGTAACACACTTCATTCCTATCTTGGCACGATAGTCCTAGGACCACTAACAGCCGAACTTCAAAAGAATATCCAACAAGCAGAAGACGTAGCTGCAATGATCGCAACGCACAATGCGTTTGCGAAACAAATGGTCAGTGAAATGTGCCTAGGTAGAAAGCTTGATCCTATTCGAGAATGTATTCTGGACATGTTCGATCTTGCGATTAGGCTTCAGGATGCACGCCAATCAGAGTCCGAAAGGGAGCAAGAAGAGGAACAGGAATTATCACGATTATCAGTGATGTCGTCATCTGTGAGACATGAGAGCCGGAGATACGTCGAGACAGGTGAAGAGGAAGACGAAACATTCCTCCTCGATCAGGACAGAACTCTAATGCTGCAGGATACAGAGAAGACATTCCCTGAAGTTCTTAGAGAAATCCGAGCAGACTATGATCGTCACCTAAAATTCATTGCAAGTGGCTTGGGGGGGGTTGCGAGAGCTAGCAGTGACGCCGCCGCAGGAAAATGGGGCCTATTAGCAGAAATGCTCGAAGTCGGAATCCAGGAACGTCGGTAAAGCAGTAGGCGCAAGATTGGCAAGTTTACCCTCACCAACAGCCCAAGGAAAAAATAATAAATAAGCTCATAACATCATTCACATACGATTTTTCTTTATGTGCAACGTAGGCCACACCGAAGTCGATCAGAGAGTTACGTAGATCCCATCTCAAACCCTTGTAGACCGGATGTCCAATGACGTTCCCCTGGATTATTATGTTTGGGTCGACCGAGATTCCCAACGAGTAGCTAGTAAATCCGCATTTTGAATCTCTGGGAAATCGACATAATCCCGCATTGAATTAATGAATTTGCTTCCTTCGATGGAACAGCATTTTTTCAGATTCCATTTGAAAATTATGACACTGATATGACGAGGTCATCCCCAGTTAGCTCATTCAACGAAAGCCAATTTTGGTCTAACGCAGCGTCGGTGGCTTGCAACTTTAAAGAGGGAAACCCGAATTGAATTAGGGCTCCAGCACCTGGGAATTCATTGAACGGAGTTAGCCCCGCTTTAGTGGTTCTTGGCATGCATCATACCCGCATCCACGGGGAAGTGGAGCAACCAAGAACTTTGAATCTGGTGTTACGTACCTGACCTAAGCGTCCCAATTTCAGCCGCAGCCAAGGTAGGCCTCAGCCTCAGTAATAAACAATAAAAGTGAAAAACTGAGGCTGAGTCATACACGTGACTAACGCTACGTCTCCACTTCTATCCATTTCGCTGAGTTACAGCGCTGCGGTCACTCCTAGCAGATACCTATTCAGACACCATATCGCATCGTGATCTCCGACATTTCAGCACCATCGCCGTAGGACATTTCATATTGAACCCCGACCGCCAATAACGACATTTCCAATAAGGCCAATAGTACCATTCATCTTCAAAAATAAGGAGCCATGTCTGAACGAAAAGTTCTCAGTATGTTTTCCCCGATTGAGCTACCCGAGCCTTGCCTTATCAGCCCATGATACTAACTGCGCATAGCCAAGTACTACCCGCCGGACTTCGATCCGAGCCAGATCAAGAGGGTGAAGGGCCCCAAAAACGCCGGTCCAAAAGTTCAGACTGTCCGTCTTGCGGCACCATTGGTATGTGAAGCATGTCGAGGCTCTCATTGATGCTCTCCTACCCCCTAAATATTTCACTATTTACAGAGGCTAACATATTCGCAGTATGTCGAATCTCACAATTATAACCTTATGGAATAATTTGGATGTTAATATATAATAGTTCGATGAAATGCACAACATGCGGAGGTAGGTCATATACTGTACTCATATTACTATACCATATACTAACTCCTGATTTCATATAGAATACATCTACAAGGGTAGAAGGGTATGATACATACGTCAAATTTTATTACATCCCGACCTACTAACACCCGGATTCAGTTCAACGCACGAAAAGAAACCCCCCTAGACGAGAAATACTTGGGAATCCAGATATTCAGGTACGTACCGATTTTTCTTACCCTCTGCCTCTTACCATAGACCATGACAGCTAACTTGTTGATCAGTATGTACCAGCTCCATCAGCATCATGTCTATCTATATGTAGGACTAACACATAACAGGATTCTACATCCGATGTACAAGATGTAGCGGCCAAATCACATTCAAGACCGACCCTAAGAACCAAGACTACGTATGCTTCCTTCCTTACTCTCCAGACCCATCCTCTTACTAACTTCCCCACAGACCTGCGAAAGCGGCGCGAAACGCAGCACAGAGCCCTGGCGCGTCGGCGTCGACGAGACCGACGAAGAACGTCTCGACCGGTTAGAGAAAGAGGAGGAAGAACGCAACGCGATGGTGGAGCTCGAAGCCAAGACCGTGGATGCGAAGCGCGAAATGGCGGTCGCAGATGCGCTCGATGAGATACGGACCCGAAACGCGAGGATGGAACGCGCAAATCAGGAAGGCGTGGAGGTAGGCGTTGCTTTACCGACTGATAACGAAGCCGAGCGACAGGAGAGAGAAGATGCGGAGGCTGCGAGGAAGGCATTCGAGTTCGCACGGCAGGTTGATAAGATGACGGAGGAGGTGCTAGATGATGGGTTTGATGATGGGGCGTCTGCTTCGACGTCGGGTTCGGTATCGGCGCTGACGCCGCAGGCTAATGGGAGTGGGAGTGGCAGCGGTACTGCACCGCCCAAGCCGCAATCTGCAACTGCATCACCGGCACCGGCACCGGCACCAGCACCAGCACCAGCACCAGCACCCAGTACGGCATCGACGGATATGCCGCCACCGTCGTTTAAGAGGGTGGTCAAGAAAAAGAAAGATCACGCGGCGCTGCTAGGCATCAAGAAAAAGCCTTCTCTTGTATAAGCCACCCAACACTCCAGTAATTTAGCATCATCGCGAGGAGTCATAGCATAGCATGGGTTTAGGTTGGCGTACGGAATGACTCATCGATCGATTAATAGCGTAGCAAAGTGACACATTTTATAAATTGTGAAGAGAATGATACCTTCATGATGTCGCAGTATAATTAAGTTATTACAAAAATCGAAATTTTGAGACAACAAATAAAAAGATAAATGTTACACGTAAAATTCGAGACCCTGCCGATGACGTCGCGCAGGCAGCTGAAAAGGCAAAATCCGGCTTACATATTATTTTTAAACTTTTCCAACTCCACATAATTTCTCGATCCATGGTTGTTCAGCTGGAACGCGTGTTATGACATATTGTCGGTCAGTATCCAGAAGTCGGGGACTTAATTCCACTTGTTTGTTGTAAGTTAGGCAATGAATTGAAGCGTAAATAATCCAGTGTCACATTGATGGTCAAATCTAAAAGTTCCATTTATAAAATGCAGATAAGTAAGGTCAGTGTTCGTGGTCACAAGTCAAAATAAACAAAAGCACTGACATATCACGTAAGTAGCCAATAACAAAATTTTGAGATGATTGTCTAGATCGTCCCGAATGTGGGATCGTCGTAGATTTATTTCCTCATACGACTGTAGCTGATCAGCCGGTTGCTAGGCCTTAACTTCTCGTTATGTTACCTCTCCCCAATTATGCTCCTGTCGCCATGTTACTTAACGCCCTCGCTATAATGTTGCTTGCGAACTTCCCTCGTCATCGCTTTCCGTGTAAATGTTGTGTGTAACGCCAGTTGACCTATTGCTCCCCTTTCGCTAAAACGAGGATGCTTGGTCACGAAATTGACCAGTTGACTCCGGTATGTTGTAAGATCCCAATTCATGTGCATGTATATCCTTTGCTTTCCACAGCAATTCCTGAAAAACGCCTGGCGTAGTAAATGTAGCTTTCGCAGCTCACGGCGTGCGGAGCCGGTGATAGTTTCGTGTTTTTCGTCACCGATAACTCGACACGGCTCAGCATAAGTGTTTTTGTTGCTTAAATGTTGTAAAATATATCATCCCCCCCTCTTGATTTGGTTATTCAATCATGATATTCGACTTCCGGTGGACTCGACGAGGTTGCTGATGTGCCATTAGGTAGACTGGGGATCTGAGAACGCGACGACCGACCACCTCGCCGACTTGTGGGCATGTTGGCTGCTTCCATTTGTCTCTTGGTGTGTTGGTGCATTGATCGCGAATAACTTGCCAGATCTACTGGCGGGGGAAGTGAAGCCGGCATGGAAATAGTGTAAGAGCCTCTCGACGACATTGCGAATAGTAAATGATAATGAAGTCTGGTAGAAGAATATGGTTGTAAAGCCGGCTTGATTCTCACCAGGTAAAATGGCGAATAATTGGTAGATAAAAACCGAATCCAGTTCAAATTCTGTGGTATCTTGGAAATGCTTTGTTGTGAAGCGAGTGACAAGAGAAAGAGGATGTGAGATCCGAAAGGTTTTATATGTGAAGACGACGATGGGGAAAAGAGGGGACGGGAGATTGGAGCTAGAAGCGGGCTCTGACTTCAGAGGACTGCAGGGCCGCGGCTAGACCTCAAAGAAGGTGTCGGGGTGGCTTTGATAGAGCTAGACAGAGGGTCTGGTTAGTAGTACCAGAAGTACTAGTAGTGCTACCGTACAGCAGGTAGTCTGCTGTTAGTCCGCTGTAAACTGCTACCAACTACTGCATACAAACGCACTGGGAGTTGCTCAAGGAGTGAGATATGCGTTGATCGACATGTAGGGACGCCGTTTTAGTGCCGGGATGGGAAACCAAGCCTGCAGGCTATGTCGTAAGTCAGAAGCGATGAACCAATGACCGGGCTAGGGCCATTAGACTTTCGCCACGAGCAAGGCTGATGATGCATTGTGCTCTCTGGGCTTGCAGAGAATCGCTACTACGTAGTTAATTGACCATGCTAGCCATGCTACCACACCATCGAATTGGGAGGGCGGAAAGGGGGTAGCGTGTAGAATTGGCATGTCATTATGCATTCGGTCACCGCTAGCGGGCGAGAGGGTGTACACTCGCACAAAGAGAGCGGAGAGCTGGGGAGAGGGTCGGGTCATGTCCTCCCCCGTGAAAGACTCCACTCGGGACCAATGAGAAAGACCCTGGCGATCTTGTCGAGACCTTTGAAGTCATCGCATATGTCATTCTATTGGCCACCACCTAGGTGGTCTACCGAGACGGTGGAGGCCACGGCGGAAACGACCTGCGTTAGCACCGTACTGTGAGTTATATGTATGTAGTCATGATCCTAGTTTGCCGATGTTCGCGGCGTTTACGACAGATATCGGCTTCATTCATCAGATCTCTGCATCTGTATCTCTTCAACTCAATCAAATTGAAAGGTTGTAAATACGATGATAACAAATAAATCGCTAAGCGTTCGTGAAATCGAAAAACACCATCAAATCTGACGTCATAAGACCGCTGCATTAAGATTCCGGCGAGAGTAATAAGCACGTGCAGGGGTAGCGGTACCGGAGTATTTGGGTACGTACCGGTGGTCTGTGAGTCTTAAAAGAACAACTCACAATGTACCGAAGGTACTTCGTATTCCTGCTTAATTTGCATGTGCTCCACGTACCTCATGATCGATGAGGGAATCGTAATGATCAAAGTCCACAAACAATTGAAGTTTGTTTGGTCTGTTGCTTGCCTTCCCAATACTCTGCATATTCAAAAGAGATGTGTAACCTTTGTTTCCAGAAAAAGTTGGTGTATCATGTACACAGTGTCTTGTATTGTGTTGAGCGGTGGGCTTCGGCGTAAATATGCAGAGACAACAAAAGCAAAGTCATCTCGAGGACCCCTAAAATCCGGGAAATTTCGCAGTAACACTTTCTGGGCCCTCTCTGCCTTGCTGTTGGCTCGATATCAGAACTTCACACAATTAGTGCGGATCGAGAGTCGGTAGATGAGAGGGCAATTCAACTTGTACCATGGCATTTTTCACCTTTTGCCATTCTTGGAGCTACATTGAGCATCCTCTTCGAAACAGGACTTGGCTATGCATGTTTCACGCATTGTGCTCTGCTAGAAACGCCACCCGTTTGGCCTGAGAAGATGTTGGTAGGTTTCCATTGTGTTGAGATGCGTGCAGGCAAGGCGGTATGCAAGGCAACGAAGGGTCCGAAAAGTACCAGTACCCGATGAGCCTAGGCGTAGCACTGTGCATGGCAACGGCAAATCTGCATCTTGTATTACTGTAGCGCTAGGATTGGATCCGAGTCAAGGGAAATGCACGTCAGTCGAGTACAGCCAAACAAAAGAGTCTGCCGATATTGAACAAGCAAATTAGGGGTCCAAGGGGTACAGTAGATCTGCCTTGCGGATACCAAGACTGATTAAGGTAGCGAATGATCCTTGAAAAGACGTGTCTAGACGCCGTGGGAATGGTGATAGGTTACGTCTGTTGTATGAATGTAGATTAATAGGTGGTGTTACCTACTACGCTGCTACACTTGCAGAAGTTGTGCAGAAGATGCTACATGGCAAACATAATATGATAACAACAAGCTAATCTGATAATCCAGGGAATAAATTTAAGTTATCCACCTATGTCATAAGCTTAAGAGATCATTTATTGAGATTGAGTTAAACTTTCTTCTTAAAGTCGTTTTAGGAAGTCATATTCTTCATTCCTCCCCTAATTTGTTAAGCATATGAGGTCAGAGTTGGTCCGTGCATAAAGATCCCCTGTGGACGACAAGACTAATGATGTCAGCTACAAACTCAACTTTACTTCTTACCCATTCACTTCTCTCTTTTTCTTCGACCACGTATCTACGTATTATCTAAATCCTTCCTATTCGTACGAAAATACCCATGCCTTCCATTGCGTACATAATGTAGCTAACTCAGCTAGCCATTGTGCTGGAGAGGCTCTGCCCTACCACACAACAATCCCCACAAATTACCCAAGCCAAGTCAATTCCGAGAGGCAAGAAGGAATCAAAGGGTTGCATACGCCCGATTTAGAAGAGTCTCGATTCGAGTTGCTCGCCACTGAATCAGCCTTCCCAAACCTTCACTATGGGAGCTGACCTCACTTATCTCTAGCGATCCCACGTGATGACGAAACCTCGGGCAAATCATAACGTCGATGCTCGATGACTCCCTACATGGTTCAGAATCAGTCATTATTCAGGCGTACACCCTTTCTTTTCAACACACCCTTCTCCTCATCCGATGATGTGCGAACTGCTAGAATTCCGCTTGTGTTTAACCTCAACCACCCATGACATATGGATCTGACATCAGACTAGGTTCTAAATTGCTTACCTGCACCGCTTTGTTGGTCGTATTAGACTATTAAGTTTGGGGTTGTTGTCAACAGGCAAGTTACTCGTCGATATCCGTACTCTCTTCGCTAGCTTGTCGGATACTGCTGCTTTAATGGACCGAGGATTACTTTGGCAGATGATAGGACTAAGAAGCCAAACTATTGATGATCTTGATAATCCCTTTGGTTGTCGTGGCCCAATATGGAAACCGTACGTCACAACATGAACTAACAAGCTCTCACAATGGGTGATATCATACCCAAGATATCATTTCCACACGCAACCCCTACCTAGCAGAATATTACTAACCACATATGACAACCAAAGTAAAAGACAACGGATAAAATAGGATTACACTTTGGCGGAGTGAATGATACGAAATCCCCTATTCCGCACGCCTCGTTCAGCAGATATTGTCATTTCTCCCTTTAAACAGGGTGAAGCTGCTAACTTACATCATCTCAAATATCCATATGACGTCTCTCGGATTTCTTCCGAGGTTGTGCATGGCTAGTGGCTATTGTTTGTAACCCTAATACGATTTCAGCCCGGACCCTTCGAGTAGCATTGGCAAATGATGTCCATTATTGACATCGCGCAACTGCTTGGATTTGGGGGGTGTGTATACTATACATAAAGTGGCATATACGGTATCGAATCAAAAGAACTTACCAAATGACGGGCAGCCCGACAGTAGTCCGGTATTAATAGTCGTACGACTTCCAAACAAATAAATCAAGATTTGGGTGGTATGATGCTTCACTAGCCCATGACCTGCATTCATCCCTTCGATAGTAACACATGACGTTGGATCTCTCTGATTAAATTCTTTATACTCTTCTTTGAGGCGCGTCTTATACGTAATTATTCACTGTACTAAAGTATATTGGTTTCTTTTGTCGAAAGAGATGTCAAATAACATGGACATCTGAGAAGTCTTACTCTCATCATTCTAGGAATTATGGAAGCCTTCAGAGGAACTATAGACGCTTTCCCTAAGTGCTACCATAATACAATGCTCTCCAAGAAACAAATAATTTATATTGAGTTTACTAAAACGTTTGCTGAGTCACCGCTCCGAAGTACCGGTCTACCTCTACCTCCGTTTCCGGGATCTCATGAATGAATTCTCCGATCAATGCGGAGCCGAATACCCGTCTAACATCACGCAAAGCCGTAAAACACACGGTAGCTCTAACCTAAGCGATAATGGGCTACAAGTGCCCCTTTCCTCCAACTCTTGTTCCTGCCTATCGTAAATACCTACCCATGCCGATGCAGCAGTAAAGATAATCAATGCTAAATAGTAACTGGAAATATAGTTAATGTGTTGATATAACTAAAATGGCATATTTGAGACTATAATTATTATCAGGTTGATATTTATGATTCTATTCTTGATGATTATCTTTCTAAGTACATCGTCGAGTGGTGGAGGATTTACCTACCTACATCAAACTCCAATAACTACCTGGAAATTGCGAGGTTCAAGCGTTTAATAGGAAAGGGTAGACATAGTTGAAGTTCATTCTTTCCCGCCGCTAACAAATATGCTGACGAGAGTAAAGATAAAATGATGATACATGGTAGTAGCTCTTTATCAAGTAGGTTATTTTAGATGGGTTCTCGAAATATCTAGCTTTTCTCCATGTCTTCTGCGGATTCCTTACCATACGCCAGGTTAGATGTAACCACGAGGGGAAGGAGAAGGAACGATTCCTAGTGTTATAGAGCAGCGGTGATTGAAAGGGGTTGTGCAAAACCACTAATAGCGGCGCACCGTGTGGCTACGCTGACAAGGAACTTACTATGCCTGTACCCTGGAAATGTACAAAGAGTTCTGTATATTAGTCCTCAAAATAGGCCGTAAGGGCTTCTAGTTCTCATCTTCTCTCATGTTTTAAGGCTATTAGGGAGCTGACGGCTAACAGCAAATTTTCCGCTATCGCCTAGCTATTCCTTCTATAGCACTTTTGCATTCCCAACCCAAGCATGCCATCTTCGCGCGGTTTTCTCCTCATCGGTGTTCCATCGTCTGACCCCGGTGGCTGGCTCTACTGCCTTTGGATTTCTCGTGCAATACCACTGACCACTTAGCACGATGGTTTATACCTTGATATTGAAATTCTATAATGCAGTCTACGTTGAGTCTAGATTGCTTAGGCGGCAGTTCTGAAAGAGGTCTGTTGAGGTGAGGGCATTGGTGAGGACAGGATTAGTTAGTGGGTAGTTTGCGATATCTTAGAGTATCATTCAGAGTGTTGAAGCCATCTTCCTTCAAGGTCGCCACACGCAAGAGTATGGAAGGGTGTGAGACGTGATAGATCAATTGCATCTGTTGTGTATCTCGTTACCCTCCTAACACAGTCATTCCGTTCTACTACAATTCTATTACCTCTACCATAGCCCCAATGCGCTATAATTACAGCCAAAACTTATATTGGAAATACGTGGCATGCCTGAAGGAATAAATTAGTCGCTGTGAGAGGCGTAAAAACCGTAACGTCCTACTACACGTCGGTGTGTTGATTTCGTGGATTGAACCCATATGCGGCCGGGAAGAAGCATGCATCTCTGCCGCTTTCAAAGAAGACGAAACTACCTCATTTACTCGTTTACTATGTATAACATGAGAAGCCCCATGCGCCAGTGTTATCATCTTTTCAGATACATCTACCTACCTGGGGCAAAGAAGTAGTTGTTCACTCCCTAGGGTCTTAGGCTCGAGACAAGAAAAGATATTGAGAAGTCCGGCGCAATGCTGTGTGACACCTGGCGCTGGTGCATATGAAATTGCAAGTTTTTCTTTACGGGTATCGTAGGAGACATTTATTAGTGAATGAAAATTTTATTCAAATCCCTAGAACCATGCAAGCCACATTACTCAACACCTTCTGTACTCCCACGGGATGCAGTGGGGTTTAATAAAACACCAAGCATCGTACCTCTATGCTCTGCCTCCAGGGCGCCTCCTTTGGCGTCTGCGGGTCAATGAAAGCGGTATGTGGCGTCCGTACCGCAATCCCGTCCTTCCCCTGAGGTTGCCCCTCACCCCAAGAGTCGTAACACTTCAAAAGCAACACCTCTTCCGGCGTCATGTCCTTCTGATAGTAAAATTTGTGTCCCTCACTGGGCGCAACGGACATTGTTTCACCCCTCACCTCATAACCCTCCGTGGAATACCAAGTCGACTCATCAGCGCGTGCCTCCTTACCCCTATCATCATTATCCTTCGCGAAGTCCGCGCGTTTAGGATAGAACAGATCCACCGGTACAAAGTCCTCTGGCTTCGTGGTACGCCAGTCGATAACAGCCAATGGGAAATCACTCGCGGCGTTCTCAATAGGCCGCCACACATTAATAATCTGAAACCGGCCTTTTAGTAACTCCTCCGCCTCGTCCGCGGGTAGATGCCGGCGCACACGCGCTTCGGCTGCGGCAGGCGATTGGTCCACGTGCACCTGCTGCACAGGAGCCCTAGCAGCTTCCGGGTTTCTCCTGCGGATCGTGTGGTCGAAGACTACTACTCTCTTAATACCAGGGATGTGCTTCTTCAGCAAGTCTTCGACTTCTTGGTAGTACGACCCGCGTACTGCGGCGTCGTCGGTGAAGAGCTTCTCGTTGGCGGGTTCTTTGTACACTGCGAAACCTGAGATGTCCGTTGAGAATTCGTTCTCGTGACCCCGGAGATTGTGCACGGAACGCTTTTTCTCGGCTAATTTGAAGGAGGTCACGTCCGCGTCGACTTTGACCCACGGTTTGGTGCCTTGTGGGATTGCGGCGGCGTCGATGTATCGGAATGCTGCAGTGGTCATGGTGGCTTTTTGTGGAAGTATGGGCTTAGCCAATGATTTTGTCAATGCTTGTGTAAAAGTCCTTTGGGCAATGGTTGATAGCAATGTCATAAGCTAAATATTCCTCTTTAATTATGGTATATTCATATGAAGCAAGATATTGAACATAAGATTTAATTATCTAGATGTCCATATTTACAGTGGGTGTAACTTGGGATTTATATTCACATCATTTCAGTCATGTTAGAGTATCTCTTTTATAAATGCCATCCGTAGGGCAGAGTGGCAACCGTTAAACGCCGAAATGGCATCATCGGGACCATTGCGAATTTACTAAGCAAACGGGTCGAATGTTGAAGGATAGAAAGAAATAGAGGACTTGATCCCGACTGTACCCCGAGATTTATTTCTAAGGCGGGGAAATAAAGCCCCACTAGTTCGCCTATTCGTACTCCAGTACCTAGGTACTTAGTTAGCAGATATATATGTATATCTTCATGATTATTCATACTCAGATTATTATGTTGAAATGAAAGGGTTATCTTTCCTTCAGTAGACGTCATTGTCGAGTTATGGTATTTGTAAAGAGAGGAAAAATATTGTAAGCTATCCGTCTTAAGTACCTAAGCTGTAATTTCGGTATATCAATTGGGTACATGAGCGTCTAAGCATTAGCGGGGCGAAGTCCTAGTTAACACAGCTACTTCTACATTATATATATGATGACTTATGTTTTATAGGTTATTAAACTATACTATAGTAAGAGAAGTGCCGATTCTGAATTTTCGAACTAATTGTACACCTGCCTGTTTGGTCTACTCTCCCCTGAATTTGTTGTCTTGGGCATGCAAAGAGGCTGGGAATAAACTACTAGGAATATTGAGCCAGTCCATACTTAGATGCTATATTTGGTATCTATCTTTGTAATTCTATTAGAAATTATACGGTGGTTATACTAGTCGTTTGAGATAGTCTGGGCATGTAAATTATCAGGGGAAAAGAGTATTCATACTGTCTATGTCCTACGTATTCCGGCGGCAAGTAACGTGTCATACAACACTGTATATACTGTGTTCTAGATTTCACCGCCGTCACATCATCAATTCGACTCCACAATTACAGCACTAGAAAAGAGTCATAAGAGTCACTAACCACCGCATTCATATCTCCTGGTCATTAAAAGAAACTGAAGATACTACTTTTATTACGAGCTTATACGTGCTTGGAGAGTTTATCCTACCTAGAACATCTCAATTACGTATCCGAGGACAGTGAGTGAATCCAAAGAAAGAGGCGTCAAATTCCCACAACATGGCGCCCACCAACGCCCCAGACATCAGCGTCAACGACCTAACCTACACATTCCCGGACTACCGCACCGGCATCCGAAACGTATCCCTCGCCGTGCCACCACGCAGCCGCACCCTCTTAATTGGCGCCAACGGCGCGGGTAAAACCACCCTTCTACGTCTCCTCGCGGGCAAGCGTCTAGCACCAGGAGGCAGCATCCGTGTCTCAGGCGCGGACCCCTTTAAAGAAGGCCTCGAGGGTGTAACATACCTCGGTCTAGAATGGGTCCTAAACCCAATCGTACGCACCGACATCGGCGTCGCCGAGCTCCTGCGTTCGGTCGGCGGTGACGCGTACCCAGTGCGTCGCGATGAGTTAATCGCTGTGTTAGATATCGATATCGCGTGGCGCATGCACGCCGTCTCCGACGGTGAACGGCGACGCGTGCAACTCGCCATGGGCCTCATTCGCCCATGGACCGTACTCTTGCTTGATGAGATTACAGTCGATCTCGATGTTTTAAGCCGTGCGGAATTTTTGGGTTGGTTGAAACATGAGACTGAGATCCGCGAGTGTACGATTGTGTATGCGACGCATATCTTGGATAATCTTGCTGGATGGCCGACGCATCTTGTGCATATGCATCTTGGTACTGTGAGAGAGTGGGGACCCGCGGAACAGTTCTTGGGGCAGACGCCGAGTGAGAGTACGGGGAATAGTCGATTAGGGGAGTTGGTGCTGGGGTGGCTTAGGACGGATTTGAAGGATAGAGGGCCGAGGAACCAGCAGAAGATGGGGACGGAAGGGTTGACTTACTCTCAAGGTGGACTTGGCGGGTATGGGCTTGAGAATAGCGATTCGAGGAAGTAGAATATCCCGCAAGGAAAATTTTCAGGAGGTTGGGGGGATACGTGGATGTCGGTGTGGCTGGCTGGAAACGAATGCATGCATGGTATGGCGCTTTTTCAACATCGAGATGAGGAAATGATTAACACTCAACGGGTATTCATGGGGGTCAAGAGGCGTTTCGGAACGAAATGAGATAAATGAATTAGCATTAGAGGCATTGGCCTTCACGCCTGCCTCGGGGGTCGGATGCATTTTGAGATACCCTTTCAACAGGATAAACCTAGAATATTGCTAGTTATCGGACGGAGCTGAATAAAACAAAAGAATTTCATAGCGCGTCGTCTTATTTACTAGGTATTGTTACAATGTGGCTAGCGTACATGGGATAAGCGAGAATAGATGGGAGCTGGTAGGTTCGTCATCAGCTGCTATTGGATATGGCTGTTCTATCAGCAACCCATTAAACTATTTTATCTAGAATCATTCAACAATGACCGCCTTCTCATTACGTTCGTCATCGTGTTGTACATCAGCTGTCCGACGCCAGCCATACCCCTCTGTTCTAGATAATTCAACACCCCAAGGCGGTAATCATCCCAACCCACCTTGAGACCACGGTTATTAGAAAGCGCAATAAGACTTGCACGAGTCACAGGTCCAGCATGTCTAGTGCCGAGCCCACCTGTACCTTGTTGCAGCTCTTCGTCTTCTAACTCGCGGAAGTATGTGATCGCCGATAGTCCCAAGACAGGCGAATAAGAGAGAGAAAATAGCGTGGAAAGGGGCGCACCCGTTCCGAGATTATTGACGTAGGACGTCAGATCATCAACAACCGGCCTAGGCATTAAGCAACCGTGGGAATTGGTATCGCTATCATTGAATGCCCGCGATCGCCAAATACAATTACAGATATCCATTAGAAACCCGTTGAATTTGTTGATGAATTCCGGAGCGTATTGGGAGCGCGACACCGACATGGCCTTCTGAAATCCTGCTTTGTATTTCGACAGTATGTCGCAAAGTCGAGATAGGGTATCCGGGGAGAAGCTAAAGTGTAAGGTATATACCAACGGAGAAGGCGGTATCACTATCTGAGTATGATGCAGTAACTTCGGAGTCGAGGCTAGAATTGCAGTCTGCTCGTAGAAATCCAATATCTTTGAATGAGTGGAAGCAGTAGGTGATGTCTGAATAAGAGTAAGGCATAGATCGCTGACATGATCCGATAAACCTCTGATAATGGTCGATGCTTGCTCCGACTTTTCTTCAAGTGATGCTAGGAGGATGGTCCATCGTTGAAGCAGAGTTGTATAGAATTCAAGTAACTGTAGCTGGGAAACTGTAGTATTGTCGAGTATCTTGGCTTCAAGCGGTTGGAAAATGACAGCGAATAAATCTAGGGAGTATTAGTATGAAACATCCATATTTGGGGTAGCGTTTCGAACCTGAAAAGGATATTAACGGAACATATGATAGTGAGGTTAAGATTGAGTCTCTATCGTCTTGACCGTTCCAAGTTTTGAGATATTCACTGAAAAAGGCCAAGAATATGGGAGGGAAGGTCTAGAATGAATGCCGGTCAGCGAAAATCATTTACAGCTGTCTTTTGACGTACCTTAGTGCTTGATGTGTAAGTTTTCAGCATCTCCAGGCCACCGGCGGAATCAACACCAGGCTCCCCGCTTACAAGGTCTTGTCCATATGAAGCTAACCAACTAGTGGCCCTTTGATGAGCTTCGGCTTGTGGCTTCAGGATGAATAACTTCTGTAATAACGGATCGCCTAGAATTGCTATCAGCTGATTCGGCAATTCAATCCTCTCCAAATTCTTCACGAAGCCATCAACGTTTTCGATTTCCTCTAGTGTTATGGATTTCTGATGACTGTTTAACACGATTACTCATTCCTCAGAGGGGTGATGGATCAGACGAACCTCTGTGGCGTTTGAGGTATGTACCTCTGGGAGTAGGGTGGACCCTTTGCCATTTCTTCTATTCCGGGCTACTCTGAATGCATCGAGGGGTCGCTCTGATCTGCTTGCGCTTCGAGCCGCATGTGCCTCTCGGATTTCATCTAGTCTTTCGCGCCATTGTGGATCTGGGTGCTGTAAAAGGGATGAGTTATTTTAAACTCCAATTACAATCATCATAGGAGGCGCACCTTGAAAGCAGACGCCTTGGCGCGAGTTGCTTCTCCGACGATGATCTCAGGATAGTAATCTTTGAATACTCGTAACAACCCGGTCACTACCGGATCATTCCCTGTTTGCCGTGATAGAGATAGACTTGAAGATTGTAAGCACTGGAGAGTGGCATTGTGCTCTAAGCAGCTGAACTTACAGGCTTTGGATACGGTGGGGTCGCACATGTCGACGTCGCGTAATGAGGGCTAGTAAATGACACAATTGTTTTCTACGGTTGTTAGCGAAACCCCCTGAAGGAAAGGTGCGAGTGTTCGAACCTAATTGCGGCTGTGTCGAGCAGATTAAATAGGACCGAATATGAACGCGATAGAATTGATTGATTGTCTATGACGTGGTAAATCAGGATAAGCCATCTTAAAAGTGCCCCCTGAATGGCGAGAGATGGCTTCAGCTTTCCATGCCCAAGACAGCCGATCACTTTGACAACTAGGTCGACGTTCACAGCAGATGCTGGGTAGAGATTCCTGACAATGTTGCCAAGGCTCGCCTGGTCAAGAAAGCTCGGCGTCGTGACTAAGTCTATGAGTTGGTCTAGGTCGTCAGGAAGGAGACCTCTCTCATACGATAGCGAAGTCAGTTTTTCCACATCTGATTTCACATCTCTGCCACGTTGTTTCGCAGTAAGTTTAGAAGCTTCAAAAGTTAGCTAATACTATCTATCATGATGCCAATAGTCAATGAATGAACTACTCACCCTCAACTACATCTGATATGAGTTCCTTGATATCTAGCGCGCTCTGGAATTCGTCATCTTCCTGAAGTGCAGACATTGTGGTTCAATTGCTTGGATTGTGACGAGATTCGTCATCTGAAAAGCGGGTCACTAGTAAGAGTGTACGTATCAAATCTTAAAGGCCAGTTCAAGTGTATAGGCGTATCGGCCTTGGACGCTTCATCTAGAGAGCGACACGTTCGACGCGTGTTGTAAAGCTGAAGCGCGTGTCGGCGGAAAGGGGAATGAATTGTTGGACACGCATTAGTGTGGGGCTGTCACAATCAATTTACACTTCTAGAAAATCGGGATGCACCCGCTAGAAAAGGCGCTAATGCTGCCTAGAATTAACTAGTTCACAGGCTACCTAGGTACCTAGCCTGGAGCCCTGGAGCTCCCGCACGCGAACCTTGGAAACTTGGAGAGTTCCAGCCTTATTTTTTAGCGCCAACAAAGATCCCAGAGCGCGTCACATCTCCAACAACAAGCTTCGGAGCTTGTCGTAATCGTCACAGGCTGCTATACGGGGTTTTTCTAAATCGGGAGGATTGAATAGCTTTGATTGGTTAGATTATCTTACCAACATCGAGGCTCTTGTATGCAATCCACAACTGAGCCCGCTGTGGTCCCCTTCGTAGTTGCAAGGAACTTTTAACCTTACGCCACGTTAATACCTTGACGTATTGTTAAAGGATCTACCACTTATAAGAAAACTTGCAATCCGGAAACACCGGACCAACTACTCGGATTCCTGCTAGGCTCCGGCCGTCTGAGATGCTTGCAAGAAATAGGTATGGTCCGTACAGTGCGATGTTATGGGCCAACTTCATAATTGCTGACGATGAACGCTTCATGGGTTACAGAGCAGCTACAATTCCAATTTAGGGAATTCCGGAGGTTTAAGTTGTTAGGAGGTTTGTAATCTTATCAGCGGATCAATGCAGTCTCAATAGCCTACCTCGGCGCATGGCTACCTAGAGAAGGATGATCACCACTTAATCCACTTAGACGGCAAACTCCACGAACTTGATGTCAGACCCCCAGCTACCTAGGCACTCAACTACTTGACGTTACACACGGCGTTGCCAACATCGCCTTTCCTTCTGTCTACCCCCACGCATCGGTGTGTACATCGCTGAATCATACAAGGAACAAGTAGGAAACTGGGGAAGGGATTGTACCGGTGGATCCGAAGCTATGGCGAATAGGGATAGTTCCAACTAGGTACCTACTTGCTTTTTTTTCTTCTTCGAAGAGCCTCAAGCAGCTCCGCTAAACTAGTTCCAGAAACAGCAGCATCGGGGAGCAGTTCATTCGTCTAGATCTTACTATACCCAAACGTGAAGGAAAGGATCGTGTAACACGAAATCAGTAATACACCAACGATAAAAAGATGGTTCAGATCCTTACAGACTATCCTTTCTATACATGGGTTTTCGTCTCAAGGATTAACGGCTCATGGTGTAGAGTTCGCTCAAGGCCGCGCAAGTGCTGATGTCACGGTGGTCACGTAACTACCTAGCTAAAGGATGCAATGCATTAGGTACTTAGTTGACAAGAGAATAACCACCCGAGTTGAGTAATAATAGAATACGAAGTAAGAATGAAGATGCCGAGGAAATGTGTTATTATCGTCGATTCAGGAGCAATATGTTGTCAGTGTAACCAAGAATACTTAGGAGGGTTCTCCGCAATTAAACCGGATTACCTATCAGGTAAAGTCTCCTCGACTCCATCAGGCAATGTATGGGTGACACGACAAAAATCGTGGTCCGGCGCGTGACCCTGGTGTCATCGGGACCGACACCCAAGATATAGAAAAACTGGAAATATACCAGATTAGACATTTATGCAAGAAAGATTAAGTCGTTACACAAGGAAAAGTACGGTGGCACTAATCAGGAAAATAAGCGGTTCTTCTCGCGGTTAGAACCTAAAAAGTGGGGTTTATGTTTAACTGTTACGCCTGCAGATCACTGTGTCGTTCAAGCTCTCGGTGGTCTCACAGGAGCCGCAGTAGATTACTATAGGCAAATCAATATCAGAACATATTTCGGTCGTTAATGCCCTGAGACGGCAGCTCCGGTGGCTACCTACCAATAAATACGACGTCGTTTACATGTACCGTTCTTCTGGTAAATGATTTCCAGGTGGAGCGAAGAAAAGGTAACTCGCGGCAAATAGAGCGCTTTGAGAATTCGACGAAGGTATTATGACATATGTAGTCTCGAATTGTAAATGGAATATACTTCCTCTACCTAGTCTGCGTTTGCACATCGCATAGGCAATTAACTACCCCACTTACATGCAAGTCCAAGTAACCATGAAACTTTCCAAGGTTGTTTGTACATCTGTACTGATGTACCTACGATTATTACATTCAATGTATTGTACCCGGCACAATTAAATGCAACGCCAGAAGGTAATTTCTTGGCACTCGAAGTCAATGTATCTACCCCCCATTAAACGTACCTAGGTACCTACAAACGCAGGCAGGTACCTTACTTGCAGTAGATGGGGGAACTAAATAGACGGGCGGAACTTTCTCCGACGCATTTCCAATGAGGAATGAGGAATGAGGTTATGTAGGTACCTAGGCAGGTGCGTGGTGGTACCGGGAACTTTTGGTTTCAATTTGAATTTCTTCAGCAACTTCGATCCAATCCTCAATCCCTGGAATACCTCCAACGCCCATCATTTCTCACAGCTTGTTACATCGCATGCGCCCCCAACTCGCAGCTATTGTCTCTCATCTCTTCAATGCTGTTCGATTAGTATCGCCCTGTATGGAAATCTTTTCCAATTGCTCACCTAAATACCTAAATGTATGTGCGTGCCAAAAGGTCACGCTTCAACTTGCAGCTTGGACATAACATCCGAAAACGTGTTACCCGGTCAGACTCTCATCCTCGAGGCGAGTCCGCTAAATGTTAGGCATATTCTACCCAGCGCCTGTGCAACCTGAACAGGGTCGTCATGATGTCGCAAAAATCAACAGACACCTACCTATATACACTTACACTATACGTGCCCTGCATGTTAACGTTGAGGTGTACATGGCCATAGCCATGGCCATATTACCCAATGCTACCCCCCACACAACACAGCACCGATGCTCTCTGTAAGCGTCCGCTGAGATTCCCTCAGCTGCCGGGGATTGCCAGATTGACGGAGACACACCCATAACATAAACAATACATCTGCGCGCGCATGCGACTCTAATGCCCTACTATTGGGCTCCGACTCTATAGAATCCTGAACGGCATATGTTGTGCTATCCTTGGGCTCGCCCTTCAAGTATAGTAACTGCTACACTTTTGCGTTACCATTACCTTTATTGCCATTATTACCATTAACTACCTGCCGCAGAAGGACATCCCTATTCAAATATTTATTTTATTATTGTTGCGCTTGCTATTGTGTGAATAAATAAGGCCAGCTAGCGTCCCCCGGGTCAGTAAGCGCTTTTGCTCACTTATACCGTTTTCATATCGCTCGCTACGCTTGCATTTGTCTGACGCTGATAGTCTTCAATAGCCAACTCCAAGTACAACAGACAATCCTACACCAGGTACGAACAAAACATAGTGCATATACTGTCAGCTTCCTTTCACCTCTCGGGGTTTAGAGCGGGTTCTGGTGGAACTCGAGACATTCACCGCCGGTCGCCTTCTATCGCAATTGTGCGTCGGCCTTTGATTTTTCGTTAAATCATTCCGAGTAGCTAATTTCTAGGGTTCGCGGGTGGCGCCTGTATAGGTATGTACGTCGAAGAATACGCAACGCCTGGATGCGGCAAAGACTGGAGATCTGCTCTGTGGCGGAGGTCGCTTACATATCGCATATCTAATCCTGCAGAAAACTGCATTCACCGTCGATGCGCACCCTATCCTAAGTTGCCGCTCTTACTTATATCGAACAAGGTTACTTTCTCTGTCCCTACGGCTACCACCCGACAACTTATCCTGGTTCGTTTTTTTAATGTTAAGAACCTCTAGCTGAACAATCCTCTAACAATTTAACCCCGGCACAGCAGAGCCGCGCCACATCCTTCCTTTAATCGTGCCAGTGTGGAACGTTCCATCGATCACAAGCCTCAAGCTCTTTTCTAGAACCTAGTATAGGGAACGCCGGGGCTTGAGGATGCTTATGTCATAAGCATTTAGGCGCTCAACAAGACTGGTGAGTAATTTCGAAACACAGTGCTTACAACCCGGGACGGATACGCCTTTCATAAGTCGGCCTAACTCCTATCTCCTAACTTATTATAATATATAGCTTAGGCAAATCCGAATTTCACGGGGATGAAGTGCATCGTTGATTTCTGGCAGTTCTCAAGAAATGCTTCCTGGTCAGTCTGCCGCTACGTCCGGACACCTAGGAGGCTCACGCCGGTCTCAGGTGACCCTCATAAGAGATCACCAGGTTAGTTATATAGTACCGTCGCAGCCTTTGGCTCAAGTTAGGGGGGGGCGAATCGTGTCCTGAAAACCGGCCTCACTAATGTTATCCTAACTTCCGGAGATTCCCCTCAAACATGTCGATGAAAACTTCACTAACTCAAATGTGTGATAAACAGGCTTGCATTCCCCTTACTAAAGTACTCGACGATGGCGATATAGTGGTTCTGCTCACACCCGTTGTTCAACCTGTTCAGCCTGATGCCGGTGATAGTAACGATCCATTTGAGCCACTTGGCCGAGCCTTGGCCTCAAAGCATCCGTGGATCCGGCATGTCCCGTACACATCTCGGAACGGAATGACCAGTACACATGTCGGCTTCATTAAACGTGCTAAAATTGTTGTCTTCGTCATCTCCGGGCTTCCGAGTGCCGGCCAATCATCTCAAGTTGAGATTGGCTTAATGGCGCGGATGGTGGGGGAGCAACGACCTCAAATTATCGTGGCTTGCCAAAATGTGCACGACCTTGGCCTTATGGAAGCGAATTTTCCCACTATAGTTCAAATACCTGGATACCTACCTTCTGATTTACGAACTGCAGCAGCCGTTTTATTTGGCGAAGTTACAGCTACGAGCACTGCCGGATTAGATGTGCAATCTTTGATGATAGAGCCGAAATTTTGGCCCCCAGAAAACTGGGACGGGCTCAATGTGGCCCCGGTGCAAGAGCTCTGGAATCAGTGTCTGCCTGATCAATTTCACCTGGAAAAATTCCCTCTGCAATCTCTACTCCAGCGTGATGGTTATGCGATGCACTTCGTCGTAAGACTACCCGAGAACCGCGAGGTGGTCGGGTTTTGTGCGACTTATACCACATTTGTGGATCGGGAAGGCGAGAGATTAATTGGGTCTTTGGCTATGATTATTGTTAAACCGGCCTATCGGCGGCGTGGTATTGGGCTTAGTCTGTACGAACACGCTCTTAAACAGCTAAAGAGGATTCGTGGAGTCGATCGGATTCAATTGGGTTCTACGTTCCCCCGCCTCCTGAGCGGAATACCTGCGGCATCTGCGTCCGAAGGGTGGTTTCGGAGGCGGGGCTGGCAAATGGATGGTCAGGTTCCAGGTCGCGGCCAGGATATCTGCGATTGGATCTTAAGAATTAATGATTGGCCAAGCGGCGGGTTGTCAGCGGCTTCCGCCGGATTGGCTTTCCGACAGGCTACATTCGACGATTTTAACTCGATCGCGGACTTTGTGGAAAGAGAATCTACTAGCAAAGATTATACGGGTTGGTATGACCAGTATATGAACCTCGCAAATGATGGTCGCATCGGCGATATTGTTCTCGGATTAGAGCGATCAGAAATTGTCGCTTCTGCATTGATATACACCCCAATTGAAGTTAGCTCATTGGCACAAGACCTGCCTTGGGCACGGACGATTGGATCTGACGTGGGGGGTGTAGCATGCATCTGCATTGCAGGTTAGTTCCAACCTATGTTATTGAAAGCCATTTGGAGAGTATAGACTAACCTGGACTTAAGACGGTAATCCGGCCATGACTACTAGTAAGGACACGGTTATGATCAGATTACTTGACACCTGCGTCACCATTCTCAAAGAACAAGGCATGGACCGCGTGTTTCTCGATGCCGTAAAAGGTGGCTATGAAGGATTTCAATCAATGGGTAATTTTAATATCTCCAACAAACTACGAAGAATAGCACTAACCTTAACATTCCACCATCGCAGGGTTCCAGAAGTGGGCCATATATAGAGATCTTTGGCAGTCAATATGAGTACGACCCGGATGTTGATGCCCGGAAGACCGACCAATACTCCACGGCAAAAACCGTCTACGATAGGCGCGCCACTAGGTCTGCGCGCCTCACGGATACTCCCAACTGCATCTTGATTCAGTCGTTCTGTAGCACTGCCTCAACAAAGTTCCAGGTGGACCCTGCCCCTCTTTATCGACGAAAATGGTTTTGAGGTTAAGACTGAATAGAAGCCCGAAAACTTCTAATTTTCTTAGGATATTTTGAGTCAAAGCCGACTTGTCAACGGAAAAGGTTTCGACTATCTCTATGATCCCCTAGCCGAGTTATGCAGGAAATGACACTGCGGCACTCTTGGTGTTTGAGTGCGATGAGATGTGGCTTTAGAGCGGATATAGATCAGAATGTGCTCGGGGTGAGCCGCATGAAGTCGATGTTGGATCAACCCTGCTGACAACTGCAGTCGTTTTTGATCATCTGGATATAAGTACCATGGTACTTGTCAACTTACTCTCGGCATAGGTCTACATCATTATTCGACTGTACAACAGGGAAACTAAGAATTTCGATCAGTTAACGAGGTATCTTTATGATCAAGCTTTGGCAATTTGGTTTGTGGTGGATGACGTTCATAGACAGCACACCCATCGGGGCTAGCCGATATTGAATAACGGCTTGGACACGTGAGAATCAGTGGTCGAGCGGCTTATTTTCGAGTCGAAGCTCGCTGCTATGGATTCGTATCCGAACTCGCACCTCTATTATCCACCTTGTCCGGGTCGGAACTCGGAATACTCAAGCAAAACAGAATTACAGACCTATCTACCTATCTACCTATCAACAACACGAGGTTTCCATCACTGCACAACGTAGTTCTGGCTGCTCAATAGCCTTCTAAGACTATTACAAGTGACAATATCGAGCTGTAGCTTCTAGTCGTCTAGGTATCAGCGACCGGACCTGAACAGACTGAAAAGGGAACTACAATATCCCCGTACCCGTGCTTCATGATATTCTTTAGTGCTTGTGATATCTCCAGCTCTTGTACGAGCGGGGGTTTGTGGGGGCGGAATCCTTCACGATCGCCGCCCAATTCAATAGAGATTGGTCGAAGGATGGCCTCGCAGGCTTCAATCTTCCAAGCGTGGATGACTGAAATTCACTAGCTTCTTGTGGGAAGCACAATATTGAGGGGGGCCAAGGTGCGGGGACCATAAGCGAGTAAGATGGGATTCAAAATACAACCTGTAAAGGAAATTGATTTTTGCCTCGTGTGCTTGTTATGGAAGTCCACGAAAAGATAATCTTTACGATCACCACACCATCGTGCGGGTTGGTCTTTTTATTCAACTATCATTTTGAGCCTCCATCTGGGGAAGATAACCAGACAAAACCCACCGAAGGAATATTGCACGCCAACAACGATCGGAACTCTTGCATCAGGAACAAATGCGCATGGCAATGATACCACCTTACAACATCCATCCCGACATTATGTGTCTTCTGTGTCACCTCAAGCTTGGCCAACTCATTATGCAGTCTTGTTCTGCAAACTGCACTTTGCGTACCCACTATACTTCTTCAGATCAGCATGCTATGGTGAGCCTATGGGTGTCACAACACCACCAACGAAAGCCCTGCAGGAGGGCCAGATATGGACGGCAACTACTTAGATACATTCCAGATTGTTTACCGCGACCCGTCCCGCGCCAATTATGCAGTTACGGATGGTAACACAGACACTACTAGGCGTTGCAATGCATTGGGTGGATTGCATGCAATCATCTCACTCGTGTTTATAAGTTAACAACTTGCGAATAATCGATTTATCCATCTGACACATACTACGAGCATTACGAACTAAACTACCAAATCCAGAACATCGTGGAGCTCAAATCTAAGGGTTCACCTGACTTAAACAACGCGTAACCTACGCTTCCGAGTTCCTATGCACTCGGAGACAAGATGTCGTCAGCACACTCTACACAAGTAACACTGATCTTTTCCCATTCTAGTTGCGCCGGCCTTCATAGAGCCGAGCCGCCACGCGAGACATGCGTGCCAGTGCCGGAGTGGGAGCTAACCCCCAAGGAGTAATCATTTGGCCGTCTTGGGATCTCACGGTTTAGCGACCAGAGCCCTAGCTCTCGCTAAAACCGACGACCTTGATCGGGCATGTATATGCTTAACGTTACCGCTCTCTTAGATCTCACTAGCTACCTAGTCCTCTAGGCCTGTCATACATAGTAAGCAGGACGATCCGGGCCGTTATTGATAATGGCATACACTGGGCTTACCCTGAAACCTCTGTGGCGCTCTGAAGTTAGATCAAATCTGGTCTACGAAAGTGATGAGGTATGAGGCGCCGCCTACTCTCTTAGCACCAACCACCCCCTAAGAGCTGATAGATGCTACATGATCAGATGTAGACCCCAGTCACCCATGCGAGCCTGAGGTCAGCACAAACGAAAATCACAGCGACCAGATTTTAAGATGCGGAAATGAATGAAGAAATACTTGCCGATATTAATTTTTTTTAATTCGGATGAAACAATTCCTATTATCAATCTTCATATTCCCAGTTCGTATGGAAAACTGGACGACTCACGGCATATAAATTTTATCTTCCATACCTCGAACAAAATGCTTTTTTTTCCCTCCCTATTCCCGTATCCCACCAGTACATCAAGCCATGTCTCTGTACCAAATATGAGGTGAGGCTTTCTGATTGGACGTACGTAACTGCCCGCATGGACATGGAGCTTTTGCATGAGCTCCGCGTCTACATGCCCTAACCCTACCACGTTGAGAGATACACCTACAAGTTGACATCCTTCATCAATCCTTCATGCAGTACTTGGTTGAACTATGCCCCTAAGTTAAAATTTTTCTTGCTTGGCCACGGGCCGAGAGGCGCATAGTAAGCTGGGCCGTCTGCTACTGGCTCCAAAAGGAATTCTCTTGTTTTCTTAGGATAAAAGGAAGAAGCCATGGCGGCGGACCGTCCTACGTGGGACAGAAGAAACTAGAAATGGCGGTTTCAGTATTATACAATTCCGTAGGGCGGGAAGACCTACGATGCTAACCAGAAATGCGATGCACTCGGTACCAATCTTTTCGCATCAGGCCACTCGCGCAAATGAGATACGACGGAACGGAACCATGTGATGGATTTACCGCTTGCCGCCTCCGTCGACATCACACCGGTTTATTATTCCTTGCCCCCCTCCCGTTGATCACTATTTTCTACGTATGAATGGATGGAAGTATGTGTCGTATACATCTCTACATCTTTACGCCTCTACATACACATTACATACTGCCTTACCAACCGTGTTGTCTCTCATTCTGTGTAACCATCCACATTGTATTTTGTTTTTCCCCTTTTCGCCTTCGTACTCGTAACACTCCATACGGAGGCTTTTCAGTACGACTTTTCTTCTCCGTCCTACCCACCCGTTACTTCGGAGTCTACCTGCCTGTCTACTAACAACCTTACCGGCCTACATACTTCGCTATATACCTCCCTACGACATCCCCCGCGTTACTGTCAACCTACCTTTCTCGTAGTAGATCCTCCGCCCATCCGGTCGGATATGACATGCAGTGCTCGGTAAGTGTTTACAGCAATTTCCGCGAGCGCATGAACGGGTTTGAGCGGGATGAAGCAGGGTAGGTAGTAAACTAGATCTAAGGAAGGCTTACGTACATATAGCCTCTTCAAAATGCCTGACTAGGTACAGTAACAACCTACCTAGTGTGCCTAGGTGCCTATATCATGTACTACCCCTGCCTGTCCTACATTTCTATCAATTGTTACATGTCATTGTCCTTAACTACGGGCCTTTTCTTATTGTGCGAGGTACCTACCGAGACGTTAGGTAGCCATTGTACAAGCTTGAATTTATACTACCTACATTTGAGCAACCATCGCACACCCGTCTGGACCCGTGTAACTCCGTACCATGTACAGAAAGTCCCTCTCAACAACTCTCAACTTGGCACTGTACATACCTGTGTATTTACCTAGATAGGTCCATGTATACATATAAGGCGAAAGTATCGGAAATATCCATGTACCCATGTATACATCATCTCGGATTCCCGAAAAATCTACTTATCCACTTACCCAGGTACGGTACGTAGTTAGCATACTCGAATCCCCATATCTCTCACCGGGGTCCCCGGCGGTAGATCGCGCGGACAAGAACCTGGGTGTGTTAAATGGATACCTTTCATCCTGTACTTAGTACACAGGGGCAATATCCGTTGATTCCAATTCGACTCGGATTCCGACCGGCTTTCGTGGCTCTCACCTAAGATCGAGAGAAAGAAAAAAAATGATAATCCGCTCTAGTCCGCCCGCTGTACATTACATTAATTAACATTGTCTTACCTACATTTGAGACGTACATCGGTACCTCACAAAATCGAAAAATATGACATGTGCGCCCTATCGACTTCTCCACCTCTCCGCGTTAGGGGTATATGTTCCTTGTAAGGCTCGATCTATTAGGTACTTCATCACAATATGGTACCTATCAATAATGAGGTACATCAGCATCGAAGTAGGTACCTGTAGGTAGGCAAAAAGACTGAGTTGAGTCACATTTGTGTAACGTACAAACATAAGCGCTTATTCCCACACAACAATATACCCATCTTGGGTGTCCAGCTCGGCGTACCTGAACAGCCCGATAACCATGGCCGTCTGACAATCGAAAAAACCAGAGAGGAAAAAACGGCAGCGTGCCCAAATTCTTCTTTATAGTAGTAATAGTAACATGCTCCCCAAAAAAAAATCAACGATCTCAACTTTTTTTAATTCCAACCACCCGACCCTACTTCCATCTACCAATTTCCTTTCCTTTTCCACACGGAGTAACCCCATCACCAAGTTTCGTAAATTTCAGCCCAGCCGGCAAGAGTTCATATTTCATAAGTACCTTAGGTAGCCCGTCGGCTCGGAGGCCGCGGACAGCCTGTTATGCTTACTAACAACAGGCAAGGCAAAAACAAACAAACAACCCCCCCGACCATCATGTACAATCCATCAATATGTTCAATCCGAAAGGAAAGTTCCGCACAAAAAAAAAAACAAGGAGAGCAACAAACAGTAAAAAACGCAACAAAAAATAATAAACTTCAGTGGTATCCTCCCAAGCCCAGACGCCATGCTTTTTTGTAGTTCTCAGAGAGCCCCTAAACCGTAACCGTTCGTAGACAAATCGTATATGCATTTGGCCTTTCGCCTTCCTTCTCTAAGAACCCCCTTCTTACAGTATTGGGGAGTTCAGGTTTCAAAACATTGGAAGGAGAAGGAATATGGGTTACAAAAGCTTAACAAACTAATAGGGTAATTAAGCTGACCATTTAGAGAAGTCGAAGCTGTCAACAAGTGAATCCAATCCGTTGACTGTCATAACTTCGGTATTATCTGTAGTCGCAGTCGACAACATCGATGAACGGTGCGAATTTTGTTCACTAGAGGCGGAGAAGAATGTAGCGACGGAGGACCGTCGGAGGCTGCTGAAGCTGTCTCGGACGGTGTTGCCCGACCTAGCTGCTTCTAACTGAGCAGCCGTGTTGATTGCGGGGGTATTAATGTGGCCTAGAGCAGTCCCTGGCGGCGAGGGAGTTGGTGCTTGAGGAGCCATTTTGGGGCCGTATTTATCACGGAGCCTCCTGATCTCCCTCAGCCGGTTGCGCCATGCTGAGATATGCTCACCGCCTTCACGATGAGCCCAGACCAGTGAGAACACTGATGCATTGAGCGCTAGGAGCCGGATAAAGTCAGGCAGAGCTCTTAAGCTGATAATCTTGGTTTCAGATGCTGGTGAAATCTCAGGAAAGCCAGGTTTGCTCATCACGCGAACTTTGTAGAAGGAATCTTCAACATCTTTCGGCGTCCTCTGCCTAGTAGCGACGAACGAAGCACGCGATTCTGGGCTAATCACAATGTTGACGAAATTGAACTCCGATGGGAACGTGTTAAATTTGAATGGTAGACCAGAATCATTGAAGATGATATTGACGAAGTCGTTACCGATATGACGCTTCTTCAAAGTGCACTGCGGGTCGTTTTCCAGGTTCGTTGGCATTTGTGTAGTGACATGGAATACGATTTCCGTCACTCTATCTCTCCAGCAAAACGTATACTGTCCATCGGTGTCGTATTGCCGATCCAATCCTTGGGTATTGAAGGAAGCTCCGTTGAGTTTAGTTAATGTACCGAGGCCATTGAGGAATTCTATGTAGTCCCCACTACCTGTAATATTCGCCAGAATTTCTGATTCTGTCGATTGATTTTCTCCGATATATACTACACCAACTTTGTGGCCATCCACGGTTGAATTGTGGTCGAACATCCTAATAGCTCTATCGATCCCCTCGTCTTCTGGAAGTGGAATAGGACGCGAAAGATCATTGCCTTGTGGCATAGAAGACAAGAGTTGTACGAGTAGATGGTTTGGCAAAACGCTATTCGCAGGCGATGCATGGCTATCTCTTGCACTATCGTTCATAGGACGTTGGTGAGCAGGAGGTGGTCTGAAAAGCTCACGAATAGTATAAGATGATGTTCCGGACGGCTGCCGTTTTGTGATCTGCGCCCAGCCAGCGGCGGTAGCTTGTTCAATTGTAACGATGCTGTTACCAATCAACCATCTCCTCTTGAGTATCTCACCGAACCTGTTGGCAGTGAACAATGGGTCCGCTGCGGATTCATCGACATCAGCGTATGCAACTCTTTGCATGAAATCCATGGTGAGTTGCGCTTGTTCGTCCGTGACTTGAGATCCGTCCACATCCGTAAACAAATTCTTTGCAATCCAAGTAACATGATTGGCGCGGTCGGGGAGTTTCAAAGCTAAGAACCAAAATACGATGACATGGTATGCTAATGTATACACATATTGAGGTAGATCATCTGACGAGTTCGGGTTGAACTGTATATCGCCTTGGGGAGCCGACACATCGCTATTCGTGCTCATTCTGTACGCTTGCTTCTTCCCTCGTACGTATTGTAAATATCGGAAGGAAATTCCAAAAACGATGCGATACTCGTCCTCACGGAAGTTTGCATATAGAGAAGGCAGTCTACTAAGACAAGCTAGGAACTCTAGGATGTGCATAGCGACGTATGGCTGGGTGATGATTTGCGCCATCTTTTGTAATATCGTAACGAGAGCCTTGCCGGTTGATGATGGGAGCTCGTGGCAGCATATCGTAAGAGCGTGTATACAGCATTTCGCACTTCTTTCCCATGTCGCTATGCCATGTACGAACGCGCGAACAATCTCGTCTTCCTCTGCCTTCTGAAAGTATTGGTGATAGCTGAGGATCATAGTCAAAGTATGGAATAGGCAAATAGCGACGTCTGCTCGGCGTAGTCCATAGACACTTGGAGGTTCCTGAAAATTATTCGTTTTGATTTGTTCGCAAACCGTTCGCCTCAACTCCTGTATCTGCTCCACAGAATTCCGAAAGATAGCATGATTACTCAACTGCGAAGGCAAGTGAACAAGAATGAAACTGTAGACCTCCCAGTCGCAACCTTTTTGCAACAAGCTCAGAACCACCCTGAGCCATAACTTGGTTTCAAGGACTGTAACTTGCGCCGAATCGCCTGCTTCACTTGTGTCGTTGGAAATGCCACAATAAAGCACCGTGCTCGCGGCTTGAGGCGGAGCTTCAGGCAAAGGATTGGCTTCAGAAACAACCCATAGCTGTTGGTATGAATTGGCAGCTAGTTTGCTACCACTTGCTGACCTAAATGGGTATCCACGGTCTTGAAGTTGGCCCTGCCCAAGAGATATGCCACGAGATGAACGAGCAGATCCGGCGGTATCAGTCCTCGAGGCCCTCCCCATATACGACGCTTCTTCAGCAATCTTCCGTGCTATCGATTCTTCAGTCCTATATAACGAAGTGGCCAGACTGCTCGTTTCGGTGTATGATGTGACGAATATACGGTTTGCCCAATCTGCCCTCAATCGAAACAGAAGCTGCATTGCGGCGATCCGAGCGTCTGTCTCACTAGAGGTAGATTCCGCTATTGATACGAGAATCCGAAATAATCGTGTCGACTTGGCAGCATCATAATTTAGTACACGCAAGAATATCTGCACGTAGCCACGCGTAACTACGTTAGACGGCGTTTGACTAGTATTAGGTTTCGTGGATTGGAACGCAGACGGTGGATCTGAATTAATGGAGAGCGAAGATAGGGATGATCGTAACCGATCTTTACTTGTTATACCTTGGAGCGTGTCGACAATATAGGAGAAAAGAGCGAAGTTCGCAGTGCTAGCAACAGAGGCAGAGAACGACACGACGTCCTGCAACAACACAATGTCCGTCTCTCCGGCCACGTCTGATAGCAGGCGCTTCACCAATTCCGGTATAAAGTCCGGCTCAAATTGATCATTGATGAGTTCAATCATGTCATAAACTTCTGTGAATGCCTGTAAGGCTCGTAGGCGAACGTCAGTTGATCGCTTTCTATCCGCCAAGAACGCATCCAACACTAAATTCAGATTCGTCTCCCAGCAAGGATCGGATGGAGAACAGCATCGGAATTTCTTGAAATATTCAAGAACCAACGTCGCTGCCGAATTAGGAAGAGCGCGGTGGATCCTAGTAAAGAAGAGGATACAGTCTTGTCTTTGCACGAGCGTGTTGGTTTGTTCCGCCTGCGATACCTCCAACTTCTGGCTACTACTGTCAGTCTGGTCCGGAGGTACTCCTTCCTGCTTTTGCGTGGTACCACCGGGTTCATCCACGAGAATAACTTCAAGTCGGTGTATAAGCCTCATCAGTTCCCGAGCAAGCATACTTTCGGCGGAATCGTTATCTGCAGGAGATAGTAGCGACTCGACGACGTTCTCAGATTTAGACAACGACGTGACGACGGTCTCGGCACACGTGACCACAACATCAAATACGGGAGTCCAGTCTTCATCGACCAACATGGTGTTAATTTTGCCACGGCTGTCACACAAAAGCGAGTTCGTTAACCGTATTATATCGAGATGTATTTTCCAAGCAGTGGTAGCCTTGACCACTGCTGATAGGCCGTCGACCAGGAGAGCATATGGGACAGTCGGATATCCCTTCTCGGAACTCTTCGACACGAGCTTGGTAAGTACTGATAAAGCGCCCCGGACCTCCCGAACAACCTCCTTTTTCTTATCTGCATTTTCTGGGATACTTGTCAAAACATCGAGTAATAGTCGTACAGTAGTATGTCCGTTGTGTGATCGACACAAAATGCCAATAGTATGCCATGCATCTTTCTGAAGACTAGGAACGAGACAATGTATAGAGCAAAGAACATGAACACAGCTCTTTAACTTGTCGCCAGGAATCGCTCCAAAGGTCACGATAGCATCCAGAACGCCGATACATGCTTGCAGGTCCTCTTCAACACTGGTGTTCATGCAGATATCCAGTAATCTGTCTATCAAAACTTCGGCGGCTGCATCATCAGCAACATTGAAATTGAACTTTATTACATCAGTAATAAAGTTGAATAGATCCACAAAATTCCGATCTTCCCCAGTCGCTAATGCCTTCCCCTTCACTCGAGGCCCTTGTTTCTTAGCAGTGCCCCTTGCAGCTCGCACGGCATCAAATGCTTCTTGGAGCCATCGTGACAGGAGAGGAAACACATCGTAATCGAAACCGGATAGATTTCGGGCACGTTTCGTCAAGTCAACCAGAGCAGCTAGCTGTAGATGGAAATCTTCCGGGTTGGCACCAGCAGATATGGTTTGGAAGTATTCGTTGCGTTCCAAATCAGTTGAAGAAGCATGTTTTACACATTCCCTTAGAAGCTCCCAACCGGAATACCGAGTCGCTCTGGGATTCGTAGGATCGACCAAGTCTTTTGCAGCATACCAAATATCCAGAACGGGGTTGAAAGGATAATCCACGACGGTACGGCGCAAAGTATTAGCTGCTTGAACTCGCTCGTTCATCGATCCGTTCTTTAGCAATTCGAATGACTCGGTATGCTGAGGCGGTAAACCACGGAGGACGTTCTGTGTAGTATTGAGGCGTTCGGCGATTTGCGCATTGATAGAGGCACCGGATGACTGTACGGGAGCCGGAGGGGATTTTGTTAACTTGGCAACACCGGTAAGACCTTTGAAGACACTGGCGATACCGCCAGTGTTCTTAGCATCCTGGGGTGACGACGCCTCATCTCCAGGTGATGGTGACATATCTTCTATCTGCCGTTCTTCACCGGCCTTCCGGCCTAGGAAAACTAGACGACGAAACATATCAGTTTCCAGATCATATTTGCGAGTGTTTAAGACATGTCTTCTTCGGTACTTTTTTTCTTCGACAATAAAAAAAGAAACGAAAAGAAATTGTATTGGTTCCTCAAATAGTATGGAGCAGCGATGGCGGAAGATGACAATGCCACATAATAGATATGTGGTAAGCAGGCAATCAAAAGACGTGGACTTACAAGCAAACCGGGTCTTGCATAAGGGTGGGAATAGAAAAAAAGGTGATACAAAAGGCCAAGATCAATTTCAAGAATCCATCAAGCGCAAAAGACTGGGCGACATAGACGCGTGACAGTTCTCTTCCAGAATTGGGACCGACTAATGGTGGTCGAAGTATTACAGGCTTAATTCCTTACACACCCTCTCTTTTCTTAGTTATTCCCAAGCACTACCATGTAAGTAGTGGTAGTAATAGTGCGGACGACGGCGGTGGTATGGGGGGAGGTGGTGGGAACGAACGATTGCGGTGGGCTCGGTCTTGGGCTAATAATCTGAATCGTGGGTCGTGGTAGCACATTGGGAGACACAGGCTCGGCAGCATTCGATGAGGAATTTCAGGGGGTGAGGATGTAATCGGTAAGTGTGGATTAGGTGTGGTATGTGTGCGGCATGCGTATTATTCGTGGTATGTAGCATGTAGCATGTAGCATGTAGAACAAAACCACTATACAGCAACGCACGGGGAGAGGAGGAGAGATCTTTGGTAACGAAGAGAGATTGGGGGAAACCTTAGGAACCTTGGGGCACTTGAATGGAGGATGTTCGCAAAAGATTTCTCCACAATGACCCTTTTCGTGCACCTGCAGCTTCCGCACCGTCTCTTTCTCCGTTTTAGCCAATGGATTCCCCTGGTTATTCCTAGCTCCCTACTAAGATTATGCAAGCTGAAGGTGTACTAATCCTCTCACCTTCTAATTATACACCCCTAGCGCGGAATAGTGGAGAACGCTACCTAGGTACGAACTTGCTGTTAACTACCTAAGGTTATCGGAGAAGACGGTAGCTGATTTAGGTATATCAAGTCTTATCGAACCCCGCTATTCCCCTCCCGGCGGTACGCCTCTAACGCTAGTGTATTCTCCAATCAACGTACATCACGCCATGCACGGACCACTATACAGGTACCTAGACAATCCTTTGTTAGTGGTTGCGGTTGCCTCGTCGTGGTAATGTCAATAAAAAAAAAGTTAACAATTGACCAGGATCTACAGAAGCCTACCCACTTACAACTCACAACTTGGTGCAACTAACTCTTTCTCAACCGCGATACTTGCCAACTCGCTTCTTCTCTTCGCAACTTATACCAACAGCCATCATGGCTTCAGACTTGGGCCAGATAGCCCAGTTGTTGGATGCGACCCTTGACTCTGCTAAACATAGGAAAGGTACGTGAAAGCTCCTCTGCAGCCCCACCTTGCCGTGCGTTTGTCGCTATTCCCAAATTTTGACTCCAGTGACTGTGGATGATGTATGATCTCAGGCTATAATACTAACTCGTTTATAGCTGAGGCCGAGCTCAAGAAGGAAGAAAAGAAACCAGAGTTTGCCCTATCGCTTCTCAAGATCGTCGCGACCGAGAATCTCGAACCCAAGATCCGACTCTCTGGAGCACTCTGCTTTAAGAACTTCATCCGCCACAACTATGTCGTACGCTTTTACCCTCAACATACCACGATGCAACTCTACGAACAATATAATACTGATATCAGCATCGTATAGGACGATGAAGGAAACTACAAACTCCCTATCGCCGAAGTTAATACGATAAAGCAAGAGCTTATTGGGCTCATGATCGCTTGCCCCGCTACCATCCAAACACAGCTTGGGGAAGCTATCAGCATCATTGCTGACTCCGACTTCTGGCTGAGATGGGAATCTCTCGTCCCCGACCTCGTATCACGCTTTACGCCCGATAACTTCAAAGTCAACAATGGAGTATTGGAAGTCGCACATTCCATATTCGTTAGGTGGCGACCCTTATATCGCTCTGATGACCTTTACGCCGAGATCAACCATGTACTAGGCATCTTCGCCGTTCCCTTCTTGAATCTCTTGAACGTACGCAAAATCCAATACCATTTAACTCGGCTGCCCGAAACTAACATTGGCATAGGCTACGGATCAACAGATCACTGCTAACGCCAACAACAAAGAAGCCTTGAAAGGTTACTTTGATACGATGAGTTTGCTCATTAAGGTATTCTATGACCTATCCTGCCAGGATATGCCCCCCCAATTCGAATCGGCCCTAGAACACATCTCGACCCTTCTCCATAAGTACTTGACCTACGAGAACCCACTACTAGCGACGGATGATGATTCAGAAGCCGGTGTGATAGAAGTAGTCAAGGCCGACATCTGCGAAGCTTTGCAACTATATGTGACCAAATTCGACGATGATTTTGGTAGATTTACCCAAGTTTTCGTCGAAAGCGCGTGGAACTTGCTCTCCTCGATCGGTCCCGAGACCAAGTACGACAACCTCGTTAGTAAAGCACTTCACTTCTTAACGGCGATTGCGGCCTCTCCACACTCGGCCTCCTTTAATAACGAAGGTGTTTTGGGCCAAGTTGTAGAGAAAGTGATCCTACCTAATGTCGCACTAAGAGAGTCTGATATCGAGTTATTTGAAGATGAGCCTATTGAGTTTATTCGGCGTGATCTCGAGGGGTCGGATACCGATTCTAGACGAAGAGCAGCCACCGACTTCCTCCGGCAACTCCAAACCAAGTTCGAAGAATTGGTCACAAACGTTGCAGGACGATATATCAATCACTATCTAGAGCAAGGCAAATCCAATTGGAAGGACAAGGACACGGCTATCTCGCTCTTCCTTTCCGTTGCGGCTAAAGGTGCTGTGACAGCAGCGCATGGCGTTAGAACAGTCAATCAATTGGTTAATGTGGTCGACTTTTTCCAGCAACACATTGCAAATGACCTGGTCTCAGACGCGGGCGTTGAGCCGATTTCCAAAGTTGACGCTATCAAGTACCTGTATACGTTCCGAAGTCAGTTGACGAAAGAACAATGGCAAGCTGCGTTCCCCCCTTTGATTCAGAATATGGCGTCTTCGAACTACGTCGTCTACACATATGCTGCTATCTGCGTTGAGAGACTTCTATACTTGACCGACGACTCTGGTGTTCGCTTTTTCACCAGGGCCGACATCCAACCCTTTGCGAAAGATTTGCTTGATCATCTCTTCAAGCTCGTAGAAAAGGAGAGTTCTCCGGCGAAAATGCAAGAGAACGAATTCCTCATGCGTTGTATCATGCGTGTGCTCATCGTTATGAATACCGGAATCCTCAGTTTTGTTGATATGATTCTCGGTCATCTAGTAACAATCACAAACACCATCAAGGCTAACCCAAGCAACCCGCGTTTCTATTATTATCACTTTGAAGCTTTGGGTGTTGTTGTGAGGTACGTTCCACTTTAATTTCTTTACTCCTTCCAAAGATTCTAACTAAACAAATCAGTCACGGCTCATCTTCCGGAACATCAACATTGGAGACTATTCTATGGGACCCATTCGATAAGATCATCACAGAAGAAGTTAATGGTAAATCAACAATTTTTTCAAAATTGGAAGACACAAAACTAACAAGGCTTATCTAGAGTTCATCCCATATGTGTTCCAACTTCTGGCGAAATTGCTTGAGCTTAATCCGTCTGGAGCACTTCCTACTCATTTCCAAGCCCTTGTATCCCCCTTGATGATGCCGACTCTTTGGGAAACGAGAGGAAATGTCCCAGCTCTCACAAGACTCTTGGCCGCTATCCTACCCAGGGCCTCTGGCTCCATTGTAGCAGAAAACCAATTACAGTCAGTTTTAGGTATCTTCCAGACGCTCCTTGCAGGCAAGAAAACAGAGCAAAATGCATTCGATCTACTAGAATCGATCGTTTTATCGATCAACAGGTATGTCATCACCCGACGATCGAGCCTATCTTTTCATGCAACTAACTCCTATCAGGGCTGCTCTCGAACCATATTTCAAGCAAATATTAAGCCTCCTTTTCATCAAACTCCAGAATAACCCATCCGACTCGTACAAGTCGCGATTCGTACGATTCTACCACCTAGTTTCATCTAGAGTGGAGAATGGTCTAGGTGCTGATTTCTTCATCAGCCAAGTAGACCTAGTCCAAAATAACCTCTTTGTTCAGATTTATCTGAATATTATCATCCCAACTTCACCAACTCTTGTTCGCCCAATCGACCGCAAGCTTGCGGTTATATCCTTTGCGAAGTCGATGGGAGATAGTGCTGCTTTCGCCCAACGCTATCAGAAGGGATGGCGATTTACATGCGAAACGATGCTGACGCTGCTGGCGAACGCTCCTCAAGTTGCAAGCGGTGTGGGTGACGATATAGTTAACGAGGCAGACGTCGATGATATTGGTTTCGGTCTCGGCTTCACTGCTCTCAACACCTGTAAAAAGTCTACCGTGGATTTCTACCCCGAGGTCCAAGACGTCAAACTTTGGTTACGTCAATATTTGACTGATGCCAACACTCGACACAATGGGGCCATTGCCAGTTACATGGATCGACTCACGGACGAAGGAAAACAAGCATTGGCGCTCTACGTAGGCTAGATGCTTGTTGACCAGAACAAGGTAGACCAAAAAAATAACGGTACAACCCGATCTATCGACGGACGAATGAGAAACGAGCAAGCATTTTAAGGCCCTTTGGGCAAGATTTGGAGCAATTTATACTGCGTGTTCCTTTTCCATGCCACGGGTTCCTGCTTATGTACGCCACCGATCTAGTTCGAGGAGACACATCTCTACCCTAGGGAATTAGAGGGCAAGTGATATTAAAAAGGTAGCGCCAGACATATGGATTTTGCTATACCACATGTAGGTAGTTAATCACAGATCGTCGAGTTCTAGTACTATGGTATTTCATAAATGTGCTACATTAAAGTAACTCGTAATTTGGACCCCAATCTTCAATTAGGAACATTGAAGATTAGACCGGCGACCACGTACTAACCAAAGAGTTTATTCCAAAGTCATAATAACAAGAGCGAATAATTCCCAACGAATTAGTTTACAAGTAGATCCGAATGGGGAAAAATGATGTAAAACGGGGTCGGCACTTGAAATAGTGAACTCGGAGCATAGTCGCAGAAAGCTCCGTTATATCGCAGACTTTGCTACTTGTATGTAGTGATATATATAGATATCCCTTCCCCCAAAGTCATGTAGAAGCTTGATATGGCAAAAATAAGGAAGGAAGACCGCGTCGTCCTCGGATGTATCACCCACGATCAATGGCGTGCCCCACCATCGGAGTACCTAAGTACCTAGATACCCATTCGGTCCCGGACAATTGCTCGATTCAGCCCAGTCTAGGCTTATCTGACCAATCAAACCCCCCACACTCGTCATGAATCGTAATCAACCTGCACCATAATAGAAGACGATGTGTTTTTTTTGTGATAGTCGATAGAAATTATCGCCGACATTCCGTCCGTCTTTCCCGCCACGCAATTTTAAAAATGTTGGTGCGACTCGCTTTAATTCACTACCTAGTCGGGATGCTTTTCGCTCTATGCTTACTTGATAAGTTGAGGACTTAATAGGCACTTATAAATCAAGTCGAATCCTATAGTCCTACTCGATCGAATTTGTTAAAGCCGGACAGCGAAGATGCTCAGATTTTCCGAGGCCGTACAGTTAGGCTGGTGTACGGGTTGCCCTAGAATGACTATGGGTGCGGTATAAAAGCCAAGGCTAGGGATGGGTTTGAAAATTTGAATGAATTAGATGAAGATTACAATATCAACTTCAAATACAACATTTATCTTACCAAGCACCTACCTAGGTAGTGTATCTCGGACCAAAGCTGTCTAAGTGAAATCCAACCCGACTTGACTATAACGGAAAAACTACGAGAAATCAAACTTTATAAAATGGCGGCCAAATCGATCGCTCTCATCACGATGAGCACCCGAGGTGCCAGAGTCGGCCCCACCGTCGCCGACTTCGTCAAGAAGATCATCGAGCCGCCTCTAGCCGCCGACAACATATCCGTCGCCAGCGTGGATGTCGTGAAGTTCAACTTACCAGTCTATAACGAAGCTGTAGCACCAGCTAGTACGTATCTCCCTCCCTTCCCTTCACCCTATCCCCCCAAACCATAGTTATCATGACTAACAGCAGACCCAGTGGTCCCCGACAAAGCCAGCTTCCAATACGCACACTCCAAAGCGTGGAGCGCCGAAATCGCGCGGCACGACGGGTACATCCTAGTAATCCCCGAGTACAACCACGGCATGGCGGGCGGCACCAAAAACGCCATCGACTACCTCATGCACGAATGGAAAGGCAAGCCCGCCGCCATCGTCAGTTACGGCGGGCGAGGCGGTACCACCGCATCCGAGCAAGTGCGTAACTCTCTATCCAGTATGGGACTTCGCGTTGCCGAGACCCGTCCCAGTCTGTCGTTTAACCAACCGGATGTTATGGCCGCGGTCGGAACGGGGAAGTTGGGCGAGGCCACGTTGAAGACTTGGGGCGAGGAGAAGGCGGATGGGATTCGGAAGACGGTGGAGGAGTTGAGGGAGTTGCTATTGCAGCCTAATGCTGAGGGTAATGTTGCGAAGCCTTAGGTAGTGTTTATGACTTATAGGGAGTTTGGATACTTTAGAAGATATGGTTAGACGAGATTATCCAAGGCGTATGTGCCTAGGGAGTCGAGGAATAGTTAGCTTAGAATTTATTACTGTTATAGAATATTCACATCTTGAATTGTTTAGAAGTCATTCTCGTAGGTCCTACTAATATGAGCGGAGGTGCAAACGTGAATGCTAGACGATTTGAGCAAAGATGTTAAGGTAATACGATCGGAGACATATAGAGGTAGAATTAAATACACGAATTATTATTCATGTGATACGTAATACATAAATCATAAATTCGTCTATCTCATGACCTCTACATAATACCATCTGCGTAGGAAGCAGATATCGAACACCTTCCTGCATATATCCTCTGCCATTCCTCCACTCCACTCAAACCATTAGGTTAGGTCCATTTGACGTCTTCTTTAGGGAATAGACGCCCTATTTTACATAACGGAACACAAGGTTGTTTCGCCGGGCCTGATCATAGTGAGCCCAACCTCGTCGTCGCTCTTGCGGATGTGTTGAGTCTTCTTGCTCTGCATAGTCTTCATTTTTGTTGAAATTGGTGTCAAAGGTAATTTTAACGAATGATATAAAATTGAAATTGCGTGTGATTTTTAGTGGATATTAGCAATGTAAATCGTTATGGGCTAGACAGGAGTTTAAGGTATTTATATTACTTCCCAGATGTATGGCTATGCATATGTCAAAGACCGACTCAGTTCAAAGAGTTCCCTTTCCTCGTGATTATGCCGACTATTATGTCGCAGGGGATAATGGTTTGCTGCCCCTGTTTCTTTATTTAATTCAGATAATGTATCACTTCAGAGGACAATGGGAATCATTGGGCAAAATAGCATTAAGTCAAGTCCAACAAAGGGAGTATGCCTATCAGCTATCTACCAGAGCACAAATGAAAACCTCATTGGGTGTGGTATTCCTTGTCCATATGCCATCCTCCGTATGCATGATCTCGTCAACTCGTAACCATCCAGTATCATACCCCTATTCGTAATAGTTTATTTGAAGACCTTTCCAGAAGCGTGCTTGTACTCCTTGTCGTTGTGGACAACGGGCTTGTCCCAAGTCCACATGGACTCGACGAAAGCCTTGTCATCGGCGTTGGTGGGGTCGAGCTTGATGAACTCGTAGCTCTCGTAGTCGGGAGCGACATCGAAGACGGGGACGTAGTTATCACCACGGATGACAAAGGCACCCTCGATAACCGAGTCGTTGTTCTCGCCGTACACGGAGGCACAGCCGAAGAGGTACTTGCGAGAGCCCTCAAGACGGGTGTTGAATCCACCAATCAAGTTGTTGGACATGAAAGTCAAAGTCAACTCATCGTTGTACTTGTACTTGACTCGCCAGATGGAGTAGTCCGTGAAAGGAACATTCTCCCAGAACCACTTTAGAGAGACGTCCTCATCATGGTTGGAGTAGTATCGCTTCCACTCATCTAGAGCGAACTCTGATCGTGGTAGCAGGTCGATGGGGTGCTTGGGCTTGGGAGCAGGTTCCTCCTCCGCAGCCGGAGCGGGCTTGGGGGCAGCCTTAGGAGCGGCTTTAGGCTGCTCAGCCTTCTTGGGTGCGACGTTGGTCAACTTGGGGGTATCTAGGAGCTCGAAAGGCTTGGCGACGTCGCTGTAGATAGGCTGGTTATAAACGGTCTCGTACCATCGAGAGACGTTGGGGTGCTCAGAGCGCCACTTCTTGTCGTAGAAGAACTGGAAGCCGCGGGAGATGATGCCGGCGGCGAACAGATCGGCGAGGGTGATACGCTCACCGACGAGGTATGTGTGGTGGAGAAGGTGCTCCTCTACGACGGAGACAGCCTTAGCAGCGCCCTTGGCGGCATCGTCAACGGTCTTCTTGTTGTATTGGTCCCAGCCCAAGAGGGGTCGGTACCAAGCACCGAGCTTGGGGAGAACCTCGGAGTTGAAGTAGGATAGCCACTTCAAGATGGAAGCATAGCTATGCGTGGTTAGTACGAAAAGTTTTCGTTTATACATATTGGATTGTAACTTACTCTTGCTTGGTCTTGCCGAGCAGAGTGGTCTTCTCATTCTGGGAGGTGACTGAGGATCAAATGTTAGCGAAATCCTCACGCTTAAGTTTTCATTGTGCAAAGTTTTTGAAGATGGGCGATATAATCAGAAAGTAGAACCATGATCAACAGAGATGTTTCAGATAGGGATAACTGTTAGAATAATGTCTAGGTCATCATAGAGACGCCTTATTAGAGGTATTTGATGGCAAAAATTCGAATGGGGGAGAGAACAAGACACGTACTGTAGATGGCGATGGCAATGCACTCAGTGAGGACGTAGCCATCGTTACCGACGAAAGCGGGAACCTTGCTAAGAGGGTTCACCTTAAGAAACTCGGGAGTCGGGTTGGTGGTGTCGACCTCGACGACATCCAAGTCCAGCCCGTTGGCCTTCGCAACCGCGAGGATTGCGGTGGTGCGGGGGTTGAGCTACGCGACGAGAAATGCATGTTAGTCTACGAGATTCGAAGAGAATAATAGATGACAATAGACAATAGTATAATCAAAATAATGCTGAAAAGCAGAGTATTGACTTACCTCCTTGGTGTAGATCTTTCCGAAAGGCGCCATGGTTGAAAATCTGGTGCTGGCCGAGTTGAAAGATGAAGGGAAAGGGAGAGATGGGAAGTGAATGATTCTTTTGAGTCACGGAATTTTTTTTCTACCCTCACAAAACCGGGAGGCGGGGCAACTGCGCTGTGGCTCAATTCAAATTTAAAATTCAATCAGGCACTGACCCTTGCCCCACCTGTAGAGTCTAATAGAAACCTACCCCTCCAACACAAGAACGGTTCCAAGGTTTTGAACCTCGGAGATCGGAAGATCTAATCTACCGGCCAATTGAATTCCATGAGTGGAGCCCCGTTCCAATTGGATGCCTGCGAAACTTTGAAAAAGTGCTTCGTTCAATCAACTCGATCGAATTCATCGGCTTATCACAATCACCGAAATCATTATTTAGACCCCGTCATCAATCGGATCGGTGAGGTCAAGAATATGATATGAAGAGGATACGATAAGCAAAATGTCCACTCTAAGATACAGCATTCGCTGTCTTAGAGATCTCCAAACGACCACAACTCGATTGTCACGGCCTTCGACTTCGATAAAAATATCGACGAATTCGAAAACATGTCGAACATTCACAACAACCACAACCCGCCAAGATGACGAACTTGGGAATGCTATTCAAAGTAGCGAGTCTACAGCTGATCTGAAAGTACCTTATGTGCGCCCTATGCCGATATCTCCTTCCTACTTCTCGCGGACTACACAATTCAACGACAGTTACGTTCTCATTCAAGATCTTGCGCGGAAATATGGACGACTTCCCACCGTTCCTAAAAGCCAAGTAGAAAGAGTGGCGTGGAAGACAAAAGAACAATATCGGTTATCAATCGGTGAAGCAGCGAAAGGAAGAGACTATGCGGCGTGTATTGGTCTGGTCAAGAGGTTAAATCAGATCCACCCCGACCTAATGCCCCAAGAGGTTATAGAGGGTATCCGGCCATTCAAGCGAGATATCAACATATATCTCAATACCCCAAAACCTATCCCGATCGACAAGTTCGGCAGGTCACACGGTGTTGGTAGACGGAAATCCTCAACAGCGCGAGCCTGGCTCGTGGAGGGGACAGGTGAAGTGCTCATTAATGGTAAACCATTGAATGATGTATTTGGAAGAGTTCACGACCGCGAGAGCGCGCTCTGGGGATTGAAATCAATGAACAGAACAGACAAATACAATGTCTGGGCTCTGGTGGAGGGCGGTGGTACTACTGGTCAGGCTGAAGCGCTCGCAATGGCGATTGCTAAGGCATTGGTCGTTCACGAACCAGCGCTGAAGACGCCCCTTAGGAAAGGTGAGTCCGTAACAATCCAAATTCCACATATGGTATTTCTAACTCGATGTATCCAGCTGGCTGCATTACCCGTGATCCGAGAAGAGTCGAAAGAAAGAAGCCTGGCCATGTCAAGGCCAGAAAAATGCCCACATGGGTCAAGAGATAGAACGAGCCATGTATGGAAATATCCAACTACTTTATGGAGTCATTGCTATGTGCAGCTTTGCAGAGGGCGAGTATCGCCATTTCCAAAGGGAAGGATGTATACCGCATTGTAGCCCATACTATTCATACAGCAAAATCATATGTATAAAGGCTATGTATCATTATGTACCTACTTCGTATCATGGAATGCATATGAGACGTCAAAAGTGACGCCCAAAAAGCGAAATTATCAACTAGTAATCTGTGCTTCCCATGGGATGGTCTGTGGCCGATTCCATTGGTACGCCAGTACATCGTGCCAATTCAGGCCAAGTCCTACCTAATGTACTGTGTGCACCAATTAAGTCTGGGGTACAATATGTATTAGACTACCTAGGTGCAGATCGGTCAACCGGGAAATCGGGTTGTGTTTGTATCACGTACGACCAACAGGCCGTAGGACAACACGACGCGACGTAACTCGGGCAAATGCAGCATCTCCACCGCCTACCACATTCCAAGGGCAGTCAATCAGGACGACAGTTCTCAGTAAATAAATTAAAATTCAACAAACACAAGTTGTGCAGAAATCCTAATAGTTACAAATTCGAAAGAGTGACGAATACACAAGTTTTTGTCGTCATTGCCAGAAGCGTAAAGGGGCGAGGCTGGTTTAGACAACTACCTACTGCTAGGTACAAATACACAGATAGTACATGTAGCTAAGCTCAGACATACATATACGTACCAGCTATCTACCCGAAGGTCTAGAAATAGAAATGTGAGGACATATGCTAGACACTGGCTAGCTTCAGATGGAATCCTTCTGGAAGAAATTTCACAATTTATGGTGGTTCTCGAAAGAGACAAAGGCTTGAGAAGGGTAACTTACTGATTAGACGCGGGAAATCAGTGCTATACACCGTACTTCCCTTGTGGAACCATAAGCCATTTATTGCTTCAGCTGACCTACAATATGAGAACGATATAGTATATTGTGTTCGCATTCTGAGTCTTTCTACCCGCAGCCTTGTCAATAACGAGGCGATAATTAACTAGAGTTGGTGGTCATCATCATCGTAAACGGAAGGGGTACGGACGCCAAAGACACTGGGATAGTGTTAGTCGTCTTCGCGGAACTTCAACTTAGTCCATCCGGTCGATCCTGCAATGATAAATGTAACATTCCTACGCCATTGGAGCGCATATATATGAATATGAACCGGGCGACTTATAAGGTAAAGTAACTTGACTCTAGCCGTGAGCCGATACGAGAAATGGTGTCTCCAAAGTAGTCACATTCCACCTACGGCTATAGAAGAAACATTGCAAGCCTCATTCGAGCCAGATAAGGCTGAGGGTGACCAACCACACAGCATCCAATACTGTAACATTAGTGGATTGCTTTATATTGTTGATCTTTCCCTTTCCGATAATTCATATATATGTGCCTGTGTCGCGTAATTTAGGCTCTACCCTGACGATCTCCTGTAGTCGGTATTATGGGAAAGTTGGTACAAATCTAAGAGGACCTAGCTCGAGCTAACGAGCCTTCACGATACCAAGCTTGGTAAAACTAGCACAGCGTCTTGCAGATCGTCTAGGTGAGTACCTAGGTAGTCTAAGAAGGCTTTGGCAGAATATATACGTGTAAGAACTAGCATAGGAGGCTCGGTGTAACCGACGTTCGAAGGAACTAAACCCACTTCCGCAAAGCCACTTTGATACTTGCTGCTCCTCGAGATCCAGCAAGGGGCCACTTGGCATGTGAATCGTGACAGGTATGACGATTCACATAGAAAAGCTAGTAAGTCCGAGCTGGTGTGGACCTTTCAGTGCCAGGTTTCTATTTTCTCGAATCTCGGGGACCTGCACTAGTTACGAAAGCCCATAAAAATGGGGTGATTTCTCGTGACGAAGAACGCCAACCCACACCTAGAAGACAGCGTACAACCACTGCTTACGTACCTCGAGCTAGGCCTTATTATCTGCCCTACATATAGACATATATGTATATATTATATGCGGGGTGATACTCATGCGCGAGAATACCTACCCCGTACATATATACCCAAGGTATACAAGTCAGCACCTATGATCTGTGGTTAAAGAGATACAAACCAAGACCTCCCACAGAACTATCTAGGAGTAGCTACTCAGAAGCTTGATGACTTATCCTTAGTAATATTTGTAATGGTGTTAATGCTATTGTTGCCCCATACAAGCTACACCATAATAGGCTTGCCGCTCCTAAGATGTATGCTCGGTAGGTATTCAGTCGAGAAATATTGGAAATTGACCAAAATGGATAGGAGATCCCGGTTGACTCCGGGACAATGTCAGAGACGTACCCTTGTCATTCTTTGACGACATCTCAACGCCTTGTCTCCAAAATGCGTTGTTGCATGGTTCAAGGATCTTATTTAAACGACCAAACACCCACCAACTTTTATTAGAGGCCCGTCTTGCGGCCTAATAAATACCCCAAAATGATGTCCTCGTGCTTGGCAGACAGGAGCAGAAGTACTTCAGGAGTATGTACCTCACAAACGGTGAATTGTGTTTGGGTTATTATTCGCGAGCCTCGACTTCGTGCAGGACGCCCCGATCATGCTATGAGAGTTATTCCGAGAACTTTCGAGCAATTAGTCGGGCATCAATCAGTCTGTCGATTTCCTACAATGCTGCATTGGAGGTAGTTCGGCTTAATGTCTACTACATATGCTGGTCGCCCAGCTATTTAACGAAGAATCTGCCAGAGCTAACTGTGCGCCTAGCCTCGTACTTGTCTGCATATTGACCAATGGTCATCAGCAATACAGCTCGACCTAAAGAGAAAGGGAAAAAATCTTCGTCGGAATCTTTGGTCTATTTCGGTGTGTGGTCCGACCAAAACTCGACGGGCTCTTTTCCCCGGATCGAATCAGCTTCCATTATGAATCCATGGCGGCTGGCGGCAATTGAATTTCTCGGTAATGGCTTTTAGATCGTGAGCTAGACGCGCAGAACATAATAGCACCGATGCAACGAACATGCCATCAAATTCTTAGTTTGGGTAAGTAAATGACAAAATCAAATAGTCAATCCACCTAGCATATACGTTGGTAGTTGAATATTAAGATAATGGGTAAGAGGACATTTAATCTTTTAGTCTATACGAAGGTCTAGACAAAATTCCATAGTTAAGAATTGATTTAGGGGAAATAGTAATCATGAGAAATAAATTAAGAATATTGTAAGAATATTGTAAGAAAAAAAGACAGTTGAGGCATGGAAAGTTAAAAAGAAAAAAGAAGCGGACAACCCCCCCTTAGATCTTGTCAACTAAGCATTAGCACCTATTGTACTGTACCTTTCTTGATTTAACCCCCTTTACATATGTAACTTTGTTGGGGGCCAATCGTAATCTACCTGTACATGTATGTGTACGTGTATATCTGCTCAGATGCTTACCATGCAGGCATATTATTAAGTACCTGCCATGTATCCGAAGGTAACCAAAAAAATATGACAGTACTTAATTCCATACAGATACAACTATAGTAATATAAAGTACCGGCCTACCTCACATACATCAACGTATTCTTTTCTCTTATCTTATGTAATAATCCTTAATTAAAGACATCGTCATTTCAAGGTTGTCAAACATAAGAAGTTCAAACAGAATGTGAAATATGTAGGTACGCGCAGCCGCAGCTAAAAATCAGCAATACATAGCTTATTCACGGGACAGCTGATAATTTTTCAACTATTCCCTGCGCAACATCCTGCCCCCAAGTCAGGGCAGGTCCCAAAAAGTGACCGATCTGTACAAAATGAAAAATATTTCTCAATCAGCATCAGCCACATGATGGAAACCCCAGGCACACAAATAAAAGCAAAACCTCATACTATTATGTGTACTACCATACCAAGATTTTTTTAAGCTAATAGGATAATCAAGGAACATCAAAACTTGTCTTTTTTCTCCCCCCTTCTCATTAGTTTCAATATACTTCTTTCTTTTCATCACGAGCCGTTCATCCACTTCTGACTATTGAGGAATTTTCCCTCACACGGCTTATAGCAAGTGCTAATAATGTATTAGAATATGCCTATCTATACAATGGTACCCAGACCGGGCACCATATAGGTTCCGGTACAATCGTACAAACGAGTGAGGATCTGGTGGAATAGTTGACCTGATAGGTTGATCTGCGCCAGGAACATGCGTGGTGACCCGTGACACCCCTCGAGATAAAGATGTCTCTTTGTTTGAGGCTGGAAAGGGTTTGTCTTATATGCCCCTGGCCAATATACCTAACCCCCGTACTACCCAATAAATCTACCCAACTCTCCGGTCTCTGGGCTGGGCTCTGACTATCTCCTTCTCTCTCTCTCCTCACCCTCTCACCAAGGTATCCATCTGGGGGATCCATCTGTTGTCGGTTTTCAGGGTCTGGACAGATCACCCATCACTCTGTGTACGGTAGGAACACGCCCACGGGGTATAGGTAAGGGGGGCTTGATTCGGACCCGCTCTCGATTGCCTGTGCGCACTGCGCAGATCTTGTTCACCCTGTCGCAGCCAGACAAGCCCTGCCTAGCAGGGCCCCAGCTACTTTGGCTACTGCAGGTGGTTACTTTGGCAAGGTAGCTACTTTCCGCACGGCGCGCGCGAGTTAAGGCGGTGGTGATCGTTAATGTGTTTTGGGAGCGGTTTTTTTGGTTAAAACTCTTTCCAAGGTTGTCCATTATTCGTTTTCATTAGAAAGCACATCGCCTGATCTTGTATCTTTTGTGTATTACATTACCCACAGCCCACAGCCCACAGGTCTAATGGTCTAATGGTCTAATGGGGTGCATCGCAACCTCCATTTCTGTTTTGTTGCTCCTGTTGCTCTAGAGTCTAATTGGGGTCTCCACTCCTACCTACTGCCCTACTGCCGGTCCTTCTCTTACCTTCCTCCTCGAATTCACCTAATAATATATCATGAGGCAAGTACCTACTGACCGGTCGACTATTGACTTTCCTACCTCCTACTTCAATATTTTAAATATTATCCATTACGTAGCGAGAGGTACCCAGCTGAACGAAATCCTCCGATGTCAACAACCTTATCCGCACTTACACTTACACACACTTACTACACTCACCACTCCCACTTACATATATATCCCCCCAGACTCGACCATCCGACTTATAGAATATTTTTATGGTCATCGGTCATTAAAACCACATCTACGATTGCGATATCATCCCATTACTACGATTCATTTCTCCCGTATATTTAACTTTGACCAGATCAAGTCCAGCCCTATCGATCCACCCGAGCCCTGAATCACTCAAAAGCCGTGGAAATCGACGTTTCGAAGACGCGAACTAACTAAGAAAGCTCAGTTACGTCGAGGCAAAGCTTGCCTCCCTAAAAAACCGTTGGAGAAATTAGGGGCCTCCGGTTTTTGGTCCCGGTGCGGCTTGCTACTCAATCCAGCCGGGCAAGGTCACTACCTGTTAATTTGGTGTTTAGTTGCAAGAAAATACCGGGATCCTCCCGGTACGCGTAGTGACGCCCGTCGACAAGTCAAATATACCCCTCCTAACCTACTCGGGATTTTTGTGGACAAATCCATCCTAATTTCCTACATGGTAGATATCTTAGGAACGAAGTCAAAAATCTGGGGCCTCGGAGGCATCGTCACCCCTACTCCCCATACAGTAAGGGCCTTGAGTTAGGGAACATCCGACATATAGTCGGGGCTTGTGTTTGCATCAAAAGACTTTTTTTTTCTTTGCCAGCAATTCAAACTTTCTGCATCCGATACATAGTCGCATAGTCAGCCCTCCCCGGTAGGCTTCTGACCTTCGTCCTTGTCACTTCCCTTACCATCATAACACGCAACCGTTTCGAGACGCGCCTCCCAGGGAAACCGCAGGGTTTCATGCCTAAATTGCAGATACCACTACCTATTTCGTTCCCCTAACTAGGATTTCCGTCCGAAGATCAAGAGAAAGCCTGGTAGCCCAGGGCATCCTTTCTTTTTTTTCGTCGCGGCCAGTCCTGGTATCCAACCTAAGGGCACCAAAAGAAAAACAATTCTACTCAATTCCGCATACGCTACTAGTCTAGGGACAGACTAATTACGGCCGACTTAGAGCTTATAATAATTATTCAAATCCTACCGCACGCACCACTTGCGCGCGCCGCGAGGTTCACGGACGACTTTAACGGGCCGGTTGTAGCACGGTCTAAAAGAACCTAAGGTAGTCCTCCCTGCGTTTCTTTGGCTCCGCTGCCGGAGGCGCATCGGCTAGAATCGCCTTTTCGAGCGTCTCGTAACCCGTTTCCCGTGGCATGGATGACCACGGGCGGAGGAGGAGGCCGAACGAACCGCCTGTTAACCCGCCGTCCAATGCTAGATATTCCGTCCACGATCCTAATGCACAAGGAAGGTCGTACGGCGCGAGCGGGTCCGATAGGTATCGGCCCGCGCCTCTAAACACGTCGCCTACGGCAGCTCGTGGCATTGGGGGCACGGCTACTTACAGTGGATATTATCAAGAGCCGGCCACAGCTTTCTCCACCGCCATGCAGCAGAACGCAATGCCATACCAATCTGAATACGGCCAAGATACTCGGCAGGCTCAGAGTTTTGGTACTTACAATACACCCATGATGTACAACGTACCACAAGCGAGCGCGCAAAGTGCCGTTTATGATACGAGTCAACAATTCCCGTCTCGGCAACCTGCAGCACTGCAGATGATGCAAACGGATGTAGCTACCCCCTATTTCCCGAGCGAACCGACCAACGCGGCCACAGCGTCTACGTTGCAATCACATGCAGGCTCTTCGAGCGCGTCAGCAGTATATCAGCAGAGCCCGACTAACCAGCGCACAATGCTCCAAAATTATCCAAGCGGGATGGCTCCGATGAGTGGAATGGCGCAAGCGAACACGCCGGAGCAGGTTATAGAGGAACCGGAGTATTCGCAGACAACAGAGATGGCCGAAGCCTACGAGCATTACCAGACCGCTTTGAGGGAGGTCTTCACCAATATACGAAGCGGGGTGTTGCAAGCTGCCAGCGAGTCGCTACTAAATATTTCCGAGTGGTTGCTTTCGAAAGTTGTGGAACTAGGTGAGTCTCTATCTGATACCCCGGAAAGATACATGAGATTTAACTGTTGAAGGCCTCTCAGCAGACGATGAAAACCTCTACAGAGATCGCATTAAGATGTGGCAAGACTTCAACCATGCATGGCTCTCTTTATTCCAGAGACAAAAGGATATGATGGAATCTGGCCAAGCGCTGCAGAGGGGCCAGACATTGATTGGAGAAGAGGGATTGCGCAAGATGGGGAAAGAGATCGTGAGACTTTGCGACGGAATCGACCGACACGGTCTAGTCGACTACGAATATGGAGTTTGGGAGGAGAACATCATTGGTGGTACGTTCTACTGAAGGGGAATAGTCTACGACAGCTGGGTGATGCACATTTGCAGTTTACTAATTTGTGATATCAGTTATCGAGGAATGTCTCGACCTCTACGAAAACGGAGAGGAGGCCGAAGCCGGTGGTTCCTCTACTGCTGGGACGAGCCGCCGCGGCCACCACACTTCCCGATAAGAGCAACGAATGTCCTGATGTAGGACAGCACCGAAGGCATCGATTGGTCGTGATTTGAGACATATACGGGGCGTTCCGTATAAGGGTGATTATTTGCATAGCAGGTTGTGATACCCATCGATCCGGCGCACGGCGCAGAAGCATTATCAACCTATCTCTCATACAAATATATAAGGAGATTATAGGGGATGGGGGGTTTAGGCAGTACGCGAAATGGTATCAGGTCGCATGCTGGATATGGTTGCACGGAGTCGCGAAGTTTACCTCGGTTGGCTATGGACCGTTTTCCTATAATATTGGGACCATTACCTGTCGAGCTGAAGTTGGGTTTCGAGTCCGGGACCAGCTGAAAAAAAGGGGGGCGAATACTACGACTAAGATGAGTGGCAAGAAATGGACTGATGATGGATGGTAATGCAGGGTACAAAACAAGGAAAAAAAGCAATGGAATGAATTTCACTCAAGCGGGTGCGTATGGATGTACGATGCTGTTTACGGGATACCCTTAGAGAATCTGGCGGGTCGCGAAGGGGCGGGTAAAAAAAGGAAGTTATAGAGTAGAAGGGATTTACTGCTCTCACGGGCATGTTTATTAGGTTTCGCCGATTTAGGCTATTCGATTGTACATACAAATTATGCCCATACTTTCTAATCTCAATCCTAGGGATGGAGCTCAATGGCGTGGCGTTGTGTTAGGATTAAATGCGCATGTATTAAATAGGAGATGGATTTTTGATCGCGATCCGAAATGGGATTGGATGCCTCAAACATCGATTGTTCTTAGGTACCAGGCTAGTCGATAATGTTATGGTACATGTAGCTTTGAATCGCGCATGTACTTATACCTGCATCTAACTTTAAAACATAAAAACAGCTTCCATTTTGAGGCGCCGCATTTGCAGCAGCTGCCTAATGTTCAACCGGATAGATGAGTATTGGAGGAAACTTAAAGTTTAATGTTTTGGTGCGTACCTAGGTATTTGATCTCTCTTCGTCGTACGCCACTCGCCATTTTCCTCTCCTTCATTTTTCTTCCTGTGCCCCTCTAGCAATAAGCCCCAGACTTCTGAAATCGTCTAAATCTCGCTACCTACTCTTCTTCTAGTAAATTCAACATTACATATAAGTAATCAATTTATCTATATGTGGATTATATTGATTAATTGCCAATATACTATATCTAACCGTCACCCATTCCTTTTTGCGAATTTATGTTCTCGAAGTACATCAATTGTGGCATTTCAATATCTTCGAATCCATACACCACAATCCTTCGAACCTACTTACGGGCTATTTCAGCTTTGACACAACCCCGTAAGCTTTACGTACGTTTTTTTATTACATGGTCTGTACATGGGTCAACCAAGACTTATATGTTTACAGGGACAAGTCCCCCAACCAAAAGGACCCCTAAGAATTTCAATCTGTAGTCGAATGTCAATACTGATTGGCTAGTTGCGATAGCCGCGATGATGCAAGTCAATCTCGGAAGTTTTCCGACTCAGCTGGACTTGTGTGTCTCTGATAGCCATTCGGCGAAGATCGTCTAGCTGCGATCTTCCTTGGGGCGCACTCTTGTCAGACGGTCGCGCGGCCAGTAATAGGATTGACCCGACACCATGGGAGGGTGGGCATTAGCACTCCGTTCGCCAGAAATCCCCTTGTCCATTTTACCTGATAGGTGAGCAGTTTTGATCCGTGCTACCCTCCCGATGTAACCGTCCCTTGGTTAGGGCTTAAGCAAACATGGGGAAAAGGCACAGAGGTGTGGTGCTGTAAAAAAAGGCTTCACTTCATTTTATGACCTGTCATTTTTGTTAGACTCGCACCCTCTCTACTTAGGACGAAGATCTGCATCCCATCTTAGGTCAAGCGACAAGGGACCAAATGTTGGACGGAGTGGCTGATTATCTAAATCCTCCTTTATTTTAATTTTTTCTTTCTTTCTCCTCTTCTTCTAGTCCATCCACCAGTCACGTAGCACAGAGACAGGTACGAATGGGCCTTGGTGGTGTTTGCAGCTGAACCACTGAAACAAACTCAGCAAACAAGCGGTTTGTTTATTGCTCATTCGAAAGACATTGAAGGGGTTATGACCTAAGGGTTCGATATATTTGTACGACTCAAAAGAATCCCGGCGTGTCTCATCAACCGATGTCGACAAGGTCGTTCCTCGAACCCCTACCCAGATAATCGGGTCCGACGCCGCTGAGGCCGCCAGAACCTCTATCCAAATCGAAGACATTCGTGTAGGGCTGGTTGCTACAAGCCCAGTGCTACCCAATTCCAGGCTATTGGAAAGAGGCTAAGAAGTTCCTTGACGTCGCATCAGCAAATGTTCCGCAGGAAGCTGAACCTGAACCATTGGATCTGCAATCTCCGCCTAGCAGATCTGGAGCGCGGAAGCTTCCCCGTCGTCGATCCTAACAGCTCATCGCTCACATCTGAGAATTGACCACATCAGCTTGCCTGACCCTCGTCCGTACCCACTGGACGGAAGGAAGAAAAGAAGAAAACAGCCCCCTGTCAACGCAACTACCCGCGCCTCTAATCCTAGATTGCAAAGGCCGTAACGGCCTGGAACTAGGGCCCTGTTTTTACCTACATGATCTAGGAGAATTGCATGAACACAACTAGCTTTGTGTCACGTCGCTGACCGGTGACATGCAACATAGGTAACTCGGTATATTTGGTGGCTACACTAATGATTACCTAGGTATTGCTCGTTTGAAATGAACCAACTTCTTAAGCGGCCCGCCTCTATGTCGCTTGGTATTAGGCTAGTTTGAGGCGCGGCGGCTCGGTATACCAAGGTACCATATAGAGACATACCAAAGTTCCGTCAACGACAAATCCTTCTTGGCAAAGACAAGATCGTTGCGCAATATGCATGTAATCTCTATCCCGCATACGCCATTAAATTAAGATAGTTCGTCACAGGCGTCATCTGACGGGACGCTCCCGTCCTGAGCACTTGCAGGAGATCAACTGTTTCATTGCTAGGTGTGGAGCCGGTCTGGCTCTTTGAGGCGTTTCGCAGTTCGTAGAGCCAACAAAATTTGATCGCCTATACTTCAAAAGGAATGTGGTTATCGGTGAGCTTTCCATTTACATCCTTAATTTATATTCTATTCGCGAGTCTTTTCCATTTACGTCATGGCGTGCAGGATCTTGCATCCCATCTTGGCCGTGTGACGGTAATGTCTTTTCTGGAAATGAACGATATCACGTCATTGTCTGGGAAGCGGGAGTGAGAGGGAGATGAATATGGAAAGAAAAGAACCTGGTCTTCTATTCAGATGACTGTGGGGGTCTTATGGCCGAGTGCAACCCTTGTCAATGCATAGCAGCACCAATAGAACAATTGTGTCCTTCCTATCAAAGAGCATCGCATTAACTCTCTTCTACAAGGCCACGGCAGGATCATGTCTTACACCGAAAGAGTCCCCCCAATTCGTGATATGGTTGTTTCCATCGACAAGATCGCAACCATTCTAGCTTCTTGTCACTTGGACTCTTCACCTAAATAGCTCGGTGCTCTAGATGGAAAATTCATGCGCACTATCTATGGTAGTAGTTGTATTTATTCGTGGAATCTATCTGGTATGTTCTTATATTAGACGTGGACATCGAAATATTTCACCCAAGGCTTGCAGACAAAGGAAGCTGATTATGGAGACCTCGTCACCGCTAATACATCGAATATACGCTTATTACCTACATGTTAGATATGACTATGTCGAATATCGCCTTATGTTGCGAATTACTGTAGTCTAATAGAGGTGATATTTTGAATTTATTCGCGCCCTGGATACATACCATAGATGGTACCGCCGTGATTTTGCTGACACTGGACGGTAACGTAGATCTTTTCAATATTTCTTAGTATACCTAGAACCGAACTGGGCGTCATCCCAGATTTATGGCTCTGGCTTTCTCTAAGCCCTCTATGTGAAAAACCAAGAGCGTAGTGTGATTATGACGAGTCTTTCTCTGGAGGGAGTTGACAACGAGTTGTTCTACGAAAGGCACTTAGCCATCTACCGTGGAATAGGAACCTCGTGCCCTCATGACATTTTATCAACTAAGTCATCGGCGATGTTTGATCCTCAACGTCTGGAAAGATTGGATTTATACAATCTACGATGATAACTGCCAAAACCTAATCTCACCTCGGTATCAACAAGCATCTGGTCACGTATTATGCTTACATTGTATATAGACATATATAAGCCAGACCCAGTGGTTATTTGATGACTGTTTGGTATAATTTGTGAATTATATCACCTACGAACCTCGTTGTCGTAGTTCCATACCAATACAATGAATTAATAGATGCATTCTAAAATGTCTAACCGGTCTATCTAGCATATAAAAGTACATTGAGCTTGCCCATACGCTTAAAATGATGACTTTTATTGTTATATATCGTGGGAATACGACAGAGTTGAACTTCCCTTGCAATAGTTGGATGTCTTGTAAGGCTAAGGGCTATGAACATCTAATTAGTCGCGGAAATTTCTCTCTTATACACTGACTCTCCTTGGTGAATACACATTGTATTTCTCACGATAGCCTCCCTACAGGTAGGAGATGAGAAGACAAGATGTTTTCGAGCGTAGACAGGGTATAGAAGGGCAGATGGAGTCACAGTATATCACCTTTCTATTATTGTCAATGTCTAATATTCTACTTGTAAATTTAGGACGGAATATATCTTAGCTCTACTGGTTCATGATCCTATACTCTTTCCGTTCGCCTTAGTTGGCCCGTAGAGTCCCCTACTGCTTCTATAATGTTTCGTATAAGCTTCCTATGAACTATTAGATATACTAATCAATAGTCTACTTTACTCGGGCTATTGATACTGCTTAATTATACGCTGTGGGTCTCGTATAATTATCCCCGATGGTGAGGCGGGTGTATAGACGAGCTAAGGAGCTAGGCCTACCAGCTAGGTAAGCCTAGGTCAGTCGATAGCCCCAGAACTCATCGTGTACTTTAGACGAGCGACATCCCCCTTAATGGAAGGCGGGAACCCAATGCCGGCTGGGTATATGCCTATGGACTGATTTTGTCGACGCGTGGAACGTGATATCGAGGCGTTTCGGGGTGTCCCGTATCGCTCCGTCGTGGTCATCCTCACGTATAGATACCTAGATAGGATCTTCTATACGGGATAGAAATGCAATGCTTCTAAGCAGGGGCTCTTGAAAACTGCTACCTAACTTAGATTCCTATTGGTCTGGACAGCCCTTATACCGTGAGGTGACGTATATTTGTTTTATTATTTTGTCGACGTGAGTCTATCAGCGCAACCAGTTGGCACCCGGTTCCGATATAATCTTGTCCATAGGAACGTCCTCTATGGGTGTGTGCTTAGGTTACTAGCGTACGAAAAGAAGTTAGAGACATCGATGCGGGACTGCTGATTGTCATTGACATTATCATCAACGTTCTATATTTGGGCGGGAGCAATTAGGCTATGTCGGTATGTCCTCAAAAGTCAATATAATCAACATGTCTGAGCGACGTACTGGGAAAACGCTTCAAGCCACCACCATAACGAGCACCTGCCTCAACCTGACAATCATATCTTCGACATAGATTCACTCGCACACATCGCGATCCCCGTCGCTTCATAGATGTCCTTAGGACAAAAACTTCACATAACACGTATCACATCCGTACTCGTTCAACGAGGTGGTCCAGGATTTGCCCAGGTGGATCATATATGGTTCCCAAGCCTCATTATTCATTATTATGATAAGCATCGTGGTATCTAGAACTGATCTGTACCATACCGTTAGCAATCCAAGTCCAGCAACCGCAGAAATATTTCGAAGGAGGTAGAGTAACTCACCTAAAGTCATGCTCATGCTCACGTCAGTGCTCTCAACCATCTTCGTAAACTCCTCGAAGCTGATCTTGCCGTCCTTATCAAGGTCGGCCTCCATAATGGTCTTGTCCACAATCTGCTGCAGCTGCTGGTCCTTCAAGTTGCTGCCCACCATCATCTTGAGGACAATAAATAGTTCACCATTGCTTATGTATCCATCTCGGTCAATGTCGTAGACTTTGAAGGCGAACCTGAGCTTCTGCTCCTTGTTCCCCTTGCTACTGAACGCGCTCAGCCCCGAGACGAATTCCTGGAAATCCACGTCACCACCACCATCCTCGTCGAATATCGCTATCATTCTGTTTTTTGAGTTAGCTTGGTCGCTGTCGGCTTGGCATGGGGGGTGGTTCAATGGGCGTACCTCGTAGCAAGTGGGTTCGACGATATTTGGGGTAGACTGAGAAACTCTTCTCGCTCGATCGTTCCTGAGTTGTCCTGGAGTCAGATATATCGTTAGCTTATCGTAGGCGCTATAAATGGATGTCACATGTTGCTAAAAAGCTTCGTACCTTGTCGAGTTTCATGAATCTCTTCCTAAGTCTGTCTACCTCCTCTCGGTCGACTATGATTCGTAATTAGTACTGTGCTCGGTCGCATTCGAGGGAAGGTCGAGTGCGTACAGTTCGACCCTTGGACGATGGTCTCCAGCACGGAGCTGGTTGTATTACCCATGATGTTGAATACTCCTTGGCGAAGTTGCGTTTAGATAGCTAAAATGTGATCGGAAAGAAGGTGAGCATAAGGAGTAGCTCTAGTAACGAAGTTGGGTAACCGTATTAAACCTTCGGGCTGCGACGCAATGATTCGGTAGATATTCGGGGTCGTATTGGTATAAGTAGACTGTTTATACGTATGTAATCGCCGGATCGAAAATACGTCACGTTAAATGTTCAACGTTGAAGAAAGAATGGTGAAGGACGATGATGAGGCTGATGGTGGATGGAGAGTTAGGTGGGAATGTGGGTTGGTGGGGTCCTTCCGTGACAAGGCGACCAAGATCTCAATTGCCTTTAATGTGGAGACACCTTCCTCGGAAGCCACAAGCACTATAGTAATTATTACGTCGAAGCCACACTGTACATGTGCGTGTGTACCTGCGAACTTGCATAACTCTGGAACGAACCGATGCAGCTTTCCATTGGTGCACACCAGTTAAGGGTACCTAGGTACCTGCCGAATATAGTGTAAAGATGAACGAAACATGGATATGCGATGGTCAAACTAACAAAAAGGTCATGCTTAAATGATATGATTAAATTGGTACTTATTGATACTGTAAACAGACACATCATATGAACTTTCGTAAAGTGATTTATATTACGAAGTAATGATCAGGTACGGAGGTACTGTATGCCGATATGCCGTCTTATCTTATCAAAGTGCATAATGGCTGACGCTGTGGCTGAAAAATATTTTCCAGGCTGCAGCTTTCCTTCCGACCCAAAATGTAAAAACTCAAATTTTCTAGGGAATACAGCGTCGCAAAATGTACAATCCAAAGGAATCAATTGTTACATTCAAATAAATTGCCTCATCGCAATGCAAGAAAGGATAGCTAAAAAATTCAATAGAATGTCATCATATCTTGTATATCATTGGTCTAAATTACCTAGTGCAGGCAGCGAAAAAGCCCCTTTTGCTCATTTCCCTTTATCAGGGAAAAGGTTCAAAATGAAAAGGGGCAAATGTAGCGAAAAGGTAGCTTGAAAGTACACATCCGGCGAAAGAATGTGGAAGTGAAGAGGCGTGTACTATGACCAGTACTTACCCTTCTGTTATGTTTTTTTTAGCGGCATTGTTATCAGGGTCCCCGGTAACTTTCTACCCCCTTTCCCCCTCCCCCAAAGCTGTCGCCCAAGATTGCACGGTTCACCGGTGCACCCAATCACGGCTCGCGATTGCAGCATAGTTACAGGGCTAGAGGGAAGGTGCAAAGCCATTTTAGTCATTTTGGTGGGGCAAAACGCCTTTAACGCCTTTCACGCTTCCACTGAACCCCCCGAACTGGTGGCCCCCCTCCCCTCTGCACAACCTTCTGCACAATCACTATTCTCATTTTGTTGTGTTCGCTCTACTGCTCTACTGCTTGGGCTGCCCTGCTGCGGCCGACCAAGCAAAAAATTTGCGCCCCAAACAATTCAACGTCACCTCATCCAACAACGATAGTTTGCCCATCAAAACAACCACCTGAACACGCGTTTTACCTCTCAAAAATTCGATTTTTCATCGTCGCATGACCTAAACTTTTAGGTCCCCGAATTTTTTCGGGCTTTTTCCGACCACTTTGTCGACTTCTCCCGCCCCATCATCCTACACCGCTGACCGCCATGTCGACCCGGAAAGTGCGATACAAGAAACTTAACACAAAGACGCCTCTGCCCATATTCCGCGAAGATCAAATCGACCCCAACGAATACGAATCTCTTACAACTGAATCTCAAATCGCGACCGGTGTCGAGCAAGCAGAAGAAAATGTGAGTTTTCATTACCTTTCTTACCTTTGATATGCGCGTCACGTGATACAACACGTGACTCCACTACGCCTTCGAATGCAGCTTTTGATATCAAGCTTTTACTGCCTACCTATTACGACTTACCATTCGCTAACACATTCTCTAAATAGGAATACCATCTGCAGGCTGCCCTCAAGGGCGTCGGCGCAAGCACAGACAATGAAATTCCTGTGCCGCCGCCCCAGAAGAGTGAGACGAACTATGATGAGCTGTATCCCACTCCATATGTAGAGCCCAGAAATTACATCAAGTTTTCCGAGACCGTGGAAGAGACTTTGAGGAGTCTCTATGATATGACCACAGAGGATGAAGAGTATCTCAAGGCCTACAATGCTAAGTGGGTGGGAAATACTCCGATGTCCGAGGATGACTTCGAGCGGATCATGGAAATATTTGAGGACACTGCCGCAGAGCAAGCTCCCTATGCTGCAGTTGACAACACGGTGGTGTCGTTCGAGACGATGCTCCAAGCCATGAGACACGTAATCCCTGATAAGCTCATCCAAACTCATGCCAAGCATGTCTATGAGTACTGGAAAACCTCGCGACAGACAAGTGGCAACAAGCCCTTGCATCCTTCGCTCAAGTTCGAAACCCATCAAGAGCATGACGACATGGATCCTTATGTCTGCTTCCGCCGTCGCGAAGTTCGACAGACGAGGAAGACGAGGGCTCGTGACGCGCAGGTGAGCGATAAGCTGAAGAAATTACGTAGGGAGCTGGAAGAAGCACGCCAGCTTGTTGTCTTCTCATATCAGCGAGAGATATTCAAGAGGGAGATGTTGAGTAGCGATAAGTCAATATTCGAACATCGGGCCAGTCTCAAAACCACCAAAGTACGATTTGGTATCAAAGTCGACGACGACGATTTATTCAACGCCCGACCACAGAAACGACCAAGGACAGAAGTTCAACAGCCGGCACGTGCTGGTCCTCATGGTCAACTTCGGCTTGTCGTCCGTCCGGATGGAGGGAGATCCGTGGAACCCGCCGACCTTACTATCTTATCTGATAAACTCGCCGAGAAGGAGAATGAGTTGCGTAATGATGTTGAGATGAAGATCCAGAACCACCGGAGATGGAATCACAACTTTGTTGACTTGACTGCTGACCCACTGCCTCCCGTTCGAGAGGAGAAGGAGCCCAGCTTCAGGCCCGCTAAGACCGCTTATTTGATGACTCCGCCGGCATCCGCATCAGATTCTATGGAGATAGATGAGCCATCTGCAGCAGAAGCGGAAGAGTCTCTTTTGCATTCCGGCTTCAATGGCATTAACCTAGGCTCTACAGAGCACGAGGAGATGCCTTCGTTCCGTCGTCGCATAGGCCGATTAAACCGATTGTTCATTGACCGTCGACCGCCCAAGGTACATGAGCAACGAAGTCCTCCGCGGGAAATAGATTTTACCCAGAGTGATCGTTGGAAGTATGACCAAGATGATGACGATGACGATGAACAACCGGTGTATGAAGTTGACCCCAATAGCTCTCAGCAGATGAGGTTCCGGTCGACGATACCCCCGTCGGCCTTCCTCTTTAGAAGACAGGGTATGGATAATGGCCATCAGGGAGGGAATACAAATCGTCCATCCCTACCACAACCACAAGCGCCTCCAATTCAGCCTCCGACACAACCTCAAGTACAGCCTTCTCAGACTTCAACATGATGAGTCTTCTGGAAAATTCTAATTGATCTCCGATGAGTTCGGGAACCGAATTAGGAACCCGAATAGTCGTCGAAAAGGCGGATGATATTCGGGAAATAGCGAACCTAGTCGAAGAGACCCGAATGAAGTAGAAGTCAGCCTCAAACCGACCATACTTAAGTATCACTACCCAGTACAAAGTAGGGCGATAAAATCGCATTGGTGCTTGAGGTGTAGCTTCACTTAGAGATCGAACATGAAGGATGGTTGCTGCCCTTTGGCGTATACCATTCGATAACAATTCGGCGATAAGTGCCTGATTCGCGATCTTCTCTTTTGAGGTGGTCCGCTGCGATGTCATCCCACTCACTCACATAATCTTTAAACGTTCGCGTCAACAACCTGTACATAAGTCCCGCGGACGTCGTGGTTTGGCAAAAGTGTAAAGTTGAGGAGTTAGTGGCCGTTTTGCCGCAAAATTATATAGTCTTGAGAGCCATATGCATAGCCGGTGGAGTTGATAGCATTCAGTTAGGGCGTTTGTGGCTCCAAATGATGAGGAAGGGTAAAGGAGATCAATATATCTTCTCAATCTCTTCGTACCTTGTCTTTCGATTCGGTGATTTGATGTGACTTCCCTGCTCGTTGCTTGTGTTGTGCTCCTTCCATTAGCTATTGTACCTCTGGGGAGGCTGCGTAGTTGAGACGGTCCATGCATGTATTGCCAGGACTGGGTAACTAGTTGTAGGCGCCTTCTTGGTTCTTAGAAGGTCATAGCTCCCTTCCGAGAAATTCGCGACACGAGGGGCTTTGCCCTCTAAGTCATCAATATTGGATGACATGCGGTTGCCCGTTCATGACCTCCTATTTTGCTAGGAAAACGCCAGGCTTGGGCGCGGAATCTAGCCACATTGTTTTTGCGTCCATTGCGACTTTTACTATCTGTAGAAGCTATACAAGCTCTTGGAATTGTTAGATTTTATTTCATTGCAAGCAAGGGGATTAGAATAAGTAAGAAATAAAGTAAAATTCGTGATATGACTTGGATATTAAAGACAAGCACTGGAAGATGACGGAAACGTATCTTGAATCTGGCATATGACGCCGGGTTTAACGTGCGGAGAAAGTCTTGGAGGACAGTAGGTAGCATCGCCATCCAAAGTAAGAAATGACCGCCGTACGGATCGGTCCATTGAGAAGTTGGAGATAAATAAGAAATTGATATGTCTGTTAAGTATAGCAAATTGTAGAAAAGTCGAGATGACTATCGCAAGATAGGTTTTTGCACGAAACTGCGAAATATAGAATACTCACCACAATCTCGAGAAAATTCATCTCGACTAGGTTTGTGTAGTCGACCATAGTCAACCCTAGCCGATGGCTCGGACCGGGAGAAGAATTTCAAGCTTTAAGCTTCATATATACTATAGAAGCAAATATATCGATATATTTGGACTACTAGTAGTTCTAGTGTCGGTGACGGTGCGCGATATTGGCTTGGATCAGGTGAGGAGTCTGCAGTATTCGGGTAGGCGCATGGTCGCTAGCATGGCCGACTCATCTGTGGTCGGAGCTCGCGAAATTCCTAATAATGAGGGGAAGCATAACTCGGGGAGTAGTCGAAACTTGTGGGAGCATTGGAGAGTTTTCGTAAGGGATAGAAGGGAGTTGGAAGAATGTTGGTTAGGAGTATGTATCTATAAGAGGCTCAAGTCAGCAAGTCGTCGGAAGGCGGGCCAGTCTCGGATTACCGACAACAATGACGAATATCTGCAGCTCTCTGATTCAGGGCTGTCAGATACAAGAAATTCGACACAGTATAATAAGAGGGTCAGATAAGAAACTGACGATATAGCGAGAAAACAAAATAGCTAGAAACAAAAGTAGTCGGCCTGTGGGAAGAATGGGAAAATATGAAGTTGGAAGAAAAGTACCGGGCGGCGATTTGGTAATAATAAGTATAGGATTTCTCTCCTGGTGCTTAGGACTGAAGGCTATTATTGCCCCGTTCCGTCAAGAGGGTGGAATAAGTGCGGTTTGCCCCACTTACAAGCGCAACTCGACAGACAGACGGCCAGCTGGTACCTAAACCTTAACACGTCCGAGATGGGACCCACAAATGCAAGTATGGGACGTACATTTCCCAATGGTTCCGCCAACCACTTAAGAGAACTTGAGTGTCTATCGATAAGGATCGGGGCGTCATTGGAGGGGTCGCCCGCGTCTCTGCAGCTAAGCACTTCCCGCTCTTACATAGCAGATAGTAGATCTAAACCCCACAAGAAGATAGCCTCATAACTACGACATAACCCTTATTAACCTAAACTCAAATTATACAGCCTCCAAATTTGACACTGTTGAGTCTAGAGTCGCAAATTTGGGCAAGGAATAACCACTCTATATCGAGTTAGTTATCCAAAGGTTGCGCTCGCAAACGCACTTCCTTCACATCGTCGACCCCACCTTCACCGATCACCACGAGGGTTACAACCACCAAAAAAAATCAAAGTAAAGAAGTAAAGAACCGAAAATGACCAAACCCAACAATCAACCCCTCATAGCTATCGGCTTCGAAGGCAGCGCCAACAAACTAGGCGTCGGCATAATATCCCACGACCCTTTCACCAAAAAATCCAGCATCCTCGCCAACGTCCGCGACACCTTCGTCTCCCCACCCGGCACCGGTTTCCTCCCCAAAGACACAGCCCGCCACCACCGCGCGCACTTCACACGTCTGGCGCGAAAAGCCCTCTCCGACGCCGGCATCACAGACCCATCAACGCAAATATCATGCGTATGCTACACGCGCGGTCCCGGCATGGGCGCACCCCTCCAATCCGCCGCCGTAGGCGCGCGCACAATATCACTTCTCTGGGGTCTACCTCTAGTCGGCGTAAACCACTGCGTAGGCCACATCGAAATGGGACGCGAGATCACAGGAGCTGATAATCCCGTGGTGTTGTACGTGTCAGGTGGTAACACACAAGTCATCGCGTACGCAGAACGCCGGTACCGGATTTTCGGCGAGACGTTGGATATCGCCGTAGGCAACTGTTTAGATCGCTTCGCGCGAACGTTGGAGATTAGCAATGATCCCGCGCCGGGGTATAATATCGAACTCTTGGCGCGGAAGGGGGCGATCCGGGGGAAGTTGCTGTATCTACCGTATGCTGTTAAGGGTATGGATTGCAGTTTTAGTGGAATCTTAAGCGCGGCCGATTTACTAGCTGCGCAGATGCGCGAACAAGAGGCTAAGATCGCGCGGGGTGAGGAGGTTAGTGAGGAAGAGAGGTTCACGCCAGAGGACTTATGCTTTAGTCTCCAGGAGACAGTGTACGCGATGCTGGTGGAAATAACCGAGCGCGCTATGGCACACGTGGGCAGCAACCAAGTCCTTGTCGTAGGCGGCGTGGGATGCAATGAGCGCCTACAGGAGATGATGGGACAAATGGCTAAGGAGAGAGGCGGTAGCGTTTACGCCACCGACGAACGCTTCTGTATCGACAATGGCATAATGATCGCCCACGCTGGTCTACTAGCATACGAGACGGGATTCCGTACTCCGCTAGAGGATAGCACATGTACACAGCGATTTAGAACCGACGAAGTTTACGTTAAATGGCGAGATTGAACTCACAAACCTGACACGTCTCTTTGTGTTTGCATGGACCTGTGTTCCAAATTCATTATCGACATTGTCTAACTTGACTTTATACCTATGCTTGCGCAGCTTTGACATTTCCCTCATATACATCCTTCTATGTCGTGGCTTCATGATATTCTCATAAACCCCCTTTTAATTACGGCGCGTGCCTCCGCCTGTTCATGAACAACTCATTACCAAATCTGATCTGCTTTCGGAATAGCGCAAGATACACAGCACATATCAGTGCTACATTTCAGAGCCCAACACAACTCTAGGCGTAGCTGACTTTCCCTTGATCCAAGTGAGATACAGTGGGGTATCATACCCCTATCGAGATGAAATTCGGAGTAATAGGAAATATGCCATCTCATATAAGTGTCTGGAGCACACTAATGCTTTTACTACACAGGACCAGACAATGCTTATTCGTTTTTTGTGGCCTTGTAAATAATTGTAGTAACATACTTCGACCCCGTTAGTATTGGGGTTTTAGAAGAAATCTCCTGGGAATGACCTACCTTGCTCTGATATCGGGTAGTAGCCGACACAGCAAGAACGTTGTTTTTTATACTACACGTAGCTAAATGGTTGAGTACGGTGTGGTTCGGCATGTTGAGGACGCTGTTATCGTCCTTGATCAATGTGGTGTTGTTCATGATCGGCTTGCTTAAGAAACCGGGTAAACTTGGTGGCGGTGGAAGTCGTTCAAGGGCTAGAGCGGAAAGCCTGTATGTTGAGGTGTCCTCGGCTTGGTCGAAGTCGTCCAGATACTGGGGGATCTTTGCGGAGAACTTCTCAACCGGATCAATGACCTTATATTGTGGGCCTTTGACTGAACCGTCGTGTGAAGGTTGCCTTGACGGAAGAGATAAGGCGGCTTCGTTAGACTTAGGAACACCGGTATCTAGAGGCACATTCCTTGAGTCGCTATCGTCGCCGCTCACTTCGATATAGTTAACCAGATTATTTCCAAAATCGACAGTAGTAGGCAGATCAGGTGATGTCTGCATATTACCATCCACTAGAAATTTTATGTGATGCGTCCCGGGGAAAACAGGTATTATTGTCTCCAACACACCCTCTCTTTCCTTGCTATAAGCCAGGATACGTCAGCAACCAACGAACATTTCACTTTCAATATATTTTATACGGTACAGAAACCCAAGCGTCTCGTTTAGACATACGGGATTGAATTTACGGTAGCGAAAGGGACAACTTACGAAGGAAGTAGTCTCTGCTTTCGGCTCCATTGAAATGGCGTTCCCGTCACATAAACTTTTTGACCACCCCGCGACCACTCGATACGGGTTGGTATGGTCGGTCGCGTCTTATCGACTCGGAGTTCTTCAGCATCATCTTCATCAGTCGCATTGCTTAGCCCTGACGCTCTACGTGGTATGCTAGCCGAATCGTCAAGGGGTGGAACATCGTCAACAGCCTTGGCGTCAGCATCACTAGGAGGGACAATGGGCGAGCCCGGAGTGTGAATTTCCTCCTCGATCGGCAATGGCAGTCGCGGAGGACGACTGATGTGATATGACATGTCCTGAATACTACTAGAGGTAGGGCCTGATATAAGGCTCTCCTCGTACTGGGAATCGCGCGCGTATGGTGAGTCCTGTTCCTGGTGGGAATAGGAGAAGGGAACGGCTACGGGTTGGGAGTGTTCATCCTTGAAGTCGGCAGGCTTCTGCTTAGGCTCGGGTGGTCTAGGGATACCGGCGGAGTGGTTGGAGCTAGTGGAGGGTGACGATGAATTGAGTATGGACAGTGGTCTCGACTGGGCGTTTTTGTTAATAATGGAGGTGCCGGTTGCTTGGACAGCCGAAGCCTCGGGAGACGCTGGTGACCTGATATGTTGGTTGTGTATTGACACCAGGTTCTTGGGCTGGTTCTTAGAGGCTCGCGGAGAATCGTGGGAGGAAGCAGTGGTGGGGGTGGCCGGCTTCGAGGTTGATGAAGGGTTGTTTCCCATGGTTTGGCGTGGGGGAAGGGGAGGAAAGGATTTCCCCCCTCTAGTCGTTGGGCTTTTTTGCTTGTTCCTATCGAATGTCTGGAAAGGGGAAATTGGTCAATCAATCGCGGGGAAGTCGGAAGCTGACGGGCGGGTGTGGTGCCTTGGTGCGTCGTGCGTCGTGGGCCGTGGGCGGGTGCCGCGGGCAGATTGCCTGGTTGCCAGGCTGCGCAGGCCTCGCAGGGAAGGCGGTGTGACCGAAGGGGAATTATTTGTTTGGAATTTGCTTAAGGTGAATCAAGCTGAGCGAGACTGAGCGTGGATCATCGCAAGCAAAAATGGTCATGAGACCCTTTTTTGGCGTAATCGGGCGATGAGACAGCTGGATGGACAATGAAGGGCTATTGGGCAGTTGGGGGAAGATCTAAACGAGGAAGGACGAGGTTCAGGTTAAGTCTGCTGGTCGTTCCATGATAACGCTAAGTCCAATCAATTCCTACCCCTGCACCCTGCCCGCCTTGCTCTTCCCCAGTCAATGGTCAATGGTCAGCGCATTGACCACCGGACCCAAATATCACCGCAAGGGTCCAAGTACCATTATCAGACTAAGGTACATGAACTTATTTATGATCTCATTTAGACTTTACTATTTTATAGAGTTTACATAATAATTTTAGAAACTAATATTGGGAAAACGAACGTTTCATATGAATTAATCACTCCTAAAATCTAGACGCTAACAACACTTTTAACCCCTGTCCATATGTATCGAATCAGGTTGATACATTGGTGTATTCCTTCAGAGTCGGCGGTGAGTCCATCATCTATTTGAAGCAGATTTGTACCTATCATAACGTATAGATTGACCTTGCAAATAAAGTATCCAAAAGCAAAAAGTACTTATTCCTCAGCCGATCGAGCCGCTTTACCGCACGTTTGTTTTCAGTTACATAACAGCCTTGAGTCTTTGATCCAGTTTGTTCCAATACATTCCCAGCAGTAAACTTAGCCAAGCACCTGAGCTTTCGAGCTTAGGTAGGCTCTAGGGCTGGTAGGTCTGGTGTTCCATCTTAGGCAGTGCCCCGCCGGATCGGACTAACAAATTCACCCTTTCTCCGTACTCCTTCCCCAGAAATGTCGGGCAGCCGCATTTAGGAAAGTACTGGTAACCTATCTAGGTAACCGGCAGTAGCAGCCCTCATACATTGTACCATAGAAAGAATAGAGTGATGTACATACGCGTTTCTGTGGTACCTGAACTATGATCATCTGAAGTTTGGTGCCAAGAGTGGAGCGTCACCTTCGTCATACCCCCGGCCATCGGTAATATGATTCGGTCAATCGAGAGATAACCTAAAATGCCAATCCTCCAAATAAGGATTCTACAAGTTCAACCATCATTCTTCACCGGTCCAAATTTTGAAAGTCGCCTGGTTCCGAACTAAACACACAGGGAACGAACACTATCCGCTTTCCGCCTCATTGGGCCATCATCACGAGGACCACGAGGCCAATCCAAGGCCATGGATTGGTTGACGAGATTGCAGGTGTTTGGCACGTCATATCTGTATCCCACGCTCAATTTCATATTGAGGTTGTGCTACATCATCACGATACCTCTACACTATCCCATTTACTACCTATTTTTGCTGGTCGTATTTCTCTTATCACCTTTCTGGTATATACTCCGGTCTATCTCAACTGCGGCATTGGCCGCGGTGAATTTGGCCATTAAGCTCAAGGTATTTTCTTCTTAGAGTCTCTTTCTGCGAACAACCCCTGTAGATTGTCCACGTAGACAAAGTTGGTTACTAATTGTAAGATAGTACCTCTACATCTATGTAAGAATATTCATTTGGATTAATACGAGGTCCGAAAGTGATTTTGTCGTACTAACATTGACACAAAATGCAGCTCGCCTACGCAGCAATTATAGGTATCTGTGCGGGCTTTTTGTTGCATGGGACATCGAGCTTTATATTTGTCTCGCTGGGTGTCGACGCGTCACAGAAACGGGCTCGAGATCAACAAAGATCCGAGCTGTCACCTCTAGATGACGAGGAACATTATTTGGATGAACCAGAGTCAGGCACCCGGTCAGAAGATAGCTCCGGCCGACTATCCGGCGCTAGGGATGGTTCAAAACGCACGAAGACAAAGCGGGAACCAAAGGAAGACGCATACGGTATGTTCGAGAAGAAATGGAAGTCACTAAGTTCCTCTGAGAGACCTAGGCGGCGACGAAGGGGCTTGCTCGCTCAGACAATTCATGAGGAAAGTAGTAGCGATTTTTCGTAGTTTAATGAGCGACTAGCTACAAGGCCATTGTTTCACTATACTCCAAAATATGGCTTGGACATTATCGGCGAGCATTGGAGTCGCATGCGAGTCTAGCGAATCGTTATCGAAGCGCCATCCATAAAATAGAGTAATTATGATGGTGTCAGATGACTTAACTGAACCTTATATATATATATATATAAAGTATCGACAATGTTTTATATTATAATTATTATTAATTAACATTAATATTAATGTAGTTTTATTTTCATTATAAATATAACATTTTAATTTATAAATAATATATTAATTTATAATTATTAAAATACTTCCGTGTCACAAACCAGCCCACGAGGAACCCTTGTTGAAACCACAAAACGGAGCATCGGCAACCTATCACGGCTAAACTCCGGATTGATGTGTTGAGATATAACACATCGCAACACATTGCAATACATTACAACACATCACAATACATCATGATAACCTCAGAATAAAAAGAAAAAAAAAGGAATAACTATATTTCCTATATATCTAATCACTCTTTCCATAACTCTTTAATTCTCAATCTAAAACTATTCTTTCAAATATAATAAAAGAACTCCAAGTCTCTCTAACAAACAGAACATACTTAATCACTTGACCTACTATTAATACTGTTACCTTCAAATTAAGACACCCCAGATTAATCAATTCAGCAACGACTATACCTCTCTGAGGCATAGGTTCATCACATTCCAGTTATTTTTTTATTATTATAAACCTTTTATTATCTTATAAAAAATATAATTTAATAATAAAAACATTACAAATCCTTTTTTTATAAATATTATTAAATAATTAATTAAACTTTATATATATATATAATATCGACAGTGCTCCGTATTATAATTAGAACCTTTCTTAATATAACTTCATTACAACCATTATTGGCTGACAGATGGAATCCTATCTGTATTCCGGTGATCCGTCAAATAATGACCCAGAAATCCCGGATCGTGGAGGACAGTAGCTTCGAGGTTGGTTCAGGGTCAATGCGAGACTTCCCCATATCATGCTTACCCGATAGCATATGCAGTGGTGGCGTCAGACTGACAAACTGTTGATATCGCACTTATTCATAAGCCCCTATCTATCATGACGATCCAAAGGGACAGGTGGTACATCGATTTCGACTGCTGATAACAAGGTATAGTCAATTGCGAGGCGTAATGCTCGTGACGTGGAAGATATAAATCATCATTATGAATATTATTTTACTATAACAACGCTGCCATTATTAAAATGCTGACGGCACCCAGGAAGCCTTCGTAGGACAAACGGCTCACCGCACCAGTTGCGGAGGTGGTTGATGCAACCGTGGAAGACTCAACAACTTGCTCTCCTGTCACTGTACTCAGGACAGATTCTGACCCAGTAGTCAAAGCCGAAGTCTGGCTTCCCTGCGTACCCGGGCTAGCTCTGAACGGAGCTGAGTACTCCGTAGTCGACGATGATGACGGGCCCGTCACCGTATGACCAGGAGTTGGCGTCGCAACAAACGCGCTACCACTAGATTTCGGCAGCACAGTCTGCGTCTGGTACCAACTCTGCCACTGCGAGGGATTTGAAAATGCTATTCGCGCATTAGACACAATCTCACAAACCTCAAAAGCAACGAAAAGGAAATACATACGTCTAAAAGTAACCACATCCCCACCGCCAATCGTCGACGTAACCAAATCCCCATACACAAGCGACGGGATACAAGTCGTCTTCCCCACCAAGTCACTATACCCATCAACGCACCAATACATACACCAACCCAAATTCTCCGGCGTAGCCCCATTCCCATTCTCACATCTTGAATTACAATCCGGCGCCGCGGAGGATTGCGCCGGGGACGCGCTATCACGGTGCACGCAATTGAGGCGGCAGTACGGGATATCCGTTACATTTACCGAGCCCGGGAGGAGCGAACCGGTAGCGACGGGCTCCGGGGCGCCGCAGCCTAGGAGGCAGGGCACGTTGTTAGAGTTGAAATGCGAGGATGTGCCGTCGAGGCTATCTTCGCATATTATAGGGTCGGGAATTCCATGGGTAAGTAAAGGAAACAACAAGCTCAACGCCGTCACAATAAAATTCGTATTTCTATGCATCGTGTTTGGTAGGTATCTAGTATGCTGCGAAGGAATCCCGAGAATCTATGTGGGACTATTTACATGGGCAACGCCGTTATTTTATCAACAGCGGATTCTACGAAATTTATTAAAAGCCGAGGAAAACATTAAGATAACATTTAGTTGCTGCCTTGTATGCGGAAAATAGACGCGATGTAACCATCGTTACCATATAAGATTGTATGTAGGTTCACCCAGCCTCATCCAATGGTCTGGGGAAGGATCGAGGTCTAGACCTTTACGTCTAAAGCTTTATATGACTACATTTCTCATAGCCTTGGCCTCACAGCACACGAGACAGTTCTCAAGAGCCGCTTCATCCGCACAATACAAGACCATGCAAATTATTATCATTAAAATCAAGTCAATTCGCGAATAAAGGTCCATGCTAGCTACACACCAGATACAGCAATGCATACTTCTCAAGCACGCGCCTGAGCCCTAAATCCCTTAAAAGCACATTCAAAATAGGGCACCAAAAACGCCAGCATCATGTGCGGCAAACCCTTCCTGCCGTCGGCTTGCTACCTTGCCGCGTGCCGTTGCTGCCCCTAAAAACCATCCCTACTTGCATAAAAAGTAGGTAAAATACATGCCTCAGGCTCACTCAATGTTTTTTATCTCTTGAAGGGCGTTCTCGCCCCAGAGGTGGAGCTTGCTGAGGGCGATAATTCGACCTTCTCTGATGGTAATCCCGATCGTTATCGCGATTCTATCGACGATACACATCTCGATCCCTATCCTGAACTGGGGAGCGGCTTCGACTTCGCGTCTGGCTCGCTCGGCTGCGGTCGTCATAATCTCTGTCGCGTCGATCCCAACCATGTCTTCTATCATCCCGATCGTCCCATCTTCGACGGTCATCTCTTGCCGGTCGGTCTTCCCTAGGTGGGCGCTCGTCTCGACCACCAGCACGGTAACTGGGGATATATGTATCAACATCTGGTCGATTTCCCCCGCGGTTTCTGGGAGCTCGGTCTCGGTATGAGTCGTGGTGTTCCGCAGGATTATCCCATCCATTACCAGGATACTCAGGCGGAGGGGGACGGGGTGGTAGTCGATGATCCATATGAGGTTGGTCTCGGGCCCAGGCTGGTCTACGTCCTCCTTCCTCACCACCTCGGTAATTAGCACCATGATGCTTGGGCGGGTACCTGCCGTTCATCCTGTTGCCGTAGCCATCACCACTACCAAACCCTGCATTAGGACCTTCAAATGCGCCTACACCAACTGTACCGCCCTTAGGAGCGGGTGGAAGAGCAGCCTTTCGGTCGTGGAACTTTCTACGATCCAGCTCGTGGCTATCCTCGAAGGTAGGGAGGTCTTCTGGCCTTGCCGGAAAGGGAGCGGTCTTGAAGTAAGGATGCTCCAAAGCGTCGATCGCATTAATACGAGATCGCCAGTCAAGTGTTAGAAGTTCCTTTAGTAGAGAGATAGCGCTTGAGCCGTGTTCGCGGAATCGTTGCGATAATGTTCCGGGCCGTGGTCGGGGGTTGAGGGCTTCGCCACCAGGCAGCTTTTTCCACCCTGGCATCGTTTGTTCTGTGGGGGTGCCAACTAAGTCGAAGATAATCTCTAGCTGGTGTACATCGCTCTCCCCCGCTAATATGGGCTTACCAACCAGCATCTCCCCAAAGACACAACTGAGAATGAATATTAGCAAGCCGATCATTTATAAATGAGTGTCATAAATCTTACCCAACACCCCACATGTCAATAGCAGTTGTGTATCTCTTAAGATGAAGCAAGAGCTCAGGAGGTCGGTACCATCGAGTGACTACAAGACTAGTGTACTCTCTTCGACCTTCGCCACCACCTTTTCCACGTTCGGGGACGGGCCCATCGTAATGTCGCGCAAGACCAAAATCTGCGATTTGAAGAATGCCTCGGTTATTGATGAGTAAGTTCGCCGCTTTCATATCGCGATGCAGAATCTTGCTATCATGTAGGTAACGGAGGCCTTCGAGGAGTTGGAGAAGGTAGCATTTAATCTGAGGTATGGTAAAATGGACGGAAGGATTGTCGAGTAGACCAGATAAATCGTGGTCCATATATAACATCACCATGTACATAATGGGTCGCTTTCGTTTGTCCGCTTGGTATGGTTAGTTTCATGGGTATTCTCGCACAAGGTCAAGTGCTGCTCACTCGATTTGCTGTGGTGCTCGACGGCCATATCCTCTAGACGTAGAACGTTCTTATGCGACAAGAGCTTGAGAAGCTTGATTTCTCGGAGTGCTGTAATGGGGAAACCATCTTTCTCGTTGTGCATAATAATCTTCTTGAGCGCAACCAGAGTGCCTGTTTTTCGCGATTTCGCCTTGTGGACCTCACTAGGGAGATAGTAAGTATTTTTTCGTATAATATCGAGAGGTCGGCAAAAGCTCACCCAAAGGTACCCTCTCCAAGTTTTCCTAGGAGCTCGTATTCGCTGATTCTAGAGCATCCTCCATAACTGTCTCTCGGTCGCTGATGCTGGATCGCGAAAGATCGCGGTGAAGGGGCGCCATTTCCGACGCTGAGCGCCATCGTGGAAATTGAGGTTGTAAATTCGGTTGTTGTTTTCGCGAGATGCGGTGATAGTAATACGAGTTGAAAATAATCGTAGATGATGCGAAAGAGACCGTTGAAAGAGTTGACTACGTAGGTGAAGAAAGACCTAGATAGTAAACAATCTTTAACATCGCAAACCAGCAACGCGCTAGCTTGCGAAGAAAGAAGATGAATTATGGAAAATATGGTCGCATTCTGAGAATTGGTATCTGTTTAAATAAATAAAAAAGACAGTGTAGAAAGATTAGTGTACCTTGGCCGGGTACGTGATTGAATTCAGGGAACCTTGGAAGCTTTCAATGTTGAATTCGACTGTTTGCACCGTCGTACAGGGGACCCACTACAACAATGGACTTTCACCCGCCACATTTCAGCCTCAGATCTTGATAGTCGGTGGCTCGTGCACGATAACGATTAGCATGGGCTAGGCCATATCGGCAGATCTTCGGCCTATTACACTAAACTTCCCGATCGCTCAGTGAGCTTCCAATTGATCATCACGACATCAACCCAGACGACTTCTGCCTGCCATTGACGAACTTGCTCCCATCCCGATACCGATATTTCTCCTCAATCAAACCTTACGTACGCACCAATTCCCGTCGGATGTACCGTATCGAGAATACCACTAACAGCCGTTAGATTCGAGCAACAATGGCTGGTCCGGGTGGTCCAATTAAGCCGCACGTTCCCGGTATCTACAGATTCACTGCTACCGCTCTCGGTGCAAGCATGTGGTTCTTCGTAAGGCCTCTTTCACCTATTCTATTCTATATAATCATGCTGACATCTTGAATAGTTAATGTGGCGCGCAAGGAAAGACGGTAATTAACCCCGATATTCGAACGAAGAAGAAACTCTTACTCATCCGAAACATAGGCCCCGTCTTACTAGGTTGGAAGCACCCGTGGGACCACTAAATCCTCAACCCATCGAGGACGATGGAGGATTGAACATAAGGAGTGCAATAGCTGCAGATATCATGGCTTCGGGAGGAGCTTAGCATTACATATATACCACGACGATTACCCACCACCGGGAAGAAGGCTCAGATCAATAGAAGAAAAGAACTGGACAACCAGTCTACCACATACTACCTAAGGTCTTACTATTACGACTATTTCAACTTCTCGAACAGATAGTGGGAAACTCCCCAGGTGTCCCCGCCTTCATAGGCGAACAATTCCGAGCAAGCCATATAGAATATCTGCCACCTATTGTACCACATGTTCGCGTTCTGCTCCCCGTACGTTTCAATCAAGTGTGGCCATATCTTATTCTTATTCGCTATCATATTCGAAAGCCAATGCTTGGGTCATGTCAGCATTGGAAGAACAGTAGTCACTTTACATAAATCCAAGATTGAAAGTACAACTCACCTCACATGTTTTTGAATAGTGGTTTCCATTGACCCACCATTGCTTCGTAATATGAAGGTCCTTCTGAAAATACAGCAACAAATCCGCAGACGGCACTATCCAGAAACCCGACATCAGTAAGCCTATTCTTCAAGCGGCAACGGGGGTGTCAAACTGGGCTTCGAATTCGTACTTGTGCCTCCGGTGAAAAAGTGCTCAGTCATCCAACCTTCCTCATAATCATAAGGAGTCGTCTTATGAGCGAATATGTGAACAAATAACTTGCCCCCAGGTTTCAAGGCCCTGGCTACTTTCGCCATAAGTTGTTCATAATTCTTCATGTGCTCAAAAAGCTAGAATTTATTCAAGTCAGCAACTTTTCATCATGAATTCAAAACTTCCACTTGGGACCAATTACCTCTATCGAGACCACCCGATCGAAGCTTTGCTTCTTAAACTCGTAGTCCACCACATTACCCGTGATGACAGTCAAGTTCGTCAATCCCTTTTCTTTTGCTTTAGAATCGATATATTCCTTCTGTGTCCTCGAGTTTGAGAACGCTGTAACCTTGGACTTCGGGTACACCTCCGCGAAGTACAAAGCGCCGGAACCCCAGCCGCATCTATACCGAGAATCAATATCATAACTCGTCAAATAGGGATAGGTAGGCTCACCCCAAATCCAGAATACTCATTCCATCGCGAAGCTCCGCCCTCTCGACATATAGCGCCAGCATAGCGACCTCAGCCTGCGCAAGCGTCTCACTACCCTTTGGATACAAACTACACGAATACTTCATCCGCGGGCCCAACATACCAAGCAGCACACCCGTACCAACTTCATAGTGCTGCTTATTAGCAGTAGCCGTCTCAATAGCAATAGGCCTCGTGCGCAAAAGCTCAAGATATTTCATTTTGCGCTCATAATCCGCAGTTCTCGTCGTAGATCCGATTTCCTCAAGACGTTGCGCGAGTTGTCGTCGAATCCCCATTCGGATCACGGCGTGCGGGAGATACCCGCCATCCAACAGCCAGTCTGCATGTACATAAGTACTTATCATTCATAGTTTCTAGGGTTATATAAAAACTTACCAATATTCATATTGACTATTTCGAGGCCTCGTGTATACAAATCTACACCTGAATTCATCGGATAGATAATTTAAGCAGTGTGTTTTAGTACCTCAGAGAATTATATGTTGTCACTGAGGGAAGATATGTCTCACCGTCTCGTTGCGAAATGCATGATGGGCATCCGAGCGAGCCTGAACCACCCCCCTTGTGAAACAGAACGCCATGCGGAACTCAAAAGTGGGTCTAATGCCGGAGAAGAATCTAGTTGTCATCATACATGTAGGTATTATCACGTAGAAAAAAGAAATTTGGGTGTCTTGAAAACCTAGTTTTTCTTTTGTTTAACTTGGAAGGCCCAGCTTGTTAATAAGCCAGCTCAACAATAAGTATTACTTATGGTGGGATGGACTACGCAATATAGGTGAGCTATCCTGAACCCCACCCTCTAGGAGTTGGTGATATGATCGTCCTGTAGTATCGTTTCAGTTCTACAGTAACTGGAAATCCGGATGGATTCAAAAACTTCACTGAAAGGGGTAGTATTATTTCAATCCAATTCCCAATTACCTAGGTATCCTTTTCTTACGTTTTTCGTTTACCCTTAGGATCCCGCCGCCGTTCCCAAACCTGCAGATACGACTCCCCTAGGTACAACAATTCCTTCTGGGTCTCCTCCACGAACAGGTCCTGACATACTACCCATTCATCTCTTCCCTTATCCTTCAACTGGACCTTCCAAGTTTTTCGTTCTTCTCCCGAATCTGCGACATCTTCTTTCGCTCTGACAGCTTCATGGGTAACGTTCGCTACTAGATCATACCAGATCGGCTCCCCAGGAGGATGATCTGCAGGGCTGGGTTCAACATATGGTGATACGTCAAGACCAACGCGCGCGTCGAAGGTAACGATAGTAGGGTTGCGCTCGGATACGAATTTATTCGTAGAGAATCGCTTGATGTGGAACATGAGATATGGAGGTAAGGGGTGCATTAATCGGTATCGCTTTCTCTGCGCAAGGTGTTCCTGACTCTTCACACCGTCATATTTAGATAAAATATTCGTGAGTGGTACTTGAGGAATGATGTTGCGCTCCAGTTCGTCCTGGAACAGGGGTGCTGGTGGCAGGTCTAGCGTTAGGAGTAGGAAACGATTGATATCGGTCTTAACCTCCGCCGCCTCCTCGAACCGTAAGCGGTCGTTTGTATCCGCCTTTGCGGTGATGGCTTGCGACTCGACTTTGAGCTTCCCCTGGAATATTCGTTGTATAATGCTGCTCCCTGGTTTTGTTTTGCTTCCACCTAGCCCCAGATGCAAGTTATTCAGAAACCACGATAGAAACTCGACGGGGTCAGATTGTACCGTCAAGGTAAATCTTTTGTTCGATTTCAACGAGATCTCTTGTAGTAGCTCGTGTGGTGATACGTGATTCTTGAATGCTCGAGGGTTCCAAATCTTGCGGAATAGAATGCCGCATCGCTTAACAAGCTCGGCGCGTGATGATAGGTCTTCTAAAAGGAAGTAGTTTCGAAGCGGCGTGACATGAGACATCGCTTGGACCACAACGTTCAAGTAATCGTTCTCCTTGATATTGTTCATTCCCACAAAGCCAGGCGTATATTCCTTCCCATCCAACGTCCACGCGGTTCGCGCTTTGCGGTCTAGTTCCATCACCTCCTGCCTCGTATATCTGGGGTCGGAGACATATTTTATGTCATCCAATGATTTGCTTTTTACTTCGTAGCCCTCCGGTAATACGTAGACTTTCTGCGTCTCCATGTTGATGAACACGTGGTGTCCAACCTCGAGAGCGTGAAAATAGGCATGCGACTTAAGACCTCGGCCTTGAAAATACTTTCCACAGACTAGGCAGGCGTAGACGTTTATGTTGGACAGGCTGATCGAACATAGCTTCTCGAAGTCGAAGTCGAGCACGTTGCGATCGATCGTATCTAGGTAAAGGTCGTCGTATCCTTCCGTAGGAGCGGATTGTCGTATCGGTGCCTTTGTAGGCTCGTCCTCGAAATCATCGTCTTCATTGTCGCTAGGAGGCGCATCGTCGAGTCGGTCGTCGGAGAGGGCAGTGCCGTTGCCGTTGAATTCGGTACCATCGTCAAGTCGCGATCTCTTCGATACGGGTGTGCCAGCATCCAGAAGCTCCTCCAAGGCTTCAGAAGCCTGTCTCTTCGACATGACGTGATTTAAGCGACCTCTGTGTGGGAAATTGTAATATCGGCGGGGAATTTTAGTGTCTGTGTTGGGTACCTAACTGTGATGATTTATGCTTGGTTTAGTGTAAGGCTGATAAGTTGAAATATTTAAGTCGCGATTAGAAGCTATCGAAGCTCAAATTTAGCACCTTGTTTGGTACGTACCTAGGTACCTACCGCACTTGATCACTGCCCCACTATGTCAATTCCAGGCCCTCCAGCTCCTTTAAAGCACCTATAGTCACTATAAATTAATCAAGTACAGTACAGTGCAACACTATCAGAACTCGGATGAAATATTAATCACAGCTCGGAAAGATGTGAATGAAGTACTTCATAATATTTGTATTATGTCTAAAAACAATTTTATTGTTGGGGATATCATAGTTCTATCATAATTTCATAACCAACTCCATGCTATTTCAAAGACTGCTTTAACTTGGACCGTCCTTTCATCGGCGTGCTTTGTCCGAATGGTGTTCTTGGAGTGCTTCCACCACTCCCTCCGATTTGGCTCCATAATCGTTGCGCTGCCGGTGTCAACCCACCCGTCACCCGAGGACTACTTGGAAATTTCGGAACAGGCGTCCTCTCAACTTTCCCAAGCAAGCCCTCCTTAGAAGCCGTTCTCTTGGATTGTGAGATTCGATCAACCATCCGATGGTGGAGAGCTTCTCTCTTGCTCTGTTCCTTAATGATAAATGGATTCGGTGTCGCATCCCCGGGGCCGAGATCGATTTTCGGCGCTGGTTGTTGCCACTCCGGCTCTTCATCATCCACAAATGCATATCCATTGACCCTCGGTGTTTCGTTTCCTGCAGTGGTCGAATTAAGATCACTTTCTCTTCGTTTCCCAGCGATAGCATCTCGCACAGCAGATAACGATGGCGACGGTGGTACGGATTCTTCATCGCTAACCTTCGGCGCTGGCAGCCTAGTGTTGTTATAGTTGACGCCCTTGGGGGCAGCTCGAGATTCTGCTTCCGACTTTTGTATCCTAGTCTCCATCGAATCCTCTACGCTTTCAGGTACGAACATTAAGGAATTATTTGGTAATGATTTCCACGTGTCGGGTTGAGCAGGTCTCTCGTCTTTATCTTTGATGGCTAAACGGTCCTTTTTGAACCCATCGTCAGTCAAGCCGCGCGTCTCCGATAATTTCGCTTCAATTTCCTTCTGTTTTAATTGCATCTTGGAAGGTAGCTTATTCCCGGTCCATAGCCAAGCGTATTTCTCGGCCTTTTTGGAGTTCTGCTTATCCAGAAGCTTGTAAAAGCTTTCGTTGTCTTCGCTTGTGTATTTGGATTGGAATGCGCCCAAGCTCATATTAATATCGACCTCGTCCTTTTCTTTTAAAGTAGTTATCGTAGATTCGCCCGATACAGACACTGGAGTGTCTCCAATGAAACCTCTAGGTGTCTGCGCGCCCGGCGCTAACGACGTCCCCTTCCTCGATCTTCGATGTCCCGGTGTCATAACCTGGTGGAGACGTCGGCTCGCGCTCGATATCCATGCTTCGTCTTTCGAATCGACCGCGTCTAGGTATTCTTGTTGTGTTTCGCTCTCGAGAAGCCCGGGGAAGAAATCGCGAGCGATGATTTGGGATAGCGCGTCTGTATAGCCCTCTTCGTCGAGGACTTTCTTTGGTCTTTTGATTCGCTTCGTCGGTGGCGGCGGCGGCATCAACTCTGTATCGCCCCTCTTGCGAATAAGAGCTGAGGAGTTGCTTGTGTTGTGGTCCATGGTTGCGCGTTCCCTGTCGACTTGTGGAAAGAAGATACTTGGTGATGAAAATGTTAAGTGTAAGGATGACGGATGATGAATGACATTACAGTAGAACGGGGTCTAAGCTTACAGGCATTTTAGCGTCTGAATCAGCTGGGCTTATCGATAGTAGCCCTAGAGGGGCCAAGAATATCCCCCATAAGTAGCCCACACTAGCTCTCGTGCTAGGGGCATTAGCGGAATCCGGCAGAGTGGTTGGCCAATAGCATTCAACCCTTAGTCCTTAGTCCTTAGATGCCCATAATACTCAGTTACTAGGTGCACTCCATTTCTTCCAGCTTCTTTTCGGAAACCTTCATTTTCAAGAGCCAAATTCAGTTCCATGGCTAGGTTGATCAATATGACCATTGTCATACCGTGATTTCTATTAGGCCATCTAGCTCCATCAAATCCTAGCGTGAGTAAGTTCTCTGGGACGCATACATCTAATAATCAGTAAAAATCTGGTCGCATAAAAATCAATAGGTTACATATGTACCTCTCGCATTCAACACTTTGTTGCCTCAAAAGTTGCCAGCTTCACATTAGCAAATCATTATAATGACAATATTATGGCTGATATAACGCAAATAGACCATCACTTATCACAAAGGTGTGCATATACACCCTTACACATTGAAGCGTGAACATTGGTGCAGGTTTTGTGATTCTATTACTGGTGTACAACACAAACATCATTACCCTATTATACAGATTCGCATCATCTTCACATTTTGACATACCTTTTTACACGCCTCTCAAAGTTAAGTATACACTCCCTACTATATATGGAGCACCTCGTCCTTCCTACTCTCTCCTCTCCTTTATTTCCTCACATCATCACAGACTATTTCCCAGTCCTCCATCATGCCTCGCGCCTACAATCCAAATCCCGAGTTTACATTATTCACTCCTCCTTCCTCATCCCATAGCGCCAATTCCACTAGGCATATCAATAGCTCAACGACCAGACGCGAGGAACGCGAGTTCTATCAAGCTCTCATCACTCTCCTGGGTCGGATTGCTGATTCATTGGTGTGTCTATCTTGAATGCCCATTTTCTTGTTATTAACATATATATCTACATAGGATCGAATTTCTGGTTCCATCGTTGCTATCTGCGAAACCTGTGGGACCCAAGAATGCGATTGTGCTATGGGGTTGAGAGATATGACCTTGGATGGATGACTATGAAAGGGCTTTGAGAGTCGAAGGTTGGAGGTTGGAGGGTGTAACATTAACAACGGAATTAGGGTCCCGTTATCACGTCTTGCTTCTAGCCAATGCTAGTCACTAAGCACAATCAACAGTCTATCTCTACTATCGGACCTTTATATTCTTTCTTCCCCTGTACGAAGTGCCAGATAACCGCGAAGAGAGCCACAAACCCAAACGTTAGTACGCTAAAGTTCATTTCTTGGGCATCCACCGGCGTGGCTGGAGGCCAAAATGCCCAGAACCATAAGACGAAGAGGTAGATGCAGGCAAATGCATTGTTAAGTATGCCTAGTACCCCTGGGATACGCCAGGGGCCCCAATGTAGATTGTTCGGGCCAACCCTCACAATATCGGGGTCGTAGGGCGAAATACTTTGAGGTTGTAGACGGCGCCAGAGTAGTAGGCTGCAGCTTATCAGATAGGAAGAGTAAAGGCCGACCACGCTAAGGTTTACGATGTTATTGAATGCAACGCTAGAACCGAGAATGATGAGAGAAAGGAGTAGGGACACGGTGGCTGTGAAAGCGATGGTGTAGATGGGTATTGATGTCCGCGAAGCCAGCTAGTCGGACATAGATATTAGCTAAGCAAGTCCAACGTATCCAGGAGCATTAATTACCTTCATGAAATGCCTCCAAAAAGGTATACCACGATCTCGCGAGAACGACCGCAGCATTCTAGACGATGATGCTAAAACGCCGACTGTACTGCAAATTCCGAGTGCCACAATAACTAGACCCATTACGGCTGCTCCGGCCTTCGACTTGGTCCCGGACAGGAATACGAATAAGAATGGGTATCCTAGATAAGCCTGGGAATCCAGAACCGCATCGAGGTTTCCTAAACAGAAGAGGTATGCAAGTAGCATCGCAAATCCCAGAATGCCATTTAGTACGATGCTGATCACGATTGCGCGGGGAACCACAATCGAGGCATCCTTAATCTCTTCAGCCATCTAAATTTGTTATCATAATGATCAAGATTGGGAGGGAAGCAGAGCGAATGAAAATGGGTGTGCTTTACATGTACAGCCGAATCGGCACCATATATATATGTTAATTGAATACTGAACTTAAAATATGTATTCTTCTAGGATGGTAACTTACCAATTAAAGAGAACACGGAAGCTGGTAGGCCAACCATAAATGACAAGCCTGGAGTGGACCATCCACCGGTGTTGACGAATGTTGTGAAGACGGACCCATCCCCATGAGGTGCGAGATAAACCATAAGGATAAGGACTCCAAAGAAGCCAAAGATGTGCAAAATTAAACTTACCCCTTCGAAATGAGCAAGAGTCTTACTAGCGACGGTGTTGATAAAGACTGAGAATGCTAACACGGCCCAGAGGAAGAGCATAGCTTGCCATGGCTCAGGTGTATAGTCGGACTTTACCATAACTATGACGCCCTGCAAAAGCGTTCCTATCAGATACGCCGCTGATGCTGTGACGGCTTGCCAACCAGCAAACGTCATCCATCCTATGGAGTAGTTAGGTCCTGCGATATCAATAGTTACTCGAGTTCATACCTGTGATATAGCTTAAGAAGCGCCTAGAAGAGTCAGGGGCTAGCATGGCCACCCAGCTAAGCCCATTGTTAGCCACATCCCATCATGCCCAGATTTTTCCTTTGAGTATCTCACTGGTATTGCCCACCAGCAGTGGGTGCCCTGTCACGTAGCGGTTAGTACTGATTAATGATGAAGTGAAGGAACCTTACATTGAGGCCAATTCCGACAAGACAGTGAAGGTAGACAGTGTGCCAACCCATACTATGAGATAACCCCATATAACACCCGCGGGCCCGCCACTGATTGCTAATATTAGCGAAGTACCTTAGAGACACGCAGCGCATTCCACGCACTTTAATAGACTCTGCGTCGAAACACTATCGTATGTTAGCTTTCACTACCCACCGTAAATCGAGGCGGGTTCAAACACAAACATCAATATTCCTTCCCATGTTATCAAAACTGTGCATGAAAACCCAAGGATTGACATGAAACCAAAATTGCGCTGTGAGACGTCAGAAAGTTATCAGATTTACAGAATAGGGATACTTGCTTTCAAAACAGGTCTCTTGCCTAGCCTCAATAGATCCCTTTCGTCTGTAGTATAGTCCATGTTGGTGACCCCATCGCTAGGGAACGAACCCTTTGCTCGAACCCGCAGTTCAACATCCATAGCTGGCGGTCGCATCTCAACTTCTTCTCACGATATTGAGCAGTGAGAGATGCCAAAGACAACTTCTCGCAGGATTCGTGAGAAGCTTGGAAATTATTGTATTACCCACCCTAGGTGCGCCACCTCCGAAAGGGATGTGCAGCGGAAATGATTATGCTCGCGCCCCTTGCTTCGGCAATCTTTATCTATCTTTGTGGGCGCCATAAGCAATGAGTTCCCACTCTTTTTGTACTGTACCAATCACCACGCCCCATTTAAGGCCGAGAATCTCGTACATTCGATGAACAGTACTAAAAGAGTGAAATTTTATTGCTTTTGGCGCTTGAGGGGATGGGTTAACATACGACGTGGCTTTCACTAGATTTATTTGATGGCGTTCGCAAATTATCCTCCTTCTACATCGGGCGGGGTCGAGCGCACGCGTACCAAATATACTATGAAAATGAAAATTACAAATGAGACCTACATATGAATCAGACAATATGGGCACGAAATCTCTTCGTGGGCTTGCTTCACACGGCGTTATCGGCTGAAGGGTGTGTTGTACCAGAGGCCATGAAGAGCAAACTTATTGATAGCGGCAGGGTTGAAGATGGAGTACAATGGTGTAGTTCCTCAAATTTATTTCATCTGATCATAACTAAATAAAATATTTCTTCACGATCTCGAAGTCGATGTTTGGTCGTGATGGACGAAGGGGAAACTATCAGCGACGAGAGAGTCGCACCGCTAATTCAAATTCTCGCATGGCTCTTTTTGTCGTTCTGTATCATTTCGGTGGCAGCGCAATTCATAACTAAGCACGCGATGTCAAAACCATTTGAAGTCACCGACATATTACTATTCGTCGCGCTTGTACACTCCTATTAAATCTCTTTATAATTAACTCTACTGACCTCGTTTGAGTAGGCTCTAGCAATTGGACAGACTTCAACTCTGCTGTGTCCTGCTGCACAAGTTATTGGAAATTCGCCGGCAGGGCTTTCTGAGGCGGTGATTCGGGGAGCATTTAAGGTGAAATTTTATCTCTCTATATGTTGATGTTGGACTGAGGATGTAGGCACTATATAGCAGCGACATGCTCGGCATCTTTGCCCTTGTAGCTACAAAAGTCTCTCTGTTGATCGTGCTTCTCTTAATTACGCCGATTAGGGTTCATCGAGTCATTATTTGCGCTACAAGCATAGTTGTAGGGATATGGGGGATCAGTGCGGTCTTCACCATTGCTTTTCAGTGCCCCTCTCCTCGGAGGTGGGATATTTTGAATGAAAAATGTATTGACATTGTGAGTTCTTGCCCCCTTGCATCTTCGAGCAATGATTTCCTGACTCCTAGGTTAGCGGGCGGCGATGATATACAGCGCCATCATGAACATATTGACCGATGCAGCATTGATGATTATCCCGTCGGTAATCATTCTACAAGTTCAAACAACATGGGAGAACCGAATGAAGTTTTTGGGAGGATTCTTGTTCCGTGGGATGTAAGTTCGATCAAGATGTGCCGCCTTGAGCCTTCATGCTAAGATCCGATTCTATTAAAGTCATAGTGGCAACCATCATTCAAATCGTCTACGTCCAACGTCTCGTATTTGATGGGAACTTCCTTAACGGCGTGTGGCAAGTTGTAGTCTGCAACGAAATCGTCTAGGCTGCAAGCATTATGACTGCGTGTATTCCATTCTTGAAGCCTCTCTTGACAAGTTTAGAATCGGGTTTCCTTCGCGTCGACGATATAAATCGACGAACTAATACTACTGGCGTTGGTTTGGGCGATAGTTCTTCGAGGTGGACATCGAAATACATCAAACTTGGGAGCCAACGGAGCGGAGCTCAATCGACTGAGTTTCAAAATTTGGGAACTACATAGCCTTATGATTTGGTACTTTATATTTCAACCTTAGTTATAGTGCGTTCGCGACTTATATTTCACGCAAGGACCATGGCTAGTAAAGGCTTTGGCCCCCACCAAGCGTAAGGGGAAGAGAGGTTCGAATCACAATGACAAATTCTCACGAATTGATGTTATTGTATTAGAAGACTCTACCCCTAAGTAACGACCGTATTCCCTTCACGCGAACAGCTGAGTTTTGCGGTGTCCTTCACTCCTTCTCCGGTCGATCTGGGGACGGCAGTGTTGGCGTGGGGTAGGGGCTCTCGCTCTCTATTCGGAAACCACTCCGCCATCAGCAAGGGGTGAGTTTAGGCTGATAGGTTTACTATGAGGCTCGAGGTCGAGCTCTCTCTTCCATAGTGGTGTAGTAGGGTTCGCGCCTTCGGAGACACTGCCTCTATTTTCTATGAAAAGGAAAAGGTTAGACTCATGACGCGAGATCGTGGGGTTCGGGGAACAAACCTAATGGCAGTGACATGGCGCCAAAGGCGAATGATATTATAAGTATGCTAAGAAGCTGCATATTTAGAGTGTTCCATGGATGAGCCGTGGCTATGAGTGTATTGGTGATGAGAAGATATTCCTCTTTCAACAGAGAGGGCGTTGTAGATTTATATCATCTATTACAAAGTAACCTATCGTTGTTTCATAGTCTACCTACTGCATCATAATGAAATAATCCCCGATCGACACTCATGCGTCTCACATTCACGAACGTATTGGCTCACCGCCTAGCCTTCTTGATGATACGACATAGATCAGTTTATGTAACACGGTATGCAGGCTCAGGTAGGGCTATATTCTGACACGCTTGAAAAACAGCCAACAGTAGCCGTGAGCGAATCGGTCGGAGTTTCTCTGGTGCTACACACGATGAGACAACGACTAACTTGAACCTCTCGGCGAAGTAGTCATTGGCTCTTCCATCTCAAAAACCGGGTACAGTTTGTAGATGGATGTGGGTTTTTCGCGGCAGGCAGAATCATGAAGCCAGAATAATGCGAAGTTGCGGTGACGGTATTACCTCAAGTGCTGGCGGGGTCTCTTCATAGGCGCCATAGCCTGAGAGTAGGAGAGGACCATATGCCATTTTAGTTGCTCTAGTCAAACCCCCTATACGCCCATCGCACTTGTCTAAACCAAGCATCGATCTTCATCATGGACTACTTTGAGCCAAAGCTCTCCTTCGAAGCTACAGAACCAGGGGACTCGCTGCTTCAGCGTGAGGTGTCGGCGAAGAGGGATAAGCCATGGTTTTCGAAACTACTACGCTCCCTCTTAGTGATAGTGTTGGTTATGTATGTGATTATATCGAGTACGATAATCGCGATCATGGTTCGCAGTAAAGTTCCAGAGCCGTATTGTGCGTGATAGCGTCTTATAGCGATATGCGCATATTCTAACAGAACTCTAGCACCCGCTAGCCATATAATATCCCACGAGCGACAACCCCTTTACTTTGGCGAAGATGCGAAATACACCGGACTTCCCGAGGATGTGGATGAGGCATGGGATTCTCTTTTAGAGCGTGAGTGTAGACTTTCTATTCGAACCAAAGTGTTAGCTCTGCTAAATCAGAAAAGCAATCAATATCAGAGTTACCGAAGAGGAACTCCGACAAGCTCGTGCAGATTTGAGCGAGGACATAGTTCGATTGCCTGATGGTGGCTATGTGTCTGTGCTGTCTGTATACCATGAACTTCACTGTCTTGTAGCCGCCGATCATATACTGACACTACCCCTAGAATGCACTGCGGAGAAACATATTTCGCGACTATTACTATTCCAATATCACAGCCGAAGAAGCCGAATACAACATTGTACACATGAGTAAGTAGCCTATGTCTCGATTGATTTATGAATGCTAAATTGGAACAGCTCATTGTGTCGACACAATTAGACGTCGTCTAATGTGCAAAGCTGATATTGCGGTTTATACTGCGTATTGGATTGGAGACCAGTATGCTCATCCAAGCAAGGAACTTCGTTCCAAATCAGATACGGTGTGCGTGAATTGGAAAGCAATTGAGGAGTGGTCAAGAGACAGGCTTTTGGAAAGGAACAAGTACAAGGTCAAGCCAGGGCCTTATGAGGAAAGTTTTGCTCGGAAATAGATTCTATATTGTAGAGTATATCCGTGAGCGCATCCGTGCCTCATTTGTAAGGGGGTAAAATGATGTAAGGGGTAAGTTCCGGTTGGTATAGGCGGGGTTACAAGGAGTACAAAGGTAAAGATCTCCCCATCTATGCTGACTGTAAAGTACCTATATAAATATACTTGGGCAGGGCGGACCTTCCATTTACAACAATTCCATCACTTGTTTCTGATTGACACTTAAATATTTTAAATCGTTGAGTTTGAGTAACTACCTAGGTACCTAGGTATCTTACATATACGTTACGGAAATCTTAGATGAGATTACTTTCCAACGCAGCTTGCTTCCACTAAAAATGGCAGAGGGTACGGTACCATTCGTTGCCCCGGGCCTCTCGGAGCCTTCCAAAACGTGGTACAAGATTGTCGGCGATCTTAAACCCGACTCGATCCCATTGATAGTAGTGCACGGCGGTCCTGGAGCATGCCACGATTACTTATTACCATTGAGTGACCTTGCGGCCAGCAGGCCTGTGGTTTTCTACGATCAAATCGGAAATGGGCTCTCAAGCCATTACCCAGAAAAAGCGGGAGATGAAACCTTTTGGACTGTAGAACTTTTCAAATCAGAACTCGACAACTTACTCTCACATCTGCATCTTGTTGGTCGACCAATTGACGTGTACGGACACTCTTGGGGCGGTATGTTGGCGGCGGAGTGGGCGTCTACGCCACAAAGCTCAAAGAACCTTCGGCGTCTAGTACTCTCGAACAGTTTAGCGAGTATGGACGTGTGGAGAATCGCAGTCAACGCCTTAAGAGTAAAACTTCCCGACGACGTCCAAAAAGTACTCGATAAATGCGAGGAGAAGAAAGATTTCGAAAGCCCAGAATACAAAGCTGCTGTAGAGGTCTTCTACAAGAGACATCTTAGTATTGCTAGGCCGTGGCCCGCCCCTGAAGTTGAAGCGGCACTCAATTGGTTTGCCAAGGACGCCACAACATATGGTACTATGTAAGGATACGGCTCTCTTATGCTGGAAACTTACTGATGAAATACAGGTATGGCCCAAGTGAGCTTTGCATAACTGGGTCGCTTCGGGATTGGACTTGTATACCCTCGCTGAAGAAAATCCAAGCTCCGACTTTGCTGATTAATGGGACCGAAGACGAAGCCCAAGACGTGGCGATGCAGCCATTCTTCGATCATATTCCAAAGGTAAAATGGATTACACTGGATGGCGCTGCTCACTTTTCTCATATAGATAAACGGGAGGCGTACATAAAACACTTGGAATCATTCCTATCCGCCTAGGTGGGGGTAGATGATCGAACTACATGCAAGCCCGTACGAGAACAGAATTTAATATATTAATCCGCAGCCACAGAATCATCACTCCTGCTTGGTGGAAAAAGCAAGTGTATACTCGACCCCAGTGGCTGCCTTGCCGGTGTCGGATAAGTACCTACCTAGGTAGGTAGTGTACCTCCGTCGGCCTCGAATTTGTCCTGTACCTCCTGTTTGGCGGTAAAAGTGTAGCAATAGGAGGTCCGATATGTGCCCAGATAGTACAGCATGCGAGTATATTGAAACATGCATGGTGAGGCGCTTCCCAGCTTTCTCACCGGTTGTTGCGTTAGATGTACACCGGGAAGTTTACCTAGGAACATATAATCGATGCACTAGCCAAGGAATCCAAGTACCTGAACCACCAAATTACGCGCTGGCCTCTGGACATTCTTCTTCACGCATCACCAAATTTACTAGAGCACTCTCACAATTCTCAAGATTCACTAATAGGCAATACGTATCACTTGCACTGAAATATCATTTTCTTGGTTCATGACGGGCTTTCCATTGCTCATGGGGTATGTGGTATAAAAGAAAAGGTATGTACATAAAAATTGTGGTGATACAAGGGTCTAAAGCTGACCTAGAGAATAAATAAAAAACCAATGGCCCCCGTGATGTCAGATATCCTTTCCGTTTCGCTTAAAATCCACGCCGCTTCGCTATTCATCATCCTACTATCGTAACAGATATCCCAATTCCCCTTTTAATGAATAGGCGATTTACGCACGGAAGGCACGTGCCTTACGGCCGGAGACGGCAACGGCAGCGATGTTAAGGTTGGTGCCTTGTCCTGCCTTGCAGTTTGTGCCTGCGGCCATCTGCATCACGACGGACCATTGGCCTGATGCGCACTGCTGGTAAGTGGTTCCCAGGCAGTTGTATGTTCCCTCAGGTGAGCAGGCCCCTGTAAGACCAGTGCCGCTGGATGATCCAGAACCTGAAGAACCAGATCCAGTTGAGGATCCAGATCCGGTGCTGGAGCTGGGTGTGGCGGCAGGGGGGTCGGCTTGCGCTGCTGAGCTAGCGGACGAAGGAGCAGCAGCGGGTGTTGTCGCGGAAGATCCAGATCCAGAGTCGGAGCCACCAGCAGGTTCAGTGATGAATACACCGCCGGCGGCAGATGTGGGTGAGGGAGCGGTGGTAGGGCTGGGAGCAGCGGCGCTAGACTCCGAAGAGCCAGAACCCGATCCAGAATCAGATCCAGAAGATCCCGAGTTCGAAGAACCAGATCCTGCAGTGTTTCCTTGTGTGCAACCATCGTTCGAGCAGGTAGCGACTTGAGAACCGCTGGTGTTGTCCTCGACCGAAGAACCCGCGTCGGCGAAAACGTAGTCGGACGACTCAAGGGTTTGAGGGTGTCCACCAATGTTCAAGACGACCATGTCCGGAAGCTTGTCGAAGTTGGCTTGGTCGCCTCCAGTTCCTGTCAATTCTAGAGCACCACAGTTCATGTACATCTCGCGGTTGCCGACCTTGTTGAACCAGGTCCAAGCAATGGTTGCTTTACCGGCTGGGATGTCGCTGGGGATGGTGTAGGGGTAGGTGAATGGGTCGTCAGCATCGGCGCTGTCTCCCATGTTTCCACTGACACCCTTAGCAGGGCAGCCACCCTCGATCGAGTGGATGACCTTAAACTTGCTGTCCTTGGTGGGGTTCTGGTCGTAGGTGATAGAAACTTGGCAAGAACCACCTCCGTGGGTGGCTTGGCCGACGAAAGAGAGCGTCTGCTTGGATCCAAGCTCGTAGGTGTTCGTGGTACCACCGGTGGCGGAGTATCCATTGCCGAACTTGCAGGGGAAGTCGCTTCCGCTCGCGTCGAGAGGGCTGTTATTGAGAGCCGAGGGGTCGAAGGGAGCCGGGCTCTTCATCTTCATGTGGGCGCTAACCGTGGCTACAAGCCCGGCAACGCTGATCATCTTTGCAAAAGACATCGTGAAAAAATTTGCTTGTATGTACGTGTATGAGATGGTTACTAGGTCCAGCCGATAAGATCTCAGAACAAGTTTCTGTGCAGGAATGAAGTAAAAGATCGATATGGATCAAAAATCGAAGATGGTCCAAATGCTTGGTTTAAGACTATTTTTAAATTAGTAAAATCGCCCATATCACAACTGCCTTGTTTTCCTTCAATTAAGAACACACACACAAAGCCTCGAGTGAGACAGACACAACTCGAAAGATCTTTGTCATTCACATAAGAGCTATTGTGCAAACTCAATCATGTGGTTGATAAAGGTATTGTATTGTTCGTGAATAACATGAAGGCGAGGGGGCAATGTGCTACCAACCTGAATATGGCTTTGTCCTAACGGGAGAGAACAGAGTAATCAGTGACCACGAGGGAGTGAGATCGATCAAGATGTTTCTTCGTGAGCTTAGCTCAAAGGAAAGTTGGTGCTCCGGGCGACGGAAAAAATGAAGAAACAAGACACACAAACGAGGACTAGCCCGTGTTGTGGTAAAGGAAAGATGGTTTGCAAAAAGATGTCGTGAAGACTACTGCCGCTGGCGTGAAGAGCGGAGGAAACGAAACGACCGACTTGGGTGACTTGAACGAGCGTCTTATATCTCGTGGGATTTAGAAAGAATGGAAGGCGGCAACTGTGAACGATGCACGATGATGGCGCGAAAAAAAAAAAAGAATGAATGTGACTAGCCTAGTGTAAGCTGCAGGTACAGGAGGAAAAGAGAGAATGATTGGGTGTAGATGGAATGGAGTAGAACTTAAGGTCGGTCACTATGACTGACTGAGAAGTGTGGTACCCACTCACAACGCTGAATTCAGAGCAGATCGCAGACCCCACACTTTTTCCAGGATGGAACATGGCCAGTAGAGCTCAGCCGTCGAGATCGCTCTCGTGGGTTTCGAAGCATGGTGTTGACGATTACCTACTAGGTACTGGCAGGGGAGCCAGCAGGGATACAGGGATACAGGGATACAGGGAGGGCTGGGGTGCAGGGGTACAAACGGGGATGGCAATTCGAATGCAACGATAGGTTAAACTACCAGTTGGCGTCCTTTTTGGCTTGTTTCGTCTTGGCTTAATGTACGACCAAACAATTGTCTAAGATGGTCTAAGTGGCTAAAAGACAGTATTTTCAGCACAACGGGCCGTCGTTTGAAGAGTAAACGTTGGTTTAATTTTTTCTTTGTCCGTTTTTTGTTTGGTACCTGATGTCCCTATCTGTTACCTAGCTAGACTATCTTCGCCCATATTGTAGGGAGGACAACAACAGTAAGGTCTGATTCTTCAAACGACTCAGATCGACCTGATCGGCTATCCACATTGCCTCTGCATTGGGCGGCAGTGGACCTGTCAAAATAGAATTGTATGCGCTCGCATACTGACGACCTGTTCCAGTAAAATTATCTAGGTACGGAATGACAGCTTCCTAAACGGTATAAAATGAATTAGGGATTTGGGGAGGAATTTAGTGACGGCATAGTATTCGGTCATTCAGTTTCAGAATTCCACTACTCTAGAAGGTTTTTAGGGCACCGTTAGCCTATATGTCGCCTAACCAATCATATCGCCAATGACTAATTTGACTTTCCCGATTCGGATGGGTTCGGTCACCCCTCCAATCGGCTCGCCTCGTCGCAAAACTCTATCTTGTTCTTAGGACTCTAATCCTCTCATCCCACATTTCCCTGAAGGCATCGAGAAGTAAGCTTCTATGGAGTCCAACACGAGCTGCACATTGATCGCAAATGCTGGGAGGTAAGAACTAACACGAAAATTTAGGTAAGTAAATACCGAAAAGAGGAAAGGGATGAGATCGTCAGGAGGTTTTTACGGCTAGAGACAGGGGAAAATACGACGGGCTTCCCGCTTACGCTCTGTTTGCGCTTGATGGGCAAGGGGAATAGGGGATAGAATTTTTTTTTTCCTTCCCTCTCCTTCTGCATGCAACCTGAATGGATAGGCTTCTCAGCCTCTAGCATTCCAGCTAGGCCCAATTCTAGCGCGCCGAGAGATCAAGATTCAGCCACTCACAGCACGATTACAGGGGATATAGGCCGATCGCCTAAAAAGCTTGGAAGCCTGTTGAGCCTTCAATGCAACCCCCAGCCCCTGACATGGGGGGTTCTAGCTGTGGCTTCGACCGTTCACGGCCATGATAGTCCAGGGGATTTTAGCGAGAGGCAGCCCCTTCCCCACCCCCGCCGAGCCGGTCAAAAAAGATGAAACAGCACTAGTTTCAGGGATTATTCAATCCGATTTCTGCGATGCAAGACTCCAATCGCCTACCTCCTTTTTTTCCTTAAACATTCTTTTTGCAACCTCCTTGTGGTAGACATTCTCACATGCGTCTACCCGTCCGCATATTTCGTCTTAAACATGTATAATAAGGTTAATTAATGTCTTATATCCCTACATGAAAAAGTGATTAATAGGAAAATAAAAAAGCTTAAAGATCGCGATGACCAATGATATCATCGTCTGGTTTTAACTATCTTGCAAGGATAATGACACAATATGTTCCAAAAGACAGCCTCTGTGTTTATTTCTAACCACTACATTTAGTCTACGAATAGAGATTTCTCACATCTACGCCACGCGCTTCATCTTCCCACCTTAAGGTGAGTGATCTGTTCCGCATATGACGAATCGGTGGCCGCCGAACAACCGAGAGGAAGCGCCGGGGGTCAAAGTGCCTACATACGTAGTACACATAGGTAGATGTTAAATGCGAGCCCCTGTTCATCCGTACTAGGAATTCAAGCCCACAACCATCACCAGCAACCCATTTTTTACGATCCCCTAGGAAAAATACGCCCGCCTCCTTACTCCTTGCAGAACGTCATCCCAAATGGATGGTTCCTACATATGTATACCACCATACTAATACTAGCATAGCAGTGCTGACTTGATATACGAATTTGAATGGAGCCATTCCGCCGTATCGCTCAACCGTATCTTGTAGCCTGAGTAGTTACCAACCACCCAGCGGCAATTGGTCGCACGTATATATCGACCACGACCTTGTTGAATGCCGATCTAGCGCTTTTTAGGGCGGTAGATCATAGAGGTCGTCGCCTAAAATCTGCCAACTTTTAAGACTCATACTAATTCTACGAACAAGCGCATATTGCTTTGATAAGAATAGTAGACTAGCATTTACGGACCTCTTCCGATGGTCTAGCCCCGAAATCACATAAAGACTTACGTACGAGATGGCATGCCGTCCTTGAGGGGTAAGGCAGAATGGTTCCTATGATGCTAGGGTATACGTCTGTATGTTTATGCTACTATTATTACTTACTAAAACAAGCCCTCACATACGCATTTGAATGCGCACCCGAGGTATTGTCGCTCTGTGGCGATATCTAAATCTCTATTAGTATGCGAGGATTGTGGCTATGGAAATCTTAGTTCCTAGTATATTAATTAGAGCCGTTATGAAAATGGTGGATAGTTGACGATAATGAAGGGGAGAAGTTAAGCATTGTTAGCTGCCTATTTTAGAAACCACCGGTCGTTAAAAAATGCCTCGGGGAAGAATACCCTAGGCATCCTCGTAATCGTGGCAATTCTAACCTTGGCGTTTATCTGAAGCCTGCTTTGTTTCTCGGATAACTATGGAGACCAAGAACCAGACCGTGAGCAACCTCGGTGTGGGCGACAACCTTACAGGCAAGTAATCGTATCGCCATATACCTAAGCACCTTAAGTGTAGGGCAATAAACATGCCACGGATATGAATTCAAGTTGCGTGTTTTGGGTCTCACATTGTCAGGTAGTCAGCTGTGGTGGGGGGTCAATTTTAGGAAGCCGACATTGTTTCATGTTTACTGTTAGACTCAAAGGTCGAATGACATGTGTTGAAATGGGGAGCAAGGCGGATTTTTGAGCCTCTTTGTTGGTTACAGATTGATTGAATCACAATTGGATGCCTTAATCGCAGCTGAAAGGATTGCCATAGGTTAGGCTGACCCGAATGTTTCAAGCACCACGTACGAATTCAGTTGAACTTCGTGTGAGGTCGTACGTTGCGATTTTCCGATCGATGTACCTCGGTATCTCTCAGTACGCATCAGCCCACGAAAGTACTCTAGAGGTTTCTCTGCACCATGCCGTTAATTTGGACCATGATGGGTATATTCGCCATCATTTCCGACTATATTATGACTCCGAGATGAATATCTATGCACTATAGTAGATGCTTGTTCGTCAAATAGCACAGGGGCGGTATGACCTAGACGAAGCTAATATTCACCCCTAGCTACCTAGGTACTCATAATTAGATATTTCCTTGGATTATAAAGGGGCAAATGGGGACTTGGTAACGTTGCATTTGGACTATAGCAATGCCATCAACTAAGCACGATATTGTGAGGGCAAGGTCATACCAGCCTCTAGAGGACTCAACATTTATCTTGCTTAACGTGCAACTTTTTGTTCATCCTGCCTGCGATTAGCTGAGGGAAACATGTCATGATAAGTATTTCAAGGCTTTGGCTCGTGTACTCACAGACAGCAGCTGACTTCTCATCACCCTCCACGGCCTAGGGAGAAAAGTGATCTGTATCCTCGAAACCGTAATCCTCTCGCGTCCATTTCTTCATTTTCTGCGTCCGGAATTCGTGGAAGTCCCATTCTCGATCCTCTAGCGAGTTGGGGTGTAGGAAGACGTATACTTCGCATTCGACCTCCTCGCCCTCAACATTGCCTCGTCCCGCGTCATTCCCAACCTTAGAGAGTAGGCGAGCCTTCACCGTCCGACGCTCATATTCGTCACCTTCGAATGCATCGAGGTGGTACAGGTTTGCGTCTGTCAAGCCTGTCACGTACATCCCCCTGACCTCATGATTCTCATCAGGTATAATTCCCGGATAGTCCGCATTTTTGACTCGGCTGTAGAGCTGGGTCTTAGCCATTGAACCTGAATGGTGAACTAGGGGTTTGAATATTTGATCCCGTATAGTGACTTATCGCCATTTTTGAGCATGTGTAAAAGATAATGTTTAAGACAACGCTAGCCTGGGTTATCGGCTTACCGTCGACAAAACCCGTGCAATATAGCTGGTTTGAAATCATGAAGACTCTTTAACAAAGAGACATTTTCAGTGGACGACCTATAGCAGACGGTAAAGAACACCTCAGCGGCCATCTGCGACTTGTGAGCAAAACGAGTTTGAGTTGCTTGTAAGAGGGGATAAAACTGAGTACTCACTAGTGTGCCTGGCAGCTGTTAATGGTGAGGTCCTAGACAAGCCAAATCAAGAGCCTACGCTTACCGTAGAAAAACGCTGTATGAGTACGGTCGGACATGATTTTGAACGGTTAGGTAGTATGCTTTTGTTTCTGTTCTACATCAATACAGAAGCGGGCAGAAAGCTATACTTTATAAACTTGAGGTTTTTCAGTTTGGTTGAGAAGAACTCGCTAGTTATCAGCACCAGTTGATTGGAATATCGATTGCCTAAAGACTCTAGATAAGAAAGTTGGGCTTTAAGGTGCGGGGTCTTATTGTTGTAGCATAGGCATCAGACTGGCTTAATCATTTGTGAAGTGTCTGGTACTTCCTCATGAGAATGTTTGAGAATAATTATAGAGGCATGATATCTGGAAGTTTTGGTCGGAGATGTTTATTTTACTGGGCCTAGAAGCGAGGATTTAACATTTCTGGCCGGTGACATCAGTATTATTGTTCTCCGGAGTCCGGAAGTTCAAAATGGGTACGGTAAAGAGCAATCCGGCCGCTGGGGCAAGCACGACCCGACATTACTGCAATCTAATCTCCAGCTCTCTTATCAGGCACGGATCCATCCTATTCGTCAAAGGCCTTGTGGGGCACCACGGATACGTACCTTAAATATATGGACATCTCTTCAATATAGCCAATCAAAGCGATAGCTTGTTCTAAGACCACCGGAAAATCTATTACGCCTAGCTTTGTACATGTACCATCCGTCAATCGTCGCGCCCACCTCTCGAAGTTACCTTAATGTCTGTCTAGCTTCCTTGTCGCGAAATTTCGAGTTTTTGAGCTAGGTACTCCAAAATCTTGACTCTTAACTCTTAACTCGTAAATCGCCAATCGTCAACCCCAGCCCAACACCCATACTTTTTTCTTTACGATCTTTCTAGTTTTATTTCGTGATACCCCCAATCATTTGATTTTTACGTACTACGGGCGTACGAATTGAGGCTTAAGTTTTTTAGTACCGTCGCGTTCCCTCCGTTTCTCCCCACGCGACATTCAAGTTCGTCGCATCTAACGATACCGTCGAGTTCCTAGCGAGAACTTGTTCGTTAACCTATTTACCGACGACCACCCATTTTCCACCGAAATAACGGCGTCGCATCGAACTCATGAATTACGTATGAGCCTTACATGACACAGCTAGGTTACACATCGCGCGTGCGGGGGCGGCAGCCATGTCGGGGCAAGCGCTTGAGGATATCATCAAGAGGTTAACGACTCAAGAAACTGGTATGCATCTTCGTCAGACTTACGGTTGCCGACCACCTTCAATACAGCACCGTCGCATCTTTTAACAATCCACATCACGCAATATTATATACAGAGCTAAGTTCTTATTTCGCAGAACCCAAATCAAAACTCGATGCCGCTACGTCGCTACGAGACAGCCTCGATGTCTACACGAACGGCCCGCATTATGCCGTCTTCCTCAAGCGGGTGATGCCCTTATTCATCATAATATTACGAGGGCCATGCCTATTCCAAAGCACATCGCCGGAGCAGGTGGGTAATGACTGCTTCCATATATAATCGCCTTGTGTTAACCTGGCTATTAGAAACTCCGGAACTGCGTTCTCGAGATCCTCCACCGACTCCCGACCCACCAGACACAGACTTTGCCGGAGTCTTTCGAACCCTATGCCGAAGAAGTCGTTGATATACTAATGAGCCTGGTTCGAAACGATAACGAAGACAATGCCACCCTATGCGTCAAAATCATCTCGGATATTATGCGACACCAGCATAAGATTCTCCACGGGAAGGTCCAGCCTTTCTTGGATTTGATACAAGAGCTTTTTGAGCAGATGGAGAAGGTCGTGAGAGAGCAACTCGATAATACAGCCACACCGTTTAATGCGTCCGGTCCGCCTTCCACACCTGGCAGTACCCAGACCAACTTCCAGTCCCCAAGGCCCGGATCACCAGTCGCATCTGTCACAGACTTAGGCCAGGATCTTCAACAGCAAAGCCGACCCTTGTTGAAAGGAATGCAGTCTTTCAAGGTCCTTTCAGAGTGCCCGATTATTGTTGTATCCGTATTTCAAACGTACAGGAATATCATCCAACAAAATGTTAAGGCATTCGTTCCCCTGATCAAGGCAGTTCTCTGCCTTCAGGCCAAGGCACAGGAGCAAGCTCATGCTGAAGCGAAAGCGAGAGGTACCGTCTTCGCGGGAGTCAGCCCGAATATCAAGAATCGTGCAGCGTTTGGTGAATTCATCACGGCCCAAGTTAAGACTATGAGTTTTTTAGCATATCTGCTTCGCCAATATTCTAGTCAGCTCGCCGATTTCTTGCCCACACTACCGGAAATCGTCGTTCGCCTACTTCGGGATTGCCCGAGAGAGAAGTCTGCTGCTCGTAAGGAGTTGCTGGTTGCAATTCGCCATATTATAAATTTCAACTTCCGAAAAATATTCCTCCCCAAGATTGACGAGCTCTTGGAAGAGAAGACGCTGATTGGTGATGGCTTAACCGTCTATGATACACTGAGACCGTTGGCATATAGTATGCTGGCCGATTTGATCCATCACGTTCGCGATTCACTCAATCCGGAACAGATCCGAAAGACGGTCGAAGTTTATACTAGGAACTTACAGGATAACTTCCCAGGTACTAGTTTTCAGACGATGAGCGCGAAACTATTGTTGAACATGGCGGAATGCATAGCAAAGATGCAGAAACAAGTCGATGCACGGCACTATTTGCTCATGATTCTCAATGCGATTGGTGATAAATTCGCGGCGATGAACAGGCAGTACCCTAATGCTGTGAAACTTTCTAAGCTCTATGCGCAGCAAGCCGCCGACCAGGTCCCCGACACGTATCTTGCAGATAAGGAGCATCATCCTGAGTGGGATGAAACTGACATCTTCACGGCCATGCCGATCAAGACATCGAACCCCCGTGATCGTGGGACCGACCCCGTGGCAGACAATAAGTTTCTCTTCAAGAATCTTATGAATGGTCTTAAGAATACCTTCTACCAGCTGAGAACGTGCAATGGATCGCTGCAGATTGACCCGAAAAACGCACCACAGCATTGGCAGGAGGTTTCCTATGGATTTTCTGCCGAGGAGGTTAAGGTCATAATTAAGCTCTTCCGAGAAGGTGCTTACGTCTTCCGTTACTATGAAATCGAGAAGCCGGCAGCGGAGTCACAGTATGCTTCACCTGTGGAGTATATGGCCAACTTTTACATGGTGTCTAGTAGCAAGGAGGAAAAGGACCTTCTTGAGACTTTCGCTACGGTATTTCATTGTATCGACCCAGCCGCATTCCACGAGGTATTCCAACAGGAAATCCCTCGACTCTATGAGATGATCTTCGAGCATACGGCTCTGTTGCATATCCCCCAATTCTTCTTGGCAAGTGAGGCTACATCACCAAGCTTCTGTGGCATGCTTCTGAAGTTTTTGATGGAGCGAATTGACGATGTGGGTTCGGCCGACGTAAAAAGGTCGTCGATTCTCTTACGTCTATTCAAGCTTGCGTTCATGGCAGTTACCTTATTCGCAAACCAGAATGAGCAGGTTCTCCTCCCTCATGTAGTGGACATAGTCACCAAGTCAATTGACTTGTCCACTAAAGCAGAGGAGCCCATGAACTATTTCCTGCTTCTCCGCTCTTTATTCAGGAGCATCGGAGGTGGAAAATTTGAGCATCTCTACAAGCAGATTTTACCTCTTCTGGAAATGTTGCTTGATGTCCTGAATAACCTGCTTATGGCTGCTCGTAAGCCTGCAGAAAGAGATTTGTACGTTGAACTGTGCCTTACAGTACCAGCACGACTCAGCAACCTGTTGCCGCATCTAAGCTTCCTAATGCGTCCGTTGGTCGTTGCGCTGAGGGCCGGTACGGATCTCGTTGGCCAGGGGCTTAGAACTCTAGAGCTCTGCGTCGACAACCTGACGGCCGATTACTTAGACCCAATCATGGCGCCCGTGATAGAAGATCTGATGAATGCACTATTCGAGCATTTGAAGCCGCATCCCTATAGTCACTTCCATGCTCACACCACAATGCGGATTCTCGGCAAATTGGGAGGCAGGAACCGGAAATTTATGACTGAAGCTTTACCTGTGAACTATCAGAAGTATGCTGATGACCCTGCCAGTTTCGACCTTCGTCTGATAGGATCGAAGAAGGACCGTGCATTCCCGGCCGAACTTGGTATTGACTTCGCTATCCGTAAACTAATGGAAATCCCAAGACCATCAAAAGCCAACTCGGCCAGGCAATTTGATGGATATTATAAAAAGCAAGCCCTGCAGTTGATCAAGTCTCAGCTCAAACTTCGTGTTGGTATCGATCATCTGCCTGAGGACCTGCCTCGATTGGTTCGCCTTCAAGTACAGGATCTCCTCGCTAGGAAACCGGCAGCCGATTTCGCAATATTCAACACGTCGGACCGCGAGCGATCTGTTGCCAAGAAAGATGAACAAGATGAGGTTACAAAACGCCTCATTAAGGCTATTATGTATGCAGAGTCACTTCCCGAGTTCCGAGAAGAAGCGGATGTTTTTCTCATGAATCTGTGCCGGCATTTCACCATCATCGAAATCGGGCGTGGGCTTGTGGATATTAAGAAAGAAACGGGCCTTTTCGATGTACAGGCGGGAGAGGGTCCCTTATACATCGACACTCGGGTTCTAGCGGATGCGATAGTCGAGTCGCTTGCTTCGGATCTGCCTGATGTGCGTGATGCCGCTTTTCGAGCGATCCGAGCGGTTTACGACTCTACTGCAACTATTTTTGGTTCTGAACTTAATGTAGGCCGGTTAGGATTCTTCAGCCATCTTAGTAAGACATTCTGCCATGCTTGCAATGAGGAAGAGTGGTACACAAAAACTGGTGGCAGTCTTGGTATCAGGTATCTCCTGGTTGAAATCGATTTGGGAGAAGCTTGGGTCTTATCCAAGCAGATGGACTTTATACGAGCTCTAATGTATGTGGTCAAGGATATGCCACAGGATTTACCAGAGAAAACCAGGAATTCGGCGCAAACGACTCTCGAATCTCTTTTAAGGAGGATCACTGCGAATGTGAAGAAAGAAGATGCATTGCCTCCCGCGCAGCCAAACCCACCTCATCCCAAAGCCTCGCGCTTACCGCAGATCTGCGTACTTTTCAATGATGAACTGTCTCATATGAACAGACACGTTCGGGGAACAGCGAGACGCTCACTCGAGATAATTGCCAACGCAACCAACGCAGAAATATGGGAGCTTTTGCAACCTCACAAAGATCGATTATTACAGCCTATCTACGCCAAGCCTTTGCGGGCGTTACCGTTTTCGACTCAGATAGGATACATCGATGCGATCGCCTATTATATGAGTTTGAAGCCTGACTTTGTCTCTTTCGATGATCATCTGAACCGGCTACTTATGGAGTCGCTGGCTCTAGCCGATGCTACGGATGAATCTCTGGCTGGAAAACATGCAGAATTTCGAACTCACGAATCCATTGTGAACCTTCGTGTTTCTTGCATCAAGATATTGAGCAAGGCAATGGGATTTGACGATTTCCAGAAGGGCCAAAACAATCCTACGAGGACCAAAATTGTCTCTGTGTTTTTCAAGTGCTTATATTCGGAATCCAAACCTACTATCGAGGCAGCAAACGACGCTCTGAAGGCTGTGCTCTCTCAAACCAACAAATTACCCAAGGACTTACTACAGCAAGGACTTAGGCCTGTCTTGGCTAACCTCCAGGACCCTAAGCGATTGAGTACCCATGGGTTGGATAACCTTGCAAGGCTTCTTCGTCTGCTTACTACTTATTTCAAAGTAGAAATTGGCGCAAGGCTGCTAGATCACATTAAGGTCCTCGCAGACCCAAACCTTCTTCAGCAGATCTCGTTCACATTCTTCGAGCAGAATAGTCAGATGAAAGTAGTTGCGGCAGTGTTCAACATTTTCTATCTCCTACCGCCCGCTGCAGAGCAATTCAAGGAACGACTTATCGACACCTGCTTGGAACTTGAGGATAAACTACGCCGTACCCACCACAGCCCCTTCCGAGCTCCGTTATATAAGTATCTTAACCGTTACCCAGCTGAATCCTGGGGTTTCTTATTGAGCAAATTGGAAGATTTGAAATACGGTCGATTCCTCGCCCAGGTCCTCTTGCATCCAGAAAGCAAGCCACTAAGAGAACATGCGGCCGCCAATATTGATGGGTTGATCAGTTTCTGTACCCAGGTTGTGAATGCCACTAAAGAGACAAGATTCGTAGCTGTCGTTAACACAATCAATGTCCTCGATTCACTAAGCCAAAATGCTAACACGCAAGGTTGGCTGGAACGAAAAGACATAATTGGATGGCTGAGGCAAGTCGGTAAGGAGCTTGAGCGCCACTTACGAACTAATAGTTTACCGCCGAACCTACGACTGCCCGCTGATCAAGCGGCTGAGCAACTTATGGGCATCTTCACCAAAGCCCTATCACTAAACCCTAGAGATCTAGATGCCCTCTTTAGCCTCGTGGACTCGGTTACTTCAGAAGAGTTGCGTGCTACGCCATCTCTATTTGACTTCCTCTATAATCATGTCATCCGTAGCGAATCTATCGACTACTGGAAATCCGTGATACTCCGTTGTCTCGACATTTATGCTGGGAAGAACTCTACCCAGAAAACGAAATGCTTCCTCCTGCGCAACGTCGTCAATCCCATTGTCGCCATGGATGTCATGCGTCATTGGAATCAGCCTAGAGCCCAAAGATTGGTGGATCGCGCGGTTATTGAGTCCATCAACGTTAAGATTTGGAAAGTCAATCCCGGCGATCCACAAGAGGATCTGGCACAACCAGGCATTGATCACACAAGAATGGAAGTTCTCCAACTTTCTGCTATGCTAGTGAAGTATCACCATTCCATTCTTCAAGATGCCAGGAAGGATATCATCAAGTTTGGTTGGACCTACATCAGGCTGGATGACGTGATCAACAAGCATGCGGCATACGTTGTGATAGGGTATTTCATCGCGCATTATGAGACGCCTCCAAAGATTGTCACCCAGGTGTATTACTCATTGCTTAGGACCAATCAGAATGAAGGGCGTGCGCTGGTTACACAAGCGCTCGAATTGATGGCACCCGTCCTACCTCAACGCTGTACAGCAATGCAAGGCGACCGTGGTGCCGGAGATCGCAACGCCGTTTGGGCCATGGCACCACGCCGCATCTTGGCCGAGGAAGGACAAAATGTTCAGCAAATGACGAGCATTTTCCACTTCTTGGTTCGACACCCAGATCTCTTCTACGAATCTAGAGATAAATTTGCTCTTCTGATTATCACATCTCTTCGAAAGGTGTCTCCTTTCCAGTCATCCTCAACCGAGAGCAAGAGACTCGCTTTGAACATGATGTGGCTGATTTGGCAGTGGGAGGAAAGAAGAGTTGACGGCAAGCTTAACGACGCCAAGAGGTCATTGTCCGAGTCACCAAATACTAAGAAACAACGATTAGACGGCGAACTAATCACTTCCTCCCCGCCAGCAGCGCGGCAGGTTGCTCAGGTCGACAGAGCCGAATTTCAGATCCCCGGCGGCTTCCGACAGAAGATGGTTAAGTATCTCATTGAATTCATTGCGCAACTAAATGAGAGATATCCGCTACCTTCTGCGAAGCCAAGGGATATCGCATTGACCTCTGGACCCGCCCTTCCAAGTCAGTCTACTGAGTTGTGCAAGAAGGCAATGTCACTTCTTTATAACCTCTTGCAACCGCGATACTGGGGCGATCTTGATGTTGACTTATTCCCGAATATCACCGAAGCTGTCCTAGCTAGCGAAAAAACTCAGAAGATCCTAACTGCTGACCCATCCGACAAAGACAACTATGATGAGAGGTTTATAACTAACATCCTGAACACCTTACAGGTGGTGAGGATTATCCTCAACTTCAAATCTGACGAGTGGATTCAGAAGAATATGTCGTCAGTCCAGAAAGTTATTGAGAAGTGCCTCAAGTCAGAAAATCCAGAGCTACAGGATTCTCTTCATCTAGCAGATAAAAAGTACGACGATGGACGCGATGTGAAATCAACCGTTCAGCGAATTCTTGATGCTGTGCCGGAGGATGTTCCAATGGAAGACGCAGACGCCGAGGGAGAATCTGAAGCTCCTACCTCGGAGATTATCACGTTCCTGTCCAACGTTGCGACGGAGTCGCTAACAGCTTCCAACTATGTATCTGGAGTGAATGTTCTATGGTCTCTAGGACAACGGAAACCTTCGGTCATAGACCAACATATCGTGTCCTTGATGAAGGCATTACAGACCAAACTCGCGAGAGAGCACGTCCAGCACTATGCGAGCGTAGCCGCACACCAGCAGATGAGCATGAGCAACATGCGGCCTCAGGACCAAAATCCACAACCTGGAGAGTTGTCACAATACGATCTCAACATCCAGACTGATCTGATGATCAAGGCCATTCAAGTGATTGCAATGCGCATGGAAATCCTTGGTGACAACCGTCGACCCTTCTTGAGCGTTCTAGCAACACTGGTTGAGAAGTCACAGCACATCCCACTCTGTGAAAAGATCCTTGATATGGTAGAGGGCTGGGTGTTCCGATCTGATGGCACATGGCCGACACTTAAGGAGAAGACCGCGGTTTTACATAAAATGCTTTCCTTTGAACATCGAAGCGACCCGACAATGCTAGGAAAATTCCTCGAGCTGGTAATCCGCATTTATGAGGATCCAAAAATCACGCGAACTGAACTTACCGTTCGCATGGAACATGCCTTTTTAATTGGAACCCGAGCTCAGGACGTTGATATGCGGAACCGATTCCTGACAATATTCGACAAGAGTTTATCTAAGACAGCAACAGCACGACTATCGTATGTCATTAGTTCGCAGAACTGGGATACACTTGCAGACTCCTTCTGGTTAGCACAAGCCGGTCAACTTCTCCTAGGAGCTGTGGAAATGAATTCTAGCATTCAACTACATCATCAAGACTTCCGAACACTTCCAGCATCTGTCGTGTTTGGTGTTTACTCTAGGGACACTAGAGAACCCTCCTCAATGGTTGATGACAAATATGAGACATTCATGGCCAATCACCGTCGTTTTGTTGCCGAACTAGGAGATGTTAAAGTTCGAGACATCATAGAGCCTTTGACTCAACTTCAACATATTGACTCCAATTTGTCTCATAATCTTTGGGTCACACTATTCCCGATGTTCTGGTCAGCTACTGCCAAAGAGGAAAAGACGGATCTCGAAAAGGCTCTAGTAGTGCTCCTTTCGAAGGATTTCCATTCTCGACAAATTGACAAGAGACCCAACGTAGTACAGACTCTATTAACGGGAGCCGCTAAAGCGTGGCCCGAGTGCAAGATCCCCCCACACATCCTCAAATTCGGCGCCAAGACTTACGACGCTTGGTATACCGCCCTAGTTCAGCTAGAAAATGCGGCTATCAGGCCGGATATCGACTCGCATAAGGTGCGAGAGAGTAACCTTGACGCATTAGTCGAATTGTACTCGAGTCTGAAAGAAGATGATCTATTTTACGGTACTTGGCGTCGCCGATGCCAATTTGTTGAAACCAATGCAGCCCTTTCCTACGAACAGAATGGGATGTGGGACAAGGCCCAAAAGATGTACGAAGCGGCCCAAATCAAGGCTCGAACAGGTGTCATTCCATTCTCCCAAGGCGAATATATGCTCTGGGATGATCATTGGGTTCTCTGCGCGCAGAAACTACAACAGTGGGATATCTTACAAGACTTCGCTAAGCACGAGAACCTTCAAGATCTTCTCCTCGAATGCGCTTGGCGAAGCATTGATATGTGGCAGAGCCAAGAACAGCGCGAGAGCTTAGACTCGATTGTGAAAGGGGTCATGGATGCACCAACAGCCCGACGTGCCTTCTTCCAGAGTTTTATGTCTTTACTCAAATTCCACAACAAGCAAGAGACTGCCCAAGATCTCTCTCGCGTCTGTGACGAGGCCATACAATTGTCGATCAGGAAATGGCACCAACTTCCAAAGCGCCTAACTGCTGCCCATATTCCCCTTCTTCACAACTTCCAGCAACTCGTCGAACTCCACGATGCCAGTGTTATTTGTGGAAGCCTAGCAAATACAAACCAGACGAATTTGGACGTTAAATCAGGTGAACTGAAACTTCTGCTTGGATCTTGGAGGGACAGATTACCAAATATCTGGGATGACATAACCGATTGGCAAGACTTGGTCACTTGGAGACAGCATATCTTTGGTTTGATCAACCAAACATATCTCCAGCTTCTCCCTCAACAAGGCCAAGGCGCTAATGGCGCTTCGTTTGCATACCGCGGTTATCATGAGACAGCCTGGATTATCAATCGATTTGCCCATGTTGCCCGCAAGCACAACCTACCCGACGTATGCATAAATCAACTCAGTCGAATTTATACTCTCCCTAACATCGAAATACAAGAGGCGTTCTTGAAGCTTAGGGAACAGGCGCGATGCCATTATGAGAACCCAGCGGAACTCTCTAGTGGACTCGACGTCATTAATAACACTAACCTCAATTATTTCAACAACCAGCAAAAGGCCGAATTCTTCACTCTAAAGGGAATGTTCTTGGAGAAACTCAGCCAGAAAGAAGAAGCGGACGCAGCCTATGGCACTGCGCTTTACTATGATATCGGCAAGGCCAAGGCATGGGCCGAATGGGGTTACTTCAACGACCGCAAATTTAAGGAGGACCCTACGGATCTCAATTCTGCTAGACAAGCCCTGACTTCCTACTTGCAAGCTATTGGTAGTTACAAGAGCGGCAAGGCTCGGAAGCTCATTGCGCGTATACTCTGGCTCTTGAGTTTGGATGACTCAAATGGCACTATCGCCGCTGGTTTTGATGATTACAAAGGAGAGACTCCTGTCTGGTATTGGATCACTTTTATTCCGCAACTCTTGACAGGCATGGCCCACAAGGAGGCCCCTAAAGTTCATGCGATTTTGTTGAAGATAGCGAAGGCTTATCCGCAATCGTTATACTTCCAACTAAGGACAAACCGTGAAGATATGCTCGCCATCAAGAAGAACCAGGAAGCTAAGGAAAAGGCACGACAACGAGCACAGTCAGCGGCAGGTAGTAACAAGCCGAGTAGCTCGCCGTCCCTAAGCAAGCAGGAAAATCCTCAGGTGAAACCGGACTCGTCTTCTAGGCCCGCAACCTCCAACGGGGAAGGTAGTGCACAGGCCAAAACAGAACCATCCGAGGCTAACGGAACACCCAATGCACCACAAGGAAATGGTACCACTCCCGCGCCCAATGCGGATCAGCAGTCGGCTGGGAAGGATGGCGCTTCTTCGACACCAGCGCATAAGAGACCACCCTGGGAGCTCACAGAAGAAATAATGTCTGTTCTGAAGACCGCCTTCCCACTCCTTGCGCTCTCCATGGAGACAATGGTTGATCAGATCCAAAAGTACTTCAAGTGCCCGCCCGACGAGGACGCGTACCGACTAATTATAGCACTTCTGAATGATGGGCTAGCATATGTCAGCCGCATGCCTGCCTCTTATGCTAAGGACGTGAAGCTACCAGCTGCTACTGAGACTAACATCACTCGATTTGCTGAAACCATTCTACCCGCACACATCAAAAAGTCATTTGAGGCAGAATTCGTTCAAGTGAAGCCGACAATGTTTGAATACATCCACAAACTCCGAAAATGGCGCGACAAGTTTGAAGAGAAGCTTGACCGAAGAAATCCGAAAGCTTACTTGGAGACGTACTCACGTCACCTAAGCGAATTCCGCTACCAGAAATTCGACGATGTCGAGGTCCCCGGTCAGTATCTACAGCATAAGGATAAGAACCAAGATTTCATTCGAATCGATCGCTTCCTTCCTAATGTGGATCTTGTCCGAGGCGTTGGCGGTTCGCATCGACGCCTCAAGATCCGCGGCCATGACGGTAGTATTCATTCATTCGCCGTCCAACATCCCGCCGCACGACACTGTCGACGAGAAGAGAGAATTCTACAACTGTTCCGACATCTAAACCAGACACTTGCCAAGAAGAAGGAAAGTCGACGTCGCGATCTTCAATTTACTGTGCCTTTGATTGTTCCTCTTGCACCACATATACGAATTGTACAAGAGGATACGTCTTACATTACACTACAAGGAATCTACGAAGATCATTGCCGACGCAACGGGATGTCTAAAGACGAGCCGGTCATGTTTACTATGGACAAGTTGAGGGGTCTGATTGATGCTAAGGCCAGCGTAAGTTCTATCCATCCCGAAAACGTCTCCACAAACCCTGACAATCTAATTCAGAGGCCCACTGAGCAGACACAGACGAGCATGGCACGTCTCGAAGTATTCACGGCTATCCAGGAGAAGTGGGTTCCACGCACAGTTGTCCTAGAGTATTTCCAGAGCATCTTCCCGGAATTTTCCGAGTTCTGGTTATTCCAACGACGCTTCTCTTACCAACTTGCGGCACTCACGTTTATGACGTACATCCTTTACAGCACGAACAGGTATCCTCACAAGATCCACATCGCGCGTGGCTCGGGTAAAATCTGGGGTTCCGAAGTTATGTCCTTCATGGCACCCGGAAAACCCTTCTTCCACAATCCTGAGCCGGTACCATTTCGTCTCACTCCCAACCTACAAACCTTAATGGGCCCTCTAGCCACAGAGGGTATATTCAGCTGCTCAATCATGGCAATTGCACGATGCCTGACTGAGCCCGAGTTCGAACTCGAGCATGCGCTGACGCTATTTGTCCGAGATGAAGTGATTTTCTGGTTTACCAGCAGTCATAGAACAATCCATCTCAACGAGAATCAACTACGCGAAACAGTTCAGACGAACTGTGACATGATCGTCAAGCGCGCCGTAAGCCTAGCACAGAGTCCAGTGGGCAACCTACCGGCGAACCAGACAGTCATTGATCTCATCGCCCGATCTGTTAACCCCATGAATCTGGCGCAATGCGATGCTCTTTGGATGCCCTACCTCTAAAACAAAAAGAAAAAAAATATACTCATGGAAAATTGCCAATCAGGCGTGGTGGCTGGGCGGCTCACTTCTCTTCATTTGCGATTCGGTTTCACAAAGGGCGAGGCTATTTTGTAGCAAGGCGTTCGGGGAAAAGGTGCTAAAGGTGCATGTAAAGAGTTAAAAAGGGTTCGCAACCCAGCTCTATTCATCCGTTCATCGGGTCAAATGGCCGGCATAAGGACCTAGGACAATATTCTAGTACTTGAGAGGACGAGTACTTTACTCAAGACTTGCTTTGTTGCGGCGGTTTTACTACAGATAGGGTGTCTTTAATGACGCCATCATATATGCTATTAATACGATGAATTTCTATAAAAATTAAAAATCAATTGTTCTGACTTGCCTTAAGATTATTTATTAAGTGTGAATGTCCATTAGTATTAATGAGATGTAGTTTCAAACGCTTCTAAACTTCCCCCATTCATAAAAAGACAATGTTCCAAAGGTAAATCGTTGGGAAAAGCTCCCAGAGAATGAACTGTTGCGACAGGAACGGCCCATTCGACTTGACTGCTCAGCGACATCCATCATCTTATTTCGAATAACATCGATGCTGATGAACTTGATAGTGCTTCTCCGTTCATCATACCGTCAACATAACACTCGCCAATAAGCTGGTAGAAGGTCTGAGGTTCGCTTTCCAAACGCACCCGCGGTTCTCGCTTGGTCATGACAGGCACCGAGTTGACTCTGCCTGGTGTTTTAGCAGTGTTGCCATTCGTCTCCGTTTCATGATTCCTATTCTCTTGTTGGAGGCTTAAACCCGTAGCCTGTGCTGTCGACGAACATTTTCTTCGAGCTAGGTTTATCCGCCAGAGGTGGAAAAACCTCTGTGCCACTTTCTTATCTATTTCTCTCTGCTTCTCCTCTCTGCGCCGTGTTTCTTCGGCCACTTCGTCGCTTGATTTTGTGAGTTCGCGGAGGATGACAGGCACACTACATCCATACAGAATGCATATTAGATCACCTTTCCTACTATATTGTGGCGCCAGCCCAAGTCTCTGGCCATCCTTCGTCCGCATCAACTTTCGATTCCATATCACAGACTGAACTCTTCGTAGAACCTCGCCCACCACGCTGCAATTTCCCCAATTGAGTATGTCCTTGGTATTCAGTACGTCTCCTTGTACGCCTTGCCTCAGGGCGTGGCGTAATAAGCGGGAATAGTATCGTCTTGCATTTTCACCTGTTGGACTTCGATCCGCTACAAGAGTCCGCCAGAATTCGTCAAGCAGGCCGGTGTCTAAGTCCATGCGTTCCGCATCTTCTGGTGGCATTCGCTGCGCGTATTCCCGTGCTATGCGTTTTGCCATCACAATCCAATCATTTGGAATATTCCCTTGCTGCGATGAGGATTTCAACTCTTTCACCTCATCCAGGATAAACCCCTCCACAAACAAGCTGTGGTAATGCAGCCCATTTAGTTCCTCGTTAACACTATACTTGGTCACGCCGTCTTCGATCCGGAAATTCTTCGTGAGTCGACGGGTCCCGGCTGCGCTGTATACATGTTGTGGTGGAAGCGCAACGAGACTATCCGCATTCTTGCGCGTCATCCTTCGACCTGTGCCGTCCATACCAAACGCCGCTCGAGCTAAAGTCGGCGTCCATGATGGTAACGTATCTTCCCCTTCTTCGCGCGGTCGTTTTGAACCGGTCTTGACACGCCAGTGGGTATCTCTCTCCTCATCCTCGTAATCTAGTCCATCCGGCAATTCTGGAACCGGAGCCCACGGCCGACAGATAATGTCAAGGGCGCGGCTCTTATCAGATTTAGTTATCGCCCATTTTACAAACTGGACGTAAACTTCTGATAATGGAAGTTGGTAGTCAACGGGGTAGGGCTTAGAAACAATTTTAGTTTCCAGTACCTCGATAAGTTTCTTCTTGATATCGTCCTTCCAAGACCATTCTTGGATTACATCCTTCCCGAGGTTCATGGTGACCGGGACTGTGTCCCTTGCAATTGCCAGAAGGGCGTAAATAGTATCACGGGGCTCCGTTGAGTCGAATGCTATGAGTTTCGAGACGAGATACTCAAGGCTAAATTGAGCCTGTCGCTCTCCTCCGGAAAGGCGTCGAAAGAGGTTATTAGTCTCTTCGACTAACTTCGTGGCGCTCAGTTCCGATACATTCCCGAAGAAATCAGGCATATGCCCTAGGTCTTTGTTACTTTTCATGACTTTAGAGACCTCCCGTGATCCTGTCTCTACTTCATTAAAGAGCGATATAGCATCCGCGAAATCCTTCCATCCAATCCTTTCTGCGCCACAGAGGAGTATCGCTTCTTTAGCGATAGCAATCTCTTGTACAATCCACCGGCGAGAAAACCATGACCGATTCATTAGCGTCGACAGGGCCTTCCATTCTTTCACAGTAGCATTATCTCGAATCAAGCTATCAAATTCCCCGAGATTGAGAACTCGATTTTTCATGAATTGTATGGCTAGAGTGCTATTATCGCCCTCTTCGCCAAGCCATACAAAAACGCATTGTGCTCTCCCGTAGATGCTTGACATCATCGGCACTTGGTAGTTCTTTTCATCGGTATTGTCTTGGTTCATACAAATGAAATCTATCCAGACTCTGAGCACCCCGGAATTCCGAAGTTCTTCTATGGCAGGTTTGAGATTATTTGGTATCGAGAACGTATGAAAGCCACTGGACTACATCGAGTTAATAACACTTTCGCCTGTGGTAAGACCAAAAAGGGGGCAACGCCATGTCAAGACCATGTTATCCCGAGGGAGTTGTTGCTGGCTTACGTGAAGAATTCGGATCATATTCATGCCTCCTTTTTCACCCCAACGCCATGACAGAGCAGCATATTTTCCCACATCGTCGAGCTTGAACCGCTTGAGTTCGCATTCAATTAAGTCCTGTCGGTTGTCATGTATCTCTAGGATACGAAGCTCCTTAGAAGGGTCGCTTAGTGGGCAACATTTTTTGTATGAGTATAACGGATCAGACATTAGATTAAGGGGGCTATTAATATTATAGAAACAAATAACTAGGGGAAGTATCAAGGTGTAATACTGGGAACCAGAAAACCCATAACAATAAGACTAGCTTCCTCCCGTAACCAGTTATTAATGGGAAAACGAGATGCGATATATACCTAATTACTTTCACTCTTCCTAATCCACACACACTTCCAGTCCATCAAGGGAAGGGAAAAAAAACAAGTTAAAATCGATTCGCCCGTAACGTTAGGCATGGGACCATCTCATCTCCCCGGTTAGATCTTGCCTATGCCACGAGGGGTATGCAGGCTACAATCACACAAAACTCGCCGGCTCACAAATCTGCCACAGAAGCAGGGCGACGGGAGTCCCGCCGGATGCCGGCTCCACATGATGACTCATGGGTGCTGAAGGAACTGTGAGTAGGAAGTCTTGTAGTTGACCCTTCAAACTCGAGCGAGCTTTACCCCAAAGAACTAGGCCCAGTTAAACACGATCATCACATGGAATTAAACTTGGGCGCAGACGGGTGTGATAGAAGAAATCGTACGGACGAGGAATAGGGCAAGGAGTTTAGGACAAGCCACAGCCATGATCGTATGCACCTTACGTAGCTGCGGATACTATCTGGTTCTACTCGGGGGACGCACCGAAATTATACTAGTGGTGTGAGTACTTTTTGGTAGCGTAACCAGTTACCTGATTTAATAATCAGCATCATGCATGGAGGTGGGAATGTCTTAGAAATTCTAGGTCAGCAAGGCTATGTTATAATAAAAGAGACAACGTATTGGACCGATAGCCCTAGACCCTGTCATGGGCCTAAAACCAGCCGTGTCTTATGCAAGAATCCTTATTAGGGCACACCGAGATCATCCCATCTCATACCCGATATCTCCTCTGCCTTTCAATCTGAGAGGCCGGTCTTAATCGAGCCATTCACGTAGCATTTCCGATTCAACGTCTGTGTTTTAACTTGTAGGAAGTACAGCCTTGGACTATCTCTCCAATTGTTTCCGCTGCCATCCCCTGTTTCTTATTTCCACTTATCTTTTTTCCCTCTTCTTTGCCCCCACCCAACTTGTGTGACATGCGGATCGGACCATTGTTTCCGTCGCCCGGGGGATTCGAACTGTGTTAGGGGTTGGAGATGCTAATGCATACTCCCGTTTCCTGGTACAAACGATTCCAGTAGCAGTCGAATGCAGTTCCATGGGTTAATTAAGATATATACCGGACTTAGCCCCGAAGGTAATTCTATTGCCCGAATTATACATGCTAAGGTGACATTCAATCCGGGTACTCTTCGCTGTGCTGTCCCCGTGGTCCGGTTAAACCAATCGTCCTAGACTATAAAACTGTCCTACCCTCCCTTAAAAGTCGTTGTTCTTTCCCATGCCGCTACCTACGTGGCTGCTGCTGTACTACACATTGCCAGACGGGATATACTAATTAGTTAGCGGTACCTACTCATTGTTTCTATTAAGACCGATGGGAGAGGACTAACGGCTGGAATCCATGAGTCTGAAGAAGGAACGCATCTTTCAGTATACGTTAGTATTCCATCTTTAGGTTTTTCCATTAATTATATATGTATCCAGTGTTCTAAACACTACACTATAGGAGATACTCACATAATGGATCCCAAGGCATATGGCCCATTAGTCCCCGATATCGAAGAGCCTAGCAACAAGACCAGTGCTGCTAAAATAGTGAATGAGATGATAGTCACTACCGAAAAGGGTGGCGAGTCCCAATCCCTAACGAAAGGCAAAATAGACCCTAAAGAGAGCGCGCTTGTGCGCAAGCTTGACTATTTTATCATGGTAGACACTCACACGGATTGATTGTGAGGAAGAGGTGCTTATACTCCTGATAGCCGATTATTTGCATTATGTATTTCCTCAATTATGTCGATCGTAACGTTATCTCGCAAGCCCGGCTTAATCATTTCGAACATGATCTAGGCATGTCGGGAAACGAATTTAATGTTGCGGTTAGCATGTAGGTAAACGCCGGTTTACAATAGCAGTACTCCCAATCTAATTACAACGCCACAGCCTCTTCGTCGGATATGTACTCATGCAAGTACCAAGCAACGTGTTGATCACACGTATCAAACCGGGGATTTATATGTCCGGGTGCATGTTCCTTTGGGCTGTGGTATCTGCGTGTACCGCTTCCGTTAAGGGGTATGGGGGATTGATAGCTTGCAGGCTCTTCCTTGGGATCGCAGAAGCTCCCGTGAGAAACCGAACTGATCCCTTCCCCTTAGGGAGACGTGGCTGACACGGCAAAGTTCTACCCGGGCGCCACATACATTCTGGCCATTTATTATACCCATAGTGGTTAGTTCTGAATCCAGATGGCGCTTTTGAGGTCGAAATTAACTATTAGCCCTCAGAGATGGCCACGCGGGTTGGCCTCATGTACTGTGGTCAGCTTCTGGCTACGGGATTTACCGGTTTGATTTCGGCCGGCGTTTTTGCTGGGATGGATGGTCTGCGAGGATTGACAGGCTGGCAGTGGCTATTCATCATCGAAGGCGCCCTCACAGCATTCGTGGCGTTACTCGGCTTCTGGCTCCTACCAAACTTGCCCGAGGACACATACTGGTTGAGTGCAGAAGAGTGTAAGTTAGTACGGGCACGCATAGAGCGCGACAAGATCAGTGACGCCCTCAGCGAGGTCAGTGCATGGGAGGGCCTCAAGCAGGCTTTCAAAGACGAACGGACATGGCTCTTCTGCTTTATGCAGATGTTCCATTTGTCGGCTTGTTCATTCAATACGTTCTTCCCGACGTAAGTACCCAGCCTTCCCCTACACCCCCTTTTACAAGGGACGTTGAGACTTGGGCCAGGAATGAAGGAGCCTCACTAATGCCGCCTCAAATGGTAGTGTTGCTAAAACACTTGGTTACAACACCACCGTCACTCTCCTATTGACATGTCCGCCGTTTGTACTCGCCGGACTTGGTAGTATCGTAGTTGGTTGGAGTTCTGGTAAGTTGAACGAGAGAACATGGCATATCACTGCGACGCTAGGTTCCGCAATCATCGGGTTCGTAATAGCTGCTAGCACTCTCAACACAGCAGCGCGTTACGTCGCTTGTTTTATTTTCCCGGTCGGCGCATTTTCCGCCAACTCGGTAATCGTCGGCTGGGCATCGTCGACTCTAAGCCAAAATATAGAAAAGAGAGCCGTGAGTAATGAATTACAAGCCTTATGCGCGATCTAGGAGATGTGTTGACGTAGCGTTTTAGGTGGTGCTCGCGATAACCAATGTCTTTGGCCACATTGGTTTTATATATGGCGCATATCTATGGCCGGATAGCGATGGACCACGATATGGCATTGGTTTCGGCGCATCTGCTGGCTTTGCACTGCTTTCCATCTGCTGTGCTTGGATTATGCGAACGTTGTTGATTCGGGAGAACCAGAAAATCAGGGAGTCGACTTTGGAGCCAGTCAACTTGTACAGCTACTAATTTGAGCGCGATGGCCAGTGTTGAGAATAATAACCTTTACTTTCATGATCAATTTAGAAGATACCTAGGTAGAAAATCAATCATATTATGAAGATAACATTATGAAGATGACGTATCTCTGCCGTCTCGGCGCATGTAACCGGCAAGAGCCGATAAGACCTCCGATATCGATTTGTAAGTACCAAAGTACCTTCTTTAATTCTTAATAATTTGCAACTTTCCCAAATCTCTCACTAGCAACAACAACGTCGAGGTGCGAGACACTGACGGCTCAATCTACTAATTGAAGTCGATTACTATACTCGAGTGCGATTCTTATACCGACAGATGAACCTAATTTCGAATATGGCAACCCGGCGCATGGTCTCGCCCCTCCGAGCCGTCATATCACGGTCATATTCCTCAACGGCCGCTGCCCACTCTAGACTCCAATTAGCTTACGACCACCACGAGCCCCCGAAAGACGGACGGCATAAGCAGGATGCGCCTATAATATTTATGCACGGTTTGTTCGGGTCGAAGAAGAACAACAGGAGCGTGAGCAGGTGAGTTGGAATTGGATCAAACAGCCCCTCTACTAGCATGCGCAAGAGCTTCAGTACGGGCATATAAAGATAGTAGAGAACTAATCAGGGGCTGTTTATAGAGTTCTAGCTAGGGACCTTAAGCGCCATGTATATACGGTTGTAAGTCTCCGTTGCTCTCATCCCCGGCTTTTCCTCCACTGGTTTTGCTCTGACACCCTCTCCTTTACAGGACCTACGCAACCACGGCGAATCCCCCCACTCCTCACGACATGACTACCTCGCTATGGCCGACGACGTCGCAGGCTTCATCCATGACCACGGGCTACAAGACACGACGCTCATCGGCCACTCCATGTGAGTTCTACTCCATCTGAAGCGAACTTACCCCCCGACCCTTCCTATTTTCGCAAGCCAGGAAAAAATACTCACACCAAACCCAGGGGCGCCAAAACAGCAATGACCCTCGCCCTCTCCCAACCCTCCCTAATATCCTCCTTAATATCCGTAGACAACGCCCCCATCGACGCCGCCCTCGGCGGGCCCTTCGCGCGGTACGTCCAAGGCATGCGACGCATCGACGAAGCCAACGTAACAAAACAAGCCGACGCCGACAAGATCCTCGCTGAATACGAGTCCGAATTGCCTATCCGACAATTCCTTCTCGGAAACCTGCACACACCCGACCCCTCGCAAAATATAAAACGTTTCCGCGTTCCCTTGGGTACATTAGGAAAATCATTAGATAATCTCGGTGATTTCCCGTTTAAAAACCCGGGAGAAGTGCGATTTGAAAAACCAGCATTGTTTGTGCGTGGTACGCGAAGTAAATACGTACCTGATGAGGTCATACCGTTGATCGGGCAGTTCTTCCCGCGGTTTAGGATGGTGGATATTGAAGCCGGCCATTGGGTTATTTCGGAGAAGCCGGAGGAATTCCTTCGAGGTGAGTAGATGCGACGTTCCCCGTAATATTTGTTTTCCAGTCCGTGAACTCATAGAATGTTGCGCAGCCGTTATAGAATTCCTAACGCCGAAGGAGTAAAAACCCGAAGAAAAGAGAAGCGAACGAAAGTAGACGACATTTGCATATATATCCGTTTTAGAAGGTCATGTATCATTGCATAAGGGGATATCATCTATAGAGGACAGTTATATACACTGACGCCGCTCAGCGTCAAAAAACCTAGGCGTTTATTGGGTTACCAGTTTGCTTGCCGAATGAGAATAGAAAAAGACAGAGTTCTTGGGCTTCTTAGCAAGCGCAGGCTGAAGATGAGTCGGACGAAAGACCTAGGTCTATACCAGTGCTATTAGAAGCGGGCGCCGCGGCGGCTAGAAGTTGGGGTTTTTGGACGATTCGATCGACGACCTCGACGAAGGGCTTCCTAATGTTTTCTTTCGTCTTGGAGCTAACCTCGCAAAAACCGGCTCCTTGGGAATCGGCGAACGCTTTGCCTTCTTCGAAGGAAACGGCGCGGCCGTCTGTAGCCACTTTATCCAACTTACTTCCCACCTTTCAACATATGGTTAGTTACGATCGAATATGAAGTTGGGGAAAGAAGAGATTATGTTAGAGATATGATACCAAATAGAGTACGGCATCCGGGGAGGCATTCGACCTCGCCTCTTCGATCCATTTTTCCATGCTAAGGAAGCTTTTCCGGTTGGATATGTCGTAGACTATAACGACGCCATGTGCGCCACGGTAATAACTAGTTGATAAGGTGCGGAACCTTTCTTGACCGGCCTTCAAATAAGAAAAGAATTGTTGGGTCAGATATGCTACAGAGGTAAAATGGGTGTAGAAGCATGAGTGCTTACGGTATCGAATAAATTCAATCTATAAGCTTTACCTCGTACGGCGAGCTTTTTCATCTAGATGCAGAGCCGCAGTTAGTATGAGGTGATCTGTGGGCTACATCTCATCTGCTTGCCTTGAAATCGATACCGATTGTTGCTGTCGTCGACTCCGGATCGAATTGGTCATCGCAATCTATGGAAGTGTTAAAACATATTTAAAGGAACACCAACTACCAAAATGCTTCATAGTAAGGACAAGAGGGTTAGTTTTGATGGTTTATACATACATCTTAGCAGCACTATTCATTACGCAAATATATTCCATCAGCCTCATTCTTATAATGACGTAGCAAATTACCAAGAATACGTTCACCCATCCATCCGCCGTGCCGCATGCTTCCGTATGCCTGCACGGCGATCTAGCGGGCTCGGGGTTTTCTCGTGTAGTAATTAGATAATTCCATACATGCAGATTTGCCGGCGCCGGAAGGGCCGATGATCAAGACCTTGAGCACCGGGAGCGTGTCCTCGGATACCATCCTCTTACTCATTGCCATGTCGGTCAATCCTATACCCCAAAAACACCGAACTCGAACAATCGTATCCAAAGGTAATGAGTATATAAACCAGATTATTAAATAGCGGTATTCTCGGTGTGAGATGCTATCATATGTAATAGGAATAGGCGGATAGTTAGGTAGGTTGGCAGGGGGAAAGTAAGTTGATTGTTCTTTTTCCAAAGTATGCAAAAGCTTGGCCTTATCCTTCCTTAGGTAAGTGACGGGTCGATAGGTACATGTAATAACAAATGATTTGGTCATGCGAGCAGAAGTCTACGCGCTACTATTTTCTAAGTGGCGGTTTCCACTTGCCTCGCGGGTGACAGTTCAGAGTTTAATCTCCAGTGCATGCAAGTAAGTAATACCTGCTGTCAGAGGATACATGTAATTACAGGTTATCGTCATTTGGTCTGTGACGTAGGTATATATGATTGGTGGAACCCAACTTATGCCAATTTAGTTAGGATTATTTGATCAAAGTTGTAAATCGACATTTGGCTTGGCAATAATTCATAAAGGGCGATAAGTACCTGTATATAGTTATGAGGCATTCATGAGGGTGACATCCGGGCGGTCTCATAATTAAGGGATTTTGCATCAAAAACAAGGCCTATTGGGATCGGGTAAGCGCTGCGTGGTCGGGCGGCTATAAACGTAAAATTCCCCGGAACCCAGACATTTCGATCGAGTACCACCTAGGTAGGTACGTGCAGCAGCATCAATACAACCCATATGTCCCGCCAAATTATTGTGTTCTCGACCGATTTGGATTAGGCCAATAGCCGCTAGGACATCGTAAAGTAGAATTAAATCACGGAAGACGGCGACGTAGTATGCGAAAAACATGCACAATCGTTAGCTAACCTTTCTCATTTTATCTGTCCTGAGGGGCCTGCTGTATCCGCGGCTACCATGCCGCGCCGAATGCAATCAGAAGTGAGACCTATTGCCATAGCACAAAAACCCACGCCGTTCCATGACCCGAGTGCTTCATAATTAGACCTCTTCAAGGACGCGCTCCTTGAACTCCCTCTCGACCTTTTGTCCCTCCTCGTTCGTTGTGGACTCTCCGTGTAGGTTCATCAAAGCACCGAGGTCGAACTTGGGCGACTTGAGGAGCTTGACCTTGCGGATGTGGACCTAAAAGCGAGGATTATATTAGTATAAATGCCATGTAGAAGATCTAGGTGTAATGCCGAGAGAGAATTTTGCGAGTACGTACGTTCTGAAGGGGGTAGATGCCTTGTGTGGCCTTCTCGATTTCACGGCCGATGACTTCGGGGATCAACTTGGAGGTGAGTTGCTGGAGAGTGCAAGTGGCAGCTTCTCGTTGGATGATCTCGACCATCTTCTTTCGGATGGCACGAATCTGGGATGAGGCGGCATAGGTAGTCTTCTTGATCTGGTTGGGTCGTCGCTTGGTGAAGGCGATAGCGAAGAGGCGTAGGAGGTAGTCGTCGGTAGTCTTGACGGTGACATTGGCCTCGATGAGACTTTGCCACTTGCGCACCAGAGATCGGAGCTTGTCCGATGTGAAGTCGAGTCCGTGGAAGTTGGTTAAGCAGTTCTTGCCTTGGACTTCATCGACACGTAGCTTGACCTTGCGGAATGCGTGGTCCTCGTCCTTCTGGAGATCGGCTAGGGAAACCTCGAAGATTCGGCCCTTGAGGGCATCGTTCGCGTTCTTCAGACCGGTGGTTCGGTTGACTAGGGTCTTACCAACACTAAATAACGTGGTCAGATATAAACGAGTCTTCGTATTAGCGGAAGGAAAATTCGTACTCTCGGATGTTGAAGGGGGCAGGAGCCTATAGAAAAAAATTAGTTAGTCTCGAAGTCCATTTGAGTGTAGATAGAAATTCGTTGTTGAAGAGGATCTCTCGCTTACCTTGATGGAGTACCAATCCTTTCGGGCGAAGGGGTCCTGGGCCTTCTTCTTCAATCCCTTCTTGCCCTTGGACAATCTCTTGTTCCTGTTGCGAGCGAATGATTAGTATTGAATTCTTTTTCTGTGTTGTGGTTTTGCTGGGCGCGAGGGGCATGCGAAGCGCCAGATGCAGCGCTGGAATCGAGAGTCGCGAAATCGTAGAATCGAGAATATTAGAATTAGAATTGAAGAGATAGAATACTTACTTTCCAACCGCCATGTTTGCGAGGTGTCAGTATAGCTCGCAATTCAGGACGATGTTGAAGATGTGTTGAAGGAAAAAAGGGCTTCTGATGTTGCGTGTTGGATGGATCTAACTGTGAATTCTAGTGCGGCCAAAATTTCTTGTTTGTGCGCGGAAAATCGAAAAAAGGTGTGGATAGGTCACGTGTATCGGCTGCTATCTTTTGATAAAGCAGATTTTTGCACGAGCCACAAAGTCCGAAAGTCTAGGTGCAACCTTAGGTAAGCTGTAAGGGTTTGGCCTTAGCCTAATCCGATCAGGCGGGGTTCGATGCATAAAGTAACGCATTAAACATGGTGAATAACTTTATGTAGCAACCCTAGACAATAGACACCTAGCCTTTTTCGTAAATGCCTCTCGTGAGGCTTTTCCCGTCTCATTGCATTGACACGACAGAATGCTACCAACACGAAGACATCTTAGCGTCTAATTGCCACTATTCATACTTCAATTTTAACAAACAATTAATATTTGTAATGATTTATTTTACTTTATTTTTGTCATTACATAGGTGTACTACCTAATGTCTAACATCGGCGAAGGTGAATTAGATACTGAGCCATGAGCTAGTACTCGGCCGACTTTTCCCTTCCTTCTTGTTCTTTCTCTTTCCTCTTCTTGTATTCTTCTACTGTGTCTTGATGATTAAGACAAGGTATCCCATTGCTTTCTCTTCGTATGTTCACCTTGCAATAGATCCCACCAATCCCATTATCCATCTTCTCTGTATTTCAATCCCGCTGGGGGCGCGCAACCTTTGAATCCCGAAGGGACAGGCGCGACATTATCCCGATGATGTATCACATAAAACACGCAAACATAAACACAAAATAACTCCCCAGCGCCTGTTGACCTTATGTGTCATGCTTTATCCCATTTTCGCCTCTCCTCAGTCCACTGCGTTGTTGGACAAACAGGAAAGAAGAAAAAAAAAAGGTGAGACGAGTCTCGTGGTCGGCTTAGGCAAATCGGGGATCTCCGCGAATCCGCGAATCGCGCCCCCAAACGCCAATGCCAATGCCTAAGAGATCTGCATCCCGGAAAACGTTTGATTTCATGTTACGAATTCCATCAGGCCGTTCGTTCTACCGCTTTCTCCTCGTCAGGATGCTCGCCCACATCCCAGGCGTCGAAGCTGGGGAAGCTAAAGTAGCACGCCGAATCTATTCGAATAAGTCAGCACGGACATTCGCGGTTCAATGGTTCGGAAATAGGTAAGGTAGGTAGGTAGTACGCACGTGGATCATGGGTGGCATCTGTCAAACGAGGCTCTCGGACCTCTGCCGATTCTAACCCAAAGCTTCGTGTTGATGACGGGGACGAGTTAGCGTTGGAGACCGCTACGCGGCTGAGTAGATCCGTCGCTCTCCGGCTCGTATTTGGAGTTGTCAGCACCCCCTTGCAAGCATTGGAGGTGGTAATAGAGGGTTCCGTAGCACAAGCTCTGAGTAGACGGGGCCTGCGTCTATCAGTATTCTTGGGCCTCGGAGACGACTCTCGTCGAGGTACGGTGTCGGGTGAGTATCTAGCAGTAGCCATTGCGGGACCAGATACCATATTATTATGCGATGAAGGGTTTGTTGGATAATAGTAGACTTGTAAATAGGCGCAGTAGCGAATTCGATGGAAGCAAGAGCGTAAAACGGGATCAGGAACAAGAATAACAATGCAAGCTGGGGGAAGCTCCCCATCGATGGATGGATATCGCAGCTGTTTAAGACAAGCTCGCAGCAAGGCAAAAAAAGCCGCTAAGACCAGTCTCTTACCGGCTGTTGTGGAACGACATCCCCAGACGGTCGGTGCGGGCGATGCCACATGTCACTCGCGAATGGGGACATTTCGCATGTGGTGGCAGCTGTATGGCCTCCGTTGGCTTGGGTGGTTTGGGCGTAGATGCCTGCAGAAGTATTGGGCCGTCCTGCGCCAGTTAGCAGTCGTTAGCAGAGGTGGAGTGGGGAGCGTTGCTGACTCCTGAACCACTCATGAAGCTGCTGGGGGTTGCTGGGGTCTACATGTACATACTATCTCTTAACATCTGCAACCCATCCTTGCATGCTAATGTTCCAGCAGCCCCAAAGTCCCCTCTTTGCCCTCTTTAACACGCAGTAGCATTCCCCATCTTTCCGACGAAGGTCACAAGTAGTTTCAAATAGCTGGGGACCGCGGACCTGTCAGCTCCATGTTCCATATGCTCCATCGAGGAGCTCAACGCGAATTCCGTGATAATTCACATCCCCCTGTATGATTCCGTGCATCTCATCAATCCACTGGCCCTTTTCTCCGGTCTTTTCCTCCCTGCCGCTGCATCTCATCCTGCCTTCTAAGGCTGATTGTGGGCGAACTTCTCGATTGAAGCTGCAAGATGCCATCATACGGATAATCTGGTTAAGTTGACGTACTACAGCGTACCTTTACTGGATCGTTGCCGCTTGGACATGCTACAATTGGATCATTTGTCACACATTACATAGGTAGGCAAGTACAGCATGTATACTATGTACAAGAGGGCACAGAGGGCACCGCAGCAGAAGCTGCACAATCACAAAGAGGGTACAAGCAAGACGCGCTTTTGGAAGGCGTACATACATTAGTCTCACGCGTGGCGATTGCTCAGAAGCGGGGGTTCCAGGCGAGATCAAGTTTTCAAGCAGTACGTATACGTAGCTTTCTTTCTATTGATGACCTCCATTCTCCTCTATCGGCCATCGGCAAGGCCTAGCCTCCCTCAGTTGGAGTATTTTTTTTATTAGTGGTCAATGCTGTCATTGTTATTAACACGAAGTTGCAATCTTTGGAGTAGATGGCACTTACTCTTCCCACATTCGGCCTTGTACAGCTTTCAATTCATCTGAAGTCATCCTGTGGCCGGTCGTAAAGTATCCTGCAAGCCACCACGGTCATCCAATTTGAACTAAATAGGGTCTACTACATGAGGCAAACCTACCTGCGGTTATCTTGGCGTCTATCTCGACGCGCGAATCTGCGGGGATCAAGTCCTCGGGGAGTTCTACCCGTTCGTGGATTGGGATACTATGCTAGGTTAGGCATGCCGGTTTTGATGTGCAGCACAGGATTCAGCTTACCCCTGGCCAACGATGGCATCGTACTTCATGCTACATTGTGGCGTCTTAGCATTTTCCAGGGTCCATCCATCATGTCTGTAGGGTCGATCAACTCACTTGCTCATACTCAGCATCCTGTCAATCTTCTTTATGCCAAGCCAATGCAGGATATCAGGCATTAGAGCCTGGAAACGCATGTCCTTCACACCAGCTATGTTCTCGGTTCGCTTGAAGTAGTCCGACGCGCGGTCTTCCCCTCGCTTCCTGGCGTTGTATACAACTGCCAAACCATGGTTAGATCTTCGGTTCAAGGGTCCTGTGTCAAGGGTCCTGAGTTGGAGGATGCAGGGACTCACGATACTACTCAATGTTAGCATTGCACAATTGTCATCTGATGACCTATTTTTTTCAAATACCTTGGTAACCTCCCCCAAAGCCCGTCCTTCCTTTCTGAAGTAGATGACCACGCCGCTGCCGCCATTCTGTGCTTCTCTGACGGCCTCTTCGATGCCGAAAATAAGATAGGGTCTGCATGTACAGATGTCGGAACCAAACACATCACTACCGTTGCACTGCATCTTCTGTCAGCCGGATATCGAAAGACTTTGGCCAATAAAGTGGGTGTGAAAATTACCTCATCATGAATACGTAAGGCTAGTCTACATTTTTCGTCAGACATCTTCGCCGGGTCCCCGAAGCAATAAACTGTCAGACCACCTACGAAATGTCAGCTTTTAACAGTTGGCATTCCTTACGGAAAGGGGAGCCGATTACCAATGGGCGGCAAGAAGACTTTGATATCACCGCGCGTGATGAGCTATAATGTATAAGCACTTAAATCCGCGCTAATTCTTGCCAGAGTTGTGGGAGCTTACTTCTGGATAACTACCACCAGTGTGCTCAAACAGCGAACGTCTAAGGACACCCTCGTCTACTAATGTTAGCCATAAATTGTTCCGTGGATTCTATACTCCAATTCCTACCTATTCCAAATCTTTCGGCCACCCCAGGGAGATACCAAACCTATCATGGTCAGTACTACTCAAATCCAGAAATTTTGGGGTACACAGATGTCTACCGGTTCAACTGCAAATTTGGTGACAGCAAGCTCTCCTAACTCATTTAGACAGACTTTCCCATCGGGAACACTAGGGTATTGTTAGCTTGTGAGCTATATGTTGGGCGGATCTGGATGATACACACAGCCTACCACTTCGGACACTCTCTTCGAGCTCCGGAAGCTATATTGAGTGAGTATGGATCATGCATTTTGCCGAGTTGATGAAATTACCTTCATATGAGCCTTGGTTATGGCGATAGTGGGTCGAATATCGACTATAATAGTTTGGTCAGTATATCTACCGCGAAATTATAAGATATGCAGGCATTCAAATACCATTCTCTTTTTCTATGGTGTCAGCGAAAAGCCATGGAGCTAAATGACCCCAAGGATCCATAGCGACAATCTTCTTCTTGTCGCCCCATTGGGGAAATGGACCAATGTTGGCTGCTGGCTCCGTGTTGGTGAAATCCGGCCTGTATCACAGGTTTTGATTAGGCGTCAATCCTCGTGCGAATAGGATCATACACTATCTTACCTATGGTTGGCATTGAGTTGTTTGCTAGCGAGAGCAAGAGCGAAGTAGATGGAATAGGAACCGCCATGTGCTACGTCACAGAGTTATAACATGTCTCTTGAAGCACGAGCGGTGGAGCATAGCTTACCTCCAATAGCTGGGACCACTGTTAGTGAGTTGTATAATGAAGGCGAGAATTGGTGCAAACTTACCATTACGTCTTCGGATTGTGGATGACGATCGGGAGACGACCACTGGGCCACGATCGGCTGGGTCTGGCGAACCCCAATGAAGAGGAAGTGGGTTGATACCAATCTGTTTAGGATACGTGCTAGGGGTAGTTAGCATAGAGAAAACACGATGAAGTTTCACAAGGGGACTAGCTCACGTAAGAATAATTCGAGAGGTGAACCCCGACTTTTGCGCCTGGGTCACTTCTTTGGTTGAAGGAGAAGCCTTATCGGCGTCGGACTCGGCGGGATTTAAAGGAGACTGGATGGGGGAACCCGAGGCTCCAACAAGAGGAGAAGAAGGTATCTTGCTGAGATCAGGACTAGGGGCTCGAACATATGAGGCAATTCGATCAATCCGATTGGAAGCATTTTCAACTTCGGCCGTTAATCTAACTTGACTTTCTTGAATGGCCTTTACGACTTCGAGAACATCGGCCATGCTCACTTCGCCATTTACGCCCGAACCTGGACTTGCCATGATCACAGCTGGATTAGAGAGATAACCTAAGATGCAAACGGAAGGGATATGAAGTTCTATCTGTAAATAAAGCCACTAAGTAAAAAAGATACGGCTTATGCTGAAATAGGTATTTTCTGCTAATAATGACACGATTGAATTAGGATAGCACTTGAGGAAAGGTCGGTCGATCAGTGAGCGATATGAAGGTGATGATATAGATATAGATATAGAAAAGTGGTACGCAATAGTGAAGTGTAAGGTCAATTGATATTGGTGGTTGGGACGTTAGGTATGTAGTCTTTTGGCTCTGGTATGAGGGAGCAATTGCCTAACATTTAATGAATGTACTGAGTACTCAGGCCTACAATTGGACGGTATAAGTATCGTGGGTTCAACTACCGTGGGACGAATTGGAATCACACCGGTCAGAGAAGTACACACCACAGTACACGTGTAGATGGGTACGCAGCTATTCTTGTACCTACCTACATAAGTATAGATAAGGTGCCCAAGGAAGTAGGCACCTGACCATCTTAACGGGCTGATAACCTTGGAACCCACTATACTAGACACAATCCCCACTAGTTCGTACCTGCATTCGCTGTAAAGCTGTTGTTGACATCCGTGCCTTCCACGCCGAACTATACCTTATCTGCCTGACGAATCTAGGAAATACCTTGAACGTACAATACGGAATATACCTAAGCTATAGGTAGAGATACGGTAGCACTGATAAGTATTTAGGTTGAAATATTTACGTACATGTATATCCACATACTTATTATCATTTGATCAATTCTGAAGGAATGCCCAAATGGTGTACGGTAGATATGGCAATGGCTGGGATTCCCGACTTAAAGCGAGGGGCCTAAGAATAAGAAAGGTTATGCGCAATTTATGAATATGGATATCAGGTATCCATGAATGCGGTAAGGCAACCCCGCCTTATTGAGCACCTGGGTATCCACCCTGCCCCACCCTATGCGCTAGGGAAATCGATAAATGATAAGATATCCTTATCGCGTGTGGCTTTTGAACGACCAATGCTGTTTAAGCAACGCGAAGCTTTCAGACGTCACGCAACCAAGGCAATTGCTGGTGAAATCTTTGACCAAAACATAAAAATCAAAGTTCATTGTTCTCCAGTAAGGTTGCCATTTATCCCACCTACACCAACAAAAAGGGAGCCAAATTACGCGTGCGCTATTGAGGGATCGTCGAAGATTATCTATTCAATTTAGTATACGCGGCCGACGTCATTCTGGCCCTTTTAAAATCCGAATAAATCATTGACCGCGATTTATAGGCGCAGCCTTACTCGACTCGACCTTGGTTTCAATTAGATCAAAAGCGATAGGTCGCAACATCAGGGCGCTTCCTGTTCTTTACTCCTTTATTACTCCAATTTAAGATGGTGTGTACCAAGCACTCCGCTGAACGATCAAATTCCTTGGATTGCTTGCTAATAGCTTGTTATTGTAGGGAAAGCGCAAGAAGAGTTCGCGAAAGCCCCAGGGCAAGAAGAAGGTATATCTATTTCGAAATAGGATGCGCCGCCTTGAAAGATCGAAAGCTCATAGAATCCTAGAATGATCCACTTCCTACTATCTTCACCTGCCTATTTTGCAACCACGAAAAATCCGTCACAGTAGAGATGAACAAGAAATCCGGTGTTGGCGAACTCGAATGCAAGGTGTGCGGGCAGAGATTCCAGTGCGGTATAAACTGTGAGTGCGGCCATGTCAATTTGGTATTTCCAGTTACTAAAATGTATTAGATCTCTCAGCACCCGTCGATGTTTATAGTGAATGGATCGACGCGGCCGGTACGTATACCTCAACCAACACACCGCGCAAACAATCCCACGGACGAATAATTCAATACTAATTATATCACAGATGCCGTTGCAAAGGAAAATAACGTTGGAAGTGGCTCCGGTTCGGCTTCAACGTATCGCGTAGGATCAAAACAATCAGCGGCTGGCCGATATGATGATGACGAAGACGATCGCAGATACGAGGGCGATGGCATAGTGCCGGATGACGATGATGACTAGAGGGCGTATTATTTTTATGAATTAAAGTCTATCTGCTCAGCCGTGTGGAAAAACAAATCGGTCGCGACGACAACATGTGCCGTGATATGCAATCATTATGGTCACGGTCCTACGCTGATGAAGTCCGCAATCTATCCAATGATTAGATCCGCGGCTTTTTGTTCGTCATATCATCTACTAAGATGGCCTCCGGTATACTATTTTCAGCGAAATAGTTAACACAGATTCTAGGCGGTAGTAGATATTAAATCTCACTTCAATTCCCTCTTAACTTGCCTGTGGTCAGGGCTAACATTCTACATAGTGTAGAATCGATCTCCAAAATCACCTAAACCTGGGATGATATAGCTGAGACTAATGTTAGCAAGGCTCTGTCATGACATATATGCTAACATACTTCTTTTCGTCGAGACCCTAATTATATGAATTAGCATTTGCCAAGGCAAGCTTTTAACCGGTTGAGAATGGACTTCTTACCTGATCAACGAATGCCGTGACCACTCGGAGCTTAGGGAACTTGGATGCAAAGTTTTGGATTCCCTGTGGGCTAGCAATAAGATTCAGAAAAAGGATCCTCTCCTCTGGAACACCACGGGATTTTAGGACATCGACGGCCATGATAGCGGAGCCACCTAAAATAGTCAACTCAAGCCAGTTCGTAAGAGGGAGTACGGCACCGGGAACTCTAACCTGTTGCAAACATAGGATCGAGTAAAAGAACCCATCTTTGCGCAATGTCCTCCGGTAATTTATCGTAAAATAGTTTCGGCTTTGCTGTCTCTTCGTCTCTCTGGATTAAAATCTTACCGATTCTTACTGACCTACAGCAGTCTCGGAGACCCTGTTCCATGGCTTCACCGGCTCGCATAATAGAGACGCCGCAGATCTTTCCTTGGAACATGAGCCCCGCGTAGGTACGGCCAACAGGTGTAGTTACAGTATGCTCGACGACGGGTAAATGGTTAAGTCCCTCTTCGACAAGCAATCGAATGATCCGGTTCGAGTAAAAGATGAAGTCTGCTCGATCCGTGTTCCTATCTCGTATTTTCCTATCACAGGCATTAAACATGAGTGATTCCAACACAGGCATAACTACCTAGGTAGTTATGCCATGTCTAAGTAGCCTAACAAGGAAATCACTCACGTGAGTAGCGCTATAAGCTGCGGTGTTTGGGGTAATGTGATGACATTGTCATATTCAACTTCGGTCGAAACTGTGGCGATGGGCTTTTGACTAGGCGATCGATAGTCGGGTCCTACGCACTGCACGGGGCCGGTTTGAGTGCGGTCATCAGATGAGGTAGCCATTCTGTACTCTCCGAATAATGGATATTCTGCAAGAGATATATCGTCTTAGAAACACGACGTTCGAGTAAGACCTGGCCAGATAACTCTATGTTGAGATGAGACTTGACTAGGAATGTGTAGAGTGAGCAGTCGAAACCTAGAATCTTCTTGATTAATGATGATATCAAGTCAATGTTTTGAGGCCAAGATGTTGAAGACCTCTTAAATCAACTACTTGAGAGTAGCTTAAGGGAATGGTTTTGGGTATTTAGTATAACGTGAGAGGAGAATTGATGAGACCGCTAGATTCTTATTATATGGTAATTGAAGAGACTAATAATTGGATATTCCAATGATAGGCCGTGTCCTAATAGAAGGATAATTTTAAGCACAAATCGAGACTCGTGAAGGCGACTTGCAAAAAACGAGGTACTGATACGATAAGCTCCAATAAACAAGCCCCCGCCTCCAATCTTTTCCAAATTTGGAAAGTGTATTTATGTACCTAAGTACCTAGGTTCCTGCTCATGTACACCTTCCAGAGTTGTTTCAGGCTTCAGCCCAGAACCCCGGGCGGTCACCACCGATCACCCGAGCCAGTTGACTGTCGAACAAAGCAGCTGCAGGAGAGGGCTAGTACATACTGTAAGTTTGGTAAAGTTTGGTAGGGTGGATGCTTCCGTCATTAGTTAACAGCTAACAATGGAAGTTGAAGACCGACGCGGCAATATTCAATGCACAGGATAAACATCTTGGCTTCAAGCGTGAATCACGGTTATCTCCATCACTATTACTTTTTTTTTCTTCCCTCCCCATTGCGCCTCGCTCTCTACCCACCTACATCTTACACCTTAACTTAACTTCACATCACTTAACATTACCTAGCGAATATTACTTGCTTACATTGTTCTTGTGCGTGCTTAATGCATTTTAAAGCGTACACTTGCACTGTGCATCCATTGTGTCATTCACGATTGATTGGCTGCTTACCAACAAAAGCGCGTCTAATACTTATCTAGATATTTACATAAATTCTACCCTACCCATTACACCTCTCAAAGCCGTTGCTTCGTCGCTATGATTAATTGACCATTCCATTCTTTTCAAGATCGCGGCCGTTCCCGCGGTGTTTTGAAAAAGAGGCGCTATGGTTATGAAGCAGGATTTCAGCGCTCCGCGCAAGAAAGCGCTGACAACCTACGGGAAAGCCCCCCGTAAAAGACAACCAAAGACGACTTTTACTCCGCCCGCGTTCCCCCCTATACCCGAGGACGATGACTCTACCTCGAAACGCAAAGCTACCGTAGCGCATCGTCGACCTTCACTTCTTACCTCGCCATTGCGAAAGCCTTCATCGCCTTCTACAAGTCTCGATAGGAAGATCGATGCAAAAGTAAATACCGCTAGCCTACTGGAGAATGGACAAAGCTCAGATCGGAAGCGAAAGATATCCCAAGTGTATTCGTCTAAGGGACGGACACAGGAGCATCCCCAGCCTGATCAAGCTCCCATCCTCCCCAACCATGTACCACACCGATCGCGTTTATCTACTTCTACCAATAGCCACCAAACAGTTCGCCCTATCGCGCGCCAGCGCACCTTCTCGGCCTCATCGGAACAAATGGTTGCTGAACCTACTGAAGCTAGACTATCAAGCCCACCCCCAACACCGACTTTGCCGAGGGCTTTGGGGCGACCTAAGACTCTGGCTGCCAAAGGCTCGACGTCATCAGCACCAGGTGCAAACGCGGCGGGGAAGGAGAAGCAGGGAAGTATACAACAACAAATACCTCTGCGCCTCGGCCGCGAAAGTCTCAAGAAACCAAAACCCTTAGTCCCGTCTTCGAATGGCGTGGATGAGGAGGTCCGGTCAGCCATCCAATCAGCTCCAGATGGCGCTTCTAAGAAGCGTAGGAAGCGGTTGATTGATGCATTGGTGGAGCAGAGCAGAGACGAAGAAGCCGACGAAATTGACGAGAGTAATGAAGCAATTGAGGACCTTGAAAACCCGAGCCTGCCGACTCTAAGTCACCAGGTCTCCAGCGACATTTCAATGCTTGACTCGCAACCCTTGCCCCAAACCCCAAACCGAATTGTTTCGACAGCTCAATTGACCGCCACGAGAACCTTTGCACGCTCCACCAGCGCACTAAAATTTACATATGGCCAGAATAGGAAAGTTCTCGAGGAGGAGGGTGATCTACTCGAGTCCCTCACTTTTCCTGAGTTGTCGGCTCCATTGAAGGGTAGGCGTTTGGAACTTGGGACTCCGAAGAAAAATACCAGCACCAGAGGCGTTCTGGATGAAGATGACCCTTCTATTACTGGCTCGCCAAATTCGAAACTTCGAGACATCCATGAGTTAAAACAGGCTGGAGCGAATTCTCGTGTGGCTGATACCATGCAGGACTTAGCCGACCAGATTGGTTCCCCAAGTGAGAAGCCTTCATCGTCTCGAAGGGCAGCATTGTTGCAAGTGGCGGAGAAAATAAAGGATAAGACCTTCATGCGACAATGCCGCGATTTTGGTGCCGAGGCGGCATTATTTAAAGATATGGGGAAAGAATCGGATACTATTTCAGGATATCTTATTTCAGCAATCCTCGCGACGATACTTGCAAAATGGCCATCTACGCATACACAGCAACTCGTCAGGCTCGGTGCCCCGGCGAATATGTTTGCTCACCTTCTCGGTACATCGCGGGATATCAAGCTGATAGCGCGAGACCGAAAGAGCAACTTATCCAAAAGAAGCCAAACATCGCTCATTGCTGTTCAAAGTATGCTATGCGGGTTATCAGTTTGGGATAAGGCTAGCCCATCCTGCATTTCGCCTAGGAGTCTCGCCCTCAAATGTTTGCACCTACTTGTTACACAGGATGTCAACATAATCGGAGACCCCTCAATTATCTCTCCAGCAGTGATAAAAGGCCTCTTTGCAGTACTCTCGGAGGCCGCCGAGAGTACGAAGAGCTGGGATTATCCTGCGGCATCAGAAGCGATCGACCTTGTCCACGCCCTATCGATTCTCAACTTCTATGCTATGAACATTGCTGTATCACGGCGCGGAAACACTGATTGGGCCGCTCAATACCTCCCAACTGTGGCTGATGTCTTCAAAACCTTACAGACCGTAGAGCCGGATACTAAGGCCCAAGAAACCGAGACTAGACTACTCGAAGGCTCCGTTTTAAGACTCATTATCAACATCACGAATAACAACTTAGAGGCGCCAGAGATATTTGTGTCAAAAGGACTTATACCAGCTCTCGCTGGTTCGATCACGAGCAACTTTGCTCAGGTTTGGGCGTCTCTATCTCAGGACGCCTGGGTCGACGGAATTTTGGACGGCTTGGTCCTTCGGTTGGGGATTATGATCAACTTCTCCGAACACAGCTCTCTCGTAAGACACGTGATTGACGAGTGTAAGCATGATGATCAACGACCAGTTGAGGAGCTGATCCGATTATTCTTGGAAAACTATCGGAGAACAGCAGAGGTAAGTTGATATTATACCATTTATAATTGCATTTTATTAACAGAAAACTAGGCCGACTCAGTGGAAACTAGTCAATTGAACGTTGCGTTCGGATACTTGTCAGTTTTGCTTGGTTACCTGGCTTTGTATCCGCCGGTACGTCAAAAAATACGATCAGCCCACAAGGCGAAGAGTATAGGACCTTTGCTCGACTCGTTACGCGAGTTCATTACCCACCATAAGAAAGTGGAGAGCCAGAACGGGGAAGAAGATGACGAGGACCCACAGGACCATCATGGGTACACAGAGCGGCTTCAGGATCTAGTACGCCAGCTTGAGGAACAAGCAGCGCGTGATTAACTTCAGAGACAACCCCCTCAGGGACTAGGTACATTCTAGAGGGCTATATGCACGATTTATTATGATTGGGAAATGTTTAACTCGGCATGAATTTCCAGAAAAAAAGAAAAAGAGTAAAGCTACAAAAAAATGTACGCCACGAAGGACATGATGGATCAAACGTTTTTGGTCGTCTGCCGTTTCACATTTAGGGAGGATGGTGACACCTGCGGTGGTTTTATTAGCAATACCTTGATGAAAAAGGTCTTGGACGAAGTCGAATACCCCTTAAAAATAACCATAGGACAACGGCGGATAGGGTTAGTGGGATACGGTAGGTAGGTAGGGAGAGCAACTATACCCGGGGACATAGGATCGAGTTGAACGGCAATGAGCACGGCCTCGTTTTATGATTCTCAAATTTGAGCTGCAAGTACGTTACTTAGCATGCTACTTCGACAGCACCTCACATGAATAATGCACTTACATATACTCATGGTACTCATGATACTCGTCGTACTTATGCGTACGCTTAGATGTGGAAATCGTAATAAGCTACCTACATATGTACATACAGGCCCCTAATGCGAGTACCTAGCGCAGGCATTTGATTTTACTGGGTCTGGACCTGCCCCGCATTCATCCACAAAATCAATGATGTTGGTTTTTCGAACAGGTACCGGGAACGGGTCCCATTGGACCCCCCCTTTTTCGGTTTGACTGTCCCAATTGTCGAAATAAGTTCAGGTGGATGTTATTAATAGCATTAGTAGAAACTCTATAGGTGCTTGCCATAGCTAGCCGTGATGTGTAGAGATGGCATGCCTTGGTTAGCCGTTACATATGTACCTAGCTAGTTTAGAGTTTGGTAGGGGTAGGTACCTTAGGTACATCTACAGCAACTCAATCGCTATATATCCGTACCCCGCCTACCAATTCCAAGCTCTGCTTGATCCGTAGCTTTTTCTTGTCTCCCATTGAAAAAAAAAGGGAGAGAATAAAAAAAACAAACCAAAAGCTCATCCTTCCTCTCACTTATGTGTATTATACAAAAAAAAACAAGAGAATTCAACCCCTCTATTTCTTCATTCCATCTGACCTCATAGCCCAAGTGTTTCTCGTCAGTCTTTAAATGAATGCGTGATATTGGGGGTAACATCTGCACGTCATAAACACACAAACGTGTTCCTGACTTCAGAAGCTTTGAGAGATTGAAAAAGGTGTGCAAATCCCACACCCGTCACGTCGAAACCCACGTTTCGACCCTGATCAATACCTTACCTATCTGGTCTTATATATAACACATTCTAGCATTCTTAACACAAACTGCACACACGCACAATATACCGCATACATCATTACATATACACCGCACATATGAATTGATTAATACATCCTACATTTCTTACACACGCACGTCTGCACTTACACAGACACATACACAATACACATTTTACCCCCACGTTCGAATGCACCGACATTGTTATACAACATTATTTATTATCTAGCTTGTATGAAGTACATATCTGACATATAATAATTCCACTTATAGCATACAAGTACATTTTCGTAACGCTCTCCGTAAATGCCGTCGCCATCCAAGCAGCGGAAAGTCGCCATTGTCGGCAGCCGATCCGTAGGTATGTCGTATCTAACTGACAGACTACACCTGGCACCTATCACCATCACATTTCATACCCTGCTATTCCTTGCGAGCTTCCATGGATTGTGCATATACGTATGTATAACATATCTCACGGTCATACGCTAATCCTAGGCTATTGAAATTATAGGCAAATCTTCCCTTGCGGTTCAGTTCGTCGATGGCCACTTCGTCGAAAGCTACTATCCTACCATAGAGAACACATTCAGCAAAGTTATCCGATTCAAGGGCCAAGACTATGCCACCGAGATTGTCGATACGGCTGGCCAGGTACGGATGACATTCATTACCCCAGCACTTTAAAACCTACGGGGTTTTACTAGGTCTTATCATATGCTGACAAAAGCTACGCTGGTATAATATAGGACGAGTATAGTATACTGAATTCAAAGCACTTTATCGGCATCCATGGCTATATGCTTGTGTACTCGGTTTCCTCGCTCCCATCCTTCGAGATGGTGCGGGTAATCCGCGAGAAGATACTCAATCACCTTGTTTGTCAACCCCTCCAATTCTACCAAACCTCCGCAATGTGTCAATTGCACAATGTAGCTTGTATAACTAACCAATTGAGCAACTACAGGGTACAGATTGGGTTCCGATCGTCATTGTAGGCAACAAGAGTGACTTGCGTCCCGAACAGCGACAGGTCAGCCAAGCCGACGGCAAACAGCTCTCGGAAGAGTTCAATTGCGCCTGGACGGAAGCGAGCGCCCGATACAACGAGAACGTAGCGAAGGCATTTGAACTCCTGATCGCCCAGGTGGAGAAATCGCAGAACCCGAACGAGGCGCCTGACGGTGGGAGATGCAATGTTATGTGAGGGGCGGCTTGCTTCGCATGGTGTAGGGATAAGATACGAATACAGATACGTTAGACACGAAATGGACAGTAGCGGTTACAACAGCCGCAGCCACGGCTAAAGTCGTAGCTACATAGAACGTTTAGGAGGCTAGAAGGATGAGGCTCATCAGGTCACCATAGTCAAGCAAGGACTGTTAGGACGGGTTCGGTCGGCTTAGTTTTCGTCAACGATCAACGTTAAACCTTGCGGCCACGCGCACAGATTATTCTTGCTTATGCTCGATTTACGCGCCGTGGCTTGTATATATTAGTTAGAGACTCGGACCTGGTTACCTGCTCAAGGTACGGAGTTAATTGGATATAATTTACGGTATAGCTTGTTGGTTCTCTTGTCTGACAAGACTGCGACGACACGAACACATGTGATACTTTCGAGAATTGATACGCCCTCAATAAGTATAGTGCGCAAACGAGGCAGCTGAAACCCCTCGTGTTGGTAGATTACAGGTACATGGATACAATTCCCTAAATCTCACTCAATTCGCTCAGAATTATCTACTAGGAGAAACTTAAAGATACCAAGCAGTACCTCCTCTATGTATCCTATCCCTGCCACCTTTCCGATACATATTTGTACCTAAGTACCTAAGTACATACAAATGACTGATCGGTAAACGGGTACTTTCATGCCGCAGATAGTGCCCCGCCACTACTCTTTCTGCCCCTCTATGTACCTTAGGTATGAAAAATTACCCCACCAAAATTTGGTCTGGATAACTTACCACTCAAGACAAGGCGACAATTCAATCGTTTTTCCTATTTCCAAGTATACGGTGATAAATCATTCTATACCAAATTTGTCGACACAAATCCTTTCGCCTACCCGAAAATGCTTGACATTCTAGATTTCATCACCGAGCGGGGTGGCAACCCTGAGAAGATTCGCGAGTCTCAGCGCCGCAGATATGCCAATGTCGAGGTTGTCGACGAGATCATCGAGATGTTCGAGGATCATCGCAGAAGTCAGTTAACATCACCTCATATACCGTAAAAGAGTCGCAGCTTATATTCGGTCATAATTATAGCTCAATACGCCGCGACCCAAATAAACAGCAAGATCAATGAAGTGAACAAGCAAATCGGCGCCAAAAAGAAGGTAAGATCATGTCTGAGTCACAACTACAATATACCATATAGCCGTGCTACCATGACTAACTACTAACTGTTCGCAAATATCTAGGCCAAGGAGAACGCCGACGAACTACTCCAACAAAAAGCCGATCTCGACAAGGAAAAGAAGGGTCTCCTTGACTCTGCTGCCCAGAAGGACCTTGCGCTTAAGGCTAAGGTTAAAACCATCGGCAACATCGTCCATGACTCCGTTCCTATCAGCGATAACGAAGATAACAATGCAGTCCAGCGAACGTGGGCTCCGGAGGGTGTCAAGGTAGAGAAGAAAGACGTCCTTTCACATCACGAGGTTCTTATGCGATTGGATGGATACGACCCGGATCGTGGAGTCAAGGTCGTTGGCCACAGAGGTTATTTCCTACGACAATGGGGTGTGTTCCTCAACCAGGCCCTAATAAACTATGGCCTGGAATACCTCAACAGCAAGGGCTTTACTCCGCTACAGACTCCTCAATTCATGCTTAAGGACTACATGGGGAAAACAGCCCAACTAGAGCAGTTCGACGAAGAATTGTACAAAGTCATCGATGGCGAACCTCAGAACGACAAGTACCTCATCGCGACCTCGGAACAACCCATTTCTGCCTTCCACGCCGACGAATGGATCATAGGCAAGGAGTTACCCATTAAGTACGCAGGTTTCAGCACGTGCTACAGACGAGAGGCTGGCTCTCACGGCCGAGACGCTTGGGGTATCTTCCGTGTTCATCAATTTGAGAAGGTTGAGCAATTTGTGCTGTCAGATCCCGAGAAATCATGGGAGATATTCGACGAGATGTTCACTACTTCAGAGGAATTCTACAAGTCGCTCGGATTACCATACCAAGTAGTAGCAATCGTTTCAGGAGCGTTAAACAACGCAGCCGCGAAGAAGTTCGACTTGGAGGCCTGGTTCCCCTTCCAGGGCGAGTACAAGGAGCTTGTGTCTTGCTCCAACTGCACAGACTACCAATCCCGCGCCTTGGAGATCCGATTCGGTACCAAGACGCAGACAGATGCTAAGAAGAAATACGTCCACTGCCTTAATTCAACACTATGTGCCACTGAGAGAGCGCTGTGTTGTATTTTAGAGAACTACCAGACCGAAGATGTGAGTATTATGTATTGTGACTTTTCCAAACCAACGCTAATGCCAATCAATTTTAGGGTCTCCGAGTTCCCGAGCCTCTGCGCAAGTACCTCCCAGGTGCCCCCGACTTCATTCCCTTCACCAAGGAGCTACCCAAGGATACAACCTCGGCGAAAGCTAAGGCTAAGGCAGAGAAGAGTGTTAAGCAAAAGGTAGCTGCGGCAGGATCAGCCGTAGCACAAGCCGGGGAGAAGCTAAAGGATCTGGCGGTATAACGAAATAAAGTAAAGGTTGGGAAATCGGAGCTCAAGAAACTGCTGCTTTTATCAGGTTCTTGATGGACGGGTTAGAACCATGGAATATACTCGATTGCATTTCCGAGCCATGATGGTGGTGACAATACCTATTGCTGATCAATCAACAGTGATGGCTATATGTTCAGGTAGCAGCAGAGTAGGAACAGACAGCGATGGTACTATCATAGGTGTATTACCTAATGATATATACCTAATCTAAGCAAGTCTTTAAAGTTTAGTTTAGGGGAGACTTTAAGACTTCAGGACTTCCTTCCCGGGTTCTTTGTTCTAAAGGTAGTAGTTACAAAGAACAAAGTTGAACAGGCGCTGTCGTTTCCTGTTTCCGTCTAAAATTACAAGGAATAGGTGTTTCGGTACACAAGGGATCCACTATAATAATGCGCTGTAATCTCTCAGAATACAAGTGTATTGTCCGCCGAAGGTACAACTTCTTTCCCTTACAAACATTTCCAATGTGTATATTATATTCGTTGCTCAACTCATAATGCTAACAATGAAACCATAGGTCTGGCCTTTTTTTATTTTCTTTTCCTTATTTACATTCCAACCTTATATTTCAAAGAAGTCGCCGACAACAGGTAAATGTATCAACCGAACCCGGCCTTTTCTTACATGTAGGCACACTAAGTACCTATTTGCCAACACCGCCCGCTCATCCCCTTTCTCTCACTTTAATAAGACGAATAAAATCTGAACTCACTTATGAATGGCTTAATTTTATAAGTGATTCTCTCATTGCCCAGTCATCAATGAATTTACCTATTTTATTTGTTTCGCTTATTTCATCGTCCACACGTTTATCTAATATTGTATGGGTATTCGAGACACGAGAGAGGTTACAAAACAACTAAACCAACACATAGTCTAAAACCGTTACGCATCACGGTGGCCTCACTTATACGACTTATACGCATATACTTGTACAGCGCACGATACGCTCCCTTGCATGCACGCATGCCCCCAATAACAAGTTAGATTGTAATAGACATCATATTAATCAAATAAAGGAGAAGAGGCATTATAATGACGGCGATTCATCAAGAAAGATCGACATGTCCGTTTTGCGGTTACAGGGAGTTTGATGAGGCGGGTGTCAAAATCGTAAGTCACACACACATATAGACGCATATCCTGCTCACGGTGCTCACACTGTCCTCTTTTTAGCACGTCGAGAACCGACACCGGGATCCGCAGCTCACTGAACAAGAGGAAGACAACCTGAAGTTAGGTTCAGGCGACCAATACGAGGAGTATTTCCAATGCCCAATTAAAAGATGCGACAAGCACTTTTCACTCGGCGAGATCCAGGCGCACATAGACCGCCACAGAGCTAAGAAACGGCTCAACGAATCAGGTGTGGACATCTCTGGTCTGGGGACCCCGGATACCGTCATAGCAAACCATTGGAAGCACTTCTTGCGGTTGGGAAAACTCGTTACTCAGAGTCAGCTCCCATTAACGAGATTCCACGTTGACCGGATCCCCCATGGCAAGCTCCCGACCAAGAAGCCGCCGCTTCTTACTCCTAAGGATATAGAGGGGTTTCATGGGGAGGTTCTTGAGATTCCGGATAGCGATGGAGAAGCACCGCTCTCCGACCATAGCTCGGACGGTGATAGTGACGGTGGTCTCGGTCCTAATCCAAAGTTGAAGGTTGCTATAAAGACCATCGTCAAGCCGCCAGTTGATCCACCAGATGACAAGGACAAAGGCAGTAATGTGCAAAAATCACCATCTAAAAATGAGCCAAAGCCACCACCTAGCGATGCGGGAGAGCCAGCATCGGAGGTTATTGTATTGTCTGACGAGTCAGATTCAGATGAGAATACATTTCTACCCGACGCCCCTGCACCTGCTCCCCCTGCACCCGCACCTGCACCTACACCGGCGCCTACTCTTGGAAGCAGCCAGTTTGACCCGAACGGTCGATATATTCCATTTATTGATAGAGTAAGTCTTCGTTCTATGAGTATCTTCACTCGTATATGATAACTCGGGATGAGACCCAGAAGACAATGTGAGCAAAGGCTAACATTATACCTAGAGCCTTCTGCCCAAGGGAATGATGAACGCGGCACAAAGGCAAGCTTTGATAAGTAGCCCGCACCCACGAGAGCAAGGTTAGTCCATCCTTCCCCTTGATTTAGATGCTCGTGCTCCATCATTCGCTAGCCTCATAGCTTACAACATCTATAGGTATTATACCTATCCTAGCACGGACCTTCGCAGCATGTCCGTCAACAGTATATGTGTATCTCTGTCACCCAGGAACCGATCATTACCAAATGGGGGCCCCAGGTGAGCATAACTTACCATCCTATCTAGCCATAGAGGATCTCTTTCCACTAACGCAAGCTACATCTGGCTAGGTCCGTACTGCGGCTACAGAAATATACAAATGTTGATATCACATATCATCAACGGTCAATGCCCAGGCCACGAATTTTTCGGGAACGACCCCCCCGACGTTTTCGAAATCCAGAACATGATTGAGTTGGCTTGGGATCAGGGCCATAATAATGAAGTAGCCCTAATGGAATTTCCAAATGGAATAAGAGATACGAATTTATGGATCGGTACCGCAGAGGTGAGTACTTATTACCCGGTTGCCAGGGTGATAACTCCTTGGAAGCTAATGTTTTAAACAGGCACAAGCTATCTTAAACTCGCTTCAGTCAAAGTAAGTTACAATTTACCTCGTTACAAAATAAATAGTCTAATATATTTTTTCCAGCTTTACGTACTCATCCTTCGAGCCGGAGAAGGGGAAAAAGGGCAGCAAATCGGGAGGTGAGGTCCATGCTCGGCTATTGGACTTTGTTGAAGAGCACTATAGTCAAGCGCCTGGGGTAAACAATTCCGCCAAAGTTCGCTCTACGCAAAAAGCGCCCTTATACTTCCAATGGGAAGGTAAGTAAAGCCACATTTATATCACAATTCATTCTCTTACTAAGAGGAACCTTCTAGGACACTCGGTAACCGTCATCGGTATTGAGAGAGCCGCCAGTGGAGCGAGGAATTTACTCGTTTTCGACCCGTCTAAATCAGACGGCAAACGGGTGCTGCGTGCCCGCGGCACAAACGAGGCCGCGCATCATCCTGACCAGGCACTCAAATCTTACCGCCTTAAGCCCAGATCTGGCAGGAGTTACGAGATTATCGGGTACCTACCCCCAGCACCCAGAGGTAAGAAGTCTAAGAAGTAGTCGGAACTATGGATGGCTTGCAATATTTAATTGAATATGTAGTTTCTACAGTGTATTCTAGTTAGTAGCATTTTAAGCATATATATTAGATCTTATTGCTTACTCTATAACTTTTTTTCATTTATTTCTGTGTATTTGTGATCTAAGTGTGTAATGGGAATATGAGCGAGTTCATTGCTTTAAGTTACCGCCTTCGATCCATGCCCGGAGTTTCTCGAGAGCCTTGAATCGATGCGAGATTTTGTTCTTCTCGGTCTTGTCCATCTCCGCGTAACTGTGTGAAAAAAGGGTTCGTTAATTTTAATTCGTTCTGATCTACCTCGTAAGGGTATTTTGTTATGAACAAGAGGAAACGGGTAGTTAAAACTTACGTTTGGCCATCATACTCGAATATCGGATCCCAGCCTATATGCCCGGTTAGCCAACTACTAGGAAAGGGGCAATTACATCTTAGGGAGGGAAAAGTGACATACCAAAAGTAGTCGGTCCTCTCGGAGGTACTATGTTGCCCTGTCGTCCAACGGCTGTTAGCCATGCTCTAAACTCTCTGGCTTCAGAGAGAAGCAGCCAAGCGCAGCTGATTACTAAGTAAATAGGCAACTCACATGTGTGCGTCCCTGGAAAAGCAGCACCTCTTCACCTGGCCCCTTGGAGAAACCAAAGGTGGCAACGGCCTGAGCTGACTTGTCATCATAGGCCGCGAGGAGGTTGTTCAGACCTGCGTGGCCAATAGACTGCATAAACCATTTTCTATTCGATCAGAGTGTATCAGCCCTTGTGCCCCTAAATTAATGTGAAAAGGGGAGGGGGAGTGTACATATACGGCCCCGGCAGCCCATTTAATGCATCAAAACACAAGCAAGTATCCTCAACAAGTACAGGTCCGCCAACTAACGCAGCTGCAGCGCGGCATTTCTCGCGTGTAACATCCTCAAGTGTACCCTGAATCTCGGGTAGGTCTAGAGCCTTGTTTGTGACAACGATACCAGCAGGCTCTAGGATGGCGCGGACTTCTAGTAGTTTATTGGCGTTGCCGGTTATGAAATTAATCGTGGGTGGCGACATATTGTGTAAATCTCTTTAACAATGTGAGACAAATAATTTGACTAATTAAAAAATGGGCGCCTCTTCGGAGTCTATTTTATATGAAATTGTATAAGAAATGCATATAGAAAAAAAAAAAAAAAGGGTCCCGGTGTGTGACGCAGCCGGCGATGCGATACGTAACCTTATTTGCTTAGTTCGGAGCGGACACCTGCATTAGCCATCTTATTTCGACGTCTTTTATTGGTACAGAAGAAGCTAAAAAAGCAAACCTTTCTAGTACTTATCTCAGCCCAATCTAGCGGTGGCTTGCATACTGTAGATTACTGATAATGCCTCATTGCAGCATGTACACTGAAAATAAGGGGCTGGTTCACAGGTATTTCGTAGCTGATGGATTGGGTTTTTAGACCATATGTACGCCACTATCACAGCAGCCGAGTGCACCAACCGGGCGTTATTCATGGGTATCTTATGGCATGCACTATTTTATATGTCCCTGTCCCAATGCATACCTCCCGTCTTTTTCGCCGAAGGGAAAGGAGTGTTTTTTTCATATTTATTTATTTCTTTACTTGCCCTGATATCAGGCCTCACTTTCATCCGCGTGATCCTTTTTCCACTGCGTAATCCACGCCTCGATGCGATCAATGTTGCTCTCCATATCATCGACTGAATTACTCGTAAGTTCCACCACAATCTGCTCGTCGTACGAATCCCGCGCCTCCTGCAGTAACACCTCCATGATTTCCGAATCTAGATTCTCTTGCAGTTTGGTCTCGGAGTATTTCCTGTTTATTTCATTAAAGATGAGAAAAAGGGGGTGTCCATAGAACAAGGGAAAACAATGCACTCTCCCATAGACCAGCCAAGCAAAAGAAAATCTTCTTACCTCTCAGATAAGCGGTCGTACAGCGTACTCGAGTCCACCCTTAACACCACAACCAAGTCAATCCAGCTCTCGGGGAAGATCTCGCAGCCGTGCCAATCGATGATGCATCCGCCAGCCTTGACATTGTCTTCCTCGAGCGCATCTAGTAGCTATAGCCACACACATCATTAGTATCTCGTTTCATTTCCGTCGCAAAAAAATCCTCCTTTCCCATGAAATGAGGATAGGCTGGGAGAAAAGTAAACTCACCTTGTCATCATCCACAATCCAACTCGAAAACTCCTCGTCCCATCCCTCATGGCACTCGCGGTCCTTGACAACCTGGTTCACCGAAATATGTCGTAGACCCGTCCGCTCGGCTAGTGCCTCTGAGTGTGTCGTCTTGCCTGTTCCAGGCGTACCCGTGATAATGATGTTTGGGTCTGTACGCATTTTTCCTTATTTCTCTTTCTGACTCTTGGTTTACTTTCGACTTTTCTCTTCTTTACAGGGAAAAGGGTTTCGTTGGGGTTTCTCCCTTTTTTTCTTGGGGGATTCGTAGTTTCTCACTTGCGCCGAACTGAGTTGAGTTGCGCCAAGTCCAGGGACCCTAATACGGATTCAAGCGCAAAAGTTCGTCAATTGGAATGAGTATTTCGCCTTCACTAGTAATAGAAGTAACCGAGAAAATTCAGTTCTGAATGCGAATTAAATATAATTGCTTGTAATATCTGTTTGTTAGATAAAGTCTTCAGATTTGGGCAACAACACGAAAATATTAGTTGCGACGATGAAGTTTTCGCAGATTGTACCTCCCTTAACCAAAACCTTCATTTAGTACGTAAAAAAAAAAAAACTACATATAGTCACGTGCCACCCATCAAACCCACCAAACCAACATTTAACACTCTACGTACCTAGGTAGCAATCTAACAATTTCACACAATAGACAATCAAGAATGAAGACAGTATAAATGTAAATCGAGTGAGAATCATCTCGTAATTTCGAATGCCAGAGATACACAACGCTACCCTCCCTAGAGGAACGAAATTTCTCATTCGTTCGCATGTACATCAACAATAGCAGCAGCAACGGCAACCCATACACCTAGCTAGATGCTACACAAATATTCTTCGGTAGGTTCGTATTTAGTTTTTTTCATACACTCTTCCCTCCTCCCCGGCCCACGCGGACCCAGTCTAGCAAAAAATATCCCTTTTAATTGAAATAAAAAGGTTGCATCAAACGCCCCGAGTCCGTCGTCCGCGTGAGCCCTTCTAGTTCAATCATGCCTTGATATATCCATTAAATGTGTGTATGCACCCTTCCGGCTTACTTGCCTCGGTTCGTGCGAAATCGCTTCGTGCTACGGTCCGCGGGACTCTATCATGCCGAGCGTTTCGTATATCAACACGAACTTGGCTGCCTCGTAACCCTCAGTGATTTGAACCTTAGCCCTGCGGGGAGACGTGCGTTTTGGAAAGGTCGGAAGTAGTTGATAGTGCGGTTCTACGCAGTATCCGCCTCAATCTCGTCAACCTCTGCGAGTTCACCATCGCCGTCGTATTCATCCGCCTCTAACTTCTCCTGTTGAGCGATAGCCTGAGCAGATACTATCTCGGCCAATCTCTTCAGTCGAGGTGTTTGTAACCCTGTAATCTCAATGTTAGACATGGGTTCGTTTAAATAGAATATCGTATATTCAACTTACACGATGGTGTATATGTTTCTAATGCGGTGATGGCACGGGGCTCCGCGATTTCGTACGGCCCGCTGTCATCCATATCTACTGCTGCCAACAACAGGACATCGCTCTTCTCAGTTACCCTGGATGCCACTGCCTTCATGATCTCTCCGTTAATGGGCTGTTCATAATCGGCTACCAAGTATTGGTTAAGTAGCTTTTGAATTTGGTTGGGAGAAAGCCTAAGAATTGTAATTAGCTACAAGAAACTTGAAAAGTCCCTGTATATTATACTCACATCCAGCAGATATCTTGGATGATCTCGATATCATTGAGTGTTGCCTTCTTAAGTTGCAGAAGTTTCGTTGCTTGCTGAAAAGAGAAAAAAGTTAGTGGTTGTACATAACTGACGATAGTGATTCATATTAGACTTACCATAAGATGCTCGAGCTGTAGGGTACCCTCGGGCATATCATGGCTCTTGCACCACTCCTCAATTCGAGTAATATTGTAGTTAATTTGCAGGCCACGCTTCCACGACAGGAAATTCCTTCGCATGAGCAGATCGTTGAATGCGGTCACACCCACCAACTTAAGAAGTTCGGTGACGGTTTGGGTGATGATGCTATCCTCAAGGTAATAAGCCTTCATCGCCCTGAACACATTGTTCAATAAGCTTAAAAGGTTATCCATGCTATACGCAGGCTGTGAGTTCGTCGCCAACAGCTTGCCGAGGAATCTGTTACTTTCGTTCGTGACGAAGCCGGGCAAAGACTGGGATTCAATAATGGCCGGGATGATCATCTTCTGGAGCTTCTTCTTGAGAATCTTCATCCAAGTGTGATAGATATTGAACTCTAGACTCTCAAGATCGTGCTTGACAATCTCCAAAAGTCGGTCATACTCATAGTTGTCCGTCTTCTGCGCCTCGTACCAATCCTCAGCGAGGAATACGAATGATAGCATTTCGTGCACGTTGGATAGCCAGAAGGCACCGGGGTTGATGGCATCGTCTCCGTCGTAATGCATGACCTCTTGTTGGATCGATTGCATAACGTTAGCCAGAAACCTCTCAGACTCCTTAACGAAGCCGTTGTTCCACATCTCGGATGTAACAAGGTTGATGAGGTAAGAGGGGAAGAGGACTTCCTTGTCTGATGGTGGTGGGGTGGTGTTTGGTGATGGAATCTTCAGGTTTTTGATGAGACCCATTGTCACCTCCTCATTCAAGCCATCTTCATCGGCAAGCAAGTTCTCCAATTCCATTTCGATAGTGTCGGCTGCAGGAAGATAGCCCACGCCGGGCCGGTTCCCGCTAGCAATGGCCATGGAGACAGGACGAGGGTTGTATGCGGCACTGAAGCGATCCAATGGACCGCTCGGCTCCGCACCTGCGCTTCGGCGCTTCGGCTTCTTGGAAGATACCAAGTTGATAAGACCATTGGGAGGAGCAGCTGCGGCGTTGCCATTGGTAAGTTCTCCATTGATCGGGGCTGATCGTTTGGCCAATTCTAGCTCCTCGGCCATCTGTGCTAGCTGTTCGCGCAACGTCATCTTCTCGTTCTCGTGGAGTGTGCTCTCCCTCTTGATGCGTTCCAGCTCGGCGTTTGCGGTCCTTAGAGACTCCTTCAATTCCCGTTCTTCCTCTTGCATTCTCTTGACGCTTGAAGTCGACTCGTCGAAGTTGTGCTGGAGCTTCTTCATCTCCTCCTCCATAGCCTGTAGCTTGGCTACAGCAATACCGGCCTGGTTGGCTTCCGCTTGAAGTTCCTTTGTTCTGGTCTCGAGAGCATTGTGTCGGTTCTTCCACGACTTGATCTGGCTTTCGTAGTTTTCCACCTGGTTCTGGAGGTTCTTGTTCTGGCTCTTTATGGTACCTAGTGATTGTGTGAGTTCGACGACCTTGTTTTCCAGCTTGTAGGAAATCTGCTTCAGATCTCGGGCTTCCTCGCGCATTGTCTTGTACTCCTTTCGGGCTGTCCTTCCACGCCACAAGCTCTGGATCAAGACGACCTTCTTTCGGTAATTTCTCCAGGATCGGAGTTGTCTCCTTGATCGCCACACTCGTTGGATTAGTATAACGGCATTGCCCACGCGAGTTTCCATGATCTCCCTTCTTCGCAGGTAACCCTTGGCAACAGCCTGCACAAGGATAACGCTGTTGCGGATACGTAGGAATTGCTTCCTTTGCTTTTGTCCCTTCCATACTCTCTGGATGGTGGTTGCAGCCTTGACAGTACGTAGCTCCTGAGCCTTGACCCGAGTGGAGTAAGCCCTGAAAAGTGACTGGAAAGTAATGATTGATTCGCGCGCTTGAAGGTACTTGCGACGATAGAACTTGGCCTTGAGGTTCTTCTGGATCATGATCGCAGCTTCGCTCATACGGTTCTGACGGAGATTCTCCAGGTGCGCCAACATACCAGCACGGAAGAAGATCTTGGTCAAACCGAGCTGATAACTGTCGGTTCCGGTACCAGTGAGCGAACCAAGGGCCTGCGCGAGAATTTCCTTCACTAGCTGTCTGATTTCCGTCTGCCACCGGCTTGATGGGATCAGCAGATAGTATCGCAAAGCAAATTCTTCGTAGGTCCAGCGACCCGGATAACCCGCACAACTAATGCGAATAGTCTCGAGTACACCACAAGCTCTCAGTTGACTAAGAACCATAGGGCCCTCGAATTTCCATGCAACCTTGGCCTCGTTGGGCTTGATACAACGGATGTAATGGACATTTGTGTTACCAATTGTGGTCATTAGTTCGATAAGGGAAGAACGGAAGATGCCACCAAGAGTCGGCTTGCGGTTAACAGCGACTCCTATCTTCCTTCCTGCCGTGGGTCGGGCAACGGCGGAACCGGAGGAGGCAACATCCTTCTCACGGACAGCCGAGGCTGCGGCGATGACCTTAGCGAGGAATTTGTTCGTCGTTGCACGAAGAATTTCCATGTGCTCATCGGGTACTGTATCCCTATTCTTCTCAATGAAACCCTCGGATTCGTAAGTGACGTCAACGGCATAATGGCAAACAGTGAAAGAGGACTTTCCGAAACGGGGCTTCTTGTAGAACTTGTTCTTGTCGCCGGAGAAGTTGTGGTGGAGCTTGGTAACGAACTGCTCATCCGCGCCCATAGGTAACCTAGATTCTTCGTCGAGGAGGGATAGGATACCCAATTTACCTTCGATTAAATCGATACATGGCTGGTTATCGGAGAATTCGATGAATTTCCAGTCAATCTGTTCGCGGACGTATTCTTCCTGTTCTAACCTGAACACGTGAGAATTGAATTGTTGCTGTAACTTTTCGTTGGCGTAGTTGATACAGAACTGTTCGAAAGAGTTCTTGGCAAAGTGCTCGAAACCGTAAATATCAAGAACACCAATAAAGGAACCGACGCGGCTCAAAACTTCGTCGGTGGCAAGACTCCTGTTAATAATTTCCACCAACCAATCGAAAAGACTCGAGTAAATGTACTTGGCGACGGAATCTCGAACGACCAAAGCTTGCTGTTGCGTCAAGTTCGATACGATCTTCTCACCGCGGGTAATAAGTTGCTTCTTTACGATCCACTTGGCGAAATTCGTAGGGTCGATTCCAAGGATAGCACATGCTCGCTCTAAAGAGGGTTCCGTGGGAGCTAGTACACTGTCGTTCCTGGAGGCACCGATCTTAACGTTACCCAGGTGCAGTAGACCAGCAAGCAGGTTAAAAATGCCCGATTGTTGAGATTCGTCTACACCAATCGTCTTCAATGAGCTCTTAGTTGCTAGAAATTCGGCCTTGTCGTCTACTCCATCGATTGTCGGCGAATTACCCTGGTTAAGATAGTCGAACTGTTCTATCGGCAAAAGACCAAGTTCCTGTCGTTCTTTATCCGTTGCGCCGGCCAAAAATTGATAGAAAATGTGGTAATTCCTTTCTTTCAGGGGCTGAAAGACCAATCTTGACCGTTCAAGTAGATAAGTTCGGATCCTGGCACCGATAATATTCGTCTTACTGTCGAACATAATCTCTATGTACTTTCCGAATCGCGACGAGTTGTCGTTTCGTGTGGTTTTGGCGTTACCGAAAGCTTCCATGATAGGGTTAGTCGCCAAAATCTGCTCTTCCGTCTCACTCATCGCTTCGGCGCCCTTCTTAGACTTGCTTCCTGGGTTGTCGGGGGATTCTCTCGTTGCGAAATATCTCATGATATATTTGGCACTAACAGTCTTTCCGGCACCAGACTCTCCTGAAACTACGACAGTTTGATTCTTGCCATCTTTTACCATTTTCCTAGAAGTATAATATTAGCTCCATATGAACTTGAGCACCATGGAGGGGTATATTCACATGAAAGCTTCTTCTGCGATGGCGAACAGGTGGGGCGCTTGTGTCTCCCTCTGCCTGCCAGCGTAGACCTGGACCATACCAGGGACATATAGAGAGTCGACTCGAGCAAAAGGATTCGTAGCTATAAGCACTATACCACTATATGTGTAGATTTCTTTTTGCGCATAACGTAGACGAATGGCCTGAAGCACTATAGCAAAAACGGTCAGCACTTGGAACTGAACCCAAACCCATAGTACTTGGTGGAATTGTACGTACCGGCCGGTTCGTTAAGATGGGAAAGATTCGTTAAATCATCACTGGCTTCGAGCATCGAAGGGTTCATTAGCGGTGGCAACGACGGGTCGTTAGAGTTTTGCAGAGCCTCCAGAGAGAGCTTTACTTCCTTGGTCTGTATAATAGATTGGCGGTCAGCTTCAACTACTAGAAAAACTTGGGGTAACAATATCGAATATTGTAAGACTGAATGTTTTCTTTCTTTCGCATACCTCTTCATTTTCCAGCTTGAATACCAAGGTCACCTTGTCACCATCGACAGTCTTCTTGACAACCTCGGATGCCACCCAGCCCTCGGTGGCATCTGGCTGCCAAGCTCTCGTACCGACATCGTAGCTATGCGACATGGGAGGCTGTGGTGCGTCGGTATGAGGAATAAAGAAGGAATTAGGTTCGGTCGCGTCGCAAGAGGACGGAAGGTTGTCAAGGATAGGTAGTTATTAGGGGGAAGCGACAGCACGAGGCATCCGTGTCGATTCGTCGAAATTCGTTCAAGTGAAGACACGATAAAACGACGAAATGGAGGCGGTATGTACTAGATAAGGAAAGGCCTATAAAAAGCCCACTTAGTAGACTAGAACACTAGAACACTAGAATCTTTGGGTACTTGGATAATAAAAAAAGAGGAGATCACAAAAACGATCTAAATGGCAAGCCTCTCTCTCTATCTCCCTTCAACGAAATTTGGTGTTGACGTTTACAACTGAAGGAGTAAGAAAAAAAATAAAAAATAAGTGTGACGGCGAGTTTCGCGGCGTTGTGATATTCTAAGTACCGTTGTATGTACGTACGATATTATGTGTGTGCGTGTGTATGTATGTACAGTATGTACATTGTAATATCGGATCGAATTATTACAGGTGATTACGGCGACTGTGCTTCCCTAAACCCAGCAAACCAAGCGCTACAAAAATGACTACGAATGATGGAAATGATGGAAATTTAGGGGAGATAGGGGATAAAGGGGAAGCGCGTTACCTACTTCAGCCTAGTACCACGCCAGTAACAGGGGGTTTCAAAAAGGGTCCTCCAGCCATTTTTAAATTCTTTCAACTTTCTTGACGGACCGGGCTTACCCTGTTCGACTTCGAAACTAAACTAATCAAGTACTCGCTACTTAGTCGCTACTTAGAAAGCGGTGTATTCCTAGGTGTGGGGAATAAGTATGCTCTACTTGGATTCTACGTGGACTTTTTTCTTGATCACGATTCCGTCCTCCCTTTTTCCTGCAGAAACGTGTGTAGCAACGACAAAGCGTACCGTCCTGCAGGTCCATTTTCGTAGATGGACAGATGGGCTGTCGTGGTAGCTTATTTCAATCAATCAAAGCACAGAGATGACCGTAAGCATCTGTGAGTTTGTGTCATGAATTGTATCCAAACTATGTACCTGCATGCTAAAGAGTACAAAAAGTATCCAAGTACCTCCTATATCTAGATGTGTACCTCACTCTATGTTGCAACTTTGGATGCTACCTCAACACCCGGAATTTCACCACAAGAAAAATCATGAATATGAACTACATGATATTCCGATATCTCCATCCTCTCAAACCTCATCAGTGTTCCAGATCATAAAAGAGATGAAAAAGAAAAGAGAAACGCCGGGGAAGTTGCCAGCGTTACAAGTGTTCAGATCCCGGAAGTCTCGCTCCTCCATACATGTATGTAGGTACTTATGTATATACATACACGCTTCCTGCTGGCTCCTCCTTCTCCATGTCGGATATGAAAGTACTCATGTACAAATCTCCAAGAATCCTGGATGGTCTAATAAATCTAATAAATGGAAATGGCGAGGCGAAGCGAGAAAAAAAGACTCAAGGTTTGTCCCGCGGATGTCATAATTGTTATCCGACACACCTGTCAATTTATTGTAAGCTTAACAATATTGTTATATCTACCTCTATTTCTAGGTACTTAAGACCATTAGCATTACCATTGTTACTCATCCAAAATAAATATTGACTATTGACTGACATACATACATGTGTACAACACAAATATGATACTGTTGGAGGCAAGTATCAAATCATTTGTTCAGCTGTTCTAGAAACCAAAACCAGGTGGTCTGCAGGGGGGGAAAGCAGCCCGAACCTAGTGCATAGAAACCCGACCTTTCCAACCAACCCTCCAGCCCTCCCCAGATCTCCAACGCCTATACATAGATGTATATATTTTACACAATTCGGTATCATCTTACGTGAAAACCGGGAACCTAATAACATATCAACCATAGTTGTACTGCTCAGCCTGGTCAATGTTCGTTTCATCCCTTAGTGATTCGGAGCCTTTCCTTTGCCTTAGCACGGATCAGCGCAAGCATGTATAAAGATCGAGATACCAGTTCGTTGCCGAATATCCCAATCGAATGACGGAGTCTCGGCTTTGCGTAACTTACACATATTGCTCTATTACATCCATTGATAACACAATCGGACTATCACCAGTTGGTGGCCCCCATTAAGGGAGTGTCTTAAACACCTATAAATATCGCACTTATAATAGACCTATTAAGATATTAATCAGATAGATAGAAGGACGATAACTCAACTCAACCCTTAGATATAATAATGCACGCAGACTTATAATTTCATGCTAAGCTATTAAGAGATAATATAGCCCACTACGCCTACGCAGTACATGTATTGGGCTTTTAATGTTGAACCTCACGCCCCCTTTTTTCTAATGTTAATTTTAGTAAAAAAAGTCGAGCCATTCTTATGCAATTGTTGTTTTTCCTGGGTATCCATCTTGCCAGAAGTTGAATTTTTATAATACCCATCAATGCAAGAATTTCCCCCCTTCCTGTCTTGGTTGAACGCCATTCCCTGGGTACCTACGTACGCTCCGGTGCTGTTGAGACAATTTTATCAACCCGCCTACCTGCCTACCTACCCACCGCCTCATTAAGATGACTCTAGTAAAGTATCCGTGTCATGATGCGAGCTGTGATAAAGCGTTTGGTTAGTCGTGTATATTTTGAGGATACTAACAGACAACTTACAGCCTAACGCTTCGAGCGAGTCTTGAATCTCCTTAAGGTCGCTTGTCTGGACATCGCTGACATCGGCCATGAGATACGCGACCTGCATATACATGTTAGTTTAAATGCAGCAATAGAACACATGCGGAAAAAAAAACGTGGTATCGCAGCACATACATCACCTCTACTATCGCTAGTCTGCTTATCAACATTGTGGTCGCCGAGGATCTCGTTAACTGTTTTCGATGTAAGTATCTGCAAGTTAACATATGTATTGCTACATTACTAACCCTTTCGAAGAACACCTGGTATGTTGTTGTGGATGTAGATCACCTGTGACGAATTAGAAGCTGCCATGATTATCTGCGCAGATAAAAAAAGAAAAAAGAAAAACTTCTTACTCGTGCGTGGTTAGGCTCGTCCAACGTTAGCGAGCGCATGTTAACCTCGGGCATGTTGACGCTGCCCAAAGTGATGCCAAGGTTGATATATCGAACCAAGGCCTCACCAACTACGGTGCGCATTTGTGTTAGCATAGAATTCATCGAAATTCTAGAAGCATCACGTGCAAATCTTTTCCCATACCTTCGACACCGATTGCTCTCTGGGCTTCTTCGGTGCTACCACCAATGTGGGGGGTCAGAATAATGTTGTTCAGGCTGCGCAGATCTTCTTCCCAGCCGTTCAAGCTGTTATTGAAGTAATCGCCGTTGGCGCGCGGTTCGCCGGGATATACATCCAATGCAGCTCCGGCGATCTTACCGTTACGCATAGCGTTGATCAAGGCCGGAATGTCAACTACGGTTCCACGGCTGGCATTGATAAGGTACGAGCCATCTTTCATCAACCTCAGCTGTGCGGCGGAGATCATGTTCTTGGTCTCGGGCAACTCCGGAACGTGCAGGGTAATAAAGTCAGCTTCGCTCAGGAGATCCTCCAACGTCGGTACCTGTCGGGAGGTACCAAGGGCCATCAAGTTTACGACGTCGTAATATATAACTGACATGCCCATGGCTTCTGCAAGAACGGACAGCTGCGAGCCGATATGTCCATATCCGATGATTCCTTCGGTGCGGTCCCATGTTAGCCCCTTGTTTGGGTGTACGGACGGGTGTAAACGGCGCAATACATACCGAGGGTCTTGCCACGAATCTCCCAGCATTTGTTGCTTACTTTATTCCAGGTACCTCGGTGCATCTCCAAGCTTCTGTCGCCCAATTGACGGGCTAAGGAGATGATCTCCGCGATGACAAGCTCGGCGACACTACGGGAATTCGCAAAAGGCGAGTTGAAGACAGCAATGCCATGTTTGGCAGCAAACTCCAAGTCTACTTGGTTGGTACCAATGCAAAAGCAACCAATTACCAAAAGGTTCTTAGCTTCGCGGAGAACTTTTTCATTTAATTTTGTCTTTGATCGAATACCAATGACGTGAACATCTCTATGTTTTTTTTTTGGTTTCAATTAGGATTTGGTATAATTAAATAATAATGCTTACGAGGGGTCAGACTCACCGAATCTTCTCAATGAGTTGGTCTTCGGGCAATGAGCTCTTAAGAGCTTCAACTTGGTAACCTTGACCGGTTAAAATGTCTCTGCCACTTTGATTGACATTTTCCAATAGGAGGATTTTAATGTCCTGAGTGTTGAATGGCTTGAGCTGTTTGGCTTGTCCTCGTTGAGAGACAGCCCCGCCAAAGCTAGATAGCGGGGAATGGAATGTGGCTGCTGATGGCGAAGTTGACGACACTCCCAGCCGATGGGAGAGCTCGGACTCGGGCGCCGCTAGGATGTTTTGTGCTTGTGCCATTGTGCTACAACTGCAATTGGAAATTATATGAGATCTTGGGAAATACTAGACAAAGGAAGTTCAAAGAGTAATGATCTTACTGAGATATACCCCAGAATGCGGATATGAATTGACTCAGAGCTGGGGGGACCGGGAAAAGTTTTAATTATTTTTATTTACTAGGTGCAAGGCGGACTAGGTGGACTAGGTGGACTAGGTGGTGACTACTTGTTAACTAACTTATATTCAATTTTTACGGAGTACGGCTTAGTGCACTTGTGATTCGCTACGCTACTTCCTGTCAGCCCCAACCTATCACTTCACGTAATATGTAATATCTTAGCTGCAAGACCCAACTTTTTTTGTGCTGTTTTAAGTTCCGTAAAGGAACGGAATGTGGGAAGTGGGAAGGAATGGGGGGAGGGAAAAAAAAGGAGCTTTCAGAATTTTGACCCCGTCATCGGACTTTGTCCTTATTAGTAGTACCCATGAGTCAACGGATTAGACGGTTATATAGAAACAATTCACGTAAACTTGGCTACTATTCCCTTCTTGTCTAGTATACTATAATAACAATATAGAATAATCATCTTATTAAAGGGGATATTTACAAAGTTTGAATCCTGTATATGACCAATCATAGCCTATTACCGAATTAGAAATTGACTTGAAATATCTTATAACAAAACAACACAAATCTGACGTATCGCAAGATATACCCCTCCAGCTCGGTAGACACCAAAGATATACCTAGGTAGCTAATAATGGCTTTTATTACACTTCACATATTCATTCAAAAATACAGAACACCAGAACAATCCCTACGTATGGTATAGCAAATCAGGTCCATGTGCAACGTACGATGTACATTATATGCAAAGACGCAAGCTTCCGTCAACTTCATTGTGTGATTCTGTCCGAATGCATTATTGGCGAGTTAGCAACTTTACCATCCTCTTCACGTGCCATCGTAAGGTCAGCTCCCTTTCCAGGATTGGGGTCCACCTTCAGTGCATCCGTCTCTGTTCGTGATATGCTGCCATCTTCCCAGCCAACCAACTACTCCAGACCAGTCTCATGCTGGAGAAGAAAATAAAAACGAAGAGAACTACCAATCAATACAGAACGAGATCCCGAAAGCAGCTTTAAGAACCTGATGGAAGTGGCCAGTCTATTTTGCACCCGATTTCACAGACCATTTTGCTGTAGGTATCTGTATGACCTCGTAAAGTGTCGACAAATTCGCAAGATTAAATTTGTCCTCGTCGATAAGAACGATAGAGGGGTGTTTTCAACGGACGAGACTGTCATTACTCATCCCTACCTCCTCTTCTTAGTAGGACCAGTGACGTGAATTAAGTAGGAGTAGAAATCGTTAGCAGGAAAAGGACAAGATTTAACTTTGCTTGCATTCTTGCGCCTCTTGCTTCGGCTTCGCGCCATCGTCCTGTATAAGGTGTTAGCTTCGTTTCTAAAGGATTCATAAGAAAGGGATTGACAAACATCGTCATCGGACTCCTCCTCTTCGTCATCGCGATCCTCACTTAGGTCATCATCCTCATCGTCATCGTCTTCATCAAATTGCTCCTCCTCAAGGTCGTCAAGCTCCTCAAAGGCCAAGGCCTCACCAGTAAACCAGTCGATGGCTCGAGGAATCAACTTCTCCTTGATGTCTTCACCGAGTTGGTAATCTAACTCTAGGCGCTCCTCGATGTCAGAAGCGGCATCATCGTCGTCATCGGTGGGTGCCTTGGGGGGCGAGAAGAAGTTGAAAAACGACTCGGTGGGGACAGTCTTCTTGACAATGCGGGTTTGCTTGGTGTCTATTAAAATTAGTAAATGGGACTGAAAATTTCACCTAGAAGTGTCTTACTCTTGTTTCGCTGCTTCTTGCTCTCGATGCGAACAGTGAGATCCTTGCCTTCCTTCCAGTTGATCTTATCACCTTCAGCGTGGTCGTAGATGAAATCACCGCCATAGCCGCTTTCGTTCTGGTAGAAATACGTCTTGGTGACTGTCTTATTGGTGAAGAAGTCGTTCTCGGCGAACTCGAAGATCAAGCGGAATCCAGGCTTGTCCAGGTACTCCATTCGGATGTCGGTGAGGTAGCGGAGAGCAGCCTCATCGCGGTCAGTGATCATCTCAGCGAGTGAGATCTGGTTCTTCATGGCAGACAGCCAGAATTCAGGAATACCCTTAACGAGCTCGGCGTTGTCAGAAGCCGGCTTGTCATCCTTCTCAGCCTTAGTCTCATCCTCTTCCTCGTTCTCTTCCTCACCAGCCTTGACCTGCTCCTCACTAGGTTCCTCGCTACCGTTGACGATCGCGGCACGCTGCTGGTAGAGGGGTGTGAACTTGGCGAAATACTTCTTCTCTAGCTGGAGAACCTCCTCCTGGAACTCGGCCTCAAGCTTCGAGTGGTCTTTTTGGATACCCTTTAGGCCAGCAACACGGCGACGAACGACGGCGGGAAGGGACTCGATGTAACCTGATGATCGACCAACTAGAGAGCCAAGTCGGCCTTGAATCATCTGAACCAGCTTGGGGTTCTGGGCAAAGATAGACGCGGCAGCAGCGCGATCCAGATCCTCTATTGCGCAGATTAAGTTAGCAATGCTAGCTCTTCAGCACATTTAACATTGAAGTTATCTATTTACTTACCTTCCTTGATACTAGCGACGCCCGGTTGTTGGGCATGGGAAGAGATCGGGGCATTGCTAGCAGGCGTATTTTGCGGAGTACTGTGGAGAGAAGACCAAACGTCAGTGTTCTGGGGAAGAAAAAAAAATACGGCTGAGAGGCGATTCTACTTACGGAGCAGGAACCTCTGCACGTCGATTCTTAATCGGTTCCGCCATTTTTGCTGATGTTGCCGCAGGAATTGCGATGTGTGATTGATTCGCAAACGAGGGTGTTGATATCTGATTGGGGACTTAGTAGTCCGCGGTAGATAAAAACTGTTTTTGCAAAGAGGAAAAAAAAAGCTAGGCAGTAGTCAAATTATTGAGGTGGTGTAATGTAGGGAAGATGTACGCCGCAATCACAGGTTGGCAAATTCTTTGAATTTGTACGCCGTGTTTGGACGAGTACGGGTTAGGGATGTGTGGTTGATGAATTTGATTGATGTAAAGGGGAGAAATTAGTTGAACCTAGAACAAGGTCAACTGCGAGGAAGGAAAAAAAACGAAAAGACAGTAGTTGTAGTGGTGAAATGGTTCAGGTAGTTTATGGTGATGGGGAATTTGATGAGGGAGGGCAAAGACTGGACTGGTCTGGTGGGAGAGGCGAAGTGGGGGAAAGACACAACCCTGTCAGTGTCCCCTCCAAAGCCTATAGTAAAGCAGAGAAGTTGTTGGGTGCCGCCGTCCCTCAAATAAATTTTCCTTAAATTTTTTAGGCCATTAAACTTCAGGGCACTTGCGCGAACAAACTCGCCCTGACCACTAACTGTACTCGTACCTACCTTCTGTAATTCGCTATGTATGTATGGATGCACAACTGTGGCTTCCTACATAAAATACCTAGGTACCAAGACACCGTCATTTATATGGATCTGAGGGGCACGCAAGCGACCAGACCAGACCGTGGACGGCCTGTAGACTTACATATAAGTACGTGCACGGTACTGAGGTACATACACGTATGAATTAAGTGCCATGCTTCGTCCAAGATGTAGGTACCATACGAGTAGAGACTTGCTTAGGAATGTACTTATCCACTTCAGGTACATTGACCAAACCTGATTGAAAGCGGTGTAGATAATCAAGTCGATCGACTAAAAACAATCAGATACCCAGGTACAATATGTCGACCTACATCTACATATGTACATATATAGATGCACCATAATAGACATACATCTGCATACCAAGCTAAACACTTCACGATACCTGCATTTCCATACATATCTGTACATATTCATACACCATTTTAAGGTTAGGGTAATAGGGTTTTCTATTAATGTTTAATGAAGATATGCATTAGACATCCTCAGCGGCTTCTACAACTCGCCGTAGGTAGCCAGCCACGTCAACTCACGTAGCGTGGTGTATGCTGCATGTAATGTAAGTAGTGGTACCTCAGGGAGGTATTGACACTTAAAAACTTTAGACACTATTCGCCTTGCCTATTCGGGCAATACGAACATTCAAAGGTCATGGCCTATGCACTCTTGGCGGGACAAAAGCATATTCTTATCGTTATCGCTATCGTTATCATTGTCGGTCAAGTCCTGGGCCAAGGGTTCGAGGTCTTATCCTTATCACTTATCGTCGGCGCTTTCAAGATACGGCATGTCTCATGGATCAAGCTCATAGTGGATCATTTAAACTTGTAGTAAATTGTCCAAGAGTTCCATCGTCACTCTCTAGTTGAAGACTCGAACTCGAGTAAGCAAGATTAACATACTCGATCAAACGCAGAGGTCAATTCCTCTTTTGGAAACACGACATCACATTGGTGCTCGCAGAATCTGTTGCGCTTCAAATCCTCCTACCGACCATCCAGGATGTGCATTATCATTCCAGTCCTCCCTCGACCAGATCGGTAGTTCATAGTTGCAAGGTCGCGTGCAACTGCTGCTCCGGATCCTACTCCGTCGCATGTAACGAACGACATAGAGGTATCGTGTCGATGGTATACACATACTCCTACTCGGGTAGCGGATGAATAGAGGGGTGCACGTGAATTATTACGATAGTACATTGACCATGGAGGAGCACGATAATGATGCGCAACCCGAGCGCACCGGCCCTGTGCCTATGTATGGACTGAGCTCTAACCGAAGTAGCTCAAGTATCTTCGAGGATGTTGAGATGGCACAAGACGAGGTAGGTTATGTATATTGTTTAATGATAGCTTCGTTGATTCTAAAACTCTGCTTCCTTCACAGCTCTTCTCTGGTCCTATGGCAGAAAGCTTACCGACAAGTCTTTCGGCCTTTTCCCACCGACGTCAGCGCGCAGACTCCACGGCAAGCTTCGCATACTATAATGAAGAGGAAAATGAGCAGGAGCCGATATTACTATATAGAGAGGACGGGGCTGTGTCACTCGATATAGAGGAGACTCCGTTTGATCTCGACGAGGACGAGATAGAGGGAGAAGAGAGCTCGGAGCTTGAACTCGAAAACGGCGATGCGTACGATGACTATGCCCTGCGTAGAAGATCCTCAACACAATCTAGGACATCCGTTCATGCGCGACTCATTAGGTCGGATAGTGGCGTGACGGATATGAGCACTCGTGGCCACGGTCGAGTCAGTCAGAAATTACACATGGTTAATGAGGACCTCACCATTGTAATAGCTGGCTTTCGTACGAGCAAGCCCGGCTATGCTACCTACATCAGTATTTGCATCCTAACGTTGGGACTGGCGTACCTCCTCCTGCGATGGCTTCCGCGATGGCAAGTCAAATTAATCGGCGAGCCATGCCCACTTCATGATTGTGAATGGGTAGTACTTGAGGTTAGTCGCTTGAGATACTTGTGTAACTATATGAACCGGTGTATTGACTATTATAGAACCAATGGGGTGAGATGGCCATTCTGAACGTACATTCTCAAACCTATAACCGTCCTATCTCTACCGTATTTGGAGCGCCGGAGAAGATTTTTGCGCAATTACTAGAAGACGATGCCGACCCATTGTTGCCCGAACTCCGGACTCTGAATTACCGATATGTTCGCTTCTTCTTTCACCCACTAAAAGGGAAATTCGTTATATGTAACGGATGGAAGGATCCTACGTGGATTCGAGTACGATCACTTCGCGCTGGCATCGATGGTGAGGAGAAAGATCACAGGGAACGTGTCTTTGGGGCAAATCTCATCGATATTGAGCAGAAATCTATTCCACAGTTGCTTGTGGATGAAGTACGTTATCAACCGCCAGACATTTTTACAAAACTAACAAGTCCTAGGTTTTCCATCCATTCTATGTATTTCAAATAGCGAGCCTTATTCTTTGGTCCTTAGACGAATACTATTACTATGCTGTTTGCATATTCGTCATGTCGGCCGGCAGCATTATAGCGACTCTGGTAGAAACGCGCGCTGTGAGTATTTCTTAATACAACCCATAAGATGTGTCATTACTTATACAATCCAGACAATGCGTCGCCTTCGCGATATATCTCGCTTTGAATGCGACGTGCGAGTCCTTCGAAATGGCTTCTGTAAGTAAAATCAGCCGCCAATCCAGTCAGTGACATTTTGCTAATTGTGTTAAGGGGCCCACGTTTCTTCAAGTGATTTAGTACCTGGAGATGTGTATGAAGTTAGCGACCCTAGCTTGACACAATTCCCTGCCGATAGCTTGCTGTTGAGTGGAGATTGCATTGTCAACGAGAGTATGCTTACTGGCGAATCTGTACCGGTCTCTAAAATTCCAGCTACGGACGAAACTCTCCAAATTATGAATCTTGGGGCTTCCACAATCTCACCCGATGCTGCCCGCCACTTTCTCTTTTGCGGGACGAAAATCATTAGAGCAAGGCGGCCACAAGATAATCGAGATGATGAAGCCGTGGCGCTCGCTATGGTGGTAAGAACTGGCTTCAACACGACTAAAGGTTCGCTTGTTCGCTCGATGCTCTTCCCCAAGCCATCTGGGTTTAAATTTTATCGCGACTCATTCCGATACATCTCCGTCATGGGCGGTGTCGCAATACTTGGATTCATTGTATCCTTCGTCAATTTCATTCGCCTAGGGCTGGCTTGGCATTTGATAGTTGTGAGAGCTCTTGATCTGATTACCATTGTCGTCCCACCAGCTCTTCCAGCTACGCTTACGATTGGAACAAATTTCGCCTTAAGTCGGCTCAAGAAGAAGCAAATATTTTGTATCAGCCCGCAGAGAGTTAATGTGGGTGGAAAACTTGATATCATGTGTTTCGATAAAACGGGTACTCTTACGGAAGATGGCTTGGATATTCTTGGTGTTCGGCTGGTGTCTCGATCGACAAACCGATTTGACGATGTCGTCTCCAAAGCGTCAGATTTAGTCCCTTCAACAAGTTTGGTCGGTATTCCCGGGGATAAGTACGATGTAAACCGTGCTGCCCTATTCACCATGGCCACCTGCCACTCGCTTCGCTCTGTTGATGGCGAGCTTGTTGGAGATCCATTGGATGTCAAGATGTTCGAGTTTACTGACTGGACATTCGAAGAAGGCAATCAGGGTGGTACCGACCAAGAAGATGATGAACAAGGTGGTCTATCTCCTTCGGTTGCCCGACCGCCCCCATTAGCCCTATATGGAACAGATGGATATGGAAATGCTCAAGGGCGAAACGTAAGTTCGAGTGTTTAAGCAATCTTCGTATTCACCTGACATGTGTTTAGGTGCCAATTGAACTGGGGATATTGAGATCCTTTGAGTTCGTCTCGCAGCTTCGAAGGGCTAGCGTAATCGTGAGGGCCTTCGGCGAGCAGAGCGGAAGCATCTTTGTTAAGGGTGCGCCCGAATGCATGCGGGATATTTGTCGGGCTGAGAGTTGTAAGCCGTCCTCTCGAGTATTTATCTTTGGCGATTCTAACCTGTATAGTCCCGGACGATTACGAGGAACTCCTATCCTATTATACTCATAAAGGATACCGAGTCATTGCGTGTGCCACCAGATATATGAAAAAGTTGTCATGGGTTAAATCCCAGAAGATTAAGCGTGAAGAAGTTGAAAAGGATCTCGATTTCGTCGGCTTTATAATTTTTGAGAACAAGTTAAAGCCTACAACTGCTGGAGTACTCAAAGAGCTCACTCGATCGAATATTAACTCAGTAATGGTAACAGGTGACAATATATTGACTGCCATCAGTGTGGCAAGGAATTGCAGTCTCATTGATAAGGATGCACATTGTTTCGTCCCTCATTTTGCTGAAGGTAAGTCATTATTAACCCATTTGAATGTGAAAAATTCTAGAAAATATGCTGACATAAGGCTCACATTGCAGGAAATTCTCGCGATCCTAACGCGCGTTTGCAATGGGAAAGCATCGATGACTCGGCATATCAGTTGGATTACCGAACCCTTCTAGTAAGATATCATATAATCTGGCTATTAGTATGATTTCGCTAATCGCGTAACTATTTAGCCACTTCCTGCTCCTGTGGATCGTGATGCGTCGTTGCCATACGACATAGCGAACCTCAGAAACTATTCCCTCGCAATTAGCGGTGATGTCTTTCGATGGATAGTTGACTTTGCTCCGAATGAGGCTATGCAAAGAGTAAGTAACCATTGTCTCCCAATGCCACATCAAAAAGCTAATGAAATATCAGATGCTGGTCCGAGGTAGAGTATTCGCTCGCATGTCCCCGGATGAGAAGCACGAGCTCGTGGAGAAACTTCAGAGTATCGACTACTGTTGTGGCTTCTGCGGAGATGGTGCGAACGACTGCGGCGCTCTTAAGGCCGCAGATGTCGGCATCTCGCTATCTGAGGCCGAAGCTTCTGTTGCTGCTCCGTTCACATCTAGGGTATTCGATATTCGATGTGTTCCTGACGTGATCCGGTACGTTTATCTATTGGCACCAGCAAAAATATCCACAAAGTTAACCGATATTCAGTGAGGGACGAGCAGCTTTAGTTACTAGTTTTAGTTGCTTCAAGTTCATGAGCATTTATTCTGCCATACAGTTCACCTCCGTTAGCTTTCTATATGCTTCGGCCTCGAACTTGGGAGACTTTCAGGTGAGAACGCCTACCCTTGTGGCACCTTGCGCTTTGACTAATGGGCATCCCCAGTTTCTTTTCATCGATGTCCTCCTTATTCTACCGATTGCGATCTTCAGTAAGTTACACTGAAACTCATAATACCAAGTCTAAGCTACTAATTTGTCTCGTAGTGGGTTGGTCAGGACCATTTCCGGTATTAAGCAAAAAGCGACCGACGGCAAATCTGGTATCAAGGAAGGTCCTTACGCCCTTGCTAGGGCAGATGATCATTTGTATACTCATACAAGCTGCTGCATGGATCATTGTGCAAAAGCAGAGCTGGTAAGCTTTACATTTAAAACCCACCTCGTTCATGATTCTAATAATCATTCTAGGTACATCCCGCCCCACGTCAATCCGATTAAATCCAATATCAAGAATTCGGAAAATACAGCTTTGTTCCTTGTATCGTGCTTCGAGTATACCTTCATCGGAGTGGTTCTAAATGCCGGACGCCCGTTTCGACAGCCGATGAACCAAAACTGTAAGTTATCGCTATTTTGCACATCACTTTGAGGGTCTTGCTAATTTATTTTATAGGGCCATTTATGACCACCATCTTCACGGCCCTGGTCCTCACGTTTTATATGATTTTCGCGCCGGCTCATTCCATCAAGAAACTCATGAAATTAACCAATATTAGCCCATCTTTCGAGCTCACACTTGTAGCTCTTGGTGTGCTATACCTCATCGTTGCCTGGATCGGAGAGAACTACGTGTTCCAAAGACTGGCGCGAGGGTTCGCACAAGCAAAACTGGCTGTTACGAAACAGACCAAGAAGAGGAAGGAATATAAGGTCATCTTGGAGCGGATGCAAGCTTGACCTAGATTTAATATCACTCAACCCAATTATATAGGAGCGAGGATTGGGAATTTGGCGACGACATAGCGGATTTTAAGAGTGAGCTAGATTTATACCTCTTGTATATACTTATATATATCAAAATTTTTGCATGAAAGCACTTTTGGATCATCTCCCCTCAGTGACATTCTCATGAACAAATATATCACATATCAATCACTAGGTTGATCGTTAATAATTATCTAAGTAGATTAAGTAGTACACTTGGCGTGATGTTAATTGTGGAGGCTCTTTTTTTCCTGATATAAACTCACCGTCTTATTGTGATTAAACTTAAGGCAGAGTCAAGGTATCACTTTCATCAGCAAGCACAAATTCAAGTAACAATATTAAAATAGGGTATCTATTCCAGAGCGGGATCTGATTCAGCTTCCCATGCTTTTAGCCATCTATTTTATGATTTTAACATCAACTCTCCATTTCTTCATCCGCTACCCCATTCTCGAGGCTTTTCTTCGTTCGAGGCACCTCGAAGACAACGGCACCGTTCTTTCCCCCCTTTATCTTCTTCCACTGGCCAAGTCTGTGATCTTTGCCAACTCCGACTACGACACAGAGGCCATCTTTACCACGATCTCCCCTTTCGAACAAGGCGATGTCGTTGACTATCCCCTTGACAACCCATGGAGCTGGTTTGGTTCTGTTGATCCCGTTGGTGGCACCCTCATCGTCCGAGTCATCCGCGTGCACTCCATTGGGCACGAGGTCTAGGCTGGATGATGGATGTCCCAAGATACCTGCTGGCTCAATCTTTCTCTTATCGTCACTTAGTTTCCAGACTCTGACATGTCCGTCCCAGCTACCACTTAAGATTAGATCAGAGTAAGGTAGTGTTCGAAGGGCAGTGATCCACCGGGGTTGTGGAGGTGGTACAACTTTAGGACCTGGGGTCTCTTCCGCCGATGCTTCCGTTGGCTTCAATGGTTCCTCCAACCCATGGGCTTGTGCTAAGATGAAGAGCGGCTTCTTCTTCTGTATGCTCCATAAAGCTAGCGACCCGTTGTCGCTACCTGTGACGAAAAGATCATCATCGATCATTGCAACACGATCCATGCTACCCTCATGAGCTAGAGACCGCGGATCAATATCTGGCTTTTGCTTCTTATCAATCGATCCGCCCCGGAAAACCAACTGAGTTTCCTCAATGACTTTCCATAAGCGGGCGGTTCGATCTCGGGCACCTACACTTATGCATCGTTCTTGTGCCAGTGCATCTATATCGACTACTTCATCTTGGTGACCGAATAGTGTTTCGATATACGCTAACTCGTCCAAGCTCCATACCTTTACGGTACGGTCCTTGGAGGCTGAGTAGAGTTGGTTTGTGCCTCGTCGAAATGCTAGACCCGTAACTGCATCTCGATGATGTGTAAAGACACGCAGGGGCTTCAATGATTTGGCCTCGTAGACGATTAGGCGCTTATCCGCGCCACCCGTGACTACAAATTTGCTATCTTGAGAAGCTGCCACACATAAAATGTCCGATATATGTCCTTGATAACTTTTGTCCTTTTCCTTCTTTGGATTTCCTTTTCGCACCGCGACTTTTGTGGGTTGTCGGCGCGGAGGAGCGGGTGGCTTCTTTGGCTTTTTCCTGGTGGTTTGGGGGAATTGATTGGCGGGTAGATCTTGTAGTTTCCACTTGACTAGACATCGGTCTTTTGTAACGGTATAAACGTATGGAGCGCATATGGCTACAGACGTCGTCGCGAGTGTATTACACCGAAATAGTGTATGTGAGGCCTGATCAACTGCTAGTTCTGAAGCAATTGCTCGATAGACCTTTCCCTTGGCTTCGGCTACATCTTCTTGTAGACGCGCCGCTATTATATCGCGGTCGATATCTTCAGCATTAAAGCCTGCTTCGTCGACTTCTTGTCGAACGTTCTCAAGATACCGTTCGGCGAGTCTTAATCTCTTTTCTGCTGCGGTCTCTCCTTCTTTTTCAGAATCTGAACCAGATTCCGAGGCTTCAGGCTCATCGATCCCATCGTAGCTTTCGGAGTCGCTTCCCGATATAGACTCATCTCGTTCGACTCGTTTTTTTGGTGCAGGTGCAGGTTTAGGCGCGGACTTGGAAGTTTTGGATGTCGCGAATCGCTTTTTAGGAATATCGGTAGCAGGTGCTCGTTTTCGTTTTTTCTGCGCACCGGGAACGGTAAAGAAAGAAGACATAATGGTGTTATGTGAGGTCTCGAGTGACCTATACAATCGTGTATTGGTCTTCTCGTGCCTTTGGAAAATTTCAATATTCAAAAAGACAAGGTCTTATCCATTGCTAAGAAAAAAAAAAAAAAGTTCAGTATCTGCGGGACAGTGACAGGGATCCATGTCGGTGCAAACCTTAGCCTCCCGAGCCACTGGCTTTCATAGGTGGTCAATGGGTCGAGGTGGGGCGCGGCTGAGGGACCTGTGGCTTGTAACTCCGACCTCCGACCTGAATCTTAGAGTTCTAGAGCTTCGCAAAGCAGCTTGCTAGGCTGTAGCTACCTTGCGCGTCTACATACATATACTCAATTACTTGCGGCGGTTCATACAACAATACCTCCTTCAACTACCTCAGACAACATCATACAAAACCTATCACCGTCTAAGCAAGTACTTCAAAATGTAAGCTTCCCAAGGCTGTATAATTCTATTTAATTGAATGCACTGACATTGGCTGAATAGGGAGGTACTATTAGGAATCACCGGCAAGGACTTCACATTAATCGCAGCTTCTAAAGCTGCGATGCGAGGAGCCACCATCCTCAAGGCTTCCGATGACAAGACACGATCACTGAATAAGCATACACTTGTTGCCTTTTCTGGAGAGGCTGGCGACACAGGTGCGCAAGCTCTCAAGGCGGTTGTTTCTAGCACCGAAACTTAGCTAACTGATTCGTAGTCCAATTCTCCGAGTACATCCAAGCAAATGCCCAGCTCTACTCTATGCGGAACGAAACCGACTTGTCTCCTACGGCGCTCGCACATTATGTACGTGGAGAACTCGCCTCGAGCTTAAGATCGAAGAAGCCGTACAATGTCAACCTCCTACTAGGAGGTGTTGACCCCATCACCCACAAGCCCAGCCTATTCTGGCTGGATTACCTAGCAGCTCTAGCTTCCGTTCCCTACGCCGCACACGGTTATGCACAATACTACTGTCTATCGATTCTAGACAAGCATCACCACCCCGATATGACACTGGTCCAGGGTATCAAGGTACTTGAGATGTGCACGGACGAACTCAAGCGACGTTTACCTATTGATTTCAAGGGCATGACAGTGAAGGCGGTTACGAAGGATGGCATTAGGGAGATCGAGTTCAATGATGATAAGGTTGTCAAAAGCGCATAAGAGGGGCTAGTCTTCCTTTCCTGGCTGGTGGACGTATGTGTAACAACAATATTAGGACGTTAGGCTAGGTGAGATACCACACGACAGCCTAATAATCAAGTCGCAGGCCGGCCTAAGAGCCTGTTGCATCTGCGATTGTCTAACATGGTATTCCTTTTTTTTTTCCTTTTCTTTTTAACTGTTGCATATGTGATCAGAGGTCTCGCTCGTTGGACTGTTATAGGCTAAGGTAACATTTCGGGTTGGGGTTATCAAGAAGTAATCTCGCTCTTCCACAGAGCGCACCAACCCACCATTTACCCAATCCGAGTATTATTGGCAAATGGTAAGGCTACACAAAGAACATATATCTCGTACTTATAAGACCCTATTTCGGGTATTCTTGAATTGTGTCCTGCTTGCTCAATCCAGACATCGCTATTCCTTTCGTGTCCTGTATCCAGTTTGACTCTCATGGTCATACTTGGCAATTAGCAACTGCATGTATGTACTGGTTGAATAGTTGAACTGTCATTTTATTTATACGATGGCCCCGTCAAGCGGTGTATTTTACTTTGGGCGGTGAGATTACTTCTGCATGATGCTACGCCTTTCACCATGCAGGCAAGCTTCCTATTGGAACGCTGTAGCCTTGTTGCAGCGGAGTTACATTCGCCTTTCCCTGCTAACCTTGCTAAACCAACAGCTAAGGCGGCTAGGCAAAAGCTACAGTACAAGCCTTATCAATAGAATTTGGAAACGCTTTCCCTCGAACCTGACCCACGAACGTTTTAGCGGGTAATTTTTTTTTTTTATGATTTAGTCATTCAACAAATAGAGCCGAACTGTATTTGCGTAGACATGGCAATGACAGTTATCGTCGGGAAACTTAATTAGAATTTTTTACTGTCGGACATATTCCGTTCTACTGTAGACCTAAATCTTCTTTTTTTTTCCCTCGTAGCAATACAATCAGACATACATCATTGGCCCCCCTTAACAAACGACAACGTGTATCTGTCACGTTCCACGTTCATCAGCTAAACGCATATGTACCTAGGTAGGCTGAGAATGAAGGTTGGGTAGAACAACTAAAAAAAAAAAGTGTGGGATGAATACATACATGTATTCCCCCATCGGACTATACCGAGTGAGACTCAGGATAGATACAAACGGTGTTCACTCCAATACGCAAGTAGTGTATGCAGAAGTACATAAACCCAGACAAAAAATAATAATAATAAGATAATACAATATTGCCACTACTTAGAATATACATATACGTACCCCATATCTATTGTAATATTGGAACCATCTCGAGGAGTTTTCGATTTAATAGCAGCTAACCTAGGATAATTTCTAGAAAATGCGAGACAGCTCTGCTAGAGATGAATCTTTTGGTGGCGGATATTCGGCTAACCTGAGCTGATACGTTGATCGACCTATGCCTGTAAGATGTAGTCGAAAGAATTTCCCTAATATGTAAATTTAAGTTAAATGTGCTTCGTCGGAGGGGACTGTCTAGCTAATTTGGGTTGGCTATTGGTAACTTCCAAGTTTCGATTGCTCCAAGGACTTTCGTCACAAAGACCAAGAGGAGAAAAAAAATTGTCGCAGTTGCCCAAACTAGGAAGGGATAGTGCGTTGTGATAGACGTAAAATGCGGTACATTATGGTAAGAGGCAGCTAGAAATCCATAGGCCCTTCCTCCTATGGATGGGGGCAAATACGACTTCGGTTTGTACCTACCTTAGCTACTTAGTATGCTTAGTATACCTTTGAAGTTACTTGATATCGTTAGTTGACATCCCACTTTCCTTGATACGAATCATGCGGTAATTGAGTAGAGTTGCTAACAATTTCCCTATTTCGGCCTATCGATATCGATAATTGCCCCCCATCACCCCATGCAGGTCGATTGCAATTGGGTAACTAGCACTGCAGTGGCAGGGCGTAACTACCCAGTTCAGGTAGCCTGGGTAGGAGGTACCTTAGTCACGGACCCAACGCTAACGCGTTCTCGATTTTCGACACAACTTCAAAACTACTGAATTTTTTTCATCTGATCCGTTCTCAACCTTTCCCCCACAATCCCTTTGCCATACCTACCTCAAACACTTCCATATCCCTCCCCCTGAAAAAAAAAAAAGAGGCATTCTGCGTTTTTTTTTCTGTTTGGGGTCTTCTCTTTCCTTTGAAAAGATCTGGTTTTTTACTTTCTTTTCTCAAGGGAGCTTGAAGGCAATCTATCTTAGACGCTGTGTCCTGTAATCATTTACGGAACTTACACAGCACGTTAGCAACGTCCCTGCATCTAAGTCGTTTCTACAACGACCAACACCCTAATATTTATTTTGTCGTGTGGTTCTTTCCTTACGACAATTTCGGTATTAAACGCCTAATTATTTGGACCTGCCTGTCCACGTTCTTGCCGTGACTCTCATTTCTCTTCATCGAACTCGTTCGTTCTTTCGAGAGAATTAATCGGCTGGGTTCCGTACAAGAAAATTTTTTCTTCCTCAGCACCTACGGCATACATACATTTACTCGTTACCTTACAATTCGAGAAATCATTCCACATAACTTTTTAACTACCTCACTACCGCGAATATGGCTGATCAGCTTAACATGGGCGGCTTGAGCTTGGGCGACCAGCAACAGTCGGCACCCCGTTCTTACATCCCTCCTCACATGCGAGGCAAGGTTGGTGCTGCTAACCCTCCTCCCCCTATGGGCGCCGGTGGTCCTCCTCCGAACATGAATGGCCTCAATAGCAGCGCCTGGGCTGGGTAAGTGATATCCTTATGGTTTTTTCATTATTGCAAAAATTCACTTGCGTAATGTTCCATCCCGATCATCAAACGGAAGAAACTCATTTAATATGTTATACTAATACGGTGATTTCTACAGGAACAACAACTTTGACGCTCGACCTGCCGGCGCAGGATGGGGTGCTCCTGACTACCCCCCTCCTCCTCAACAACAACAACAACGCTCAGGCCCCGGAGGTTGGAATAACAATCGACAGTTCGATCGCAACGCGTACGGCAACCCTGCTGCTGGCGGTGGTAACAACAGCGGCGGCGGCGGCGGTTATGCTAGAGGCTCCGGCGACGGCCAGTGGCGCGATGGCAAACACATTCCCGGCCCTCCCAACCCTCGTATGGAGCGTGAACTTTTCGGCACTCCCGACGATCCTTCCAAGCAACACACAGGCATCAACTTCGAGAAGTACGACGACATCCCCGTCGAAGCTTCTGGACACGACGTTCCCGAGCCTGTCCTCACATTCAGCAACCCTCCCTTAGATGACCACCTAATTCGCAACATCGAGTTGGCCCACTACAAAGTCCCGACTCCCGTTCAAAAGTACTCGATCCCCATTGTCATGGGTGGACGAGATCTTATGGCTTGTGCCCAGACTGGTTCCGGAAAGACTGGTGGTTTCCTCTTTCCCATCCTGTCCCAAGCCTTCCTTACTGGCCCGTCCCCGGTTCCCGTCGGCCAACAGGGCGGTGGTTATGGCCGCCAACGTAAGGCTTATCCCACTTCTCTAATTCTAGCCCCAACTCGTGAATTGGTCTCCCAGATTTACGACGAGGCACGCAAGTTTGCCTACCGATCCTGGGTTCGACCCTGCGTGGTCTACGGTGGCGCTGATATAGGTTCCCAGCTCCGCCAAATTGAGCGAGGCTGCGACTTGCTTGTTGCTACCCCTGGACGTCTTGTTGATCTCATAGAGCGAGGACGCATTTCTCTCCAGAACATCAAATACCTGGTCCTTGATGAGGCCGACCGTATGCTGGATATGGGTTTCGAGCCTCAAATTCGCCGTATTGTGGAAGGTGAAGATATGCCTGGTGTTCAGAACCGTCAGACGCTCATGTTTTCTGCTACTTTCCCCCGAGATATTCAGATGCTTGCCCGTGACTTCTTGAAGGATTATGTCTTTCTTTCAGTTGGTCGGGTTGGTTCCACCTCCGAAAATATTACCCAAAAGGTCGAGTACGTCGAGGACACCGACAAACGCTCTGTCCTTCTGGATATTTTACACACTCATGGCGGTGGTCTTACTTTGATTTTCGTTGAGACGAAGCGCATGGCGGATTCGTTGTCTGATTTCTTGATCAATCAGAATTTCCCGGCCACGTCCATCCACGGTGACCGCACGCAACGTGAACGAGAACGAGCATTGGAAATGTTCCGAAATGGACGTTGCCCCATCTTAGTCGCAACTGCTGTTGCCGCTCGTGGTTTGGATATTCCCAACGTCACGCACGTTGTTAACTACGATCTTCCTACTGACATAGATGACTATGTCCACCGTATTGGTCGTACCGGTCGTGCAGGAAACACGGGTCACTCTACAGCATTCTTCAACCGAGGTAACCGTGGCGTCGTAAGAGACCTCATTGAACTCTTGAAGGAAGCTAATCAAGAGGTACCGAGCTTTCTTGAGACTATTGCCCGCGAGAGTTCCTATGGAGGCGGACGAGGTGGACGTGGTGGCGGTCGCGGCCGTGGTCAGAATGCCAACCGTGATTTCCGAAAGTACGGCGGAGGCGGAGGCGGTACTGGCTTTGGCGGTGGTTCCGGAGGTGGTTTCGGAGGTCCTCAGCAATCTGGCGGTTATGGTGGCGGTGGTGGAGGTGGTGGCTTCAACGGTCCTCCCCCTAACCAAGGCTACGGCGGTGGCTATGGAGGCGGCGCTCCATATGGAGGTGGAAGCTACGGTAACCCTGGTGGTCCGGGTGGCCAGGCCTCGTGGTGGTGATCTCCAATATCATCAGAAACGCCTCGATCTTCCCTTCTCATTCGCAACCCGCATGCATGGATAGGGAAAGGCATCTACGATGCGGCACATAGATTTCGCGTTTTCATTTTCTGCTATGCACTTTCTCAGTTAACTTACGCAAGGTTTTATCTTTTTTCTTTTTAGCATTTATTCGATCACCCCGGAGCAAATTACCCTTTCATACGGCACTACCCCGACTTCCAGCCTCCAACCTGGATCGGCATATTCGAGTTCTACCAAATAGGACTCTGGCATACGATAGACGGCATTTGTCTTTATTTCGGCTGCACCCCTCACAACTTGATACCCATAGAAGACTGCGAGGGGGGCATTTGCGAGCAGCCGCACGAGACGCTTGGAGGTCACACATGTACCTTGACCAAGAAACTTCGGAGATATTCATCACATAGACGTGCGACATGAAATCATACAGCTCTTACGACGATGATGATCTCCGATTCGATGTACCACGTATTTGCCTTTTGGAAGCCGGCCGAGACTATTTCTCGTTTTCCCATAGAATGGGGTAATGCGCTATCGCATGGCCGTGGATTTGTGTTGATGGCATATTCATAGACAAAAGTGGATTTCTCGGTTCTCCGGTTGAGTTCTTACACAAGAAGGCTCACCATGGTGAGGGAACCACATAGAGGGCAATGAATATAGAATGGTAATCTTCGGTGGATTGAGAAAACAAAATATGGCGTCTCGGCGAGCAGGCTAGGAATCCAGACCTCTCTAAAATCAAGGAGAAGCATGTCTGGGAATCTGCTCTGACGATCAGGGCATAGGGAATTGTTTTGCTTCCCATTTGCCACCAATGGTAGTGCTTTCGCGGACATTGGCTGAGACGTTTTCAGGCCCTTTGAGGTTCTTCGCGCTGTGGTGGACTTAGAAGAGAAACCACCTACGACGGACTGAGAACTTCCCAAATAAAAAAAAGTTCCCTGTTTACTCTAGACTACGATGTGTGATGCATAGTAAATTGTTTTCTGCTGACAGTGATCAATATTGTTTACCTCGGCTTTCATTCCAAGTATGATACCAACGACGGCCAGTACTTCCCTACAAATGTAAGCAGGTAATTAGGTGGGTGCAATTGCGCATTTAGTGAACCTGGCCCGTGATTAATAGCGGCATAATGAAAAATTATAGTGACTTTATTAGCGTTTTTTTAGGGTACTGTTTCTCAATTACAGGTGGGGGGTATACAGGCTAGGTATCTAGGTACTTTCCTTTGGTTGTCGTATATTAGTGGAGACTCGTGGCTGAAATCCAATAAATTCTCCAGCTACGTGCGGCGCGCCTTCTAATGTTGGCCTCTAAATTAGGTATGTGCGACAGTGCAAAAGCTTAGGTGCCCAGGTGACGCGCCGTGAGAAGGCACCTACCAGATAGCTACAAACACATTAATCCGTTAACTTTTCCTTCGCAATTTAAATCGACCAAACTTTCCAATTTTTGTGCGGTCAAACCTGCAATTTCCAGCCCGATCTTCCAACAACGATGTCTTAACTTCGGCATCGCAACGCTGGCCTTAATTCCTAGGCAATTCTTCTTTCTTTTAATACTGTGATTTTTTTCATTTATCATCACGAAGTTCGTCATCGCACGACCCGGATCCGTACGGTCCAATCAATTGATCTTCCAACCGCCCACGCCATTTAATTCCTGGTTTCTATCAACTTCCCATCATCCTATACAGACGCGATGGCCTCTAGAGAAGGCACCCCCGAGCACAGTCGCTGGTCGCGCGCATCTAGTGCTGCTCCGAGGGATAGTACGCCAGGCGACAACCTAGAGGCCAGCATTGTCAAGTCCGAATCTGGACATGGAAGTAAGCGACCCAAGAAGCAGTCTACCGCCGCTGCTACAGCCACATCATTCCCTACCATGGGAAAAATAAAGCACCTGAAGAAAGAAGATGGAGATCCTCTATGGAGGAAGGACATTCAGTACGATTTCCTGAAGGCCGTCTTCGACGATGAAAACAAAGTTTTCACCAATAGCTATGAACCCATCGGGGATGGCAAGGAGAAGCAGAGCTTCGCCGACCTATACATTGACACTATGGCTCGAAGTAGCAAAACGAGCAAGGTTCTTAGAGATAAACTGCTCAGCGACCGAGAAGCCGCCAAAAGCATGGCCATGGTTTGCCTGCTTGTCAATGTGGGTCGAATGAACACAACTCTGAATTGTAAGATCGCATCGATTGAATTCAATATTTAACTTGTATGACTCCTACTAACATCTTTCTACCAGTCTTTCCCGAGATGCGAGCTCAACTCCGAACGTACCACGCTATCCCGTCTCTACAAGCACACCAAGACGCATCTGCTTACAAACAACTTCAAGACGCACCGAGATTAAAGTCCATTCTCAAAGGTGCTGCCGAGGACCGTGAGGAGCCGCACGAGTTGGGTGATTTTAAAGGGAAGGATCCTCCTCGTTCGAATCCAGTCAACCTCATCTTTCTCATTTGTCAGCAAGCGTCTTTCATCGCAGATTTACATTTCCCCCCCGGTGGCGAATTCCACGATCTTATCATGAAGACAAACTATACCAGCAAGTCACGAGCGAGAGCTTTCCTGTGGTTGATGTGGTTCTACCTAGAGTCAGACTTTACTGAAGAAGGCTGTGAAGAGAACCCCTTTGGTCCGGGCGTCGACTATGAAACCGAAGTAGCCAACCAAGGTGTTCCCCGTATGGAAGAGATGACGAAGGAAGAGGAGGACCGCGAAAACGTTGACCCTCCGGAGGAACTCGAATTCGGACGAGAGAAGCAGAGCCACAGAGCGAAGATCATCGCAGCCGATCAAGCCTACCTAGCAGATCACCAGAACAAGCGAGGTTCCAGGGGAAGAATCATACCTGATGAAGGACCTACGGCGGCCATCCTTCCTAGGATACGCCCATCGAAGCACGAATCGGATATGGATAGTACACGATCCACCCCGCCGCCGAGAGCTTTGTCCCGCATTGGTGCTAACAGTACCGGACGACGGGGTGGAGCGCCCTTGAAGCATTTGATATTTGAAGGATCCTCACCTGCAGGACCCAGCTCCCATGTGATTGAGGGTATACTTCCACGAAAGCCCCGCCCCCCTACCGCGCATCAACTCGCTGTAGAACGCAACCGAAACCAACGAGTTGAGCACATTCTCGGCCGTGGCCTGCGAAAACAGTATCACTTCGCACGAAAGATACGTCGACAGGAAGGTGCAATCATACGTGCGAAACGTCGTCTAGCAGCAATGAATGACCCACTCATAGACAGCGATGAGGATGACTACATGATGGCCCATCGAGAGCAGAAGCAGACCTTCATCGACCGAGGCTTTGGTGGTCTTTGTCAATTGCATCAGGAAGAAGACGACTTCGGGGAGGAGTTTGCGTCTTATTCAGCCTCACTTCGAAGGGCGGATCGTCGACTCAGACGTTGGGAAGGTCGATCCGACTTAGGGATCGTGTCAATAATGAAGAGACGAATTGCGGGGTCAGATTATGCTTCGCCAGATCCGCAGGGCGAGCACGGCGGAAACGACAGTCCCGAGAAGATGAGCATAGTCAAGACCAAATCGAATGGCAACACCAATGGAGATATTACGATGGAAGACGCAGACGACCTAGATCCAGTGGAGAAGGAACTACTAGGCATTGACAGCGGAGGTGAAGAAGATGAAGGTGAAGGTGAGGGTGATGGCGAGGGTGATGGCGAGGGTGATGGTGAGGGTGAGGGCAAAGATGAATCCGAGGGTATTGATGACGTTGGAAAGGCGTTACTAGGTCTTGATGGTTCAGAGGGCTCGGATAGTTCGTAAGTGCTTACCTAGGTATGGTAGGCAGGCACTGGATTACAGGATCGTTGGCGTTATTATGGTTGGTAACACGTTATTAGCCAGTTCATTTGCGTCTTCAGCAGGCCTAGTATGGCCGAGGGAGAGACGCATTGTATAACAATAGGCTGGAAGAAGTGCTTACTAGACAAAAGCCGAAAGGGAGCAACAAGGCGTTACGCTAGCTAATACATACGAGGATTTTAATACATGGCAGCTTGCTAAGTGATAAAAAATTTTTAAATATGTTATAATCGCGATGTTCTAGTAGTGCAATCATGCTTCGACCTATAGGGCACTAGTCTTGTAAAATATTTATTTGAAAAAGAAAAAAAAAAAGAGATCTATCCTAAATAGTCTTAAGTCTATATTGTGGGATTTTGGTAGATATTGGGTGATATTATTTTGTAAACAACAGGGAAACCAACTATTTGCAAAAGTGGTGATATTTGAAGTATGACCACTCCATCTAAATTCTTGAGCTCACCCAACCGTACTCTTACAGTTACAAAGAGTTTGTTGCCATTCGAAGACATTCTCGCAACAGAGGTATATCAAATCCTTCATGACAAACTCTCTAGTTGATTAGTCGAACCACAGTGTGAAATCGTGGATACTCAAGGCACAGCAACAGCTGTATTATAAATCAACAACTCTAGTTGGAGCTCTAGAAGCAACCAATGGGGCCCATCTAGTTTCAGGGATGTGGGTCTATTTTCTCGGAACCGGTGTCGGGCAATTGCTATAAGGTCCGAAAGTGGGGGGACCGATAAAGCTTAACTCTTCCCTGGACATTAAAGAGATCTCTTAGGTACTTAGATACCTACCTAGGTAAGTAATAGATATAGGTATTAGATCTAGATATGTGTATCTATAGTCAGATTAACTTCACCACTCAGAACAAACGAATTGGTAATGTCTTATGCCAAATAATATTACACGGAGAATGCATGTGTGTCTACCAATGAACAGTTTCAGTGAGGAAGGAATAGTATACAATGTTGAATATACCGAATGCCTTTCCGGAATTCGGAGTGAAACGGGTACGGGATTGAAAGCAAGTAAGATAGAGAGTTAGGAGAGTTACGGAAATAGGAAATAGGCCAGCAACAGCTGACGACTTCTACTTTCCAGGTTACAACATGGAGCGAGACCATGTTATCAACGTACGTACAACTTATGTACATACAATTATGTAGGACAACTGCATATTGTTCTTCACCGATATTTGGATTATTAACAGTTGAGTACGTAGACCACTGCATTCTCTTCCCGCTGTCATGCGTCATCCGCATAATCCTCTCATTCGGTACAGAAGAAAAGAAGATGGCAGGGAAGGAAAAAAAAAATAGGCTCATCATTTTTTACATGCCGACTCGTACTATAAGGAATGTGATTGGTGTAACACCACGGATTGACACCAACCCGTTTAGCGAGCTCGTAACTGAATCCCAGGAAGTCTGTCAATTTGATTCAACCCGCCGTATAGTCGTATTTTATTTTATTTTCTTCGACTATTATATCATGTCGTAGTATTTAAACATGTACCCCGTTCTATAGGCTACATATGTACCTAGGCGGCCTAAGGTAGTGGAAAGGACTTTTTGAGAGTGGAGACCAAAGTCCGGATAGCGGGGCCGATGAGTCGAGGCATCATACTAAAGGTAGAAGGCGCTTTCCTTAATCTTTGCCTATTTACACGGTCAAAATTTCTTTTTTTTGTCCGACTCTGTTTCAATTGCCTTATTTTAATTTCTATAATATTATCCTACTTATACCTATACATATCTACCCAATTTTGGCTTATACGGTGATGTAAATACCAAACAGTTAAAAAAGCTGTAGGTATAGATCCAGCCTTCTAGGTAATAAACGGCGAGATAACTGCCGTCTGCCCTCTGCCGCATATATTACCTACCTCTTTTAACCTAGGCTCTTTCTGCAATCACCTCTCCTTGCTTGATACTTAACAAACGAGTTGAGTTACTTCGACATTTTGTTGAGATACACACACATCCGAGTTTCAATATAAAACAGAACAAGCCACTTACACTTAATCTACGTCACTATCGCATTGTGTGTGCGACCAAGTGCCGATTTGCTTCTTTTGGGGCCATACTATGGCACATGAAATTGAAGACAAAGAGACAAAACCGGCCGACCCCCAGGCAGATGTCAACAACACCGCCAACTCTGAGCCGGCGACTCCAATCTCGGTCTTCATAGACCCTGAGGAGGAAATCCGTAGACATGGGGAACCTGAGGAGAAACGAGTTGAGCGCGAAGAGTTGAAACATACCCAGAGCTATGCCACCGATACAAGTGCGGTCACTCGTACCACCACAAGACCGTCCTTATCTGCAGGCAAGAAGCCGTGGTATAAGACGCCGAATCCATTGCGATGGGGTTCCATCCCACCTGTTCCCAAGGAGCGGGAGGTCTCCAGGGAATACAATGCTGGCTTCCTGAGCAAGCTCACGTTCCAATGGATGGCTCCTTTAATGAGTGTAGGCACTCACGCCGATATATTCCCTTAAACTGGACCTTACTGACGAACGAGTAGGTAGGATATAAACGACCTTTAGAACAGGATGACCTCTGGTTGGTGAACCCTGATCGAACTGCCGAGAAGATGACAACCAAGACGAGGGAGTCATTTGAGAGACGAGTTAAGAAAGGCGAAAAGTACCCTTTACTTTGGGCAATTCATGAAACTTTCTTCTGGGAATTCTGGATAGGTGGTTTCAGTCAACTTGTCTCGTCCATCTTTCAGGTTATGTCTCCTTTCACGTTGCGCTACCTCATTCAATTTGCGCAAGAGGCTTGGGATGCTTCCCAAAATGGACAACCTCTCCCCAAGATCGGCACGGGTATCGGCCTAGTTATTGATGTAACCGTCATGCAGATTCTCCAAAGTTTGGGGGTCAACCATTTCATTTACCGCGGTATGATGGTAGGAGGACAATCGCGTGCTGTCCTCATCAGTCTCATTTTTGAGAAGTCCATGGTCCTTTCCGGTAGGGCAAAAGCCGGTGGTAAAGAAGCTGCCGACGACGCAGCGGGTGACGGCCAAGGAGAGAAAGGAAAAGACGCCGCAAAAGATGCCAAGACAGAGAAGCCAGAAAAGGCCGCCAAGGATGCGAGAGATAATAAAAAGGGAATTTCCGGTGATGGCACTGGCTGGAGTAACGGCAAAATCGTGAACTTGATGAGCGTCGATACTTATCGTGTTGATCAAGCAAATGCCCTATTCCACATCATTTGGACGGCGCCAATTTCTTGTCTCATAACTCTCGTTGTCCTCCTTATCAATCTGACGTATAGCGCTCTCGCTGGATTTGCACTTCTAGTCATCGGAGTTCCCGTCTTGACTAGAGCAATTCGACTGCTATTCAGACGCCGTGCTGCTATCAACAAAATAACGGATCAGCGTGTGAGCTTAACTCAGGAAATTCTCCAGTCGGTTCGATTTGTGAAGTATTTTGGATGGGAAGGGGCTTTCCTAGAGCGTCTAAAGGACATTCGAGCTCGAGAAATCTACGCCATTCAGATTCTCTTGGCAATTCGAAATGCTATCAACGCTGTCAGCATGTCGCTTCCGATTTATGCCTCTATGTTGTCGTTCATCACTTATTCGCTCACGGACCATGGTCTGCCGGCCGCTCAGGTTTTCTCCTCGCTCGCGCTTTTTAACGGATTGCGAATGCCCCTTAACTTGCTTCCCCTAGTTATCGGTCAAACGGTCGATGCTTGGTCGTCCCTAAAGCGTATCCAGGACTTCATGCTCTCCGAAGAACAGGAAGAAGACGTCGTTTTGGAACCCGAGGGAAAATATGCAGTCGAAATGCACGATGCAAGCTTCACCTGGGAGAGGACGCCGACTCAAGAAAACGAAGGCTCTCTGGGTCCTAACGGGAAAAAGGAAGATAAGGCCGGATCCACGCAAAAGGCCGCAAAGCGCACCTCTAAGACAAGCAATAACGGTGGTCCTTTAGAAGAGAGTTCTGAAGATACTGCAAGCACACTTGTGGAAGAACGCGAGCCTTTCAAACTCCAGGAGTTGAACCTTGCCATTGGTAGAAATGAGCTCATTGCTGTCATCGGAACTGTTGGATGCGGTAAGAGTTCTTTGCTTGCCGCCCTTGCCGGCGATATGCGAAAGACCTCGGGTGAGGTTATTCTGGGTGCTTCTAGAGCATTTTGTCCGCAATATGCTTGGATTCAGAATGCGAGTGTCCGGAATAATATCCTGTTTGGAAAGGAGATGGACCGCGATTGGTATAAGGAGGTTGTAAGAGCGTAAGTGAACCCGCGAATGACGATCTAGTAGCAGATACTAACTTGTGTAACTAGCTGTGCCCTGCAAACCGATCTCGACATGCTTCCCAACGGGGATGCCACTGAAATCGGGGAGAGGGGAATCACGATATCAGGCGGACAGAAACAACGACTTAACATCGCCCGAGCCATCTACTTCGATGCTGATATAGTGCTAATGGACGACCCTCTTAGTGCGGTTGACGCTCATGTCGGTCGACATATCATGGATAACGCTATTCTGGGTCTCCTCAAAGACAAATGCCGTATTCTGGCAACACACCAACTGTGGGTCCTGAACCGCTGTGACAGAATCGTCTGGATGGATGGTGGAAAAATCCGAGCAGTTGATACGTTTGACAACTTAATGGCGAACCATTCTGGTTTCAGGCAATTAATGGAGACGACAGCTCTAGAAGAAAAGAAGGAAGAGCCAGCAGCAGTCGAAGAAAAGACAGCCGAAGTTGAAAAGGACAAGAAGAAAAAGAAGAAGAGCCAAGGGTTGATGCAGGCGGAGGAGCGAGCCGTGGCGAGTGTTCCTTGGTCCGTATACGCTGTTTATATTCGGGCTTCGGGAAGTATCTTTAACGCCTTATTTACGGTCCTCATTCTGTTACTTTCTCAAGGTGCTAATATTATGACGAGCTTGTGGCTTTCATATTGGACATCAGACAAATTTGGCCTCAGTACTGGGGTGTACATCGGTGTATATGCCGGTCTGGGAACATTACAAGCCTTGCTTATGTTCGTCTTTTCGCTCTTGCTGGCTGTTTATAGCACGAACGCTAGTAGAACTCTTCTGAGGCAAGCTGTAACGAGAACGCTCAGAGCACCCATGTCGTTCTTCGACACGACACCGCTAGGTCGTATTACGAATCGGTTCTCGAGAGATGTCGATGTTATGGACAATAACTTAGCAGATGCGCTGAGGATGTATTTCCTAACGTTGGCTATGATCACGTCGGTTTTCGCGCTGATTATCGCTTTCTTCCATTACTTCGCAATTGCGCTGGTTCCACTGGCTATTCTCTTCGTGCTCGCGGCGTCGTACTACCGAGCTTCTGCACGAGAAGTCAAGCGTTTCGAATCCGTACTCCGCTCCGTAGTATTTGCGAAATTTGGCGAAGGCCTCAGTGGCGTGGCTTCTATCCGCGCATATGGCTTAAAAGGTCGCTTCATCGCCGACATCCGAAATTCAATTGATGAAATGAATTCAGCGTATTACCTAACGTTCTCAAACCAGCGGTGGTTGTCTTTACGTTTAGACACAATCGGAAACGCGCTTGTGTTCACAACAGGTATCCTAGTCGTTACATCCCGATTCAACGTTCCACCATCGATCGGTGGTCTTGTGCTCTCGTACATCCTCTCCATCGTGCAGATGCTGCAGTTCTCAGTTAGACAACTGGCTGAGGTAGAGAACGGCATGAATGCTGTGGAACGTCTGCAGTATTACGGGAACCAACTTGAGGAAGAAGCACCGGAACACACTATTGAAGTTCGCCCGTCTTGGCCTGAGAAGGGCGAGATTGTGTTTGATAATGTGGAGATGCGGTACCGTGAGAATTTACCGCTTGTGCTTAAGGGCTTGAGTATGCATGTTCGCGGTGGCGAGCGGATAGGTATTGTGGGACGAACGGGTGCGGGTAAGAGTTCGATTATGTCGACCCTTTTCCGTCTGGTTGAGCTCTCGGGTGGCCACATCCGTATTGATGGGCTTGATATTTCAACCGTCGGGTTACATGACCTGCGCTCTCGTATGGCTATTATCCCGCAAGATCCCACACTGTTCCGTGGCACCGTGCGCAGTAACCTGGATCCCTTCGGCGAGCATTCTGATGCGGACTTGTGGTCTGCGTTAAGGAAGGCTGGTTTAGTGCCCGCGGACGCCAATATCGATGACAAGGACCCCACGAGAATACATCTCGATAGTGTGGTCGAAGAAGAAGGGTTGAACTTCTCGCTTGGTCAGAGACAACTTATGGCACTTGCGAGAGCACTAGCTCGCGGGTCTAGGATCATTGTCTGTGATGAAGCGACGTCGTCGGTGGATATGGAAACCGATAACGCGATCCAGCGAACCATGGCACAAGGGTTTAAGGGCAGGACGTTACTATGTATCGCGCATCGATTACGCACGATTGTGGGCTACGATCGTATTTGCGTTATGGATGCGGGTAGCATAGCAGAGCTAGGCCCACCGCTTGAGCTGTGGAGAATTGAAGGGGGTGTGTTTAGGGGTATGTGTGAGCGAAGCGGTATAAGAGAAGAAGATATCATCGCTGCGGCGGCGGAGATGAGGGTTGCCGAGGGGCTTGGGGATAGGGAGATAGAAGAGGAGTTGGATGAAAAATTGGAAGAGGCGGGAGGCTCGTCATCGAGGGGGAAGAGAGAGAAGGATGATGTGGTGTAGATGTGTGATATGTGATATGTGTTGGGTATACCAGTGGACTTGTGGGATGGGTTGGATAGATTTTTTGTACACACCTACATGGATGATATACGAATATATGAAGCGTTCGAACTTTCGACATAAGTATCTGGTTATGTTACACGAAGTGCAGTTGGGAATATACAGGTCGACGGAAATGAGACTTGTGCGACGTTGGGTACACCTTCGGTTAGACGGCGCTTTAACTTTGATACACGTTCCTTTAGTGGTTGATTTATGGTGGATATCTTACACGCAATCAACGTACGTGCTTAGGATCTAGCGGAAAATTACTCATAAAAGAGGAATAATAGAGTCCGAACAGACAAGAAGAAGTGGATGAATACGTAAGTTGCGGTGGATAGGGGGCTATTTAGTTATTTACAGCTGAACTTGTTAGGTGTGCTTACGCAAGATCCATGGCTCCATATACTATTTTTATATAATTCTACAATAGAGATCGCCAACGCAAGGGCGTCCTATCTTACGCCAACCACAGCCCTACTACCTACCCAAGATGTTGGCCCTTAAACCGTTATTATAGATGCCGATAGATAGATCGACGTGAAGTGAGGAGTGTTGGATAAGTATAAGAATAGGCTATGAATACCTGCATTTCTATTTATCGATATATATATATATATATATGTCCACATACACATCCATATAAATGAACAGTATAAAAATTCGGAAGCTAACATATCATTCATATATCCTACGCTACATTACTATCTGCCCCCCAAATTTATTCGTGGACTTTACACCGCCTTAGCTTCCACTATCCGCCCTTACGTATACGGTAACTAACTACCTAGCTACTTACTGCATCTTGCTCATCAATCTGCAACCACCCGCCTTGTAGAAATTACTTACGGCAGATATCCGAGATAGCCCGCGTACAATTCCAAGATTTTCAAGTAATACATACATATTGTGTGTGTAATGCACGTACGGATGGGTAGATAGCCGATAGATACCTAGATTAGGGGGGTTGGAAACTCCACTACACAAGCGGTGACTCGTGGGACTGGATCGGGATCTTAGGGGGAATGAAAAATTATTGGATAATAGAACTATGTACTACTTTCTCTGGTGACAGATGTGTGACGTAGTAATGTTATGATTTGCTTTTCTTTTTTCTTCAAAAAGCTCGCAAAAGTTTACAAAAAGCCCATCAAGTATGGTTAGCAGTAGTCCAGATTGCCTTATAACTCCAACTCTAATGCCCATTACACACTTTGTTTTTACACGAGCAATTGCTCGATATTCCAGGATAGAATGGGTTATGAATCCCCATCCTCACCGCCGGATACAGGTCTCTATCCATCCCCCTTCCAACCATTTTACATGAATTGGTTAGTCCAACACCTTCGAGATCATGCTTCGGTAATGCTTTGAATGAAAGTCTGCATAGAAGAATTTGCAAATGCCTTAACACCATAGCCAACCCCATTTCCTGGACTCCGCAGTAGAAAGAAAACCCTCTAGCTGGACATTCAGTGTCGCGACGGAGTCCAGGTGTTATGGTTAGGTGGGCCGGGCGGTGGGAATGGATTTGACGGGTCATCCAACAGATCTTCTAAGAAAGCACTCGGTGCTCGTCCACTTGGTGGTCGGTTGAGGTTTAGTGAGCTGGCACTCATATTCCGTCGAGCGAGATCCGTACGAGGTGCTAGGTTAGGTGTCATGCTTGGGGACTCGGGAGGAGTATGTCCAAGAGGTCGCCCAAGACCCCGCGAATCCGGCCGCAAGTTCGTCAAACTGATAGAATGACCATGACCTTGCTGTGGAGATCCTGCACCGGCGGCGTAAAAACCAGAGGGCAAGAAACGAGATTCACGGTTAGCACTACCGTTAGCGGTAGTAGGTGCGGTAGGAGAAAAGAATAGGTTGGATTGGCTTGGAGTTGCTGAAGGAACGGGTCCTCGAGTTGTTCTTCGGACACCACGGCCGGCTACAGCGTTACCAAGCGAAGCGGATGACGTATGGTCGCTATACTTATAGAAAGGCGGCGGAGGCGGTTGGAATGTGGCTTTGTCATTAGCAGTTTGTTGAGCCAATGCCGCCTTCTTAACCGAGCGATGCAATAGACAAGCGACAACGGCGCGCCATATTAATACGGCCGCGCCAAAGGCACCTAATATGGCCCCGACGGCGATGAATACGGTACCTTCGGGTACGGAAGATGGTTGCATGAACGGAGCATTGTTCGTAGGAGGGACCGTAGGAGCGGGATAACTATATTGGCCCGGTATAGTAGGAAGCGGGTCGTCGGATGAGGTACCAGTAGCGGAACTGGAACTAGAGCTGGTAGACGTAGTTAAAGGTGGTGGAGTGTCAGTCGAGGACGCGTCGTCGGTCGTGCTGGCTGCAGTTGTTTTTTCTGTAGTAGGGCTATCTGTCGCTGCTGAGGTTTCGGTGTTTGCGTCTGTTTTTGTCGGGGAATCCGTATCCGTCTTAGGAGCCGTTGTCGCAGCATCTGTCGGACTTGCATCGTCGGTGGCAGTAGTTTTGGCGTCTTGAGCGATGACGGTCGAAGCGAGTAGGGCGGCTACCGCGAATAGAATTGGTTGGGGGCGCATGATGGGCGAGCACGCGATATAACGAAAGAATTAATTAAATAGGTGGATGATCGCGATTGTCGTTTTTTCAATGCGCAACGACGAGCGCTTGAAATGGATTGGGATGGAAAATTGAAGGTTGACGTTGAATTTGATCGAATAGTTGATTGAAGTGTACTGTATCGTGTTGTACTGTAGTTGTTTGGTGGCTGTGAGGGAAAAACGGAATGGATGGCCTGGAACTTCGTATTCGACCTCGACTCGATTCGATTACGAAAAGGGCGACAAGGGAAAAAAGGAGACGAAAGAGGCAAAGATGATAGTTGAGTGGCTATAATATTGAGCGAGAGAATGCCACCAATGACGGAATGACGGACGAGAAGTAGTTAATAAAATGTTATGGTATTAAAATGATAGAAGTAATTCACAATTGTTGCATGGTTGTTGTTGATTTTGACTGTTGTCGAGTAATTCCCATTCCACCCACACTTCTCTTGTTACTTGAGATGGTGCCCAGGTGTTTGGTGAGACGGAGTGTCACGGAGGGGGGAGGGATGGATGGGGATGGGTCACTAAAATGACCAACAGGAAAAAGGAGGAAGAAAAGCTAAAATAAGCTGACCATACTAAGGTCGTGCCTGGCAAGAAAAAAAAAGCAAATTGAGTACGAAACAAGAGCGAGGAAGGCAGGCCTTGAACACTTTAGGCTAGATGTACTAGTACCTTTCTTGGTACCTACCAAGAAAGTTGCTAGCGCCTCTAAAGCGCCGCCAAAGATTGACAAATTTCTATCATAGGGGTCCAAGTGCATTAATTGCGCGTGTACCAGCACTAGTACAGATACACTATAACTAGCACGGCATCGGTAAATTTGGCAGGCCGCAGCGATGTTGCGATTCATGCTGTGCGACTTGGTAACACAGCGCACAACAGTTACCTAGCCATTTTCTGTCTTACTTACATGCACAGTGGTGGGTTGTCTCGGTGTACATATGTAGATTTTTAAGTCCGACATTTTTCAGATAGGCTGTAGTAAATAGTAAATGGAGAAAATACAATAATTCAATTCCACGTTGTGGTTCTGGAGCATCCACTAAATACGTGATGCAACGTACCAATCCTTTTTAAGGAAGGCTAAGGTTTATTGAAGGTTCAGCAAGGACGCAATCATTGACGTCGCTACGTAAATCTGGTACCTACAATTTTTACAGGCATATGCCAGGAATCTGCGCACGAGCCAAGTTCCCTTTTTGAAGGTTACACGCTAAGATTAATTGATAACAGGTCACATCCATGCGAGCGGCTAATCTGATATTCCCTTTTCCAGGGCGGTCAAGATTTTCAACAGTGGCAGATCGATTTACTTTCACTAGCCACTTAATTCGATATAGCAGTCAATTACATACACCACCACATTCGCGATCGCCTCTAGAATTCCAACATTCATACCGACAGCCACCTATATAGCGATCCGAGACAGAAAATAGCCCATCATGGGTGTAGCAAAGAAAACGCGCAAATTCGCACAGGTCCGCCCACCTCTCTCCCGTCAAAAACCCACCTTATCGATAAGAAAAACCACTGCGAATAGCTTCAACTAACCCACCTTCTCTCCCTCACAGGTAAAGCGCATAATCTCGCGCCGCGACTCCCGTCTAAAAGAAAACCAAAAGAAAGCCGAAGAAGCCAACCCCTCCAAAAAACCCACCACATCCGCCTCCGGCGACATAATCCGTCGCGAAGTCCCACAACTACCCTCCCAGCTCTTCTTCCAGCACAACGAAGCGCTCGTGCCTCCCTATAGCGTACTAGTTGATACCAATTTCTTGAGTCACACTGTACAGCGCAAGTTGCCGTTGTTGGAGAGTATGATGGATTGCTTGTACGCGAAGTGCACGCCCATTATAACGTCCTGCGTCATGGCCGAGTTGGAGAAGTTAGGTCCTAAGTACCGCATTGCGCTGCGCGTGGCACGGGATGAGCGTTGGGAGAGGTTGCAGTGCGATCATAAGGGTGTGTATGCTGATGATTGTATTGTGGATCGTGTTATGTGAGTCTTCCCTCTTTTCTATGTATACGTTATATATGACTCAGTGGTGATGCGTGCCACGGTATTTGCTAACGATTGACTCAAAGGAAACATCGTATATACATCGTCGCGACCAACGATAAGGACCTCTGCCGACGGATACGCAAGATCCCTGGTGTACCTATCATGAACGTGGCTCGTGGAAAATACGTCATCGAGAGATTACCTGGTGCTCCCCAATAGGCATAACCATGGGTCAGGAGCTGGAAGGAAGTTGCATAAATAAGGGCATAATGGGCGTTATGGCAGAGATGTCTCTGGGCTTCACGGCATATATCAATCAATTACGATAGGCGTTGGGCGGACAAAATAAAAGGATCATTTTTGAGAATTCAACAAAAGAAATCTTTAGATTTGATGCAGTATTAAGGCAAACTCGATGATTGAATGTTGAATGAATATGGGCAATCGCAATTATGACCTCCCTGGCGAAAATTCCAGATAGAACTGAAAGACGCACTGGGAATGATTCTCCTATGTACACATGTGATTGATAGCCTCATCTGTTGAAGGGTTTTCTTCCTCTCCTTTACCCAACAAACAACAAACATCGTAAAAGGGAAAAAAAAGGCAAACCATTACCACGGGTATAGACGGATAGCGGTTTGGTCAGTTGCCTATGCTCTATAATCCACTTCACTACCACGTCGTCAATCAAAAATCTTCGGGAACTTTGCAAATATCTTTTTTTCACCACCCCTCAAAACAGTTCTCAAAGACCGCACGCGAATAGAAAACGCCAAAGCCTCAAGTGCGCCCCTGTTGGCAAGAAAGCGGATTAATTGTACAACCCCCCCCTTTTTTGGTGACCCTAACTGAGCTGACCCTTAGCATGCATATATAGCGAGGCTGTTCTAGAGGTGTGTGCCCTGAAATGAAGAATCATGATGCAAGTAAACCGCCCACTCCTGACCGAAAAGCGACAAAATGCGAGCTCGGATATCAATATCGAGCGAGAGAAGGCATTAATAAGATTAGTTGAGGAACCCTTTGCATGCCGCCGTTCCACACAAGCAAGGAATACGGTCTAAACTTCCGATTTCTCGCTCGAACTTGTAGTCGTAAGTTAATTCCTCGTCTGTAAAGAACATTCATTAGTATTGTCACCATATTTTGGGGAGTCGACGACCAACTTACTCTGAGCAATGTCTCGTAAAGCGTAAATAACAATTCTCTTGCTACCCTCCACCTTGATAATCTTTGCTGTACAGTTCGGCATGCAGCTATGGTTGATGAAGCGAGCAATGCCACCCTTCTTTGTGGCGTCGATAACTGTACTGTCGTCGATTCGAAATAAGTAGCTACTGCCGATGCCGCTCTTGAGATATCGGTTCTCCCGAATCTCAGAGATGGACTGTCGAACCTCTTCGCCGACATACTCGATAATCATGTCGTCCTTGTTAATATTCTCCATGGCATAGAGACCCCAATTGTGAATAGCAGAGCGAGCGAACTTAACGGGCTTCTTCCTCTTCTTCAATTGGTTGAATCGCAGAACCTCCGAATCCTGACCCAAGGTTCTCTTCTGGTCATTCAAATCTGCCACGTAGCGACGATTGTTGACACGATTGGCTCTCGAATTGCCTTTGGCAAGCAAATTTTGTGCCGCAAGTTTCGCTGCTTCAGCTGCCGCTGCTGCAGTGTCTTTACCGTCTTTCTTTGCGGCACGGAGCTGGCGCTCTTCTCTCGCCTTCTGGACCTTGATATGGTGGGGAAGATACTTAGACTTCTCTGAGTTAAGAATCTTCTTGACACCTTCGGTACGAGCGCAACCAGTAGGGTTCGGTACATAATAGCCCTCGATAACGATTGACTCCTTAGTCGATCCCTCCTCGGAATTAAGTTCTCGTATGCGATTATGTTTCCATACCCAGAGCCTAGGATCGCCAACCTCGCCTGACCTGAACCTCTTCTTGAGCTTTCCAGTATCGGGGCTGTCTTTAGACTGCAGGTTAAGGTCTGCTATGGACTGCACTGAAAGCCCGAATGACTCCGGCAGGGCCATAGCTGGGACTACCGCATCGGAAAAGCGCTCATCTCGAGTAGGCACTTCCTCGTCCACGGCTTTTTCAGTGGGGGGCTGTGGTAGCTTTTCCTCGGGCTCGAGCTCTTCTTCTTTCCCTGCCTGTTCCAAAGCTTCCTCAACATATACTTCTTGCTGCTTCTTTTTCATCGCTTCACGTTCTTCGAAGAGTTGCTTCTTAGTCTTCTTCTTGGTCTTCTGTGTAACGGCTTTCTTTCGGCCCTTAACCGTCTTTTCAATCGGGGTCGGCAGCTCAGAAGGAGCTTCGGAGTTCTTGTCGTTATCGGGGTCGGCGTCAGGCATAGGGACATCATCGGTCGGACTAGGGAATTCGTTTTCGAGCGTATCAATAGTAACGCCGAACAGCTCTTCATCTGATTTCTTCTGCCGTTTTATAGCGGCTTCGACATGAAGATCGAGCTTCCGCTTCTTGGTCTTGACAACACCATCATTAACAGGAAAACTGGCATCCGTCATAGAGTCTTCATCGGCAAAGCCATCCTCGAACCCATCTTCCGTACTCATACGACTGCGAGGACGTGAGTCTGCTTCTTCAACGTCGCGTGCGATAGAATCACGGTTCTCGAATTCGTCTCCGGAGGCCTCGTCGTCACTATCTGGAGGTTGTAGTCGGTGATGGAGCGAACGGAAGGCATTGTTCGAAGCTCGCTTGCGTGCGAATGGGTCCGTAAACCCATAGTTACGCGCAGCACCTTGTCCCTTGGCTTTTCTGATTCGAGGTAGCGCAGTAACATCGAGACGGGCCGTACGGCGTTCAATCGGATCGGCTCGTGAGTTAGGAGTGCTTATCGGCGTTACTTCTCGTTCTTCGATGCTAATCGTCGGTCGTGAAGGTCCAGAAGGAGGCTCGAGATTTAGTTTGCGTCTCTTGGCTACATGGTTGGCCGGGTCTAAAAATGTGAACAATGCAGGCACAGCAACCTTAGTCCTGATATGCCTAATCAGATGTTCTTTCATCTCACGTCGGACAACTTCAATAGCTTCTCTAACGGGGTCGAAGTTCTTAGCACGTTGCTTCTTCTCCTCTTCCAAGACTGCTTCTTCGTCGCGGCGTCGTTCATCACGAGGCCTGTACTGATAATCCTCTCTGTGCCGGACATCCGCCATCGATCTCCTCTCAGGTTCGCTTCGTCGTAACTGGCTGGTGGAGGTAGAAGAGCTCGACGAGGAATCATGAAGTTTCATTATCATTACGTAATTGAAGAATGCGCTGCCATCTGCTGACTTGAAGCATCTGTAGGCTTCATCACGACCAAACGAATTATTAGGGAAGACGATGAAGTAACCAGTCCTATCCGCTCGTATATCATCGAACTGGTATGACTTAAGGCGCTTCTTCATATGGGGTATTGTTGTTGGCATGACCGGAACGCTTGTGTCGGGTACGAATATGTACGGTTCGCCGTTGAGGGTAGTTGAAAGAGACTGAGGGTCTGACAACACCGACAGAGCTTTAGGCTGCGTCGGGAGTGCCCAGCTGGGCTCTGTTGCGGCAACGGACTTTTGGCGGTCGGCGGCGGGACCTCGTGGTGCCGAAGGAGGTGCTCGGCCTAGGAGAGCCTCGGGAGGTTTTATTCTCGGGCCAGTAGGTACTGGCGCTGCAGCAATTGCACGTGCAGCTTCTTGGTTGCCCTTCTTGAGGACGTTCTCAAGCATGAGCCTACTTTTCTTACCATCTCGGTCGAACTCTACCTTGATAGAATTCGCCTCGATCCGTTTCCCGTTCATCGCTCTGACAGCTCTTCTCGCAGCATCAATGGCGGAAACAGGTGGTCTTCGCTGTTGCTTCGAGTCTCGATATCGAAAAGTTGCAAAGCCTAGATAACTTCCAGTATGGGGATGCATTTTGTTACTACTTTCGGCGATATCCCCAAAGGAAGTAAAAATGGTCACGACTTTGGAGAAGGCGATTAACGGGTTAAAGCCGCTTACGACGATCTGGGTGGGAGGTCCAGGGCCGATAGAGGTAGCTGAATCGTATACATAGGGTTTGAGATTATACGGGGTTTGTCGTAACCTCGCCTTGGGGAGGTGGAAATCGACATTTATGTAATCGAGCCAGCTGCCTTTGGATAGGCGAGGGTCTGGAGGGGGAGCGTCATCTTCCTATTCAATAAATTAGCCACAGATTTCATAACAAGTCAGATGACGCTCCCCCCTCCACTGCCCATAACATATAATATTGTATGTTGTATATTGTATACGTACCAAACCGATATTCTTGTACTTAGGTTTCATTGTTTTCCTATCGCTCGAAGACAGGCTTTTGTCGGTGGAAGGATCGTGTATACACTTAGTCCCCCTTATAGTGAGGTTAGGGTCTCGAACCGGAGGGCGCTTAGCGACACCGGGGAAACTTGACAAGGACGCCGTAGCCATTGTAGGATTCGTATTATCAGACTTGGTAGGATTATTGCTAGCAGCGGAGGTGCGTTGTTTTGCGGGCTGCATATGTGAAGGATTTGCGGGCGAGCCCATGGTGGTAAGAGGGGTGAGGTTGCTGTTGGAAGCGCGTGAAGAGGTGTTTAAAGCAGCGGAGGAATTAAAATTGGTGAAGACAGAGGAGGCGGTACTGGCGTGGGAGCTTGCGGAACCCACACCATTGAGTATATCTCCTTGCAGGGACTCGGTGTCATCTGTCGGGGGATGTGCGGCATCAGATAACGACGAGTCGTACTTAGCGCCATCGCGATGAGCAGGCGTTGTAGTCTTGAAGTCAGCGTCGGCAGTTTCTGATGCCCTGGAGGACCTCTCGCGTTCGCGTTCATTAGCCTTATCTCTGGCAGCGCGAGGAGCGTTAGGGAAGAACTCCTTATAGCCAGCGCTAGGAGCCATGGTCAGGAGAGTCGAAGTTGGTGGCTTCGACTATCCACCGACCATCATAACTCGAATCGGCAAAAATCAACAACACCATTCATGTATCGAAACAAGTGTGCGCGATTGATGTGTGGTGGTTTCGGGGAGTGGACGTGGCAGGAAAAATGGGATACGCGAAACTCCTGCGTCCACGCGACAGGACCGGAGATCTTGACGTGTGGGACTTGTTAAGAAAGAGACAAGTAAATTAGGTATGTATTTTGATGATATGGTAGCCGCAAAAGATGCCCCAAAGGGCTAAAAACCGTCCCAGTACGGTCGCAAATAGATGCGAAAGTAATGCCGCCGATATTTGCGCCCGCAAGGTCGGGAGTGTAGGATTATCGAGGGAGGTGGCCGGGAGATGGAGAATGAAGAGGCTGATGTCGAAAAGTTGAATTGACGGACGATGAGCAAAGCCAGATTCTGATTTCAGGGATGGGGCCAAGTCCGGGGGTACGGTAGAGCCACATTATGAGCCACACCAAATTCTATTTTGTTTTGTTCCATCTTCAAACCCCGGCGCACGGAGCATGGTACGTACTGTGGCGTATAGTGGGGCACTTTCTGCACATTCTTAAGTATCTTTTACGTGTATACGATAGATATCAGTACAAGTTCCATACGATGAACATGTACTACATACGGTTCATGGTTCACAAAGCGCTGGTAGCTGTACGAGACCTATCACAATCCAAAATAATCTGTACTTCTTCTTATGCACTACAACGTCACCGCTTTCGTTATTCGCTATTTCCCACCGGTAGGTGTCAAGAATAGTGAGTCGGCAGCGAATCGAATCGGCTTTACCCGTCAGATCCAGAACTCGGTGCGACTCCTTTTTACCTAGTCAGGCACCTGCTTCTGTTTCTAATGCCGTTGTATTCATGTCTATTTGCATTCAGGGGCTGCAAGTTTTTTTTTAGCGAGTACCTACATAGCACTATACCTAGAGCGAGCGCATGAGCGAAAAAAGGGCGCAATCTGCATAATGATCATGACCTAACATACTTGACCTATACTTAGTAACAAGTGTAAGATTATCTAGAGAGAGATGAATCTTATCCATTGTCCCTCATAAATAGCTGACGAATTCGGTCTAAATCTTACTCGCAAGCTACGACCAACCGAACATCTTATAATTATTCGTCGCATTAAGTACGTGTGCTTTGTTCAATCGAGTAGGTTTGATTACCTGGGCTATGAGTGATCAAGTTAAATGAGGAATAGTATTCGGTTTATTAGTACTAAGTCATCGTTTCAAATGTTTCTAATAGTCATTGAGCTTGTCATGGTCAAAGTATAAAACGATGTGTGGCTCGGCAACTTGCCAGGCCTCCGATCCGGCAACACCGAAAGCCTAACAAATGTTATTCGCAGGTCTACCGAAGTCATTTACATTTTACGATTGCCACAACACGGCAATATATGTAATTTGCAGAATAAGCTTTCAGTATTTCGTCTCTAAGCCAGGTAGGTACTATACAGGTTAACCTGCGTGTACTGAGCATTAAGTAGACAAAGTACTGAATTCATAAAGTGTGAAGTATGGAGTTAATGACCTATGAATACAAGCTTCGGCCATGACATCATTGTGTACCTCCTCTGCATGCAAGCAAAGATTCAACACTCATGTATGCCAACGCAAAGCAAACTCCATGTAACCGATCTGACCACCAACGCCGATGCCAATAACAATTTGGTATTAAGTCTTCTATTCTGAAAGCTTGAACGCGAAGTCGTCATCGTCGACATTAGCCTTGCTACCGGCAAGAAGATCGAAATCGTCGTCGTCCTCCTCATCAAAATTGATCTCTTGTTCGGGGTTGAAGATCGACAGGAAGGGAACTTTCTCCTTCCATTGCTCATCTTCCTCCGCAGCCGAGACTTGTGAGTTAGCATATCGAGCAGGAGTAATAGTCTCATCAGAGTTGTTTGATATGGTCGTGTTAGAACGAGAAAAGCCAGTTCTCGGCACGGGATTGGAAGGCATTCTGGCCTTTTGGGCGAGCGTAACCGCACCAGATATGGATCGACCTTTATTATAACCAATGGTAGTCCTCGAGTTGGCTTCGATCTCCATAGACGTCTTCCTAGGAATTCCCTGGGGTTGAGCCTGGCTACGAACGCTAGGTTGTCGTTTGAAGCTGGGAATCGGGATAGCCGTGGTCTTCTTGCTTGTGCTTGGGGCCCTGTTTGAGTTTGCCGACTTTAGCGCTTGTCGTTGCGCTGACTTAGTTGTATCTTCTAAGGGTAGAGCATCGACAGCCTTCTTCAGTCGTAGAGTGTTCAAATTCCTTTGTTTTCTTCGTCTCTCTGCGATGGCCTCTTCGTCCGGTATTAAGTCGCCCGAAGCAGACGCTTGCTTTTTGCTAGCTTCGCTTTCATCTTTAAGACCCCATTTGATATTGTTCATCTCTCCTATGATTTCCTTGTTACATTCTCTCTTTGCTTTCGAGTTACTATATCCCATGCGCGGAGGAACGCCGAAGGCATCGACAGGAAGATAGTTGCCCCAGAGGTTGTTCTTGAAGTTATCTTCTCTGACAGGAGAATGCCTAATGGTACCATCGGGTAGGGTCTCGGACCGGTAAGGGGAGCCGCTATAGCGGACCGGAGGACAATATTCATCTTCACTCGATAATTCTGTCTCTTCGGGGAAGACCCCTAACTTCTGTAACTCGGAGTGCGGATGCTTCGGTTTGGGTCGAGTTGTTGTGGGTTGCTTCGCGTTGGACTTCTCGATTTCGCGAATGGCACTTTTGACATTGACGGTCTGTTGTCCCTTGGCTTTAGCATTCGTTGTCTTGTTTCCTAGTGGTGCTCTGCTGGGTTGCCCTATTTCTATAGATTAGCCTTATCGCGTCCATTACTTAACTTCCATGAATAAGCGCGCTGGGCCGAGTCTTTAAAGTTGAAGATGATCTCGTGATATAACCACTCAGACTATTTTCGAACCTTAAACCCCTTCTCGAAATAGTTTTTCATAGTTCGTATTGAAGTTATAAATCAGTACGTACCTGAAGGGGTAGCTAGATTGGATTTTCCCAGCCCGGCTCCTTTAGAGGTCAATTGATTCTCATTGCCTCGTGTTTTACCGGCTAAGATGCTCTTAGCACCACCAGCCGCATTCTCATCGTTTAGAGGGACCTTTAATGGCGTCTTTGCGTGTTTGGCTTGACCCTGCTGCTTGAGGGCAGCATTATTTTGCCGATTGAAGGTGAGATTTTCCTGACCACGAGCTGCTAGCATGGCAGGCAAGACCAACAAAGGAAGGCAGGGAAGAGAAAGGGAATCGAAGTGAGGGTCTAAGTCGTCCTTAAATACCTATAAATGTAGGTATTCCGAACTAACTTCGCAAACAAAGTTTTACTTGAGTTCAACTTTAATTGAAGAAAAAATTAATTTAGTGACGCCCTCGTAGATTGACTTCGTGATGATTGAAATCAAATTTACTGAAGCATATCGTGCTATTACTGACGATGTGATGCAAATTTTCGTCACTAGAAAAACATTAGAATTGTTGTTTGCCGACAAATATTTCTTGGTTCCCGATTTCATGAATATTCGGATGAATTTACATAAATGTTGTGTTTTGTTACTTGGTTTGGTATGATGGCAGTTGCCAAAGCAACTCAATACCTGTACTATTCCTTCCTTGGTACTACGTATGTAAGGAGCCCCTCATTTGTCAGGGGTTCTTCATTAATGGTTCATAGTGCGCATAATATCTAGTTTGTACGGTACGCACCTTACCAAAAATTGCAGGTTAGACCCACACACAACCATGTCGGTTGCACTGTGCGCCCAAAACCATTTGTGAGACGGGGGCCTCTATCCCCTATCGGTCAAATTCCCAGGGCAATAAGGAAGGCGGGGCAATCTGGGTACCAACCCACGCCGGCCTTGTGAAATTCCACGCCTATCCATCCAGTCCACAGTCCATTCAGTTAGCCCATCAACCATTCAATCAGTTCTCTTTTTCCTTTATTTCCCTTTCAACACCTCCAGTCTACTTTCGTCACCTGCTTAACCTAGCACTTACCTCACCTGCTTCTTCGGATATTTAACCAACTTTCCTATTCTCCTACTCTAGCTTCTAATCCAAGCAAATAGCCCAAAAATGGCGGACCGTATCAGAGAGGTGAGTTGATAACTTCTTCTCACGTTTCCCCCCTACCCCACCATCAGCGCAGCGCGATCTTTAGAACCTCGACACATGCCTAGCGTCCACCGATGTAGCGGTCTATATTGCGGCTTCTATCTATATTGATATCTGTAGCATAATGTACAGGATGATATTAACTTTTGGTTTCTACTTTAGAAATTGAACCAGCTCCGCCTGGAGGCTGACGAGTCCGCTGCTAAAGTCGAAGAGCTCAAGGCTAAGGTCAAGGCACTCGAGCAGGAGAACCTCGCCAAGGAGCAGGAAATCACCTCCCTCTCCCACAAGAACGGTCTTTTGGAATCCGAGAACGAGAAGTTGGACACGACCATCAAGGATTTGAAGAAGACTGCCGATGAGGGCCTACAACATGGTACGCACAACGAGACCCTCCAACGAAGACTTCAGCTACTCGAGGAAGAGGCCGAGGAAGCAGACAAGACCCTTCGTGAGACAAACGAGAAGTAAGTTCTACACCTATATCTACAAATGCGAAAACCGTGCAGGAGCTGACAAGGATAAAACTACAGGCTTCGCCAGACTGACGTGAAAGCCGGTCACTTCGAGCGCAAGGTACAGGCATTGGAGAACGAGCGGGACCAGTGGGAGGGCAAGTACGAAGAGATGGCCAAGAAGCACCGAGACCTCCAGAAGGAGTTGGAGGAACTCCAGAACGAAATCGGCAACATCTAAACCGATATTCCTTTCGTCGAGACCGCTATCGCAAGATACAAAGGCTGTGCCTTGGAGGAGGAATAGGATTTCTTTTTTTACCAGTCTTTGGCACCTACCATGTCACTCTACACGACAGAGAAAGGCATAGTTTGATCGACCGAATTTCCCCCATTCCCCATATTTAAGAGAGGCAAAAAGGCTGTGGTAGTAGTGGACGGAGAGAGATACTTGAGTTTAGGGCATTTTTATTGCAAGGTGGAAGTTATATGTGGTATTTGCAACAGCAAAGCCTGCGAGACGGATAGAGAATGCGTTAATCAACCACGTGGTTTCTTTCTGCTTTTGGCGACTTTCTGTTTCCTCTGGTTCAGTTGCCGTTCCGTCTTCGTCTCGTACCTAAATTTTGGTTTCTTCTTCTTAGGAGGCCTAGATTTCTCATTGCCCCCTGCTGATTGAGGATCTTCCTTCGCTGCTGTATCTTCATCCCCTTCACTTGCGTCTTCTTCCTCCGGTTTAGAGCTTGACAGTCCATCCTTAGACACATTTACTGACTCCACCGTTACTGTGGTATACCGCTCTTCGTCGATGTATTCTTCCTCGTGATCCACGGGTTCTAGTGCAGGCGTATCCCCGAACCCACCCCATTCTTCTACTTCGTCGCCTGATGTTTTCTCTTCGCCTATGTAGCCAGCTTCTTGTGCTTGTTTTAGGATCGCATTGACAGTCTGGATATGCTCTTCGACTTCTCTCTTTCGATCTTCACGTATCTGTAGGAATGCCCATCGTTAGCGGAGTAGATTCCAGATCCTTATCGTAAAATTTCAACATACCTGTTTTCTGAATTCGATCTTCTCCTCTCGAGCTCTCTTCACCGCCTGTTCCTGCGCATTCTTAGCCCTTTGTAACTTGCGCTTATGAAATCCAGTAAGGTACTCGGAGCGAGCGTCGTTGTCGAATTTGATCTCCTCGAGTGAATGTTGAACTTTTCGTCGCTTGGGCGGCGGTTGGAGTAGACCCTTCTTGGGTCGCGGACGGGCGAACATTCTCGTTAGAGAGTCGGAATATGGATATGGAACTTATCAAAATAATTATATTCAGTTCCTTGGAATTGGAAGACTAAAACGTCGAAATCCTGAGGGTGATTAATCGCTAGAAACTTGGATGTATGGAAATTTTTATTAAGTAAAGTGTGCAGTTGCAATTAAACAAAACGTTATCCAACGGCCCCGCTGAAGGTTATCTATTAATGGCTAACCTGCTAAAGTTTCAGCAGGTCTACAGGGACTGTGCAGCGCAAACGAGCCCCAAGTAATGCCTGTAACGGTGCCTAGGTACCGCTTTTACTGGACGGGACATGCCGCGTACCTCCCTGTGGCACGGATCCAAACGTCAATCTTCCAAAGAAGCTTCAATCAGCCTTTCGAAGCTTAAACTCCGTTCTCCGTTCTCATCATTCTTAACTAACCATTTCGCAAAGAGACGAGATCCAACCCATCACGATGCGTCTCTTCCAGGCTGCCGCGGCGCTCGCAGCTTGCAGCGCTTCTGCGCATGCTTTTTCGGATTCTTCCCCTTTTATTATGTTCTCGTCAGCTGGGTATGCGTTCTTGTTCCTATTCGCGAATACGTAGGGAGAATAGCTAACAATGTATGCCAATTATCAGCGTACCAACACCATCCCGCCGACACCAAATACAATCTATCCCTGAAGTCCAACTATCTATGCAACAGTTCCTGGGGAGCTGTCCGACCGACCGATACCTCGTTGTTTCCCAGCCAAACCTCAACGCGGGCGATCTAAGCGCGAAAGATGCTGTACCGAACCTACGTCGATCATTAGACAAGGCCCATGTGAGCCACACTATCGCAGAAGTCGCCGGACAATTAGATACGAAAGATATTACGAGATACATCCAGAAGGCTTGCGAAGGAACGACAGAACCCTTCATTGATGAACTCGAACTTGCACCTCTCCCATCAAGTGATAGCGTCCGGACGCTCAAGGAAAACGGTACGTACTCGCCAAATGTTTAGGAAGACACGGTGCTGATAAAATACAGATGATGAGCTAGGAATGGCCCTCGAACAATACGAAAGAGAAGGTTCCTATACGGTTATCTACGCCGGCGGTCAGCGAAAGGAGACACCCAAGGCCTACAAGGCCGAATTCACCGGAGCTGTACACACGGAACTGAAGAGACAGCTCCACAGCAACCAGCAGAGGGCTAACCAGTCCCGAAATCTCCCTCTATTCGAGAAGTACCAGTACTTTACTCCAGGTCAGTTCCAACACCCCTTCGCGGAACGCAAGGGAGCTTTAAAACTAATAAATGCACAGGTATCTTCACCGGTCTAATCGCCTTTGTCGTCCTCATGTCCATCCTATACGCCGGTATCTCCGCCGTCGCGAGTCTCGAAGTTCCCTACGGTGCTTTCGACAAGGAGATGGGTCCCTCTGCGCAAAAGAAACAGCAGTAAGCGGAACACCGATCATCCATTTATAAGCAATCATCAAAATAGGCAGTTCATTCAGTTGGACAATTTTGTATCAAGGCTGTATAATCCAAGCAGCGTGTATGTGTACGAAGTATACTAAGTATATGGGATCATTGGAGTCCGGATAACGGGTAGGCATAGAAGTTGAATGAGAAACTTCCAACCATTATCACATTATGGCATGCATTATTTATCGAATACCGAATGGAAGGAGACTCTTTGTAGATATATGCAAACTAGAATCGATCACACTTTTGCGTTTCCTTTTCCCCTAAAGAGTTCCTGGTTGTCGATGTACTTAGAAAGCATCAAATATGCCCATTTCTCGCGTCTTGGCTCAACTCCTGAACGCCTTTTCCATATCTCGCCTCCGTCTAGATCGTTATGAATAGTTCCCTTTGTCTGTCCAGAGCCTTTCCCCTCGGCCAAAATGATAATGCGATCAGACCAAGTGACTTGGGAGGAGGAAATTCGCGATGCCCTCCCGAACAGCGTATTCATGGCCACAGTTGGCGCAAACAAGCTTTCCCTCCATAATCTGCGTTTCCATGAGTAAGTTATGGAGATCCTTGAGTGTCTTCTCGTCACTTTCTAATTCCTCCTCTGTTGGTGGTTGCGATGGTAGGGCTGGGAAGCCGAGCTAACGAAAATTTTAGTATTTGATTTTTATGACATCTTCATTCTTTAAATTTCGAAGTTGAGGTATAATAAAAACAGGCATGTGATATAAAGATGCATATTGCAAAGTTCTATGAATTACATACCTCTGTCGCAGTAGTAGATAGCGCCGTCCAGTCGATGCGGGGCAGCAAATTTATCAAAAGTTTTGCGTTCACCTCGATATCATCCTGCACCAGCTCTGCATCTTTAGGGTGCAGAGGATAAGAATTCGACGAACTTTTGCACGCCTTGACCGCGCAGGTCAAGAAGTTGAGGCTTAGAACTTTCATCTCGATACTTGTTCAGTTGAGGTTTACGAGTTTGTAAGGTAAGAAAATTTTGTAAGTTCCTTAAAGGCGTAGAAATTGTACTTATCCAATTGGACCGGTGCCAAATTCTACAATTTACAGTTTCAGTAAACCACACGTGATGGACAAAACACCAAGAACAAATACATTTCACATATATGATACACATATTAAACATCGTAAAATCCAAATTCGTCATGTATTTGGTTTTTATGACTATATATCAAAGAATCTAAACCATCGTCTTCTCGTAAGCAGCGTCGTCTCGCTCGCTCCTCCGTGTTGACCAGCGGACGTAGAATGCAACAGCGCCAATGACGACGACGAAAAGCAGGGCCTTCTGTAGGACAGAGTACCCAGCCGAGGGAGCTGCAGTCCCTGCAAACGGGTTCGTAGTTTCTTCGGTCGAGTAACCTGCAGCCCACTCGGGATGACCTTGAGTGTTATCTGGAACCGCGCGATAGACATATCAGTAAGAAAACTACGGAGGAAAGGCGAAGCGATGACGGTTAATTTTTTTCATAAGGGGGTTGGTGTTGGTGCTTATAGCTCAACGTGGATACCTTCAGGGGGCACCTCGAGCTCTCCGCTCTTAGCAATCTTGACAGTTTGTTCTGGTTTGTCGCCTGGCTTGGTCTTGACGGCCTCAATCTTCTTTACGATGTCCATACCCTCAAGAACCTCACCGAAGACAACGTGCTTGCCGTCGAGCCACCTAAATTGCTATTAGCCCAGTTCTACAACTCTTAAAATATTCCGACTATGGTGATCGAATTGGGGAGTCTTACGAGGTGATGACGGTGGTGATGAAGAACTGAGAGCCATTGGTGTCCTTGCCAGCGTTTGCCATGGACAAAAGACCCTCCTTGGAGTGCTTTAGCTTGAAGTTCTCATCGGGGAACTTCTCGCCGTAGACTGTTGAAGTACCTAATCAGCACATTTCTAGCATTGAGTTCAATACCATGAGTACTTACTCGACTTGCCACCAGTACCATCACCCTTGGTAAAGTCACCACCCTGGATCATGAACGACTTGATGACTCGGTGGAAAGTAGAACCCTCGTAACCGAAACCCTTCTCACCAGTAGCAAGAGCTCGGAAGTTCTCGGCGGTCTTGGGCACGGTCTTGCCGTAAAGACCCATGACAATGCGTCCGAGGGGTTCATCGCCGTGCGTGATATCGAAATAAACCTTGTGGGTGATCTTGGGGCCCTTGGCAGCGGCAGCCGTCTGGGAGAAGCAGATGACGCTTACACCCACTAGCAGCAGAGCGCTGACGAAGAGTCGGCGGAGGTTGAACATTGTGAAATGACGGTACTATCAGCACCAATGGAATAGGTATGGAAGGGAATTGGTATAGGATGACTTCTCGAATACCTGGAGAAGTTGTTCCCTTTATTTGTACAAAGAGATAAAACAAGAAACAAGATTATGTAGAAAAGGGGAGGGAGAGGGTCGAATAAAAAAGGACACACAAGCTCAATTGAAGCGACGTTTCACTGTTTAGAGCTTGTCGCAAGTACCTAGACCCCTGAACCCACCTAAACCTTTCGCTCCAGTGCTGCTTCCACTACAACTACAGGCTGCCGGGCGGTTGAATGCGGGGTCCACTGTACTAACGCTTACAAGCCTATCAGTTTATCTACTAGATCTTGGCGTTCTTCAATTTGTCAACCAATTAGATCCGATGCCGACGATCTCTAAAATCAATCCAAAGAATTACATGCTTAATATTCTACTCCCGCAAGCCTTTTGAAGATATCGCGACTACGCCTACAGTAGCACGGCTGTGCTTATATCGGCCAAGATGGTAGGTTTCGCTTAGTCTATTCATTTTCGCCTACCGTTGCAACTACTAACTCAATCTAGGTGTTCATAATGGGAGTCAACTTCCACGAGAAGAAGTTGGTCAAGGTAAACCAGCCCACGCTTCCAAACCTAGAAACCCGCCCTCCTAACCACCATCACCTCTACAGAAAGCCCTCGAAAGCTTCTACGGTCTCGGCCCTCAGCTCTCCTCGCGTATCATGGCCAAATACACAATACATCCCCTCGCCCGAATGGGCACAGTACCACCAAAAACAGTCACAGCACTCACAGCCGAACTATCAACCATGACGATAGAAAACGACGCCAGGCGAATAGTACAGGATAATATTAAACGATTACGAGATATGGGAACGTATAGAGGAAGGAGACATGCTATGGGTCTACCCGTACGTGGACAACGGACGAGGACGCAGATCGAGACGGCGAAGAAGCTTAATACGTTGGAGAGAGGAGGACATAACTCTAAGATTTAAGAAAATGGAGAAGAACGGATTGTAGCGGAACGGAGAAGCTCGCGATCTACATTGATAATCTCATTGGAATCGTCTGCAGAAATGTGATTTGCAGCATATTAGCTAAAGGCCATCACTTAGAGGGTATCCGGAAGACGGACACCTTCGCTATACGCCAAACTAGGGACACTATTCCTTTGTATATATAGATGTAAAAATTGCATCATAGGAAGAAAAAAAGACATCAACCAACATTAAAATATCCCTTATTTTCGAGTGAAATACATTTTTGGTCTTGTGACTCTAAATTGAAGACTACATGTATGTTATGACATCTACCTTGGTAGATATTTCCAACCTAAAATAGGTTCTTAGAGATGAATGCACGTGGTAAACCAGTCGCTTGCCATTAACGACTACCTTATTAACGTGATTGGATCATAGGACACCTTGAGAAGCCATGAATTATTAGATATTTGTTTCAAACCCGAACGCTAACTCGACAATTATATCCAAATCACACGCTCTTTTCACGATGCCATACTAGCATAGTATGCGTCTAACTCAAACAAGCTCGAAAGATCATCTTCCAAGATAGGCTCCCCTTCTGCCTGCAACTTTGCAGCCACCTTCTCAACATCTCCCCACACACGCAGTATGTTACTACCTGCGATCTTGCTGGCGTCTTCGTCTGAGATCCCTCGGCGTAATAGCTCGGCAATCAAGTCCGGGTACTTGGACACGTCACCCAGGCCTTCGGGGGTGGATGAGATGCCATCAAAGTCGCTTCCTAATCCAACGTGATCATATCCAATCAAGTCACCGATATAAGTGATATGGTCAACCACTTGGGAAAGGGTGTTGTTTTCAGGAAAGAATTCAGGAACGCCATTTTCAGCGCCCTTATCCACACAGCTAATGAAATCAGGCGAGAAGTTCACTATGAAGATTAGCAAAATTCTTAAAAGCGGGCTTCTTATTGGTAGACATACCCATGACGATTGAATTCCTCTCCTTCACAAGTTGCAGTATATCGTCCGGCACGTTACGGGGATGCGGGCAGATCGCATGGGCCGAACTATGACTGAACATGATGGGAGCTTTGCTGCCCTCCCATTCTTCACTACCACCGAGGACATCCCTCATAGTGTCTACACTAACATGGGACAAGTCGACAATCATACCGATACGGTTCATCTCATTGACAAGCTGTTTTCCCTTGGGAGAAACGCCACCCCACACCGGTGGCGCCACAGCAAAAGGATTTTCCCAGAGAGCTGCATCGGCGAATATGTTACCGCAATTATGGGTTAAAGTGGCATAACGGACACCCAAATCATAAAAGCGGCGCAGGTTAGCAACCGAATTACCAATTTGATGAAGACCCTCGATTCCAAGCGGCGAAATAAATTTGCCCTTCTTAAAGGCAGCCACAGCGGCTTTGCTATCCACTGGAATACCGGAGAATTCTTTCGGATATGCAGCTTGTAATCGGGTCATCAGGTCAATTTGCTGCAGGGTGAGCTGAACACCTATTCCATTATCATTAGCTGGAGATCCTGATACACGATATTTAGATACTAACTAGTGGCATAATTTGCATCGGAGTAATTGTTCCCTTGTGCAGGACAGGGCACGAAGACGCTCCAGAAAGCACCCCCATTCTGCCCTTCTCTCAATCTAGGTAAGTCGACATGCTGCTCCAAACCACCCTCTACAAAGGGTTTCGTGAAATTCTCGTTATAGATATGGTTTCTATACTTGGCAAGGATAAATATAGCAAAATCATCATGCCCATCTTATCAGTTACTTATGATTAGTCACTTATACTTAATCATTACATTCAGAGTTGAAGTAAATCTACCTATTAAAGGGGCCTTCGAAAGTATCTTCTGGACTCTTTGCTCAACAGACTGTGGGCGAAATTGGGAGTAGGCTTTTGAGAACGAATGACGGCATTTCAACGTTGGGTGTAGCACTGTGCCTATGACCAATAGGGATGATAGTACGATAAGAATGGCTCTCTTCGGAAATGAAGGCCGAGAGCGGACGACGGGTGTCACGCTCTCAATACTAAGAGGTGACTTTTCAGACATGCTGTGAAATGACCTCTTGTCTCAGTTTATAGTATAATGTGAGTTGTGGGAAAAGGAGATCAGAGAGAGTTGAGACGTTGATAAACAACCTGAGTGGTTGGTGGCTTACAAAGCTACCTCACTGTAACTTCCTCATAGTTGCAGCGATAGCACCTAACTCCTAGATCAATTCGGGGAAGCCGCTAACTGCAACATCGGTCGGAGCTACATAGGTACATAATCCTCATCAAATTGAGACGGACTAAACTTGAGGGTATACCCATCTACCTAACAACTTACGTGCATTGATTAGTATATGAAATGTGCATATTGAAATTTGTTTCTGCAAGTTTAATTGTATTCGGACTATAGAAAATTCTATACTCCTTGACCGCTAAATGTGGCTTATACGTATGTACCAAAGTATCAAAGTATAGCTAATTACAGAGTACGAACTTGTTAAATATCGATAATCGAGAGGCCTCTCTTATGACCCCGGCTGCTGACGTGCCTGCTAAGGCGCGTGCAAGGACGATACCCAAAAAGTTTGGATGAAACATCTTTTTACAGGGCTCTTTCTAGTTGTTCTAAAGGTAGTTGTCAGCTAGCCTAATGCGGTACATTGACGCCAAGTAACCCTTCAGCCCATCCCACAGTGACTTTCAGCCTTCACTACGTAATGGTTTCAAGCAAAAGGTACATTCCTATGCAGTACCTAAAACACCCATGCCCTTGGAATTTCGTAGCAGGCAAGTACGTCCCAAGTCCATTAGTTACCAGTTAGTTTAGTTATGGGCACCTGCAACTGCAAGCAAAGGAAACTTCAATTGCCCCAAAAGCGCCCCCCTGGAAGCTGCAGGTCCAGCCGTGGACCAATGAATCTTCGAGCTTAAGGTATTCTTTTTTTTCGGCCGTCCAAGCTTCTTCCATGTAATGTACCTACTATGCCATACTATGCACGTTATTGGCGAAGGAATTCGTAAAAAGCGAGCGACGCAGAAACAGATGGAGACACTTCTATTTTATTGTTCATTTCATCAATGTTCTTTCTTGTACCGTCGCATATCTAGACTTGTACTGGTTGCTTTGTAGCACGACTAGGTTCTAACCAACTTCTCTCTCGTCATCAGCATTCTTCTGATTCTTCTGATTCTTATTCTTCTTCAGCTGTTCTATCTGTTCCGTAATAGTGGCACGGCCTCCCGTCTCGTGATACCCACCACCGATTTCCAGGTGCTAACCTTCTTTACGACCAGCCGCCCTTGATTTATCCTGTGCTGACTCCTTTATTGTCATTGGCCCTACATCGCATAACAATACCAGCTCGCCCTTCGCGCCTTATCCCATTTTCGCCTTCGACTTTGACACAGCTACGCCTCCAAATTTGAACCAGTATTAGAAACTCCGAACCGATTGATATTTCTAGGGGACTGCGTCATCGCCATGCCGGGCTTCGCAGATTCTTTCTGGTCTACGGACTACGCCGCGGGTGAGCGCAAAGCTAAATGCTGCCCAAATTTACATATTGAATGCCAATGTTAACAATATTGGAGGGTTGGGTGTTCTATTCACCAAACTCCAGCAGGGTGTCCAGGAGAACCGACAAGTCCTTACGATCGCTCGGATGCGAGCCGAAGCCGAAGAGGTCTATGGCCAACGACTTGGAGATATTGCGCCCGCCGCCGACAAGATTACTGGAGGGTTTAACCGTGATGATGGCGCAAGCGTGCGAAAAGTATGAACCACATCGTTTTCGACATCTTCGTAGGAACGCTCGCTAACTTATTTTTCTGTCGTTAGGCCTACGACGGTGTCCGAACCGAGATGGAAGATGCTGCGAAAAACCACAAGAAGATCGCGCAGAGCATTAGGGATCTGGTTGTAAACCCGTTTGCGCGATGGTGCGATGCCCACGAAGTTCGCATCCAAGATTCACAAGACGAGCTACAGACACGGATCAAAGCCCATGATCGCCAAGCCGAGGTGGTCAAGAAGCTACGAAGCAACTACTTCAACAAATGCCGTTTGGTCGAAGACCTTGAAGAGGAAAACAAGTTGGCCTTTCAAGACCCAGAGACGAGTCCTAAGCAGAACCAGAACATACCCGAGATCAAAGTATCAACCAACAAAGAAGAGGAGGAAGATGACGAAATATTCGAGATCGGCGATGAGACATACCAAACGGAGCAGGTTAAGAAGATATTATCTCACATGTTAAACACCATAAAAATAGGCGAAACCAAGGTGCCTATCTTAGGTACATATCTCAACACTTCGTCCGGTTCTGATATAGTCGAGTATCTTCAACGACATATGGGTTCGACTAGCATTAGCTACGCCGAACGAATCGGACAAGACCTGGTACAAAACGGTTTCCTTCGCCTGGTTGGTAATGTCGGAAACAACTTTGCGAATAGTTCCAAGCTCTTCTACCAGTGGCGACCAAAGGCCTTTCAATTAGCAGGTGTGCCAGAGAAGAAGGCGGCATTCTCAAGGACGTTTTCCTTGCCTGCGGGTCAAGAAAACGGAACCGACTCTCCTGTTGTGGGCACTGTTAATGAGTATTTGTCTGGTTGGAATATCCTCAGTAGCCAGTACCCCAACGAGACACCACCAGAACGCTTACGACGCGAGGCGAGGGAGACTGACGAGAAGTACAAGGCTAGCGTTCGAAAGCTTGATGAGATGCGCTGTGAGCTAGAAGAGGCCATCTTCGTACACCTGAGATTCCTCGAGCGCTGCGAGTTGGATAGGCTAAAAGCTATCAAGACAGTTATTCTCGACTTTTCGGGTACTATTGGGAATGTCATCCCAAGCTTGCAGTCTGCAGTAGACCGCATGGTTCTGTACCAGGAGACAGTCCTTCCTACGGGAGATTTGCGATATCTCTTGGAAAACTATAGGACAGGACGATTTGCACCTAAGGTCGTTACATACGAGAACTATTACAACAAGGTCGACGAGCAGACGTTTGGTGTGGATTTAGAGGCAAGGGCAAGAGCGGATAAGAAACGTGTCCCTATCATCATCACGACGATCCTGACATACCTGGATAATCACTATCCCGACCTGGAAGGCGACGAAGCGAGGCGGGGGGTATGGCTGACAGAAGTTCAACTTCCCCAAGTTCATAAATTGCGAGCAAAGGTCAACAACGGCAAACCCTTCACGCCCGAGGCGCTTCAAGATTTTGATGTTCCTACTGTCGCGCATCTACTAAAATTATATCTTCTGGAACTACCTGGTACGTTTTGTCTGTAATCGAATCCTCATATGCTAGTAACTAATTATAATACCTAGATTCGCTGGTGTCTTCTCATGTGTATGAGATCGTCAGGACGATCTACGCAACCCCTCCAACGGGAGATACCGCAGATGACGCACGTGTCGCTGTTCTTCAGCAGACCCTCTCACAATTACGTCTTACGAACATTGCAACGTTAGATGCATGCATGAATCACTTTACAAGGCTGATAGATCTGACATCAGCTGATGAACAATACATACATGAACTTGCGACGTCTCTAGCTCCCTGCATTTTACGACCGCGAACTGAGACTTCGCTGACGATGGAAGAGAAACATGCATACCGATTGGTCCGCGACCTGCTTGCTCATAAAGATGCCATCTTCAGTGAGCTAAAGCGTATGTCGAGTCTTACACATACAGGCTCGATCGGCAATAACCGACCTCGAGCTATTAGCACCGACGAGAGCAATAGGAGAGCTCACATGGAAGAAAGGCAACGAGCTTTACTGGAGAAAGCAGGGTCCCGTGGTCGAGCTACTAGTCCGGCACCCGGCTCCCGCCACCGACGCGATAGGAGCACTGGCGGACCCGAGACTCGATTCCCCATAGCAAGCCCTACGTCGGCTACCGAACGCCACCGAAGCAGTCTCGGTGGTCTCGGCCCGGTGAAGAGGTCGAGTCTTGAGGTACCTGATGGATCCGGCCTGCCACCAGCGGAGGTGAACGGAGGTGCGAATGGGGATTCGCCTAAGACAGATAGCGAGTCTATCGTTTCTAAGCGGGACAGCCTAGGCCGGAGCGGCGCTCGGTTTGTTGGCGGACGAAGAGTCACTGCGTCCTCCGCCATGAAGAACGACAGCACACCCTCCACACCCGTCAGCAAAGCGGCAGACGCTGGTACTCCTACACATGACCGCGGCGTGACGCTCGTCGATGCACCCATGGATGACTAGTAACACATGGGTAGTCGGCCTGCGAGCAAGAGCCGGAGGAAAATAATATGAGTAAAATTGCAACGAAGGGGGCTTTATACCACGGACACGCATACCCAATATCCAATGCGGACGGCGTTTGTTTGTTTTGTTGAAAGATAACATTTAACGATGAACCAGCACATCAGGGGATAGAGGAGAGGAAGGGGAAGTTTCTAATCTAGCAAGTCTAGCAACTAACCAACCCTCATCTGATCTTCCTACTTCTGGTATGCGCACGCGTAATGCATAATGTTGTAAAAAATGCAACTCGCTTTTTTTTATATTCACTACGTGTACATGATTGTTCCATGATACGAGAACATATATCCCTTACTAGATAGGGGTTATTATCAGTTTTTATTTTGTTTTTCTATCTTCGAGGGGATGCCTATTTTTTCTCTGTTGGTTTTTGTCGATGTCGCTTATTTTCTTCTCTTTGTAGCGCGCTATAAAATGGTGATTGATGGTTTTTTCTGGGCGAGGCGCGGTTGCTTGCGCATACGTTTGTACGTTGACATGACATAGTTGAATCGAAATCTTCAAGATATATTATTTTGACTCTTGGTTTATTTTGTATTTACTTATTTCGTGATATGTATAAATATCTAATCTCGTTCCTTTTCGCTCAAATTTCGTACCTAGATATAAATCTAAATAGAAATCAAAATATGCCGTAGATCGTAACAATGCTATTATGATGCTAGACTTCCTCGTACTACTTCAACTCAACTCAACTCAACTCACTGTATTCACATAATGGGTATCACGAACCCCTCATCACCCCGCGTCGGCGTCCTGAATCTCCGCGGGTCTTGCTTTTTTCTTCTTGGTTTTGGGTTTTGGCTTAGCCACCACGGCTTCCCCTTCACCGTTTCCATTCTCTGCCCCTCCATCATCTATAGTGGCGGGCTTCTTCTTTTTCTTCTTGATTTTAACACCTTCGCCATTGCCTTCTTCTAGACCCTTCGCCGCTTTCTTGACTTTCTTCTTCTTGACCACAGTGCCTGCTGCATCTACGCCCTGTGCAACTTGTATCCTTTCATTCGCGCGCTGCATTTCTAACCGCAATCGCTCAACTTCGCGGACAGCTTGAGCCATCTCAGCTTCCTCGCGTTGACGAGCCTCAGGGTCGAAAGTCGTACTTGTATTATCATCACCCTCGAGGCTAAGGGCACTGATGCTTGTGGAATCCACCCCTAATAGTGATTGCTTGAGTTTCTTGCTTTGGATAGCGTGGCTATTGGCTCGGGCTTTCGCAAGTGCGTCCGAGCCATTTTCGGAGTTATAGCTGCCCGGCGTGCTAAGCCCACTGCCACCTAGATTCTCATCCGCTGCAACGACGATCTTTTGCCTTGGCGCTCTTCGGGCAGGTTTTGATGTTTGGGGCTGGGAGTGATCAACGCCGGCGCTGAGTTTGTCGAGGTCGAGTTCCATGATAGGTATCGAGTCAACATCTAGATCGGGTCCATTTGAATTTTGCAGGATATTATGTATCGGAGTTGATGATCTCTGGATAGACCCGCTTTCTTGAATATAAAACGGATCGTCGCGATTCCTTTCTAATCGCTCTGCTTTCCTCTTTGCTAAGATATCCGCATCCAAATAGGTTTCCTCCGTAGGTTGTTGGTAAGAACTGGTGACTTCCTCGTGAGTATCCGCTAGTTTATTGATGGCTGGCTCAGACGCTATACTTGTGGCCGTCGGCCGTTGGTAATAGTAACTCTCAAACTCATCAGATTCTTCCACTGGAAGGGATATCGACTCAGCGGACGCGAGGAGTGAGTTGAGATTAGGGTTAATAGGTTCGTCGAGATCTAGTCCTTCTGGGAATGGGACGTTCTTCTGAGCTGCCACAGCAACTGAATTTAACTCCCAGCCAGTAAACAGCGACGGAATTGCTTGCGTAAGTAGCAGGGGAGGGTCTTGGTGTGTGGTTTCTGTCGAGGCTTCTTGACTAGAAGCTGCTTCTGCGGTAAGTTTCAGTAGCTCGGTGAATTCCACCGCTCGTTCTTGGACTTCGAGGTTTGGATGGAGTATTAGGGTCTCGAAAGAATGGATGATACGAGCCATCAAAAGTGAGATTTTCGATTTGCGCTCTCGTGTCCAACGAATTAATTGGTCTCCCGCGACTAATGAGAAAATTTTCATGGCAGCCTGTATACAAGCCGCGAGTGGCTCGGGAGATAACGTTTTTGGAATGAGTTGTAGTAGAGTTGAAAGGACATCATCCGGAGATGATAACTCCGAAGAAAATTCACCGATGATCCAAGCGACTGGCTTTAACGACCCAGAAACGACGTGTTGTCCAACCGGAACGTCACTGTTCAACTGAGTCATGATTATTTCGGCGGCTCGAACGCACGCAGGGCGAAGAACCTGGACCTTGACGGTAATATTTCGCAACTCGCTGCCTATTTTCTCAGATATATCCCCTTCATTCGACTTCCCAGATGGAGAAAGGGAGTTCATATCGTTAATAGGCCTCGGTAATGGGGCAGTCCGAACGAGTTGCGTAAGTATATCGATATACCACTCGAAATCTGTTAGAAAACCGTAGTTATTCTGAGAGCACATGTTGAGTATCCTGTTAATCACATCGATTTTGTAGTCATCGGGGAGTGGAGGTGCTTGGTTTGCCGCCTTTGGATTGGAATCGATTGTTCTTTCCAAATCTTCATCAGAATCTCCTGGGCTTGACCCTGAGTGATTTGCGGCTCTTCGATCTGCTGAGGACGATAGCTTGAGTTGTCTCATGAGGCGACTGACGATAGACACTAAATTGTCATTGCTGACCATGCCCTGCACGAGATCTAACGCTTTTATACGGATAGATATATCAGTACTGTCTATGCACTCCAAGATAACGTCTTCCTGCTGAGCGACCAGCCATGGATGGGTCACGACGATCTTATTGAAAGCGAGCAGTGCCACATATTTCACTGGCACCTCCAACGTTAGCAAACCAAGATAGGGCAATGGTCGAAAATCGACTCACAGTTCGGATCACCATCTATCATAATCATCCCCCGAAGCTTGTTGACGCAAAGAGATGCGATTTCCTCTCTTCCATCTGCGTCTTCGCCGCTTCCGAGGATACCACCTTGGATAATTCCACTAATACATTCGTATAGCAGGGACATAGCAGGTGTTGTCTGAATGATCTCCGTCAAAGGTGGTAGTAGCTTTCGGACGAGTCTTGGCTCAAGAGGTGTCAAAGTAGCAAACTAATTAAAAGTCAGCCAGGGATAACAGCATTAAAGGGACGTGCAACGCTCACCAGTTTGATCAACTTGATTGCCATCCAGTTATTACCGCTATCAACCAATAATTCAAAGAGCCGGGGTGCCAGTGGAAGAAAATCATGAGGTCGTCGCCATCCCAATTCACAGATAACGTTTATGACTGCTGCGGTTACACTTGGATCCTCAGACTTGTCCATCAACCTCTCTTTGATCTTAGGCCAGGCTGCGCGTAGTGTTTCAGGATAAACTAATGCTAGTCTGTATAGTGTAACGATCGTCTTTTTGCGAATCGCAGGGTGAGTGTGGCTAAGTCGTGGTAAGAGATCGGGCAGAACAGATAGGGCAAGCGACGGAGTAATAACGTGTGGTAGGGTTATGATCGGAAGGGCTATGGTGGTCGTCGCTGCTGATGTCAAATCCTAGATAATTTTTAGCATCTTTCTTTTGCTCTATCCATGTGCCCATCACACATCCAAGCTTCATACCTTCTTGAGGAGATTCGTTGCCAGCATGAGGACTTCGGTATCGGGTCGGAAGCTTTGTATAGCTCCAAGGTATCCCACTCGCTTTTGGTGGTACCTGGGGGAGGCCATCACCTCGAGTACGTTGAAGGCAGCCCATGACATGTCGTGACCGAACATTTCCAAGTATATCAATTTTAGCAGTGCGGTCGCCTTGAGGTCTATAGTAGGTAGGTATACGATCAGCCGTAAATTCGGTAGCAGTAACGAACTCGCGATAGGGGGGTTAGCTAACCAAGGTCCTGGCTTCTTATTTCCGCCCGGCATTCTTTTAAGCAGTTTTGGATATACTCTTTCTCGTTGCCTTTGTGGTTTCTCATTCCTCGAATGAGGTCGTATAGCGATTTCTCGAACCTGGAAAAGCATATTGTCAACAGGCTATGACTATACGTAATTGTTCAGAGGCAGCATAGGTCACGTACATGATTGCCCAATTTGCACCTTTGCCGGTGCCGGCCGGGGTTCGGGGCAGATTTAGAAGAATAATCAGCTATAAGTAAATGGTTGTAGGCTCGGTGTGTGCCGCGAGCTATTCACCATCTTGACAACTTGAAGGTAACTTGTCAATATGGGGACGCCATAGCTGTGTCGCACATGTGGGAGTTTTGTGTCGGCGCGCGTCTAACAAATACAAAAAGATGTAAGTTTATTGGCATAAAGGTAAGAAATTACAGCACGGAATTAACGTTAAAGTCTATCAATAAAGTGCCCCACGACCTCACAAGAACCTTGAAGCATCAAGTCACGTCAGCGGGTCACAGCTTGTACCTAAGTACCCTTACCCATGCAATCAGGGCAAGCTCAAGTGCTTGGTGTAAGGTGCGGTAGAACATGACCTCCGGGTCCGTGTTCCCCATAATTAAGCATACCTAATTTGGACTAGCTGGATGTACGTTAGGCAAGGTACCTCACCAATTCTATTATTCAGTGCTGTCAGATCTCAACTCCCTAAAAGTTAGCGATAATCTTATGTAAACCATTCCACACTCATACCTCCTGCTTTATTGTCTTATGCCCGCTGCCTCGTCTCCTTTCTTGCCGCATAGCAAATTACGATAATATTGTGGCATACTACGTAAATAAACTGAAACAACATCGAGGTCGATCTAACTAGGAATCAATTGGTTGTCGCCAAAATGTCATCTTCCCTTCTTCATCCGCCGAGTCACTTACCTCCAGCGGTGGCCTTGCAACATTCACAACAAGCCCCGAGTATCCTTGGAAGGTCTACAGGAGCCATATCAACATCTGTTTTTCAATCACTACTCGCCGCTCCCGAAACATCCGAGTTATGGACTACCTACGAGAATCTTTTGCTTTCATGCCTTCGAACCGGTGATGACGAGTCAGCTCATCAATGTCTAGCCCGGCTCGTAAATAGATTCGGCCAAGATAACGAACGCATCATGGCTTTAAAGGGTATTCTTAAGGAAGCTGACGCTAATGATGCTGCTACCTTAAGTGTAATCTTAAAGGAATATGAGCAGATTTTAGAGGAAAACCCAACCAATATAGTAAGAATAGATTTTCACAATCTGATGCATTAATAATATTAACGCCACCCTTTTAGCCCATTTTGAAGCGCCGTGTAGCTCTCCTACGGTCTATTGGTCGGATTCCCGATTCCGTCAGTGCTCTCATATCATTTCTCGATATCTCCCCAACGGATGCAGAAGCTTGGGCTGAGCTTGCCGACCTCTATTTTTCTCAGGGGCTGTATTCGCAAGCAGTCTTTGCACTTGAAGAAGTTCTTATCTTACAACCAAATGCTTGGAATGTTGGTCTTCCTCGTGCGTCCCATGGTACTTAAATTGCTAATCAAAACGCCATAGATACATGCTCGTTTAGGAGAGGTTTTATTTGTCGCAGGAAAGTCATCAGATAACGCAAGCCAGCTCAGCTCAGCTCTCAAGCGATTCAGCCGTAGTGTTGAGCTGTGTGATGGATATTTACGAGGTTACTACGGTCTCAAATTGGTGAGTAACCCCAATCCTTGGCGATCGAGCAAGAAATGGGCTGACTTGATTAACGACCACGAAACAACTTTTAAGTGGTTCCCAGAAATCATCACCAAGCCAGGGTGACTCCGATGGATTTGCTGTACCCGATTCGGCCACGCTTAGTAGACTGGATGAATTAGCCACTGAGAAGTTGGCAGAAATCGTACGGCGCAGTTCGGCAGGAGAGAAGGGCTGGCAGGGTTACGACGAAGCCGAAATCAAAGCAGCCCGAGCACTTCTGGAGAATGATTCAAGTGATCTTATTAGGTGAAGGGCTATCGGCTTTTTGTCTGGACGAACCGCGGGACTCTCAAATAACTCCGCCATGATGCCACCCGCATAATCGTATTTCTGCAGGTATTCTTTGCAAGTCATAGTGCACGCAACTAATGAAAATAAGCTGCATCTAGCATGTGCAAAGGGGCAAAATCGCCAATTGGTATCCTAAGTGGATTCGTATCTTAGAAGCGGTGGGACTAAAGGACTTTGGGCAGGCAGACGTGTCCACTGGCTAGTTATGCAATGTGTAAATGCTGGTTTAGCCAACTTCTGTACTGGACGATTGTTCCTACAGTACGAATTAGCACGTGGCTCCACCCGGTTGTCGTGAATTAGAACAGCGGCATTACAATTGAACGATTGGTACCTATTCAATGAGTGGCTGACATTCAAGTGCCTGATTCCTCGGCATATGTCTAGATCTCAACGCGTTTCAATGCAACCGCATTCATAAATACCATATTATCATATTATCAATGAATATTTGGGCACCAAAAGGTCACAGCGTCGGGCAGCGTCTAGCCAAAAAATGATTCGGGGGTTCCACAGTTAGGGACCATCTAGGACGGGTCCAGCCGCAGAAGAGTTTCTACATCCCATCCCCCCGTTTCCAAATTGATAATACGGTAGGGTTGCGATTCCTGATACTGCTCGTTTCGGATTGGTCGTTCAGAAGCATGACGAAGATGACTCGAGCTTGTTGGCAACGTACGCACACCATCTTTCCGAAGAGAATCGTAGCAAGCAAACAATGCGTCGATTTCGTTACGGCCCTAGCGATGTAATGCATTTGCTAGCCAGGGCATCTACGAGACCACGTATTTTGGTGTTTGGTGTCTGAAAGGCATGCTAGACCTACCAAAAAGTCGGTGGGCGGGTGAGACGCCTTATTAGTAGACACGGGCCACCGCTCGTTAATTCTCATCTCAAGGACTCGAATTCGTTTCATGACACGAAAAATGATCCCCATCGCATCGTTCCCATTCATAGAAGAAAAACTTGATCTGGCTTGACTTCCACGGCTCCCATCTATCTTTTCGCAGTTTGCTCGGGTGACTATGTTGCTGCGATTCGTTCCCAGAGAAAGCAAACGCCCATGTCGGATATGCGTTACTGTATTAGCCACAGAAAAGATAAGGGATTGGGTTGTCGACATCCGAAGTTATGGGGATAATGTCCGGTTATAATGCCAACATCTGCCACAGAATGCTACGGCAAAGCCCCCTGGTACCCCGATATAAGGATGACGCCTTATTACGGATGAGATCGAGTGGCTCGACAGCCACTTAAAGAAGATAGGGCTGAGGGACAACTGGAGATTACAAGAATCCGGATAACATGAAATACAGACCAAAAGAAAACTTTGGGGGCAACAGGTACCAGTGAAGATAATGCTGTCGTGTTCGGTGTAAGTGAAGATCGAGATCATTGGTGGTATCCAGCGAATCTGCATCTACCAAAACAATACGCAAGCGGTGTGGACAGTGGACTGGGCCAGGCGGTCCTGCGTGTATTTCTGCCCTCCTACACATACCTACATATTTCAGCCTGCTTTTTTTTGCTCTGGCCCCCGTCCACCCTCCCTCATTCTTCCTCTTATTAGCCCTTCCCTTCTTGGAATACTTTGTACACAGTACGGACTTCATAACAATAATAAGCATCGGAACCTATTTGAATGCTACCAGACCCAAATCGGCTCCGGAACATTGACAAGTCTAGGATACCTTCATCGCATCATTATTATTCTTATATTTTCCGACCATAGGTTGTTGTTTTTTTGTATTCCTATTTTTGTATTGTTCTTTTCCATCGATACGTACGCATATACATATACATACACACACATACAACGATAGAACTTTACGAAGAGAAAAATAAGGAACGAAAAAAAGAAAAAGGAAGGAAAAGTCGTACGCCAACGCAACTCACTCCGATGCATTAGTTAGTTACCTTACTAGTGTACGTTGTCCCCTCTCTATATTCTGCATGATGTTCTATGAGTCGCATATATACTATCTATCTCGTGTATCTCTCGTTCCATGTACTTCCAAACATGATCATGATCTTTTTTTCCCAATACCTACATGCCTACATAAGCTAGTGCTACCGCTCTTATGAGGAGTGATCTACAAAATGTCCGGGATGAAGGTTCTAGAGCCCTGACGCCTACATAATACACTACCTACACCACACTACACTATGTGCACCCGTAGTACGGGTATGTGTATGTATGTATGTATGAGCATATACCAAGGTAGCAGTAGTATATGTCTTTCGGTATGAAGTAGGCAGTTATTGTTTTAGCTTGGCCCCTCTCTCTGGGCTGTGTCACCCGTCCCCCATCATCCACTGCAAGCCGGGTACCCCCTTTGCTGACGACGGGATCGTGGATTTTAGCTATTAGTGCCACTATTATAAGTCCCGCCATCCTCCCTGTTCTCTTGAATCCCTCGTTCTTTTCCGACACACAATAATATTATTGTGGTCGATCGCACTTCGATTCGCTCCCTCGAATTCGAAAGTGCACACCGCAAAACTCCCCTCCTTCGTTTTAGCCCTCCGAGGCGAAACGACGAGAATCGGCGGCATCAGTCCTTCTATCGCATATTACCTAGGTATAGGTATAGGTGGGAGATATACCTAGGTACATTCCCACTTACATCGGTTCGGCGACATTGAGACGGGGCATCTACGGAAGGGTAAGTCAAATTGTCTCGCACCTTCTCTTACTTAGCTACGCTATAATCAATGGTTCGGGTTGGAAAGAGGGTACGAAGAGGGTGCCGGTGCCACCTTACCTAGGTACTTTACCTGACCGGGACCTAGACAATTGGTTTATTGCATACGTTCCTGCCTAGGTATATAAGTATCTAGGTATCTATCTACCCTACCCACCTGCGGCAGCAGCAGCAGCAGCAGCAGCAGCGCAGTACCTGCCTGCCCACCTTAGCGGCGAGTTCATCGAAATCACCCCGCTTCTCAATTCGATTGGTAGTTCGCTTCTTTTCCCAGTGGATAGGAACAACCCAATTCACCCAATTCTACATCCCTTCGCGCCCAACTGGTGTCTCATTGGAAGAAACCAGGATCACCCCCATACATTTTTCTCTGACTGTACCACTCAATTGTTACGGGCGAACGTTCTCTTTTTTCTACCTTCTACTACATAGAGCATTCCTACTTCAATTCCTTGGTTATCCCACTTCGAATTGCTCCGCACGACAACACATAAACAATACAACATCTACACACAGCATATACTTATGCCTTATAAATTTATGTTGATTGCCTCTTACAATACACTTTACACAAAGTCCACCTCGTATAAACATTGCTAACCCCTCCAGTTAAAGTCACGTTGGTGTTTTCGCATAATTTGCTCCTATCATCCGAGACCAGGAGCTCATCCGCCTGTAACAAGCACTTAGTTCAGACCGCTGAACTACGAATCAATTCGCCCGCATACGGTGAGGTTGGTCGCGTCGGGTACTACCTGATCACTGACTTCCCTTTGCTCCGACTTTCCCTGGTAGGTCGTCGTGAGCGAAGGGTGCCTGGACAACACATCATCACCAATGTCGTGAGTAACAATGGCGCTCCGCTTTAGAAATATGATGATTGACGCCTATTCAAGTCGAAGGCAGACCCCGCACCCCAGAAGACATCACCCGCACAGCGGTCCCATCTCGGACAATCCTAGCTACTCAGAAGACGAGGAGGACTACGGACGAAGTGGAGGGTCGTACGGTCACGGTCGACAGAGGGAACCATATTCAGACGAATATTCGGACGACGACGAAGAAGAACTCACCGAAGACGAGTACGACGACGAAGTTGATCCAGAAGACTCGGCATCAACTGGTCCTGGAGGACATCATCCGGCGGTCCGTGCTGCGCGTTCCTCGTCGCGGCCTAACCAAAGGAGTGTTGCACAAAGAGCTCCCTCTTACGATTATCGGCAGCCGCCGGTAAACACCAACAGCCTGGATTCAGACTACGATTACTACGGCCGTGGCGGCCCCGGCTACCCCCCTCCGCCTGGGAGCCAGTTCTATGGCGCCGGCCGCGGCTATCCCCAAAGTCACGTTGGTGGTTATGGGGGTCCCCCCTATGGTGGAAACGGGCAGGTAGTGCCGTACGGCCCCCCCGGTAATTATCAAAATCCATTTGCGCCGGCGAACGGAAATAATGGCAATTATTTCAACCAAGAGCATCGATGGCCACCTGGAAACGAGATGATGCCTTTCGGAGGTGGCCCTCCCGCACCAGGTTTCTACGGAGGGGGCCCGTATCCCCCTGTACCACATGGCATGGCGCAGTATCAATGGTCCCCTCCTCCACCTCCGCCGACTGATATTGGTCCCTCCCGAACACCCGCTCCTCCTGAACCACCGAAGGAAGACCCGGAGAAAGAAGCGATGAAAAAGAAGCTGGCCGAGATTGAAGCAGAAGCAAAGAGGAAAGAGGAGGAGGCCAAACAGAAGGAGCTCGAAGCTCAGATTAGGAAGGAGGCGGAGCTGGCCTTCCAGCGTAAGATGGAGCAGATGAAGAGGGATGAAGAAGTTCGAGCCGAGGAAAGGAGGCTTGCCTTGGAGAGAGCGAAGAAGGAGATCGATGACGCAAGAAAAGAAGCTGAGAAGGCGGCCCGAGAAGCCATTGAGCAGGAGAGGAAAGCCGAAGCGGAACGTGCCCGTAAAGAAGCAGAAGCGATCGCTCAAGCTGAACGGTCCGCACGAGATAAGTTGGAAGCCGAGCGAAAAGCTGAAGCCGAAAGACAAAGAAGAGAAGCAGAAGCTGCTGCTCGAGCTGAGGCTGCTGCGCAACTAAAACTGCAAGCCGCTATCAGGGCGGAAGCTGAGGCGAAGGAAGCAGCTGCTAAAAAGGCTGCGGAAGAAGCAGAGCAGAGGAAAAGATTCGAGGAAGAAGCTAAAGCTAAAGCCGAGATGGAAGCCCGAAAGAAGATTGAGGCCGAGGAGGCAGCCAAGGCGGCAGCTGCCGCCGCTGCTGCCGCCGAAGCAGCAAGGCAGAAGAGGATAGAAGAAGAGGCCAAGATCAAAGCTGAGCTCGAAGCACGTAAGAAGATCGAAGACGAGAAGGCAGCAGCTGAAGCAGCTAAGGCCGCCGAAGAGGAGAGGAAGAAAGAGGAAGAAGCATTCAAGAAGAAGGCTTTAGAAGATGCTAAGCAAAAGGCGGAAGAGGCGGCGAAAAAGGACATGGGCAAGGACAAACTTCCTATCCGATTTAAAGATGCTGTTGGGAGGAAGTTTAGCTTCCCCTTCCACCTATGTCGGAACTGGCAGGTATGTCTAAAAGAAATATTGTCTTCGTCGGAGAGCCACGTGCTAATTTACTTCATTTAGGGCATGGAAGAGCTGATCAAACAAGCCTTCTTACATGTTGACGTTATTGGCCCTCATGTACAGGCTGGACACTACGATCTCATTGGGCCTAACGGCGAGATCATTCTACCCCAGGTATGGGAGAAAGTAGTCGAGCCTGACTGGGCGATCACCATGCAAATGTGGCCAATGGATAGGCCAGCCGCCCCTCAAGGGCCAATGGGACGAGGTATGCCGAACTTAGCTCATTTGCAAGGTCGTTACCCTCCGGGTGGTGTCAGGTTACCAGGTGCGGCGCGGCCAGGTGGTGGCCCCCCTCCGCCTCCGGGTCATCCTGGGATGGGGATGGGAATGGGCGGCATGCCCGCCCACATGAGACATCCGCAAGGGGTCCCTGGCCGCCAGCCTGGTGCTAACCTCCCTCCGGGTGTACAGGTCATGCAAGTCGAAAAGCCTTCTGGCAAGAAACCAAAGCCACAAAAGGTCAACACCGGCGTACTCGGGTGGATAGGAGGTAGCGGGAAATCCGCTAAAGGGAAAAGGTCAGTGATTAAACCTTTGAAAACTCGTCACTTGAGTTCACAGATTAATTATTTGCGTTAGTAGGACCAAGCGATAAACCATATGTTACCGACTGCAATCATGATGCCCAAGGCAGCATGCTTCACTTACGCTAACTTCTACCAAACGCCTCTCTACCTACACCCGATTTAATTTCCATCCCATCTCCAATTTCGTTTTTGAGGAGTTTTGCGCGATGGCCTTCCGTTACTTGATTCTGCATTATACCCCGGCTCGAGACCCTGTTGTTTAAAGCGGCATTTTTCGCGGGCTTTTTTCTTCGAGCACCTACCACGGGTGAAGTAATAATTATCACGGGGAGCAACCTTTTTTCTTTTTTCACAACTACGGTTTCAAAGCGGTAGATTTGTATAATTTCTACTCTTACCGATTCTTTTGCATTGGTTTGGAACTATAGTTTTAACCCGGATGACGATGTTTTATACTCAAAGAATGACGAACTGTATGAGGAGGAAAGACATGGTACATGGATATTCCTTCAAGATTAGCGGGCATTTGTTTGAGATTTAACTAAACATATTGTCGGACGGCGTTGTAAGTGAGACAGATTGGGAAGATGAAACTACATTGGACTGATCTATTACATTTTTACATTAGGAGTTAGTTAGGTGTTTGAATTGATATTAAAAATTCTATAACTTTGTTTTTCGTTGACATTGAGTCTTATCGTGACCTTATAATCTTAGTTTTTTATGTTTCCTTTTTACAACCCATGAATACACACAGACATGGAGTCCATGCTAACTAGCGAGTCTACTCAATGTCTTGCCCGTCTATATCAACCCGCATCCACCCATGAGGGGAGTGACTAGTTAGGATCCCGTACCCATCATATAGTACATTATTATTTATCCTATCTCATTAACATCCAAGCCTCACCGTAATATCTCTACATCCTTCCCTGTCTCCCCTAATATACGCCGCGCCTGCTCGACAAAAGCCTCCACCATAACAGGCGCAACCTTATCCGCCACAGCGGCGCTCACAGCCATATATAACGGGTTCGCGAACTGGTACTTGATACTAAGCCGGACGTCGCTCCAATCATGCTGGAACCGATCGGCGCGCGTCGCTTCTGTGGCTGGTAGTACCGTCCATCGAGTTACCAGACTCTCGAATACTCCGTTATTAGGCTGTGACGAGGATAGTGGTCCGGGGTCGGTTAAGCTATGTTGGCGTAGTTCTGCTGCTGGGATCTCGGAATATGCGTTTCCGCTTATGGCTTCTACGATGCCGCTGGAAGGGACGCAGAATACCCGGCTGGTGTAGGTTTCTTCGAAACCGCCCCAGCCGGCGGTTAAGTCGGCGCGGGTTGGCCAGCGGCGGTTGTGGAAATGGGTTGATTGTGAGGGGGTTGGGGGGGTCCAGTGCGTTATGCGTGAGATCTTGCAGTAGGGGAGGAAACGCTTGTAGCTGTCGATGTCGGCGATTAGGTCGTAGAGGCGTTCGTGGTTGTAGGGGAGACGCCGGGCTGCGGTTAGAGTTTGCGGGGTTGAGGTTAGGAATGTGCGGCGGGTTTGGTGGATGTGTAAATGGTTTGGTCGGGGTTTGGACCTTGAGATGAGGCGTGCGGTTTGGGTGAAGGTGCGTGGTGTCGACATCGGAGAGGTATGGGCTTGGTTGTCCGGGCGGTTCGAGGAAGGTTGCGAAATAGGTAACGAAGAGGAGATTGTGAGTTTAGCGAATGTCTATAACAGTCCCATTCTAACCCCCCAACCAATCTATTTTTCTAAGCCCCTGTACAATTAAAAAAGAAAATTGAAGCTGCTATACGGCAAGAACTTGCGATGATTCGCATATGTACTGTGTATACGGGCTGAAAAATGACGTCTAGGTTCCGAGGTCCAGCCACAAGCCTAATTCAGATTATCGATAAGGAATAACCCCACTATCTAGGCCAGCCACGCTTGTTCTCACTTTAAATTTTCAACTAATTTTTTCGTCCTGCCCAATTTTCTATTCTTTGTCAATTCGGTTTTCTTGAGCTCCAGGATTAACACCCAATTCCTAGGATGCCAACGAACGAACAACCCCGGTGACAAACACATAGCCTAGTGAAGGGCTTCGATTTACAGGCATTGTCCTGCAATATTTCACAATGGCTTCTGTCGCACCTAATCCCGCCGCGTCGCCGGAAGAGGAGCTGTTAACCAAGACACCGGCATTGACTGTTCAAGAAGCCGCAACATCAGCCGAGTTGCCTCCCCACCGGAGCCATGATCCGCAGTTCAACATGAAGAGAACGGATCCCTTCCAATTCGGTTCGCGTTATCTCCAAGAAAGTGACGACGTCTTCGAGTTCAACGCGTGGGATCATGTGGAGACTGACGACACGTACAAGGAGTACGCTGAGCAGCAATATGCCATGCAGCGAGAGTCGCCAGTCTCCGACTTTGATAAACGTAAGTCCCAGAATTCCTTTATTATTTACAGTGTTATGATGATACCCCATTTATGCATAGTTCATCTGAATTTTCTTGATGACCAACTTACCATCAATTCTTTCGCTCCCATCTGACGCACCTTTCTATTAAATACAAATATTGTTATCTTTAATAGATATCTTTGCTAACAAGCATGGCTTACAGGCAGGTTCAATTCCGATCCCGCAAAGTGGTGGAATCTATTCTACAAGAATAACACTGCCAATTTCTTCAAGAACCGTAAATGGTTGCAACAGGAATTCCCTATACTCGATAAGGTTACCGCAGAAGATGCTGGCCCGGTTACATTGCTGGAAGTAGGCGCCGGTGCCGGCAACACTGCGTTTCCTATACTAGCCAGCAACAAAAACCCCAAGCTGAAAGTGCATGCTTGTGACTTCTCCAAGAAGGCCGTTGAAGTGATGCGTAGTCACGAAGAGTATAACACCGACTTCATGCAAGCCGATGTATGGGACGCCGCTAGTAATGATCTCCCTCCGGGTCTCGAGGAGGGCAGTGTAGATGTTGTCCTTATGATTTTCATATTCTCGGCCCTATCCCCAATACAATGGGAACAAGCTGTACGAAACATCTATCGAGTACTCAAGCCAGGCGGTGAAGTATGCTTCCGCGACTATGGCAGAGGTGATCTAGCACAGGTTCGGTTCAAGGGGGGTCGGTACCTGGCAGAGAACTTCTACATTCGGGGTGACGGTACGCGAGTCTATTTCTTTGAGAAGAATGAACTTGCCCAGATATGGGCTGGAGCTTCTACGGCTCCTGAAGATGAAGTAGAGGCTGAAGATACTACGAAGGAGGTTACAGAGTCAGAAGCGAAGCAACCCTTATTTGATGTTGAAGAGCTTGGAGTTGATAGACGAATGCTCGTAAATAGAGCGCGGCGGTTAAAGATGTACCGCTGCTGGATACAAGGTCGTTTTAGAAAGAAATAGACACTGTTTCCAGAATTTAATTGCTACTGCAATGTGATGCCATGCTTCGCTTTCTAGTGCTACGACCATGAACCGTAAAACAAATATTTGCTCACGCACCCAGTACTTCAACGAGTCGCTTCCTTTCATCATCCCCAAACTCCACACTACTCAAGAAGCCATTGATGCCTCCATACTTAGTCCTCAAATGGTCCTCAAGCCGCTCTACGAAGTCCGGAGGCGTGCTCGCCCACTCGGCTGAAAGTCCGATCTCCCGGATTTCTACTAGCCGTGACTCTTGCTCGACTTTGAGACCTTCTTGGGAAAGTAGGTAGTCGTGTGCGATGGCGTCAGTAGGTACGCCGAGAGTCATAAGAGCCAAGGCGATGATTAGACCCGTGCGGTCTTTGCCTTGCGTGCAGTGCACAAGAACTGGGGGTGAGGAAGGGGTTGTTAGGGTGCGTAGGGCCTAGAATGTTATTAATTTGGTGTAGGGCAATGAGGCTTCAGGATGGGGATTCACCTCAACAATTTCAGGTCCAGAGGCGTCCATTGTACTGAGACTCAGACCCACGAGACCTAATGGCTGCATGACTTCACGGCCGAGAAGGCTGACGGCTTGCATGCGGTACCCGAGGATGAAGAGGAAGATTAACTTGCTGTGTTACCATCCATCCTATTAGTTTCCTCTGGAAACAATTCCCGCAGTCTGTCCTAGTATGCGAACGAACTCACAAGTAATTCCACCATGACAACTGACTCAACAAAAACCTCTCAAACCGTCGCCCCGTCACCTGTACCTCGCGGTAACGCAAGCCGGGGATCTGGACGGGCTCCGCGAACGCTGCATTTGTCTGCAGTACTGCAGGGGTCTTGGATCGATCTGCTTGCCGCTTTTGCGCTTGCTTGATGTGCTCTGTCCTACAGCGGAGTTAGTTCACTCCGGTTGGCGTTGGTGGTGAGGTAGGTGGCGTACTTGGACCGGAGATCTACGATTGTTTTGACCCCGAGCTCTTCTTTGAGCTTCTTGCGGTCGGCGGGGGATGCATCGTCTGTGATGGGGGTTAGCTCTGGTAAGAGAAGTTTGAAGTATTTTTACTTACCTGGTCGCGCAGAACGGTATAAGACGCTTTCTTGAAGTAGTCTATGCCAATGTTGAAGCTTCATTCAGCGATGATCGTAAAACATTGCGATATGTTATAGCAGGAATTTACCTACCTTCGGCCGAGATAATCATTCACGGTTTTGCCGACATCACGGAAGTTAATGATATTGTCAAAAGCGACAGACATATTTTCCCTTTTATGATATTTTTTATGTTTGTAAGTTGAGAGATGAATTGGTTTACTCATTAATTTATTTATTCATTTGTTCCTTCATACTAATTGGCTTAAATCTGGAAAACGGTCGGCACTCGGTCTCCATTTGTCCTCCCACACATCCTTGAACCCTTTACCGCCTTCCACGATGTATCGATATCGCGCCTCTGGATCTATGTATATGCTAAAGCTGACGCCAGCTTTTATGAAATCTCGCATCAGCTTAGCTGGTGGTCGCCATTGATAATCTGGATGACCAACACCTCTTTTCTCGTCAAAATTGGGAATAGTTTCCCTCGTAGTTCCTTCGATATAAGGTGCAAACGGACTCTGTGTCGTTGTCGCCAGCCTAATTCTTTCTAGCTTGGGTGCGAGTTCTCCTTTAGGATTTTCATTCTTCTCCCTTGCTATCATCCCTAGCAGTTCGAATAACCACCGGGATTCCCTAGCCCCGGGAACCACGAAATCGTTCAATTCCGGGCCATCGTAATGCACCTCCAGCTCCTCTAAACTCATAGGGAAATTCTCCCATACTGATATTGGACTATACGCGAGTTGGGTATATAGTAATATGTGGCTGATGGATAAACTTTTCAACTTGGTGCACTCGGGGAAATTGATTAGGCCGTCCCAGATTTGGACTGGTGAGCACTCAATCGTGGTATAAACAATCTTTTCCAGAGAATCGGCTTGGTTCGTAACTGCTTGGCTTACACTTCCGAACGTACTCGAATCATACCAAAATTCCTTCAAAGCTTTCGGATATCTCAGGACATAGCTTAAACCGTCATCGTCGGGCGTGCATGCCACAAGCCTCAGAACCTGCACCGTGGATGTGCCTAAGCGATCCTTATAATCATAATGCCGATTATAAAAGTCGTCGCGATCCCAACCATGAAGGCATATCGTGTGGATGTTAGGTAGCCAAAACACATCCAACATCCCCCTTGAAACGTGTGGGTCTTCCGCCGCGTAAATACTGACAGACCTTATGTAAGTCGACAAATGATTGTATTGTTGTAAGGACTTTAAGAATAAATCAGTGGATGTAGAGAGGCTAAAAAGAGGAATATGGCGATATAGGGTTCCGAGTGTGACATTGTAAAACCGACGGCAAGTCGATGCTAAGGCATTGAGCGTAAAAGATCGTTCGGACGCGATCCAGTCAGCTTGCTCTATTATCCGAGTCCAGAGAAAGAATGGGAGGCCTGTTTTTATAGAAGCGTTTAATGGCGGTGGTATTGGTCGTAGGTAGGAAATTATCTCGAGTAGAATTTCATCCGACAGACTGAGAATATTGACCACCATTGCTCCGGCTCTCACGGGTTTCTCTTCTTTTTCCTCTTCTCGGCATTCCCTAAGTTGGCCTTTGGTGCTTACGCCACCGAAGTTAGTGTAGGTGTTGTAGAGGAGTTGGCGGATGAGTAGATGTATACACATACTAGATTAGGTAGTTGTAATTGTTTGCTATTTCCATTAACGCGTAGTTAAATTTATATCCGGCATTTAATGCGCATGTTTTACGTTTTACGTGCCCGTCGCGCCTCCCCTCAATCGATCAATCCCCGCAAAATCCTACCTTGATTCCTCAACAACTCGATCAATTTCCTTTTTCGGTAGATAACAAACCTTACTTCAGCCTCAGTATCGATACGATATTAAGCTTGCACGTAATTTTACTTGATATTTGAAATGGAAACGTATAATACGATCTAGTTCTTGACTTAAACTTTCACATTTGTATTTGTGGTTCTACTCTCTTCCCTCCGTTAATCTCAACCCAAGTCAACACCATCTTAGAACAACCTATACTTGGTTTACAAAACCATCTAATTGAATAACTCGGCCTTGCGTTTCTGTAGCAGATGGTAATACTGTTGCAAATCCATAGATGCCGTAGGTTGTCTCTCACCCTCGAAATTACCCTGTCCACGACCATCAAAATGAAGTTTCCATGCTATTAAGAAAACAATTAGTACCTCAAAACAGGATAAGCCTACGATGGCGAAGAAAGTGAAACTTACTACTGGCATCAAACCCAAGGTAAGACCAACTATCATTGAGATATGCCTTCTCAGAGCCGACTTGGATCGTTTTGACCTCACCCATTTGGCCCGGTGCGGGGCGCAATTGCTTGAGATCTGCCACGAGCTTCACAAGTCCAGTCATAAAAGCGCGCGCCACATCCCTAGCGATGCACTCATGTTGGCCATGGCTAAAAGATGTCACGGCGTCCGTCTGGCGGTACGGGTCAAATTCATCGGCATGAGGGACCTCGGATGGATTGCGACCGGCCTCACCCTTTGGTTCGGTTAGCAATCTGAGACATACCTAGGAAGTATCTCAAGAACTTACCAGCATCATAACTACGAGGTTCCCAGGCTCAACTTGCTTGCCTTCAAGCTCAGTCGGTTGTGTCGCGACACGCACATTACGCTGAGAACTCGTCAGACGTTGAGCTTCGGCGACATATGCATGAAGTACGGCATCGTCTCCATTCTGCGCAAGCGTTTGGACTTCAGACCAAACAGATGCATTTTCGGGGCGGAGGAAGAACTCCATAACCTCATAGAACTAAGAACACATTAGCAAAAGACCACCTAAAATAGGTTCACGGTGTAAAGTTGTAGTGAGCAATGACTTACTGCAGTAACCGGCACCCCGATGCCCCCAAACGCCGTAAGCCACAATGTATCAACGACTTTCTCCGCGGAGTTACCCTGCGCCAGCAGCTCCTCAACAAGTTTGTATCCGCATGAACGCAGCGAGTTCTTCTTAATATCGCCCTTCCGGGTGAGCACACTAGAAATCGACGAAACAATACCAAATCCCAGGCCCCGGCTAATCGCAACCTCATCAACGAGCTTCCGCGTCGAATCAATAATCGCCTTAGCGCCCTCCTGCGCACGACGGCGCCGGGTCCACGACTGCGCGGGATCATTATTATTCACGCCCCAAATTCGGATATCCAGCAAATGCGCATACAACTCCGCAGCACCCAATGTTCCACTAGGATTCTCATCGGTGCGCAGATCAAAGTAAAACAAATCCGCAAGTAACTGCGCGTTCAGCGGAATAGCTACATCACGGATTAAATCAATCTGATTCAACCCCTTCTTAAGCGTAAACGTCTCTTTCTCAATCAACTGCGAGCCCACACGTTGCACAAACTCATGCACTGCGTCGTGCAGATGCGGGATCTTGCGTATGACTTTCAACATATTAGCGCGATCTTCAAAATTCCGCTCCTCATCCCCTGCAAGCATGAACCAGCCCAGGTCTTTCTTCCCCGGGAACAAGGAATTAATGGGTTGGAGCCAAGGAACGACGAATTGCTTCGGTTGACTGAGAGCTTGCTTGATGGCTTCGCTTGTGAACACAACGACGGCTTTACGGGGTGGTTGTGGGTCATCGAGGGTGTATTGGTCGATGGTGCCGATTTCTCGCGCGATGGCCTCGTTTGCTTTTTTGGTGTAGAAAGGTTGCATTACGGCTACGGAGTTATACGGGAACCACCCAGGAAGACCGCGTTGGATGAGCTTGTACATCATCGATCCGCCTAGTGTCTTGTAATCTTGCTGCACTTCATTGTAGCCCCAACTTGTTAAGTTGGAGACTGTGTAGTCGAGGGTGTTGAACCTATCCGAACGCACGAGCGTCACGGCATCAGACAGCACGGCGCGTCCAACAGAGTAAGTCGGACTTATACCACAACCTGTATTGCGAATGGGTTTGATATTCTCAATCATCAGGCCTGGGTACAGCTCTACCATATCAGGGTCTGTGTAAAGCTTTTCAAGGATGTTCGCGATATCTGGGTCTGCGTTGATGTCGTTGAATGTGTCGTATCTTTTGAGTCCGAAGAACTCGCGGAATTCATTCAGCGATGCGACTTGCCATTTTCGGGCTTGGTTGATACCTAGCACCTCGACGATCTTGAGAGCCTTCGGAATAGTGCGGGCGCCGAAAGTGCCAGCGGGATCTTCCATGGCATCCTTAAGGATACGTACGAGATCCTCGTCTTTGAATGTACCATTCGCCTGGCGCTCTAGGCCATCGAAGGTGCGGACGCTAGGGTCCTTGGGAATGTTTTGCTCGAAAGTGAGCAAAGCCTGGCCGAGCTCTGTCCAGCTGACGTTCTCTAAATCTTCGGCTTTGCGCCCTGGGAATAGCTTCAGGAAGAAATCGTTGATCCAGCGTTCGTCTTTCTTGGAGATACAAGAATGGAATCGGTATAGTAGGTTGAATTCAACGCTAACTTGATTTCCAACACCACGAGGTACCCCTTCGCCGTCAAATTGTTTGTCAATCTCGACTCGCGGGTCCAGTGTCCAATCACTATCCGAGTGATGTGTGTTGGTGATAGCCCGGAGGTAGTCGTGTAAGCAAATATTAACGTAAAGTCCGCCGACGATGAGGCGGGCTGTGTTGAAGAGGTCGTGGTCTTGTTTAGCAACAGCGCGAGCCCTATCCTCTGGGCTGGCATTAGGTGAGCATACCAGAGTGAAGCGACCGTTCTCATTTATTTTCAATAAGATGTCACAGACGTAGTCGTGGAAGCGATTGTAAAGGACTAGCATGACATTGACACCTGCAGGCTGTCCGAGCAATCGCTTCTCGTGGAAGGTGTCTGGCTTTAGTTTACCCTCCTTCATGGTGCGGATCTCTAGCTGATCTTTGAGAGAAGAGCCGTATAGCGGTGCGAGGTCGAGATATGACGATGTGTCGGATTTGTTCATGTCTGTACGGTTCGTGCGGAAGATATCGTGGATGATAATAGATGCATGGTAGAAGAACATAGATGAGATCCCGGCGGGGTTCTCTTGGAAGTAACCATCATCGCGAGCCATCAAAAGATCAAAGAGCAGACCTGGATCAGGCTTGACGCCGTGAAGGCGTTTGGTGTTCCTAACCGTCTTAGCGTAAGGAGCACCAGCTCGTCCTAAGTTGGGCTCGAGGGGGTTGTTGAAACTCCCATCGGGTGTTCGGTAGTGATGTAAGCCATCAGGGGCCTGTGGGACGTGTTCGCGAAGAATGACATCGCTGTCAGGAGCCTTGAACTCGATCACATCGTAGTGTTTGGTGTTGGGGTTGTGTGGGGCGGTAGACCCTTGAGGATCGACGATTTCGTACTTGACGTCGCCGCCGACGTAGCTCAGGGGTGGATGCTGAAGGTTATCCCAGAGGGTATCGATGAGTTTATTGGTGAGTTGAGTCCGTGTATTCGAGGTAGACGGAAGGGAGGTAAGGATGCCGATCAGAAGTTCGGTGGTGCTATAACCTGTCAGAAATACTCCACCCCAGGCTGTTCTTGTCACTCACCCCTTCTTATCATCCAAGGGTTGCCCCTTTTGCAATAATTCTTTAACGAGACCTGCGATTTCAGTAGGAGAAGCTTCGCTTCGAAGGCCAGTATAATCTTTCAAGAGGTCTGTCGCGATCTTTACAGGATCGGAAAAGAAATTGGTAGATTCCTTTTCGACATCTCCGTACGATTCGCCGGCTTGAAACTTCTCATAAAAGGAAGACATATTCAATCCTATTAAAAAACGTCTTACCTAGAAATGAGACGAAACAAGGCATGCACACATATGAAATCTAGCCGTAGTATAATCAAATCTTACATTTATATGGGAGATGCCATCTTCTGTTGTCCGTCCCTATCGAACCACCTATCGAGGGACATACTGTTGCTCTCCCATTTGCTTCCCCCTGACTGGCGGAATTAGTCACGCGGGTGATCCCCATGATAGGTTCAGATCTGCAGTCGTCGCTAAAGCAATCTCGGTGTATTTCAGCTCTCAGCCATTGCTGTGATAATACAGCCACAATAAGTGTCAAGCTGAAAATATATAAAAGTTTCGATGAAAAGGGTAGATGCCTTTGAGTATAGCCAGTTGATCAAACGCGATAGGTCCATCCGGCAATTACTCTCACGTCGGCGACTAAAGAATTTGCATGGCGCTGATACGGTGAGTGATTGACGTCCCATTCGCCAAGAGTTTAATTGATGCAGACGGCCCGCGCCCGCAGCCCGGCTGCCAAAAGGGGATAGGAAAGAGGTCATCACGTAGTCCACCATTGGCTGATAATGTATACCCCATGGTAGAGATGCTCTCCTGCACATGTTGTCACGTTCCACTGCAGCCTATAAATGAAGTCCTATATACTGCTTATTTAGCGGAGTAATTGTGGCTTGCCCTATTATAGCTGGGGCTGCTATGGAGATCGCTCTGTCCGGCACATATGATGACTGCCGCGTCTGTCCTGTGCCCGGTAATTAGTTAAGGATGCGGAGCTTTGACTGGAGCTGTATAATTTGTGGCTACCTGAACGTCCTAAACGGGAATATGAGTGCTGAGAAAATGCAGCCTCAATATAATATTGCTGTGCATGGACCCTCCAAGTCGTTGGGCGGCCATCATCTTCAACATTAACGCCATATAGACAATCGGAGCAATTGTGCTTCATTCTGACATAGTAAGATATGGTGGTAAGCGAAAGGATGAAAGTATAGAGTCCGATTGACATGCTCCTCGCGGTTATGCCGACATTGGCAGAATCGGGGGACAGGTGGTGGTAGTTACCTCGGTGGTATGCCGAAATGTTGATAAATTAAGATGTCGAATTCTCAGGGGCGCTTCTCATACCCATAGCTTAGTTTGTAATAACCAAGGCACCTTTTCTTCGTCAGTGTATACCATTCATCTTTATCGCAAGCATGCCGTACGTCCATAGCATGCATGAGACAGAGACTAGCATCTCTACAATCGTTGGGGGAACCAGACAAGCTCCAGAACCCAAGAAACTCATCCTCTGTTTCGATGGTACTGGTAATACGTTCACAGGGTCCAATGCCGATACCAATGTGGTCAAGATCTTGAACAATCTCGATCGCAATGACCCTAACCAATACCATTATTACCAAAGTAAGTGTCTTCCCTATCGTCAGGTCCTATCCCTCTTACATGTTCGTTAGCCGGCATCGGTACGTATGATATCAACGAGACGTCCGTAAATAAGACATGGTTCGGTGAGATGCGGAGCACCATCTCGCAGGTAATCGACCAAGGCATCGGAACTACATTTGATGCGCATGTTATGGCCGGTTACCGGTTTCTGATGCGATACTATGATCCCGTGAGTAATCTCTTTAATGCCACGAAGGATGTTGCTGCTAATTAATACTGCTCGAAGGGCGACAAGATATACATGTTCGGATTTAGTCGTGGCGCTTTCACGGCCAAGTTCCTAGCACGTATGATTAACACTGTGGGACTACTTTGTAAAGGGAACGAGGAAATGGTTCTCTTCGCATACCGCCTATACCAACGTTACCTCGCAGGCGAGACCGACAATTTCAAGAAAGGCACCGCGAAGACCGCCACAGATGAACACGAACACGAAACAGATCCGCTGCTGAACCACAAGGATGGTATGTACCATATGCATCATAGGCATAGATATGAAGTAGCGAGAGATGAAATCACGGCTTTCAGCAACACATTCTGCCGAAAGGAACAAACCATCCATTGTGGGAAGGTCGAAGAGACCAATATCAAGGTCTACTTTCTTGGTATCTGGGATTGTGTAAACTCGGTCGCAGTCTTAGAGCGAAAGACGCCCGTGCCAGTACCGGTACGTGGTACTGCACATTTTGTCCGGCACGCCGTCGCCGTTGACGAACGTCGCGTCAAGTTCAAGGCTGCCCTCCTCGCTCAAGACATTCGCGCATCTTCGCATGTCCACGAGGACATCAAAGAAGTTTGGTTCCCGGGCTGTCATGGCGATGTGGGTGGTGGCTGGCCCGCTGCTGTTGATAACCCTCTTGATAACAGGGAGCACATGACAATCTGGCAACATATTAAGAACTTCTGGACGACGCGTAAGGCCAAGGTGCCGAGCAAAAACGTGGGAACCGATCCATTTCAGATGAGTGATATCCCACTAGCATGGATGATACGAGAAGTCGAACTCGTAGGTCAGCAAGATCCCTCAGCGGCAGTCAAATGGTGTCAAAGCGTCCATGGCTTTAAACAACGATTCAATGAGCAGAAGAATAAGAGTCAGGCGCTTAAGGGATTTATGCATGACTCGCTCCGATTCGGATACGGGACAGGTTTCTTTACTGTGCTGCTTTGGAAATTCCTGGGTAAGTACTTTGCTTTTTTTCAACCAACCCGCATACTCCGGGTTCATATCGGAGATCCTGTCGGTGCTGACTCGGATAGAATATTTCCCGTTCATAACTCGATGGGAATTGGACCACGAACACAATGAGTGGTTTCATGTCCGATTCCCGCTCAACGCGGCTAACACGCGTGACATCCCGCCTGATGCGGTACTGCACGAGTCGCTTCTTTGGAGGTTGCGTAATGATAAGTCTTACCAGCCTCGTAATAATCACGGCGGACCATTGCCGCCTTGCTTAACTCCGGAAGTCAAAGTCGAACCTATTGATGATACGGAAAGACTAGATGTAACAGAGCATGATGGACATGGTCATAAAACGTTTAAGATCGTGAAGTCGAATCCTAGCGGGGAGAATTGAGGCCGGGCTAGATCGAAGGGTGAGATTACATTGTGCAGGAAGAAGAAAAATGATATATCGTTCCACTGTGCTGGGCAGCTGATTAACGTACGGAAGTCCGAAGTGTAAAAGATCGGATATAAATCGGACGGAAGCAATGTTCCTACTTAATTACCATTTCAAAACTAGATAGTCTTTGTTTTATCGATAATTCAAGTTATTTAAGTTGTTTCGGGTAGATATCACAACTTAGATGCGCACTAAGTGAGAAAAAGCAAGCAAGCATCAATTGATGTACCTGACGAAAGGTACTTACTGTCGAACAATGACGTAATGGTCTGTTGCTTACCTTGCAGCATCTTCCAAAGCCACAGAACGATGATGAACACAATGATGAATCAACAATGAAATCGAGCTACCTTGGCTACACAAAGATGAGCTTCTATTGCCGCAAAACAATTCGTCTTCTATCCTGTTTCATCCCTACCTAGAAACTGCTTTTCTAACTTACCCACCTTTTTATATATTCTTATACTTATACGCTCTTATACTACTACATCTACATATATCACTTACATTACATACGTGCATACAATTAGATGGATCGACTTACTTTATTCGCCGTCGTAAAAAAAGATGAACTATTCCTAGATAGTTAATTGCGTACCGTCTTAACTCATCATCGCTACATCATCCCACCCTCAACGATACCACCACCTATTATAACTATTATAATTATAACTTACTGTTTTTACCGTTGTCTCTCTTCACCTTAACTCACCTCGAAAGAAACCCACCTTACCTTACCCAATCAATCATTTTAAATATCAGATCTCGACCTCTCGTTGCATTTTATCCCCAACCGTGCGTGGCATCCTATGCCGATCCTCCATACGAAGACCAGGGACTGCTGAATACGGTGCATACACGTACATCTCCAGCATTTCCAGCATTTCCAGCTGAGTTCCTCACCATCCTCAGCCACACAAACCATGGCCACTACAGCCAATGAGACCCAGACACAGACGAATTTGGGACGACGGCAACCCGATGACGACACAAATAAATCGACGAGTAAGCTCCATGCCGCGAAGGCGCAGTTATTATTTTTATTCTCAATGTCATAACTTTAACTTCTCTTTTTATTTCCTAATTAATTAAATTTATTATTATATCCGTTGCATTTGCCTCTTTTATAACTAACACACATTCCTTTGCTAGTGCACTCAGGTAGGCTTATCTACGCCAAACCTCAAGACCTTCCGAGCTTTCCGTCTATTGGCCTTTCCGAAAAAGGATCCGCAGCAAGTGCAGCAGCAGCATTGGGTTGGGTATCCAATACTGCGCCGGAGCTGTGGAGGCCAGATAGATCTGCTCCCGCTTCCGCTGCCGCCGTCATGGCCAAAGACTACAAACTGGGGCCCGCCTGGGAACCCGTACCTAGTCAGAATGGGGTCAAGGCAGCGCTTCTCGCGTCGCAATCTGCTATGAATGCGACTAGGGCTGAAAAATCGACGACGTCGGATCCTGTGTTTTCAGCTGCCAATATGGCGTTTAAATCAGACCGCAACATACCCCGTACAGCGCAAACGGGGTCGCTGGAGCGCCAGAGATCGTTACTTGCTGCAAGGGGCGCTATGGCAAATCGGCAACGAGCTAAATCGTCCCCGGTTCCAAAGGAATCGTATCCGGACGAAGCAAATGCAGCCGCCAATGCTTTAAGCGCCGCGACTCGAGCTCACAGGCCGTCGGCTGTGAGGTCACCGACTTCCAGCGACGTGAGTGAAAAGGCGGGGTCTCTGCCGTATACAAATATGAACAGGCAGATGTATACATCTCGGCCACCAGTTCACCCCGAAGTCGACGAGCAGAAAAGAGCGGATGTTCTACACGCCTCGGCTCTGGCTATGGCTAAGAAAATGTATAATCAACAGCAAAAGATGATCGACGCGAAAAAGGCACATGATAGTGCACTTGCTTCTCAAGATAACGCAGATGCTTTAAGTAGCGTTAGTGACGATGCACAACCTATACAACTTACTACTCTACAAGATGCAGCCTACAAACAAGCACAAGCACGTTTGGCTAAGATGCACGAAGAGCATTTCAAGAACCGGGAATACCAGGAATATTACGGAGCTAGTCCGCTGTCGCGGCGTTTTTCGATCAGAGGCAAGCTCAGGAAGCGAGCCTCCAGCGACGGTGACGTTATTGAAGACCGCAGACGATCACAACAGATTCGGCAGCAAATGTCTCTATTTTCTAACAAACTCTCTGAAGTTGACGATAAAAAGCGACAAATAGACCAGGAAGTACTATTAGCCGCGGCGCAGAGAAATGTGCACGAGCGTTTAAAGGGAATTGATGAGAAGATATCCGCTGAAACTGGGATGGTTCCACCGTCTACTCTGACACAGTGGGAATTGAAAGCACACACTATGGCACAATCTAGGAGTGAGCAACGCGCTGGTCAAAGACATAGTAAAGTTGATATTGGCGCTGGAAAATTCATGGATCAGGACGATATCGATGCGATCGCGGCGGCTAGGGTTAAACCTGTTCTGGACGAAATCAACGAAAAGGCGGAGGAAGAATATGCTAGGCAGACGGAATTACGTCTTGAGATGGAAAAAAAGAAAGAAGAGGAGGAAGTTGAGAAAGCCCGGCAAAGGGAGATCCAGGAGATAAATAGGAAGCTTAAGGGTTTGTTGCCTCCAGGTTTTTATACGATTTTTTTTTCTAACATATTTCTAGAGCAAGATAAGCAGGAGCAGAGGGAAAGGAGAGCTGAAGAGAAGCAGGAAGCCAAACTCAGAAAAGAAGAGGACAGGGCAGCCAAGGAAGAGCAAAAGAACGAAGCTAAAGCGAGAAAGGAGGAGGATAAGTTTGCTAAAGCGGAACAAAAGCGACTTGCGAAAGCTGAGAAGAGAAGGTCTACGAATGAACGACTCCCGGAGAATCAAGAGGAGCTAGAAGCTACTGGTGCAACTGTCATTCTGAATACGGCGGGACAACCGGTAAATGTTCCTGCACCGGAAATTCAAAGAGTTCCTACCGAGGATGCCGATGATGGAAATGCGAATAGGGAGCCTGGATCATCGGGCGAAGGAGTGTCAAAAGGTGGCGTCAAGACCTGGTTCAAGAACCGCTTCTCCCGAGGCACCAAGCCGTCCGACGATGAGAAATCTAAGGATAAATCCGTCGGGCGGAGCTTCATCGGCGGCGCGGCTCTAACCGGGGCTGATAGCTCGGCTAGTGTTGATAATCGTAGCGCGAGTGTGCGTGCCGTGGCCATGGCGGGCAGAGAACACGAGCAAGAGCGATCGTCTACTCATAGGCCTACGCATATTCTCTCAGAAGAGTGTTCATATGATGATGGAGTGGTGCGTAGAATGAGTAGCAGTGATAGCGATGATGAGCTATACTATCGTGATGACGACGACGGCGGGGATAGGGATCAACCGAGGACGGCGTTGACGCCGCCGAGGCCATTTAGGGATCGTTCGTCTATGATCAGTCAGAGCCCGAGTCGGGATTCTAAGTTCGTCGAGATGGTGTAAGATCACATATGTTTTTTACGGTTATGGTGGTTGACGGTTGGTATTATTTGCGTCTGGACTACCTCTCAACGTACTTTGGCGGACAATTGGACGTGGTCCAATTTCTTGATACTCACTGAAGGCGTTTAGGGTTAGGGTTATTGGTTAGGCGGATAAGACAGAAATATGACCGCAAGGAAGGATAGGGAGGGCATTGGTTTCTTTTCAATTGGATCATTGTATTGATCTCGGATCTTAGCCCGGCGTTTGTGCTGGTGGAAGTTTTGAGGTTATTGGGGTTGCGGGTTTTGAGTGAGTGAGGATGCGATAGTACGGTCAATACCCTATTCTCTTCTAGGAGGCAAAAGTGATTCGATTTTCAATTTTTTTCCATCGATGTTTGAGTTGCGGCCCCAAAGTAGACTATACTTTATACTTAGCATATCATGTCTCCGAAAATATGGTTATCGCGACTTGCGTCGGTGCGAAATATCTCGAAGTGGCATTGAATTAGATTTAAGCTTACTACGCCCTAACTGCGGCATGGCGCGGCACAGCACAGCATATCTAATGTTGATCTTAGAGTTTACTTTCCCATTAGCGACATAAAATGAACCTTTGAAAATTGTGTTGTATCTCTATCCAAATTCATGGGTCCTACCTAGGTAATTAGTTCGAGCTAATGTCTATTCCTATTCCTATTTATGCCAAAAAGCAATCACAACCGAACTCCGTGAGCATATTGCTCCCTCCGTTCCAAGGTATTTTTAATACAGGGAATCATGACCACCTCCGGTATTTGCCGTTATCACCAAGAACCCGCCGCCTTCCATATGGTATAATTCATTAAATCATCCCCAAGAGCTAATTTCTAAATTATTGATCCTTTAAAAATCTCTTTGGTCGGTTCTGACCTTCTGATTCGTACCGTTGCGACCGTTATGACCGTCCGTTAATGTTCGCTGACTCTCTTCGGTATCTCGCGCTTGGGGAAGTACACCGGGGTGTGTCGCGAAATAAGTCTCCTCCATCTGACGCGCATTATTCGGGTGGGCGGAGTAGACGTTTCCCCGGGTCGCGACGGCGGGGTATAGATCGATCACGAAGGAGAAGATGTAAAAGGAGAAAACGAAGGCGATGATCCATTCCAGAATCGCAGCAGCATTGTACAGTTGCTTAAAGTTGGTGGCCGCGAAACCGATGGCGAGGAGCAGCTCAACAATTACGAAGATCAATTTCACCCAGAAGGAGATACGTAATACGCGGTGCTGACGGTTCTCTGCGGAGGGGGTTTGTTAGGGTCGTTTCTTAACACACCGAGACGAGACGGAGAGCACTTACTGTGGCCAAGACGCTGGTACTCCCAACATATGAAAATGGCAGATAACAGGTAACCAGCAATGAAAAGTAGGAGGAAGATGTCGTGCAACCTAGGGTATCGCAAAGTATCGAATCCGGACAAACAGCCCAGACCAATGGTTCCTACGAAGGCGAAGAATATGCAAAGCGCGCTCAGAACTTTTTCGCCGGTAGAGGTATTGGGCACCAACCGGCCCCGGTGCCGTAATAAGCGGTCGGATCCGAAGGAAAGATCGAGGAATACTGTGGTTATGATGCAACCTGCAACGAACAATGGTTTGAGTTCGGATGCGCCTACATCTGATATGTATGCGATCGTCTGGTTTCCTTGCATAGAGGCGTATTTCACTCGGTGAGTATCCACGTTCCAATGTATTAGAAGTCCCAGTAATGTGCCCAGCCACATGAGGCCGGAAATTATGGGAAATATCTATGCGATCAACGACAGTTAGCTATGCGCGAATGCAATTGGGAAATTACTGAAGCTGTATTTGCTTACCCAATACGATAGATACCGCATGGTGATGTATTTTTGCGTGTAATAGGTACTTTTACTCTAATGACGGAGGTAATAAATAAAAACCTATGTGAAACAATAGAAACGAATGGAGGGTACAATATTATAAAGAAAAAAAGATAGAGACACAAAAGCCACAAGGATGACGAATCGCTAGTTGAAAAATGTAGTAGCACGCGTAAGTGTATAAGTTGAAAGAAGAAAGATCACGTTGTTTTTATTTAATGGGTGATGGTGATGAAGCAGGCCTTGTGAGTGAATCAAGCCTCAAAAGGGGATCGACTTATAATGACTTCATCCACCAAACAAGATCTTTTTATCTCGGGTAACAGGGTGCTATCAATTGTCCGGGACCTACGGGACAAGAAACTACAAAACTACAAAACTACAAAAAGTCGGAGTTAGACGGTGGAAATGAATGAATTCGTCATTGGCGCGAGACAACATTTTACATTTTGAGGCTGGCTGTGCTTGTGCTGCATCCATCCGCCATCCAACCGTTCATCCGTTCCATTTGAATCTAATAAAATCTATCAATCCTTAACTCAACCAATACAAACGATAAATACATACATGTTAGTGCGTATATTTACGTATTAATACGTATTAATATATCTGCTGACTCGACTCGGCCCCCCGGTAAACGCCAACACGCCGACTCGTTGAACTGATGTCACTTGGCGTCCGTTCAATTGATGTAAGTCCCGCAAGTCCTGCGTTTGTTGCCGTTTTCGACCGGAATCCGGAAATGGATGATGTCATAAGGGAGAGATGAATGGAGCAAATTATCGAACCTGCATCGGATTATATAATCTATACATGAGATTTGCACCTAAGAGCTTACGTACACACCGGGCTGAAGCGACCCGGCGCATTGGCCAGGTGACAATAAATTGGAGTTAATTGTGTGGGGACGCTCCGTAACACTCGAAAACCCCCTTGCACTTCTAGATGCGACATCCACCAATCAAACTAATAATTCGCTGCTAATCGAGGTACAAAGAATCTTAGCCTTGTTATTATCCTCCCGAGGCTGAAGGAGGAGGACTAACTGTCCCCTCGTATTAGATCTTGAGGGTAAGGTGAATAACCATTCAAGATGGCGGTGTCTCCATTGGTTATGCATCCTACCGATGCCTTACAAAACTCCCGACCGGTATCGTCACCGCTCAAGAATATCAACTCGGCGCAGGCATCCTCAAATGGAACACCTATCACCGCACCGAATCCATCCGCACCCGTATCTCTACCCGCCTCATTAGATCTTGCCGAACAACTCAACGAAGAAGAGAAGCGGAAATATGTCAAAGGTTAGTGTTTGGATGACTTATCAATTTATCAATATTCGGCCAAAATGCGCTAACATTGAACCCCTCATAGGCAAGAAGCTCGGTGAAGGTACCTACGCCAATGTTTACCTTGGCCACCTCAAGAGCGACCCATCGCAATTCGTAGCCATAAAGAAAATCAAGATACAAAAAGAATACACAGAAGGAATGGCTCCCGATGCCGTTCGCGAAATCAAGCACTTGCAAGAACTCTCTCATCCCAACATCATCAGCCTACATTCCGTCTTCTCGTCCAAAGACCAGAATCTCAATCTTGTCTTAGAATACCTTCCATTAGGCGACTTAGAGATGCTTATTCGCGACACGGAACGAGTCCGATATGGTGCGGCCGATATAAAAGCTTGGATGGGCATGCTTACGAGGGCTGTGTGGTTCTGTCATGAGAACTTTGTTCTACACCGAGATATCAAGCCTAACAACTTGCTAATTGCCGCCGATGGGGAGGTGAAGCTGGCGGATTTCGGTTTGGCCAGGACTTTCTCAGACCCATATAAGCCCATGTCGTCGAATGTCATCACTCGATGGTACAGACCTCCTGAGCTACTGTACGGCGCAAAGCATTACTCGGGTGCGGTGGATGTCTGGTCTGTCGGGTTGGTGTTTGCTGAGTTGATCATACGAATGCCGTATATCGCCGGTAATACGGAGATGCATCAGATTAGCCTCATCTGTAACGCCGTTGGCACACCCACAGAGGAGAATTGGCCCGGTGTCACTAAGTTACCCGGGTATACCACAGAGGGAGAAGTTCACCCAGTACGAGGAAAGGACCACTATATGTCCCTATTCGGTACGGTCGGCGCTGAGGGTGTCGATCTCCTTAGGAAGACGTTGATTCTAGACCCTAAGAAGCGGATCACTGCCCTGGAGATGCTGAAGCATGAGTGGTGGCATAGAGACCCCAAGCCTACGCGAAAGCAAGATCTTCCTAGGAAATCTGGTGGACAGGAGAAGGTCGGTGCGGATCTGAAAAGGAGACCTGGCATAGTAGACGAGGACAAAAGCAGCAAAGTGGCTCGGAAATTGGATTTTGGCGCAGCGAAATAGGAACTTCTGCGTTAAAGACAAATTTCATGTAGGCATTTAGGCATTATACAGGTTCGGCGCTTAGGAGTTAAAATGCACAATCGATGCATAAGGAGCTCGGCGTTAGTTTAATGGATAGAGGAAGGGACATACATCCATGATAGGGCCATGAATTCTAGCATATTTGAGATAAATGAGTTCGTTAGTTGACCAGTATATGCAGATTTTGCGATTTATGGTACATAAAGTACAGTGCTTTCTTTCTATGTATTTTATTTTCCTTTTTTATTTATGCATAGCCTTCACATCGCATCATCTACAACTCTCCCCGTTCTCTCATCTCGCGCCGCTCTTGGATGCGCTTCTTATACCGGACCTCGTTTCTTCTCCTCTCACCACCATCGATCTTGCGACCACGCTTGTCCTCCCACATTCCCTCCGTAATGGCGATCTGCACGGCCTCACCCCCTTTAATTGGTCGCGCGTACGGCCCGACTATCGTCTTCGCACCTTGGACTTTGAAACCGGTTACGCGCGACATTTCTTCCAACGCACACTCCTTTACGGATTTTCCTAGAGGTACATTGACTACGTATTTATGCGGGTTTACTGGGTCCTTTGTAGATTCGAGGACCCGTAGTTCGGCTTTTCCGTCGGAGACGTGTTGAAGGTCCCCTCCGATTCCGTATTGGCCGGCTTGGAATCGCTGTCGCCATCGGAGTAGGTACCGTCGGGAACGCGGTGGCTCGATACCGAGTTCTTGGAGTTGCTCGGTGGTGAGCGAGAATAGGGCGTCCCAGGTTGGGATCTTGGAGGCGTGTTGGCTGAGCCCGCGGCCGATTACCGTTAGGAAGGTTTGCACGTCGGGGACGAAGGGTGTTGGGGACGGGATTGTGGGGGTGGCTTGCGTGGATGAGGAGGAGGATAGGCGGGTTTGTGGTGAGGTTGTGGTTAGGGTTGGTTGTATGAACGGTTGGATGCTGGTCCGCTGTGGGAGGGAGGTGAGGGCGGCGCGCAGTTGTTGCGGTCGTATAAATGGCTATAGATTGTAAGTGATATGGCGAATTCGAGGGGTTTGGGTTTGTGGGCTTACCTTTATGCGCACCATTTTGGAGTTATATGATCGGTCCCCTTTAGACTAAGGTATTAAATGATATGACTAGCTGACCATATCAAATTGGCAGGTGAATGGCAATACGGAGCGACTTCACGATCCTCACAGCGCCGTAGTAGCTCGAATTCGACAAGCTGTAGAAAATTCAATGGAGATATCGGCGATGGAAATTCGTATCCTCCGATGGGACCGTGCACACGTATCCCCCACTACGTGTACCCCCTGGTATGGGATCTACGTACTAACCCAATAAGGATTAATGACTCCATGCCCCGTACCCGCTATGAGTCAATGCACGTAGGCAGCTGCGAATGTGGGGCATCATAGCTCTTATCGGGCGTTTCGATAAAGAATCAGCGAATGATAATTCGTCTGGAGGTTCTAGAGTTATATGTTATGCGGAAGGTTGTTGGTGACGAGTGGTGTGCCTGTAATTCTTTCTCTAACTTTCTTTTTTACTGTGTTGATTTATCAATTTTCAATCCAAACATTGCAATTTCTTCTGCTATGTAACTTTTCGGCATCGGGTAGTTTACTTTTTATGTTATGTCGGCGATCTTGCCAACTTCTGTTATCGCCGATATTTCCCCTACCTACTCCTACTTGCTTCTTTTTTGAAGCCTTCACCGAGCCTTGTCTTGCGGAATTAATTCTCTCTTTTTTTTTACGATGGGTAGCATAGGTCTTTTACCGGCCTCGAAAACTTCGATGAACCGTAAGAATAGTCCATCGCAAGTTGAACGCGCCGGACCCACGGGTATGCGATTAATTGAATAGACCCCTGTTTTCCGGGTACCACTCCATACTAACTAAATGGTCACAGATTCTTTCCCCACTAACTTGCTCGGTTTCTTGCGTACGCTTGCATCTGATACCATTTCGCAAGATGCCGTCGAATCTGGGCCCCGTAAGAAGCGTGCCCGGATTGATCATGTTGAGTCTATCCCGATCGCAAGAGAGTTTTTGGCGATTAAGCGCCCGGCTCACTCCGATGAACCAGACGCCGAACCAATTTCGTATGCGAATGTTCAATCTCACATGAGAATCCAGTATGATGATTCTGAACACATACTCAATTTTTCATCAATTCCCCAATCCCCTTATGGCACTTTCAAGTCGGAAGTCAACCTAGGTCATCCCCAATTCACTAAGAGGATGTTAGTGATCCTAGAGGTTCTAAGCCGCAGTCGAGACACTTCTAACGAAGGTGCTCTCTGGGTGAGTGTTGGTGTTGAGTTGGACAGGAAAAGTGATAAGGACCTCCTGCAACTCTCCCTTGAACTGAACTGGAACTCAACTACGTATTTCTTCCGAAATACCTATCACCGAGCGCTTAGTCGGCGGGTTCTGGATACATTCTTCAGCGGCCATTGTCAAGGACGAACCGATGCTGCAGAGGAAAAGATGTCACCCCAGGCATTTTATAACGCCGCTTTCGTTCCAAAGAATGACCACACAAACTATTTGTCCCTGACAGCTCCTCGATTGACTTCGAGATTATTCCCTTTCCAACGTAGGGCATTACAATGGCTTTTGAACAGGGAAGGTGTCAAGTGGAGCGACCGTTGTTCTTCCAATGGGAAACCCGGCTTAGAGTTGCTGCATCCCACACCCACAGGCCTTCCCCTCTCATTCAGTGTAGCCAAGGACGCAGATGGGCGATCAGTTTTTGTCAGCGATCTCTATCATGTTGTAACTAGGGACATTGCTCCGTTCCGACAGAACGAGAGTGACGTGAAAGGTGGTATCCTTGCCGAGGAAATGGGCCTAGGGAAGACCGTCGAGACGATATCCCTTATCTGCATGCACACGCGCGAGGGCTCCGCAACTATACATACCTACTTTGCTGCTGATAATGTGCGCCTTACCGGCGCAACCTTGATCATCACCCCACTTACGCTTCAAAAACAATGGATCGCCGAGTTTAAGAAGCATGCACCCCATCTACGTGTAACAGTATACCATGGGATGAAGGGGTTTGAAGGGGATGAGGATGAGCTAGTCTCCAGCTTAGTTGAACAGAACGTCGTCATCACGACTTATAATGTCCTCCAGGCTGAGATTCATCACACCGAGAAGCCTCCCGATCGGTTTATGCGACACGAAAGGAAGTATGATCGCTTGACGACCCCTTTAACCAAAATCTCTTGGTGGAGGGTTTGCTTGGACGAAGCGCAACAGATCGAAAGCGGCGTTAGTAATTCCGCCAAGGTCGCAAGACTAATACCCCGTGTTAACTCTTGGGGTATCACCGGAACACCGGTCAAGGAGAATATTAAGGACCTATGGGGCTTATTAGTCTTCCTCCGCTATGAGCCCTTCGCATCCTCAACGGCTATATGGGAAGGATTGATAACAACTCATAAAGAATTTTTCAAGCCTCTGTTCAACCGTATTGCCCTCCGACATACCAAGCGCGCCGTTCGTAGCGAATTAACACTACCGCCTCAGAAACGTTTTGTCATAACTATGCCCTTCACCGCTATTGAAGAGCAACATTACCGAGAACATTTCAAACAACTTGTAACAAATCTCGGACTCGACACAAACGGCGCGCCGCTGGAAGATAGTTGGGACCCTGATGACCCTTCTACAATAGATATGATGAAACGTGCCCTCGACCAACTCAGACAGTCAATTTTACATCCTTCGCTAGGTTCGACCCATTCACTTCGTGCCCAAATTCAAAAGAATAAGCCGTTGCGGACGGTCGCAGAGGTATTAGACGCCATGATTGACGCGTCGGAATCTTCTATCCGAGCAGACCAACGAAGCTACTTACTTGGACAGTTAGAGCGAGGTCAGATACTAGAAAACCGATCAAAGTTCCGTGAGGCTATTGGTGTCTGGGAGAAAGTTGTCGAGGAAGTCAAATTCTTGGAAGATGAGTGTCGACAACAGCTAGAAATTGAATTAAAAAAGCTCAAACGAACGAGTCAAGATGAAGATATCGACGATACTAAGAGCACAAGTTCTCAGAATGACGAGGGTCCGGATGAAGCAACGGCCGGACGAATCAGTGAATGCCGACGTAAGTTACGATCCATGCTCGATATCCATCATAGGGCTGTTTTCTTCATCGCTAGCGGTTATTACCAAATGAAAGACAACCTAGAGCAGACACAATCTGATTCTGAGCAATACAAATTACTGGACGAAAAGGAAACTTCCGGATACGAAACCGCGAAAAATATCCGAAAGGAGATCTTGCACGAAGCACGCTCAAAAGCCTTCATATACATCGAGGGCCTCGGTAGAAAAGCTAGGTCGCAGGCATTTGTCGATGTCCCTGAAATCACGGTTCCTTCATTGCACGGATTGGAGAGCAGACGGGTCTTGGATAACTTCCAGATTCTTGGCTTCGCCCTTAACGCACAGGCTGACTTGATGGATCAATGGCGAGAATGTGCTGTTCAGATGTTAATTCGACCACTTGTCGACGAGGAAGATGAACCGGTGACTGGTAATGAATATGAGGACTCGACGAAGATCCAGGACGAATTAATGGTGTATACATTGGCACTTAGAGCTCTCATTGCCGACCGACAAGATGCGACTTCCGGCTTGGAAAACGAACGTATAAAATACGATACTAAATTCGCCGAGGACCAAGCTAAGGAAGGGAAAGGCCATGCCCCTAAGCTGGTACTCAAGTTACTCGAGGAACGCAAAAAGGTGAAGTCGTTGTCTCAAGGAATTTCGTTCCGAGGTATCGTCACGGATCTCCGAGAATTGGCAACAAAAGTCCGCCACGACATTAGTAACGGAAGCCATCGTGCCAAGGTCGAGCTAGATATTGTCGAGAAGCAACTTCGCGCAGCGCAAGAACAAATCGCCGCGCAAAATAAGGCTACGACGGTTTTGGAACGTGAGCTTGATGTTTTCACTACAGCAATGAACTGCCGTGTGGATTACTATAGGCAACTTCAGGGCGTGTCTGATACAGTCGTGCCGCTTGATATGGTAAAGATTGGAGACTGGATCCGGGCATTGGACAGGATTCAAGAAAACGATGATTTCCTACGTAAGAAGGTTGCACTGGCGGTATCCAAGCACCGTTACCGTAAGCCAACCCCTCCATCGATTCGATCTTTTCCCCTGCGCATTAGGCTAGGAAATGCTAACTTGTTATACAGTACTCCATCTAAAAGATGGCGGCGGTCAGAAAGCCGAAGAGATTTGCGTGATCTGCCGATCCCCGTTTGCGCTAGGAGTTCTCACCGTATGTGGTCATATGTTCTGCAAAGAGTGTCTCATGTTTTGGTTTAAGACCAGCCGAAGCTGTCCTGTTTGCAAGAAACACCTCACGACAGCCATGCTTCACGATATCACCCTGAAGAAGCAGGAGCTGAGAGTTCATCAAGAACACACTCAAGGACAATCCCAAGTCGCAAATGAAGATGATTCGGTTACCAAATCGAAGAGCCAAGGCATCTATTCTGAGTTCGGTAAAGGGAAGCTAGAGGCTATTAAGAGCATTGATCTTAACGGGCCGTCGTATGCCACGAAGGTTGAAACCCTAACGAAGCACCTAAAATGGCTGCGCGTGGAAGACCCAGGCGCCAAATCTGTTATCTTCTCCCAGTTCGCGGGCTTCCTAGACATTCTTCGAAGTGCCTTTGATCACTATAACATAGGTTACACTTCGTTCAAAATGAAGGACGGCATCCAGAAGTTCAAGGAAGATCCAGCTATCGAATGCTTCCTTATGGACGCTAGATCACATGCTAGTGGTCTTAATCTTGTGAATGCAAGCCACGTGTTCCTATGCGAGCCTGTTCTCAACACGGCTCTAGAACTACAAGCCATAGCGCGAGTGGACCGTATCGGACAAGAGCATGAGACAACCGTGTGGCTATACCTGATCGATGGCACAGTCGAGGAATCTATTTACAACCTATCGGTGAAGCGTCGACTCGAGCATCTAGGCAAGAACGCTAGTAATAACACGAAGACCAAAAATGGCAAAGGGAAGGGAAAACAAAGGGAAGGCGAGCGAGATGACGAACAGATGCCGGAGCTGTCCGACCTCAGCCTCGAGGCGGCCAACTCTATGGAGTTGGAACAGGCCGAACTGTCGAAATTGATGAGCAAGGATCGAAGTCTCGGCGAAAACATCGATAAGAACGATCTTTGGCAGTGCCTCTTCGGTCACGTTGCTAAGCAGCAGGCGGCTACCGACGAGAGAATGAACGATCCGGCTGTGATTGGATTCTTAGCTGGTGAGGCGGCCGAGGCGAGGCGCCTGGACGAGGACCAGGGGAGTGAATAATGAAGTGGATACGACTTTATTACCGAGGACTTGACGACAATGAGGAGAGGCAAAGTGATTTTTTTTTACCTATCTGCATGGCTGATCAGGAAAAGCCTAGAGCATTGATGAGGCGTCGAGGTGTCTTACCTGTTAGAATTGTGTTGGAATTGACGGACGGCCCGGATTTGCATCAGTCGAGGAGTTAGGAGTCGTTGAGCAATAGTGATAGGAGGAGGTACCTCGATACGATACGTGTGGGTGGCTTAAAGCACGGCTCGGCCTTTTGCCCCTGAAAATCGTGTTGCTAGAGCCCGCCACCTGAGAAAGAAGCCCAAATGAATGAATATACCCCCGAGATTATACGTGAGAATCTTTCAAGTAGGACTCGCCCGGTGAAGATTAATCTTTGCTTTGCGTAATTGATTGGTTATCGTGAGTAAATAGTAAATGCGGCCCCAAAATAATGAGGTTATTCTTGTTACCTATTTAACAGGCAAATTCCGTTTGCTTGCACGTAACTCTCGGGTTTCCCGGCCTGGTTAGGTAGGTCGGTGTCTGATCAGATCATTGTGTACGCATAGTATATAGATTATGTATGTACCCGTGTCGTATTGTCGTATGCTACCTATGTCATAAGCTTAAGTTGTGCTACCAACGCGCACGCAGTGGATTATGAGATGACTCGAGTCGTTCTAGATGCCTAGTTGATCTGCACTACTCGGGAATTTCGCACGCGAGAGGCGAGGAATATCCATGTTGATATGGACCTTTTCGTTTTGCCCTGTCTTAGTTTCTTTTTTTCTGGTTTTATTTTAGAATGTCTGAGATGATAAATTATGAGACATCATAGAACACGTGGACTACATGGATGGGATTGGGTCCGCAAACGCCACCGAATCCGAGATACGGCGCAAGATTAGTATGAGGTGTGTGTGTTGCATTGTAGGGACTATATGTATCATATAATAACGGGAGATGCGACGGCGTAGGAGATGAGTGTGGTTGTTCATTTATTTGATTTTAGATATTATTGTTTATTTTTACTTGTATGTAATGCCATGTAACGCGAGTGAATGAAGGAAATGGAAGGGAAAAATGCAACATTTCGGTTCGTACGAAATGTATGTACATGTAGTGTAAGCTGATAGGTAGTAGGTCATAATGATTAGGTATGATAATGATGAGGATCGACGAAGGGAAAGAGAAGTAGAGTAGTAGCAGTAGTAATTGTTGGCATGTATGCCTATGCCGAGCCCTGCATTCCTTTTTTCAGCTAGACCCCCCTGACATTCTTTGATCGAGGTCAGCTAGCCTTGTTGAATCAATATGTCCCAGATTAAGAATCTATTTGTTTTCTACGTGATTTAATGGTAGCCTATAGGAGTCTCTAAAGACGGTTTCTTGTCTCACAGGGCGTTTCTAATTATTTCTTCTAGAAGCCTACCAGAATCGTTCGATGGCTTCTAAGAAAGATCCCCCAGCCCCCCCTTTTTTCCATTTCCTATTCGTTCAACCCGCATACATACTATTTAATAACCCACCTTTAGAAGTACCTAGGTATGAGACAGAACACGCGGCCGCCGATTGGTATTGTCCTACACCAACTCATAACCAACTTTCTATTTTTTATTTATTTTTTATTCTCCGAGGTTCAGGTTACCTAACAGGCTGACCGAGAAGTGGAGAGTGGATCCCCCATTCTTCTCATCATTCCGGGGCAGATGATATGAGTTTCAGGTCTCAGACTCGCGTGGTCAGCCTGTTCTTTCGTTTGCCGAACCATACAACGAGGCAACCTGAGTGGATGACTACCTTTTGAAAGCTGACTGATCCGAGTTTATCGTGACGGCATATGCTCTAACGCAGCCTAGCGATATTATAACTGTCATCGACGACAAAGTCGCACGAATGAGGCTCGTGAGGAGTAAGGGAGTCAGGGAAGAAAATGTTTAGTAGGGTAGGGTTACGCAGCTGGAGGTGGCGCACATCACGCACATAACCTGTTCGCTCATCGCCGACTGACTGACTTTTATACATACACCGCGATTTTCAAACAGCGAATCTCGTCGGAGATATCGCATCTCGGGATTTGCTTCTTCTACTTCCTCTTTGCCTCCTCCCCTTTCCTATAGCATCTCCTAGGGCCAAACTAGATATGTAGGTAGCAAATATGACTCCGAGAATAGACTAGATCTGTATGTATGTATTTGCTGCCTGGCATGATGACTACATGGTGATGATACATTGACATTGACAAGACAATAAAAGAAAAAAAAAATTGGGGTATTTCTAACAAACGATTAACCGTAGCACAAGAAGTACTCGGGCTTCTAGAAGAAAAGAAAGGTAGAACAAAAAAAGCCCAAAAATAAAAAAAAGGTCACAATGACGCCGTCTATCAACCCTTTCGTAACAAATCGTTACTATTCGTAACCCGACCAACAAAAAACCATATCCACCAGACATCAGCAAACAACCTTCCGTCAGCCCTAGGGGTGCCGAGGTCCGGAGGATCTTGGCTGTGAGATCTAAGGGACACCGACTAGAACAAGTCCAGCAAAGCGAAACGAATCTGTCTTCAATTCCTCATCGCAAGTGGTCCAGCGCTTTCCCCTCCCTTACTTCCAACCCTCAGCCCCATTCCCTTCTAAGCTTTCTAACTTTGGCTCGGATGATGGTTGTATGCGCTCCCACCCGCTTGGTTATAGTCGAAGTAGTACGGGGAAACATCCTGAAAGGCGAAATCCTCCGCCTGGGGGCTATTCGTCGCGCTGCCGTAGCCGGCGGTATTCTGGTATTGTTGCTGCTGGTACGGGCTTGACATCGCGTAGTACGGATGCTGCTGCTGCTGCTGCGGCGAAGCTTCGTCCTGCAGCGTATTATTATCGCCTCCACCTCCGCTACCACCGCTCCGCCTGCTCTCGGTCTCGTGCCCTCGCGCAAGTACATGCCTCATGCTTAGGCTTCCCCACGGCAACCCCGAGAGGTCCGTCCCGTCGTCTGCGGCGATCTCGTCCGACGATGGTAAGCGGTAGCTGCTGTTTGCTAGCTCGAGGTTGCATGATTCCCGCTTCGCCTTTTCTTTCTGTTCTTTGGCCTTTTCTCCTATTGGAGATTGGTTAGTCGTGAGTTCCGTGTGCTAGACATTGCATGTTGTAGTTACGTACGGAATTTCCGTTGGGCAAGTCTGTTCTGGATACGTCTCCTCTCTTCCGCATCCGTGACGTCAGCCCAGTCGTCTGTCATGGGTTTAGATCGAGGTTTCGTGTGCTTCTTCGAAGCTGGTTCGTGTTTCTTAGATGAATGCGTCATCTTCTCCTGCTATAATGCTTCTGCCTAGAGCTGATTTGAGGGCAATATCTTGCTCATAGATCTGATAAATGAGAATAATAAGGCTGCTTATGTCTTTACTAGCGGGTCTTATCGCAATATTACATATACCCTTCGAGTACGAACGATGGATATTCGTATGGTAGATTCTGAGGTATTGGAAGCAGTGTTTGAGGAGGGAAAAATTGAAAGTAGCTTAGAACCCGCGCATCCATCAGTGAATTATACATTCCTAAATATATAGAAAAGCAAGGACCGTAAGAGACAAATCAAATAGTTCCTAAGTGAACTCTACTTGATGTACTACATATATCGGGAGCAGAGCGGATTGGGGGCGGATTTACCTATTCGGTTGGCGGAATGTAACTTTGACACCACATATAAGGCTGATGACATGGGTAGATCCCACAGGACATTGCCTACATGAGATGACTTATACTCCGTGCTTGGTACCTTTGTCAGAGCCGGGGTTCGTGCTGCAACTACCAAGACCCGCAGCATCTAGCTATGCCCACCCGTGTCTTGGGATATAGGAATAATAGATTAGTTTTATGCAGCAAAGAAGGGTAACAGTGGAAGTACGGTGAAGTAACGATAGGATAGAGCAACCTAGACTCAAGCCACAGCTGTGACCCGATGGTGACGCACATACAGGCGGCTGTGGTTATACAGCGCTATGCTGTGCATACCCGGTTTTTACGGTAGGAGAAAAGGAGGAAGGACGGTCAGATATCAGACTGGTTGGCTTAGCGGCTGCCGGACTAAGCACACGTGAATGCTAAAGATTGATCCCCGGCACTTGAAATGTTATTGTTCATTATTCGTCATGGCGCGAAGCTATCGTGTTGCTCGCATCTTTACCTAATAATCCCTGGAGGTCGATAATCCTGGAACTCTAAGCCATATCCGTCTCATCTTAATCCAAGGAATGTTAACTAAGCCGTCGAAGCTAGAGTTATGACTGATCGTCAGGGCAGAGCCACAGTTAATGCCAACCCCATACCTCATGGCCCGTGGGGAAGGATAGAAACGCGAAATACGATCCTTTTCTAGTCCCCAAAGGGAAACGACTCGTCATGGGCCAGAAGTTCTTGGCGCTTTGGTAGCGCATTAATTTATGATATAAGGTGTAGCGCACCTAAGTAGTGTTTAGGGGTATTGGGCTCATTCTTCGCAACGGGTGGCTTTGATAAGCCATTCCTTGGATCTAACTCCACTGGCTGAATGGAGTGAGTTCCAGCGATGTTGACTAATAGTACCACTTTGCTGTTGGTTCTTGGAAGATGAGATAAGTCCGCACAGCACCCCCTGCATATTGTAGGAAGGAATACGAGAGAGTACCTATTAGAGATAAGATGGTGTGTACGGTTGCTCTAGAAGTTTGTTTCAGGTGCCATTGTCTTTTCAGGTAAAGTACCTAACCGTGAGAGTGATTAGCCAATCGAAAATAGTACGAATAGAAGAGACTTGACGGATCAAATAGCCGTTGTCCGTCGAATGGATCCTACGACGATCCTGGGTCTAAAAGTCCCTATAATTGACTAATTAGATTCTCTTCTGGAAAATCTCATAGAACCCCCACACCTCCAGTATTCCGTCTCTTTTTGTTGACCACTGGATCTCATGTATAACACAAGACGGTAAGTCGTTGGGATCTTGCGTGAATTTTTCCCTTCTTTTATCTGTAATGAGGCATTAACGAGGACGTGTCCGCCGCAGCCACTGAGATTTGAATATATTTTATATTGGGTTATGTCTCGGAGCGGGGTCAAAGTCCACCGTGAATAGTGACTGATCTCATTCCTACGAGTAACGGGCGTGTACGAGGGCCGTATTTCGAATTATCTTTCGGTGGCTTGATGGATTTTTTTTTTCTTGGTGCGGCTGAGAAATTCAGGTCGTTGGTCGGTATTGGCGTTGGTCTTGGGTATCGTCGAAGACCCAAATAGTAATGGTATCGTACCCGGCGTAGAGTATCATCCTAGCACACCGGCAGCTTTTGTTCTTTTAAAGGTACAGAATAGGGCAGGATAAGGTTGGATAGGGTAGGATAGGACTAGGGGAGTAGGTCCAAGTCCCACTTTGTTCCATACCTGTTTAAGTTAGGTCCAGGTTCAAGTTCAGGTCAAGTGCATCTACCTGGCTACCTGGCTACCTGGTAGTTAGTGTAGGTTAAAGTTAAGGTTTACGTTCCCGCTCCCGTTTCCAGAAGGTTTAAGGCGAGCGGGGGTCCAATTCCCACGTAACGTGCAGGGTCAGGGGTTCTTGACCTATTACAGAGGTACATAGGTACCTATGGTAGGGTACGGTACTACTACGCTTAATTATACCACTCCATTCTTCACTCCAATGGCCACGAGACTGATTGTGGGCTGTGTGGTCACACTGCATACTACTGCAAGATGAGGGCTGATAAATTACTGTACAAAGGTCCAGCCCTAATACTCTCGGCGCCCTGTCTCTGCCACTGAGCTCTCTCCTATGTGACCATTGACGCAGTATAATCTACTCTTTCTAGAGGCGTGCATAAATCCATGTAGGGTCTGTCACAAACGACACCGAGAACGAGGACGAGTTGATTAATTCCATCTTAGACATTGGTATGGAAATTTGTCGCGGAATCGCCCATATTTTCAGTAAAAGATTACCGAGGAAGATGGGTTATAAGGTTGTGTTGTGTATTGATACGAAATTATCATATTCCTCTGGAGTGGGTTACATCGAGCAGGTAACAAAAATGATGGTGTCCGCAGACGCAGCATTGCGCCATCAAGCATAATTGGGAATTAATACCATCCACTGACGGTACTTTTAGCTTATTGGAAATTGTATTTCTGCAACCCTTTGCAGTATCTTCAAGTCCTACAGCATAACACGGCCAATTATCAGTCGACACATTATATAAAAAGGCGCCGTAATCACTACTAGGTATAAACTGGGTATATCCTAAAAAGCCAATCATGTACCAAGTCGATCTGGCATACCTGTATCACTAGGCACCTTGGCATTTGCCTACCTGGGTAGATGTATTCTGCTTGTATGCCCTACCTACTCTGTTAATGAGTCAGACGGCCAAGTGGACATTTCCCGGGAATGCGGCAGGAGCTATTTGGTCTCGGTATAGTAAATAGTGCATTTTAGCTCTGGAAACGGAGCTTTCCTTTGCTTGACGGAAATATGTAAAATGTGTCAGCTTTTGTTAGCACGGTAGGTAATGCTATTGGCTTATCACGAGCGATGACGGGGCGTTCCTTGTTAAACAGTGATGCGATCTGAGAATTTGTGTTTCTGTAGTGGGGAAACAATGCTTTGTCTGTCTTGGCTTATGTACTGAGGTACGTTTCATCTTACGCCTTTCACCGATCATTTACGTAGGTAGGCATCACACCGCCCCCTTATGAATATTGATGGCACTTAGGGCGCAGGTTCGGTCACATGCGGCTCGTTATATTAGACATTTGCTGTAGAACTATCTATTTCGTAGATTGAAGGTGGCCAAGTCCGACAGAGCAGTGAAACCCGATATGCAGTTGACCGAGGGCGATTCTGCCGTCTGGCTCGTGATATCGGATATCCGTGTAGACCTGTAACACGGAAGATCTTCAACACATATTTGATACATCATATTCTATTCCGATGGCATGATTCGTAGCGGGCGGGAGATTTTCCTCGTACCGATCCTTCCGGCGGCGTGGCTTTGCAATTCGGACCGCCTAGCTTGGATTTCTGGACTACATATTGCTGATGCAAGTTGCTCGGTCTTGCTGACGTGCCGTCCCCGATGATCCTGATTTAGATCCTCGAATTTCCTCCTATTGTTGGAAATATACAGCTTCTCTAATGCTTAAGCTTGCCCGCCGTTGGCGTTACTGACCTAATTGGGTTAATAGACCGTGAAGGCGATGACCTTTGCGTACTACTCGAGGTATGAGGTAGTGCAGCTTTACATGACCTGACATTCAAGCCCATACATTGCCCTCTCCACGTCTCTCTTGACTTGATACCAGTCTGCTCTCCTTTCTGCGAATTCATACACTTCCTCGGCACGGAAAATACCACCAAAACGATCTCCGTCGGCGATGATGGTGGCCATTTCTTTGGCATGTCGGGCGTCGATGAGGTATATCTGACTCAACTCTCGTAGAGCTTTGAAATATTGCAAGAGATCCTGGTTCTTGAGTGTCCGAATGTACTCGAAATACATGGTCATATCGGCGATTAATTTGATGGCACCATCGGTACTGATACGTTGTCGTTTGATGTGCTTGCACACAGCCGTGAATAAACGGAGTCCAACTTCGCTATTGAACACATCTAGCATAGTCTTTTCTGTACTTCCCACCAACATCTTCGTGTGAGAAGCTACAAGCTCTGTAACGCGTTTCGCTGTTGTGGTTGGCCCGATGTCGGCATCCTTGGAGATTCCGTGCTCTTGAGAAGGTGGTGGCGGGTTGAAGTCGGATGGTAGCTGTGTGGTAGCACAGAGATATTCGACTTCGTCCATAAGCACATCGATACCCTTATTTAGGCCCGCAGCAACATTCTCGTCTAACATCTGCTCGAATTTTTTCTTAGCGAGACCCGCAGGATCGAGAAAGTCGTTCTTATCGGCAATCTTTGGCGCCACAAGTTGCTGTTCATAGAAAACGTCGATCATTTGTGATATGATATCACCCACATTGACCAACTCGATGAACATGACGAGCGGTGCCACCCCAGTCTGACTATGATCGCTTATCTCACGAGGGTTATAACGCGAAAGATGTTCCACTGCTTTTGCGAACCCATTTTTTACATGTGTTTGACCAAGAATTCTAATTAGCTCGACGAACATCGTTTCGCATTGTTCCCGGGCCTCTTCGCCAGCTTGGCCTCCAAGGGTGACAAATTTCGCCGCTCGTCCAAGACTCTCCTTCGCAGCATGCACTAGATCAAGAGCGATCTCAATGCTGAAGAGACTTCTAATCCCTTCAAGCCGGTTCGCCATGAGCGCAGCTTTTGCTTTAAGCTCATCAGTGGGTACTTCGCCAGGTAAGGGGCTCCCCGTCCGCTCGGTGGCGCCACCAAGTCCTGGCGTTTGAGGTCGAGATGATGAGGGTGTGCCATTTGCTGATGGCCGAAGCGTGGAGCTATTAGCCGCTGATGTTGACAGCGGCCTACCGCCAAATGTCGAGATAGCAGTAGGCAAGACAGTAACTGGCATCATCACGACCTTTTTGAAGGAGCTCAAGAAATCATTTTTGTCAGCCTGTCGGTTGAAGTTTCCCATATAGAGCGACTCGACAGTGGCGTCTTGGGCTGACAGCTTTTGCTCCCAGTTGTCCACTTCTCGTTCCCCATACTTCGTAAAGCCGTCCAGCTCCTCTTGCAAGTAAAGATCTAGGTGTGGCTCGAATACCTTTAAGGCTATGTATTTTGCATGATCTTCAAGGCTTTTATCAGAGCCCTTCGGTGGAGTCAGTGATCGAACGAATTCCATACACTGCTCGAATAGACCTGAAACTGCTTTTAGGTAGGAAAGCATGTGCCGATCATGGCATTCGTCTAGCAAGGGGGTAACGTATTCCATAATAATTTCTTCTCGAATTTTGTCCACAAAAGCCCAGAACACGTGTGTTGGTTGAGGGAAAATGCGACCGATCATATCGCCCTGTTCGTTTATCTTCTTGACGAGTAAATGGAAGAATGCACGTGATGGCTCGAGTGTGATGCTGTCGCGGGGGGCTTGGTTGAGACAATCCATTGGATTGCCTAGTATCCCTCGGTCATTGAGAATTGGGTGTTTTTGAATGAATAGTTCCATGGCTGCGTTGCCGCCGTTTAACGTATGCAAAACATGGGCATATCTTTGCATTCTACCATCAACATCCCAAAACTCGTATCCTTGCTCGAATTCTCTTAAGACTGCACTTTCGAAAATGGTCATCATATTAACGAGTTTCGCTTCTCGTTGAAAGAACCCTTCGGTCCAATCGCTTTTACTGAAGGTAAGTAAGTTGGATAGCATCCGGGCTTGCCTTTCTGGATCTCGAAATACTTTGAACACGATAGGTTCAGTATGAGATTTTGCTCGTGCCAAGTCGAAATAGAATGGAGCCAGAGCACCGTAGACTTTTCCAAACTCCTCTCTTGCATGGCCTCGGATACTTCTTACATTCTTAAGAACGTCGAGTAAAGCTGCCGGGTCTTCGTATGGTGACTTCGATTGTGTCGGGTTTAGGCTCAGCGTTTCGAACCCGTCGAGCCTCGATTCTTGGGGCTGCGGAGCTTTATCCGCCTGTGCTTTCCTACGTTCCTCTTCCAGGGCAGCATCGAATATAGTAGTGCTAGCTTGCCTCTCTGCTGTCGGATTCGGTCCACCATTGGCGTTTGTTCGTCCTGCAGCATCTCGTTTCCTCTTCATGGCATCCTCGAACCTCTTCCTAGCTTCCAATTCGTTCCAGCATCCCATGCTCTTAAGTCTGGCTACCCATCTTGTGTCATCATATACCATCTCACGCATGCGTGAGGAGGTTCTTGCGAAGCGGAGGAGGTCCGGAACCGATAAGTAATCGAGGATCGATACTAGAATTTCTACAAATGAAGGTGAGTAGCCATTCCGCTAGTAAGGAGGACGGGTTTCTAAAAAGTAATTAATTCATACCGGCTGGTAATGCCGCCTTTGTATCTAGCATTGAAGTTGCTCGCAATGTACCTAAGATACTCGGCTTAGGCGCCGCGCCGTGTTGAGGCGCTCGCCTAAAGGTAGACATTGTAGCTGGTATCAATTATGGTGGTTACAGCTACATGAGGGAAACAAAAGTACATGCATGTGTCTGCATGCATGTAATTATGAAATCAATGTATTAAAGATGTAAATTTAAAGACGGCGTAAGTTTAATCGCCATTAAGGTTTCTCTAATGTGCGGTCAATCGAGAAAATGCTCCTTTATAGCACTCGGGGTAATAACCGCCTTTCTTGCGTAGGTACATCTTACAGTGGTAGGTATGTTCGCACTTTCCCCCAGCTGCAGGGATCTACAGCGAATGACAGCTGTGATTAGCTGTTGTTTGTTACACAATCACGCCGACAGCCGCCAAGACCGTATCGATACTGCCCACACCGCCTCTTATCTTAGGTTAGTCCCCGCGGCAGAATTCTTACAATGTGGTTTTTTTTCTGGGTCCCTCTAGCTATGGAAATCTCCGTCGTTTTTTTCTTTTTCGTTAACATTTGAGATTCGACGCCGTGAATTTTCTCACGCTCTCCGTTCCCGATTGAAAATCGCCGATTAAAACCTAAAGCGTCTTAGGCTCTAGTTGACCACGTTCTACATAAAAAACCTAAGATACCTAATCTAACCTTCTTTTCAATTGTCTCCTCTCGTTAATTTTCGCAATGGACACTTCCGACGGCGGTCCGTGGAAGAAGCAAGATCCGGCCCAGCTTCGTCGCGAAGCTGAGGCTAAGGGTAAGATTTCTCCTACACGTACCTAATTATCGCACAGACTACTAAACAATCACAGAGGCAAAACTTAAGCGACAGCAAGAACAGCGCCTCCTACGAGCCGAAGCCCGCAAAGAGAAGCGTCATGCTAAATCCGAAGCTAAGCAAGCACGAAAGGCAAACGTTGGTCGAGCTGCGAAATGGACCCCCGAGCGCAAGGCAGTCGACAAGCTTAAGAAGCTAGCCAACCGTCCCCACAAGCAAGAGAAGCGACGCCGGCGCATGCGTCTTCGCGCCGAGAAGCTAGAGGCGCAAGCTATTAAGCTAATGGCGGATGCGCAGAAGGCTCGAGCTCTTGCTGATCTTCTGGACGAGAAACGCGAAGTAAGACCCAATTATGATTGACTATAGCGTCTTCAATTACTAAGTACATATTTAGATGGAGGAGGCTGAGAAGAATAAGTTGTCTCGTGAAATTGAGAAGTTAGCGGCCGACCCCGATAACGATGAATTCATTCCCCTCGATGACTCTAAGCCGGCTACGACCAAGACCGAGGGCGTGGACGCTTCTGAGAAGAAGGCTGACAAAAAGCAAAAGAAGAACAAGGATGCTGTTAAGCAGGAGGAAGTAGTTGAGGCTACTAACGGAGAGGTAGCAGAGTCCGCCGTTGAGTCTGAGAAGAAGCAAAAGAAAAAGGACGCAAAGAAGGCCGAGAAGCGCAAGCGAAAGGTAGAGGAAGATGACTCGCACGACGAACCGGATGTTACTATCAAGGCCGAGGCCATCGCCGAAGTTGAGGCGCCCAAGGAGAAGAAGAAAAAGCGAAAGCTAGAGCAGGCCACCGAGGAAGCTGACTCTCAAGAGGAGTCGAACCAGGTTGAGGCTTCTAAGAAGAAGGATAAGAAGGACAAGAAGAAGCGAAAGGAGAAGCATAGTGCCGAGGAATACGTTCCCACCGCGACGACCGAAAACGAGACGAATGCTAACGGGGCTGAGCAGTGGAACGCCCAAGCACTAGAAGGCGGCGATAAGAGGAAAGATAAGTTTCTTAGACTCCTCGGAGCTAAAAAATCCAATGGCACCACTACCGAAGGTCATAATACCTCCACAACATCCAAGGCGTATATCAACCAAATGCAGCAAGACTTGGAACGCCAGTTTGACACGGGAATGCGGATGAAGCACGAAGGACAAGGTCAGAAACGAGGACTTGGAGCTTGATAATCCACAACCGTGTGTATCTTTATGGAAAAGGCGTTTAAAAGGTCAAGGGTCACGTATACCATATGATTTTTGTCTGCTCGCAATTGCGGCAATATGCATTAGGCTCCTCTAACTGCTTCCTAGCATGGAATGAGGCCACAATTTTCACTAGTATCCAGTTACTTCCCGATTTCTTAATTGAGTTGGACTTGATGCCTGAAATCCGATTTTGGTGGCATCGCTCTCCCCGAGGCCAATTCTTTGGGATTTGCCTAAACAGAACCGTACAGTGTGAAAACGCCTATATTTGTTCTCAAAAACGTGAATTGCTTTCGTAGAGCTAGCGCTCAGGTATCATATAGCTCTCCTAGACGGTTATACATGTGTAGACTTTTGTGTGGCCCCTTATAAAACATCGCAAATTGAACCCATAGCCAGGTTTTCGTGTCTCAAAAAAAATCACGGCCGTGTCAACCCTTGTGTATTCCTTACACAGCAATTCCCCTTTTTGACCGGGACTCATTGACTTCTCGAACAACGTAGGTAGTGCTTGTACACAACAGCAAATGTAGTTCTCTATCGGAAGAAAATGCGGGAGATGACCTCGAATATCAGACCGCCGAAAACAATAAAACCGAGAATTCCTACACACAGGACACAAAAACATATTAGCTTCTAGTGCATAGACGCCCCCGGACGGCCAACAATGAATAGCCAATCGAGAAAGGGAATAAACTTACCAAGCCAAAAGGGAGAAATAGGCGACTTCGCCACGTCTTTGGTGCGTTTCTTGATTTCAGTTTCCGACTTTCCACGACGAGCGTCCTGTTCCTTGACGAACTTGGCGTTCCGCCTTCGCTGTTCTAGTGTTTGGACCTAGATGTTGCGGTCAACAATTTAATCCCCTGTTAATTCCCATAATTCCGCATAAACATACCATTATGTATGTGGATGTAGATAGGAAGTGATCGCACTTCCAAAGGACGTAAGGAGGTAATTGAAAAAGTCGAATGTTCGTATGTAGAAATGGAGGAAATCGGCAGTGGATCGGCGACTCGATTGAATAATAGGCGTATGTACTATGAATTAATTAATACAAAACTAGACCGAGTCGCAACTGGAATGTCGTCCGAAATGCCGCTTTTATATATGAATCGACTAGAACTTGTGGAAAGAGAGTGACAATGTCGTATTCTAGTTAGGCATCTAAGAACAGATTGTTCAGAAAAAAAGTCGAGGAATTGGAGATGTAATTCACTTTCGCATCTGGACATGTGTCTGCAACTTTAAGAGATACATCCCCTATCGATAATGGGAATAGCTCGAGAGCGACAGGGGATCTACATACGAGCGCCCGGTGACACTTACTTAAATAGGTTTAGACTTAGATTTCTCGGTGGATATTCAGCTTGCTACTCCCGAGGTCAGGGTCCTAAGGTTGTTAAGCCACTCCCCGAGTGGGGCTATAGGTACGTGAGCCACATAGAACTATAAACTTCTAGCTTCATATATCGCATTCACTCGAGCTACAGAAGCTCATTGACAATCTATTCCTTTAATATTAGTGAAGTCTAAGAAATTAGTTCACGATGCTGTCCCGGACATCCAGGCGTATAGCGCCCCTGCGCAATCTCAACTTCATAACACGTCACGCCGTCTCCGCACCACGATCTATTTCTCCCCAATCTCAACAGCTCAGACGCACGTGGGCACGCTTCTCATCATCCCAAACTCAAGAGCAATCTCTAAATGTTAGCAAAACTCTCCGCATAATTTAGGAAGTTTGGTGACTCACAACATTTCCTAATTTTAGTCCCAATTTTTCAAAAACTTCGGTCGACCCATAGCTAAGGTATTCTTGCTCGCCATCTTCACATACCAAATAGTATACTATTTCTGGGTACGGCTAGAGCACGATGAAATCAAAAGTGAGATGCGAGGTACGCAACACCACGCTTACCCTATGCCCAGACTTATATAACTAACTCGATTATAGCAACTATATCCGATTTAGAAGCGAGGATAGAGCAGCTCGAAAAAGCGCGGGGTAATCAATGACGGATGAAACTCACCGAATGGGAGTAAACATGAGTGATTGGGGAGTCTCGCAATGAGAGCAAGTCATCCGCACAAGATGACTACGACATGAGTCTCGCCACTATTGATTGAGGGCAACGTACGACATCTGAAATATCCCGACAGTAGGTAATATTTAATAAAAGCATCATCAAAGTTTCTAACACTGTAAATGTAGATAAATGATTCGCGCAACCGCGAAACCGCCCCTCACTTTTTGACTATATAATCAGTCGAGAGCGCTTTATACAAAGAAACAAGATGCTAGATGGTATAAACACCGAAAAACGCCTATGTGATGCCAATTCCTCAATGTTCCCTTTCCCACTTCATTAAGACATGACCAATCATCCCAAACTCGAGCCAACCGAGTCGCTGCGCCCTAACTCAATGAACAACCCAGCGTCATTAATAGTCGGCTATCATAAATGGAGTATCGACAGTATGCTTATGGCAAGACCAATTCCGAGCCAAGAAGGATATAACACACTTGCGCTAGATTGGGGGAAATGTGCCGACCAAGGGTAGTTACACGACAGAGGTCCTGTGTTTCGCCCATACGTAGAGTCGTATCCAAATCTGCTGCCTGGATTAGGACAACTGAAATCGAGCGATGCCGGACAACTCCGTACTAACTCGTAGCAGAGATCGTCGCAAGGCAGTATTTCCTTGTAGGGCCCTGGTTGAACGACTTCATCGATGATGGGATTTCGAGAAGAATTATAAGCTTTGTAGTATTGGTACTTTTCCCTTATGGTCTCGTTCACGAACGTCCCGTCTGAGAAAGGCGCTGCAACATTGCGTATTTGTAGGTACTGTCGATCGGGGGACGAAAAGTCCTCGCATCGTGGTATGGCAACCGAGCAAAGCCAGTTTTTATACGCGTTCTTGCAATCATTGCAATTTCTAGCCAGAGAGTACTGAGCAGTAGAAGCAGCCTCGCATGGAACTTGCTGTAGGGCTTTGTCGAAATTATCCCACATGGTTTGCGTATAGTTTTCATAAAAGGAAGCGAGGGCTGTGGCGTTAGGAAAATTCTTCAAATTACCCGGTACAGCATACTGTGTGTCGGTACACAGGGTTAGATTGAAGATAAATGTACAGGCGCCATCTTGGTTCCCGTTAGCAACTCTTCTATCGTTAAGTAACCACAACGTACTTACTAGCTTTAGTTGAGAAATTGGTGGGCTGGAATACAATGCCACCACCCACACTTGAGGAGTCATCCTGTCGTTTCTGGGTACCTGTCCCCGGTGGACGAGCGAGAATGCCGGTATAGTTAGTAGAAGCATTAAGACCACTAACATAGAACTCCTGCCGAGTGAGGTTCTTATCCCCTCCTTGTTTCAGTCCCATTGTCACCATTCCACTACTGCCATTGTCAAGATTTCTAATCTGAGCATGCAAGCTTAGGCCACAGTACGAGTTGCGCATTCCGTTGATATCTAAGTTGTCATTGTTATGAGCGAAGATAACATATGGCATCTCGGTGATGGTCTGATCCGAAGAATTAGTTAAATAGTTCGTTTGCAGTAAAGCTGCCGACCCGTCGCTATCAACCCATATCAGGTCAGACCCATTATCTTCGCGATATGAATAGTAGTATTGGTCGGTGGAAGCGACAAGTTCGAAATTATATTGTTTTGATGTGTCGAAGAGCTCACTTGAGACGTCAGGGGCAGAAACGCTCATGTAAACATCTTGGCTCGTAGAAACATTGAACATGACAGCTCCTTCATTAAAGACGAGGACCTTCTGCGTATCCGTACTTTGCGACGGTCCTGGAGATGTATTATCGGGCGATGTTGAGACGTAGAGAGTGAGCTGTGGCGGGTCCGGACTTGTGGGATCTGACGAAATACGCCAAGGTTGTTCACAAGTATTCGCTGATATCCACACCTTCTTGGACGACTGCTGTCGGCGCATAAGTTCCGGGTTTATCGCAATATCCTCCTTATCGGCGTCATCGGCGATCGAAGTCGGTTCTTGTGATTCGTTCAGACTTCTTCGAAGCTCAGCAGACTCGCTTGAATATTGCCTTATCCGACTAGTCACTGACGACGCCTGAAGCACATACGTCATAGTAGTGCCGGGGGCAATGTTCGACTTTTCGACTTTGTTGTTTGTTATGGGAACAGCATTGCCTGCGGCTCTGCCTATAATACTTCTGTCGAATAACGCAAATTCCGGTTCGTATGTCGAGCTTCTGAGATCCAATTCCTCTGGCGCCTCTAGGGCCTCCCGTATTTCGTAAGCCAATTCGCGCGCGACATGTTCGGGGGATGGAGGATCGAACTCGGCGGCGAGAGCGAACTGTGGAGAGAAGAGAAAGAAATAGATGATAAGTAAAAGAATGGAAGCTATCATGGACGCAGCCAGCCGCGATTGTAATGGACTCAGCTGCATCCTGATAGCATAGCCCCCGCGGGCATATCACGAAGGTGGAATTGCGTTCCAAGAGCAGCAAGTTGGTAGGCACGAGATTCGAGTAGAAATCTGTCAGCTCAAATAGATCGTACTAAGCGCCACCACGAAAAATGCGGGTTGTTCGTGAGGTTCGGTCGTATTCGAGTAACGGGACGGTCGCGTAGGATAATCGTTTGTTAAGATTGTAATTTTGATAGACAGATTAGGTGTTTGATCCGTACGTGTAGTCAGTAGTAACAACCATTTATCGGGAAGAAAATAGACGACGAGAAAGTTGCAGGTTGTAGGTTGAAGGATTGGAGTTTCACAATTCATAATCCAGAAACACCAATGGCCTAATGGCCGATTTGTTCCTGCCCTGACAGCTGAACATAGCACCTAACTGCAGGGTGAAACAGTGGAACGGAAGCTGCAGGGGTGGGGCGGGCATCGTACTGTACATGCCCACATAAGTACCTAGATACCTAGGGACCTACTTAAAATCGCCTATCACAGTGCAAGACGCGTAAGCCACAGCTAATAAAGAGGTACCTAACATTAGAATAGGGACTTCCCGTCTGCCGTGCTGCATTAGGTAGGTGCATGAAGTATCCGCTTTCTGCTTCGTGTAGCCAAACTCATTATTAGGATGAACTGAAATAGTTTACGATTCATTCAGCCTTCCAATCTACATGTATTTAATATAGAATCTGTAGCTACGAATCTAATAAATACATGTCCACTAGATATAAATTATGTACTTCTACTTCCTACAAGAAAATGGACAGCGCCTTAAACTAACATTGAATACTGCTCACACCCACCTTGATCGCAAAATCCCTCCAATGACAACTAACTTCTGTCAGATACATACATGTGCTGGTATCGCTCTCGCTATCGCATCCGAGACTGTACCTAAACCTTATGATCGGCAAACTTGCCGTTATTCATTGGGAATGGGAAGACCCGACGCCTTGGCTCGCAGATTTGATTCAGGTCCTAGCCCCGTTCCTATAACTTGTCAATTAAATATAAAAGACTGACTTGATCCCATCCACTTTGCTCTTCCTAACTTTTTTTATCACAGTTTTCCAAGTACCTGGTTATCCGCATAGGTATACGAGCTTAGCTGGCACTAGCCCCAAGATGAATCCTACGGTAGCCACACTTGTGGCAAACGGCATTGTCGTGCCGCTCCGCATGGAGTCGGCCCGTCAAATCAGAAGTCCATTGGGATTTCAGGTCTTCCTGTCTCCAATAATCTTATCGTGATGCCTGCCTAGTCAAAGTAGCCTCAAAGTCCGGTACTGAATCCGAACCCCATACGACAAACTCATCATAGTGAACAAGCGAATGCGCAAACCCGAGGCAAAAGACTTCACTTACTAGGATTTATCACCGTTTGGATACTGTGAGAGTTATCGCAGTATTCGTAGGCCGTTCGGATTAGCCCCTCAGCGTTATCAGACGTCATTGTACTATCGGCATGAACGATAGCAACATGCAAGACCACCGCCCACGCGGTCCTCGCTTATATCATAAAAAATCTCGTACTGGTTGTTTACGATGTAAACAGAGACGAGTCAAGGTCAGTCAGAAAAAAACCATGGGGGATTTTTCGTCTGTCATTGAACTTTCAGCCCCCTGAAAAACTCAAGCGCTACCTTATGGGTACAATCCGTAGAACAAGTTCCTAACATCTCCCGCTGCAGTGTGATGAACTTCGCCCGAGCTGCGGTTCGTGCTCAAGACATGCAGTTGAGTGTGTGTATTCGAATTCGGGCCAAATACCTGCTGGAAAAGTGGCGCAAGCCACTCAACAGACCCTTTCCCCTTCGGGTTCGATGTTGGTACCCCCAACGGATGATGGTTCACACTCAGGCTCCATTCCGGGCAGGCTAGGTTCTATCAGCGCTGAAAGTAAATCAGCATACTCACCACAGAGCTCGGCTTTTTATCCCTCTCCAAGCTCATCCCAGCCAACACCCGACGATGGCGCCGACGGCGACATCAGCATGCCCGAGGGGCCTTGGCGACGACATTGGGAACTACGTTTGATACACAACTACCACCAAAACATGGCGCAACCCTTTCCCGTACCACAAAATCCGGAAATTGTTGCCCTGTGGATACACGAGATTCCAAACCTTGCAATGCGAATGGCGCAGCAACATAACCGATGCACTTTGCTTAACGTGATGCTGGCCAATTCGGCCCTGTATATGTATACCCAGAGCACCGATAAACAAGAGCGTGCCGAGCTTTCGAAACTACAATCAACGTACCAGTACATGTTCAGCCGAGAACAACGGCGCGACATCGACGAGCTGACACAGGATATGACCCAGCACGGCGACTACGTATGCTTCACAGCAATCCGAATCTTGGCTCATTCTATAGCCTTAGTTCAGACTTTGACGGTAGATCCATGGGAACCACCGGTTCAATGGCTGTACATGGGTCGTGGCGCCGGCGAAATATTGGGCATGGCACGGAAATTGGTCCAACCTGGGGGCGGTCGCAAAATTGCCATGTTCGCCAGAAGCCCGCCGGATATGAGCGATCCAGACCAACTTATCTACCACGACCATAGTGCGCTCGACTGGCTTTTAGAGCATCCTGCTGGTGCTGGATCAATCGCGGAGCAGGAAGACCGGGAATTAGATGAGGAGAATGTGAAGTCGGTATACGACAAGGCCTTGTCGTTTACTTGTAGCGTGCAGGAAGCAATTGATAATGGTGAACCGGATTATGCTATTGTGAGGAGGTTTGGTGGTTTCGCGATCTGGGTGCCGATCGAATTTACTAGATTTGTTGAAGAAAGAAGACCGAGGGCTATGGTGGTTTTGGCGCATTTTATGGCTTTGTGGCTGAACTATGACCACGTTTGGATGATCGGTCGAGCGGGAGAGATGCAGATTAGGGGGATCTATAAAGTGCTGCCTCTAGAGTGGAGTTACAAGCTTGATGGCTTGTTTGCAAGATTTAAACAACCAGAGGCAGGTAAGTAATGGTAATGTTATTATGATCATAGGACGGAACGGATTTGCTATAATGAAATTTTGGTCGAATATTGTATATCCCTTAGGCGTTGGACATAATGGTTTTAGGTACATATATCTGCCAACTCATCAAGTGTGTTGCCTTTATCATAATACACTACTTCAAAACAGGTCTTGTCTTATTACACCCAATGATTATTGAGCATTGCTATCTAAATAGGGATTCCACTTTGCACCTCTCACCGGCGTGTTAAATCAGTTACTAATCCTGGCTATGTGTTCGTCGGATTGCCGCCGTTATGCTAAGAGACCTGTCGAATGCTTACCAACACTGTGTACTTTGAATAATGACTCGATTAACAATGCGTACTAATGCAGCTTGGTCGCTGCAAGGGATCAAATTGGGGAAGAAGAAAAGGAAAATATATACAAGCCTAAAGGAAGAATAGAGTTGAGAGACTACTAGCTTAGATGTACCCGATCCGATGGGACGGGAACGGGTGGGTCGCACGGATATTGTGGGGTTATCTGATATCGGCATTTTAAACAGCGACTTCCGAGTTTCCAGCTGCAGCTCTAGATAGATCGGCTTTAATCATTCACAATACCTTCCTTCACTACACCACTTTATTCCTCTTCCCTTACTTCGCACCCAGCTCGCCTCATTCACATTACCGAAATATGGTAAGTCACCAATGCCATGACAATAGACTAGATCTACCTTTCTAGAACCCCAAACAAAACTAACAAATCCCCAAATGACGTAGCCACCCAAACGCAAAGCCGCCGCATCCTCTTCCGCGCCGAAAGAGAAACAATCCAAACTAGCGAAAGAGCACAACATATCGGCGCGCGAAGAACGCGAGATCAAGGAAGCGTTCGCGTTGTTCGCGGAGCCTATGGAGGGCGAGAAAGATGGTGTTATACCGACTAAGGATGTGCGACGCGCCATGATGTGAGATACCTGTCCTACCCACGCTGTTCCAATTCCTAGTAGTGGACGCTGACTTGGGGGGTTGATAGCGCCTTGGGTATACCTCCGACGAAACCCGAACTCACAGAATTCCTCGAGATTCTCGACCCCGACGACGAGGGGTACACGTCCTACGAGCCGTTTGTAGCTATCTGCGCTTTGAAACTACATGCCAAAGACGATAGCGGTGGCCCGGGGTCCGACGAAGTAGATGAAGCGTTTAGGTTATTCACGGGGAGTACAGGTGGACAGGGAACTCTGACGCTGGCGCATCTCAAGCGCGTGGCTATGACGTTGAAACAGGATGTTGATGAGCAATTGCTGAAAGATATGATACTTGAGGCAAATGGAGGCGCGGGGATCGGGAAGGGTGTCTCGAGGGCGGAGTTTGAGGGTGTTATGAGGCGGGCTGGAGCTTGGAAATGAGAGTGAAGTGGGTAGAACGCTGTTTCCTCGTGGACTTCTCATCTTATAAAACGCGTTTACGGGCTGGTGCTTAACTGAGTACTTATGTCTTGGTAGCCGGACGTACGTATTCGTCACTTCACGCGGCAAAGAATGAGACGGATATCACTACTCATCGGCTTGCCATTAGACCGGTTTATGTAAGTTAATCCTTTAGGTAATTGAGGAGTTTATACTAAGAATCTGTCTAACGGTCTTTTAGGGGGCGAATAGGGTTTCTCCCTTGGAGTCATAACCTTATCATAATGAGACTAAAGGCGGTTTTAAGCTTGTAACCCAGTTTCTCACTAACAACAGTCACCAAATGAATGATCAATCGTTGTAAAGCAGAGATACTGGGGTTGTTGCAGGATGATAATCAAGTGGCGCGTTTAGATTTAAGTCATATCAACTCTACGCTTGCTACAATATAGTAACTTAGGGGCTTATGACGCGGTCGAGGCCAGGAGCCAGTAGTTGGCCATGATTCGACCTGAAAACAATCGATTATACATTTGGGCTGAATATCTTTTAAATATACATGAGATCACATACTACAATCCAAGAAATTTCATTACCAGTTATTATTTTGACCCAGAAGACTTCAATTCTCTTATATTTGACATCTATCTCTTTTCAAGGAGTTCTTAGGTACCTAGGTAGGTAGGCGGTCATTATCCATTATGAACGCCGTAAAAATGCAGCCTTGCCTCGCATAGTAAATAGAAGAGGGCTTCCGCTGTGGAAGCAGCAAATCCATACAACCAATGCGTATGCGTAAATACACTCTGCGAATCGTTAAAAGGTGGTCATAAACCGAATAGTTCCGCTATTTGCTGATAATCCAATTCTTTCTGCTTCCATACGTCGTAATATTTCATTTTCCATTTTGAATAAGCACATCTACTCAGCCGGCGTAACGGTAACGTTAGCATTCTTGTTAGCAGCAGCAGCTTCCTCAGCTCTCTTCCGAGAGTCGAGGACAGCCTGTAGCTCAGGTGGCGGGTTAAAGCCTGGGTGGTCTGAGTGCTTCTTGTAAAAGTAATTATCGGACTTTGGGGTTAGCTCGGGAGGTAAGTCATCGAGAACAGCTTGTAGCATGCCATCAATAGACTTCTGCTTCGACGCGTCGCGGTGCCAGATCGAGATGAGGTGGGAGTTGAATCGCACAGATAGGCCGACACCACAAATTTGGTCGCCTTCTTCCAACGCCTCTTGTAGCTTCTCACCGATCGCCATCAATTGGATTCGAGTCCAAAAGTCCGGCCCTGAGCTCTTGGGTACGCGGAATGTCCAACTACCACCCAATACATTACGACGGTCTTCCCAGATAGGTCGGAACCCGCTCTTGAATAGGTAGATAGATTCGCGCATCTTGATCTGGTCGACCGGGGTATTGTTGTTGTATCGCCAGAAGTCTTGGACGGATTCGATCTGTGTTCCCAACTGTTCTAATGACGCCTGGTAATTGCTCTCGTCTTCCTTCTTCTGCTCCTTTGCTTGTCTGTATAGTAGTAATGCATCAGAGGAAAATGTTCGTAGCATGGAGTATTCTCGTATAAAATACCTGTCAAAGTAGACATTCCAATAGTGTTGGGTTGGCAGCGGGCGCATAGTCTTGAATAAGTTGCGCTTCGCATCGTCTCGTTGTTCGGCGGGCGAGCTGACATTCGGGGAGTTGGCATCGGTGCTCTGGGAAAGCGACGAAAGCCCCCTCGTGAAAAGCGTCGGTCGTGCAGCCATTTTTACTGTCAGTTTGACTTTCTATTAGCCTTACAGAACCAAGTTAAACTGTGAACGTCCCTTATAGTTAATTGTACTCTAAGGAGGGGTTGGACGTTGGTTGATGAGACAGGACAGGACAGGATGGGATGGTGGGGTTCAATATTGCCAAGACTTTCTGGTTCCTGACAGCAGCACGTAACAGCTCGTTGGTTGCTAAAAAGTGCTAAAACCTGTAGGTCTAGTTGGGTATTTGTAGTTCCCATCCTGCCAGTCTCAGGGGAAAGGGGGCTAAAGGCTTACAATGCTTACAATGCGAGACTGGTCACTTATCATAAGTCGCAAAGGTAAGATCGAGATAGAGAAAAAAGACAAAGACAATGCGTTGTCTCCCAGAACAATCCAAGACCGTTAAAAATAAGGGATGAGGACAAGAAAAGTAAAAAGAAAAATAGGAAAGATGAAGGTGATACTTTAAGAAAGAAGCTCAAGCTTGAGAATTATACTGGATCGCCCACTGGAGATCATTAAATCGATGCCGCTATAGGTACCTACCTGGGTACTATAATATGGTGCTGTAGTATGTACGGTACCTAATATAATTCAGGGGGGTTGCTAAGTACTTCTGAAACAGGCACGGCTGGGTTTCACGAACCGCTATGTGTGTGATCGCTAACACGCTGTCTGACCTCACTTGTCAGTGATGTTAGGTACATCAAATAGGGGAACTTATTAGCGGACGAATGAGAATGTAAATACGCCTAATTCTACTAACACTTTTAATTCTTAGAAGATGCTGTACCACCTAATAGTGCACCAACAGTACGCCAATTGAATCTTAATTCGTACAATACAGAAGGCTATTTGACCATTTTAAGTTCCAGAGAGGTAGCGACTTTCAGTTAAGACAACAGCTGAATTAGATCGCTAACAGGTACTAAAGCTAAAGATTTAGGCCTATTCTCCAGCGGGACTCAGCCGCACTTCGCGCCTTAGACATCACGGGTAGCTATTAAATAGAACACCCCTAAAGCACGCCAGAAAGTCAATTCGAGATGCAGCAGCCATATTTTACACAAATTCGTCCCATCTGCACTTTTGCAATCGATTCCGATTGATCTGATAATCCAAAGTCAAAATCTCATACCGCCAATGCAATCCTTTACCCCTGATATCCAAGACGCTTACTATCCTCGTATTGCCCAGCCCCTTATTTTTATATAGGACTTCCAACGAGATAGGTACGATGCAGATAGCCAAATCATGAAGATCTAAGTCTACAAAATACGATCGTACGATCGGAAAACAAAATATGTGCCTACCAAGTACCTCTTGGTCAGTTGAATAAGCTATCATCACATGCCTAGGTACTTGTTCTGTCTCTTCTAACGTGTGAAAGGAAGAATACATAATTGTCAACGGACAATATAAATACGTAGAACTATGGGATTATCGTTTTGCTCAAAGGCCTAGCATATCCTTTGAGGTAGCTTACACAATCACTAGAATTAGCACATATCTTTTGAACCATATGTGCACTTCAGCAGGAACATAGTCTCTTGGTCTGGGGTTAGGCTTATACGCACTTTATCGTTTTCGTTCCCGTTTCTCTTCACAAGCCGTGGCATACGGTAAGTCAAGAGTTCTATCCTAAACTTCACTTCAAGACATGCGCCAACCAGCAAAAACACGAAAACACATAAACTCGATCACGATCAAACCCATCCTCTACATCACTACCCACAAAAAAAAAAAAAAAACAATCAACCTTGAACCAATGGTATACGCTGTATTGATGATACTAATAATTACACTTTCTAATAGTTATTGCCGTGTTCTGTGGTATCCGCTATAAGCAGAGCATGATCTGCTTTCTTATGATATATGTACGTCACATCCGCCGCCACGGCTTCCAACCGTCTCATCTTCGTCAGCTTCGTGAGAAACCGCCCGTGTATGACTCGGCCATGTGCATGAAGCTGACCTCATCTGGAGTAGCATATTCCAGACCGACCAAAATAGCGAGAACGCCGAGCTTTGGCATCGACGTCCGATAGGTATGTATACAAAGGTGTTCTGGGAACAACGCTACAAGGTACCAACATAGCAGGCCTTCTATTCACCACACGAGATTTGAAACTTTTTTTTTTTTGAATTGGGTTTCATTGTTCTTTTTTTGTAGTTATGATAAAAGATACAAATCGTAGAAGTTCGGGGGTTCGGTAAAGTGACGTGCTATACGGCAACTATTCGTTGACACCTATCAGGGTATGTCTGCTCCTCCAGCCGGCTCTTTATGAGTGGGCTATAGTTATGACTCTTCTCATCTCGACCGAGTCTCTTGCCGAATGCCTTGGATTCGTAGAGAATGGCTAATAATCGTCTCCTCCATCTCGCCTCCACTGGCCACCGAATGCTGCTTTATATAGAATCAATGGAACCGAAAACCCCGACGAGATCAATAACGATCCCGGTGATTAAACATCAACCTCCTAGAGCGGCATTTCCTTCCTTCCTAATGAACCCTGATGGAATCCCAAAAACTAAAGAAACGAAATGTACGAGCAATCCAAAATCGTTGAATGGTACTCGAGGGTATGGGTAAGTGAACGGGTGTTAGATCTAGGTCCGCCGAGAGCAGACCAAATGGGATAAACTTGGTCTGGATCGCCCACGATCGCCATGATGTATGGCGAAATCGTTCGTGCTGGTTCAAGCCTGATGGGCATGATCTGTATTCGACCGGATGTAAATACGATAAAATTTTGGAGGGCAATAGCCATTTCTCATAACAATCCATTCAACGGTAACAAGGAACAAAAGAGAGCCGTAATGCTGAGCAAAATCAGTGGTATCAGAGCGCAGGACGCCAATGTTCGTGCTATGCTTGCTTTCGCGATGCAATTCAACTCATGAATCAAGTCGACCAAGTAGACATTATGCTAAGAACGCCATGCGAAATGAAAAATGACGTGAAAAGTTATACCGGAGGGCATGGTCATTGCGACGCGGCAACACACCAATGACGATGGAAAGCCCAAGCACTCTTCTGGCACTCTTTGCTGCAGTACTTGGTTCGGCGGCAACGACGGCACTTAGCAAATTGTCGCGTGAATTCTTCCCATTTACCACATTGGTAATAGGCACACTGTCGAATGCCGCCTCGAGTATCGTCCTTGCGGCAGAGATTCCGCATAACAACCCCCGCCCAGTATTGCATGTCAGTGCTGTGATATCGCACCGTAAACTTCTCGACCAGGGGAAATATGTTGAAGTCATTGGGCAATAGATATTCTTCCTCGTACTCCTGTTGACCCGAGGACTCCACTGTCACGTTATCCCCATCAAGTAATTGTAACTCCTTGCCTATTTGGAGTCTTGGGACTAAGTGGCTCTTTTGAAAGTATGACCTTAAATTGCAATATTTCGAAACATAGGCGAGTAGTTGAAGGGACATCAATACGTCTTCGTCTCTTGGCATTGCTGCTAACATCTGTGGGTTTGGTGGTGTTGGTCGGTCTAAAAGGTAACGAGGTACACTTGCATGGTTCGGAAGAGAAGGCTGGGGAGTCGGCATAAGAGGGCGGTTAGGAGAAAGACCCATAGTCGGTCCAGGCGCCGGTGGGTTGTTTGGAAGACTACCATCCATAGGACCTCTGTGTGTTATATTGAACGTCCCAGCATCGGGAATTTCGGAGACGGTTGGTGTCGCTAGGTCAAGAGCCGCACCAGCCAAAGTACTATCCCCTTCCTCCATGGCAATATCCTGGAAGCCAACCGCGGCTGGGATATCGGCGGTACCCGACATCTCTGCATCCTGTGATTCGTCCGATTGAACACTGTCGGTCGCATTTAAATCATCTGTATCCGTAGTTGAATTTTGGTGACGTATAGAAGGGCGCCTTCGGGGTCGTGAATTTGGTGCTAAAGCTGAAGTTGGACGAACGGTTGGGGAATGGATTTGTGGCGGAGGTAAAGGAGTGGTTGGGGATGTAGGCTGTGATGGTAAACCCGGATGGAAAACAGGCACCATAGACGGAAGTCGGTCGATGTCTCGGACGGGACGAATAAAACCATCAACTGCCTCCATTGTCGGAACCGCACTAGCTAAAGGCTGAATCACCTGCCTCGACGGAGACGCAATGTTCTGACGGCTTTCATGTCTGTGATGGTGATGATGGTGGTGATGGTGGTGGTGATGATGATGATGACGGTGGTTGGGGAGATTCGGCCGATCCGGAGGGGATGTAACAGGAAACGATGGAATAGCTGGTATAACATCAGTACTTCCTTGACCTGCGGCGGCGGCGGCGGCAGCAGCCGATGTGCTTGCAAAGGAAGCGGCTGTGACGTCGATAGACGGCGGAGGAGCCTGTCGACGGAATGCTCTTTGCTCAATATCTATACGTGTGGCTCGATTTGTAAAAGTTGACTTAAATGGAGGGTCCCGATGACTATGACTTCGGTGGCGCTGGTGATGATCGGCGATCTGCTTTTGTTTGGCTTCTTCGGCCTTCTCGCGACACTTCTCGATGACTTTGATGTAGTTGTCAAGTATAGTCGCGATGACGGGGACCATGTCAGCCTCGACAACCCGAGTCCTTACGTTCTCAGTTCCGCGAACTCCTATGTTAACCACACACTGGAAAGCGAGATTCCATTTCCACATGTCCATCATGTCTTTGCTCCGCCCCTGCTTTAGAATACATACTAATCTCTCGATGCCTCCATCGACCGTTAGAATGTCGCGAATGCGTGCTGATGAAGTAGTCAGGTAGGCAAGATGGTTGAGTGAGTTAATGAGAGGCAGTGTCGAAGTGCAGTCAAGAGCTCGACGATCATACAGGGCAGTGGTGATGCCCACCGACGCCTTATTGACGTTGGGGATACTGAAATTGACTTCCCTCATCTTGCGCAATAAAGAAAAGTCGAAAAAGCACCGATGATGATTGTAGAATTGGGCGTGGTTGTTAGGTGTGGCTCGATGGTACAAAAGCGTCTGTGAGTGGTAATGACAGCCCCGAACAACGGTTTCGCTCTAGCGGTCGTAGCTTGCCTATTGTCTAAACGCAGGCCAACTCCTCGAAATTTTGTAATGAGTTGAACGCGTTTAACTTAATACAGAAGTTGGATGTAGAGTACGAAAGGTATGATAAGAATTGTACGATTGCAGCAGTGGTCGGAAACTGATGCCTTTGAAGAATGCGTAATAAGAAAACCGAGTCTCTTCTCAGTGCAATTGCAACCTCGCAAGTTTTACACTCCTATAGAAACTCGCGACGTATTGATTCTGAACGATAGAGTAGGATGTCGGTCGATGACTCTGTGATACCCGGCAGCGGTTTTAGGACGACGGTTGATTAGAATAGGATTAATTGAGTTTTCTAAATCCGAATGTTCGATCGTGACTCGACTGGTGAATTTGCCCAAATGCCTCAGACCGCCCCCCGTTCTACTCTAGGGTGTCTTGGCTTAGTTCGATGGATGGTTGGAAAAACGAGATATGGAGGCCCGAATCTCCAGCGCGACGGACTCTATTCGAAGATGAAGGTCCCCATCCAGATCGAAAGATAGGAGTAGAGACGGAAGAGGATGATGATGATGAAGGACGAAACTCGGACTGCTAGGGGTGTGGATGGTGAGGAGAGGATGAGGAAGGCAGAGATACGTTTCGGGGTTGGTGAGATGGTTGGTGTATCGGAGGAAAAAGATGAACTACGCTACCTGAACTAGGGGGAGAATTTCAGAGTGGTAGGAGTGGTAAGGAAAGGAAAGTGGTTCCCTTCCGGGTACATGTCTGTGTTGCAAAAAAGAGGCGAAAGGCGACTGGCGACTGTGCTTGGCCTAGGCTAAGGGGTATATTGGGGGGGACACCTGCCAGGATTGTCAAGTGCTTCTTCCTACTTTAGTTAACTGTTGTTACTTTGAACTCTCTGCTTCTTGGGTCGACATAATGCTGGGAATAATGCAATTGCAGGCACGCTAATGCCTTTAAGTTCTATTAGAGTAACCTGCTTGGTCACCTTGTAGGTGGGTTGTTCCACTGGTGTCCACTGATCCGGGCTGGGCTAGCCGCTAAGATTAGTACATCAGCATACATATTAGCACTTGCATTCTTCTACATAAGGTTGGTAATAACTCCAGAGAGGAGGTATGTACCTAACATACATGCTCCAGAAGGTATGACCTGCCACAATCGCACACTCTTTTTTACAGTGGGAGCCACCTATCTTTTCCGGCGAGCTGGGTCGAGACTCGAGTAAGAAGTTGCGGCGAATCCGACATGACATCAGAATAGGTATCCGCTATGGGTAGAAACATCCTTGGAAATTTCTATGCACTTAATAAGCTCTTTTTCTAATTCCTTGGTTTTTTTCTATTCGAGAATTTGTATATTCCTTCGGTTATTGATGGTTTTTGTTTTCATTGTTGAATTTGTATCGCATTGCGTTAGATATACGTGTATAGGTAGGGGATAAATTTTCTGCGATAATGGAAATTCTTCCAGGCCACTGTCAGACCCTGATGTCCCTTACCAGGTCCACTGAAGCGGGAGCGCTAATAACTCTACTCGTATGCCTACAAGGTACTTGTTACCCATTGAAATTTCCAATGTTCTATTTACGTACGTGTAATACGTATTTGCTTGAACTTATATAGAAATTAATTAATTGGTTGATTAATTCTAGAAGGTAAAAAGTAAAAAAGGAATGATTGATCAAACTGAAGAAATATTCAACTAATTAGATCATCATGTCTTAATACAGCACGTAAGGCTGCAAATTATTTTTCAATTTATCAGTATTTCTCATTGGTGGGTACAAGGTACTGGAAATATTTTGGCGGGTGGCCATTGCGATCAGGAAAAATGCTATACTACACTACATGAGCTCATCTGCCCATACATGTAAGCTATAGCTTATAATTGCACGTTTATTTTAAACTTTACAGGCAAAGAAAGTTTTCAAATACCGCAGTAAGCGACATATACATAAGTCTCTTTTTTTTCTTCCCTTCAACATGTTATGGTGGCAAGACTTTCAAATCTCTTTAGTTGCGATGGCTTCCGAAATCTTACACGTGCAGATATTTTTAAGACCACCCGACATGTCACGTTGTGCGACTTGGCTAAGGTACCTGTTCGCCCCTTACAGAATTTATAATTGCTAATTACGTATTTATGTATTCCATTCGATTGACCGAAACTATTAACTTGGAAGTTGTTACAAATGTATGTATGTTGGCTAAGAGATTAAGTATGATGACGATTCTCTCTTTAAACATACATACGTCAAGAATACATGTATAATTTCTTAAATATTTCATTGGTACCTGAAATCAAGGTTAAGCATACATCAAATTGTATAGCTACATACATAACGTATGTATGTACTTACACACGTAGGTAGATATAGAAAGACTCGCCGAGCCGTCCCCGCTTCGGACGATCCCTTTCACGATCCAGGACCGGGGATTAGATGCCGCCGAAAAAGGAGGTTGGTAATTTCTCCATTGGGCTTCACATCTTTTCACATCGTAGCTCGCCCATGTTTAATATTAGGTAGTAATAATTCCTCGATAGTATGGTTTTTTCCTAAATTCTGGAATGTCTGTGTGTCTTCCGCCATATATCCCGTGTCCGTGCCAGCGGGTTTACCATGCTTTTTTCCATCAATGATCCTCGAACAACTCGCGGTCCGTGTGTAAATATAACGTGCTAGGAGTTTCTTATTAGTATCGTTGGGCTGACATGCTTGAATTTCCCGGCCAAGGTCTCTCTCTCTCATGTCTTGGCGCTCGCCCCCCAATCCCATCCCCCATCTTGCTCATCAAACAGAAAGATTTACCACTCCCGAACCCATGGAGAATTATTGTATGATCACCGATTATGCTTATAACTTAATGGGGTAATGAGAGATGGCACCAAGGAACTGAGATCTCAACTTTCTAACGCTTTTTGTCTCCCCCCATATCTCTCGCGTTATACTACACCTCACATCCACCGAAGTACCATTGCCTTGGAAGTGAACGATGGGTTGGCATGCAGTTAGCTGTCTCTATCGGGGGCACTAATGCACTCTAGGTCAAGCCAATCGTCACCGACCACCCTAGTTGAGACAGCGGAGATGGGGTCGGAGACACAACCAACTGCTTGCATACATAAGAGAAAGCTCAGAGGCTGACCCGGCATCTTCGAGTTGGGAAGATGAAGAAAGGATAGTCTAGAGCCATCCCAGAGCACTCTAGGGTTACATTATCAACACCTACTACTGTATGCACGTTGAATCGCGTCACGAATTGACCCTTGGCACGGACTTCAGAATAGTGGTTCGGTTCCAGCCATTTTGCCCATTGATCAAAAAGAAACGGAGTTTCCGTTGGGAGACTAAAGGATAGCGAGCCGCACATTTCATTACTCCTTGATTAGTGTATGTAAGTCCTTGTCTTTGCTAGTTTCTCTTTTACCTTCATGATTCAAGGAACGCCTCGTCAATGGCAAAAAAAAGTCCGATGTATGCATCTTCATATTAAATTCGGTACCTGCATGCTGAAAGGTAGTCTAGGACTTGTGGGTAAGGTGTATAGGTAGAAATGGATATATACATGTATTATTTCTCGTATATATGACGGAGTACCCGTAAGGCGTACCGGGTCTCGCTCGGGAACCCGAACTCTTCCTTTTCTTAGGTAAAAACACACGTCGTTCTGGATCCTTCGATCGTAATCATAATCAATTCAGCAAGAAGTCTCTTACTAAGACCAATACACGGCCTTATCACGAAGCCTACCTTGCTCGGACATACGACGCAGTTCCAACAATATTCCGAGTGAGCCTAACATTACATTGATGACCCGGTCTCCATCGTAGGTCTAAGACCGTGACCTATAGAATAACGAGACCGTCAAGCAGGCTGGCCATTAGTACGCGCGGCTAAATTGCTATGTCTGTGTCCTTGGAAATAACCGAACGGCCAAATTACAACCTGCGTAGCGCGTTGGAAGAAGTCAATTCAACATTTTCTTAAAAATTCTCCTAATGGCTCATTTAACGCTCATCCAGTTAGCTAACAAGATAGCTCACATATATGTTAGATTTGCATCACGGACTTGCAGATTAGCTTGATCCTCCCGTTCTATGAAACGATTGGCTCTGACAAGCATCATCCTTTACGACTTTGCGCCTCTTTCCGCCCCCTTAGCAGCGCTTAAGCAGACCAATCCATCTGTTCTAAATGGCCCCGATGCTGGCCGAATCAGCCGCGCCTTGGCTAGGTACCTACCTAGGTAACGAATGATCACATTTTCACCAGCCATCCGAGACAACAAATTCCTTTTGTCTCACCACGCTCCAACCGTTGACGTCGGTGGAGTTCTTCATGTGCGCGAGGCTGGGTTAAACGCGTACCAATGGATCCTACGAGGAGGATCTTCATGCGCTCTGTGCGTTTGGATCTAATGTAGTGGACAGCCACGGTACCAAAGTGACGGCTTCGCGGGCCTAACGGGTCTTTTTCTTTGGAGATGGTCCAGCACGAAGAAGAACAGGGTTGGCTTAGACCGGGTAACAAGAAGCCAAGACCTCGCGAGTTGATGTTTCAAGTTGCAATGGCGTAGGTACTTAGATCTAGGGTCGCATTCAGCAAGCCTCTTATCCGCCACCAAAAAAGGCGCCCATCCAACATCTACAAAAACCCCATCATGAATAACTTAATAGGATCTGAACCTTTTCCCCAATTGCGCCATCCGGAGTTTGAGGGTCGAACGTACACCACCCCTGATTAAGGGATCTCACGCCTGATTTAGCCTCATAATACTCACCGCTGGTTAAATGACTTGTCTCTGATTATTGAAGCTTTATGCGCCCTAGGTTACTGCGAGTTGGATGAAACGTCGCTTGTCTCGATGAGATTATTACTTACATGGGAAATGCAACGACTTCAAGCAGAGTCCCGACATCTCGGCACCCAATTCCGATTAAGTACCTAGGCATTCTTGCATTACAAGGGCAAATTGATCTATCTAGGTACCCAAGTCTGTGAAGCTATAGCACGAATGAGAGTAGAAAGAATTTCCTGGTCGGTCCTAAAATCGAATTATAAACCTCCAGAGGGCTCGAGACGGCAGTAGTAAGACTCCAGAGATTTATAGCTAACGCACGTAATTCAGCTACCGTCTCTTACAGTCCTCTTTGAGCATTTAAAACAGGCAATTTTACTGTCCTGATATGCCAAATATTCGGCATAATGTGTGATGATTTTCGATCATCTGATCGGTATTCGTCATGCTAGCAATGAGATGAACTTTCTCATACGAATTATCACGACTCAGGCTGGCTTGTTTGTCGCTATTACGCATTAACCAAGCAGATCAGGAGCCTTATCGTTAATACTCTGCATTATACTCATGTTCGCTATGCAGCGAGATCCAGTTCAGACGAAACTATTTAATAGGACCAGGGTATACTGTTAACACCCTGGTTCCACTCGTAAGCTTGAATCAAGCAATAACATCCATTTCCGGTATCTAGTCCAAGTCTAGGAATATGATAGAAAGATGACGACCATCTATATTCCTAGTCAATAGTCTCAATATGGTAACACATAAATGCGTTGCTCAATACCTAGTAGCCCCCCTTAACTACCTAGGTAGACTACTGCACCTAGTAGTAATCCCGTTGCAGGGCTGCCCTTCGTCATCCCTAGTGATGACCACGAGGCGCATAAGAGATTGTGATATTAGTTAGCTGAAGTCTTCATGCTGGCGCCTTTCAGTTGATTAATCAAAGCATGACGTCTTCTAAACTAGGTTATATTGAGTATCTTATAGATAAACTATCAGCTTCGTGTTGGGAAGATAGCAACTCAGATATTGGTAAGTCATGTCTTAAGTGTACCTAGGGCAGAACTTTTGAACAAGGAGACATATGTCGGGCTCAGTTTGCATATAGATCAGTAATTGCAAAGTAACCCACCTGATATCCCAGTATCAAAATACTCATGCGTATAGTTGAAATTATGTTGTGATATATCATACCCACTGCATTTCTTCTCTTCATACTCAGTTTAGTACTGGTGCGTTGAGGCAGAGGCGTGTTCTATGGCATGAGTAGATCGAGAGTGGAATCATCCAAGAATAGTAGAAACCCTAATCTCTAGAGCTTGGTTGCTTTAACTACATTGAGATTATTAGCGCTCTTTGCTGTATTAGTCCGGTGATGCTAATAATTAATATCAAACCGAGGGCATAAGCTAGATTATCATTCCTCATAACAATGCTAAGCTTAAGTAATACTGGACGCCCGAAGCTGTCCTCAGTTTATTTATTTGGTTATTCACTTCATATTATTAACCAAAAGGCCAAAAGGGTTTCTAAACCCCGGCTATGTCGCTCAATCGCTGCTAATTTTCGCATGCTTAAAGTACTTCATACCGACCCAGGCCACAACAACCCAGACCCAGGCCATAATACAGGTCAATATAATCAATGCTGGGTAATACCCGATTATCGGTAATGTCGGGTCATCCTCGAGCTCCGGGGGTGCATACGGCGTCGTTCCTACATCCCAGGCCCAGCTCCAGACATTTAGACAGGATCCCATTCCTATTACGAACACGAACCACGTTACTGTTAGAACAACCCATCCCCACCACTCAGTCTCGCTGTAGTCGTGATCCTCGTGCGCCGCGGGAAGTGGGCTAGCTGTCAAGCCCTGGAGTGATAGCGGCGACTTGGCATGTTTGACCGAACGTCGCCGCTGTATAGAGCCATTTGATCCACGATTCGGGAAGTAAGAATCCGAGCCGGAGGATAATGAAGAGAGCTCGGGACGAAGGGGAGAGGGAGCTCGGATAGGTAATGAAAGAGCATCCTCCTCGTCCGTTGTAGATGTATATGAGATCGTCGGACTCGTCATTTGCGACTCGCTCTCGAAGGCCTGCAATGACGAAACCGGGGCAGCATCTCTCCTAGCATAACCATCCATAGAGGGTCGGGGGGTTACGTCCGAGATCCCCAGGCCATAGCCCTCGTCGGCCGCCATCGGTTGCGGCTTAGGAGTCGTTACCGGATCGACGGCAGGTTGTAAAGCTACGGACGTATCAATAGCTAGAGGCTTCATCTCCCGCCTCTCTCGTGCCGCGCCCCGGCCCAGGAGGGCAACTTTCCGCAACGACCCCTTTCGCTTCCTAGTCTTCTGTTGTTGGGAAATAGCGGCGAGTGCTCGAGGCGGTCGACTCGAAGGATCTTGATTTGCATCTGCATGTCGCGATTCGTTTAGGCTCGCTTTGCTATCGGAAGTGCGCAAGAAAGGAAACTTAGACAATATGCTACCTCCAGAACCACTTCTTTTGCGGCCCCCTGCCGTTATATCCGGTGATGGCGTATTAGCTGCTTGGCTTTGTGTTTGGATTGGAGGTACGTTCTCCATTGTTTATCGGATTTCGGGCTTCGCTGTCCTTCAAATCGGGGGAGTGTCGTTACGTTTCCCATCGTGTCTTATCGAGTAAGAAGATCCATTGAAATTAAGCGACCGTTGATTTTCATTACACATGCGAATTGACGTCTTCTTCGCTAAAAGGCAAAAGAAGGGGAAACCCCCGCTTTCAATGTGTTAAGTTTCCCTCCGGATTTGTAATATGCTGGGAATTGAACGAAGGTGGTGGAAAATCGTAAAGTGAAAGTCGTGGATTCTCGATATTTTGGTGTAGGTAATGTACCTGGAAGTTGTCAATGGAAGGATAGCGTGTGTAGCGGCTCTTTTTGGCGTATCCGACAAGCCCCTCGGTGCCTTCCGCAGAGAATTAAGCTTGCTGGCCAACTCCAAAACACGCCAATGAAATAGCGATGTGGTTTGTGCACTTTCTTCGGTACGTGAAACTACCTATAGTCTGGGGCATACGTAGGGGTAAAGGAAGTAGAGTAAATGTATATAGCTAAGAAACTTTAGCGCATCTTATCCGCTAGGCAAAGTCAATTCATGCGACGTCAACAGCGATTGAACCAACTGAACCAACTCAATTTATCCTCCACATTCCCGATTTCCATTTTGGATATTAAACCACTAACTGCATACGACTCCCGAAACGGGAAGAAGCACACACACACACACACACATCAGCTCCGATCTTTTTGAGACAGGAGAAACGAAACGAAACAATTCCAGACCCAGACCCATCTCTATCTATCTAATCTGTACCTACATATGGAACCGAGATGAGGTCGACACTCCAGCGTGTCCAATTATTATACGGGAATACATTGCCGACGTGGGTAACAAAGTAACAAAGTAACAAAGCATTTGGTCCCCGTTCTATTTTATTTATCCTTCTAAATCGGGATAAGCGTCGAATTGGTCGGGGATGGCTCCTAGCAGCCGTCCACCACCTCCAATATCTATCGTCGCTCCTACTATCCAAACACCCGACGATCACGATTACGACTTCGACGGTGACGAAGACGGTCGGAGCGATACTAATTATTCATCCTACGAGGGTAATAGCCTACTCACACCCAATCGCGACGCTTTCTACGATCCCAATCGCTTGTCCCCTGTAGCTCCAACTTTCCAGAACAACGACTTCTTTCTAAGTCCCAACATGGCCTCTAGCTCAGGCGGTCTCAACGAGAATGCATCACCAATCGATATCCCTGGCTCGTCCAATGGCGGCGCCGCCCCGAATCCCTTCAATTTCCAGACTCAGATAATATCTACCTCCCCCGTCAAACCCAACGTCGGTCAACGTCGCGGTCACAAGTACAAACACTCGAGCATCAGCGCCCAGCACCAGATATTCCAAGAACCACCTCCACGACCACCCCTCGCCTTACCTCGCGATCTGCCCATACCCACAGTAAGGGAAGCATGGAAGTCAATGTCAAAAGACCAACGACGACGGTTATACTGGTGTACATGCCACCTCTTCATCGCCATATCCGTATTCCTCTCCGCCCACGGGTCCCTAGCCATGACAGCCCTCTCCCACCTAGTATTCTTCGACGTCGGGTCCGCACTAATCTGCGTAGCCGTCGACGTATTCGGGAACTTCGAAGTATGGAAACGAAGCAGCATCCGCCATCCCTTCGGCCTCGAACGCGCCGAAGTCCTCGCCGGTTTCGCGCTTAGCATTTTCTTAATCTTCGGCGGTTTCGACCTCGTCAGTCATAACTTGAAACATGTGCTTGAGGGTAAAGGTGGACATGCTCCGCATCACCCCGATCCACATGAGGAGGAGGGTCCGAGAGTGTCGCCTGGAGGCCTGGATATGGCGAGTCTGGCGGCTATTGTGGCGACGTTGGTGAGTGCGTATGGGTTGAGGAATCATGCGAGGATTAGTAAGGTCATGCGCGTCAGTTATCTTGCTAGTCTACCCAGTGTCCTGTCGAACCCGTTCCACTTCCTCACATTATCTACCTCCGCGCTCATGGTACTCCTCCCGCTCCTCGCGATCCCGGTCGACGGTCTCCTCGACAGCGCGGTCTGCGGACTCGTCGCTATTGCTATGTTCGCGCTTGGTCTCCGACTGGCTATAGCCCAAGGTCTCATGCTACTCATGAGCTATGGCGGTCGTTCCGGCTCAGGTAGTCCGGGCAAGAATAAGGATATCGGAGTCGCGGATGTGGTACGCGAGATCGAGGCTGAACCAAGTGTGGAGAGGGTCGAGGAGGCACAGTTCTGGCAAGTGCATTATGGCCTCTGCATGGCTAATCTCAAGCTCTCGGTAGCTAGAGGTTGTGACGATGCGACGTTATGTCGACTGCGTGCACGTATACAGAATCTTGTGCAGAATCGTCTTGGCGAGGGGTATGGAAAAGGAGGGAGTTTGCGGTGGGAAGTTAGTCTGCAGATGGGCACGACGAACAGATTTTAATGAACGGCGCTTTTTTATTGAGGGTGTGTACATTACGGTCGGTCTGGATCATATCATCGGCGGTGTTTGGTGTTGGCGTCTGCTAGATTCATGTTGGCGGGCAAAGACGAAAACAAAACTTAGACGAGACAAGATCGGGGGAGGGAGGAGAACCGGCGCCACGTATACATTTTGGTCCCTTTTTGTATATATCTTTAAGGGGTGAAGACACTGTACATATCTTTACTAAATACTTCAAAACGAGGGGAGAAATATAAATACGGCATTTCTCTTATATCTAACAGGGAGCTTAGGGTATGAAGTGAGCATACATTGATACTTTAACGTCGAAGGTTTGTTGTTGTAAACGATGGGCAACGGTGAAGTACTAGAGGAAGGATATTTCAAGGGCAGCGAATCTAAGTTTATAGTCCACCTGTTCATAGGGAGTATACACCCCTATGCATACAATATTAGGTTAGGTGACATTCTCATACAAAAACCCAGGGTCAATGTGAGTGTATGCAGAGCACCCATTCTAGGTACGAAATCCTAAAGCGCTTACCATAGATACATATGTGTACTTGGTTGAATAATTGTCTTCACATGAAGGTACCATAAGAGCACGTGGATAAGAGAGGAGGGGAGGGTGATGTCTTGTCTTTCAACCTTGATGGACAACACACTCGGCATATACATGAGAATATCTCACTTCTGTAAGGTAGTATATTATCCTAACTACCAAAGAAGCAAAGTATATACGCTAATAGCGAAGTACGTGAAGTACAACGCGATTATTTCGCTATGTATGCTCGTTTGAAGCATCTCTTCGAGGAATGATGCGTTCTATTTCAACAACAGCACCAACAGCATCGAATCTTTAAGAATACCCTCTTCCGTATAACATTCCACAGAACTGTAATCCTTAACCTTCCACCTGTGCTCGAAATTCCGCATGGACTAATTCCACGGCACCATGATTGAGAGCTCTCCAATATTCTTCCAGCGACCTGCCTAACTTTGCCGGCCATCCATTCTGGCGCGCGATAGCCGTATGACTGAGCTCGATGAAGCCTTCATTCTGGCGTAAGAATCTCTTGTGCCGTCTTATTAGTGCCTTCGCTCTATAATATGTTTGACCCCAATAATCATCATTGATCGCAATTTGGGTATTGGGGTTTGATGCGCAAAACCTCCGAATATGTCTCTCGAAACTCTGTAGTTCGTATAGTACATCATCCCAACGTCGTTGGTCGAGAAGTATAGCCAAGGCAAGTTTCGGGTCCAGATAAGGGTTTATCTGGGGCATAGAATCGGGATCGATCCGGAAGTATGATTGTAGGAAGGTGAAGTTATGATGCTTCGGACGCTCGACGAACCACGACTCGTCGTCATCCGAGTCGACAACTTCTTCGCCTGTATCTGCAGCAACGTCCGTTTCTTCGGGATCATGTGTAGTATCATCATTGTGGTCCTCTCCATCGGGATTATCTCCTGGGATGGGCTCTTGAGACTGTATGATGGTCGAAACGAAGTGAACCACGTCGTCGAGGGTGCCATTGTCGTATGCACCGCGGATTTCTGAAGTATCCGAGGCGTTATCCCAAAATTCGCCTCTTAGGAGACTGTCCATGACCCTTGGCAGGTTATGTACGCGTATGCTCTCCACGGCAGCCGGATGGAGTGGTCGACTAAAAGAGTCGACGGAATGTTCACGTTGACTGATATGATACCGCGGGCATTTCTGAGTGAGCTCTTGCGGTAGAATCCGGACGCCGGGCTGTAAGTGATATTTTGAAATGACGTCGCCGCATAGATACAGAAGCGAACCACGGCACATGGGGCATTGCATGTGTTTTTCTCCGGCGCACCAAGGTTTCTAGCGTTGGGTCCATTTGATGATGCACGCCTGGCTGAACTTATGGTTGCAAGGAAGAGTTACCATCTCCGAAGAAGGGAATTCAAGGTAGCAGATAGGACATGTTTCATGTTCCGATGCCTGGTTTGGTGGGTGTGCGTTTTGGTGAGTATGGGGTGCTAAGTTTGTGTTTGCCATCGCTGCGTTCTTCTCTTTCCAGCCCGAGATTATGTATCGATATATACGAGAGTAGACAGGAGCCAGTAAGTGAAGAATCTAATTTACCGATAGTGCTTGGTATATTGTTATAGGACAGTGGGGGAAACCGGATAGATTATGATGTGTACCTAGGCAACTAGCAGTAGAGGGAATTTGATGAGAATGTTATGTGAATTAAGGCTGTTCGTGTATTATACATGGCGTAATGATTTAAGAGGAGTTGGAAAGAAGATAGGTTTTCTTGACTCTGGGACTGTCCTTCCTTCGTCTTCGTCGTTCTTGCATACATTGACCGAACCGGCCGTTTGATCTTACCTCACGAGCAGACCTACCGCCTCTTTACAATTCAACTAAAACTTGGATTTGAGTCTACCTCCTATGTGGCCCATGTTGCTCCTACCTTTAACAGCGCTCTCACCATTTCATGCTAAACAGTCAACTTGAGATAGAACTAACCGTACGAAGCCACCCGAGTAGTATTACCAATGCGTGCGTATTATGGTATCTTTCGCGGCCTAGGGAGGAAGACACTCCAGACAATAGAACCATGGGCTCGTATAGTAGGCGATTGCAAAGCCCAATACAAGAGACCAAATTTGCTAATCTTGGTTATCATTTGGGGAGTTCCAATATAGAATATGGTCGTACTGATTTCGTGCAGGTGAGCCAAATCGGGCTTCCCGGTTCCTATTACTGACGTGCTGCTGATATCTCTAGGCTCATACTGCGAATATAGCCAGAGTAGTTGAATTGATTCGTGCCATTAAGAAACGAGGTCCATAGGTATAAGCGTAACCCGTACGTGAACGTTCGAATCAGATCCATTGGCGTTGGTGTTACCTATGCGGCATTTTTTCTAAGCCGTATTCACACTGGCCTCTTGTGAAAGAAAACCATCCGAAGGCTGGCGTTACGGAGTATCGAACTTCGGAGATGACCTCGTTGACAAGAGTTTGACCGTTTTAGTAATATCGGCTGCAAAATATGGATTAAGACAATGCTGACGGTTGATCAATCGCAAAGGTACATTGGCTATGCGTTATAATTTCTCGTCAAAAAGAAACCGAAGACTTGATCTTCTGTACTCCTTATGTGTCTCCTGGGTTTCTCATCCTGCGACCAGAGAGGTTCGTTTACGATTCCATTAAAGGACCAGAGCAGGTAGAATAAAACGCAAGAATAATGCCAGTTCAATGCGACCACGTTCGGGCCTTGTTTTTGGGTCGGCTTATGATATGACGGAGGCTGTAACGATACCTTGTAACCAGTACGCAGACGCGGACGCCACTGGCCGAGTCACCGCCGGTTCAAGTTGACCTGACCTGACCTGGCCTGACCTTGGGAAGACAGACAGGTCGCATTCCCAATTTGTGCCGTAAGCGATGAGGTAGATTTTTTCTTTCGTGGAACTTGGAGGGATTTGTGGAAGGAATTGAACCAAAGTTTCGTTTATTTGTTGTACATGAGGTAGGTGGTTAAGTAGCGGTCAAACGATACCCCGAGCTATTTTATTTTATTATTTTATTTCATCTTATGGTGGTGCATTTCATTGATGATCTGACCTTGCGGAAAAGGAAATTGGTTTCACTCAAGTATAATCAGATGACAATGAGTGGTTCTGGTGGAAGAAGAGGAGATGATGGAGGAGTGGAAAGTGGCGTTGATTTTTTTCCTCTTTGTGGCTCATCTAACAGGCATGTATTACTTAGAAGTATCTATTATCTCATCCTATAGATAAAAAGTAGATAGATACATGCATGATAGAGCTCTGAGTTTGTCTCTAAAGCCCGCGGTGACGGCATTAGTGTGGGTGGTAAGCTACATGTATGTGCCGTATGTAGGTGGTAAATTCCATCTTCGGATACTTCACCTAATCGAGCTTGTATTGTATGATTGTGTTGAATCAATATCGTATCGTATGTGTTGGAATTGCGCCCTGGATAACGTGGCACAGCATCACCATCAACGAACATGAAGAAACTCGTTTGTGTCGGAGCTTGCTATCTTGATACCATCCTCGAGTGAGTCTTCCCCTCGTTGCATAATAAGCATGACCTGACTCAGATCCCCATCTCACGCACGAACATCCGTATGTAGTATACCTCACTACCCGGGCGAGGATTCGAAATTACGTGCAACCAATCTACAAGTTCGTCGTGGTGGCAATTGTCCTAACACACTCGAGGTGCTCCAGCAGCTCCTGAGGGAGCAGGACGGTCATGATGTCAAACCCTACTTGATATCTTGTTTACCTAGTGCCGACGCACCCGCGACGAGAACCATAATAGATTCGTTTGGGTCGGGTAGCCTCGTCGACTTCGCAAGATGCATCTTCCGCGCGGATCACAGGGATCCCGCGAGTAGCTATATCCTACGCAGCGAAGCCACCGGGAGTCGCACCCTCGTCAACTACAACGCCCTACCTGAGATGACGATCGACGAATTCATCGCCGCTGCCAACGAGGTCGGCGACGAAGCGTGGTTCCACTTTGAGGTACGCAAGCTTTCTTTGTCTACTATCCAACCAACCCCTCCCATCCATCCATCCATCTATCCAGTCACCCCATTTTGGGGCATCGTGAACTACTACTATAGGAAGATGCACCGATCTAGACTTTAACTTACCCCAAGACATGACATGCACAGGGACGGATTCCTGAGACGACGTTGCAGTGCATTCGGTATCTGAGGCAAACTTTCCCCAGCACCAAAGTCAGCGTCGAGGTCGAAAAACCGGGCCGAGAGGGATTAGAAGATCTGGCGGCTGAAGCGGACGTTGTTTTCTATTCGCGGAGCTGGGCTGAAGTGAGTCAAATCATTTTTTATTATTCCTTTCCCTTTCTCCCCCTTGCTCATGCGAGGCCGGCTGTAGAGTGCACATACGTACATACCTTAGTTTCGTTTTCCTGGGAAGTTTTTTTTTCTTGAGAGTAAAATGAGTTGACGATTAACAACCCGGATCCCCAGAGTAAGCGGTACGAGGACGCTCGAAAATGCTTGAGTGCCCAATCGGGCGTGGCCCGGCAAGCGTGAGTTGCATTGGATCCCCCCCAGTCGAGTCGCTAAACGAGAAAAAAAAATAAGTTGCTGCAGCACAAAAGGGAAAGCGGTGCGCTGATATAATCTTTCTTATGTTTCTCTCTTGCAGGTCTCTCCTCTTGTGTACGTGGGGTGCGGACGGTGCATCGTGTCTATCACTTCCCAGCCAGAAGGCCGTGTCTTGCCCGGCTACCTTGCCTGGACAAACCATTTCCGTAGTGGAGTATGTTAGACCGCTGGCCGAGCCGTTGTTACTATACTACTTTGCTGTCGTCTCCTGCAGTAGTACCAGCAGCTCTGAACCGGGTTTCTTTTGTCTAAGTATCATCATCGCTAGTTTCGATTGATTTCCTCCTTGATGTTATTGGAACGTAAGTAATCAAGGAACTCGTTAGGCTAACGAAAATATATCCCTGTGGTTAGCACCGTGGGAGCAGGTGGTACGTGTCATATTTTCATTTCTACTCCCTAGTTTTTCGATGATCTTCAATTTCACTCCGAATATGAAGTAAATTTTTCATTTTTTTTTTTCTTCGCGCGAACCTTGGAAATTATGAATAATAGTGTTAGATGGTTAACAAACATGTCTTCGATAATGTAGACACCTTCATCGCCGGGATTCTATTCGGGCTGTTGTGCCACCGCGACGATTGGAATACCGAGGAAAAAGTCCAGTTTGCTGTGCAGCTTGCTACGTGCAAGGTGCAACGGGATGGATTCGACGGTGTTGGGACCCAGGTGTTGAAAGCGTAGCGCTTAGGAGTGGCGGCGTCTTGATGAAACTCGGACGGGATGATCGGTTATGAGATGTGACTAGCGAGAAGAGAAACGAGCGAGAGGAGCGAGCCGTGGTCGTGTGACAAGGTACTATTTTTTTATTTTTTCTTTCTTATTTTCCTTTTTTTAATAAAATATTATTTTAATTCCTTCTCCCCGGACTCGCCTTGTGCCAACTTAGACACACGAGATTTATTACCCTCGGGCGTCCTATCCTGGGAATGGGTCTACCGAACACGATAGGTTTTAGAAACATTTAAGTGTGCAAGTTTGCATAGTTCGGACGCAAAGCAAGAAACCAATCCATTAAAGGGCTTGCATGGGTCGATGACTCGTAATGGACCATTATCCCATATCCGGGGGGTGGAGATGGTGGGAAGGGACCCCATCCCTTGGATTGAACAAGAGCGGCGTTATTATTATTACATTACCATAGTACGTACTGTATATTATATTGTTAAAGGAAGGCCGATGTATGTCCTGTACTATCCTATCCTGTCCTCCTGTCCGGTTCGGCTTAGACGTGGAGAAGGGAAGGTGAAAAGACCGGCCGAGACTGGGGGAGACGATCGTTCTGCAAAGGAATCCTCGAATTAAATGCTAGTAAGTAATAAGGTGCAATGAGCGGTGAAACTGTGGATCAATGGTGTGTGAGATGGGCTGGATGGGGTTGTGTTTTTTCTTCCTCTGGTATTGGTAACAGGTAGTGTAGGGGAATAAAAAAAAGGGGAGAATGGGGAAAGGATGGTCCTGGCAACGAGTAACAGTCTAAGTCCGTTGAGCGGGTTCTGTGTAAATAATAGTAACATTAGACGGGACAGGGACGATTATTGGTCCTTTTCCACTGTAACGCCTTGCTACTATATCGGTAGCACATCCATTTACGTATTCCTACCTACCTAAAGGTACCCACACCTACACACACGATTACGATTATTCAGGTTTGTGCGTTATACATATAAGTGTTAGATCTGTCGCATCCACCCTCACCCCTTCTTCGGCATCCATGCGCGCGAAGGAAAAATATGCCCTTGTGGACGCCGGAGCCGCTTTCCCGTACTCCCAAAGTCTGGACCGCCGTAAATCGTTCATGAATTGGGCAAATATGATGGCACGATGAGTCGTATCGAGCGAATTTCCGACGTGGGATTGGCTTGTTGCAGAGCTGACACTGACACGAACAAACTCATTCATAACCGGCTCACGGGCCACTAAGTCCACGACCAAGATCCTTTCCTTCTTGATGAACAACCCCCTAATGGAAAATCAAGCTAGAATAGGCTCTGCCCGCCAGTGGCTGTTTTTCTAGAGTTGCATATTGCGCATTTCCTTGCGGATGTTGAGAAGCCGCATCGATACAAATTGCACAGGTACATATGTAAGGTAGGCTAGGGCAATGAGTGGTCAGTCGAACAGTTGCTGTCCCGGTTGGGTTTGAGTAGCCTATCATGTTTAGTACCGAAGATTCCTCCCTAAAATCTACGTGCCTCATCTAAAACCGGCGTCTCCATGTGAAGTTCTTCGATGAGTTGGATGGATGAATGTGGGATGGGTTGCACTCCTGTTTCCACACTACCTACCTAATACGTAACTATGATATTGCAATGTACAGCGAGCTACAAGCAGCACTGGACCCTACATGGAGGCATGGAGGTAGAGGTAGGGAGTGCTCCGGAGGATAGGCAGCCGCCATGGGTATTGGCTAGCCTCCTTGGACAACGATAGTCATGACGCAACCACTTTGTCTAGTGTAGTTTGATATTGCTGTATACAAGTATAGTATAATATCCGGGGTCACAAGTCATTCGATGGGTTCCATGTCAGCACGTACGACGACTACATGTATGTATGTCTGGTATATCGAATGGTAAGTGATCCTACGCGCGCTCAATGATATGCCGTTGAAATGATGATCAATCACCTTTAGAGGAACTCTTCCGGGCGACAGGTTCAGGTTTGTTGAAAGGCTTGGGGCGTCTCGGCTAGTGTCGACAATAACTTCCTGCGAGGGAGAAAGGAGAAACCCTCCTTTTTAGGTATTATTAGATTGGATCACGAAAACCACAATTTACTTTTCTTTCCTTTTTGTTTTCCCCATCACTCGTCAATTAAACGTGCACGAAGGACGCGAGAGTGTAACAGCATGGCTACCTAGTCAGGTAGGTATTAAACCATCTCGTTTGTGTATATCCGTTTCGAGTTGGATGCGACAAGAATGATATGTCGGTGGGAAGTTTTAGATTCCTTCACCCACTTAGGTTCTAATATTGGTTTATGTAGATTACCCCCTACGTAGACAAGTACTTCGCATATGCTGACGGGCGATGCGCTGGGCAGGCTTGTGGAGGAACGGACGCATTGGAACCTGTTTGATTGTTATTGATTGCTGGCCCTGGAAACGAAGTTTTGCTTCCGTAGCAGACTACTAGGCATCCGGACTTCGTGCCCGATCCCTCCCTGGCGCAACGTTGTCTAATAAGTCGACATGCCTAAGATATATGAGCTTGGTATTTAGTCGACGATGAGTTGTTTAGTCGCCTCTGGGATTAACGGTAATCGTGCCTTATTCGGGTCTGACGCATAAGATACTCAAAACACTAAGTATGGGGGATAAGCCTAGAACATATTGGCGGTTTAGTTGCTACCTAGGTATGAAGAGTCTAGCGGAGAAAAGTGCCTTTTAGCCCTTAAAGGGTGTTACGCCGAAAGCTCAGCTGTGGCTCGGGTGGTCGAGAGCTAGGTACGTGGGTATTACATCGCATACTACCGAATACAAGGTATCTTAAGAGAGGTTAAATGCGAACCCGAGTCACCAAAAAATGCTGCTGCTAATCATTGCCGATGGTCATTTGATCCAAGGGTGACGACCGGTTAGCTTCAAGCTAATAGTTCACCTCGGAGGTTCGTCAGCCTCCTTTTAATGAAGGGTGCCAAGATGCTAAAGTATGGAAACTTCGTCAACGAGAAAAATAAAAAGCCTGTCTGTAGGTGGCATGGCAGCCATGGTCGGGGGACCCATCTACGGTGGACAGCATGGGCGAAGTCGTCGGATCCACTCACCGGATGTATGCCGTAACCACACATAACCATACATATTGGCCATACAATAGGATCTAAGGCCTCCGTGGATGGTGGATGCGCTTAATTAACTAAACCTTACATACAAGGTGTGGAAACGGAGCTGCGCTTCCTGAGCGCAAGGCAGGCTGAAATTAGAGCAGGAAAGGAAGTCGAATACAATGTACTAATGTATTTCTTATGTAGGTACTTTATTTACCTAGTAGCATCTAGGATCGGAACCTCATCATCACATCGGAATATGGCTGTACCCGAGGCCTTTCAAAGTAGGTAGCTAGGTACCTAGTATAACGCTGTAGCCTGCAGGGTACCCTCTAAGGATGGCCTCCGTAGGTAGGGATGTAACCCTCTATGTGTGTCCTGTTAGTGGATGGAAAGTCGTTAGCAATCACAGACGATCTCTCTACCGCGCCCTGTTGCTCGAACCCCCACAGGGAGACGGACAGGTCACAGCAGGGATCGACTGATAAACCTTGTAAGATCTAAATCAAGTGGTCTCCTAACTTTCCAGCCAGCCAGGGGGTCTCGGATAGAGCTTTACTGTAAAAAGAAATCGAAATCTTCCAGAGAATTCTGCTGGGTTGGTAGTTTTTGACAAGAAATCCGGAATCCCTCCCCAAAATCCCATCGCGTCACTTGATGAAGATCTAAGTTGCCGTGTATTATGTGTACGCATCCACCCCTCCATCCATTCATACGTACACACTCGTGGCTGATGAGTATTTACACTTTATGTAAAATGCCAATGCCACCATACAATATTGTGGCATCGGCAACGCGACTTGCCGCAGACAGACATTGCAGACATTGCCTGCTGGTTGCAAATAATACATAATACCACGGCTACGAGCCAATGTAATCATCTGACCTACATGGCAGTATGGACGGCGTGGCACGAGGGATCAGCATGTAGGTATTGTATTTGCTGTGTATGTACATATAGTATGTGCTGGGACGGGTGGGATGGGCGCTCTAAGCATTGATATCGACCATTTTATTGAATCGTGACGATGACGATAGTGGAGTTTGGACCTGTAAAAGGGAAATAAAACACTGCATTTGTACATTACATATGTAAGTACTGCATAACTTCGACATCGTAAGTGACGCCTCTTGGCCCCTGATCGCAACGCCACACATTTTAGTTAAATTTCATGTTATGAAGAGAGGAAGAAAAAAATAAAAAGACTGGATTAGCGCCAGCCCTGGTCGAATCCACAGCTGACGACTTACGTATGTAGGTAGTGTATGGGTAGGTGGTATTAGTGGTATTAGTTATTACCTTACAGTACCTAGATACCTAGTAAACTAGGCGGTTCGAGGCTTGAGCCTGTAATTCGGCCGCACAGATCGTCTCCGGGCTTACCTTAGGTGGTTTGGACCGCTTCAGTTAGCAACGTAACCACGTTCGATGAAGTGGAATCCCTATCGAGACCCTGAAGGCCTAACGGCGTGCCATGACCCATCACTTGTAAAAAGTTGGCTGGCCACATCAAATACGATGCTCAACACACAAATCCTACTACCACTATATGACACTACTGCTCAGGGCTTGCTGACATGGTGACTTTTTCAACACTCAATTCGGGGTTCACAGGGATCGTTCAAATAGGTACCTCGTTTCGGCCTTTAAAAGGGTGTCAGTACTTTTTGCAAGTATTAGTGTATTTTAATTTAAAGAAAAATAATAATAAAAAGGTTTCCCGGTTCGACATGCATAAGGCCACATATGAGTCTTGTTTCACCGAGGCTCATTTTTAACCCTGTGGTGGGTTTCTGCTCAAATGTGACTTGCGACCTAAAATGCAAAGCCTTTTTTTTTCGATCCCGCAACGAAACAGTCGTATGCAGGTAAGCTATGGATATATGTATGGGTTGTATGGGTAGCTTAGCTAGCTAGCTTTGTGTCGGAGAAGGCGATTGATTGACTGATGTTAAGTTATTGGTGTGGGACTGCAAGAATGGTAAAATCACGATCTCTGACTCGCAGAATGCTTGCATCAGTCTTGGATCAGCGTCATCCATCCCCGGCAAAGTTGGACAAGGAGACCCTTTTTCAATACAGTCGAAAAAATAGCGTTGCTGACCGAGGCATAATAATGTATGCATACCTTTACATGTACATATGTGTATGTATGTGAGATATATTATCGGAGTCCCACTGTCTTTGAATATCCATACCCATACCCATATCCATATCCATGAATATCTAGGCAGACAGGGCTAAGGAATCGTCTGCTCGACAAGCCGCTTACCATAGGCGGTGCGACATCCAACTACTATATTGGACGATACCTCGACAATCCCGGGTGGGTGTGCTACGCTATGTAGGCTAGATGTTGGTTGATCAGTGGTCGTGAATCGTAGGGTAAGACCCAGCATCAGCAATCCCGGATTGAACCCCCTGAAAGAAATCTGGTTGGTCGGGACGGGTGTCGCGTTGTAACTCATAGCAAGCCGGCAGACGGCTCCGTTGATGAAGGAAATTGGCCTTTGAATTGGGCAGCTTGTTTCTTCTAGACCGGGATTCTTCCACCTGCCTGGGGCCTTGGGGCTTTGGAGTTAGCGGCACCAAGCATGGAGGGTTTCATTCTGCACACTATGTACGCACTTGCGCAGACACATACATACATACACACTACTACGCATAGTACACATCGTAGTACGCATGTACGTAAATATACACTTCGGACAAGAGGCTAATAGGGCCGTGGAGGAGGATGGTGATGATCGGTGGCTGAGTGCGAGATACTACTTAGTACCTACTTGGTAGCTAAAACAACGGTTGTACTTTTTGATTACGACCTTGATTGACACAGCTGCATTTGTTACGATGCTTCGGATTGACCAAATCTGTACCGGGCGGCGAGAAGGTCGGTCTCTTCCCCGTTCTCCTTCTCCTTTCCCCTCCACCCCTCCCCTACCTGCGTAGGAACAAAAACAGCTCCAGCCAGCCACGGCTGTTGTGTCGGGTATGAGTATGACCGTACGTATGACCGAAATGTGTATGCGTATATTAGTGTAGTGTATTAGTGTGTAAGAAGGGTATGGATATTGATACCTTATCGAGTGAGTGGAATGTTTAAGTCCTGGGAGCCCTGTGATCTGCATTTTACTACTACGACTATGTATTATTCCCCGTGGAAAAGCATGTGCGGAGTGAGCGGATTATGTGCACTGAGTTGTCGTTGTTTGAGATAGAAAAATGCCACCTATTAGCCCATGCTATATCCACAATGTGGAGGGATGGAAGGATGGATAAACAGCTAAGATCCATGAAACTGGATGTAACCGAACACATTAATAATAACACAAGGAAGCTAGGTATGCTAAGCATGTAGTTTGTCTTAGTCCTAGGCGCTCAAAGATTCTAGCCACTTGACTGGAAATAGTATTATGTAGAATAGGGAAATAGGAAAACCCGCCCTGAATGGTCGAATTTCAAGCTCTATGCATACAATACTAGGTACGTATCTACGTAAGTACTATGTATATCAGGTAGTATATGCAACTTTTAGGTGCCGCTAGGAAAAGGCCGTCATCGAAGCTATCACAATTTTTACTGTTTTTACTATTGACTGCTACCTTAAAGAGGGACTCGACGACACGGCATATCCACATCATTTGATATATCGATTTTTTAACAAACTTAAAAATAATCTACTACGCACTGCTGCTACGTACTATGTAAGGCGTTATGTAGTGCCCGTGCGTTCGTAAGCGGAACGCATATACATAGTACGTTATACCTAATAAGTACAGAGTTGCTTGACAAGTGGTCGAGGTGGAGTTTCAATGCTCGAGGCGGCGTAAAGTCTCCTTCTTTAGCGAGTGGCTATATGATACAAATATCCCGGATATTATGTGTATTATGTATTCGTAGGAAGCGCAATATTAGAATAAGGTGCAACAAATGGTCTTCTTGAAATGGAAGAGGCAGCCCGGAGTACCTAACTGGTTGTCTCTTCATTCCACAGTTAGGTTCAATCCATACCTACTGTACCTACATGTAATCTTCCTCTTTTCTCAGGGGGGTTTTAGGGGTGCGAGCTACTTAGGGAAGGCAAAGGAACACACGCATGGTTAAGTCACCGGAAAAGTGCCCTACTGCGCGGGCGGCGGGTCTTACGTCTGATATTACAAAGTACATACATACGCTGCTACATTATAGACCCCGGCTCTAAGAAAGACAGCTTAAGCTCTGATCCAATCAACCTCTCCGAAGATTTCTTTGCTTAGATGGGGTTCTTAATCCAACCATCACAGGTACGATCTCGGCCAAGTCAATAGCATGATGGCTTCGCCTACCTTAGTATAAGAGTAGTACGAAGTACGATGGTACTTCTGCTGCGGAACTACCTAGGTACAAGGATTCCCTTCTTTTGTTCCCTGTACACTATGTGCGCATGCTACCGTCGAGAACCGAAAAGAGCCCTTGTTTGAAGCTTAGGAACATATACTATGTATTTCTTCGAGACGTACGCGTTCCTCTTACATACCGAAAGGGACCCTTGTGCTATACAATATTACCTACATAACGTATACAACGTATACTTATTGGCCACGACGGTTTTCGGCCAACAGATCGCAAGGAACACACTAAGAGAAGCAAGGTATCTTTCGGGTTATGATCGTTTATGCTCCGGCAGGTTGTGAACGAGGAAATGGACTAATTTGACAACATTAATCATTGTTTGGTTCAACCCCATGATGCCTTAAAACTTTACACGATGTAAGGTTGGTAAGAAAAGAAAGAGAAAAAAAAGATCTAGCTTTATTAATTGGTGTACACTGGAGTGTGTGGTTAACAAGCATACCAACGTGCAAACATGAGTTCGCCTCCACGTACTCCCCACACATTCCGCCAAATCTCACCCCTTTTCTACTCCCATACCCTCCTAGGGAAAGCGTTTCATGTCTTGGCGCGGTAGCCAATTTTGCGGCCTGGAGAGGAGCCTGGGCTGCTTCGCGGCCCATGCACATGGTCCATCTGCATGGTTTGTACCTACCGGGCAGGCTAATAGCACCCTAATGGTACATAGTAAAGCGGCTATGGAGCATGTAGTAGCGACAATTTAAAGACCCCCTCGGGTTCGACTAACACGCTATTGGCCCGGCGGGCTGGCTGGTCTTTCGTGCCCTCCGTCGGCAACAGGGGTTTACATGTACTCTAGTACAGTACTTGTATGTAATGCCATTATCGAACCAGTCATGTTCTCGCTGCCCAGGGTTACCTTACCGATGGAACCGCTTTGGATTCGAAGAAGCATCTGCTGGATCTTACCGGAACAGTTAACTCGTTCTTGTTATAGGTACGTATGTACGTACTATATGGACTACATGGCATGGCTCTTTCAATCCCTGGTAAGGTCAGTCGCCTCGTAGTAAAAGCGATTAATGAATTGACACGCCCCCTTTTGCCTTCTAACATCCACTCCCCCTCCCTAGAACAACCATGTAATGTCATTACCCTATCGACAACAATCATCAAGCAAGGCTCTGTTACCGGCGCTAGGATAAGCACACATCCTTTCCCCATCCCAACGCACACACCCGTCAATTTTTGCTCACGTTCTACAAATCAGCACACCCCCTTTTCCCATCGCCCCAACTCCACCTTCGTTTACGCCGCAGAGGACGGTACGGAAAAGGCAAGGCGATGGGGGCCAAGGATTACTGCTTCAGGCGCTTGGTGCCCTTTGTCCTTTTTAGATGTCGTTCACGGTCGAAACCCGCTCCTTTGACCGCCCACCTACTTGGAATATACCTTGCAGCAAGCAATAGGACATTCAAAGAACTGCAACCTAGTCTAGTCCACTACGCCAACGCTGCTGCCATCACCATCCGCCCATCCCCAGTTATCAACACAATGAAGGATCTCTTTTTTAGACCGATCAGATCCCTGCCAGAACCATATGACGCAGGAAGAAAAAAATAAAACAGCTAGGCGGGAACCGTCATACAAGTGAAGCAGACACGCGCAGACACGCACTTACATGCATACATGCATACATCCACACATACATACATACACATGCCAAACTAGACCATATCTCTGAGTAGGTATTATTTTCTCGGCCCTATCGCCCCAATATAATCTTCCATATGCCATCTCACATAGCAACTCTCCCCACGCTTTTAGTTGATTTACCCTTTTTAATGAACCCTTGGCTTTCTCATCATAATACATTCTTAGACTGAGTAGCCTAAGTTGATCTTTCAATACTACTCATATTTTATCTAACCGTCCTCCCACCTTTCCAAGTTGTCTCTTCGACTTGGCCCCTCAACCCTTCTTGAATCTGTCAACATACATACACTACACACGCCTTACTACACATCTTTCAGCATGATGCCAACACTCATGGGGGCAAATATGCCCCAGGCTTTTCCTCAACTTTTCCCATCAGAGCCTACTTTTGCTGAGCTTTCACAACAACTTGCTATGTCCGATTCGATGCGAAGGATATCTCGCAGTTCTACCACACAACGAACGCCGGGGAGTATGCGTATTATGAAGCCCACCAGTGCCAACAACAGCCCACAAGCTATGATGGCACGCCGGAGGACTATGATGAACGACAACACTCTTGCTCGACGACGTCAACAGGCTTTTGACCAAGCCGTTCTGCAACAGATGCAAGAGCCAGTATCTTATTCGACTCCAGAAGATCCAGTTAAAAGAAGTAACCGTCCGGTTAGCTGGCATCCGACCTCACATCTTCAACAACCACATATGCACATACCTATGCCTCAGCCAGACTTCTCACAATATGTCATACCTGCACCAATGCCATATAACCAAGGAGATATTTACTCTGGATATCAAAACCTACCTCCAACTCCCGCAGTTTACTCTGGACAGACTTCACCCATGGCCACCGTATCGCCATTGTGCCTACCATATTCAACAACTACTCAACATCAACCTACGCCAGCATACATATCACAACCGCAGGAGACGTGGATCCCTACGCAGCAGTACGTCCCCGAATCTTACGCGGTAAATGGGAGCCCTGGGGAGTCAGAGCCTTTCCCAGCATTTACGGATCAAACATCACTCAACTGGGATTGCTTGGCTGCTCATGGATTTAATGTTTGCACGGCACCCCCGACGCCGGACGAATTCCAGCCCGTCCAGCAACAGGAACCAGCGGTTCCTCCTGAGGAGTCGATACCGTATCAACCGCTTGAAGAGCCAGAGGAGGAAGGAGAAATATTAGTTGGCATGGGTCTATATGACCCACCAAGCAAGACGGATACGGATCCGGAACTGGACAACTACCGAACAACTACTTCGCAATTCTTAGACACGACCTACAGGGGAAGAGGTCAAGGATGGAAATTAGAGGAAGCTTGGGAACCACCAGCATCAGATGACGAAGAAGATGGCGAAGGAGACGACGAGGAAGAGGAAGAAGACCAGACGGAAGAGAAGGCAGAGAAGGATAAGAAATCCGAGTCAACCACGGCCGAAGAGAATTGGATATAAATCCAGTGATGTCTTCCAGGAAACATTACCCATTACTCTGCTAGACAGTGCATAGGGAAGGACATTTGGGGCCCATGAGTACTATCTAAGTCTTAGGAAGAGGATATGCATGCTTTTGTCTAAGCAGCTATTACGAAGAGAAAGAAAAAAAGTCTTGATAATTGGATTAAAAGTAGATAGATATTAACTTCATATGAAGTACTTGAGTCTCGATCCGCCTCAAAAAAAATCAAGAAAATTTACCATTTCGGAAAATAATGTTTAAGTCCCTTGACAAGCATAAGTGGTGAATAAATCGTAAGATGTCACATATGACGATTTCTTTAATTAGGCGGAGTGAACTCTAAAACAGCTATCGCCAAAGTTGCATGTTTGATCCATCTTGACTCAACTAACTTACACCAATTACCCAGGGTTCAAATCACGATGTTGAAAAAGGTGTTGTACCAAAGTACCTTCTTTAAAGGATCTAGGTGGTCGGGCTCGCTGTGATAGGCTAGACCAATTTATACGTTTGTCGATATGCAGGGGACTATGCTCGGACCAGCAGGCTAAACAGGGATCTCCAACGTTCTATTTGGGGCTCTGCGTCAAAACCGACGTGAGCGCATGCAGGATACGTAGCTACGTACCTAGGTCTCGCTATCAAAATACACCGAAATACAAATGGTACGAGGATACATGTAGGTCGCTTTGCTAGCATTTTTACTAGCGCATACCTACACCCTTGGCCCGAGACGTCCCATGTGGGCTTACCCCACTCTTTCCATAGAGATCCCCAAGTTAGGAGATCCATGTGGGTCCCCTGGGCAGAAGCTGTGGATCTGGCACCATGCAGCTACGCTTGCGTCACATGTCACTTTAGGGAGTTTCCATGCACGTTGGTATCTGTGGACTTTTTTTTTTTTTTTTTCCTCTTCCTCTTTCTTTCTTCTATTGGGCTGGATCAAAGTAGCCACTCACGTTTATCCATGGATTTAGCTATAAAGCATCTAATACACTAACCTCATAGAGGTATACGAACCAAGTAATCTCTACGTATATACATCGCTTCAATTTGCTCATCACGAGATATGACCGAGAACATCCTAAGTGGATTGTAAAATTTAATATCACCTTTTTTTTTCTAGACTTCTTACAGGCCTTAATTACAATAATAAAGCTGAACCCCTGCCATTCGTTTATTCGACACTCCGCATTATAGTAATACAACTGACCATGTTATAACGTATAAGAAATAAGAAATAAAACACATCCGTTCCGTCAAACCCAAAGCCCCATCGCAAATTCTCAACAATAAGGGTACAAGGTTACACAGTTATTGCCAATTGATCCTTCTCTATGCCACGATGATTAGTTTGCTTTGCTGAACAAATTGTTGAAGCTTGTGGGCGTAGTTGAAAAAGCCGACTAGAGAATTTGGTAGTTCCTGAATCTCTAATGCAAACTTTGTACTTTAAAGCTTCCTACAAGAAGGAAATCACGACTTCCTGTCAGGTTAGTAACGATGCAAGAAATAAACAAGATGCGACTTCATAGCCATAGCAACTTAATAAGATTCAATGCAACTGCACCTGCTTCTTTTTTCTTTTGAGATCGGTGAGTGAGTCACGACGGCGTAGATGCACTTGAGAATGTTTAATGTTTTTGGTGTTTATCGATAGTATTGTATTCCGTAATCGGAACCCCGCGTGCCCCTCTATGCTCTAAGTATCAAGTATCACGACCTTCGTGATTTTTAAACTTCAATAAACGACGAAGGTTTGCCTTAGACTTTAACGCATTCAACTCTTCTTCAACACTCGTACCATCTACAATATCAATTCAAAATGGCGTCCAAGTAAGCAACATAGGTGACCATTGTTATATATAAATCTCCTAACTAGCTTTGTAGGAAGGTTTTGATGCTCGGAGCTGGCTTCGTCACGCTCCCTACTCTCCACATCCTCAGCGAAGCTGGCATCGCGGTCACTGTTGGTATGGCAATAACGTAATTGTAATGATTATATACACCCAATTGACAATTTCCAAGCTTGCAGAACCCTCGCATCGGCTCAATCCCTCGCCAAGGGTGTCAAGCACTCCAACCCCGTTTCCCTCGACGTGAACGACGACAAGGCTCTCGATGCCGAAGTTGGCAAGCATGATTTGGTCATTAGCTTGATCCCCTACACCTTCCACGCTACCGTCATCAAGTCTGCAATTCGCCAGAAGAGGCATGTCGTCACCACGAGCTACGTCTCGCCAGCTATGCTGGAGTTGGATCAACAGGCTAAGGATGCTGGTATCACGGTCATGAACGAAATCGGTCTAGGTTAGTATTGCTCTAGTTCTATCCTTTTTTGGAGATATAACTAACATGTTGCTTGAACAGACCCTGTACGTATTTTAGAACCTCTATTTCCAACTCTATCACTTTTCCGAAACTATAATCATATATATGGAATAGCTCGAGCTATGGGTTTAAGAATGATATACGAAGCTGGTGGGCTTACCAAAAGAGTAATGAACTAACTCCATATTCCAGGGTATCGACCATCTATATGCCGTCAAGACGATCGAGGAAGTTCACAAGGCCGGAGGCAAGATTCTAACTTTCTTATCCTACTGCGGTGGCTTGCCGTCTCCGGAGGACTCGGACAACCCTCTAGGTTACAAGTTCTCCTGGTCGTCTCGTGGAGTCCTCTTGGCCTTGCGAAATGCGGCCAAGTATTGGAGGGACGGTAAGGTAGTTGACGTTGCATCCAAGGACCTCATGGGTACCGCAAAGCCGTACTTCATTTATCCCGGATACGCCTTCGTTGCTTACCCGAACCGTGACTCGACTCCTTACAAGGAGCGTTACAACATCCCGGAAGCTCAGACAATCGTCCGCGGTACTCTCCGATACCAAGGCTTCCCTCAATTCATCCGAGTGTTGGTTGACATCGGATTCTTGGAGGATGCTGAGCATGACATCTTCAAGCAATCCGTTTCTTGGAAGGAAGCGACACAGAAGGTCCTTGGTGCATCCTCAACCAGCCAAAGCGATCTTGAGTCCGCAATCACGTCTAAGACCACATTCGAGTCCCCCGAGGACAAGACGCGAATTTTAAGTGGTTTACGATGGATCGGCCTCTTCTCGGATGAGAAGATCACCCCTCGAGGCAACCCGTTGGATACCCTCTGTGCCACATTGGAGAGGAAGATGCAGTATGAGGAGGGTGAGCGAGACTTGGTTATGCTCCAACACAAGTTCGAGATTGAGCATAAGGATGGCAGCCGGGAAGTTAAGACGTCGACCCTGGTCGAGTACGGCGATCCCAAAGGTTACTCCGCTATGGCCAAGCTAGTTGGTGTCCCGTGCGGTGTGGCAGTCAAGCAAGTCCTTGATGGTACGATCTCGGAGAGAGGTATCCTTGCTCCGATGAACTCGAAGATCAACGACCCCTTGATGAAGGAGCTGAAGGAGAAATACGGAATTTACCTTAAGGAGAAGACCATATTGTAAACGGTTGGTCGACCACCGTACGTCTTCTAACCAATTTACGGTGATTATGGTTAGGTAGTGCAAGGCGAAAAGGGGATTTCGGTGCCCCATAGGGAGGGCTATGATTTACGATGCTTTTAAAAGGTAGAGAAAAATAAGGCTTCACATGGACGCAAAAGGGGTTAGATATCCATGAATCAAATAAAAATTCATAAGGATTACCTATAAATATCCTACGTAATTTTATGAAGGTATTTAGAGAAGCGTTAGTACTAACGTTTGCGACTACTAGTAATTTTCAGTTATCGAGGTGGAGAAATAACATATTTTCCAGTGGGGCATTTACATAACGAAGCCTTGCACTTTTCATTCTTCATACACGACTCAGAGCATCAGACGATCCATCGCTATTAATTACATTACATTACCTAACCTATTCCATGTTAAATTATAACTGGATTGCCCTACCACCTCGCCGCAGGTCCCCTGAACATTTACTCTGGTCTTACCAAACCAATACTTCTCAAATCGTTAGTCATGGTTCAGTACCTGCATACCCCCTGGCGGGACCGCACAGAGCTACTGAAAGTCCGGCAGCAGTTTTATCCTTCACCATCTTCAGACAACGGCGTAGCTGATGATGACGGATTGACCAACTACGACGAAAATGAAGCAAGGGATAAAGAAGAGGCAGAGAAACAACATGCCGTGGCGCGCGTCTCCATGTGGATGCAGCGCGGCGGCTGTCCCCACTTGGTCGAGTCGACGGCCCTTCTTATGGCCGCTATATTGAGCGATGTCCGCGAGACTAGGGATCGGTCGGTTAAGTCGTCGTACGCCATACGAGCCGCTTATTCGGCTGCTTTTAGTCGGTATGTATAGCGCCTTGTTTTCATTATTATTATTTGTGGTGGGGTTGGGAGACTATTGGTTCTTGATGCCGAGCTATCTCCTTCAGCCTCGTTGTGAGTTGGTGGGGTGCACTTCGGGTACCTACCTACCTGCTTGTTCGGCAGTGCCGGGAGTCTATGGTGGTTGCGAGCTGGGTTCATGCTGGTTTTGGTAGTGTCTACGGGTTGGTGGCTTAGCTGGTAGGCCTCGTGGTCGCCGACTAGGTCTCCGCGAAACGTGGTGATGGGACCAACCCAACAGTTATGTCAAACCAACATACCCACCAAAGGCTAGACCACCAGACTATGAGCGGCAGTTCACAAGCGCAATTTCAAATATGCATGTCTAATTATGATTACGATTCTAGGTTCGTAACGGGTCTCCTAGATAGTCAGCAGGACAAACAGCGCAAGATGAGTATGTACTCGATCGCTAAGACTATCGGGTTACCGGCGACTTTTGTCGAGCTCCGCCATCAATCGACGCATGAGCAGTTGCCGTCTTTATCTAAGCTCCGCACTGCGGCACGGAAGGCGTTGGATTGGATTTGGGAGTTTTATTGGAAAGGTCTGGCGCCTGATGGTGAAGGTGAGGGGGATGAGAAGGAAGGCGCTTGTCGCAATGCGTTGTTGCGATGCTTGAAGGAAGAAGAGAAGGCGCAGGGAAAGACACTACGGAAGCTGCTGAAACAGTGGGACGAGGTGACTTTATTAAGGACATTGGCGGAGATCGTGGATGAGGCTGGTGATCCTACAGTTATTGCTCGGTCGGCTAAGTTGTCGCAGGTGATACTCGATGGGGAGGTATCGGCTTCGTTGGTACCTACGAAGAGGAATGCAGACGGTGAGTCTGTGTCTAAGAGATTGGATGCTATTAGAGGTGAGGTAAGAACGTCAACGGACGAGCTTGAGGCGATAGAAATCGTCGTTCCCAAGCGGGAAGCTGTTGTCGAGTCGGCTTGGATATCGTTGAGTCATGGTCAGGTGAAAGGTTGGGCGAGGTATGAAGGACCTTGGAAACCAAAGCCCATTGGTGTCGTATAGACCATTCAATCAAACCTAATGAATCTGGCTCTTTGCATCTTCCGTTGTAATTCATGCTATCATGACAAATTCGAGCAATGTGATAGGCTGCGTCGTGAGAGCTTGACGATGCTTGCCAGCTGTACATGAGTTTGTCGGGCCGCATGCGAAAATAACGTCATAGAAACTCCGACCGAATTGGAGATGATAATGCCAAAAGAGGTTTGTAAGCCGAGGGGATATGAAAGGATTTGGTTGAACTGAATTGATTTGAATCACAAACCTCATCGCTTGCCTACCTTATGAATTTCCTTGCAAGAGCAAGACCTTTATTAGCTACCCGCAGAATTGGTACTTTCACAGCGGCTGTAAGTTCCCGTTTGGTTGAATCAATTGTTTGCCATCAAGGTACTCTCCAAACGGCTACTAACTCCGCCATAGCTTGCCCTCACCCGCGCCATGCATATCCAATCGATTCCCATGGGTAAGACATATTCTCTTTATTCGTAATTAATATCGTGGAAATAGGTTGCTAAACTAAGGTTATTCAGGGACGGGTAGTCATGACAACTACGCCTACCTAGTTGTCGACGACAAATCCAAGGATGCCGTCATCGTCGATCCCGCTCATCCCGAAGAGTACGTAACCTGAGACATCACAATTTCCCTCGCAGTTATCTAACTCGAGATATAGGGTTACACCAGTCTTGAAGCAGGCTATCCAAAACGGCAAGATCAATCTCACAGCCATTGTCAACACGCACCAGTAAGTGGCTTCTAAGCCATCATCAATCTACTTAATATTGATCGCCGTCACAGCCACTACGACCATGCAGGTGGAAATGACCAAATTGTGAGTTTTGCCGTAAGCAATCTTATGCATGCGTGTTTCTAATGTGGCTGTCGATATAGCGGAGCGACTTGGGGACTCCGGATCTGCCCATCGTCGGTGGTAAGGACTGCCAGAGCGTTACACGAACGCCTCCGAATGGGGATGTGTTTAAGCTTGGTAGCATTACGGTGAAGAGCTTGTACACGCCGTGCCACACGCAAGACAGTATTTGCTGGTTTGCTCAGGATGGCGATGATAAGGCTGTTTTCACCGGAGACACTCTATTCCATGCTGGTGCGTATTGGCTATTTTACAGCGTATGGTACGTGAAAATCTGATGAATTCTAGGTTGCGGAAGGTTCTTCGAGGGTACTGCTGAGGAGATGCACACTGCTTTGAACAAGACACTGGCTGCTCTCCCGGATGACACCAAGGTTTATGTAAGGACAAGTTCAGCTGTCTGCAATAGCTTACGAGCTTAGACTAATCCCGAATAGCCCGGTCACGAATACACCAAGTCCAATGTCAAGTTTGGCGTCTCGGTTCTGCAAAACGAGGCTATTAAGAAGCTTGAAGCTTTTGCGGAGAACAACAAGGAAACCCAAGGAAAGTTCACTATTGGCGACGAGAAGGTAAGGGAGCAGCTGTGACGACTATTGAAATATCAATGCTAATAAATTCGACGCAGCTGCACAATGTGTTCATGAGAGTAGAGGTACGTGGAGCGGAGTTCTTGATATTAGGAGTAGAGAATTCGAGCTGACTTAATACTCGTAGGATCCCGAGGTCCGGAAAGCCACGGGCAAGACGGACCCCGTAGAAGTCATGGCTCAGCTACGAACTATGAAGAACAACTTCAAGTGAGTAAGTAGATGCAATTGCTGGGTCAAATCCAAAACCTGTCTGATGCTAACGACTCGCAGACCACCTAGTGAGAGTAAGATCTAGCTATGGTATATCGGATGAGTCGAGAGAACTGTTTGTTACCATCGTACATGCTCATCTAGTCATCACCTATATAGGACATGAATTCAAGAAATTAATATATAGATGTGATCTATGAAATTGAAATTTCTCCAGCAAGCACCAAGCCTCCAGCCCATCTTGAAACAAGAACGGACTGGACGCCATAGTTGAGCACCCACGGAACGCCGTCCCTAAATAGGACCGACGCAAATTGTTCATATTGCTTCACTGTCCACACTTGCGCGCTGTCTGTGTATCGAGACGGCAAGCTCTAGCATAATTTGAAGCTATTGGGGTTTCGTCACAATTGACCGGATCCTCTCCTTCTTCACCTACCTGCCTAGTATGAGCACCATTTAAATAACTCTTCCAGGGACGTATGGCAAATCACAATAAGCTTATCTTGTTTGCGACGATGCCAAAATTGCTGTCCCGACAGATGCCATCGTGGTGAACTAGTGATTGATTCTGCTGAATTAGACGTTGTGGTAGAAAGAAAGGAATGAAATGGACAGAGAATTTTCAAGCAATTTAACGAAGAGACTAGGTGGGTCTGCCAGCCGCCAATCAGCTGTCTTGGTTATCTCGGGCGCATAGTGCTCTTAGCGGCTTAGGCTCTCCTAACAAACTTCCCTCCATTTCTATACACAATTGTGTATTCCGAGTCTTATAAATTCACCTATGCACTGCATACAAGCCTTCCTTATTTGTCTGTCGGAAGATTGCAAAAAGGAATGTTTTGCTCGGAAACACGGCCCGAAGGAACAATGATGGCGGGATCATCTCCAACTGGTTACACTCGAACGACTCCGATCTTCTACCGACGCCTGTTGAGAATATGAGGAGGTTGGGCGATATAAACCTCGGCTCTATCTACTCAGAATACTATGAATATAGACATAACTTAGTGACGTAGATGAATAACTATGAATGAATTAAGCGGATATACCCTCTAAAGCAATCACGATGTCGACAACTCAAACTACCCTCACGGAGACTCAGTCCTATCCCATGACCGAACTCCGCCGGCCCGTCTCCAAAGATGCAGAAGCCTCACCCGTAGAAGCGGATGAAGAGGCGCCCCCGGCCGATACGGATGTAATCCGGAGTGAACCCACCGATACCCCCGTAGCGAAGCTAGTCGTCGCGGGATACTCGTTCTTCTGCGCCGGTGTCAATGACGGCACCTTGGGTCCTCTAATTCCGTATATAATTTCCAGCTTCGGCGTCGGCACTGGCGAGATCGCCATCATGTAAGCCCAGTTCCCTCGCCCTTCACAATCAAATACATATTAAGACAACGTAGTTATGGCACAACCTTCGCCGGCTGGCTCCTCGCAGCCCTAACCAACCCGCCCATGACCACACACCTAACCCTAGGCCACCTCCTCTTCATTGGCGCCATCCTGCAACTCCTAGCGCACTGTCTACGTCCGTGGAGTCCCCTACCCCTATTCTGCATAACCTTCTTCCTACAATCTTTAGGAATGGCGTACCAAGACTCACACTCAAACACATTCGTCAGCGGTCTACGCAACGTACCGCATCGCTGGTTAAGCTTCATCCACGCGTGCTACGCACTAGGATGTTTCATCGGTCCACTCATCGCCACAGCCATCGCGACAAGTCCTAATAGCATGGCCATAGATGGGTGGAAAAGGGTGTATTTGGTACTCATCGGGATATGCGTGGTCAACGTCGTCGGCGTGGCCGTTGCGTTCCGGGATACGCTCTTCGCGGGTTTTAAAGCACGGGATAATAACGCTGATAACAATAACCAGCAGAAAAAGAGCACTCGAAACACTATGTTCCGCGTCCTAGCAAGTAAAACCCTCTGGCTCCTAAGCGCTTTCTACTTCTTCGTCCTAGGCGCGGCTTTCACAGCCGGTGGCTGGGTCGTCGAGTTCCTGACCACGGTGCGCGGTGGGTCGCTTGCGTCGGCTGGATACGTACCGACGGGTTTCTACGGCGGTATGCTCGCGGGCCGTTTATTACTGGCCGAGCCTACGTTTCGGCTAGGTGAGCGCCGTATGATATTGGTGTATAGCGCGTTATGTGCTGCGTTGCAGCTCGTGTTCTGGTTACAACCTAGTCTCGTGGGGAGTGCAGTTGCGCTGAGCTTTATTGGTTTTTTCTCTGGCCCTTTTTTTGCTACGGTCAGTATTTCTTGGTGGTGATGTTACCTTGCACCATCAAGAGAATAGTCTGCTAACCGATATATCTCTACGCAGGGCATGTCCGTCGCGTCGAAATTATTCCCCCGAGAATCCCAGCCCGCAGCCCTAGGTAAGGACAACATGCTCCAAGCATTTCTGGAATTAGGGCTAATAAAAAAACACTAGGTTTTATCTTCGTGATAGCACAAGCAGGGGGTGCCATCTTCCCTTCTATCACTGGTATCATAGCCGCGAAGGCGGGTGTGGCCGTCTTGCAGCCTATTGTGCTGGCGCTTTTCGTTGCTGGTGGGATTAGTTGGGGGCTAGTTCCGAAGGTGCCGCAGCGTAACGAGTAAAAACACTTGCTCCCGCGAAGAATTGTGTAGGTATCATTACAACATCAGGCACTTAGGCGCCTCAACCCAATTGAGATGCTATTGTCTTAGCCGGACTAAAACAGTCGTCATATAAAGTAATTAATAGTCAATTCTAGACAACTTGGGACTAAAAACGCTATACATCGAATATCTTTCCAGAAGTAACACGAACCGAAGACCGAAGCCAACCCCTAAATTCACATCGCCGCGATAGATTAATATAATATGTGTTTTGTAGAAGGTACATTACCAAGCTATCTCAATTCCTATTATCCTTACAAAGTAGTACTATTGGATGTGCTACGTTGGGGCGGTAGTCCGGGGGAAGATGGTGATGTAGGCGTGCCCGCACTTGCGCCCCGTAAGTTAATAGACCCAATCCTTGACACGATATTACTGCCGACGGCATCCACTGCGCCTCGGGGTGACGTCAGGGTAGGACCTTGGGCTGCTGTTTCCTGTACCTTGAATAGCTTAATCGCTGTTCCGTTCCAAACTCCCACGGTGCCCTTCGAAACTTGCATTTCGCTCGCGAATACGAAACTCCAAATCAATGATTCGTACCAGCCTAGGGCCAATGGCGACCATTCGAAAGAATGAACTCGGACGGGGGATGGTTCAATAGCAATTAAATCAGCCTCTTGAATTGATTTAATGGTTGCTGATGAAGGCACGTCCGCAGTTAACCCCTGGCGATGAATCAATGCTGTCAATTGCTGGATGACTGTAAGTATCGTGTGTAGTGGCAGTTCGGGAAGCCAACTCTCAATCCAATCCGCCGAAGGCTCGAAAGCACCGGGAATAGATTGGCCTGCCGCAGAATAGCTACCGAGACTCGTAGTGCTATTTTGTCTAGAGAATGTAGGTACTCCAGCTGGCATTTTTCCTCTGGCCTTCTCCGACATTCCTCGTAACTGTGTTGGTACCGCATCTTCTACGTCAGCAACAGAAGACGCTCTGGAAGGATTTTCGCTTGGACTCGATTGTGCCGGCGTTGGCTGCTCGTCATCGTCATCACTTTCATCTTCATCCCCTATAGCAAATGTCGTATCCTCCTCCGGTACGTTACTGAGCGTTGGTGTCATTGGCTGTGTCGTTATGGGGCTGCGCAGACTATCAAGAGAACTTCGTCTAGAGCCTGCATCGAATGGGTCTAATGATTGTCCGGCTTCCTTTCTTTGACGGTTCCTTCGTTCAAGTTCCTCTTGGCCACTCTCGAGTGTGAACGTTCGCAGGGCCTCAAATCGTTTCTTATTCTTCAATACTAGATAGACGAAGTGGGCGTTCTCTGCTTCGTTGTTAGAATGCCCTAAGATCATGGGCTAACTTATTACTCACTCTTATACTGATGCTCAATGATGGCGTTCATAGATTCTAGGAGCGACCTGAGAAGATCATGGTTGCTATCATTGGCGAGAAGGAACGAAGGAGAGGACATGGAATTGAACAACTGCAGTAGTTTTGAGCTTGTAGTTCCATTGATACCCTCTAAGTAGGCAGCAATATTGTTGATGACAGCAAGTAATGCCGGGTAGATAGCGGAGAGCTTGCCCTGGCTTCTTGTGATGAGATTGTATATCGACTTTGTAGCTGTTAGTCGTGGAACCCCCAAGCAGAACATAAATTACGTAGACACTTACCTGCAATAAGAAATCGGCATAGGTCCCTTTAAATCCAGGGATCCTAATAACAGCCGGTAATGTGTCCTGTCCTTCGAAGTTCTTGTTGAGATTGACACCAAAGTTCTTCTCAACACTCAGTGTCTGTAACAAGAAAGCACACATCCGCACGACACCTTGCTTCGAAGCATCTGCCTTATATTCGGTAGCGTAGAAGAGAATGAGAATCACGAAATCATGTGCTCGTTGTGTGTCAATCATGAAGGATCTAAATCGCTTGTTGCATTGGGTAATTTCCCAGAAGAGCATGATGATCTCAGGAGAGAATCTAGTATTAGTTTGGGTTCCAGGAATATAAGAGATATTGGCTTGGATGGGTTGGTTTAGTATCCGTGTCATGCCATCAACGATGAATTGAAAATCCTGGGGACGATGTAACCTCCCAAGGAAATGCCGATAGTAGTTCTTCGGCGCAGAACCGGTCGCAGGCTCGGGTATTGGGTAAAGAAGAACGACTAGCAGAAACTGCAGGGTATAGGTGACGAGTATCTCTTTCGGGTCCTTGAACACGAGGGTGTTGTATGGCACACGCCAGCTGGCCGGGTTGTATTTGAGAGTCTAGAAGGGTAAGCACTTCGAAACTGTTCGATTGCGAGTGGACTTACAGTATTTAGCAAAGAGCACAGCATGGACAAGACAACTTGTTTATCCGGACATGTACATATATAAGTTAAAGCCTTGGTCCCCTTAGTCGGGAGCATGTTTGGAGACATATACATGCCCTGACTTGTTAGGGTCAAGAGTAAGCGTAGTATCTCGCATCGATTACTTTCATACTCCTTCGTTGTAGGCACGGCAGTGTTGCAACCCACACCACTCTGCCAGATGGCGTAGGTAACCTTTGGTTTGCCATGAGGCTGCTTCGGGACGGTAAGGTCGGAGAAGAATAGCAAGTCGATCAAAGTGTCTATAAGCTCCTCTGCCAACGGTTTGGCTTCCTCAAATTCGTCAATAGGTGGCTTTGCATCTTCCTGTGCTTCATCGAAGAGTACTTCGTTCGCAATGGCAGATCGTCTTGTTCGCTTCCTTCTAGATCCCCAGAAGAACTTGTTCTCCCAACTTTGCAAACGATCTACTTCATATAGATAGGGTAGGACACGGGTAAGGATACGAATGCAATTTAGCGCATCACGCTCGGGCGCAAATTCGGGGTCGGGAAAGGAGGGATGATGTCGCAATATAAAGAGACGAGATGTTACGGCGAGTACAAGGGTTTCTAGGTTTTCTAATGCTCTATCACGGGTTCGACGAATATCGGCGGGCGCGAAGAGGCTGAATATGTCCTCTGAGGATTCGGGTAGCTCCCAAAACTAGGTATAGACAAATTAGACTATAAAAGGGTCTAATAGGGGATCTAGTACTACTAACAGAGGTCCAATAAGAGTCGTCAGCAGGAATGTGACGTTCTTCTGATAGTCTAAAGATGCCCTTCTTGAAGACTAGCTTGGAGTCGCTGGCACCCATCGCGATGAAGTCATGCTATGCCTACGCCTACATCGAGCAAGCGAGGTAAATGGAACCGAATCGAGGAGACGATTATTGTTGCAGTCAGTCGAATGGATATTTCGTATTTGGGAGTGGGATTAGAGGAGGTAAGGTATGTAATTTAGTATGTTTGGAAATAGCCGAGAAATTCAAGTTGCGGTGGTGCTACCAAATTAGTTGTATTAGTTGTATTAGTTGTATTGGTTGTACTGCTTGTACTAGTTGCGCTTGGATTCAAGTTCTAGAATCTCTCGTTATGGATCAGCGCAGCGCGGGCAGAAAGTGAGTTGCGGTTGCTTTGCATTTCTGTTAACTTCAAACATGCTACGTAGGTACTTTCCATTCTTGGCCCTGTCCGTCAAGTCGCTTATCGGTTACCTCTTATCGACATTATGTACGTACATCTTATACCTATACTGGTAAGGAAGGTCCCACTTTCATAGAGGAATCCCTTACTAAGCCGCTAAGCCTGCTAAGTTTAACAAGGGGGCATACCTAGGTATTGATTTGTTTCAACCAATCCATGGTCTGATCGCGAGCCACAGATTTCATCAGTGAAATCACCCCACTCAGAGTTCGTGTCACTTTCCAAACAAACACATATTGATATGAGTGTTCTTTCTCATCTCACAAGTCAGTTATCATATACATGACTGAAGTTAAGTTGGTGTTATCGTGACGCCTTCCCTAACTATTTACATCTAGCGGACCCGTATTGGTCGAGATGTCTCCCCAACATTCACCATTTCCATTGACAAGGTATCATCAAAACAAAAGAAGCTGAAGCAAAGAGGTATATAAAGTATAAACCATCAAATCCCCTCCATCCACCCAATATCCAATTTATATAGCATATAACATGCATCCCGACATGCAAAAATAAAACATGAAATCATATCCTAGAGCATAGACACCCGGGTCTCTATGCTCTTTCGTTATGCGGCTGTTTCCACAGCCGTATCATCACTTGCTTCTCGACGTGGATGTGCTCGTTCATCTGTCGGCGGCGCGAGATGAGCTGGGCTTGGCGTCTTTGGTAACGGGGAGGGCGATTTCCCAGCGACATTTTCATTGCTCCCAACTGCAGTCTCATCGCTGACTTCTCGATGAGGGTGAGGATGGCCCGGCTCGTCTGTACTTGGAGGCACTAGAAGTGCCGGGGCTGGCTCTGCTGGTGTAGGTGCTGGTTGCTCACTAGCTGCAGACTCGCTTTGGACTACCACCTGCTCGAGGGGTGCTGTTGCCGGCTCCGGTGTCGAACGAAGTCGAGAATCCCATTTCAAGATTGAAGTGACAACCCCTCTTATACCCGCAGCGACAACGTCGGGCCTCTCCCAAGCTAAAAGTCCTGATTTTCCCGTGACTCGGTTGGTATAGACCACATTATACCTAACGTTAGCCCAACTGGGACATGTATAACGATCCTTGGCCTCCTCTTGCCCCAGGTCGTTCGCTTCCGCTCCTGCTTCCGCCTCCGCCTCCGCCTCTGGAACCGTCCCGCTGCCCGTACTTGGCTCATCACCGAGGAACACCGTGAGGCCAATTCTCGGCCTTGAGGACCCCTTCTTCTCCACCTCTTCCGGGTGTCGCACACAATGTGCCCAGAACCTCATGGCTGACTCTGGCCCAGGCAACCAGGCGAGTTGAGTGAAATTGATCACCTCCGTCGGCGTGAACTCTTGTTTAGGACCAAGCAAGCGAAGACTCTTCAACACAAAAACCAACAGACCTGTTGGGGAATCACAAAGTGCGTAGGCCAAACTGTTGGGTTCTCGAAGGCCCAATTGATTTAATCCAAACTGAGCGGGTGTGGGTGCCTTCTTCGACGGGCGAACATAACCGCTCCGTTCAAGAGCAGAGAAATCATCCTTGAGATATCCAAGGATAGGGGCGTGGAATAAGCTCGCGATGGACCATTTTACCCATTCAACAGGTGCTTCCCGCAGCTTCGGTTGCGCCAATGGAGGTGAAATAAAGTGGGCGCCTAAGCAAGAGCTTGAATAATTAGTTGCCAAATAATTGGCGAGCTTAAAATCAATCTCCGCAGGTGAAGCGGCACCAGAGCCCGCGTTCGTCACCAGGTAGCATGGATACGAAAGCCGGCCCATTAACGAATTCAAAATATCTGCGGTTGATGAGATAACAGGTGTATTATTCGGAAGTGCATCACTAAATCCAACACCCGGAAGAGATGGTATGATCAAGTGAAAAGGCTGGGTATTGGCGGCATCTTCAGGCTCCGCAAATAGCTTAATGAGATGCCCAAAAGAAAGATTTGAGAAAGGGAAAGGGGGTATCAAAAGAAGGGGTATCGCATTTGAATGAGATGAACGAGCGTGAATGAAGTGAATTCTAACAATTGACTCGGAAGAAGGAATTGAAAAGCCAGTGCGATATTGGGGTAATTCGGCATTCAATTGATCCTGTTGTGTTCGCCATGAGTATTGTTCAAGCCTATTTAACGCTTAGTTCTGCTGATGCTGCTTATAGGGCGAAAGATGCCGTATAAGATCGACATCAAAAGGCCTGAAGATTCGCAAACTTACCAGAAATCAATCAATGGCTCAACCCGAGGCTTCGGTTCCCACCAGTCTTTCGATTTCGGTTCTGAGAGCTCATGAGGTAACCTGGTTACTTCAAGTTTCTGCTTTGTGAGGTCCAGGTATTTCGATGAAACCTGTCGGGTAGAAGCATCGCGTCAGCCACATCCTTGGCTGTGTATGAAATTTAGTAGGTGGCTTACATGGATTTTATAAGGCCTGATTTCATCAGGACCACCAGCGGGAACCGCCTCTTCACCCTCAGCAGCCATTTCTCAAGTATAACAAATTCCCATTCAGCACAAACGAGTAGGTATCACAGCAAAAAGAGGCAACACAACATCAAGTAAGGTAACGAGAAAACGAAAAATAACAGGTAGCGAGAGACGCATAAACAAGTCACAGACCGGAAAAAACAAAATTACCTCTTTTGCATTATCTTCATGCAGCGCCGTCCCGCCCGAGAGGAGGACTTGTTTAATTATACTATGTTTTAAGGGACCTGGGTGGCTTGACCTCATGTGGCTAAAACCTATCGTAGCACGCCCGAAAACAGGGCAGAAACAACAGGGATGATGCCAGCAACCAACCAATTGAGATCGAAGTCGACCCCGAATCCAGATTGACCGGGATGCCAGGATCGAGACCCTCGGGGAACAAGTGGCGGTGCACACGTATACCTCGTGGGGAAGCGGAAATGATCTTCTTTTCGGGAGACAGACATGGCTTGCCTCGATCGGAATAAGAAATACTCTGCTTTTTAAGGATTCAATATTGCCATCATTTTCCGGTTTTTCTATTTCGCGGCCTGTTTTAATACGCGGGTTACCATCAATACTAGGTATACAGGTCTAATGTTATTCAAGCACCTCGCAAGGATAATTATTACCCTCGTCGTCAGGCAGCACACTAGTATCTCAAGCTTCCCCATAACCAATTTCGTAGGCCTATTAAGGCCCAAGGCTTGAATAGGGCTCCAGATGGCGCGAACATTGGTGCAACAGCTGAACTTGACAACAACTTCGCGGCTGAGCTAAATTTGACCGGGCAAACAATAGTAATTTACTAAGATCTGTTATTAGATCTTTGGGTTGCGTACTTCTTTCGCTCCATTCGCACTTTTGACGGGAATATCAATAGTATTGTGATTGAACATTATTCTATTACCACCAACGCAGCTAAATGCTGATAGCCGTTCCGAAACGATGCGGCGTTGTCAGACTGACTGATGCTAGCTAAGCATTTTACAGCCAGTTCAATTAGTTGAGCGCCATGATATCGGCCGGTATTTGAATCCTCCAATTTCAAGATATTTATCATCCGGTAAATGGCGTCGTGAGCCTAAGCTCTGTCGAATTGAGCGGCGATTTTCCTCCAAGATATGAGATTTCGATTTATACAATGTACTTCGCAAACTAAGGTTGACGCTCCCTTGCATTCTTAGAAGCAAAGCCTCATCAGGCTGACCTCCGGGAGCCAACTAGGCGAGCTAGTCTAGGCTTAGGCTTTAGTTTCAGACTCGTCGCCCTCAGAGCCCGACCACCATCGCATAAACCAGTTGATGTAAAAAATGGTTTCGAACGTGCCATATATACTTAAGAGCACGAGGACTACGATCTTGGTGGTCCTAGTCATACCAAGGTCCTTGAAACTAATCGGCGTAGGTTGGATTTCCTCTTCAGATGGCTTCGAAGGGCCATTGCTAGGCTTTTTGGTTGAATGTGTGTGACGAGAAGTTGAGAATTTAGAAGTGGCAATAGTTGATGGTTTTGGTATAGGCGAGTTGACGCATGGAGGGGTGACTCGGGTCCGACTGATAGCGCCAGCGCTGGTGCGAACCGTCGTCGCTAAACGAGTAGCTAACATTATGACAGCGGAATTAAAATATGTATACAAATGAATTTAAATGGTTTAACTACAGAATATAACCCATTTAATCGAAAACAAAGAGGAAAACGAAGTATATAAAGTAAATTCTCAACGATAGAGTCATCGCAATGAGTCTTCACACACTGAGAATGTGAGTCTTGGCACCTCGAATACGGCGTATTTGCGATCCATCGATGCGACAGCCCCATTTCGCTCATTACATATTCCTAACCTGCCCGATATAAAATGTTCATGAATCAGACCCAACGCCATTAAATCTAAGTCGATTGTAGCATTGGACTATAATAAATTCCATTTCCGCTTGCTCGATCAGAGTGTCAACTTGATTTTATTAAGACTCTTAAGCTTTGCGTTTCGACATTTTAACGCATTAGGTACATATGTACCCCCCAAACATGCGGGAAACCCCCACTATACCTAGTTGAAAGAGACGGAGTTGAGCAATATATAAGACGAGATAACCTTCGGAATTTTCACCAAGGCACTAATGGGGTAGTGGTAACCTCGGAGTTTCCCATCAGGATACTACTCTGGCCCCGTGTTCGATTCACGGTTAGTGCATGCTAAGAACCCATTGAAGCAAACTTCAATTTTGCCATTTTTTGCTACTTATCCTTAAAGTATAGCGTTCTATTCTCAGCATATTTCATTATAGTATAGTATATTTAAAAGTATTTGGGACTGCGTTTGAAATATCTGAGTAGTTAGTCTCGATTTTGCGTCGAAAACCTTCACGTCTATAATGTTAATACGAGGTTCAGTGCTGGAAGCGTATTTGTCTTCCTACGGTGGAGGAAGAGCCAATACAATTAAGCACCCCACTTTTCCGCGGGGTAGATCTGAAGAGCTTAGGCCTCTGGGCGCTTCGCCAGGCGTCGTCACTCAAACATTTAATTTTGGCAACTGAAATTCCCAAGCGTCATAATGAATTCTACCAGCACGTAGTCTCTCAATCCTTCCTCTACACACCTCCCTTACCTCTCTAACTACTACTTTACGAATATAATACCTACCACCGATACATCTGCTATCCCGCAAAATGAGCGCCAAAGGCGACAAGATCGAAAAGATCATAGCCCGACTGCAGCAGCGGATTGCTGAGGGGCAGTTCTACGAAGCCCAGCAACAAACCCGAGTTGTCGCTGCGCGGTATATAAAAGCGTCGAACTGGAGTGCCGCTATCGATATCCTATACAATGTTGCGCAGTCACTTTTAAAAGCCGGTCAAGGTGGTAGCGGTGGGGATCTTTGTGTGCTGCTGGTCGACACCTACAAGCAGGCCGAGCTGAAGCCCGACTCGGCTACCAAGGGCAAGCTCCTTACTTGTCTACGATTATTCGATAGTGAGGAACCGACTCGCAAGAAATACATTGGGGAGATGATAGCGTATGTCATATATTATACTAGCCTGCTAGGTCTGCGTAGAATAGAACTATCTGCTAACTATTGTGTCTACCTAGATGGTCCTCTAAATTCGGCGAATACCCCGCGGGCGATCCCGAACTCCATCACGTCGCAGGTTCCCTATACGCGGAAGAGCACGAGCCGTACGATGCGGAGAAGCACTTGCTTCTAGGCACGAAGGACTCAGCCGAGGTTTTGGCTCGTCTCGAATACGAGTGGTTTAAAGAGGATGATGCACATACAGCCGCCTTATACGCCGCCCGAGGAATCCTGCCGTACCTTCTGACGGGTAACATCCGCGCTGCCAATACGTGTTACCGCCTTTTCACAAGTTCCCTCAACCAAGACAAGTCGAGCCAACTCGGCATTCAAGATGTCAGCAGCAATAGCGTCGACATACGAATCTATCCCAGCATACCGCTGCTCAATTTCCTAGGCCTTCTCCTACTCGCCGTCCAACGAGCCAATGCGGACCTATACAAGCAACTGCATAACAAATATGCCAGTCTACTGGGAGAAGTTGATGCGTGGCATGAGTCTCTAGAAATGATTGCAGAGATGTACTTCGGTATCCAGAAGCCGCGGCAAAGCAACCCGCTTATGGACATGATGAGCGGCTTCTTCGGTAACACTGGTAGTGGTGGTGCGCCGGGAAGTGGTGCAAGAAGACCGGCCGTTCAGGCTCCTGCGTCGATGCCGGCTGCTGAGGGATTGGATTAGGTCATCTAAAAGCCCTGTTCTTGAAGTAGCATCACGTGAGCATGTCTTGATGACATTAATAATTAGGTATGACTATTCATGATGAAGTCGTGGTTCCTCCGGCTCGTACATCCAATTATCTTCGGAGAGTGCCGCTACTTGTGCTCTCATACTAGCTCGGACCGTCTCCAATACTTCTTTCGAGGGCATTAATACAAGAAATCAAGCAGTAATTGAGTAAATAAATCGTACCTTCGGGTTGCGCAGGCGTGCGGTTGTGGTTGATTTGGTGGTGCTTAACCGCCTCTGCTAATCTTTGCCTCTCCCCTATAGAATAGTTAAAATCAACGGACTTGCGCCGTATTTAACAGCCGTGATGTGCATACGCTCACTCTCTTGCGCTTCATCTAACACGCCACCGTCATCCGGCTCGTCTAAAGTGGGCGTCGGTGGATCGCCCATGTCGAATTCGCCATTCTTATCGCGAATCACAATCTCGGACGTATCAGACAGCACCTCAACATCTCCAAGCCGCAACGTCTCAACCGAGTTATTGGATGAAGACGCTGTCGGCGTCGGACGCCGGGTTAGCTGGCTCTGGAATAGGTTGCGCCGCACTCCGGCTGTGTTTGTGCGGGTGGTTTTGCTGGGTCCTGGACGGGCGTGAGGGGGCGGACGGTCGGCCATGTTGTTTGTGTTAGTTGGTGGAGTGATAGGTGATTGATCTTTTTGAGATTGGAGGTCCTTTCGTAATAATATTGGCGAAATGTTTATTTAGTTAGGTGATGTTCCCGTAGAAAAATCAAAGAAATGATTAGTTATTTCTCAAAGTTGATGTTTTTGTTTGGAGAAATGATACATCGGATAGTAAACTAAGGCGCAGGGATGAAGCTCATTGGGGAACGCTGCTTCTCTTTTTTATTGTGTGGGGTAACCCTGTATGTGTGACATGGGTCTTTCACCTTAAACTTCATTAGATTCAACTTTTGGTCTGCTATATTCATCGGAATACCTCGATTCATATTGGTAAAGAATTAACTTTTCATGTTAAGACCATTTTTCTACTATCGATTCGTAAAATCGGATTTTAAAATTAAGTATTGGTGCTAGACTCAAACCATGGGGAGCACTTTCAACATCCAACCTGTCGCACGTTTTGGCGGCGAGAGTGAGCCTGTGAAAAGACCTAAGGTAGGTGCAAATATTATCATTATAATATTGGATTGGAAAATCCAAAACTAACACATCTACATATAGGAAATAGCCTATTTCTCATATGACCAAAATCATGAATTCCATCTTGACGACCGATCACTTCAGTGGTATTATCCTCCCGAGATTGGCGCCGATCTATCCAAAGGTTTCGACCAATTTGATAAACATGACAATTCCAAAGATGAGCATATTGATAGTCTGCTCAAGACAATCATGGCTCATGAGGAAGAAGAAGGGAAGAAGATCGACGCCCAGGTAGTTACTTGGCGCGGTATGATGACCAAGGTAGAGATGATTTTAATCGGCTAGGTATTCTTAAAACATGTACTAAATTCACATAGATTATGTCGGCTCCGTTCGAGGATCGAGATGGGTATGTGACGTATACCGCTCATATACGCGATTTATGAGGTTCTAACGTTATGATTATTAGCTTTGAGATGAATGCTACTCTATACCAAGTGCGCAATTCAAACTCCCTTTCGTGATGGGAATGTGGCTGATTATAAAAAGGACTGCGTGTATGCTTTTGAGCTCTGAGTCATTTGTTGATCTACTTATCTAACTACGACTTAGCTTCATCGAAGAGAACTTTGAGTATTCGCGGGCGGCGAAAGCAGAGCAAGAACAACGTCAGCGACAGCAACAGCGGCGGGGCCAGATGCCTCCAGACGTCATGACGTATTGGGGTGAGGATGAGAAGACCAATCGATTGATTACGGTTACTTACCCATTCCTAGGTTATAAGTTCGAGACTTTATGCTGCCTACCACGTCCTTGGGGAGAGGTCAGCAGAGACTTCATTGAGAATAGAGACAAGGAAATCGTTAGCAATAAAGCACAGTATTGCTCTGTTGTCCGTACTGGAATCGGCAAAACGACGTTATGTCTAGGAGGGGAGGTCGATGCGAGTAAGTCTCTAATTGTCAACTACTCCCATGGGGCCGCACACTAATCTAGGCAACTAGTCTGGGATTCAAAACCAGAGCAAAAAGGGGCACCAATCAATTGGATTGAGTTGAAAACCAGCGTCGAGATTCAAAATGATAGAAGCATGCAGAATTTTGAACGCAAGCTCATGAAATTCTGGATCCAATCCTTTTTACTTGGTGTACCAAAGATCATCGTCGGCTTTCGCTCGCAACAGGGCATTCTCACCAAGATCGAAGAAATCCAGACAGCTAAGATCCCCGAAACGGCCGCCAAACGTGGGGTTAGGAGTTGGAATGCCGACATGTGCATTAATTTCGCCAGTGCCTTTCTAGAATGTATGCATGTTAACCCCTATGCTCATTTTCGTATACTGATTTGATTATAGGGTTAAGAAATAACATCAGCGATGAGGGTGTCTGGAGAATAAGACGGCGACCTAATTCACAGACCATTGAAGTATTCCAAGTTGAAGAAGCTGGTCACGGCATGATTCTCACTGACGAGTTCATCAATTGGCGTATAAAACTGGGTTTGAAAAGCCAACCCGAATAATCGCTGAGTTGAATTACCAAGATACTGCATGTCTAATCCCTATCCAAAACCAGGGCTCCTTCCTATTGATACCCTACCATAAGTTCTATGTATATAATGCATATCGATTATATGCGACATATGGTTAGCTTATTATATCTAAAAATGTACTTGTTCTAGATGCGATTCATTTATTTAGATTCACATGCATCTTGCGTCGCATAGGGTCAAAGTTGGTTCCAGACTCAGGAACTCCTGACGTTCGTTTTACGTTGACGCCATTGTCGATGCTATCGAGGTCTACCTCAAACGCCATATGATTTAGAAAGTTGGAAATCTGCCTAATTATTAGTAATTTAGGTATGTTTAAAAGTCAAGTATGTAAAGCGGAAGATCTTACGGGTTTTCCGTGCCATCGTCCCCCATTAGGCTCAAACCAGCCCAGATGACCGCCAAGAGACGTGGTGCAAAGCACAACCCAAGGGTTATGCCTCGCCTCAGCTTCAGGAAGAGCCATCGAAGAGGCGATGGGGTCGTCTAGAGCGTTGATTGCGAGAAACGGAATTCGCACGGCTAACAGCGAATCCGAACTAGATGCGTCTCTATAGTAAGCTTCTTCGGTGGGGTACCCCCAAGTGGCGCACTGGTAGGCCCTGTCGAATTCATACAGGTACTTCAGATTTAGAAGGTTATCTGTATCTATATTTGTGTACTTGTCGAGTTCATCCTTATGCCGCGACGCCAAGGCTTTCATAGCATCTAGACACAAAAATCACATATTTAGCCAACGATTTAATCGCCTGGATTTCCTTTGTACTTACCACCAAGGACCTTTAGGTAAATGTGATGTCCAATGAATGTCTTCTGCAACATTTTGGCCGATATGTTCAGGGCCCAGGGATTCCCAACCACGACTGCCGCTTTCAGTGGGGTCGCGGAGCCTTCTTCACCAAGATACTGAGTGGCGGGTTAACGCATCATCCTAGGGAGTTTTTCTTTTTCTTCCGACTAATGGGGATGCTTACATTAGTGAGTATGCAGCCACCCAGCGAGAAACCTAGGCCGAATAGCGGCCGATTGGGGTATGTCTTCTTAAGCCACTTCACAGTCTATTGATTCATCCCTGTAAGTAATAAAGCCACGGCATCGAGATGGAATCGGAGTAATGGTTTACCTGTCTGACATCCCATGTAGCACGGGCATTATAAAGCAGGCCCGTGGTGATCTTGCTGTTGGCGCAGCCTCTTGAAATGACCACGCATGCCTCCCATTTCCCACTCTCAATAAGCGGAGCGAGGGCGTACCGGAGGTATATCTCATGAGAGCCACCAGAAAGTCCATGGAGGATAACGAGCATAGGTCGTTCGTCGTCAGAACCCATGTTATCGAGCTCTTTCTCGGAGAAGTACGCTGTCCGTGGGGGTAAAGTTTCGTCCGCTTCGTGTTCCTTAATCAAGACGGGATCCGTCACAGCGAAGTCCACAACATAGCTGCCATTAAACTCCTCGTGGTCTGCTTCGAAAATCCTTCGTTTGTAGTGAAGAGGTGGCCCGTGGGCTTTAGCAGCCGTCCACATTGTCTGCGCGTGTCCATTGAATAATAATGGGTTAAGATAGCATGGCGGAACAGTTGATTTACATATCTCGGCCAAAGTTCTTGATTTGCCGTCTTTCTCTTTTATGTTCAGCGACTTTTGCGGGTGAAGATAATTGATCCTCGCCCTTCCAAACCACTCTCCAACCCATTCCATATTGGCTGCTGTTGTTTTCTATCAAATTGGTTCGTTCTAAAATAAGATCGAGCTCTGAATATAGGTCTTTATAATTAAAAGAATATATTGGAAATATTGTTTAAATTAAGTGAAATAAACTTTAGTATGTTTGAATGTTTAGTTTTAAAATTGAAGCGATTGAGTTCCGGTTAACAGAAATGAAGTATTTAGGGCCCCATCTTCGTCTTCAGGGGACAATTTGCCAAATCCTAGTAGGTCCACTCGTACCTCGGTGCGTGCCGGAGTTGAAAGGGTCCTACCTAGGCAGGTACGACGGTATCGACATATGCACTTAGTAAAAGGTGGGGGGAAATTCTATCGAAGCAGCGAGTCCTAGAGGGGGCTAAGGAAGTGGGGAATGATTCTATATGTCGCTAAAATGGTATATTAGGATAGGAAGTTTCATCTCTGACAATCTTAAGATCGGGCAATCTCGTGCTATTGAGCAACCTTGAAACTTTTAAGCTTTTAAGCCGCAAGCACATCCCACTTTGATATGTAACTAGCAATTCAATCAACTAACAACTTATTCAAGGCTGTTTAGACTATTAAGTCTTTGTATTTCCTCTATGTCAACCCATACAAATTTAACCAATCATACAATGATATAGGATATCTATGTCTAGTGATCATAAAGTCCGTTCAGTGTTACAATGAAAAGCAAAACTCGCCTTATCTTTGCATGATGAATATATTCTGCATATTGGATAAGACATGAACGTGTTGATTTCATTGGATTGGGGTATTTTATCATACACTTACGTTTTTATGTACATATGTATGTACGATCCCTTCTAAGTTGGGTCCTTTGAAGTCAGATTCCAGGTATCCACATGGGCAAGGACCACGGCGCTTTCCTTGTCCCTTAGCACCATCACGTGATGTGCTTTTGTAGGCTACGACGTCGCGGCACGCGCCTTGGCCGATCTCTGCAGCCGACCTTACTTTCCATACAACACTTAAGACATTAGCTGTGCGAAATCAACAACCAACCCCAATACTAACGTAGGGAATTGTATGATGATCGATGGGAATGATATAATCTGCGCTTAGTGAAATGAAATTATGACATATCGCGGCTCGATGCCCCAAGGCCACGGGTCGGGGTTCAATGGCCAACAAACACATTATCCCCAGAACAACGCCGTGAATGGTTACGATGCCTGGGGTAATCCGCAATTTCAACAGCAACCACAGCAGCAACAATACCAAAATCAGAACGTCGTATTCACTCGAGCCCTATACCCCCAGCAACCCTCGCAATCCCACAATGTTCATCAACAACAGCAAATTCACCCATCACAGCAAGATGCGAACTTCCACCAATTCCAATCCTACGACCCCTCCTTCGATCAACGGCCTCTTCAACCATCGCCGCATACCGGGGTAAATACGCCAACCCATATGATGCACCCTATGCAGCAAAATGTTTTGCATGCACCTCAGCATCATCAATATGTTCAGCAACCAGATTGGCAACATATGCCCCCACCGATGCCGATGCCTTCGCCCTCCTACCAAGCGCCGCATAGCACACCACCCGTAACGCCGCAAACCATGCCTCAGGCTTTACCTCAACAGCAAGCGCAATACCAGTACCAGCAACAGCACCAATACCAACACCCATATCAACAACAACCACCGCAACAGCAACAACGATCCTTTACTCAGCATACTAATTCACCCATGGTCCAGTCGCCTCAGTTGCCAACCCAGTTCGTCCAGACCCCCAATAATAGACATACTAGCGCAGGTGCACGAATGGATCACGCCAACTCCGTCTCCGCGAGTCCCCGATTAACTACTCATGCCATCACGAGAAGCCCAAGCGTCAGTTCCGCACGATCGCCTGCTCCTACTCCAGGGCTTTTACCACCCCATGTCGATAGCATTTCTATCTTGATCTGCGCCGCCGAAGACCTCCTTGATAAGGCGCGGAAAGAGACCGTAGCTGTAGTAGATAATATGGATTCCCAGACTCTATACGAGTATCAAAAGCTTGTCGCTACAGGATTGGGGTGTCTCGAGGCCGTCCTAGACAATCCAAAACTAGCTCCACGGTTAGAAGCTAAGACGCGGTTTCGGTATGCTAGTATATTATGTGAGGAAACGAATAATATTATGGAAGCTGAGACTGCCCTAACCAAGGGCATCACACTGTGTGAAAGAGTAATACCACTCTCAAGAGTTCTTCGTGTGTTCGTCTATGTGCTGACTAGATTCAGAATCGATTTACGGATCTAAAATACGCCATGCATTTCCTTCAGATCAAATTACTATTTTCGCAACAGAAAGTAAAGGCAGCATTGATCTCAGTAGATGGTCGGATACGAGATGCTGAAGTGTAAGTGCTTGATTGCAGCCTACGGCCTCTATATGTTCTAACACTAGAGTAGAATGAAGCACTATTCTTGGGTGTACGCCTTTCGATTCTTGAAGACTTCTATATATCTTCAGTCCGCCAATCCGTCGGATACACATGCGCTCGATAACCTGAAAGCCATAGCCACCCTCGCTAGTCAACAGAACGATCGTGCTGTTTTTGTGACGGCCTCTCTACTCGAAGCCCTAAGTCTCCTTAGGACTATGAAAGACGATGCTATAGTTCGCATACAGGCCTGTATTGCTCAAGCGTTAAAGTACCAATTCGAGGATTCGGTCCGCATCCCTCAACTCGACACCTTAGCTCTTATGATCGACCTTGCCTGCAGCTTACAGCAGAAAGCGGTTCACGTTATCATGCAGAAGTTGAAGAATCTCCAGGATCATGTGGACTCATGTATGAATGATAAATCATGGCATCATGCCGAGATGGAATTACTACTCCCTATCCGAAAAAGCAATACGCACGTAATTAGCCAGGATACGTCGGCCGTTCTGAGGCCTGGAGGACAGGATGATGCTTACGACTATCTCGCCATGTCGTTCTGGAGCAAACTCGAGGCTTTCGCCGTAACGTAAGAGACCTTATGCCTCTTCCTCGTTTATACCCTTCATTAACAACAATTTTAGATATACGTATAGTGGTCTCGCGCTTTTATACCAAACGCCTCGCAATGATAAGAGGATATTCAAGCTTTGGGAAGAGGCTCTTTCCCAACTGCAAAAGGGTACGCCAATCCGATATGATACAGTTGAATTATTTCTGACATTTTTATATAGCCGGTATCAGACTACAAGGCCTGCCGAACTCACTGGCAGATGCTATTAAGAGGACGGATTGGCAGAAGGAATGGATTTGCTATCTCTATATACTTCAGGGTTTACATTTTGCAACTTACACTCGGTGGTCCGAAGTCAAGAATTGTGTAGCACAATTGGAGGACCTAGTCAAGCCTCCACTTGAAGGCATCGTCGTACTATACTCTACATATCTTGCAGGAGTATATCATCAGGGAACCGGCGATTTGAATACCGCTAGCTCAATTTTCTGCAACAGAATCTTCAGCCTTGAGGATGACGGAAGAAATGGAAATCGAAAAACGACGGAAATCGACGTGTCACTATTAGCGACTTTCAACCGAATCTGGATTATGCAGCATCCTGATTACAGAGATGATCGATTGACACTAGATCTCCTAGAACAGCTTCGCCCGTACTGTCACGATCACCCTAATCTGGAGATTCGCACAGCGTACAATTTGGTTCTAGCGGCGGTACAGACAAACCCACCAATTCCGATGACGGCGGTCAAGATGCACATCTCGACGGCATTGAACAGTGCGCAGTCCCTTGGAAATGTGCAAACGCTATCTATTGCACTCAATGTCATGCGAGCCAAGCTCTTCCAAAGTATCGTTGGTGATCAAGCACTGAAGAGCGCAAAGGCAGCTTCAAACCAAGCGAAGAGAAGTGGCAATACTCTCTGGATGAGTGTTGCGGACGGGATGCTTGCACAAAGTTACGACGTTCAAGGTCAAGCTCTAGATGCACAGAAAGCATGGGGAGATGCGACGCAATACGCAAACCAAGCAGTCGAGATGATGAGGAGTGAAGGTGCTGTCTGAAATGGTGGTGACAACGAAGTGACAGTAAATCCGGGTCTGTCGCGAGGGTAGGGCGTTATGTATAATACCATGGCATTGCATAGTAGGATCGTATGGCTGGGCGGACGGGATGATGTAGGCGTTTGTCAGGTCACAATGGGAGCGATCGTGATTCTCGTTGGCCGGCTCGGACGGTTCAACAATTATACCCTCTTATCATTGATAGGTCGCGAGACAAACCCAACCCCCTTTTATTTGAAAAATCAACCAACGACACGCATTACGCATACACATATCAAAACATACACGTACACACGTACAGATACACATACACGTTGATACATCCGGCATTGCTTTTGCATGATCTTACTCCACGGTCCGTACGGAGAAGCAGTGAACCAGGACAAGGTGTGACCAGGTTAACGTTACTCGACATTAGAGAAAAAGAGCCGCTCGCTACCGTTGGAGTCTATTCCGACGGATCGATGCTCCAAAATCTCCGGCATTTCAATCGGGACCTGTTGCCGCAGCTCTGTTACTCACCTTGTATTCGCCTCGCTGGCATAATCGGCATCTCATGTTTTGTTTTGTTTCGGGTTTGAAATGAATTAGATCCGGGTTGTACAGCTGCTTATTTCGACACCTGCATGTTCCGCCTCTTGTTACCTACATGAAAGTACCCTTTATTGTGATAGGCGTTCATTCGTTGGGGATTTTTCTTCCAAGACAGTTGAACTGAATGATCGACCCCAAGTTGAGGTTGACGATCTGTTTTGAGGGCATATACAACCACAGGAATTACTATACAAACTCGCAAGCTTTTCCTATTAAGGATGGTTTTTGTTTAGTTACCTGCCTGCTGCTCTATCTGGTGTAAGAATTGGAAACGAGAACGAGTCCGGTTAGCTTCAGCTGCTGCGATCCTTATTATTTAGGTACATATTTTTTGCTGTGGCATGTGGCTACCTAGCCTTAGCGATGCTTAGCTAGGCCCGGATAGGATCTTAGTCTAACCAGACGCCCGGCGTCGTTGATGTTACATGGCGGTGTTTAGGGAATAGTAAGTAATGTATGTGATGTAGGGAGGGGGGACGATATTAAGGTGAGACACGAGAAACGAATTTTCGGGAACGTCAGCCGGAGAAAAAAAGGAAAAAAGAAGTAAATGAAGAAAAATTAGTGAGTTGACATCTAAGACAAAAATAATAAAATGTAATATTTTTATTTGCCTCACACATAATAATTTATTATTATTTTTCCGTTGCGGGCGGAACCGGCCATTGTCCATCCGAGTAGATTATGTAGAAAACTTATTCACGATCCGTTTCGTTGTTCCAGCCCCGTGGTTCGAAGTTATGCATACCTAGGTGTTTAGGGAATATACTACTATGTTATGCTATGCTGAGCTGAGTATCAAATGCCGAGCGGCCAGGTAAAAGAGAATGCGAGCATATACTCTCTATAGTAAGTGCCTGTACTTAGATACTTAGGATACTTAGGGAATGGGTGCACGCTAGCGGATGACGATGATTGTGAGTGATGACGACGACGGCGCAGAGAATACCACATGTAGACGTTTAAGTACTCGGTACTTTTTGTGATGGCTGACAAGGGGCGCTAAAAAGGTACACGATAGTTGTAAGTAGATAGCGGTAGTTAGTAGTTGCTGTATGGGTTGTATAGAGGTAGTAGTAGGAAGGAGATAGATGGACCCTTTCTTTTTTATTTTCATTATCCCACGCGACGAGCACACACACATACATACCCTTGCCGTCGTCACATCCACCTCCATATTTTGATTCCATACTTCAACAACTCACTAACACATACGGATACCTACCTACATACATACATACATACGTACATACATGGCTACTTAGACACGTAGATACTTACATACCTACCGACCTACATATACGCAACCCACCCGCTCCGCCGGCTCGAAGTCCCGCTTAGGATCAAGTAATCTCAGGTAATCAAGATGTAATCACTAAGTACGGGTGCGACTATTACACCACCTAATACACTACACCACAGTACGGTACAACACTTACACGAACAACTACACGAATAACGAACTTTAGTCCAGCTACGCCCCGACCAGTTCCCTGGGTCTCCGCAGTGCAACCCTACAGTATACCTTCACCTACCTACATTACACTACCAGACCTAGGCCTAGGTACATATGCAAAGACATACACACATACGCACGCACCCCTCTGTTTATTCGGCGCGATTATTGCTTTTTTATTGATTTCTATAGCGTATTATTTGTCCGGTCGGTTTATTAATTTTTTTTCTCTTTTTTTCTTTTTTTCTTCTTTAATTCTGGGGACGGGTATAGTGGATTTATAGTGGATTCTTTTCCCCCAAAGGTTGGTTCGTTTAGTATATATCAATAGGTGTGTGTGGGGTGGCAGGATGGAAATCCGAAGAGGGGGAGAGGGGAAAAGTCGAGAGAAAAAAAGGGGACCTGTCTACGAAAATACATATCATATTTTGTCATAATGTATGAGTTGATGTGGTTCTTTCGGCGAGATACGACGTTGACGGCCTTACTTTTTTTGCTCTACTTTACATTTCTTGTTTCCACCAACCACGGCGTATCTACGTAAGCCATTTGGTAGGAATATTGAATGATGGATTTGTTGTTTGCTTGGGGCGGTTCTTTTTCCAAGTTTGTTGACGCATTTCTTGATTTTCGTCGTTGTTGCTAATAACTAAATACGACCTTTGACTACCTCTAGCTATGTACCTAGCATTGAAGGGATTCAATTCATTGCTTTAGTATCCAAGTACCTACCCCTACCTGGGATAGGTAACTAGGTATCATTAACCCACCCACACGCGACCTGGACCCCTGCGATTGGGAACGGGTGAGAAACCAAGATCCAGCAGGGTACGGAGCTAAGGCATTCCAGATGGTGTGTATCCTTCAAAGGCCGTATTTGTGCGTGGTGGATGGCAGCATCTTGTAACTCGTGACTTGCCCTGTTCACCAGTCGGTGGAATTTCTTCGGCGTTGAACATTCCCAAGACTTATATTATTTTCTTATGTATGTATGTACGTACGGGCATATGCGTGCCATGTCTTATTTTATTCTACGATTCCGTAAGGTGGCGGATGGGCCTACCTTACCTATCTGTCCTATCTAATCCACCTTACGCAACGAATGACAACCATTCATTTGTAGGTGATACTACAGGTGAGCGAAGGAGCGGAATAAAGTGCCGCGGAGGCGTAGCTAAAGGGAAAGAAAAAAAAGAGACGAGAAAAAAACATACCTTGCTTACGCTTTCGCTCTCATCTACCGTAGCGTAGGATGTCGTGACAGGCCCATGCATGGCCTCCGAGACATATCCCGTAGTAGCTGACAGCATCGTGCAACGTGGTTTTCGAGCTGCGGTCAGCCTACATATTATGTACATGAACCCCGTCCTTACATGACGGTGAACGTGGGAAAAAGAGGGCGAAAAGAAACAAGGACCCCCAGGCCCAGGGGATTGACTGGCCCGGCCTGCCTTGGAAACTAGCCATTTCGTCGGTGGCTAGATTGCTCCGCAGCCGTAATCCCTAGGGTGTACCCAAGGTTCTGGCCGTCCTGGAACATTCGTATCTCCGAGTGGGATATGCTTCCCATTTCGGTCTATCCCCTATCCTCTATTGCTTATTGCCTACTATGGTTTACCCTCGGGGGGCCACCACCACCACCACCACCACCACCACGGAGAGGGAGGAACGAGACATCCGGAGGAAGAGTCTGCTTTGGGAACTCTCTGCCGCAGGCTTATCAATATCACAATGGGGAATGGAAGGAATGACGGAATGGAATAAAAAATAATAACGGTCACACGCAGCTGTCTCTCCCGAAAGAAGGAAAATGGAAGGCAGGGAACAATGGCCTCGGCGTGGCTTTCCCGCGTGGCATCGGAGGTCAAGAGATACTGAGCTATGATCTGATGGCGGCGATCTAATCAATAGTCCTAGCCTGCCCATGGCCTTTTCATCCAACCGTCGTACAAAGGAGACATGCCGCTACGCTTGCCGACACTATTGGACCATGCAATAGCACAACAGGGACTTTAGGCTTCGGCTCAACGAGTTCTCGTTGGCTCTCCGATAGCGAATGACACAATCCGCCTGCCGTCAGATCAAATAGGTTCGAAGGATTCTACGAACTTCAATGTATAGTATCCGCCTATGTATGCTGCAGGAGAACAAATTTTTGTTGAATTTGTTGGCTCGAAATAGCGCAAAGAACGATGAGTGCTAGTTTAGGGGGCCCTTTACTGTAGTTATATTCTCTTAGTTGAATTGATGCTTGTATTTGTCTTTTTCGCCAAATATCCTAGCTTAGGATGCTTCGCTTTGCTTTTTCTCGTCCATCTCCGTAGATAATGCTAGGATAGATACATGTGTTTCAAAGTGCGGTGAATAGAGGGTATAGTACAGGGTATTTTACAAACAGTAGACATGAAACTGGCAACCGATCGCGAGCCGAAAGCAAAAGAAGAGGTATAAAATGCCGAAAAATCAAAGACACATAAGCCACCCAATGCAAAATCAGGATATCTAAAATCCACCCCCCTTTTCCGCCTTGCAAATGCTTCGAAGCCGCTTATAAAATAATGCAATGTGCAAACCCAGACGCCGGCCAAGATGCTGCCCAAATTCCAGCGAAATGTAAATATGGGTGAACTACTTGGTCGAGAAAATTCATTATTCGGTTAATGCCCGTAATGCTTGTAGAAGTTTTCTTTTTTTTTTTCGTGGTGGCGGTGACAGTCGGTCGGTCGCATAATCCGTTATCGTAAATCGATTCATAAAAGACCAGTGTCTTGATCTTCCGGCATCACTCGCACGGTAGAATCGGCTGCGAAATCTCTCAACACCCCCCAAAGTTGACAAGTATAATGTCAACACCATTAACTCCTAACCCGAATTTTAGACACCCCCCAAGCCAGCTCTCCGATCGCCCGGTAAAATAGAGGCCTTCAACCTGACCACAACAACCATGGTAAAGCGCAAACCGTATGAATTCAATTTTGTAGTAATACTCCATAGGTTGGATGTCGACGATTCTTTAGGGATTAGAAACATAAGGGTCTGCTTGCCAAGGCCGACATAAAATATCACGAGGCAAGTCATGTCGCGGCCAGGCTGGCATACTATTTGGCGCATTTTTGAACTCGGGGATAGGTATCATTTGAGCAGGGCGGCTTGTCGGCGGCGCGTGCCTTGGATAGTCGTCGTATGAATGCTTCATTCGCTTGGAGGACAGACCTGGGAGCAGTTCAGGGGAAGGATGACTAATCTTAGTTGTTCGTGGCGACACGGATGTGCTCGAGGCACTCCTTGGTCTTCCAAAATCCACTGCGCTAGGGTGTGGCCCCAGTTGCCTGGACATTTCGTGTTCGGCGGGTGAAGCCACTGGAGAAGTATTGTGGCCGCCACGGGGACTAGATTTGGGGTTAGCATAGAATAAATACAACGCCTCTGACGGCATTAACCAGCGACACTTACGCGTTCTTAAACTTGCAGACCCTACCAAATTTCTCGCACTGAACACATCGAGGGTAGTCGGGGTCACACTTAATTTTCTTCTCCCGGCACGTGAGACAAGCTATCGCAAGTCGCTTTCTCGGTTTTCCCGCCTTTGTAACTCCCCAATGAGCATTAACTGGTTCTCCATCAATGACCGTCTTGCAATGAGTTCCATCATCGTAGAAATAACACAACCCCTCTCCAGGAACCTCTGCTTGTTTTACAAAGCGAGGCAAAAAGTGCGTTCCTGTCCAAATCTTAGGTCCTAACCCGTCTTTTACTGGTGCGCCTTCCGGTGCAACAGCGCTTGTTAGAGTTGGCGAGTGGCTTGACGGCACCCGAGCTTCTCTCTTAAATGTCGGGCTGGGTTCAAAGCCCAGCCGTTGGTTTAAGGGAGGTAGCGGGACACGCTCGGGGACTGACCTAAAAGGGGGAGTTGGTGGTCGGGACTCAAATACATACTCCCGCCTTGAGTCCTGATGGCTAGGCCACCTTCCAGTCTGGGTAGTCTCGACTCTCGTTGCGTGATGTGCGTGTTCGAATTCGTGTGTTGGAGACCTAAGTGGTCCGGGAAACCGGGAAGAAACCGAGGGAAGTATTGGCCTTTCAGGCTCTACCCTCGGCTCGTATACACTACGTGGTTGACTTAACGGCGGAGAGACATTCGGGAAGTAGGATGAACTTCTCGAGTGCGGTCTATCCAGCGGAGAGTGCGCACTATGGAGAGGACTTGGTCGATCTGGGAGAGGAGACAGTACTGGACGGACATGCTGAGGCGGCCCAAACAAACTGCTCAACGGCGGAAGTTGCTGTCGAGGTGCACCGTTAAGATTTTCCCTTCGTGTTGGGCCGTCTTCCAAGTCCCTCGTAGCTGACATATCGGATCTAGTACTCGGGTCATAACTAGACATAGGAGGTGATATAGGCACAACAGCAGGAGCCCAGGTTCGTTCCTCGGAAATCCTGGGCGTATGAGTTGACGAGCTCGGACTCATCAGGCCAGGAGGCGTATCAGAAACAGCTGATGGAAGTTGAAGTTCTAATCTAGCTTGTATCCCCATTGAGATTGAATGCAAGATCGAAAAATTCCTTATAACATATCAATCTAGTGCAGAGCAACTAGTTGGGGATTTTCAAGAAAGATCTGTGCAATGCAGAAGGGGAACCAGCGTTGGCAAGAAGAATATGCGTTGAGTTAGTAGTTGTTGTGGTTTGGGTATCTGCCGGATAAAGGTCCTTCGGCGGCGCAGCGAATAACTAAGTACGCACACACATACACCCTCCAAGCTGTAAGTCGTCGAGCCGAATCGTGCGAGTGGCTAGATCACCGGATAATTGGCTGTTGTGATTCCGCGTGCTGCTGTCCAATGCAGCTGGGTTTCCAGCCGATTATTAAGTTACTGGAGAATGTTAAAAAAGCAGTCTACGTGTTGACAGCCAGTCCACAGAGGCAAAATATTGTCAGATCTAAGCGCTGACAGGCGAAGAGGTAGAAAGAGGGTCACTGTTCGTGTGACGGTCGAGTTTAGCCAATGTACGATGGATGAGTTTCCCGTAAGTTTGAGCGGCGTCTCGAAATAAGTACCTCAGCTTAAGTGAGGTAATGGGGTGTAGTGGATGTACAGACAGGTACAGTAAGTAATATTGAACGTGTCGATGGGGCAATATGATTCGAGAAGGACAGACGAGACGAGACAATGTCAGGTAAGGCAAGACACTCCAGAAGGAATATCGAAGGGAAACGATAAGAAGTGTATTGTAATTTGTAACTTGAGATGATCACTGCAGGTGGGTTATGTAGGTATAGGTATAGGTATAGGTATAGGTATAGGTATGTAAGTAGATGCAGATGTAGATAGGGTGGGCTTGTTACTAAGTGGTAAGTTGAGTTGAACAGGTCAAAAGTCCGGGGTCAAGCTCGCCGGAACAACTTGTAGTACATGTAGGAATAATAAAGAATAATAAGTTAGAACAATAATGGAAAGAATAATGAAATGATAATAATAATTAAGTTAAGAAGTGACTAGACCCTCATGGCCCAATACAAGAAAGTTGCAAGTTGCAAGTACATACTGCAAGTACGAATAACCGGTAACTTGTTACCCTGGTCACAATTTCAAGAAAGAGCCATGCTTTCCCACTCCTGACGGCAGGTATTGGCAGGTATGTATCGGCTCTAACGGCATGATAGCATGGTAACGGCATAGTGTTGGTTTCCTATTCTTGCTCGCGTTCGCGGAAAGCACGTCCCTAGACTAGGTAAGTACTATGTAAAGTAGGTAAGTGCCATGTGCTATGTGCTACTACTCAGCAAGTGCCAAATGCTAAGTGCCTTGTGCCTTACCCAGTTAACCCAGCCAACCTAGTCAACCCAGTCAAACCCCGTACACCTCATCAACGGGCGAAAAGGCCGAGTATACATCTTCCGAATCTTAATCGTAGTATAGAGACGAGTACACTTTAGGGAAGGCGGCTCGGGTAGAGTACCCAAGGCATCCAACATTGAAGGTACATACACCATATACATCATCATACTACGTAGTATGTACGGAGTAGTATGTAGCATGTACTCGGCAAGGGAAAGAAGTGAGGTCAGGGACTACTTCCAAGTCATTACGGGGTTGCGCCGATAGAGCTAGAGCCTAGGAGGGGGGGATTGCTTGGAGATCATAGATCATAAGGCGAGGCCCTGTAGATTCCATGCAAGTATGGCAATGGATTCGGAAAAGGGTACCTAATACCTAGGTAACACGCACAAAGAAAAAGACCGGGAGGCCTAGCTAGGCTAGTTTTGTAACGGCTGCCAGGTATGCTGGTATGTCCGTCCGTCTGTATGTATGTACGATGTACGTGTATGTAGGGGTAGCGTCTGGTAGTTCGTGGGTTGTGGTGGATTGGATTTGGATTTTTGTGTGGATTGGCCGTGGGAAGAGACATGATGTCGATTCCATGTCGATTCCATGTGGGCCGGTACACATTTTAGTCGACGGAGCTGATCGACAAATGCAGACAAGGTAGCTGGGTAGGAGGTACTTATCCCCGTGGCGTAGCCCGTGTAAGCGGTACCTGCCGTGTTGTACCTTAGATCCATGGGACGCCCTTGTAGCATAAAAGTAGAAGGGAGGTACGTACCCGTTACCCGTGGTAATGTACCCTCGTACCTAGCTAGATTTACCGAAGTGTGCGTTTGTCAACCTATGATCAGAAGCTGCATGCTTGTGAAACGTGCTATATGTATATGGGGTAATTAGGAAGCATAAGCGAGGGGTGAAGTGGTACTGAAATGGGAATCCCAAAAGAATGAACCGTCATTCGTAAACCTATGGTTTTACCTGTTACTTGGTCTACGTATGTATTTTACCTCTATTTGGTATGTACACATGTACTTTGGACAACAAGAGAAATCTTCTTTCCTGTCTTGTGTTACAAAGAAATAAATTATATCGATAGACAATTGAATCCTACAACAACTTCTTTCAACCCCTAGGCAATACCGAGCGAGGAGAACAGGAGGGATCGGCTATTGTTGAATCTCGTCTACATTGAATAAAGTATACCCTGAGTGCATAATGTATGTACGGCAGTAAGATAGAGTAGCCAAGATCCCGTATAGTAAGTCGCTGGTATTAAACGTCGAGGAGAACGGGTTCCAGACCGCGTATGCACATACGGCTGATACATTACTTACATAGTAGGGGACTGGGCAATTTCCGGAACCACATACATACGCGGCTTCTTAACATAGTATACTACACATCTATCTACCCGGGTATCTAAGGTATCTAAGGTATGCCTACCCCTATACTACTCTGGACTTAACTATCCAGGTCGGCTAATTGGTAACAAGACAGAAAGGAAACTTATGCGCCGGCACGTAGCACTTTAGTATGATTCCAATGCTCTGGGTGCACTAAATTGCTACCCAGTAACACTGATTTAGCCTCCCGTACTGCCCGCTTGGTTATACTTAGTGTGCCCAGCAGGCCTGGTATCGGCTTCATCTACCGCAAATAGAATAAACTATCATCGCTAAACCTCGCGACTGCATGGACCTTTTGCAGGCGGGACGCCTACAGCCGCGCACTAAAGCTCAAAAGAGCCTAATGTATACGTTATTAACGACTAGAGTCGAGACTCGCTCTTATTAACACTAGTTATCCCATATCCCAAGAGAATCTCTGAAGGTCTTGGAGACTAAATGTTAGCTCGCATCTACCCAGTTAGTTGGATAGACTCATACGATCAACAACCGAGAAAAACCTTGGATAGTTGAACGACTAGACCATCTTTGGAAACTCGTAGTAGGCGATATAATACGTCCTAGCGCGGATTCCCCACTGGTTTCCACATCATCATCATCGAATCTTTCCGCGCTGCACTTTCGTTTAGAGTAGGGGGAGGAGAAGGGAGGAGACGGTGGAGATGGGTGGAAGAGGAGACGGAGAAGGAAAGAGAGGAGGAGCGACCCGACGATTATTTTAGTGTTAAAAATAATCTTACCGGCCGAGAGGGAGGAGCCGCCCATGTACTATGAGGCGTGCATATTATTATGCATACCTAAAGTATAACTAAGACTAAAGCATACCAAAAGTCAAAGGTACCTACAATTTAACGACAACTACCTAGCACCTAGCACTAGTCCGAATCTTCTTCCCCCCTCCCCCTTCCCCCGGGCTTTGAAAATATTACCTAGGTAGTGACTTATTACTCATAGGGGACTAAAGCCAAAACCCAAGGACCCAGGCCTCTGGGCAAAAGTATCCCACTTCGTCTCTTCAAACCCTTCGCATCATTCCGACCATTGACCCTTCAACACCCCCCGAACCCGCAACTCGCTAATATTAACCTTCTAGGGAATGGCCTGAAGCTAGAAAGGGAAAGAAGCTGTACTTTTTTACTCCAGCCCCGCCACACATGTAATGATCGCTGTAGAAAGGACGGGTGGCTTTTTTCCCTTGCTTTGGCGTTGGCCACCGGTTCATAGCGTCACTACTTTACACCACTACCGCTTGGGGGTTGCTAACGGTATTGCAAACGTATCATCCGGATATCAAACTCCCCAACGACGCGGCACGAAAGGGGTTCGCTCTTCTCTGGGTATTAGTTCGGCGGTATTAGCAGATCGTTGAACATGCCGGTAGCGAGTCCGGCCGAAGTTGTCCGGGGACCACCAGCCAGGCAGTCAGGGAGGAAAACAAAAGCCGATGACTTGTGGAGAGACAGTACCCCTCCAATAACAAAAGGATAACAGAGGCTTGGCTAGGTATCCTCGAACAAGAGCCTACCCAACTGCGACCGGCAATTGTTTTCTATCACCGGCAGCTAACTCGCAAACTAAAATTATCATGCAAGGGTATCTATCCACCGAACCCATACTATCTGACTATCTACCTGACTTACGTACTGGACCTAAGAGTTTTATGGCAGTCGAGCACATGGGGTTGACAGTGCTGTCAGCCTATGGTACGGCGTATTCGCATTTGCAAGCGCTGCACTACAGGTACTTACACATAGCCCGCCGAGAGCCTCATAAATCAAAACCCCATAAACAATTTAGGAATTTCGCCTCGCTTGATCCCATCCCATGAGCCTACGCCGGAGTAAAATAGTCAACAGACCACTTCCTTCATGATCGCCACCAACGGGCGCTCTCGGCTGAGCAAGACTGGGGCACAAGCTGAACTGACTGGCACACCAATTTCTTACAATCTCGAGACAGCCGCTTGTTGTTCTATTACAATTAATGCCGCCCTCTCCCTACATAGATATCCGCCGGATTACAGGCTGACGATCCTCACGACTTGATCCGACGGCATGGTCGAAGCAATCAACATCTCGGCCCTACTTCTCCGGCGACAATGACCATGTGATAAATCCGACCCACGGGGAAAATTTCGTGATATGACCTATCGCAATGCCAACAATTTGCGTGCGCTCGGTAAACTGGAGGATGCAAAGCGAGAGAGGAATCGAATGATCTTCCCTTTGATGGCCCGATAATGGATACTCGCAGGACACTATCCTTCCCCGATATGTGGTCAAATCTAAGTTAGCATTGTGATTGAGAAACCGGACAAACCACGAATCCATCTAGCGTCGACTCTTCAAATCGGCCAGCTCGATCAAGACGGTCTAAACTCTTCGTGGGCACTAAGTGCCATCTTAATGATCTACGTAGTGTCGAAGATCAACAAGCCACGTCTTATCATCCCGTGCAGCTCCTTTACTGCGTCATCCCTGTGGAACAAGGCACCTACAGATTAGCGAAATGATGTTTCGTGGCTCAGTGCGTGCCTAGGCATCTAGGTATGTAATCCGCAATGCCGAATTCGCTAGCCTTGAACTTCTCTAATGCACACAACGCTACGATCGACGCCCCCGGACGTAAGGGCCACTGCTTCCTACTCGTGAAGACAAGGTTCCGCCGCGGAACTGTCAAGGAAAAGCCACTTACCCCTTGAGCAAGCCCGAACTAGTATTTGTTACCTCTCATAGACGCCAACATTACACGGGGAAAAGCGCGTGGCGCCGTTACGTATCATGTATTCCCATCGGGTGTTTTCACAACACAATGGTACAGTAATTGCGGCTCAAGCCTTGTGTACCCGAAGCAAACACGGATCTTGTGATCGCCATTGTGTGTCCGGTGTAAATAGTGCCGAACGAGGTCCTTCTCTCTTTCTTCTCGTCTCCCAACAAACAGATACAGTACATCTTGTATCCCTTGGGGATCCTTCAGGGGCTAATGGCCAGTGTCATTCGGGAGAAAAAGTGATGAAGCAGCTGGGCAATCCTTCCACTTTCCACAGGGTCTCGCAGGTGCATACCTAAGTAGGTACAGTACCTAGCTAGCACGTTATGTACGTAAAGTAAGCGAAAGGCGAGATGTACCCAAAGCCGGGCTGAAAAATGGCGCGCATTGGCGTAGAAAGAGAAAAGCAGGCTAGGCTAGGGCTACGTACTGCAAATCGTCGAAAGGGGCACGTTCTTGGTAAAGGCTCGCTCGTCGGCATTTACGACAGACGTTTCCCCCCCACCCCCTACCTATGATCCGTGCCCTGGATCTGTTGCACGGACGCCATCTTCTGACGTTCGCAATAAAACCCACCTGTTAAAAATTGAGGATCGGCTGTTGGACAGGGCCATGTGGCTGGGTCGTACTCAGCTCCAGCATCCTTCGCGGCTGCAGACGCTTGCCGAGCGGCACCTTGCTTGTTACCAATACTGCCCCGTGCATGTCAGGTATCTGCAAAGTATCCGATACTAGATTCGGCACTACCTATTCTGTACCTCTTATCACATCTTGTAGGTACGGGAATGTATTGACATGGAAACACAACCTTCTACATGGATTGCAAGATTCCCACGGGTATGACCGATTTAAGCTGATAGCAAAGGGTACGTACGAAAAGACGTCCAGGTGCTTCGTCATATATTATTAAAACAAACAAATAAGTGGGCAAATAACCAGGTACCTGAAATCGACTATTACGGAAGTAAATCGACAAATACCTCGGCAGTAGGGTACTCGGTTCCGAAGTAACGTCAATCATCCGTGTTCCGTTCCGATGTCCTTTTAATCGGTAACTACTGATACAAAGTCATACGTAAAAGAAAGAAAAAAAAAAAATAAGCGCTTAGCCCAAGGTGCTTACTATCGATTGCTTTAGTCAATAGTTGAAAACTTGAATTCACCGAGCATGTGAGCAATATCCGAAGAGCTTCGTACAAATACGAAGAAAAAAACTCAGCAGGAACAAGATGTAGATGTAGCTTTTTTACCACGGCAATAAGCGAGGCTAGCTACAAAATCCATCTTCAATACAACGCAGTGGGTACCTTGACTCCAACGTTGTACAAAGTACTGTAAGTAATCAGATAAGAGTGGGTGAGATCGGTAATCAGCAAAAAGAAGAGAAAGAAGAAAAAAGGGAAAAGGGAGAGCTCGGACCAATAGAAGCTTGATTCGTCAACTTCTAGAAGCTTAGAAGTGTTCGACGGACCGGAGCAGCCCCGGAGACCCGAACCCGAGAAAGCAGACAGGGATATACCCTTGTTCCTTTCTCACTTGCCTGTTCTGGACCCAACCCCGATACTCTACCAATAGCCTTCCCAATAAACCGGATCAACAGGGTCCCAAACCCAAAAAATCCTCCCTGCTTACACATCCTTACATATTCATTGTTGTTGTTGTTAGGAGCCGCTGCAACGTATCAGTCGGATTTGCTTGCTTTGGCTTTCTACGCTTTCTACTGCTTGTGTTGTTATTTTTCAAGTGTCTCCCCAGGTTTATTGTATGATCCGTCGGAAGCCGAGGCCAGCGACAAGAGGAGGAAAAACATGTTCCATTATGACATGGCATATCGTATCTATTTCCTACAAAATATTTGGACCTATTTGCTTAGTTGCCTGGTTGCTTAGCTGCTGCTGACGATCCGCCTCGGCAGTCGTTTTTATCTGTAAGTACCCGCTGACAACTACCCAACCAACAGCGATTACCACTGCGACTGTCTACTATGCTATGTACATGTAGCAGCAACATCATTAAATGAACGGCGACCTGCGCTACGCCGTACCAATACATCCGTTACAGAAAAACAACATTGAACAAAACCCCTAACGAAACACAATCGAAATACAATCCTAAGGTTCCTTTCGTGCCGGTCACGGGGCTCTTGTGGCGCCTTCAGGATGCGTGGTATTGGGCGGTTGTCGCATTCATCCAAATAGCGATGGATTCCGCGATATTGCAAAACAGGTCATTTCCGCTCTGCATGTGTCTATGGTGTAAGTGGGAGGCGGGAGACCAGGCGGCGGGGGGGTGTTGTTCAGCGGTGGTTCACATCTATTTTTAGTATCGTGTAAGTCGCCCAGGTGAGTTGAGTACCTCCTCATACTTATCATACCCATACCTTACACCTCATACATAATACATATTGTGGTATGTATGTAACATAATAAGACGGGTATTATGATGAATGGCAACGGCTTTCGTCTTTCGCCCGCAACCCCAAACCGGGTAGACACAGACAGCATCATCACCATCACCATCATCTTACCGATTAAGTCAGACGTTTATCTTTCATTCTGTTTTATTTTTATTGTTTTTATTTTGGAACACTTTCCAATGAGTGTCAATGTATTAACGGTAATGACGATAATATACGAAATAAATTGGTAAGGAGTAATATGGCGGTAGGCTACGCATATTACTTCTTATACCGGCAGTATTACATCCAACATTACAGGGCTAAGTAGATGTCGTGGTACATTAAATATATCCGCAGCCGTCAGCAAAGGGTTCACACGACCATCGAGCCTCACGAGATCTTCGCGTGTCGCGCAGCCGTATAGGATCATGTGTCACGGATTTCAGGACCCCTCCAAAAGATTCGTTGACAAAAGAGGAAAGATAGAAAAAAAAACAAAAATTAATCCGACACCGCTTTTTTTTCTTCATCTACTTTCAGGAGTAAGAGGATGGGGCAATGGTGCGGCGCAAGAACCATTTTCTGCATCTTCGGCCCGGCCCCCTTGGATCTACATGCTGGACTGACTAACCTAGAATGTTGTGCATATATATACGAACAGCTAGGTAACAAATCTTATGAACTAACAAGTTTTTCCACCTCGTGTTGCGTCTTTTTTACATAACCCCGGTGTTACCTACTAACACGATAGCTAAAGAGAGACGAGAAACGACAAAAATAACAATAAAATAAAATAATATATCAGATCTAGACTCTCCAATATCGAATGGCAGTTGGAGAAGATTAGAAATCGCATATACATATTTAGCATCAAAGATATTGAAGCCCCCGTTATTGTTAGTAACCTACATATATTAGGTACACAACTGTGGTAACTGTGGTGGGCTCTTAATTTCAAGGGGGGTTGCGTTCACTTTGTGGAATGCCGACCTCCTCAAAGCACGTAATAAAATGATGATTACTATCCGACGCCCCGGCCACGCATGTAAGAGGCCTCGCCCGGTCCCATAGATAACCAGAAACTGGAGAAAATCCGCTTGTTCTGCACTCCCCCTTTCATATTCGGTCGGTTCTTCTTTTGGTCTCTTGGACGCCGGTAATATTTGGCGGCAAATAGGCTGTTATCCTATTCCGCACCACACATAAGCCACAGTGGAGAGGACGAGGTAACTCAACTCGGTCGAGGGAACGCTTTTCAGATAAGGTACCGTGGAACCTCCTAAACTACCTGACTACCTACCTGGAACTTTTGTTTCGTTAGGTTCGGTACTTCACTGCCGGTAGGTCTACACGATATTGATCTTTACATATTCTACGCCTCACAATGTATTAAACGCCTCCCTTCATCCTTGAAGAACAACTACCGTGTTTTCAATAAAGAGTAAGCGCCTGTAACAAAGAGAAAAAAGTAAAGGGGGTTCACCACCACTTTCGTGAGACACCACCCCCCCCCAAGAGTAGGTAGAGCTGCAGGAGCAATACCGACGTAATTTCATCTTGCAGCCGAGTCCAGAACGGGTGGCCGAGAACTTTGGGGTTTCCAAGGGGTGCCCCACGATTTTCAAAGAACCTCGCATGACGAACAGAAAAGAAAAAATACCATGTAAGAAAGGACCAGGGACTCCTGGATGAATCTCCCGCGCGATCTATAGGGGCATTAGTCACCAGTCCGGCATTCATTAAATAATAGTGAAATAATAGGTATGGTAATAAATATCAAAAGTTGTGTCGTATTCGTAACAAGCCTGAGATAGACAGGTACCTAGAGGCGTACGTATACGTACGTAGCGTGTGCAAGTAGTAGCAGTGATAGGTAGCAGTAGTGTGTGATTAAGTCTGAATCACCCGGGGGTTGGTCACCAACAAAGTACTGCCGGGTTTCGGGACTCGAACCATGCAGAAGGAGAAGTATTACCTGAGACAAGTTGCAAAAAGAAGGGCCCGGCATAATAGACAGCTAATAAGACCCAGGTTGGGACGATCAGCACGTGCGACGATCTCGCCCAACGGCTCTGTCTCCCATAGGCAAGCCACAAGGAAGGATCACCTGAGACATCATTCGTCGGTCTGTCGTATGCGCTTTTTCAGCTTTACTCTACACCCTTACAACCTACCTAGTACATACGTACCTACATAGTATGAGACCTACCCCCATATCCCCCTCACCCCCCCTTCGACGCCTGTCGCCTCACCTTTTACTGTTACAGCTGTGGCGTCATCAGACAGTCCTGATCAACACGTCAAATGTACCTGCTAGGAAGGTCAAAAAAAAGAACGTTGCCCCGGTCGATCGTAGGCGCGGGAACGGCACTCGGTCTGACACGTTGTTTGTAGTGGAGGACCAGGGACATTCATTGATCCATATTGTATATTGTATCTTATTTTACTTACTACTACCGAACTGGTCTACTTACATAGGTATACACCGAAAAGAGTCAAAGGCGACATTCGCATGTTCGCGCCGCACGCCAATAAACCCGTAAGCGATCTGGATAGATCTTAGCGAGGTCTTTAACGAACGGGCGAAATCATTTCCAAGTTCGGTAGGTAAATGTACCTTAACTATGTATAAAAATAAAGGGCCTAGCTTAGGTACGTAGGGTCTGGACTCGGGATTGGGGATTGGGGATATTGAACGATTTAGACTGACAGCTATAACACCCCCCGCCCTATCATCCAATATAAACAACCCATGGGAGGACGGAATGGGGAATGGGGGAATGTACATTGCACCTAATTTATACGCGTATGGGTACCTTGGCACATGTGTATGTACCTGCGAATCCCCTGCCTTATCCGTGTAGTACTGCGCATGGTATACCTTGTATATGTGCAATTACAAGCGGAAATTCCTTAGAAGCCTTCGCGAAGGATATACCTAAAAAGAATTAACAAAAACTGTCGCTAGGGACCGAAGAAAGAAAGAAAAAAAAAAACACTTGAAAATTAAAATCTGAACCGAATCGCGCGACTTTGTGGTTGCGCCATTCGGAGAAACGAGACGAGATACCCGGCTGCAGGTCAAAGCATAGAAATGGGTTCTTGGCTTCGTTATGTGCCGCAAAAAAACCAGGGTAACAAAAGTCCATGGTAACATTGCCGAGGGACGAAGCTCCGTGCTCTCTCGTCTAGTGTCAAGTTGCCCTTTAGCTGCCTCTTAACGGGCAGACTAGTAGAGAAATGGATATTTCTCATACGACACAGCACGGCAGCAACTCAAACTAGATCACCGCCGTAAACCGAATGGAGTCTGGATTATATTAGCGTATACAGAGCATTGGGAACACGGAACACGGAAATCGGAGCATCTTTAAACTCCATCTCTATCTTCTCAGCCTCTTTTCGTCTTACACTAGATCCGTCGTTAGTGGGCGAGCCAGTTACCCGAGGACGACATCATTCCAAACTAAAGTCCCCTTGGCTCAACTAACTCCCCAACACCATCAGCGTAGTGGTCAGTCTACGGCGCGGTCTCAGCCCGGAGAGGTTCGATGCCGCGGTAGCGATGATAAGTTTGAATGATGAACGATGAAGATGAAGGATCATTACATGCTGTAGCGTTCCGTCACACTTTCCCTCGTGGCTTGCATGGAGCCCGGAAATCCCGGCATTTGATCAGCATCCTTCATCCACCTTCGACCAGGCGAGCATATTGACAGGCACCAAGCTACGGGGATGACCAACATTATCCTTCAGCAAGGAGAGAGGTCCGGAGCAAACCAAACTTCTTGCTTGGTCTACCTACCTAGGTAGGTATACCAAAGTAGGCAGTAGCCCTGTCGTTCGTTCGTTCAGGCCGACCAATTTCATTTACCTAGCTATGGGTCAGGTTAGTAACCCATCATCCTACTGTCTCTGGATGTATGGTTAGGAATCTTCCCCATCACTCAATCTCCATGTCCATAATCTCGCTCACGCAAACGAGTACCGAGGGCCACATGGCAAAATTCCTGTACTATTCTTAGGGACCAGGCGATCTGGAGAGAGTAAGACGATCATATTCTAATAATATGCTAAAGCTAGAATCTATGTGGAGGCAGGCCAGCTGGATTTCTGGTGGGAGGCCTTCGATAATTGGGGAATGGATTCGTTCTGGAATGAAGGATCAAATTATTCCAGTATTCGTGCAATGCGAATTATGATCGCAATTTACTGCACAAATTTCCACCTTATGTAGGCAGCCGTTGCTAGCAGCGAATTGGCTTGCTTCTGGCGTTCATAATAGGTATTGATGTTCCGTGTATCGCCAATCGTAGGCATTGATAGGGGCGTTTTCATAGAATCACGTTTGGTGGCGGTCTGAAAATCTTCTCAACTAAATTGCCCATCAATTGGGAAGCCGCCTAAATCAATGCGAAACAGTAGCAGTCTTATTTTGTACCCTCGGTATCGGTAAATTTCATCTCAAGTTGTCGCCCTGCTGCATATTCTAAATGAGATGAAGTTAGAAGAATAGGTAGCTTCTGATGGATTGATATGTTATTTTGATTAGATGCGCGTCACTCATGAAGAGTCGGGCAGTTACAGTTACACTACCTTAAGGGCCTAGCACCAGGCCTCATTTGGGCATAATGAAGCCTTATATGTCGGGTAGGTCGGTATGCGCAAAATGCGCCAGGTGCGTCATGGGATATCGGTAGATGAGCATTATCCCATTCTATAGTCTCTAGCCGACCCATCTTCGTGCGCTTCTGAACATTCTAATCCAGGGCCCAAACTCTCCCCATTGCTCGAGAAGGGCCGGTGGCGCATATGATGCAGTGTCTGCCACCACTGTCCGTTCAGGATGAGGCATCATAGCCAATACACGGCCATCCTCGCTAGTTACACCAGCAATCCCGCCAGGGCTACCATTGGGGTTGAGCGGATACTTATCCGTTACGTTGAGATAGTTGTCGACGTAACGAATCGGAATCATACCCGCTCCTTCTAGAGCGTGTAACGAATTCGGTGAAGAAAACGCTGCCCGTCCTTCTCCATGTGAGACAACGATTGGCAAAGCCGAGCCGTGCATGCCGTGAAGGAAGACCGAAGGCTTCGCTTTGTTATCTTCGATCTTGACCATACTAAAACGCGCCTCAAACTGTTGGCTAGTGTTTTCTACGAATGTCGGCCAATGTTCTGCACCAGGGATGAGTTCCTTCAATCGTGATAACATCTGGCACCCATTGCAGACACCAAGAGTAAATGTGTCTGGTCTCCTGAAGAACACCTCGAATTCCTTCCGAGCATTCTCGTGCATTAGAATAGACTTAGCCCAGCCTTGTCCGGCCCCAAGCACGTCGCCATAGGAAAAGCCACCACAAGCGGCCAAACCTACGAAATCTGCTAATGAGCGGCCGGAGATAATGTCTGTCATCATCACATCAATCGGGTCAAATCCCGCCGCTTTGAATGCAAAGGCCATCTCAGTATGTCCGTTGACACCTTGTTCTCTTAGGATAGCAACTCGAGGATTCTTGCCGAATAGACCAGTTATGGATGCTGTGAGAGGTAGAATGGTGTCCGAAGGATCGAATGTAAGTCTATAAGATAGACCCGGATCGCTTTGGTCTAAGATAGTTGAGTATTCGGACTCGGCGCAGGATGGGTTATCCCTAAGCTTCTGCATCTCGAATGAAGTCTTCGCCCACCATTGCTGTATCTCTCTTCTGTCCAGACTGACGAAAGGTGTTGTGCCGTAGCGAATCGTCAAGCTTTGCTTGGACTTAGACTGGACACTACCAAACCTCCTTATCAAGCCGGGAGGCGGACCACAAGTTGCGAAACATCTCTTGAGATTTATTTCATCCGATGCTCGTACCTGGAATACAGCACCAAGTTCCTCGTTGAACAGTGCATTCACCATATCTTTAATAGAGCTCGAGTCAGCTATTCCGTCCATCATTAGGTCAACTCCACATCTTCCTGCGAACATCATTTCGGCCACTGTTGTGATCAGTCCTCCATCAGACCTGTCGTGGTAAGCAAGGACAACACCACTCTGATGCAACTGGGCCAATGCATCAAAGTAGTCTGTTATCAATTCAACATCTCGAACATCTGGCGCATCTTGACCCACGCAGCCGAATGATTGAGCAAGAGCAGAACCTCCCAGAGCTTTGCTGCCGTTCGACAGGTCTACGAACATAAGGATTGTCTCTCCTACTTCTTCGTATCGTCGAAGTTGGGGGGTCCATGTTTTCCTGATATCATCCACAACTGTAAATGCAGAAATTACAACCGAGACGGGCGCGGTTACGCTCTTGGTTTTCTCGGTCTCGCGGTCCTTCCAGGCTGCCTTCATAGAAGTCGAGTCTTTGCCAACCGGAATACTGATTCCCAGTCTACAATTACGTTAGTAACTCCCGCATGTTAAAAGTAACAGTTTAATACATACCGAGGGCACATATCAAGTCCAATTGCCTCGACCGCTTCGTAGAGAGCAGCCCCTTCGCCGGGATGATTTACGGCCGCCATCCAATTGGCAGACAACTTAATACGTCGGAGATCACCCAAAATGTCAGCAGCGCCTATGTTCATTAAACTCTCGGCAACCGCCATGCGGGCGGAGGCGGCAGGGGATATCAAAGCAATCGTCGGCTTCTCTCCCATTGCCATTGCTTCACCATGTCTGGTTTTCACACCCAGGTTAAACGATGCAGCTGTAACGGCAACATCTGCGACTGGTGTTTGCCACGGTCCTACCATTTGGTCTCGTGCGGTCAGACCACCGACCGATCGGTCTCCGATTGTGATTAGAAAAGACTTAGACCCTACGGCTGGCATATGGAATACTCGTTGAAGAGCCTTCTTCAATAATTCGGCATCAGGCAGCTTTTCTCCATATGTAGCTTTCAAGCTGGAAATCGGATCAAACTTCGGCAAAGCTGGCTTACGGGATGTGACTATACGCTGTAGCCGTCGGCCTGGAGGGAACAGGGTCGACATAGGAAGATCAATCGGTCGTGAAAACGTCTTATCCTTCGAATTTCTATCCGTTAAGATGAGTTTGGGGGAATCAGTCTCAGTTCTCGATACGACAGTGCCAACATCCGAGAAGCCGCAACGTTCACGTCCTAGGTTCGCCAATTAATTTTGAATAATGCCATGAAGTGCGAATGGAACTTACTGCAGATGCTCACAAATCGATTCATTCCCTCACTATTGACCAATATGACGTAACGCTCCTGAGCTTCATTGCACCCTTGAAACGAAGAAGTTAGTACAAGAGGACGAGAACCAAAACTAGTGACCACTTACAAATCTGAAGAGGACTCATGCTACCATCGGTGCTTTCGACTTGGCGAAGTTCAAATTTACCACCAAACCCGGCGTCCTTGACCAATTCTGGGAGTGCATTGGACAAACCACCAGCGCCGACGTCATGTATCATTGCCTAAGTTTTTGTCAGTAAACATTGAGCAAATTATTTAAAACATAAAACACCTACAATAGGGTTTGTGTCTCCTAGACTGACGCATGCGTCGATAACCATCTGGGCTCGACGTTGCATTTCGGGGTTACCTCTCTGCACACTATTGAAATCTAGATCTGCGGTACCTTCTCCTGAAGCATTACTAGAAGCAGCACCACCTCCAAGGCCGATGAGCATCGCGGGGCCACCGAGTACAATGACATGTGCGCCCTCGTGCACATCTGAGGGGTCTTTGATTGCGTGTCCTGGTCTGACTCTACCAAGTCCACCAGCAATCATGATAGGCTTGTGGTACCCTCGCCAATCTGCTGCGGTTGTTGAGCTCGGATCACTCTTGTTAGTACCGTTTGTTAAGAGTGTACGGAAACATCCGGCAAGAGCAGGACGTCCAAATTCGTTGTTGAAGCGGGCGGAACCAATGGGGGCTTCGAGCATGATGTCCAAACTGCTGGCATAGTGGGCGGGGCGGCCAATGTCAACCTCCCAGTCTTGATGACCAGGGATGAGGAGATCGGAGACCCAAAATCCAGATAGGCCGGCCTTGGTGGCAGATCCTCTTCCAACAGCAGCCTCATCACCTACGGCAGTGAATATTAATAAGCAGTTCCAATGAATTGACCTTGAAAAAACTTAAAGCGAGAGTTGGAGTTGACTTACGGATCTCACCACCTGATCCAGTAGCGGCTCCAGGGAAAGCTGACCATAAGTTAGCACCGTTATATCATCATATCACACCCATTGGATACCTACGAGAAATAGCAGTAGGATGATTATGAGTCTCAACTTTGGCTAGCACGTGCACGACCTCTTTGTTGAGTCTCCAGGACCCAGTCGTATAGTCAGGGGCCCAGTAGTGTCCAATCTCACCCTGCATCACTGCAGCATTATCACTATATGCAGAGACAGTATAGTCGGGCGTCTTTTTATGCGTGTTCCGGATCATGTCAAATAGACTCATATCCTTGGTTATGCCGTCTATAGTCCAGCTCGCATTGAATTGTCTACCATATCTTGTTAGTTTGTTTCAGAGAAAAGCAGGAGATTGCAAATTTGAATTCCCCAACGTATGAGGGTAATATATCAAGTGAACCGACTGCAAGTACACTTAATGAACAGAATTGAACCGAATCGTGTTCATAAAAGAGACAGTGTCCATTCGGGGTATGTTATGACTTACTTGTGACGACAATGCTCAGAATTAACCTGAGCAAACATAAAAAGCTCAATGTCGTTTGGTGGTCGTCCAAGTTGAGTGAATTCTTGAACCAAGTATTCCATTTCGGACTCGTCTAATGCTAGGCCATGCTCAAGGTTATATGCCTTTAGCATGTCAATCGGGCTTTGCTCGCCGGAGAAGATATTGACGACTTCTAGTGGTAAGGGCTCTCGTTCTACAAACATAGAGTCAAGATCTGGTGGATTGGGTGATATTATCTCAGTCATCCGGTCAAACAGTAAGTCTTTGAATGAGATTTCGCCGTCGTTAAAGGGTTGTTCGAATTCAATGGTGACGGATCGAGCTCGTTCCACCCGGTGTACCTGAGTCTTGAGCCCGCAAACTTCGCAGACCTTGGTAGCTTTGGAACTCCATGGGGAAATGTTCCTAGGTATAACGTAAAAAGTGCGAGTATAACCGATATGCGTTAAAGGTGGTGGTTGATTACTACTAGGTAATGGGAGCAATTGCTGGAGTTTGGGCTCAACAGCCTTCTTGTCTCCTTTGATATGCGCGTAATAAATCCATGAGCCTAAGATATTGGCGACTTTAGTAGAAGTCGTCTGGTTAACACGATCTTTTAATTTGTTGGCCTCAGAGGGCGTGAAACAAGACTCTCCGGTGAGGGTTATGTATTCCATCTCGTCAGGTAATGACAGAAATGACGGAAAAAGCTCGTGTTTAGAGACTCTAACGAACCGGAACGCGTCCGTCGAGTACTTGAAGTGTTATCGTGCCTCTCACTGCAAGAAGGAAAATGTTTACGGCGAAGTGGGGTGAATGGCCGATCGAGTTTTCTTTTGGAGGGGTCAAAGGTGAGACCCTGCATTTGCGGTCAATAAATTGACCAATCATAGGCCGTTCGTTTACCTAATTCTGCATTGCCCAATGCGTGATAAGGTAATCAGCGTCATCGGTTGGGTATTTAGCCGTGCCGAGTATGAGAAATTGTGCTAGGTCATATTAGGTAAAGCTTGGAAACTATCATTGGATGAACCCCCCTGGGTGCAATTGTATATCTGAAATTTGTTAGTGTCCTATTTGTGACCAGCTGTTACAATTTGAAGATCCACTAAAAAATCGCGATTTCCCCCTAACTACCCGTGTACATTAGCTTCGTTCCTGAACATAACTTTGTACATATGAAAATTTGAATTCTTTATACTCAACATACTACCTAAAGTGCTGTTTAATGCTTCAATTCTCTCTGCCATGCTGCCTCAATATCCATTGATGTGTCCTTGCGCCAAAAATCTCATATAGGACTAACATAACCAATCTACGCCGTCTTCCGCCTTGTCCGACCGTACGTAACCCAACCGACTATACTATCAAGGATGCACTTCCTCACCACCTTGGCCGCCTATGCGGCGCCCATATTCTTAATATTGTCTCCGATCTTGTCATACGCAGACCAAGCAATTTCTATGCATAGGGCCAAGTCCAGCGCCGGCTTTTCGCTTGACATCCCTCTAATTATGCTTGTCGCGTCGATAATGAGGTTAGCGACCATCCTAACCCAACACCCAGAGGCTTGGCTGTAATACTAACAATAATCTATTATTAGGGTCTTCTACTACCCCGGCGCGAGATTTGATACGGCATTGCTGATTCAATCATTCTGCAACATTTTTATCCAACTCATTCTCCTAAAGATTGCCCTCGATCACCGACCGCCCCCATCATCGAAAGGAGGGGATGCTGCTATTCCTTTTGCGGGCGCACAAGATGGACTCGGAGGTTTCCAACGACCGTATAATTTCTGGCAGTGGCGCTCACCAAAGCCGTACGTTCCTTTTATTGGATCTCAGTGAAGTATACTAATTACATGCGTCAGGTATTGGCAATTTTTGTTGACATTATTCATTGGTTTGACTATGCTTGAGCTGTTACTTGCGCCCTTCAATTCAATCTACCCAAGGTATTCAGCTCTAATAGGTTATGTTGGGCTATCAGTCGAAGCAACTTTGCCTCTTCCACAGCTCCTCGCTAATGCGCGCTCACGATCCTGCAAAGGATTTCGCTTCTCCGTAATAGCAAGTTGGTTAGTGGGTGATGCTATGAAGATGTTTTGGTTTTTCACGAGTACTACCGAAATCCCATGGGCGTTTAAGCTATGTGGTATCTTTCAGGCCGTTTGCGACTCGATTATTGGAATCCAATACTGGATGTATGGCAGCCAACAACCTGTTATAAAAACGCAACAGGGGTGGACATATTCAGGCGTTAAGCCGCATCTGAGTCCACAGTACAATTCTGGACGGCAAACACCAACTGGAAGAAGGACACCATTAGGAGAAAAGACAATTTGAATGAGTAATGCTAATAATAATAATTATGCAAACCTGATCAGTCTGGATAATACTTAATTGCTCATATATGAACGTTTGCCTTACTTAGTAATAGTTTCAAGAAAGACGAAGATGCACAAAACTCCATCTGAGCAATGCTGGCTGCAGTTACGAATAATGACGACATTATCAACATCTAAATATGTAGGTATAAGAACTCAACCCCCATAGGACTCGTAAAAAGTAGTTTCTGATATGTCGTCTAGAAAATGCAGAAAAAAATGTAGGTGTCCTGCGGTGAGGTCGTCACATCCCAGGCACCCATGTAAATAAAAAGTATGTGGCTGGTGTGACACATGCGCCGATTCGCTCGTGGGGTGGTGCGTTGAATGTGAATTAGTGATAGTGAGTACTTACTGTATTTATTTTATACCCTTACTAATTAGTCGCAGAAACAATTACCTATTTCTAAAAAAAATTGAATGGATTATCAGAAATATGTAAATAGTCTTTTGCAAATTTAATTTGCCAATTTCTATGGAAAGTTGTGCTGATTAGAAGCCTTGAAACTCGATCCGCGAAGTCATCTACTAACTGGAACACACGCCCGTTCACTTGAATCCACGAGCAAGACCTGCCTACATACCTAGGTACCTACTATTTCTTCCCCCCATCCCAACTTCCAATTTCACACCTATTTTTTTTAAATTTAAATATTAGCAAATCTCTTGTTATATATTCAGTGGCTCGTGAGATAAGACTTCCATTTGAAAATTCGACGAAGTTGCTAATATATGCATAGCAGTTCCTCCATAATCCGCACTTGGTTGGTATCGCTAATTTCGTACGCCTGTTCGCCTGCCTAAGTCACTAATTGCCTTCGAGATCACCTCGGAACTGAAGGAGCACCCTAAGCATGTATGTTGCCGCCTGTATTCATCAACTCCAGTAAAATTATGAAACTAACTATACACTCAGATCAAGTTTTAATCAAGTTTGCAACCAAGCCGTCCAATAAATTCGGCCTTGAACTTACTGGGACTCAAACTGGAGTTTAATCCAACTGGGTGAGTATATCTACATAATATTATATCTTGGCAGCCAGTCTATCGCTGTATTGCTTCATATGAGGTCGTGTTTTCTAGATTTTGTTAATCCAATGAGGTACACACATGCTCTACAGAAACAATCAAGCATACATATACTCATTACTCATCGTCACCCTTCCCTAGATAACAATTAAGATCAGCTCGTAATAAACTAATTTGTGTATAGAAGTACCACGCCTCCCTTGAATACCAGTTCGACCTAGACTAGGTGGACGAGTTGAGGATTGATATCACCTCCAAGATATTCACACCAGAGGAAGCTGGAGATAGAGTATCTACCTAGGTACCTCTCAAAAGCTCTGCTTTGGAGTATATTTATGGTCTGTGCTAGGATACCTAACAGTTGAGGCCGTTTCTAAGCAATTGCGATTCAAGCTATTGATTATCACGATACTGGTAAGTAGCTTCCTTCCCTATTCTAAATCCATCGCAGCACCCACCCCGTATCAACACTTTCATTATCTATACCTACAGCGTAGCAAACTGTTACCTACTCCCCACTATTGTACCTTTCCTACAAAGTAAGATATCGTTCCTAAGATTGATCAGTTAGCACGTCCGTGTCCTCAATTTCACCATACTTGACATCAATCAGCCTTGACAATCCCAAGATCTCAAACTAGAATTCTCAGCACGAATACGGTAAGATATATTCGTTCCTTCTAACTATAGAGTTCCCTAATATGGCTTTCCTATTGATGATACGGAAGCGTGGACTTGTGATTACCTTCTTTGGATGAATCGATCCTCCCTACTGTACCCGAAGCACCACTTCTATCATTCGCCCCTCCCCTAATCCTCTCCTTCAACATCTAGCACCTTCCTCCTTACTCATAACATAGCTTGCCATTGCACAGGTTCTTTCGTGCATTTATACCTCCTCTAGGAAACTGACCAATTGCACTTCTAAATCATCTTCGACATCAACACAACTCCTCCATCCCCAAGACACTACTATCCTCCAAATTTCATATCCACTTGTGTTACATCCACAAATCTAAGGTGATACTTCGCCTTTTCTTAGTTTTAACTAATAACTTCCAGAGTCTAACTCCCGAGAACCGCAAAGATGCCGCCCAGTCAGAATAAAACCAATTTCAAGACTTACGATGCCAGCACACGACTCTTAGCTGCCGTTATAGGATCCATCAAAGGCAAGGCTCGACTTGACTTCCATGGTACGTGGATCCCGCCGTTTGCGCTCTCTCTTGTCTACCTTACATCGTGTTTTGAATCCCCAGGGATTTCATTAAGGACCATATCCACAAGGATATATCCGAGATCGGAAATTTTAACAATTGCACCATATCCCTATCTCGATGCCCACACATATACATCATCCACAAACACAATTCCCCGGCTGATGTAATAGTAGAGCTTGCATCTTTGATGGGTGGAGGTACCACAGCTTCTGCCGTGGACCATCGTCTGCGTCCCCTCAAGCACTTAGCTGAGTTGCAAGCTCAGTGGCGCGAGGATGGCAAGGATCCTGGCGAGTTGCCTGTTGAGCGAGGAGGTACATACACATCATCTTCTCTCTTTCTTCCATTCTTTACATAGTATCTATTCTCTACAATCTACTTTGGTATTAGAGGGTAGGAATTGGACAACCAAACTAACAAACTACCACAGAAATCCAGAAATTCTACGGCGAGTCCACGGTAGCTGGTCTAGAGTATCATTTCCGCGGCATCAAAGCGCTTAGCCGTGCCCAGGAAGCCGCAATAGAACAAGGTGAAGACCCTGCCGCGCTTACCGCCACACCCGCAGCTCGCGGCAAAGCACCTGCTGCAGGCACTCCCGCTAGCACCGGCAACGGCAACGGCAAGCGTAAGCGTGGCGCCGCCGCTGCCCCTGCCGGCGGCGCCAACAAGAAGAAGAAAGCCGCCATGTCCGAGGAGGACACCAACGACACGGGCTTCAAATCCGACTACGACGCCAAAGACGCCCACTCCGACGACGACGCATCACAACTCCCGACTCCGACCCCCAAGCGCCGCGGTCTTCCTGCGAAGGCCCAGCCTAATGGTAAAGGCAAAGCCGCTACTTCACCCACCACATCCGCCGAAACCAAGAAACGTGGTGCTGCCGCTTCTGACGCCAAGCCGAAGGCTAACGGCGACAGGGTCGCCCGCTCACTCTTCGGCAACGACATTCACACCACGAATCTCGATGATTCTGAGGATGACGATATCAAGGTCCTGGATATGAGCAAGGATATCCCACCCCCGACGCCCGCTCGTAGGGGCCCTGGTCGCCCGGCTCGTGTTAAGAAGGAGCCGGAGCCAGAGGATGAGATTCGCGTCAGCCATGCTAGTGTGTTCGATGACGACGATTGGCTCGACGATGGTGAGGTCTAAGTGGGGGGTCGGCGATGTCTGGATTTTAGCAAGGGTCTCGTTGCGGATCTGGACAGGATATGCCACGGTTTATGGCATGTTGCGCGGAACTTCCCCGGTTATTGCTCATCTGATTTCTCTCCCTTGTTTTTTACGGCGTTTTCGTAATGTGGCGACGGATGACTCAACGGTTACACGACGGCGACACAACACCCCACGATGCGAATGCTTTTTCGTTTATTACGCTATTGTCTACTTCCTATCCAGAGTAAAAAAATAACGAAAAAAGGTGTTGAATGATGCCGAATTTATGAGATCGGGGGGTGGCGGTTCTTTTTCAATAGGACAAAACTAGGAGGCGTCGAATATGAAGGGAGTTCGGATGGATATATTGGTGATGGAAAAGGAGAAAAAATTGATGGCTATGTTAGACACATCTACGTCTATCTCCATACTTCGGACATTTGCGGACATATCCCGCGATGATTTATTTCTTATTCACGATGGATTTCAACTCTCAGATATGAACCAGGAAGATGGACAACAGCAAGTTCGGCCACCTATCTGACGGAGTCCATACTTGATTTCTCTAGGTCAATAGTCTACCTCATCTCAATATGAATACCACGCGTTTTCTTTTCTAGTCCTTTTCATTCTAGAAGCAAGTCCCACAGTGCATCCTTCTCCACATAATCATGATGAATGATATTAACCAACCACGAGTCCGCCCGTGCCTTTTCCAGCAATTTTTCGCTTTCCGAGCCTTTTCCGTAAACCTGTGCCCACTCCGCAAAAATGCCAAACGCCTCCTCGCTCCAAGCCCTGAAGCTCACTTCCTCTATGATTGTAGGTGTGATGATTTCCTTTCCTGGAAATACACCCCATGTCACTGCGTTCGTGCTTGATTCCTTCACTGCTTCGCCGGCTAGTCCACCGGTCAGATCCGAGGAGAGGAAATCCCCGGCAGCATTCGCTGCGTAGAAGCACACTGTATTCTGTACCTCTGAGCTCTGGAGTTTCTCGAGGAGAATCTTCCACGCTGATGAAGGGATAAAGAATTCGACGAACGCCTTTTGGAACACAAATCCTTGCTGCGGTCCCCATCCAAAAATAGGATCCGAAGAACGCAGTCCGTTCACAGTAGGCTGCGATGCTACCGTCCACCAGCCCTTCGAGTTGAGTCGTATGAGCTTTTCTGTGATGATCCTCGTCTCCTCATTAAATTCCTCCTCGCTCCATGGGATCGCCGACAGTTCCCCCTTAAGATGTCGCACAAATAATTCGTTGACATCCTCTAACTTAGTAGGATAACCCCAGAGACTGACGGCTTGAGCGTGGGAGACGTGCAGACTAGGCCCGTACCCATCAATCTCACCGTAAGCTGGCGATCTAGCGTCACCCCATCTACCGTTGGGGAAGTCGTCCCACGTAGCTTCTCGACCAAGTACACCCTCCCCTTCCGATATCGCCAAGGTATTCGCCCGGCTGTTGATTGGCTCTGCCGGTATACTGGCTTCTGCCGACGTAGCTTCATATTCTGGATACGATACTGATCGCCCGGAAATAATAACCCGATTACGGGGTTCTGAGCCAACGTTCGACTGCCTTCGACTTCGAGACTGCTCTCTGGATTGGGGGAGCAGCACTTCGTGATCTTCTGATCCATTAACTTGAAGTGTCGGTATCTTAGATGTAATCTCTTCCACAACAGCTTCTTCCTCTATGGGGGTGCTAGGGCGTATAAGGTTTGTCCTTTCGACGATGAACGACACGGCCTTTTCGAGGTTCAAAGTGTAGAAGTGGAAGCCCCTGGGGCCAGGTGTTCTACCAGATATCTCCTTAACACTTTCGACAATCTCACATAAAATGTCTACACCGACGCTTTTCACCTTCTCATCATCCATCTTCACCGCATCTAGTCGGGACATAACTGCATCGGGTATCCTAGCATGACTCAACTTCGTCGTCCTCTTGATCATTTGGTAACTCTGGATGGGCATCAATCCTGGGATTATTGGGATTGTCTTGAAAGCACCACTGGGGTGGTTTCTCAAAGTCCTTTCGAAATTGTCATAAGCTTCAGTGTCAAAGAACAGCTGAGTCATGAGGAAATCAGCCCCTGCAAGTGTCTTCTCGACTAGGTAAGGGAGGTCATGTTCTAGACTTTGACCTAAGGGGTGGCTCTCATCTGCATGACCTTCGGGGTATGTTGCAACACCAATGCAGAAGTAATCTCCGTGTGTCTTCTTGATATATCGCACCAAATCAATCGCCCATGTAAAATTCTCATCTATAGCATCTTCGGGGTTCTCGTTCGGATCTTGATATTCTGCAGCTCTCGGGGGATCACCCCTTAGGGCCAGGATATTCCTAATACCCAGCGCCTTCGCGTCTTCTAATGCCCTATCAATCATTTTCCGGCTCATGTTCGTACACGTTAAGTGTAGGCATGTTGTCAGGTTCAGTTCCCTTTGACATATTTCGGCGAGTTCGAGTGATTTTGTAGCGGTAGATCCACCGGCACCCCATGTTACATTCACGAATAAGGGCCGCAAGGCTCGTGCCATTCGGTCGAGTCGGTCGCGTAGGTTCGAAAAACCCATTGCGGTCTTGGGAGGGAAGAATTCGAGAGAGAAATAATTCGAATCGGCCGGCAAAGCGGCGATCTTGTCGGTGATCTTCTCCATGATGAAGAGTCTCCCGAGTACGTTTCAGTGTATTTGAGAAGAAAATCACACCAGGTTAGAGATGAACGTGTCTAATAAGTCAGTGGCCCTCCTTCTTATTCTCCCGAACCCCAAAGGTAGCTGTCACGCGCCCCTTGGCGAAGGCGGGATGATTGGTAGCAGCAGGATCGGCGTGACGATAACCGACTGGTGGGAATGACAAGGGGTGGAGGTCTAATAGAATTATTAGTCGAAGCCGATACTATCTACGTCCGAAGATATTATGGGTTAGACCTAATCAATGGATTGTTTAGAACGGATTGCCCTCGTTATGTAAAGCAATCTTCGACTCTACGGCTAGTAAAAAAAAAAGAGATTCAGATTCTTTGCGGAAATTTTAATGGAAAAGTCGCCGATGAAGGTCTGACATCGATGTGGGGTACCTGCATACAACCCCGCATCACCTTACGGTACCTAGGTACATGGTACGGACATGGATGTATAGCAAACCCCCGACCCTTAAGGACTCTTCTTACCTAATATAGTAGCATAGTAACACAGGTACGCAGAGATAGGAAGGTAGAATGCAGTTAGGGTAGATTAGGTAGTTAGATAGACTTTTGCGATATCCACAATCCCGTTTGGCTCGATTTTAGACCCCTGGACCGTTTATCGGAACTGTACCCAATTCCGCTAGACTCCGTCATACTTTAACTGCCTAGCATGTACACCTACGTAGTAAGAATATAAGAAATCTACATATACCTACATATACGTAGCCACGTATCTTCCAATCCCTATCGAATTTGTAATCTAGCTGCCAATTCACCTAATCTAGACCAACTAGGGTCCTACATATGATTCATGTGTTATACATGTACGGAAGGGACAGGGCTATGATAAAGAGAGCAACTTACTCCGTTATTATATATTACAAATGTATATCTCACATGTAGGCAAACACTAAATCAAACATAATTACTTCATCCATGTTCCCCTTGATTTATTATATATTTTAGACCATTGCGCTTGTACTTCTATTTGTACTCCTAGACCTTTGTAACATCGAGATCCTGCAGTAGGTATCACAATCGGGAACGGCGGGATCGGTGAATCAATCAATCATGGGGGCGTCCAATGATATCGCCGCCAACGCGGTGAGACCTTTACCGAAAGATATGTCGCACCATTTCTCAGATGTTACCAAAGCGAGGGCACCAAGTCGAATGAAAGAATTCTATAAGTTCTTTCAAATCCCCAATATTGCCCAATTCGCAGGAGGTAGGAATATCTAAGTTCTTATCAGCTGTCGCATACCTCGCATCCCACAGAGTGATATATCTCCGAACCCGAAAAGCTAATTCCGAGCCTCAGGTTTGCCCAATGCTCAACTCTTTCCCTTCGATACCTTAGAAGCCCAGACCGCGAGACCAGATCGATGGACACCGTCGCCGAACTATCCGGACGACGATCGCGAGTTATCCTCTAAGCTAGCTGCGACATCCTTATCAAGAGGAAAAGCTACAGCGTCGCATGTCGTAGTACCTCACGATGCACCCACACCAGACCCACAGAAGAAGATAGATCTTGCCTCCGCTTTACAATATGGCCAGGCTGACGGATATCCGCCATTGCTCTCTTTCATTCGTCAATTCACACGCGAGTGCTTACACCCAAATGTACCATATTGTGGAGGACCTGAAGTTGTTATGACAGTTGGTTCCACGGATGGCATGTCCAAATCTTTAGAGGTCTTCACCAACATCTGGGTGGAAGGGAAGAATGACATACGGGAGCGGCCTGGCTTATTGACTGAAATATTTATGTATAGCAATATCCTCAGCCAGGCGCTACCCCGTGGTGTACAAGTTGTACCCATTGAGATGGATAAGGACGGTATGAAGCCCTATGGTCCCGGAAGCTTGGAGGATGTGCTTGCGAATTGGGATTATAATAAGGGAAAACGACCGCATTTGATGTATACCGTCACGTGAGTTTACCCCTTGCTTGAATATCCCCTATGACTGCCCTGCTAATATTGGTAATTAGAATGGGCCACAATCCAACAAGTGTTGTTTTGTCGGTGGAGAGGAGGAAGGAGTTATACGCCATCTGCAGCGAATACGACGTGATTATAATCGAGGACGACCCATATTGGTATCTTCAATATCCTTCTGCAGAGATCGGAGAGGCGAAAGCGAGGAATTTGCCCACCCCTGAACTGAAGCCGGCGAATACCCTCGAACAAAAGTCAGGATATGAATACTTAGATTCGCTTGTGCCATCATTCCTGAGTGTCGATGTGGATGGTCGGGTTGTGAGATTGGACACTTTCTCCAAGACCGTGGCTCCTGGGTGCCGAATGGGATGGGTAACTTCAACGCCGGAAATTATCGAGCGTATTCTCCGTGTCAATGAATCTGGTACCCAGCAGCCTTCAGGTTTCGCCCAAGTTTTCATCGCTGAGACGATCATGGGACCACAGACTGAAGAATCGGCGGCATTCAAAGCTCGATCTGCGAAGGACCAAGTATCCTTCAATGGATGGAAGATGGACGGCTGGGTACGATGGCTTTCTGGGTTGCGTGGTCAATACGAGCGTCGCATGAACCGGATGTGTACAATCCTCGAGGATAGTGCATTCCAACTGAAACAGTCAACTCCAGTGCGTGAATCAGAGGCCGAGTGGGGTGTCATCACCAAGACTCAGTTGTACGATTTCCAGTGGCCGAGAGGTGGTATGTTTCTCTGGCTCCACATGCGCTTTGAGACACATCCGTTGTGGAAAGCCGTTGGATCCACAGGAAACATCATAAACGGGACCGCATTGTCCACAGCAATGATGATCTTCCTAACCCACAAGCCGTACCTTGTGCTAATAAGCCCAGGTATGATGTTCAGCGCCACACCACAAATCCGTGAGGAGAGAGGATGGGCCTACTTCCGATTATGTTTCGCCGCTGAGTCGGAAGAAAATATCGATTCCGCTTCCCAAAGGCTAGGGCAAGGTATTCAGAAGTTCTGGCGCATTAAGAACGTGAAAGAGTTGGAGTCGATCTTAGATGAAGCGAATACTTTGCATACAGCCATGACAACGAATGTGGTGAATCTGGGAAGTTGGATGGGTTGTTAGAGGTCACGGTGATATCGGGTATATGAGGTCTTTTTGACATTTGGAACACGTCAGACTATCACACCCTGTGTACGTTGACCAGTCTTGGTGAGACTTAGATATGCTGGCGCTTGCGGGTGCCAGATTCATGACAACTTTTTGTGTATTTTTCCCGGGGTTAGTCTCGATCTAGAATCAAATGAGTAACGTCGAAATTTAGTCAGCTCTGATATCTTATGACTAGATGCTGAATTCTGTTGATGGAAAGCAAGTCGAAATTCGTGAGATATGCCGGGAAAAGATGAGGGAAAAGGCAGAACATTGATTTGGGTTTGATGAGTCGAACATATATCCAAATCTGATATCTAGCGTTAATGGCAGGAAAGGCTTCGCGAGCCAAAAATAATTGGACATCCAACAAACATTATAACTTGTCCACTAGTGGCCGTTGGAAACTCAATATGGATCAAATTTCTGTTACTCACAGAGGACGTTGAGACGAACGAAGTTATCATCATCATAATAGACGATGTTTGATGCGATTACTGTTCTAATCGGCATCTTGCTCTTAATCTACGAAATTCATGTCACGACAACATATGGTTATTTACGATTCATTTATAATTTATGCTGCTGAGCTTTTCACAAGGAACAACAGTAGGATTTAGGTTATTACCACTTAAACGGGGTGGCGGTCAGAATGTAAATGTCCATTGATTCATAAGACCCTATGATCCTTTACGCCATGACTTAATTAACTGATGCACCCTTTTCCCACCGTTTCAGGCTAAGCTGCTCACCAAGCTAGTCTAATCCTCGCGCAAGATCTCTAGGAAAGCCTTAGGAGGCTTAGGCGGCTTGCCTTCCGACGCACTCTGTTGGCCAAGCTTGTTCTTGACGAATGTGGAGTGGTACGGGTTGAAGCGTAGCATGACTTGCTTGTTGCGGAGAGGGTTCTTTTGAACAGCAGCACGCTTGGTTAGAGGACCACCCTCAGGAGCGTTGAGGACGCTCTGGATTTCGGAGCTGTTGATTAGACGGCTGAGGTCGGCCTGGGAAACCAAGTTGGAAGGTAGGAGGAAGTCCTTCTTCAACTCAGAAGGCTTCGTGGTGGTGCCGTAGATGCTGTCAAGGGCCTTGAAAGCTGCCGAGGTCCAGACGATGAAACGACCAAGGTGACCACCAGGGGCGAGCTGAAGGAGGTTGAGAGCGTAGACGGAGCAGGTCTCGACACCGGGAAGGTTGCGAGTTCCGGTAACAAGGTCCTTGCCGTCAACCTCAGGGTTGTAGATGACTAGAGGTCCACGTCGTTGGCGGTGGCGGCGGCCTCTTAGCTTACCCTTACCGGCGCGGAGCTTCTTGGAGTTCTTAGCCTTCTCGATATCGGCAGCGGCGCCGACGGACTTCAGAATAGCGAGAGCGCTGGCAGTCTTAGCAGCGGCACCACCTTCGAAAACGGCCGAGTCGACAACGAGGGGAACCTCAGGGACGGAGGAGATCTGGTGACCACGGGCGAGTAGTAGGGGAGGAACAGCGGAAGCGGCAAGAGCAGAAGCAGTAGCGAATCGCCTTTTTAAAAGTGTCAGTTTGCTAGTTTGGATACCGAAGAAGACTTTGTCCAACTTACTTCTGGCCCTGGTTGATCTTAATGTGCCACTTGCGCCAGATCTTGGTAGGGGCGAACATGCGACCGGAACGGCACATGTTACCGAAGGCAGCCTGACCGGCACGGTGGGTACCACCACCAGAGACACGGGGGATACGGGCAACAGCACGACCTACGTGAATGTTAGTATTTATAACCATCGCAAAACCTTGATCAACCGAGTAATATTTCCAGCCATATATAGCAGATTGTATTTCTTCTTTCTAATCCAGCTTACTCGCGCCAATGCAGAGTATTGAAATTACTGACCAGTTCCCCAAGATTCGGCAGAAGTCTGGTGACCAGCCTTCTCGCTCACGGCATAGGGTTGTCGCTTGTTCTTGGCCATTCCAGTGTGGACTTGTTGGACGATGTCAGGTCGGATGGGGGAGGCGAATACGGTAGGAATGGTATGGGTAGCTCCCGAGGGAGAACCATCCTTGCCGATGATGGTGACAGTCGGTCTCGAGGCCATCGCGAAGGTCGTTGATCTAAAGTGGGAGGGAAGTCAGTCAGTCAGTCAATTAATTAATTAACAGAATAAATAAAGTATGGAAGCACAATTGAAGATTGACAGGTTCAATAATATGAGTCAATGTATCAATGTGCATCTGCGCGTACGTACCTCGCTGCTGGTGGTTAGTTGGTCTCGAAGGATAGAATTAATGATGTTGAACTTTGAAAAATAGAAAAGTCTACCACCAAATTATTTTTCTTGTGGGTTTGCGCGAGGGCTAAGCGAATTTTCGGAGTGGGGTCCACTTTTTGATTTGGTACCTCCCACATGCACAAACGGAGTATTTATGCACCTATACATCATGACAACTTTGGTACATCAGTTTAAACTACGATATGTTTTTAGTTCTAGATTTATTATACAAGTTGTCGCCAATCCAAAGAATGCACAGCATAATTTACAACAGAAAAAAATTATGCCAATCATTAGATGTGCGAATTTCTAGGAAGAAACAAACCTGAGTGAAGGGTAAATAAAGCAACCCCCACTATCAAGATAGCAAAAGGTAATGTCTCCGAATCGGGGAATCGAACCCCGGGCTTGACGGTTCCTTTGATTGTTTAGATCATGAGAGCGTCAAATGTTAGCCACTACACCAATTCGGATATGTGTTGTGCTGAGGAATCAGCAAACCGTTTCCTATATAACTTTAGCACCAAGCCTGCTTCATCGATCGTCTCGGTAAAATCTCGGGCTTGGAATAGCTCACTAGTTGTAGGGGTGCGATCCAACAAAGAAGCCCCGTAAGTTTTAATTGCAAATCAAGAAATCAACTTCAAGATGCTGTGCTACTTTTAATAGGTTACATAAGAATATCCCCCTATTAATAAAAAAAATCAAGCCTGCGCAATTTCGGTGGGCGAAGATATCATGAATTTATATTTAGACTATCGATTGAATCGAATTGAATAAGGAAGGGGGGGAATACAATAGTTGCGTCGTATACCTAGGTGTCACAGCAGCATCTTCGTGTATGTATGTGGAATATTGGGGGTTTGTAAAAGTTGCGATGGTATTTGTTCGCTTGAATTGTCCACGTCGTTAGGAAGGCAATAATACTAAGAGACTAAGACAAAACTGGAGCTGTAACCTTAAAAGGTTTAAATCGCACCGAATTGGAGGCTCACCACAAACTGCTTGCTGTTAGTAAGATTCTAGATCTCCAACATGGTACCCTGGACATGTACTGTACTTACGCATCTAGATAGAGAACCCTAGAATCTGAAGGCTTGGCTTCCGTAATACCCCCTGCTCCTCGTCAATCATTAAGTACCTAGATACCTACCTAGGTACATAAGATTCACATAACATGCCCGCTAAAAGAGTGTGTGAAGATAACCTTAGAACCCTAAATTTTATATGCGGAAGCTTATATTGGACACGAAAAAAAGAAAGTTACATGTAACGATAAAAAGAAAAGCAAGCTTAAAAAAGAAAAGGGGAAAATGTACCTTAGGTAGGTACTCGATAGTGTTCAACGCTTTCGGCCGTGCACACGGGAACTAACCCCATGAGAATTTAAATCTCGTCGTTTTATGTCCCCACACCTTTATCTTAATTTGAATAACGTTCAACTCCTCTCAAACCGTTAAGACCGTTAGACCAACGTTGAAGCTACAACTGTTCACCCGACAATTTAGACAATACAAATCGACACGTTATTGCCTTCAACGGTTTAAGGCGCTAGGATACGCAACACCAATATAAATATGGTCCCGTCATTCCTCGAATATAGTTTTGTTCGTTTTGTGCTAATATCGAGCGGAACAATATAAAACTAAAAACACAACATTTTTGAGTCAGCCCATCAGCCGCATACAAGTCGCTACCCATACCATACCAATTCGAAAAGCCCATAATATGAGTGGCTATCTCGAAGTCCAGCTTTTGATTACATGACCAACGCGGCGTCAAACTAACCTACCACTCACCGCCCACCTAATACACACAATGGTGACCTTACCTATCACCTGCTGCTATGCAAGCTGGCCAGAACAATAACTTGCAAGCACATACCAAAGGCTTCATCATTTATCGGAGCTTTGACGCCGTTGGCTCATAGCTGGTATCAACTATACATTATCATCTGACGTTTCTAGTATTACCGGCGAAAATTCTTCGTTTTGGGGGGCCGAGACGCATCGTGAACAGACATGCCAATAGATAAGCTCATCAGTTAAGTGCTTAGGGCTTATGGGTAACCCTCTTTCGTTGTATCTGCTAACTCTGCGGGCTGAGGTTCGTGCAAGAGGCGAACAACTGACCAATGCCATCCCAAGCGCTACGCTAGGTAGCATTGCATTGCTGCAAGGTCTCGTATTTATCTTTGCAAGGGGCTTTCAGCTACCAAGCTTGGGCGTTTTCTTCTCTTTCCTATCTCGCAGAAATTGTCCAAAGATTGTCAGGCACAAGGTACATGTTCAAGTACCTAGGTATCGTAGTAGACTCACGATGTAGGTTCATAGATATCTTCTATTGTCTCCCGTCGCTAAGCTTTGAGTATGGCTTCCCGGGCTCCCATTTCCTGTGTCAAGTGATGTATCCCCCTTCTTTCGCTATCTCAAAGTCTCCCTTGCGGCTAGAGCAGCCGTGATTTTGTTCTGTTGCTTGGGTTGTTCATGTCTGAATAATTTATATCGGTCTGCAAATAATTCCTTGCGCCATGACGAATTGGAGAATCATATGTTACGCAACCATACTGTCTTTTAGTGGTTTTGCAAAAACGGATCCAACATGGCCTTCCCCTTACGACGAGCTTGAGGAGATCATGTATCAGGTTAAGGGCTATAGAGCCAGAGATTTTGGTGGAACCGTTATTCCTTGTTCTAATGAGGCGTCTGGGCCCGGACGGCAAAACGCGGCCGAGTGGCTGCGGGCAGCTTTCCACGACATGGCCACAACAACGGACTTGAGCGGCGTGCGAGCGGGTGGGCTTGATGGCTCCTTGCAGTACGAGTTGAAAAGTTCAGACAATCTCGGCCCGGGCTTCAACACAACGCTAAAGTTCATGGCTGACTATTACACAAGCAGATCGGGCGTGGCCGATCTAATTGCTCTTGGCGTGTACTACGCTGTTAGATCTTGTGGCGGCCCAGTGGTATCTATCTCCGGCGGCAGAGTTGACGCAACAGAGGGTGGCCCAATAGGTGTCCCACTGCCGCAAAACACTGCTTTCACTTTTGAGCAACAATTTATACGAATGGGATTTAACAAGACTGAGATGATCCAGGTTACCGCTTGCGGTCATTCTATTGGTGGTGTGCATGAAGACGAATTCCCTGAGATCGTGCCTGTCGGATCTACATCGAACGGAGAGGCTCCTCTAGATTCCACCGTCGCAGCTTTCGATAACAAGATCGTCACCGAGTACATCGCTGGCAATACGACCAACCCCATGGTAGTTGGTCCTTCGATTAAGGCTACCAGGAACGCCGACTTCAAGGTTTTTAACTATGATGGGAACGTCACAGTCCAAGCTATAGCAGGCGTCAATGACTTCAATAGCATCTGCGCTATAGTGCTTAAAAAACTAATTGACACAGTGCCTGATGGCGTAACACTGTCGGATCCTATACAGCCGTACTCCATCAAACCAGTAAATATGCAATTGGCATTAAACTCTGGAGGATATACGATGCAGTTGACTGGCTTTATACGTGTCCGGACGACCGATATGGGAGATGATTCTGTATCTAGTCTGACGTTGAATTATAAGGATCGGAGCGGTGGCGTCAATTGCGGCAGAACAAGTTGTAACTACACGGCGACTCTCCTAGGAGCTACACAGGGCTTTGATGATCAATTCGTGGTGAGTTCATTGAATAACACATGTTTATGTTTATTGGTCAAAAAAACTGATATGGTCTAGTGGTTCCCTATCGACGCCGAAGTCTCGACTTCTGCTGGCATTTCTTCTTTTACAGTTGCCCTGAGTATGGCTAGCGGAACGACTCAAATGTTCGATAACAATGGGAATTCATATCCTATGCAAGACGCGATATTAATCCAAAAGCCTCAGAGCTGTCTCTTCTCTGGAACTCTCACCGTGACCGCGGCTGTGAATAACCCTCTATGCCACTGGCTATGGACCAACTGTTAACCTCCTTCTCTAGGTCCGTAACGACCGCACATCCCTCCCTGTGGACATGTTCCTCTCATATAAAACCCCTACAGGAGATCCCAACCTTCCGGTACCCACATTGAAAAATGCCACAGTTGCCATGACCAAAGGGGCGTGTGTAGGCTCGTATACTTTCTATACGGCCAACCATACTAACCTTGGGGAGCTTGCGTATGCGTCTATGATCGATGTCATTAGCGGAAGCGACTCTGAAGTTCTGACCGATGATTTCAACGCCGCAAGTGAATTGGGGGCAACTTGTCAGTCATTTCAAAACCCGCCGTCTACGTGCACCACCGGAACGGTATCAACGCCCCCGGTATCGTCAACAAGCACATCTATAAGCACAATTACTTCGACAACGTTGATTACCACAACTTCATCATCTACTTCTACGCCTACCACGGCAACTAGCACCAGCACTTCTCCCACACCACCAGTTGAGACCTTGCATCATAGGCAGGACCTTGGTGAATACTTGCTCGTGGGATGCCAGAAAGAGTCAACTGTGGTTGGGATCCGGGCTCTCAGCGGTGCCTCGTTTGCTTATGATAACATGACGTTGGAGAGCTGTATGAAGAATTGTACTGACTATGTATATTGGGGGACAGAATATGGCCGGGAATGTGAGTTCTAAAACCCAAGAAAGCGTGAGTAAAGCATGCTGCTAACAACCTACGTAGGCTTTTGTGGCAATTCACTCGACTCAACAAGCGAAAGCGCAAACCTGACCGACTGCAACATGGTCTGTGGCGGAGATTCGACAGAATACTGTGGTGATAGTAATAGACTAGAGCTATACAGTACTACGGCTAGCCAAACCGCCCCAACTGCCACACTTGCCCCCAAACCAACAGTATCACCATACACCCGCGTAGGATGCTACAGCGAGCTCCCGGGAGGTCGGGCTTTGACTGGGGCGGCGTACGCAGATGACGCTATGACGTTGGAGATGTGCGCGTCTGACTGTAAGGGTTTCACGTATTTCGCGGCAGAATACGGCCGCGAATGTTACTGCGGCAATACACTGGATAGTCGCAGCACGCTGACTCCGGATGCTGATTGCCAGACGATGGTCTGTGGCGGGAATCGATATGAGTACTGTGGAGCTGCGAACAGACTTGATCTGTATCAATTAGTGACTATCTCTTCGGCGCCTCTTGCAACTCCCATGCCGAGCCCGAATAGATAGATCTAGGCAATTTTGACCTATCATGTGTTTATGACCATACTTTTTTTTTTTTGTTCATATGATTATATGGTATATACTTGGGTATATAGAATGAGATGGGTTGATGGAGACACTTGGTATAGACGATGTCGCGCAAATGGCTCTTGGGAGTCAAACGATCACATAAATGTGGAAAATGTTAGTCAATTTATTTTCGATATTGGTAGAGCGAATACTTTAATGAGATGTATTTCTTTATCCGTGATTTCCTTGAATGAATAGAGTACAATCGCATTGTAACATTACCTACTGTTGGCAAAACCTGCGACTTAACTTCACCTGGAAGGGTGGGTACTGGTTAGAAGGACCCTTAAATTTAGCGGTAGAGGGTCTACTTAGGCAAGGGTGTTGCTGTAGCGCGTCACCCGCGTAAATTAGCTGCGAGGCTGTATGTACCCGGGTATCTAGTGGATACCTAGGTACGTACATTGTGCTAAAGGTTGGGTGGCAGCCGCGACTCTTGCAGACATCCAACCGTGGATTCCGTCAAAAACTCCATCTGGGTAATGGATCTTTAGGTACATGCCTCCTTCATAAAAAAAACGTAGGGAAGTTGGATTCCGGATCGTGCGAAGTACGTACTAAATAAAACCCCCACCATTTTACTTTTCTTTTTTCTTTAAGTCTACAAATGATATTGATATCGCACCTTTAGACAATTTCTCTGACTGCTTATAGGTAGTCACCTGTTTTTTTCCTTGCCGAATTTCGGTTGTTGAGTAAGTTGCCGGGTGTAGGCAGGCTTCTGATCTAGACCAACGTTTACATACCTATCTATTTTTTGCTGACTCCATGCAGCAAACCTCTGCACGTTCCTTTGTCAATAATACCCACTCTACAAAGAGATGCCTATTCGCATAGGCTGGACCTTCTTAACAGACTTGCATGCTTTGAAAACGAGGGCCTAGGACAAGCATGTCGACTGGTGGGTTCTATGAGGCTAATTCTATCCACCGACGATGGCGACTAACTTTTAAACTAAAGAGATACATCCCTCATACAACCAACCTCACCTGACATCCTTTCCGAGATCGCCGGGGAGGTTCGAGCAGTCGGACCCGCGACCATTCGCCTTTAATCGAACTAGCCAGTCAATACTATTTGGGAGGTTCTTGCAACATGGCAGGTAGTGGTTTTGTACGTTCTATAACCAATACGTAGTCTTGACTTGTATCTAACTCCTGCAGCAGCTTAGCTCTCTAAATCCGTTTAGACCTATAAACAAACTTGGTAACACCGACCAAACCCCTTCGCGCCTTGCACGATCCTCACCTCCCCGTCCCCTTTCAAGCCCACCGCCTGCGAAGCGTCAAAAAACCGAGGATAATAAGACGAAAGAGGATAATACACACACGCAGCTTTGCTTCGTCCCCAAATTGAGGGATGATAGTCCCCCGAACCAGCGGAACCAGCGCAAACGCTCTATCGACGATAACGACTCTGGACAGACATTAAAATCGCAGTCGCCCAATCCAAAAAGTACCAATTCAGTCCCGATGAATGTCTCCGAATATCGAAGCTCGGAACGTAACGTCAAAGTACATCTATCAAAGAGGCGCCGCCGAGCCAACACAGCCGATACGAACCTAGACGATAGTGACGGCGAGGTTCAATTTGTCGGGGGGGCCGGAACTGCGACGAAATTCCCAAAACAACCAAGGAAAACTGACGAGCGGCCTATTGGAGACTTCGCCCCGCAGTATCAAAAGAATAAAAAGACACGCGGCGCCATAGTGGTTGATAACATTGTCGACGATACAGAGAGCATAGGATATCGAAGGAAGAGAAAGATGCCAGGGAACGTGGAATCTAGCTCGGATGAACTAGCACCAGAAGCACAAGACATGAAAGCAAAGTTACCAGCGAAACGGTCTACGACTCACTCTCGGAGTTTATCTGATAGAGGTAATATTCCGTCAACGATATTTTCGGGGTCGTCTCCTATCAGATCGCAGAGTGCCAGTGTGCAAAATAACAACCCAGATTGGGTGTGCGCTAAGGGTATCATTGACGAAAGGCTTCGCATTGCACAGGCTGTTTCAGGACAGTTTAAATACGATGCACGGAAGGCGAGCTCTGGGGACGAATGCTTCCTTAAGTTGGGAGACATTAGCTTCATTCTTCGACCGGAAGATATAGATGGAGTTCACATGAAGCGATACTCGTACCTCACAGTCAACTTATCGAAGGTCAAGGTTATCGAGTATTCTTTTGGGCTGAATTCCAACCTAGCCTTGATTGATCGTTCTATCGATGCTACAATTAGTGGCAACCAAAAATTGGTCATTAACTTCGGATATCCCGACGACCTCCGTCGTTTCATAAAATGGGCAGAATTGCGTAGACAAGACGTACGGCCACCTAAAATTATCAAACTCCCGATAGACCAGTAAGTCCCTTAATACTCTCTCCTGCGATTTAACATTAATATGGTTTATAGGGACAAGCTGGACAAGACATTCGACTCCATGATGGAAAAGGCAAAGAGAAATACCGTTATCACAGATGATATGTCGAAAGGAGATGACATCAAACTCATAGAGCACAACGCAGCAAGGCAAGCGAAGTCCATGAACCAGCTGCAATTTCCACCTAGCCAGGGAAAGGCGAAGGATCTAATGAAAGCGCCCGTCTCTATGCCTTCAAACACTAAAGTAACAATTACATCCGATGATCTGCAGCGCCATGATGTACGACGATCGTCGCGGATGACCCGTTCTACGTTTGCACTCAGACATTCCTCTACAGAATCTGATTCCCCGGAATTGCCTGACCCCGAAGCGTGGACAATCAAAAACCCTGGCTGGGAGAAGACCTGGCGTAACTCTCTTGTTTTTCCTCCTCACGGAAAGAACCGGGCTACGGTTGACAAAGAAGACATTCCTCGGTTGGACGAGGGCCAGTTCTTGAATGATAATTTAATAATTTTCTATCTACGATTCCTTCAACGTTCGTTGGAAGAGGAGAGACCAGATCTAGCCCAGAGGATTTATTTCCAGAATACCTTTTTCTACGAAAAACTCAAGTCTACTAAGGCGGGCCAGGCTATCAACTACAATAGTGTCAAGGCATGGACTTCCAAAGTCGATCTCTTCACGAAAGACTACATTATTGTCCCAATCAATGAACTTTCCCATTGGTATGTTGCCATCATCTACAACGCACCGAAGCTTCTCCCGTCCCCAGGCAACGGTGGTGCTTCCAACACGCGGTCCAGAGACACAACCACCGTCGAGGAAGATGCTAGCGACTCTAGGAGAGCTTCTAGTGCTTCTCCCCATTGTGGAAAACCTGGTGAGTCCATAAACGCAGAGGCCGTAGTCGCCACAGCACAAAACGACGTGGCAAATCATCTGAGTCGTATGTCAATCAATAGTTCTGGTTCCCCAGATAACGAAACTAAGCAGAGAATAGCCACAGATTCGAACAAGCAGGAAACAGACGTGCAGGTGGTCGATCAAGAGCAGGACAGCTCTAAAACAGATGTGGAACAGCTCCCCCCACTAAACGAGAATTACCAACGAAAGAAGCCTGGGAAGAAGAATTTCCCGAGTGCTCGAAAGTATAATCCAGATCAGCCAAGGATTATCACGCTTGATTCATTAGGAATACAACATTCTCCAGCTTGTGGCAGCCTCAAGCAATATTTGGTTGCAGAGCTTAAGGACAAGAAAGGTATCGAGATAGGAAACCCTGGAGCGCTGGGCATGAAGGCGAGAGGTGTCCCCGAACAGACAAATCATTGCGACTGTGGATTATTTTTGCTGGGATACATACAGGAATTCCTAAAAGACCCCGACAGATTTGTCCGTAGCCTCCTTCTGGACGATCGTGAAATTTCTTGGGACCTTGACCCGTCACAACTTCGAAATGAAATTAGGCGCTTGATTTTCAAACTTCAAATGGAGCAGCAAAGTCAAGAAGATGACCATAGAGAAGAGAAGCGCAACAAAGCTGTCCTCTTAAGAAGAAGGAAGGCAGCGGATGAGCAGCAAGCATACCAACAAAGTGCTCCGCCTGCAAAGAATGACTTCGTCGATCAATATGTGCCTGAACCCTTAGATGAGGGAAAGGGCCCCAAGGAGCGCGAAATTGCAGCCGCAACAAAATCGAGGTCACCTACCCCCAGGCTTATTGATTTAAATACTAAAACTACATTTGATTCAGAAGACGGCCATCATATGCCAGGTTCGTATCCTCAATCCCCTACCGCAGACGGCAGAAATGCAAGGGAGAGGTCTATCGCTAGTAATAATGAGAGTGCGAAGCAAGTGGAGGCCTATAAGTTCGTTTCACCGCTCCCCGAATCCGCTTGTGGCTCTTCGGCATCTACCCCCGTGGTCGTCGACGACTCGGAACCCTCTCAGGAACGAAAGCGCATGTCTACCCCGAGCCGTGCCGATGTCAAAAGAGGCAACACACCGGTGGAGGTAGAAGATACCCCGCAATCTTACAAGAAATACAGCCCAGCGAGGATTGAGGTCCAAGATGAAGAACAGTCGCCGATAACGAGTCGTTATTTTGATGGCCGAATGCGCGGCGACCGAATGGCTTCGGCTACACTTCACGATGAGCTGAATCAATCGCACGAAGTCGTCGATCTTTCAGACTAAATCTACGTAGTATATCGTAGTCACGCATATTTACGAGATTCGAAGCTGAGAAAGTAGAGAAGAGAGAGGCCCGCTTTGGATGTATTGAGAGAGGTATCATCTTCACCTCGTACATATCAGCATGGAATGGCGTAGACGGTCGGTTCGGTTGTATTTAAAGGTTGCATTGCTCATATACCCTAGCAGAAAGCTGGCTGGTTCTTTCGCCGGTTGTTACATAAGTCGGTGAATTACGAAAAACGTATTCGATTCAGACTTGTAAGATTCGTGCACTATAACTCAAGCTAAGTGCTTTATTGTGTGTAGAGATATTGATCCCCAAGCCTTGGGGATCAACTTCCTAGAGCGCAGTGGTTTTGTGACTGGCTAAGTACCTCGATTCTAGCTTCTTCTACACGTCGGTGACTGATAGTGAGGGTAATTTCATAACGTATCATAATACGCCGTGTCTCATTCCACGGGTACACATACACAGAATGCAAGGCGGCCTAGCATCACCTCAAAGTCACATCATGAAAAAACGGTGTTGCGAAGAACAGGCTACGATTTTCCTAACATACGCTAGATAATTCCCTAACGCCCAAATCAAAGACACTTCTACATCGAACCATCTAGCATACTACCTCGGCTTCTTAGTGCTCTTCTTATCCTCGCCATCCTTCTTTTTTAACGCAGGTAACTCGAAGGCTTTGCTAATACCGTCGCTCATCCGCTTCCATAACCCGAGATCGAAGTTCTGGTTCCAGGTCAGAATACCGACCCACGGCTGCACGTTGTAGTTGACGTGTAGCTTGACGTCGTCGGTCTCGGCGATACGGCCCGTTGGGTGCGTGATTTGGTATTTGGGCTTTTGGTTCTTGAGGGTGAGTTTGCCTCTGTGATCCTCGTTAGTCCAATCATCCATGCTGGGAGTGAGAAAAGAGGTGGTAATCATACCGGCTAGGATCTATAGTCTTGCCGGCGGCGCTCTTGCGTAACTTCTTCAATGCTGCGGGGCCAATGTTGCTCAGGTGGTCGGAGCTTGGGCTCGTGATGATGGTGTCCCAAATTACGGCTTTGTTGGTTTGGTTCATGCTATTGGCGCCGGCGGGGGCGACGGGCCATTCGGCTGTTACGTATACGAAGAGTTGTTTCGTGTTCCAGGTGAATAAAGACGAGAAGTCGGCATCAAGCGAAAACTTAATGATGGCATATTCCTCTTTCTTGGTGCTGTAATAATGTGGCCGACCCTTTACTCTAATTCATAGTCCTAGTATTAGCTAAATTGTTCATTTACCTGCCAAATTCGAGGACCAATTCTTACACTTGGACATTTGTCGTTTTTATTGTCGCGCTAGGGGTTCGGGGTGTGGTAAAGTCGGAGGCGGCGATTAGGGCGGCGACGACGAATGCGACGGTAGTGAAGAAGCCGAATACATTTTGTATTCGAGTCAGGGAGTTGTACATGGCGGGCTAACTAGTTCGAATGCCCAGAATTTAGGGGGCTTGGAAGGAATTTGGGTAATTCTCTTCAGATATAGGTCCCCCGCATATACATGGACTAATGTTTTGTTGTTTATTAGTCCAATCGCCAAATTCGATGTCGACGTTGTGAATGTGTAGGAGATAAGTAATATGTGAGGCCACGTCCACGTATTGAAGCTCTATGAGGATCCTCTTATCGATAATTCCTTATCGGTTTCTTATCAAGAAAGCTAGCTTTGTGTCACCTCTTGGCAACCCCTTTTTCTGTTAATTTAGGTGCGGGGTTCAATTCTTGCCTCTATCTCCATCTACCCCTTTTCCGTCTCTACACATTAATTTCTATTAAGTGAAATACTGAGAAGCAGAAGTTGATATTTTGAATTTTTCTTTATCGTTCCCCTAAATAATTACATTCTCCTGGCAGCACCTATTGGCACCCCTATAAGATAATCTCCATTTTAATCTTTACTTTTACCATCACTAGTCGTACCCCATCGGATCCATCTCCAAGATTCGGACTGAAAATGAGACGGCAAGGTGCATATGTCGTGCGCCACCTAATAATATCATCTTCGCGGAGTGCGCTTACTCCCGACCTCGAGCTTGGTGCTCAGCTACCAGTGATTCTACAGATTTGAGCTCGGGCTTAGGCTTGGGCTCATCACGACGGTAAGCGCTGGCAAGATCCGGTCCCTATTAACTAACTGTTAGATATGTTTGTGTCTTGATTTAGGAGGCCAGATATCAGCGCTTACATATTCTGAAGCGTGAGCATCTAATGGAGCTAATTGGAGTCCGCCATCTGGAAGCACCACACTCTGAACCCCTGATGCTAGAAGGACAGTTGCTAATAGGGCTTTATGGACCATACTGCTGGATGTTCTCAATCTGTCATCGGTGATACGGCAGGGATATGCAGGCTATCAGAAGTGGCGTCGAGTAATAGCAGTCGCTTCTGAAAATTTTCAGGTGTCTCACAAAAGCTAAGAAGCAAGAGGTGACACCAAATTTCTACACCTCCATGACAGCATGGCCAAGTACGAACGCCACGCTACGGGGATAGGGAATTATATGCAAAAAAGCAATCGAAGTCATTATTTATCGTGTGCAGACATAGTCCCAAAAAGCCACCCGTTACCTCCTAACCGATGACCCTTGTCCTACATAAGGTCTCCCCAGATGAAGACAACGGAGCCAAGGAGTAATGCTGATCAATGAGTTTTGAAAATGATATTTTGCGCAGCGACGATCACCACGGATAAATAGTACTAGGATGATGGAGAATTGGCATGATACTTCATTACGTAGGGAAATCTAACTTAAGCAGCACATTTTCTGCTTGACAAGAGATTATATACAGGGGCAAGCGTGCCGTTATAGCCGGGATTCTTGGGCTGAAGAGTAGATAAAAGCAATATTCAGGCCAACGATATGAACTCGGAGATAGTAGGTCTTTTTTAAGCCACCTTACAGACAGACCGATGTTCTTAAATGACAACGAATTCTAACGAGTATCCAGAATCGGGCTTTCAGAGCGTCTATGCAATTGTATTCATTACTATCATACGAGCGTCGAGTGCTACATTACTTAAAATTCGGCTTACCTAACTCAACAAGTCAAAAGTCAAGTCCAAATGTGAAATGACCGAGGGGGCTTGTTGAAACGCCGAAAAATGCAGTGTTAAAGTGAAGATCATCGAGGGATAAATCCTAATCCACCGGATATACCGGGGCTTGGGGGTGATCATTGCGTTATACGGGCCGTCCGAGAACGGGACGCGTGTTTACAAACCTCAAATAGGAATCCCGATACCTCACTATTAGAGTCCTATGAACTTCGATTTGGCTAGAGAACTCCGGGTATACGCCTTGCCATAATGTCTCGGACTTGTTAGATACTCCGCCAAAATTGACTAAGCCAAGACTCAACCGGAGTAAGCCGGTAGAGCACGTATTGTAATGAATGAGTAGTACATCTAGGGGATTCTGCTTTGGCCTCAAACAATCTTCAAAATCTGTAAATTTCCTTTTCTTTCAGTTCATCTCCTCTGTAGATACACACGCCACACAATTGGAACGATGATGAGGGGTATAAAAATGAAGAGGCGAGGCGTATACGTACGATGAAACAAAAGCCACCAATCCCAAGACTAACTAAATAAAATACCGCTGCCTATGTGGGTTAGCTTTGGGATACCTTTTTCTCTCCCAGCCATACCCTCGCTATAGCCTCTAACACCCCAACCATCTTAAGGCTTAAGTTAGTGACAATATGTGCAAGCCGAAATAGGTTCAACAGACTAAACATAATAACATTTTCCTCTAGCCGTGAATTACGAAGCTCTTGCGGCCCAGCAGCCTTGGGCATTGTGTTCTATTGGATATATACGATATCAATCAGGCCGATATATCCTCTTGTTGGGAACTGAAGATGTTATAAAGCTGATGATGAGATGGTAGTTTAAAGGGGTATAACTTTAGAATACTGGAAGTTATAACGGTGACGCCGTAGGGATAATGGGGCCTAGGCGGATCTTAAGCGTTTTTGTTGTACTTGCATAGGAGACCATTGGGAGTCACATTTGCAAAAGCAAATCGAAAATTTAGCATCGTCCTATCGAAGCTCGACTGGGTACACTAAGCCACACCGCATGGTTTAGGCATACTAGACGAGGCATAAAGGGTCTGGGTACTTTCTATGTGTATTTGCGCAATTCTTGTAAAGGGTCCTTTCGCAGTCTCAATGGCAATAATTCAATCTCGGGATAGTATCTCCTTTTTCCCCTTTCCCCTTTCCACCGTGCATACGAGCCTAAAATGCATTATGAGGCCCTTTAACTGGATGGTAGCGAATGGAATGTGGTGTTTAGCAGTAGAAAACCGGGTGTTAGTATCCCAACTGCCTTAAGCTCAGATTGCCATCAAGAAAGCCAGCAAAGTCGGAAACGGTAACCCCCCTCTTTACGTGAAATGCCATCGTACCAGGTAGGTACTAATTTAAGCAGGCCTTTACTTATATTGGACAGTGTCTATCGAAAGACCTATAGAAAGTCAAACAGACTGTTAGGATCTCTTCATCGACTGCAATGGAGAGAGGATATGGGCACAGAAGCCAGAAGAGAGATATAATGATGGATATTTTATTGCTCCACTGAATTTTAATGCCTTAGGAATAAGAGGCAGGCTCTTTCAGAGATACAGGAGGCTTCAAGAGGTATATGCTATAAAGCTAACTATATAAAGGAGTAAACAACTCTGTTGTGGCGCAAAAAGGTCGCAAATAACTGCTACAGGAACTACTATATATATAAACAAGTAGTCGGAGAGGTCATTCGTCTTTATGTTCGGCAATAGGGGTCTCTTACGGCGATAAGGGGATTTCCCGATACTTCTCATGATGTACTGCTCCGTACAGCCAGACTACTGACAGTATATATCATAAAACTTGAGTGAATCTCGATTATTTGCCTAGGTATACTTGTTCAGAGGGAATCATCAAGAACCTCTAAATATCACTATATTACTTGTATTTATTTAAGCGCCATTCATCACCCTACTTAACTCTAGCATCTTAGAATGATCCCACGGGTTTGGCTGTTCCTGGAGCGGGTGATTATTAGATCTTCGCGATGGGTTATGATTGATGGAAAACTGTTGAGAGGCTCGATTCAGTAACCGCTACCACCGATTCTTTGTGCGCCTGGCTAAGGCAGAATTGGCTGTGGTGAAGCCATCGAGATGGACTCAAGGTAGGTTGCGATGGTTCATTATTCCCGATCGGTCGTCCATAGAGCCTGGGTTGGCCCCGATTAGAGATAGGGTCTATAGCGGCGGCACTGGACGGATGGACTTAACTAGATAGATAAGAGCGGTGTATGGATTACGAGTGGATAAATAATCAGCAGGCCTGGTAGTGTTACCCTCGTGGATGGCGATGATCAAGCCGTGAATTAAGGCTCCGCACCCACGATCTCTTGTGTCACACCTAAAGTCAGGACACCAAACGTACATTAAAAGTTTTCTACTCGGAAGAAACCTGACGAAATCCTTAAATACCTAACTTGGAACTTAACTTCCGTTATAGTCATAACCTGTCGCATCGCGTATACTTAACCTTCTACATGTATTATATGTGGTTCAATGCGATGCTTCATTATGATCCATCACCAAAGCCACTTTCCTTAATTATTTCATGTTATGTTTAGTCATTTTCTATTAACAATGATCACATACCTCCTATAAAGTTTCAGTCTCTTTTGTAGGGGTTGGACTAGACCTATCCCCATTTTTCTAGCGAGTGTTCAACGCTAGGTAGATGCAGGAAGGGTCCTTTGTAAATTGTCGTGGATTTATACACAGATTGGGTGACTATGTATAGCACTCCGGTAAAATTACAAGCGTCTCTTCGAGGTAAATCCTCAAATATCATCGACGACCATGCCACGGCCCTCATCGTTCCATCGCGCGTAAAAATCACCACGCCGCCCTGGTGCCTTCCTAGTGGTCACATAATCCTAATTGTACACGTTTTCGCGGTTCCCCACCCAGTAATCAAAGCGGGCAGAGCTCGACCTTGTCCTCATGAGCCCAACACTGGAACTCCGATGAACAAGTCGTAGCCGATGCGAAAAGAAAGTCTATAGTCGTAAATTTTTGATGCAGAATCCAACCAACTCAGCGACATGTGTACCACATTAAAGGCATAAAGTAGGCTTGATAGGACCAGGGGCTGAAAAAAAAAATGGTTGATGCTGCACGAGGTCTCCAGCGCGCCAGTCAGCCCCGTGACTATGATGGGGGTCCTGGCGGTGGATTGCTAAAATTGTGTATTAGGCGTGCGATGGTGGGAGAGGGGATGTTCTATTTTTTTGCGGAGAAGGAAGTCATCCAAATATGACAGAGACGGTGGCTTAGAATGGGATATTGGGCGAAGCTTGAGCGCCGAGAGCTTCTTGTTGCTCCTGCAATTCTTCACCACCAGACTCGATGCTGATTCCAAGGCCAACCTTGGCGGATTGCTGTAAACCATAGAGTTAGAATTGGAACTTCATACTTGCAGTCTCGAGATAAACTTACATTGAAGTGGTCAACATCAGCGCAGAACGACATCATGACAGGTGGCGCAACACGCTTCTCTAATATGCAACCCAGTTTTCCCTTTGTGTCGACCTGCGCGCGGAACGTTGACATACGGAAATCGTATTTAACACCGAATGATGTGTGACCCTCTTTCTGCAGACCACCTCCCATCAGATTAGGACTGGGGGCGGCCTGGAGGGTCATGTCGACGCCAGCTTGCACCTTGTCGGAGATCTTCCGCCAATATGTCGCGTTTAAAGCACCTTGAGCATGTAATTGCGCCGTTGCGATCCAATCATCGGACTTATATCTTGCGCAGTAAGATAGGACGGACTCGGGCGGTTGGTTTAATGCGGCTCGTTGCCAGACCGCTTCGATACCGAGAGCAAGCTTACGAGTAACGGATTGCAAGTGATTGAGGATATAGATACCAGTTAACCCGCCTTCAAGATAGGAAGGGTTCAACATCTTTAAGGAAGAAGTGAAGTCCTTGCCGACATACTCGTGCTCAATAGAGGCCATATCCTGAGCTCCTATTTGGAATTGCATCTTGGCGGTGAGCGCAGAGGTCCATCGATAGTTGAATCGCGTTGACAACAAGCCGCTGTTATCCATGCTGCCTTGGAGGAAAACCTGTTATGAGTGGGAATATTTGTTAACCTAAGATCTATGTGACGAAAATAGAGGCATTTGATATGAATAAACCCACATCATTGGTACCAAAGAGTCCCGCAAATGCATAAGGATTCTGGTGCTCGCCCATAGCAAATTGATGCGACACTTGGAAGAGAGGCGATAAGCTAATAGCCTTTGTAAGGTCTGCTCTTATTCCGGAGTGCATATAATTGGTAAGGGAAACATCGCGCTGAACTTCTTTCGCGAGTGTCTCAATGGAGCCGGGATTCGACAAGCCAAGCTTGGCTCGTCGTTCGGAAAAGGACTTATATGCATCGGAAACTGCATTTGCTATAGGATTTGTCGTTAGGAAGCCCAAGGGTGAGGACCCGGCCGACAGCGACCCGAGGTTGGAGGCCATGATCGGAGGGGGGTTATTGTCAAGCAATCGGAGTGACGTCTTTGATAAGGAATGACGACAGAAAAACTCGGCGCAACGCGAGGATTTACAAAGGAAGAAATTGAATATTTATTCTCGCCTTAGAAGAGTAAAATATAGGACCCTAATGAACAAGACGTAAAGGCGAAATGTTTCCTAGCTTCCCAAGCCTGCGAGCTCCCGACAATTGGGTCAAGGTGTCGTCGTTTTTTTTGATTAGCTTGCAGAAGTGTCGAGAAAAAAATGATTTCTTTTTGGGGCAAGGCGTCAGTGAGATCAACATCCTTGTCCTAGCGAGCTTGCTCCACTTTTACTATATCGGAATAATCCTTGTGCCGCGTCCCTAGCGTATACCTAGCTGCTTAGCTCTAATAATCCCTGGTCAGTTCCCGCGAACATCAAACTTAAACCTCCACTGATGTCACATGTAGAAACTGTGCGTAGGTACCTCTTTTTAACTTTCTAGCCTTTACCTTCAACGCTCATAAGATCGGTAACCTACAAAGTTACATCTTTTTCTCTCCCTCAATTATTTACATTTATTTTGATTGGTAGCCCACTTCAGCATTCATTTACGGACTACACTCAAACGAAATATATGTTTTCTCTCCTTTCCTCTTAACGAATGAACCCTAGATCTTTCTGTCTTACCTCACGGGAAATATATTCCACGCATTTATTTCGCATTAACCGAGCATCTAAATTTTACACGGACAATTCAGCTACCGCGATTACCACATCTCTGAGCCTTCGCTGAGATCCCTAACTGCGATATTCCGTTTGAGATTCGATATTCTATGCTTATGTCAAAGGTGATCATCTTCGTCTCTTTAGCTCTACCTATTAATGGTTTTACGGCGGCTAGATCTTGGGCCCTATCGCTTCTATCTGTTCATCATCTTTCGTGGCCATGATCCTATATTTTATAAAGAAAACATGCACTCCTAACTTCAATCTAGACATTAGTGCTCAGAGCAGCCACAATTAAGCCTCGATTCTTATAAGAACCCCGGAGGCTCTCCTCTGAGTCAACTCATTGCAAGTGAACTATAGTCATATACGTACACCTATTTACCCTAGCTACGTCCGGATCTATGAGCTAGCCCGGTTGTTGCTACTGCTTTGACGACCCAGATAATCCCATGTACAAGGGCTGCTAAGGCAGGTCGTTACCACCATGGATACACTACTGTAAGTGCAACATCCTTGCTTGATGCTTGTCTTGTTATCTGGGCGCACCTGCAGCGCATCAATCTCCTCGATCTTAGAACCGGTGCATCCCAATGGTTAGTTCGTTGCTATCCTTGGTTTGGTTTATATCTGGGTCTTCTAGGTCCGTTATAACCACTTGTGGCATAGACTTCCTTTGGTTGAACAGAATTCAACTACTATCATCTTCGTAATTCATCTCAATTCGTTGTCTTACGACTGCTACCTCTACTTAGTTTCGTTTCCCCTTTCGACGAACATGCGCCAGGTTCATCTTGGCGATATTTGCTGCGAAGGAGAGTCTGATACTAACTCTACCAGCACCGCGGATATCGCCGCAAATGCTCCAAGATACCGGCGCAAAAGCAGCACCTTCATCGATGGAATTCATGATGTCCCCGACGATGGCGATAGAGCCCCGGCCCAGTTATATAGCACCATGTCAGGAAGACTCTTCCATTCTGGTCGTATTGCAATTGTTATGGTGGGACTTCCAGCGCGAGGCAAGACGTAAGCTTGGACATGCCACCTATTATATGTTCAACAGCCTTAACTCATTTGCAGCCATATTGCCGTTTCGTTAGCACGATACTTGGGATGGTAGGCGAATGACTCCCCTGCTGATTTGAGTATTGTCTCATTTGCTCTAGGTTAGGGGTGAAAACGCGAATTTTCCACCTTGGAGATTACCGTCGAGCTACTGTTGGTCAAGGTGGACACGTTCCTGAAGATTATTTCTATCCTAACGCCTCCCCGGCCTCCGTCGTTTTACGCCAGAAGATCCTTAAAAAGTGTCGCGAGGACATCTATGGTTGGCTTAACCATGAAAATGGACAAGTCGCAATATACGATGCGGTGAACCCGACCGCGAGTGGTCGTCGATCGTTAGCTAAGGAATTTGCCAAGCACGATGTCCAGGTGAGCTACACTGTCAATTTCCGAAGTGACGAAATCTTTACTAACGACTCTTCAGACATTGTTCCTCGAGTCCTATGTTGATGACGAAAATCTCCTCCGGGAGAATGCCCGCAATGTTAAGATTGGTTCCCCTGATGTATGGCCCTCGAATATTTCCTGATAAAATGGTAGATAACTGACGTCAGTAGTTTGCCAATATGGATCCTGATGAGGCCGCAAAGCTTTACTTGGAACGCATGGAAACCAAGATTCCCACTTTTGAGACTATGGACGAAAAGGAACTTAATTATATTAAAATGATTAATGCTGGCCAGAAATTCTTCTACAACAACGTATCTTTCAACTACCTCTCGCACCGTATTGTCTTCTATCTGACCAACACTCACGTCAAATCTCGGGCCACATTTTTCGTCCGACCTGGCGCTGCGACTGAAGAGGATAGTTATAAGGCAGATGCGCCATTATCTGGGGAAGGACTCAAGTATGCTAGGGTAATGACTGAGACGGTGATCGAACACCGCGAACGGGAGCGAGCATCACGGACAAAAGATGGTGGGCCAACAGCACCGCTACGGCCGCTCGCAGTATGGTGTTCAACGCGTATGCGTACTCTACAAACAGCAGACGTCTTTAAAGAGCTCGGATACAAGGTGCGCCAACGCAGCCAGATGGCCGAAATCAATCCAGGGGTATGCGAAAGATTGAGCGAGCGCGCTATTCGCCGTTTATATACTGAGGAAGTCACGAAGCACGAACTCGACCCATATCATCACCGTTACCCCCGTGCTGAGTCATACCACGATCTCGCTGTACGACTTGAGCCAATCATCTTAGAACTCGAGCGTGAGCAGAATGACCTGCTAATCATTGCCCACGAGAGTGTGTTACGTGTGCTCTATGCATATCTTATGCACTGTAGCACAATGGATATCCCGAATCTCAAGTTTCCACGGAACGAGATTATCGAGGTTATCCCAGGTGCATATCAAAATGAGGCCAAGCGTATCCATATTCCAGGTCTCGACCCCAGAACGGTTCCGGGATCTCCCGAGGACATTCGTATCCCCGTTCCGGACAGTGCCTCCGACACCCCAACACCCCTCCCAGGTGGTGGTCTTTCTGCACCTGCAGTACCACCCATCGTTATTGAGAAGCCACCTGAGAAGGTAGTTAATACGGCAGCTGAAGCTGTAAGAGACAAGATTACAGATGAAGATTAAATCTTGTCCGTGTCTTATGCGGTGGCTTATAAACATGGAAAGCGTCATATTAGCACCCCATGCTACGAAGACACGGTCTGATTAGAGCTAGGATAGGCCACCTTATGAATACATCGTCATTAGGCAATAAGAGCACTTCTGATCTAGCAGCAGATCAAGTGATTTATGAACCTACATTGGCACCTAGATATTCTAGTAATCATGCATTAACATTACCACCATAAAACAAAAACCCCGACGTATCAACGTATTGACTACACCCGCTAGTTATGGGGCTAGATTGCACCCGTAAGCTGCCGTAAATATTAAAATTTTAAACCGGATTTTGGATGAGGCATAGTCATTCCCGATTTTCCACAAGTTGCTACGCCGTGATATGTTTAGACTCGGTTACAAGCCAAATATTTTCAATCTTCGCTGTCACTTCTAAACTGATACTAGAATCCACTACATGAGTTTATGCTTGGCCCTTGGTCTGAAAGAATGTTGAAGTAAATTAGGTAGTTGTTAGGAGATTTTATATTAATCAGACCAATCCAGTTCCTTTCCCCATCCATTTTGGCCTTGGGTATTTAATCTAGTTGGATGCATAGTTCATACTAAGCCCAATACACCTAGGTCTTTCGCACACATCCTATCATGATAATAATCATTTCGCTTCACATCATTAAACACATTTCCGCCGTCGGCGGCCTGGCAACACCGCTGTGGATACACAGCCCGATCATGTAGTCCCCATATCCACAAACGACACACGTACCATCAACACATGCGAACCCGCTCGAACCAACACCCTCCCGGCAATTCTTAACTTCATCCGCTCCCGTTCCGCTAACGCAGCGGATCCCTCCGGTCCTCTCCGCCTGCGACCGACCGGCGCCGGATTTCCGTAACTACTCCGGACTCGTCGTCGGGGTATCGGCCGAAGGAAGGCGCGCGCCGACTGTGAAAAGGGAAAGAGCCATTCAGTAATCCGTTCTTGCGCCGGGTCGCTCCGTCCCCGCCTCGCCTTCCACGGCGGGAGGAAACCTCTAACCTCTTCTCTTAACTTTCGTTTCATTTCCGACTTTCTTATCACCATCATCTCTTGTGTTCTTAATTCTTTGAATGATCTTTCAGCTCTTCTTCGACAATAGAAAATTTTTTACCTACCAGGACAAATTTTGTTATTTTTTTGCTATATTTTGGGTTGGCTATGGGGTGTGTAAGGCGCGACAACTTGAACCCGGCTAAATGTGAACGTAGAATAAACGTAGAAGCAACCCCCTACAGCCATCGGCCCATAGTCCATGGAATGCAAGACTTTTTGCTATTAAGTTTTAGAGATTAATGCTTTCACAACCCTAGGTAGGATGATACCTCCTTGAACCGTAAGTACATTTATTCAAGTTTCAAAAACACCGTTTGAATGCTGTCCAGTGTACCTAGGTAATTACCTATCTATCCCTTCTAATGTTCCACATTGATGCGTTAGACTCTAACAGCGTTCATTTTACTCATAATGTGCATATGCATGCCTATCAACCGGACAGCCTTCTTTTAAGTTCCTTGCGGCAAATGTTCTGTATCGCCAACGCCTGCCGGGTATCTTGTTTTTAAAATCAATTAGACCAGCCCAACCACATGAAATAGTACCATTACTGCACTATTAACGCCCGAGTTAGTGTATACTATTTGAGAAAATTTCTGAGGTAAAACAATCCCGTAAATTTCTTTAGGTTCCGAGACGTAATGAAGGATAGACTAGGGAAATGTAATACTGAGATATACTCACCAATGCATTCCCTGTCTGGCATATTTATTTTTTTATCCTTCACCTTGCCTTTGTCGAATGGTATTTTCGACTTTCCCCGCTTTTGCGTAGGGGTTGCATCTTGATCGTTCCCCTTCGCTCCGTTTTTGTTGACATCCTCAATGAATTCATAATCTTCCTCGGTTTCCGTTGATGTCGTATCTCGTAACGGCTCCTTGCTTGATTTCATGAACCCCCCAAATCTTGTGACTGTCAGGCTTTTGCGATTTTCACCAGCTTGGCTTTGGGACCTGCTCTTATTACCACCTCTAAACCGTGCAGCGGCTCGACTGAGCCTCTGCGCCGTGGTTTCTTCTCCGGGCGTAACGGCTGGCGAAGGTGCTTCTGGAGTTATTGCTGGGCTGGGGACGCTTGAATCGTTGTAGATACTACCTCGACGAGACACGCTGAGAAATCCATCCTCGTCCGCAAAACTGCGCCGCGGTCGCTCTAGCTCGGCTGAGAAGCGGATTGTACTGCCATTGACGGACGGCTGAACACTTAGGCTATCGAAATAGCTACTGGGTTGGCGAGAAACTGATAGTCTGTCTTGACTATGTGCTGCTGACGTCTCTGAGCTTGTTAAATTAAGCGCTGTGTCGTCATACGCAGGAGGTTCCACGTCTGTATCCTCAGCCGAGCTAGCCACTTCAACTATGGGGACAATCTGGTAGAATAGGAGATAGGGCATCTCTTCTTTTAGAGATTGCTTAATATCGTCAACAAGAGTTACACGATCCCCGACAGCAAGATCATCGAATTTGACCCATTGTGCCTCCTCGTAATCTGGAGGCGGATCATTGTCGTGTCTGCGGTTATCAGTGAGAAGTTTTGGTGCCACGCGACAGAACGAAACATAATGCCCAGAATGTAGAGAGTCACCTCTGTGGCAGACTACAGACTGGAGCACAAGCTTGTAATCAGAAGCAAGCCCACTCTCTTCCACGTGCCTTTCGTCAACGATAAAGTGAGGCAATCGTAAACTATCAGGAATGTCAATGTATGTATTCTGCCGCTTCATGTTGCCCTTTTCGTCCATCATGTATCGTTTAAGGCATATACCAACAACTGGCCGTTGGTTGAAATGTCGAGCAACCTCCAAATCACTCTCGGGCTCCTTATTTGCTGGCGAATGCCAAGCTATCATCTAAGTTAGCCTCAAAGTGCTCAGGGAATAGTAGTAGGAGATCGTACGTATTAATCTAAAAAACTGCCAAGCAGGTATGGTCACAGCTCTAACGACAGACGCTGTCTTCTTAGCTCTCTGGAAGAGACTGGCCGCATCGGACTCTGACGGATTACCTTGTTCATCAAGAACAACTCGCTGAATTATACTTTCTGTTCGACTTCGATGAGGTCGTAATATTGACTGAGACCCTGAAGCTTCTGCGTCGGAATCTATTTGTGGATCGGGAGAACGGAAGTCAGGGACCACCGTCCATCTTCGTTCCAAAGATGGACCACTCTCAGTTTCGGGCGTGGAACATTCTTGTTGATCTTCTTCGGTAACGACCCGAATAGTGCTTTTGAATTCGTTCGAAGGGTTGGGGGACTGAGTAGCTGTTGCTGAATCAGACCTTTCTGCTGTTTTCTTCTCGTCAAGACTATCTCGTAGAACATCGACTTGGGAGTTAAAATACTCTTCCAGGCAGTCTTCCAATCGGATTCCTTTGCCGTCATTATCCGGCGGTACAGCAAGATTCAGAAGCCTTTCATAGACTACTTTGTGGTCCGCATCGTCGTTTTGGCCTTGGTGGAACAAGTCAACTTGCAGGGTAAGGAGAGGAAGTTGAAGGGTTTCCGTAATAAAGGCAAATGCTTCAGAAGTATCCTGCTGTTCCAATAATTGCGCGTCCCTCCAACCACATGCGGCTAATGCGTCTTGGATGTGCTCAGTCTGGCCTAGGTTAGTCGGACTGCAGTGTTACCTCTGGAAAAGAGTGCCTACCATATCTGTCTCGATTAATTTGCCACTTCTCAGCATGTTCACCCATAGTCGTAAAAGTGCTGCTAACTTTCTTTGCGGTTCTTCCATCGAGTCGTTCGTAAGCATGCATTCGAAAGACTCAAGCTTAGCAAACATGGCGAAGAGTAATGCATCAAGATAACATGTTACGTTTCCCCGATTTTCGGCGCCGAGCATGCGAACACCTGGGTTGTAGCTGAGTATCTTGCCGGCGAGTGACTTTTGCTGCAGCACCAGCAACTCGATAGCTTTACCAACATCGCCAGATGAGTATTTGGAACTAAGTACATATCGGATTTGGTCGTCGCTTAGGGCAGGGAAGTCTCTGTCGGCAATGCGTCGTCGGACGTCGTCAATCTGTTCGAGTTAACAATTAGGATACTTGAAAAAAAAAAAAAAAACACGACCGTGCTATAGCCAACGCACCTGAATCGCTTCTTTTTCTTGCTCCGAATCGGCGCTGGTAGATTGTCGGGCGGATTCTGGTTTGAATAAAGAAAAAAAGGCTTCGGATGATAAAGGGCGGTGCTGAGGAAGAAATGTAGCAGTTAGTATGGATGGTATTAAGATGCAGAGTTGACAGATCGGATGTCACCTTACCTTATGGGCGGGATCAGACGACCTTCCACGGCGGTGACCATTCTTCTCGCGGCGACTGAGGAACTTTCTAGGAAGGCTGGTGGTCTTCATGGTGGGGTCCCGCTCTCGCATCTTAGAAAATTGCCCGAGGGGCTACGTTCGAGGGGTGGAATAATTATAATAGTAGGCGGCAACCCGTCGATGTTTTACGATTCGTAAGGAAACAACCAACCTTCGTTCATTTTTCAAATTCCACGATGATGTGTTTAAGGCTGAATGGATGTATTCGCTTCCTAATTCCCCTTTCTTCTTCTTTTCCCAAGTCCAGAGTTCGACACTTTTGATCTGCAACCGCGAAAGAACGGAGACGCCAAGGGTCGAAAGGCCTGGAGTCCTATATGCTAAGGCTGGAGATGATGGTGGTAGAGAAGGAAATCTCGCATGGTTCGACGGTAGTGATTAATTTATTTCTCGATATGAACACCTATTCAGTTGAATGGGGACAAGAAACGTTGAGAGGCAGCAGCGGAAGCTTGCAGTAGCCAAGGATCTAGAGAGTTGAAATAGCTTATAATATTATGAGGTAGCTAGGACAGCACGGCTGGCGCTATGTTGCGCTGCACTGCGTTGGTGCTGGTGCTGTGCGCTGTAGCGTAGGTACGTAGTGTACAGGTACAGGGCGTGCGAGGGAGCTGTTTCGCGTCAAGGGGGGGTTCCAAAAACAGGAACACTGGGCGATCGACGATGGGTACCAAGTCGCTTTTGTTCCTCTTGTGGATTCTTTTGATTATATTATATAATCTGATTCGCGTGATGCAAACTAAAGTGATTTCAACCACGAGTTATGGTCAAACATTCGTTGGAAGATGCTTCTCGAATCTGGAAATCTAGTCCGGGTTGATAGGCAAGGCACTAAAAAAGTTAGGAGTTTTTGGTAGGTTGTAATTGTCGTAAGTCGAGAAGACGAGACAACAGGAAACCCAAAGAAAAAAAAGATGAAATGAGAACAGCCCTCTTTCTTCAAGTACCTACATATAGGTACCTACCTAAGGTAGATAGGGTAGGTACGATACGGTCTGGTATACGGCGTGTAAAGTCTAAAAGGTTGGTCGGTCAGACTTAATTTATTTCTTGTCTACCTCCAACGCGCCTGCTGAGGTTACCTACTTGTATCAAATGTGTACGATTGATGCACCCTTGGAGGGTTGGCGCAACTTTAACCAGGTACATAGGACAACTCGTAACTTTAAAAGCGTGTTTCTTAGGGAAGTGCGTATCGCATCGTATTGAATTTTAAGTAGCAACCCAGCAAGTTTCTCGGGACGAGCGAAACTAAGAAAGCTAATCTATTCCGTACCTCGACAACATAGAACCTACTTTCCCTAGCTAGAAGTCTAGAAGGGCCGTTCGTTGATGCCATTGGTAGAACTTGGGCGCTGCGGGCGCGAATGCCTGGAACCTTTATCCCCTACCGATCACCTAGCTGCGGGCGATCGAATGAGACTTCACTTTTTAACTAACCAAGTTTGCACTCTTCGGCCGACAATCCATCTGGTTAATTGCGCATTGTGCATGATGCTAAAAAGCGATCGATGCGAGATACAGATACAATTGCATATACGCGAAATAGCAAATGACTACCTACGCAAAGAAACGAATTGTTGAATATCGCGGATGCCAGCTGAATGAACACTCACACGGCTTTGACCTTCATGATGGAATGCGAAAACTAGAAAATTGTTGAAGTCTGCAGGTGATTGTGCATCATAGGCAACAACAATACATTTTCAGCCTCACCGTTGTCAGCTTTGTGCCTCGTGCTACATTCATATGCGACGTAATAGGTACATTTCGCAGCCCGGAAGACCTAACTATTCTAGGTGGTCTCGTGCTGCGAGGAGTCGTACCAGTACGAACAGATTCATCGTGATGGATTACCAAGATCAGGCAAACTAGTATCCGTAGTCATGGCACCTATGGTGGAGGGTTTATCAGATGATCGGCATACCACCATCGCCGCCGGGGATTACTAGTGCCCCGAATCCCCTCAGTTCCTACGTTGACTACGTAAACGTAGCTGGTATTCGGTGACGATATGTATGATGTATACCCCCTTGGCGATATATCTGGATATCTTACATCGAGACCTGCTGAACGTCAGTGACATAGATTACACCCGATCTATCTAGTACAATTACGCAAATTTGGAGGGGATAAAACACCAAAATCGTCACAACACTTAACAGGGTTCGCTTTGCTGGATTATTCACCTAGAAACGCGTGGCATGATGATCCCCTAGAGTCAGTCGACGTATAATTATTAATGCGAGTACCTACTGCTTCTCTTATCTGTTGTCTCTATATTTCTGGGTCATAATAAATGTTGTATGTGCAAACATCAATGCACTGGATTTCAATATTGGGCGTGTCGATGCGAACCTAGGAAGGTATCTGGATGTGTAAGCCGAATATGGGGTAAGCAATTGGCTAAATCAATTTGCCAAATTACGTAATCAACAAGGGTTATCTTCTCGTGGTACTGTAAAGCAGGGGTCGGTGATTAGTTTTACCGAGAAAGTTTCCCAGATATGAAATTTCCACCATCAATACATCTAAACCTCCGAGGCCATACATACAGGGTTCGATAGGTGTCGGTAACAAGCCATTGAGCCTAACACTTGGTGTAGGCACCTCTGAAAATAATGGCCGCCCTCAGAGAAATGCCTCGGGTCGGCCGTCAGCTTCTCAGTACCGCATCGCATTTGAAGTCTAGTCCTGTGAGCCTTCAAAGATGTGCATCTACCGAAGCCACTGCGTCTGCGCCGAATATCCCCGATATCGAACAAGACTCTGGTTTAGCAGTTCCAATTGTCAAGAGAGGGGACATAAAAGTCACAGATCCGCGGAGAAGAGCGAGTCGTAGAAATTATGAGCTTCCGCATGAAAGGTGAGCTTAAACTGCGACAGGATCTTCAAAATAGGAAGAGTTGCTAAAAACCTCTGGCGTCTAGATATCGATTCCGTGCTCCAAAGTACTATCGAGGACCTTTACATCCAGTCCAACCGCCTCCATCATCAGACCCGATCGCTCGAGACTTCTCCCCTGGACCTTTTAATCTTCCACGATTGAAGCAGACCTACCACTCTGCAGTCACTTCCGATCTTTTGACCCTATTGTACCAACACACACCACCAGGTACGGCTGATAAACCCGAAAGGATAAGATTGCGAGAATGGGACGATTCGTCACCCTATATGAAGAACCGACCTAAGCGAGGACCGCGAGGTCACGATGTGCTTTTCCCGCTCGAGAAGGATATTACATGGCGCAATATTCCCGAGATTAAGGCAGTACATTTAGCTATGTACATGCCCAAAGCGAAAAAGAATCCTGATCATATTACTGTTGGTCGCGCAGTACTACAAACTATCACAGGTGTCCGTACCACAGTCACCAACACGAAGACCAGCGTTGCTCAGTGGGGCATTGTCAAGGGTGATAGGTCAGGTGTGAAATGCTCGATATATGGTGATCAGGCATACGAGTTCATGGACAAAGTCATCCACCTAGTATTTCCAAAAATCAAGGATTGGAGGGGTATCAAAGGTTCGTAACCTGGTCACCCCTAGAAGAAAACTCAGCATTGATGAATTTCTAGGCACTAGCGGTGACAGCACTGGTAATATAAGTTGGGGTTTTGAAGCCCAGGATATGCTATATTTCCCGGAAGTTGAAGCAAACTATTCGGTAAGTTGACGTAATACCTCCAGGCAACGGAATTAATCATTTGCTCACACACTTTTAGTTGTATCCTTCCAAGATGATCACTGGTTGCCGCGTCACCCTCGAAACCACAGCAAAATCAGATAGACATGCTAGGCTTCTCTGCATGAGTCTAGGAATCCCATTTTACGGCAAGTTAGTAGATTAGGGTATTATACCGAACCTATCAATCTACCATTTGTACATATATCATCATATCACGTCAAGATGCCATAGGCTGCTATCAACGCAGTTGTACAATACAAAATAAAATGAAATAAGAGTTAAATCGATCATGAGGCGTCATTTTTATTCGATCATTTATGAAACCATGCCATGTGCCGAACATATCGTGGCTACGTAGAACTCTTTTTTAGACCCAAATGTACCCCACCAACGCCGAGGTAATGCCGTAATGATGTCCGTTCATGTCCCATCGCCATCACAACTACGCTTTTATGCGTTTATAGCCCTTTGCTTCAAGCCGTTGATCACTTCGTCAACCGCATCCATGTCGGTCGCATCAATACCTTCTTGAACTTCTTCACCTCTTTTCCGTAGTTCTTTGGCAGCAACATCTAACGCCGGCTGGTAGTTTCTTACGGCGGAACTAAGTGCATAGACCGCTTTCCGGCGCACGGCTTTTGTCTCCTTGTCGGCGGTAACACCCTCCTCGGTTGTAAGATTCTCGGTGCCGGCGCGCTTCTCCATTCCGATGCGTTCGCCTAGGGCCATTCCGACGAGCTTTTCGACACCACCGAGTGCGACGAGACGCTCTTGACTAGGGGCATTGTTCTGAACGGCGGTACCGACACACCACGCTGCCATTAGACGTAGTCGCGCCTCTTCATGTCCCAGCAGTTCGAGCAAGGGTGTCCAGAGCCCGAGCTTGGAAAGTAGGTTGGCATTGTCGAGCGACTCGACTAATTGCTCCAGGTTGTCAAAGGCTGTCAATTTAGACTCGAGGGTGATTTCCGGGTCTGTTGATGTGATATTGGCCATTGAGGCTTGCATCAGCTCTGCGTCCGACGGCGCACCCATAATCGCAGCTAGGGCTTCTGCGGTCAATGTCGTTTGGGGCCCCGGCGCTGAGGGGTCTGACGGTGTTGAATTCTCGATGCTCCATTTTAGGAGCTCGTTTAGGTTCTTGTCTGATGCCATTTTCGTCTTTTTAATTTGCGACGAAGGTAGCGTTTCTTGTAGTTGATTTTTCTAAATCGTTTAAAGTTGGGAATATGCAAGGTAGATGTTGAAATTTGGTCGATTACGTCGTTTTACGTCGTTCGGGACAGGGTATCAAGTACCGAGCAAGCAATTTTCCTTATAAAATTATAGCGAGATATCTAGTACGGAAGAAGATATTTGAGATATTTCGATAAGTTAGCTAGAAAATACTTTCAAGTGAATATGCGATCGCATCTGATCGTCTTTCTGGTTTTGTTCATTCCAAATGCCTAAATTTCGGCTTAGTAGCCTAGTCGTACAATCTTCTCCAGAGATCTTTTAGATTCGCGAAGCTTCAGGGCTGATAAGCTGAAAAGTGGGGATAGAAGGAACATAGTCACCAATCAAATTAAGCTACCAGTAGAAAAGATCTTTTTAACTAATAATCTTATTCAATCGGATTGTGTTTACATAATTGGACTATACCTACAGGTATAACATCAATTCGGATTAGAAGATTAGAGTTTGTTAGGTAGAACAATTGATACCTTACCGAAGATGTATGGCTGAATCACTGAAGAATATATCTGAGAACATATCAATATAAGTATTAGGTACTTCCAATCATGCCTGAAGCTGCCCCGCTATGAATGCCCCTCACCCCGCCTTCGCTTCTTGACCGCCCAAACCCTGGCAATAAAAAATGGTAAGTAATAAAAAAAAATTGTTGAAGCTACAATTTCACGATATCAAAACAAATGATGCCATACTCAGGATAGATCAGTTACTATCGTCCTATTATAAAATATTAATTATTCATTTCAAAAGTATGTGATTGTCTACCTCTAAATCGAGTCCGCGACGTTGCCTTTGCGACACGTCGTACCAGACTCGTATCATTATCAACATAGAATCAATAACGGATACCCCAAGTATCTTACTGTAATTGTTGAGTGAGACGAGGCTGTAGTGGTAAATTCAATACAACGAGTTTACTTCGCCCCTGCATGCGTAACCCACTTGCCCCATGAGATTGACATGTCTGACCCGGATAGGCGATGCCTGCTTGGCGTTGAGCTTTCTTCTAATGATGAGGAGAGTTTGAAGATAAAGAGGGTTACTGAATAATAAATCCCAAGCCTCGGAAGGGAATAAGGAGTTGCCAACCTACGTAATTGTGTTCCCGACCTATTTTTTTCTGTTATGCTAAGCCACACAAACATACATCATGGATTATTGCATCTGGAAAAACTAGATCCATCGGGTTCTCGGGGTCTTTTAACAGACGATGAAAAAAGACAATCCCACTGAATCGGACTCTTATTTTGAGCGGCCCCTAACTCCCTATCTATGTTTGTTCGTAAATACCAATATACCGAATAACCTACCTAAGATGCTTAACATATGGTACAGCGAGGTGGATTAGAGGAGTTATTCGGTAGTCTTGGCAAAATGTCGACTAGGGTGCTTCTAAGCACCTCGAATTCGAGATAGGATGGATTGGAATGGATGGTATGCTGAACTAGTGAATTTTAGGGATGCTTCGTCAGATGCCACCTAATAATTTTGTTACCTAGGAATAAATGAAGTTTGAATTCGACTGCCTAATTCAAGTTACGCAACGAAAGAGGTCTTGGTGTTCATCTTATATTACCGCTTTCCGAGGGCGGTGAGGTGTGTCTTCTGGCTTGTCCGTTGCTAATTTTGTTTTAGGTACCTACCTTTCTTTAATACATGTACACATTAGAGGGTTTGCACGTGTACCTAGGTATGGATGGATGTAGGTACAAATTGAGATGGATCCATTATGTGTAAAGGTAATTCCTTCCTATAATCCCCCTGTAACTTTGTAACTTTGTCACATTGTAAAAGAAGAGGTAAGAAAGTGGAAGGTACTTGAGTACCTAGTCCCTTGTCCCCTGCTCGCTGATAGGCGTGCGTATTTTGTACTTGACCGTGCCCCGCCTCTTTTTTGTTCGGCCCACAAGTTCTTCCCATCGCCTGTGGGATCGGTGCATCAAACCAACTTCGTTCCTCCCTTTTCTCCCACACTCTCGCCCCAGAGAAAGCAATTAACTTGTCTAACTTCTCCGACCTTAAAATCAACTTCCACTCGTCCAACACCTCCTTTCCTCCGTCGTCCTCTGTTTACTAGCAGACCTCGACCAGAACACCATCGTCTTTGCTCTCACAATCTGGGTATCGCGTGGGCTAGCAAATTCCTCTCCGTTATCTTTTAATTCCTATTAACGTAACCTACATTAATCCATCACAATGGAAGGTATGTCATTTCCCGCCATCCTATATTTTCAACTCAAGCTTGTTCATTCAATGCTTTGATGAATACAATAGCTAACATGTTTTGTACTCGCAGAGGAGGTCGCTGCCCTCGTTATCGACAATGGGTAAGATCTAAATTTCGTCTCACCGCATCCTGTAGCGCACCCCGTTCCTGGGGGATACGGAACCGAATACCATCTAAATCCCCCGATTCCAATATCGAGCTGCATAATCTGAGGATATTTGAGCTGACTCGTGCCTAGTTCGGGTATGTGCAAGGCCGGTTTCGCCGGTGATGATGCTCCCCGAGCTGTTTTCCGTAAGTACTATCCTCGCCCAACTACTATCCCCGCTTTAGCCTCTCGATAGCGGGCTTCAATCCTAAAATATCTTCTAACATGTAAATATAGCGTCCATTGTCGGTCGTCCCCGTCACCATGGGTGAGTAGTTAATCTTATCGCCAAATAAAATGCGCGAGCAACGAAATCTAATTCTATAATAGTATCATGATTGGTATGGGCCAGAAGGACTCGTATGTCGGTGATGAGGCACAGTCGAAGCGTGGTATCCTAACCCTGCGATACCCCATCGAGCACGGTGTCGTCACCAACTGGGACGACATGGAGAAGATTTGGCACCACACCTTCTACAACGAGTTGCGTGTGGCCCCCGAGGAGCACCCCGTCCTGCTCACCGAGGCCCCCATCAACCCCAAGTCCAACCGTGAGAAGATGACTCAAATCGTCTTCGAGACATTCAACGCTCCCGCCTTCTACGTCTCTATCCAGGCCGTTCTGTCCCTGTACGCCTCTGGTCGTACCACCGGTATCGTGCTCGACTCTGGTGATGGTGTTACCCACGTTGTTCCTATCTACGAAGGTTTCGCCCTTCCTCACGCCATTGCTCGTGTTGATATGGCTGGTCGTGACTTGACCGACTACCTCATGAAGATTTTGGCTGAGCGTGGTTACACCTTCTCCACCACCGCCGAGCGAGAAATCGTCCGAGACATCAAGGAGAAGCTGTGCTACGTCGCTCTTGACTTCGAGCAGGAGATCCAGACTGCTGCCCAGAGCTCCAGCTTGGAGAAATCCTACGAGCTTCCCGACGGTCAGGTCATTACTATTGGCAATGAACGATTCCGTGCTCCTGAGGCTCTGTTCCAGCCTTCTGTGTTGGGTCTTGAAAGCGGTGGTATCCACGTTACCACTTTCAACTCCATCATGAAGTGTGATGTCGATGTCCGAAAGGACCTCTACGGTAACATCGTCATGGTACGTTTTCGATCATGCTCTAGATTTTACGTGGATTGAGTACTAATTTGAGATCTATAGTCTGGTGGTACTACTATGTACCCTGGTCTCTCCGACCGTATGCAGAAGGAGATTACTGCCTTGGCCCCGTCCTCGATGAAGGTCAAGATCATTGCTCCCCCTGAGCGAAAGTACTCCGTCTGGATCGGTGGTTCTATCTTGGCTTCTCTGTCTACCTTCCAGCAAATGTGGATCTCGAAGCAGGAGTACGATGAGAGTGGTCCTTCGATCGTGCACCGCAAGTGCTTCTAAGGTATATATTCCTTCGAAACGTAAAGTTGATTTGGTAACTGACGGTGAATTAGCTCCTTACACACCACATGCCCAACGACTTTCCACGAGCCCGCGATGTTCCCAACCAGAGCACTGCTTACGCGGAGCTCTTACCGTTGCGAGGATATTCTAGTCGAGACTCGTATCTACAAAAGGTTCTGATAGTGGTCGAGAGATTGCGGCTGTATTACTCCAGGAGAAAAGATTACAAGATGTGCTTTACTTTTAGGAGGCTGTTCAAGCACAGGGTGGATTAGACAATTCCAGCCGAGGTTGATCATATACTACTTTGTTTCTTCGTTATACCAACATGTGTGGCGTGAACTTTCGTAAATCACAATAAGTTTGTAGAAACATACTAAAATACTAATTTAGCAAATTGCTAATCTTCCTAGAGATTCGAAATCTGTTTATAACAGCATAGGATGCATAACATGTGATTTCTATTCTACATACCTAGGTAGGTAAAACATCTGGCAGTGTTTCCAACTCGAGCAAACTTCTGGGATGCATATTTATATCTAGAGTGATACAGGACGTATCTTTATTTTTGATTCTCTATTTTGTCTTGCTCTATGAAACGTTCTTCAGGCCCTTCGTCCTCCACCTCGTCTATGACATCACCCTGGACAACTTTTACTTGTTTCTCTTCTTCAAGCTTGCGGTACTTTCTTCGGCTCTTCTTGGCCGAGCTTGCTTTCTTTTTTCGTTTAAACTCACCAACAATGGCAGAGCGGCTCTGGTCGCCTCGTGCGATTTGGTCAAGGCGGTCGGCTAATAGCTGCCTAGCTATGGTCCGGTTCTGGCTTCGCGAACGAGTGGCTTGCGATTTAACAACGATACCCGTAGGGAGGTGCTTCAGCTGGACTGCCGAGTTCGTTTTGTTCTGTGAGGGTTGCTTGTTAATTATGTTCCTTTTTAACAGTGGGGAGGGAGTAAATGCGCACAATCTTCTGCCCGCCTGGGCCGCTACCCTTAAGGAAAGACTCTTCGATTTCTTCATCGGGAGGGGGTTTGGGCCGCGGCGGCATGTTAGTGTTTTTAAGGAGGGGCGCGGACACGGAAATGAACGGCCTCGACGGAAGGGCGGAAGATACCCGTTGGCCAATAGATGCAAGGGGAATACGAAAGGGCCGCACCAGTAGCGACGGCAATATCATCGTCGTCATCACCGCCGCCCAAACGCGGGGATCACCAACTCAAAATGATGTCCAATGGATTTCCTAAGTTGGTAATCAAGCCATCGTACTCGGGACAATTATTCGTACGTCCCTTGTAAGCAAGGCAAGCTTTCGAAATGTATCTAGCTCGCCGAGCTATCCGTGAGGGAAAGCGAGTGCGAAATATCTATTTTTCTCGTAAGCAATACGAAGAAGATAGGATCTGATTGCAATTATGTTGGTGGGCAGCTGGCAAGCAAGCTTCCGCCGACCGACGTCACTGTCTTGGTGTCTTGCTTTTTTTTCTTCTTTCATAATTCTTCTGTTTAAATCCTTAGGCTACATAATTCATTAGCGCGGCAGGCAATTCAATTCAATTAATCCAATCAGGATTTTACGGCGACAGTACATGTGTACTTGAATAAAAGGGGAATCCCCCTAGCTCATTAGATTCGACGTGATTGGCTCAATCTTATTTTTCTCTATGTTCCCGAATTGACAATGCAGCTTGACCATCAAAAGTTTACAGGGGTCTCAATCCAACCAGAATTCACGAATTCTCCAATTGCGTGTCCCGTTTTCTTCGGCGCCCAGCTTGCTCGAAAAAGGGTCTCGACCATCATTAATTCAAACATCCCCGTCGTCTTATCATAACTTTTCTTCTCCTCCTTCATTAAGATAAGACCTTCAGATCCAGAACTCTAATCCTATTCACCTATTTGCTTAGGTCAAGCATAACTTTCCGTTTCCACAACTTTTTATCAACTTTCAACAGAACCAATTGCAACTTAGGAGGCCTCCTGTCCCCTCACCCCTAATCGACTACATCAATCTAGACGAACGAAACGAAAATATTATAGGATTTTGGTCACGACGAGGAAAGAAAATAGAATTGAAAAGAATATTAGAAAATACAGAAAGAATGGAGTACCTGACGAAACAGCCCGAGAACCTCTCCGCTTTCCAGCGGTTTGGCCGCTGGCTTCGGTTGAAGCAGTACCAGATCGAGGTCACTTTCGGAGTCTACATGTTTACGCCAACTGAAAAGTTTCTATTTTGTAAGTCAATTCCCAGTGAGGTTGCCATTGATGTAGAAACTTGTCGACATCACAATCGGGATATGTCATATGTTGGTGCTGAGTTGAGATAAGAGGACTGTACTAATTGCAATTCTAATACGTATCAGGGTCCGTCGTGTTCCTCCTATGCAGCTTATTGAACATCGCTACCGTCCTCTACCTTCCACAACACCTTCTTTTCATCATTCACCGCGCGTGGTTTTACGTTAATGGCGGCGAGAGTGGTGTGGCTTCCAACGTTGTCGCGGGAAACAAGGATGCTTTATCACTAGCAACATCATACGCGACGAAAACGATGGCAGCCGCTGTCTCAGAAACGGCCGAATCGATAAGTCGAGAATTGTAACGCTCATGAGCCCAAGCCCCAATGATACCATTCTGCCCTACGAAGCAAGTGGCGAACAACGTAATATTTAATCAGGGGAGGTCGTGTCTAGTATCGACCTAATCAAAGAGGAGGTGACATTTGGCGTCAATATGCTCGAGATACGGTTTGGCGTTCGGATCAATAGACTTGCGTGTCGATGGGCTTGCAACGAAGTCACGCAGGCGCCTACGAGAAAAGTCGTATTTGGACAGGTGGCGTGTCTAACTAGGCAGTACCATAGATGGGGAAATCCCTCATGGATTTCCTTTTGAAAATGAATATACTCTGAGCGAGCCGTCCTCTCCGGCTATCGCCAATTCATTCGCAGTTGCCAGCGGTCTCCACGCGAGTTGTAGAACGGCTTTTGCGAGACATAGCCTAAAAATTCATCAGCGACATCTTCGAAACTGGATTAGAAAACAAAACATACTCTGGCTTTAGGGTTAGTGTTGAGGAAATACCAAGGGACATCGCGTCGATCGAATATATCGAGATATTGCCAGTCTCAGTACCAACCGCCAGAAGTAAAGTGCCACTCTCAGTGTTACACTGTAAAAAGTCGATGGCTGTAACTGGGTGGGTTTCCGGTATCGTAGTAACGCAAGTGATGTCAGAATCTGCAGGGTCTGTCGACGCTTGTCGCCATATCTTAACTTGCTTATCTCGGCCAGCCGTAGCGAATACTACTGAACCAGTCAATGGTGCCCATGACGCGTCTAGGATCATTCTTGAATGTCCCTTGGGGTTGGACTGCATGAGCTTGTAGCTCTGCTTATTTTCGTTATCTCTTTCGAATACTACCCACTGTCGGTCTCGTCCAACACTAAGCAAATACCTGTCGTCAGGCGAAAATCTTAACCGTGTCGTGGTTAAGGAATGTGCTGTTAGTGGCGGCTTCACTTCAGTCCACTTCTCCGTCTCAAATAAGCGGATGACGGCATGGTTGATTGAGCTCGCCTTACAAGCACTAGCAATAAGGGTTCCATCATGACTTACGGCTAGGCATGAAATTTCGTAGCCGTGCCCATAAAGCTTTTCCATTTCGGGCCAGAGGGTGTGCCGGGACAGACTGTCCTCGAATGGCGGGTGGTCGATTTCCAGAGCGGATTTGCGGACCGTCGAACCCGGGTCCAGGGCGTCTCGGTCCGCCTCGGGATTGGCTACTTGAATGTCGAGATCATCGTCAACAGCTTCGATTGCCTTGTTTGAAAGGCCGAGCACCGGCATGTTGGCAGCGTCCGGCATAGTCTCAACATCCTCATTGCCGATGTCACACAACCTACTCAGTAACTTTGCCACCGCCTTCGGCTCATCAAATACACGCATCAACTTTTCGTCGGCGCCGGACACAAACCTAGAATTCCCAAGCGAGTCGATGCAGTTGAGGTCATAGCCGTGGATCTGCGGCCGAGCCATCTCATGCCACGTCTTCTGACCAGACCCTCTATTCCAGCTCGCGTGCAACCGTGTTGTCTGGTCTGCGCTTGTGGAAAGCAAGTAGTCGCCATTTGTTGACCATGTTATGCCGGTGACGGCCCTAGTATGGCCACTGATACCAACGTGAGGGATCCACTGATCTCTCTCCGTGTTGTAATCCCACGTCCTCCAACTGCCAGTCCTCCCTAGACATACCACCGAATGCCCATTTGGTGACCATAGTCCCGTCCAGAAACCTCCTGTGCTCCCCGTTGCTGTCGTGGCGCCCTTCTCTCTGCTTATCTCTCCGAGTCGGACAGTCGTGACCCAGATACCTGAGGAAGGGTCCGCCTCCCAAATGGCTAGTGTATTGTCCGCCGAAGTCGAAAGGAGTTGGAGTTTCCCAGTAGAAGAATCGGGATACCATTTAGCGCTATATATCCAGTCGTCATGCCCCAGAAGCAGTGCTTCAAATGTTATGGAAAAGTCATTCTCTGTGGCCTTCAGTCGATGAGCCTTATTCGAGGGCGATTTACCAGGCATAAAAGCACCCATAGATGGATCAGCCCCATTTACAGTTGCGGCGGGCAATTCCTTTCCTTGATGGAATCGCCATAGGCGGATATACTTATCCTGGCTCGCGGATGCCAATAGCAAATCACTATCGGGGCTATTTCCCTCCCATGTGAAATCCAGTGATCGAATCCACCCTTCGTGGCCCGACAAGGTGGCCTGAAGCCTAAATTCAGGATTGGCATTGGAATCCGCGACAAAAATTTGGACAATATCTCTCGTCCCCGCCACGGCTAGAACCAAGGCCTCATCATCCTGGCCGAGCGTGCTTAGGGCTATCGAAAGCGGGAAGAATTTAGGCGTAGTTTTGACCGTCTGTAGTAAGCGAATTTCACTCCTTTCTAATATCCAGACCTTTATTGAGGCATCTGCCGCGCCCGTAGCAAATATCCTTGATGTTACGCTCGGTGATGCTCTTTCATGAAGAATTGCGATGCAGTTGACCGCAGCCGTATGGGCTTGGACAGTTTGGATACATGAAGCACCAGCGGTAGCATCAGGAGAATCAGCTGAAAACTCCCATATTTTTAAGCACTGGTCATCAGCACTAGTGACTAAATATGTCTTCGATTCACCCTCAACTTTACGGAGGAATCGAACAGCTTTGACGACATCTCCATGTCCTGAAAGGAGGTTTGTTATACCCCTTGGCGATGAGCTCTAGTAGAGACCATTCATCGTTAGCATAATATTATGCAGTTTAGTTAGTCAATCGCACCTACATGTGGACGCCAAAGAGCAACATGTGAGTCAGCGCCGAAAGCTACTATCCCATCCTCATTCCAGTCCGCTACGGCAGTGTGCCTATTTGCACCTGCGGATAGATATTCTACGCCAACCTGGTAGGTATCCATGTCGGGTTGAGGGTGGTTGTAATTTCGTGGGTAAGGATTGTACAAGTTAGGATGTAACTTTTTTTAAAAAAAAAAAAGACGGGGTTGTGATTGGATGGGAACTAAAAAAAAAATGAATTGAGAAGTCTATAGCAGCTGCCAACTAACTTTTTTGCCAGTTGAATTTTAAGTGGATACTTTATAGGTTGTACCTTCCTAGGTACACGTACTCCATAGAGTTCTTACATAAGGAGGGATGTATGATGTACCCCCTAGAGCGACTCGTCACATCACTCACTGTTTTATTTTATTCCATTCATTTATTTATTCCATTAACCTAACCTAACCCAATACACCTATATGTAATCTTTCCTATGTCACTTCACACCCCTTAGTTCCCCTATCACATTTCCTCATAATATATACCTATCGTTGTAATTATCCGGCTTCATCATATGATGGATCTGGTTGATATAAGGCTCTTCAACAATAGGCTCCTGATCATACCATAGGTGACTAGGTAATACCTTACACATGTTGAATATTATACTCTATATATCAAAATGGATAGCAGAGTTGGTTTTCTAAAATTAGATTTATGTATGTCTTGTATTCAATGGCATCCATATAAGTAAGGGTGAAAAGGAAGACAAATGAGATCTCATTTCCAAGAACAGTCATATAAGGGTAATCAATTGATATAGGTAACACGTCCAATCTGAATCCCAGGTTGACGTATTATACTCGCAGCCCCTAATAAGTCTAAAATTACTTTCACAAGCCCATAAACTATCTCCTCATGACGATACGACGCCAGGGCGGAGGACCCCTGCCCTCCTTACCAGCTTTTCAATATCCAGAATAGCCGCCCTTAACCCTGACCTCCTTCGTTACCGTCGTGCAGAGCAGCAAGCATACATATGTATGCCCGACCGAAACACGTGCGCTACGCCCAGGCACCTGATCAGCTTGGGCGCTGATGAGGATCCACTGACGGCGTCCACACGAGCGTCACTTCTTCATTTCTTTTTTTCCCTCTCTTTTTCTCGTAATTGCAAAAGGCTCTAGGGTGTCATAGGGGCGCACTGGGGCGTCAGTCAGTCCCGGTACCGGCTATCGAGTCGATCGATCCGCCTCCAAAAATCCCCGTGGCGTCAGGGTTTAGTTCCTCGGCGCCACTAGAGAGCGTCAAAAAAGGGCGTCTGCCAGGGCGAATAATGGACACTGCTGCGTACTGGTGAGGCCTCTTAACGCCACGCATTGCCGTTCGGACCGTGGTCGATTTCTACATACAAGCTGCTACATCATCATAGGGTTGGGTAAGTAAGAAAAAAAAAAAGGGGGGTAAGAGAACCACGTAAGAAAGCTTTCCACCTAGGTGACGACCGGGAGGGTGGGTAAATGAAGCTTTTTACTCCAAGAAGCATTCTTAAATTACATATATTGATGTCTATTTCCGAACTATTATCTCACCTACCATTTCATCCTTGTCTTTACTACGTAGTAAGGACAATTCCGTCCCATATGCGGCTACGCTAAGCACCAAATGCATGCTCTTAATTATTACGTGAGAGAGTCAGAACCTTGATGTGTGTGTGCACATCTACTATAATACGTATATGGATCGAAGCTTGGTACTGTACGACTCGCCTGACCCGGGAGATTGATTACAGATGATCTGATTGCCAGACCACTCGCTTAGTGAGACGCGCATCTAGTAAATTAATTGGTCGCAATAGAATATCATGGTAGACACCTAAGGCTTTTTGATTCCCCTCTAAACAATGTGACGGCCTTATGTTGTGGCTCCGATCAGAGGTCTGGGTGTTTCTGCGCCTTTCTTTCTACCTATGTTCTTATTCGATCATCGAATAGCGGCTTAAATCCTTTTCAAACTGTTTTCAAACGATAATGTCTCGGAAAGTGGTGATAATCTTGCAGCATCGCCTGTAGATATTTCTCGTGTCCGCTATTGGCCCCTGGAACCCTTGTTGGGCTTAGTATTGTGTATCTCTGTACTACCCCCTACGTGGTGCCAACGGGACAAACTGAAATGTTCCATTCTGATGGGTCTGGGTTTAGTCAAAGAGCCTCACACAGCTTAGTGAATCCTTCAGGAATATTATGCATTCACCGTCGCACAGGCGTCTGCCTACCATGGAGCTTGCTCCTAGGTGGACGGTGTTTAGCTAGATGCTGCATATCTGCTTTGTGACGTCCCTCGACAGAAACGAACCCTCGAACGGCATTGAAAAATATTGCTACCTGGAGAATCATCCTTCGACGGCTCAGTTGGTCAACATTGGTAATATTAGTAGCATCCATGGCCGTCTATTTTAATACCGACCATGACAAATACAAGTCATGCCGTAGTAATACACCCGGAAAGTGACCCGAAGTCGCATCGCAACGACCTGCCGCAGAAAATTGAGTATAGTGGAGTTCAACTGTAAAGAATAACACCACTTTAATGTAGTATAGTATTCGGCTGCTAGGAGCCGCGCAACTTCTATACGTAAGTCGAACTATATAGTTGGAATATCCGTGCCAATTCTTCCGAGGGCGAAATTCGGCCGGAGTCCGCGATTCTAAACAGCTGCCAAACGTGACTACGATGCCGTAACTCTGTGGTTCATATCGGTCCGGTGTTGATACAACCGCAGTGCATGGCGGCCGGACGAGGCGCCGTGGGGCTGTTGTTTCCCGTGTATGTAGGCGGGCAGGCAGGTAGGCAAGTTTGTCTGCAGCTGTTTTAATGAGACCCCAAGGTCGCTTGGAGACTACTACCAATTAAAAAAATACGGAAATAGAAGGTTCTTCGAGCGATCTAGGTACTCCATCGGAGCAACACATTGGCTTCCCTTTTATCCCCTTCCTCTAGAACACATAGAACACTTAACGTTGGTGATAGGGAGATGAATGGAACCAAAGAAAATCGGCAATCCCTAGCCCATCTGCATGTCATGACCATACACTGTGGTAGACGTTGTGGAACTGAGACGGTCCACCTGTTGTGCCCTCAGATTGCATGTATGAGACCAGAACGAGCAGGATCAACCGCTAAGTATACCACATGTGCAGTAACGGCACTGGAGAAGTAGTTGTGGATAACAGCCTCTCATATTGGGTGGTGACGTTGCCCAGAAGCGTATCAAAGCTCACCTATCTGCAGCTAAGTCTAGTTAGTCGGCTAACGCGTGCAGTTCATGAGCAATATGTATGCGTAGTAGGGTCTCGGCCGGCTGTAGTTGCAGCAAAGAGGAACGTTCCGTTGTTCCTAGCGCTGACGTTCTGTTCTGGCAGCCCTCTTGTCAGGAACCAAATGCTTGGTGGGAAGAACCTGTATACCCTGGTAATTGACCAGCAGGCCTGTCTCCTAGTTATTATTAAGATGTCGGCTTGTCGGGTTCGCCCACCTGCTTGCAGCCATAAGACTGTGTTGGAGGATGCATGTCGCTCGATCCGGAAGTAAGGCCCTGGCTCTTTCGCCCTCTCTACTTGTCTACGGCTTCTTCCCCTTCGCACAACACGACCAGATGAATTGTCCATTGACTTCTATACTATACAAGCTCTCTACGTAATTTAAGATCGGCGCTCCCGTCGTGCTAGGGTGACGACAGATCTTGTCTAAGAATCGAAGCTCGTAAAACCTGGAGCCGGGTCCCATGACAGGAAGCAGTGCAGCCTGCATGTTCTGTTAGCCAGCAGCTCACCACACCCCCGAGGGCTTTTCCTCTCGGTAGCGGGCCATCTATAAATTGCGCTCTGGGACATGGATTGCCGACGTATCTATGATGTGGCGCGGCCGAGAACATCAGATAAAGCATAGGAAGCAGGGTTAGCATGTTATCTTGCCGCATCGAAAGGTGAGCAAGATGAATTCATCGCAGCTTGCATGCAGGGTGTAGCGAGTCCCGGCTTGTTTTCATCAATTGTTATTATTGTTGCCATTATTATTATTTTTCCTTTTTTTTTTTTTTTCTTTATTTGGTCTTCCTTTTCTTCCCGTCAGATGACGATGCTTCCTGCATGCTCCGAAGAGGTGGTATCATCGTCATTTGTGACAGAATAGTATGTCAATGCTGCATTCTTATTCTGTCCTCTCTCTGTTCTCCGTCTTCCGTGTGTCGGTGTCAAAACTACCCCGCCTCGGGCATTATTATGAATTATTTACCTTAATGTTTTAGTCTTCACACGTAGTCAGGGTGGGCTAAAGTGAAATATTCCCGAAACGGGGATGCGGAACCAGAGAGTATTAAAAGAGAACAATATGTAGGATACGACACCCTCGACGAGCCGTCTTGCGGCTGATCCAGGCTTCTCAGCTGGTCTGTTGAGATGTTATCGAATGTGTTCCGGTTAGCAAGAGACCTCTCGGGTTGGCGATCGTCAACTCCCCAGGATTGATGATTGGCTCTCTTAGCATCGAGTCGTTTTTTATGGGTTGCGCGGCATTAAGCCGGATATCATCGACTCCCCAAGAACAGCTTTACTGGGTTGCTGGGATAGATGAAGGCTTGGCTTTTTGTAACGTCCTATAGCTCTGTCTACGTCGACACCAGAGGTTTTCATTAGTTTAAAGGTGTGACGGGCTTTTTCCCCCCAGGGATCAAAGCCAATCCGGCCAGTCCGGATAGATAGTTGGCACCGACTAGGCTCTAAATTTTGACATCGGAGAGTTCGTTATGCACCTCACCGGATTTATCCGATCTTCAACATCCGCAGGGCCTAGATTCTATTTCAAATTTCGATGACCGATCCACCCATGACATGAGTCGTGTTAGCTCGAGTAACTCCGGGAGTGAATATGGAAAACGAATTCCTCTGTGACCCAAGGCTGACGAAATATTCTGGCTGCCAAGATTTCACAGGGACATGATGGCTTGGCATGATTTCTCGACAATATAGAAAAGAGTAATATTGGAGATTGATGTACGCTTCCGTTTCCGTCTGAGTTACACACATAAGCAACGAAGGGTTTGGTAGAAAGCCATTGCGCATTGAGCCCGAGTGGGCACACATACTAAATAGTTATGCTTGGCTATGCCGATAGCTTACCTCATTGAAGGATTTCTTGAACGACCGGTTAGGGGCTTACATTGCGGCGCCGATGTTGTTTTTCGGCGGGCGCATCGTCGGCTCCGTCCTTCCGGGGATGTCTGTAAATAATCGGGTGAGCCAAGAATTCGAGGTTATGCTTGGCTCCCCATCGGTCTTTGCAAAGTGCGCCTCCGATTCATGATAGTTCCTTGTAGCCGCTCGAGGCAGCTCCCGCAAGGGATACTGGTGTCTCATACGCTGTCTAGGACGGAAAGACCATATATTTCCGTCCCACCGTGAGTAATAGTATCATTATATGTCTCCTACACGCAAGTATAAGGTCATTTTGGTCCACTCGTGAGACAAAGGCCGGTGTCGGGGATCCAACACCAGATGAGAAGCTGAACGGAATGAAATAAAAATGACCCTAATGAAACGATTATCCTGGAAACCGTAGCATCTTTAACATTATCATAATTACACATACGGTAGACCCGTAATTCCTTGTCCTGCGACGACTTCTGTCATGGCGTGATTGAGAGCGCGCATATACGTCGACGTAGGGGGTGAGGTATCGTATGCGAGGCAACCTTCCACCAAAATCTCGCGAATTCTGTGCCTAAGACATGCATTACGTTTCGAACTGGACAAGATAATCGAGCCGTGCGAAACGAGCGGAACGAATTAATACCTAGGATGCGCCAAAAAGCCGAGTAGGTTAGCTGCAGGAATGTTATGCTCATTCATCTTCTTGGTTTGAGAAAATGGTATTTCATTCGTGATAGGATCAATCGTATATTTCCTTGAAGCCATAATATGGGTTTCCCTTGGGAGTCGGATCGTTTAAAGGTATCTGGCGTTTAAAAAAATGCGCCACTTATCGTATGTGGCCTATGAATAACACCGGGCACGGAGAAAAACGAGCTGGAATAGTACTGCATGTGTATGTAGTTGGCTGAAATTGGGAGAATCCTATTTGCCACTATTAGTGGTGCTATGGCGGTGGGATGTTCAGGGAATATGCAGGATGCGACTTGCTTGTCGGGCCAAGAGAGAGACTACACACACCACCACCATCACATCGCAACGTTCACAACTAACAATTAGGTTATCTAGGTGTAGCCGCTTGATCTGGATTCATCGGTATGACCCGTGCTCGTTCTAGTAGATAAAGTCCCAGGCATGGGGCCACATTGTGTCATTGTCGAGGGTCCAGACGCTCGGACGGCATGGCTTGTCTCGAAGCAGATTTCAGACAGAGTCGTGCGCTGCTCCCGAATATATGGGTGTCGTACCACTGTGTGCACTGCCGCCTCAACAATTCCGTCCTACCAGCCTGGATAGCGGAGATGTCATACCCGAATTTGATGGAATAGTCTCTTCCGATTCGATAGTTCTTCCAAGCATACCGGGTATTCGTTAAGCTCCTAGCTTGGCTTGTCCGGAAGATATAGATAATCGTAGCGTCCTTGTGTGAAACAGAGGCGTTCGTTCGATAAGGAGCGAGATTTATTTTTATTCTCGAAACTTCGACTTACACTGTTATACCCCCTTATGATAATAAATATTTCCGTGCCGTAGAATTCCCCATAGCTTAGGATAATTCCATTGTCTGAATATCTTATCGGAGAAATCCAGAAGGAGACCGGCCGGTCAATGTACAAATGGTCTTTAGCGGCCAAGGGCACAAGTTTGAGGCTCGATAGCTGCAGCCACCCGCGAGAAACCGACCTCTAACCTGTCCAACTATGCTCGGCGGCAGGGAGTTTCAACTCAACCTCTGGTCGCCTAAAGAGATGTCCAGCGTAATCGATATGGATCGGGCGGCTAGCAACACACCCGCCGAAAGAAAAGCACATGGAAAAGATTGTCAACATCCCTATTTCATTTATCGTGAATTAATCGGGTGGTGTCGTTTCTAGCTTTGAAACCAAACGACTCTTGAAGATGGCAAGGTATGCGGATCGCATTGCATGACGGAGTTAGAAATGGCGGAAAAGTTTTGATTGCTCTCCTCTTTCTCAGGGCGTCATATGTTCCGAATTATGTCGGTGGGATTACTATGTCTCTTGTGTCACGAGACACGACGCATGCTCCGGTGCCGTTCTTCGGAGGGTCCTTGGAGGCTTGGACAAGTAGTTAGTTAACCCGTCGGTCACATGTTGGCTTAGATCGCTTTAGAGAGCGGATCCCAAGACCGAAACGGTACCTAGGTAGGTAATAATTGCATGATCTTCTTAATGAGCCTCGATGCGGCGGCAAGGGGAGACGACCCGGATACAAAGCCATGTGTCCACTCAGGCTGAAGTTTCCCTACGGACATCGCCAACTTACAAGTTCCTACGAGGTAGATCGTCCTAAAATAGATACTAAGGGAGTTGTGTTCGGCCTTGGCACCGCTTCTTTACGACGGTGAGTTTGTTCACGTGGTATGTTATTTATGTATAGGCGAAATTTTCCTATGATGGAGGCTCGAAGCCTTTTACTCCTATTGGATTTCTGCAAGATGTCCGTGATCAATTATAAATAGCGGTAGCAGTGGCGTAGAAGCCGCCGGTACAAGGGTGGGTACCTATTCAATCTGGTCCCATCGCATTCTGCGGACTGCGGACTTGAAGACATGGATCTTAGGGGTTTACCAAGTTGCTTTTTGAGGGTTCGTATGGATTAGGTAGGTAGGTACATATAAGTAGTTAATTTTCGAGTAACAAATTCTCTCTCTGCCTACCTCAAGTGCTCCTACCTGCAGCGCGAGTGGATAAGTACCGTCACTTTTAGAGCTAAGCTCATCATTATGACGATGTCGCCGGTAGACGAGTCTGGCCTTCGGGCCAGAGGTTGGATGGCACCGATTATCACGGCCCAATTCGCCTCGAATTGACACCAGTATTGGGGGGGCTTGCGACTGAAAGAAACAAACTAGAAACCATATAAGAAAAAACGATATAACCTCTTAGCAGTGTTCATTAAGCATCTTCGTATGTAGTAAGAATTGTACCGAATAATCGTGAACTGATCGGGGAATCCTGCTGAACAATTTCCCATGCAGACAATGCAATTCTTTTGCCATGAAGGAAAAAAAAAAAAAGGACACAACTGGGTGATTTGCAGCTGGGTACGGGGTGTGTGACAAGGCACATACATACTACATACATTGGGTACTACCCTTAAATGTACATCCGTATAAGACATGTTGGAGAATCTCAATCTCTTTCCATGTTACGTATGTACTATGCAGCATGTAGGATGTATGTATAGGTATGTACTAGGTATTCGATTGATGTTGTGTAGGTGTCTAGGTACGTAAGTACGTAGGCATCAGGCGTGGTATGTAAGTAAGAGGAAGAATAAAAATAAGAATAATGTATTGATGAATTTGAATTTAAACACGTACATATTTTATGTATTGATCAAGAAGACAAGGGGGAGACTAGACGGGGTCTAAGGTGGCTAAGGTTAGAATAGGGTACCCCCCCCTATGACGCCGGTGGTTAATTGACTCGTCGGCTACCTCCAGGAAAACGGAGTCGTCTTCCGCACAATTCAACTTTCAAAAGTTTGTGGGCTAGCGTGTGTAAATTGAAGGTCTCATGACCTTCTTCTTGTAAGGGTATCCAAGGGTAACCAGAGCAAGAGTTCCACCCTAGTTCATCGAATCCGCTTCTTGTCGTGTGTCTTCTTGCATGTCTACTTTTATTCATATTTCCCCTTCCCCACCCAAGACATTAAGATAGAACGTAGGGAAATGTATGTAGGTAGTAGTCGTATGTACTGTATGTATGTAAATAAATACGTACACATACTACTGCTTCTTCGTAAGTGCGACATGTGCGTTGCAGACCCGTTCGACCAGTTCAAGAACTTGGTTGGTCTTGTTCCTGGCGGCGTCCATCAACTGGTGGCATCGAAGGAAAAAAAAAAGGGGTCTTCAATTCGATAAAGGAAAAGAAAAGAAAAAATACAGCTCACCCGACTCGCACATCTATTAACCTATCGTCTGCTATGACCAGTTGTTCATCGCATCGTGACCAACCATTTTGTATTCGGCGCGAGAGACAGGAAGAGGAGCTTGGATCGCGGCACAGTCCGGCTCCAGCAGGCTAAGTATGTAGGTAAGCTTTAATGGTGAACGATGGTCCGTGGATGCCAACAGTTGGAACGATGCATGTGGAGCGGACGGATCAATTGGCCGGCACTAATGAAAACAGAAAAGAGCTTCTGGGTTCTGACGTTGTCTCGCAGCAAAGAGTCTCATGATGTATTGGGCTATGCGCAGGGATTCGCCTGTTCGTCCAACGGGGGGGCTTGATAATACCTATGTAAGTCGATACTGCTTGCAGGGCAGGGCAGGGCATGGCAGGGCAAAGACGAGGCAAGACAAAATAATACAAGACAATCGAGACAGGACAAGGATAGCGTGGGCTTCATCATGTTCAAGCGAGGTCAATTCGATTTTCATTTGAAATAGAAATCTAGCCGAAGGGAACTAGAAATATGAATTGGCAGACAAATGCCATACGTATTCTTGAAAGGATTGAATTGAAGAATATGTATGTAGTTATGTGTATGTTTCCCGACTTGGATTTTCTATCCTTCCAGGGTGTATTCTAAAAAAGATGGGTAGGGCACGGGGTTTTACGTGGGAGCCAACCCCAAGATGGTTCAAGTGCGGGGCATTAGGAAATACAAAAAGCTGGGAAACCAAGGAATCTGTGGGAGAGATCCAGGGAAAAAAAGGGGACGGGGGTACGTGAGGCGGGGGGGGGGGAAGGAGAGGATCTCTTTGGAAAAGTAAAAAAAGCCCACGTTACCCTCCTTACCTACTACTACCTACCTGTCTACTGCCTATTGCCTACCTACATATATATAACACCTTAGGTATATGTATACGGTATACCTGACTATACCTGACTGTTGGTAGGTAAGGTAACAATATTATACCTTGCTTTCGTACATTCGGGAGAAGTCGAAATGCTTGGTCAAGTATATTTCCGACTCTGACTTATGAAGCTATCTTGTCTAACATGATGAGAGAAGAAGAGAGAAAGAAAGAAAAAAGCTCTACGCCCGAGTTACACAATGGATGGATCATGTGCTACGTCGGCGGTTGTTTAATGATCAGTATGACTGTTAGCTTGACAATCTATACATCGCACGAATCCATCCACGGGCGTCGAAGAGCAAGAAATGTATGGTTATGAAGAAGCCATGCAGTAGGTTATGTACTCAAGTCGTGGTTCGTATGCATCGTCATTCTCGATAGGGATATATGTACTTACCTACTTACTTACCTACATACCTAGGTAGTCATGGTGGGCCTCCGATATTATTACTTCTATCGTACTACGTACACAAGGTACATAAGCAGACCATGTGACAATACAATACCGCTGGATATCCAGATCGCCGGACCCTCTCTCAATAGCCCGTGTTTTCGGGGCGCGGCGCCTACATTCGGTACCTCGTACAGTACAGTGTTCATTTCAAGGCCTATCCATGATTAATAAGAAGCAGCTGGCTGGTTGAGAGAAGCTGGTTCAAGGGGTCGGTCCCCATCTTCGACCTTGCAGATTCGATATTCTGTTTTTCCCATCTTTTTTTCCCCCTTTCCCTTTGACTTGACTTTGGTTGCCGAGTCTTATTTAGCGCCCTAGTTGTCCGTCTTTCAGTCTGAACAGACCACATGAGCAAGCCCCAATTTTATGACCCCTGGCTTTGCATACATACACGCTCTGGTGTAAGTCTGCCAAGGATGGGATGGATGAATGATGTTCAGTTTGGTACCTATGCATGTACGTATGTAGTTATGTAGGTACCAATATCTGGAGCTCCCTAGATAAATTGTAGGGGTGTACTTTTCCCCAGCGAAGGAAAAAAAAATAAGCATCTCCCCCAAGCTTTTGGTGCGTATAGGACGTTGCGAAGGAACCTTAAATTTTTCTTTTCTCTTTAATTCGTCATTTGCTAGATGTTGGGTCTAGACTTGACGATAAAGCAAGCTCTTCGAAAAGAGAAGCTAGCTAGCTGCACGCTCACGCGCCCAGGGGAGTGGGAGCAAGGGGGGGACGTATAATTGAATCCATTCTACGTAGTAACGTATTTGCCTCTTTCATACGACTAGCAAATCGAAAGGAACCGGCCAATGCCTAATGGTTAGGTAGGTAGGTAGGTGGTATATGATGATTTGAGAATCTGGCTGCAGATAGCTACCTGATGAGAAATGGTCCCATTTGCTTCAAAACTATACGTAGCATAGCTTAGAGGAATTGTTTCTATGAATATATTACCCATCAGTATGTAGGTAGATATTTACAGCAGCTCAATACCTACCCTGGCAGGTTGAGAGGGACTAGGTGTGTCTGTATGCACCAGCATCCCTCAACAAGAAAGATGAGCGTGCGAAGCCTCAACCAACGGGTTTTTCTTTGACAAATATATTTCGTATTTGGTATTAGTTGATTCTGCCCTATTCTCTTTTTTTCTCTTTTTCCCGTGAAGCTATCGCGAATATGATAAATGTGATGGGGACGTTGAGCTAAGAAGTTCAAATTAGATCATCCCGTCCGAATCCGAATAATTGGATTCAACACGATGTATCCAAGATAACTGTCCTGTCAGGTTGCAGTTTGCTCTTAGGACAAAAACTAGGCCATCGAACCATAGGGTACCTACATGGACTAATAACGTTTAATATTATACACTACATTAGTTCGTTGATTCGTCAGGCTACATGTACTGTACCTTAGGTAGGTACCTAAGTACCTGGCCCTGCCTAACTGAACTGACTGATGGCAGGTCCTGCGGCCTACCTCGAAAAGGCCAATGATTGTCTAGAATGACCCAAACCTGCGCGGCGATTTCCCATTTCTTTTATTTGTAACTTGCACTCGCACTTGCACTTCTTACCCTCAAATTCTTAGCATCAAATGGGAATTGAACTAGGCTAGTGGGGAGTAGGTAGGTCTGGTACATATGTACATCCACATCCACATCCACATATAGAGGTTATGCGTTATGTACAAGAGACTATGTACCTATAGGCGCATAACCAGACGTATGTATATACATAGGTAGATAAAAGTATGCATGTACCTAGGTATTTTCTTACCACTAGCCCATAACCGACTGCGGCCGTCGACGTGCGTCCCTCCTCTCAATGCTACATAATACGTACCTGAGTTAGGTGCGAGGTGCGAAGTAGATGTCCAAAAAGTTCAAATTCGAAAAGTACCTAAGTACCCAGGTACCTACCCTCTTCGACTTTCCCTCCAGTTTTCAACCCCTCCTCTCGCTTTTAGCTGGGTCGTTCAAACACAACCATCTCCCACCTTCTACCTATCTACCTTACCTACCACCTTACATACCTCTCTCTACGTATTTTCTTTCCCTTTCCCAACGTCCCTCCCACGTTTCTGTTCATTGCCACTTACCCAAGTGCATATGTGTAAGTTATCTCTTGTATTGTCTTTCGCAATAACTGGTCGCCGTCAATTTGACGCTGTCTGGTTACTTATGCAACACTTCTTTCTTACGGCCAACTAATAATTGCGGCGCCACAGCAATCGTCAAATCCGAGTCCTCTCTTAGGTCGTCATCCCACAAGGTGAGTCCACTTGTCGCCGGTATACACAATACCTACCAGCCTACCTACCAACCTACCTACCTGCCTGCTTCATTTTTTTTTCCCTTTCCCTCTTTGGCAGAGAGTCCTTTCCCGCCACGTTCATTACCTTGGATCAATCAGTACCTTACCAACCCACTGCCTTACTGCCTTAACGGAATATACATTCTTCCTATCTGCCTGGTTATCTACAACCCTACGTACATTCACACCTACGAATACGTGCAAACATACAAACGTCTTAAAAGCACCTGCCTTGGCCTTTTTTCCTTTCCCCTTCGCAAACTTGTCCAGTATAGACCCTACTTCCCACTTAGAGGTATGTACCTGGGGTAGCTCGACGGGACTACCTAACTGTACTTTCGCTGCAGTGGACACCTAAAAGTTTCTTTCAAGTCACGTTCCGTCATTCGACCACCTGCAACCCCGCCAGAATCCCTACCTACATAACCTCCGCCCTCTCGCGATACTAGACCCTTTCTGTTCTTGAGAATTTACATAGATCCTAGATAGTAGCATCATCTTAGGGAATTTTTTTCTTTCATTCTCTAAGCGAACAGTCGAACGTCTTCCCCATTACTCGACCAGTCCAACATATACCTGTTCGACCTTGATCACACTTGTACTGCACCGACCGGCACTTCAATTCGGCGTCGCCTCCTCCTCCACCCGGTCGAGAGAGATTGACCCACTATCTCGTCACCTGTCAATTGCGATCGAGACGCAACCCGACCCAATTGCTTATTGATCTGTTGCCCAACACGGCGTCCCGAACCGCGCCTGAACCACCTCCCGTCTCTTCTTGCTGACGCTTAAGAGACGTTCTGGATTGTACTATTTTGCGACTGAGACCGACCCGCCTTCCAACATGGCGCAGAACCGCCCAACAGCGGCCTTCAACACCCTCCGCATGGGAGGTAAGTTACGGCGTCCAGTTTTTATCCATCTGCTTTGATGCAAATGTTGAGTCGTACTGACGTAGAAGGCAGAGGTTATTCGTGAAAAGGTACAGGATGGAGTAACGGGTGAAACGAGAGATCTACAATATACGCAATGCAAAATCGTCGGTAATGGTTCCTTTGGTGTCGTCTTCCAGACGAAGCTTTCGCCGTCGGGTGAAGATGCGGCAATCAAGCGTGTGCTTCAGGACAAGAGGTTCAAGGTATGCCCCATTACTAAAAATTCGGATAGACACTGTGCCTGTTTGCTAATGATCGGTTGCAGAATCGTGAACTCCAAATTATGCGCATCGTTCGACATCCCAACATCGTGCAGTTGAAGGCCTTTTATTACTCCAACGGGGAACGAGTGAGTGTAAAAATCAACCTGGACCCCGCATAGCAACTAACCAAAATGTATTATTAGAAGGATGAGGTTTACCTCAACCTGGTACAAGAATTTGTACCCGAGACCGTCTACCGAGCCTCGCGTTTCTTCAACAAAATGAAGTCGACTATGCCGACTCTTGAAGTTAAACTTTACATCTATCAACTTTTTCGTGCCCTCGCCTACATCCACTCCCAAGGTATCTGCCATCGCGATATCAAGCCGCAGAACCTTCTCCTCGACCCTAACACAGGTGTGCTGAAGTTGTGTGACTTTGGAAGCGCAAAGATCTTGGTCGAAAACGAGCCCAATGTCTCGTATATTTGCTCCAGATACTACCGAGCTCCCGAGCTCATCTTTGGTGCTACTAATTATACCACAAAAATTGGTAAGTTGATGTTGTCTTGGAAATTGAAGAATGGTGTCTGATGCAAAGTATAGATGTCTGGTCGACGGGTTGTGTTATGGCTGAATTAATGCTGGGCCAACCTCTTTTCCCCGGAGAATCCGGTATCGACCAGTTGGTAGAGATTATTAAGGTGCTAGGAACTCCAACCCGCGAGCAGATTCGTACTATGAATCCGAACTACATGGAGCATAAATTCCCGCAAATCAAGCCTCACCCGTTCAGTAAGGTGTTCCGGAGGGCAGATGCAAACGCTCTGGATTTGATAGCGAGGTTGCTGGAATACACCCCAACGGAACGCCTCGGGGCTATCGACGCGATGGTGCACCCTTTCTTCGATGAGCTACGGGACCCTAGCACTAAGCTTCCGGATTCACGGCATGCAAGCGGTCAATTACGGGATTTGCCTAACCTGTTCGACTTCTCGAGGCATGGTAAGTCGACCCTATTTCGCATTCCACTGTTGTATAATCACTAACGATTCAGAATTATCTATTGCACCACAAATGAACCCTAAGCTTGTTCCTCCTCATATCAAGCCCGTCTTGGCATCTCGCGGTCTTGATATAGATAACTTCACGCCTTTGACAAAACAAGAAATGATGGCTAAGTTAGACTGAATTTCGGTCTCTACTTATGCTCTCGTTTCACATATTTATGCATCATCGCCCGGGATTTCGCTACAGCATTCACTCACTGGCTGAGCCTATAAATGGCTCGAATTTAATCGGATCGATGTTCAAAAGAACTATCGAACCGGAAACGGCGACTTCTCACAACCCCGGCATGCTTTTAAGTGGTAAAGCATGATGAAATCCAGGGACAATCCAATGTAAAGTTCGAAAGGCTGGGTTCTCCAGAAATATGGCGTGCTGTGGAATTTTCCGGGGTGCCGGAAAGGCTTTCGGGAAGGCCACTTGTTTTAACTGTGGTATTCCCTATTGCTGCGGCAGCAAGCGGCGGACAATCGTCTCAACATCCAGGAGTATTGACTGGAAGTGGCACGCACCGGGCGTTCTTAGACTTTCTCCTATGCATGGCCAAGATGGCATTTGCTTTTATTTATCTTGTTCGATAAGTCGCTTCTGTCCTTGTGGTGGGGGGTGACCACAAGGAGGCTGGATCCCCTTGCGTGGTCTTCCAAGATATTCCCTACACATGTTAAAGGGGGATAACAACGGCGTATATGTTATTCTATGAATAGTGGGTGCGTGGGGAGTGGTAGCACGGGTGAGATGGGATATGATGTTGAGACTGGCAAGCTTCCCGGTCCAAACAGCAAGTGATACTGGGAAACTGGACAAGTTTATGGAAACTCGGCATGACTTCTAAAAAAATTTCTTTTTTTCTTCTCATTTCTTCCCTCGAAAGACGGGCCCGTACGTGCGTCAAGAAGTGGGAAGACGGTTAACTTAAAAAAAAAAGGAGGACCGGGTTTTCTGCTCATACATCAAGGGAAAGAAGGCTGTCTCAATTACAGCGTACAGTGACGAAGACGAAATCACTCGGCCTATGAGAAAGATGGGATGTCACCTCTTCCTAGGATCGTTGATGTGTAATAATGTGCTGATGATTGTGATGCCATGAATTCTAAAATTATTTTATCGTAGCAAATGCTTCGGCTTTGACCTTGTCCTGTAAACTATTCTTATACGCGGTTCCGCATTACACTCTTGTCGAAGATAAACCAGCTGAGATTTCAGAATCCCAACATGGGGATAACGTCATTGGGGGTGGAATATATTTCAAGAGCTTTGCTGTAATAGGTCAATCGGCGTACCTACTGCACCTAGCTCTTCCTAGCTAAATCTTTCAAAAGTTATAACGTAGTAAAACACCAGGCAACATTACGCACGATTTGTTGGGCATTGTGTATGTTCAGGTTTTGCTTTGAGAGTCGTGTAACTTCTATAAAGGTTGATATAAACCCTGGAGATCTTGGATTCAATGTAGTTATACGTACGGTACACATAAGTACTTAGATACATTGACCTACAACATTGAACATGAACGTAGATATTAAATGTGGGTACCTGCCTATGTACATAATGTACCTAGGTAGGTACCTTCCTTCACCTTACCTAAATGGTTAATAAGATAGGTAAGGACCGTGCTTCCCTTTTTGCGCGTTGCGTGTATGGTCACGTCTTGTCGCACCTTTAAACTCCTACCTAAAGTTAGTTTATAGGCGACAGCTTCAACCAACATCATTTTATCGACAACCAATTCTTACGAATCCTTCTCTCTAGCAAGAAGACTAGCCCTTCTGTCGATAAAAAGGATGGCGGATCATGATCGCGGACGACCCGGTGGCGGTTATAATAATCGCAAAAGGCGTTATAGAGGTATGAACGCACCTAGCCTCGCATCTATCTCTCAATCCATCTTCTCAAGGATTTGTTGCTGATACCATTCCTAGATGACGATGAATACGACCGTCGACCACAACGCCGACGTTACGATGCGCCGCTCCCCGTTCGCATACGAAAGCAACTCCTTGGTCTAGCCGAGTCTCCTCTACGGCGTTGGCACGAAGAGGTGCAATCTATCGCCCATGTTGTCGCCGACAATTACGAAGACCAGGAGCTTCGCACAAGCTTTCTGGAGCTAGTACCACAGATGGTGGTTGAGCAGCCACTAAAGACTCCCTTCGTAGCAGCTGTAATACTCGTTGTCAACTCCCTCAAACCCGACATCCTTGCCGACTTGCTTGCTAGGGTCGCAAGTGCGACAGAAGAGAAGGTCAAAGTGGGTGAATGGCGAGATGTGAAGCTATATCTCAAATTTCTGGCATGCCTACAAAGCGCCCTTGACGGTGAAGGCTTGTTTCCATTGCTTGAAGAACTCTTTAGCCGAGCTGTGGACCTCCAGACTGCTAGCTCCGACGACGTAAGCACAAAAATATTGCTTCTACTTTTCATATCCAATTTATGCTAACTTGCAATCGCAGACAATTGGAACGGAGCTTGTCAAAATAATCCTACTGACAATACCATATATCATGGTCGCTGCGCCTGTTCAATGGCAGCAGAAGGCAGCCGAGCTTATGGATAAGACAGACGTCATCGCTTCCGAACCACACGCGTTGCAAGTCCTCATCGACCCGTACCACGCCGAGGAAGGATCAGAGAGTCCAACCGCGAACATGAGCGTAATTGGACTCCTGCAAAAGCAGCTTCAAATCGAAGCACTAAACGGCTGGGAGCTCTCTTGCTTGCCAAGACCATGGCAAATGCCCCCCGAGGAGATCGAACAACAAGAAAAGCTAGACAGCGCACAAAAGCACGCCTTGCCGAATATATCCATTCCAGAGAAGGTTGTAACTGGACCTCGGCCACTATTTCCTGAGGTCTATTTCTCGGTCTACGTTAATCAGGAGATCGAATCCGTCCCACCCGTAAGCAGTATTGCGTCATCCCTGATTCGAGACGGGCTACTCGATACCATTAACATCTTAGACTTTAATCGCGGCATCACAGCTCGGTTCCTCATAGATGTGGATTGTTATTTCGCTCCCGGTACATTCGTCAAGCGTGCAACACCATTTGATCGACTCCGAGACGTAGAGGGGGACCGCTCAACATGGAAACCAGAGGACGTCGCCGTTGACGCTGTCTTTTCACAGCTTTTTGCACTTCCGACTCCAGAGCACAAGTTTGTTTACTATCACTCCGTCCTCACGGAGGCCTGCAAGATCGCTCCCGCAGCAGTAGCACCTAGCTTAGGTCGAGCTATCCGATATTCATACCAAAATACTCACCGTCTAGATGTAGAGTTATGTTACCGATTCTTGGACTGGTTCACCCACCATCTCAGCAATTTCGGCTTCATGTGGAAGTGGATTGAGTGGGTGGACGATGTCAATCTTCCAAATATGCACCCGCGTAAAGCATTTATCTTAGGTGCTCTGGATAAAGAGATCCGTCTTAGTTTTGCTCAGCGCATAAAGGGAACGCTCCCCGAGCCTTATCAAGCGCTCATCGGGCCTGAGAAAGAGGAGGACACCCCAGAGTTTAAATACAAAGACGATCGTAAGCGAAAATTTATCGAACGGCACATGGAAGCGGCTAATAATTAATTCAGGTATACCTTTTGCTGCAGAAGGCAGAGAGATTGCTTCTCTTCTCAAGCGCAAGGCTCCAGACGAGGAGATCCAGCCCATCATTGACCGAATTCACTCTGCCGCCCTCGATCAATCCATCGATCCTCTCGTTTCCAGTACCGATGTCTTTATGACCGCAGTATGTTGGGTTGGCTCCAAGTCTCTCTCGCACGTGCTTGCTTGCATTGAGCGTACTAAGGATAGGCTTCTTGATGCTGGTGCGGCTTCCGAGGCTGCCAGGGCGCAAATCATCACTGCGGTCGTAACATACTGGTCGGCACATCCAGGAGTCGCTATTACTATTGTCGAGAAACTTCTCAACTACTCGATCATTACCCCTGGAGCTGTCATTGATTGGGCGCTAGTCGGCGATCGCGCTGGTCCGTACGGCCAGGCTCTTAGTAAAGCTTGGGTTTTCGAGCTTGTCTTTAACACTGTAGTCAAGGTGACTACTCGTCTAAGACAAGTCGTTAGTAGCGGGGCGAGTGAAGGTACCGAGGACGAAGTCGCCGGTATGCGTGAGCTCTTCAAAAGCATGGAAGATGCCTTAGTCAGCTGGGCACAGGGCACCAAGGACCAGATCATGGACCCTGTAGTATCCGATGGTGGGGAAGATCTAGTAAAACGTTGGGGCGAGAGGTGGCTCCGAGTCTTCAGACGAAGATCCGCCATTGAGGAGACATTCCTGCTTGAAAACGGGGCCACCTCCTAAACACAAATTGTAAGATATGCGGGTTGAGGTGTCGTCACATTGGCGTTGGCAAAAAAAGGGTCTACGGACTTAATACTGCGGTATAAAAGGGTTCTTGCTATCATACTGGGCATTGTATCAAATAGACTAGTTAATCCAGGCATTGATCTACTTAACCCAATAGCAGCTATATCAAATACAGATATATGTACATGTTCCATTAGCTGGGAACGAAGATTCATCCTGAGTGCAATTCGGAATATATATACAGCAAGGCGGCATTATAGTAATAGAGGCATGTAGGCCACAGCTACAGGCTGCGGGTGGGAATTGCTAGTGTTCTAACTCGTCCACTGAGGTAGATAAAATTTCATATTTTCGTATACCAGGAACGTGACCCAGGTCGCGGGTAGAACCCTCACCACTCCTGGTATGATGCCACGGTAGAAACCGAGCCACCCTTCTTCTCTCCACGTCCTCCTTGCGACCCCCTGGATCCCCCGGCCGAACCGCGCATCGGCGTCATAGTTCTGCAAGCGGCTGCGGATCACCTGGTATGGATACGTGACAGCTCCAGCGACGAGCTTGGCAACACTAGAAATAACAAGCGTAGCCTCGGTGCTCATCTTTTGCTCTCGGTGGCCGGGCGACCGTCTCGCGAAATACAACCGCTTCACTGGGTCATACACGGCGAATTGCACCGCTCCATGCGCGACTCCGAGAAGACTAATGCCGAGACCCCGGTAGAATCCCCGCCACCCTTCGTTACGCAGCAGGTGCGCAGCGCCGGATAACATACTCGGATATGCACCAACGGCGCCCCGGTCGGAGGAGAGCATACGCGTTTTCATGACCCAGATTGGGTTGGTGAGAACCTGCGTGCAGATCCCGGCTGCGCCGGAGGCGAGGAAGTAGTCTTGCGGCGTGAGTGATGTCGTGGTGGAAGGTGAGCTTTTTAGAGCGAGGAGAGCCCGCTCGGCGCGCGCTTTGAAGAAGAAGAAGGACGCCCAGCTCGAGGCATTGCCAAGGAGATTCGGCGTTAGACCCCGGTAGAGAGAGGCGATGGGGTGGGGTGTCTGGGTCAAAGTGCGGATTAATGACATGGTGGTTAGAGGTTGTTGAGATGTTGCCGCGCCATGTTGGTGAACTGAAGGACTATTAGTATGTGTCTATATGAGGTAGTAATGCGACGGGGAAATATCTCACTCTGCATCCGAGTCTTGACAATGTCGAGGGGGTGGACGACGAGGGTTGCTATGGATCCAGCGGACAGACCGGCGATGGTCTCGACGGATGCGGGAGAAAGGCCTGCATGATTATGTGTCATAGAGATGAATGATTATAGAAATAGTTACATTCTGAGGCTTTAGATATACTAAATACCATTATATTTTGTTATATATATCTTGTAAGGTGAAGAAGGTAAGATGGAATGATTACCTAATATTATGAAGCTATCAAATTCGAATTCGATTAAATTTCATTATCACTATCATTATCTAGCAGTGACCTCATTGAAGCTTCGGAGTTCGGACCGCAAATAACCGAAATTTCTCAGTCGCGCTATATAAAACTACCCCTTTGGGTTATACATCATTATTTACCTACCTAGGTACTTACATTTAGTTATATGATACGTACCCTATACAACAAACCCAACTATAACCCATAACATCACTCATACATCTCAGACCTGCAAACCTTCTCATACACATCAACAATTTGGGTTACACATCAGGATATTTTATCTCTTTCGCCTAGAAGGGAAACTCCCCTGTTCTCATCAATATTCCTTATCTTCTCTGCAAAGAATTTTAGTACCATGTCTACCATAGCAGAAACGACTCCGGTCCAAGTCGAAACTGATGTCCCAAAGATACCCATTGTGGTTGAGTTCACGTAAGTATTTCACATTCCCCAACACTTCATTATTAAGCTTGTTGGGTCTTAAGGCTACTTGGACTACCTTGGACCGACGTTATAAAGATCCAACACATCGTGCATTCCTCCTAACCGTGGTCTAGAGGCGGCCTTGAAATGCTATTTTCAGACCAGCGTCGCCATTCATTATTCATACCAGCCGCAACCAAGGAAGGTAAGCCGGTAACTATTGCTGGCCTGATCGACCATCTATGCGAACATACTATGAAAGATACACGGAAGGAATTATTCGTCCTGGAAGATCATCTGTACGTTATTACCGCCCTCTCTCATGCCCTATTCTCCCCGACCATGTCGACTTCTCATAGAATCTATACCGTTTTATTCCGGCTGCCGTTGTTACACTATGCATTTTATACCCATAAAGATGCATGATAACCCATAGGTAAGCAGGCTAACACAACAACCCAGGCGACCTGGCATCCTTGTCCTGATCAACGATGCAGATTGGGAACTAGAAGGCGAAGAGGCTTATGAAATCCAGGCAGGGGACAACATCCTATTCGTTTCTACGCTACACGGCGGGTAATACCGCTTCTCTGTGCTAGACGCCCGCATTACACCGCTATTCAGAAGCTGAAAGGCCTAGTTGCATTCGTCATAGCTGCATCACCCTCAGAGACAGAGCGAGATGTCTATAGCAACATGGTGGATTCCAACTCGAACAGGCCAAGTGATTTGACATCTACGACTGACTTACCTACCTTAGTTTTTGTCAACGACTACTACGTACATCATTTCCCTACCCCGCCTTTATGCATGTGAATCACCGCCAATCACTTCCAACCGGGTCATATCCCGTTGTTGTGAAATGGCAGACGAATATGCGGGTAACTCGGTTGACCTGTCAAGCTGCTGCAATGCCTCCCACGATCGGTGTCTTCCAGTAAACAGAAATTGACCCGGAGCCGTGGCCTGTCGTCGTAATAATCCAGATCTGTCATTTTCTACAAGCCCGAGCGTTCGTCCGAAGCTGCTTATGTTGATCATCCGCTGTTTCGGGACATATAATCCGTACCCTAGTCAATATCTTAACAAAACGACGCGGAACTTCGTGATGTATGATCCTTCGCGATAGCAACAGAAACGAGAAATGAGCACAGTGAGTTTAGACTGAAAAGAACAAGGTTGGCGGTGAAGATCGTAGAAGTTTACAGGTCTCGAACCTGGTAACCGGCAAAATTTCAATGTTTATTTTGGCTCTTCTTATTCGTTAGTCTGTAGAGGGCCGTCCCAAAGGAGCTCTCTGCAGCACGAACGGGCAAGGGACCCAGAGTGATAGGGACCTTTTCGCGAAAAACAAGCGTGGGATTACTCGATAGAATTTGAGATCCTAACTTATCAAATCAGCCGCTTGGATAGCGAGGAATCCATTGATAACGGAACGTGTGGCAGCTTGGTCACCCCCAGGAGCAGCATAGCTGTAACCACTAGGAACCATTCCTACACTGAGGTTATGAGGCATTTGTCTGTTCCCTCAGGGCTTCGCGTCATGGATCGACATTAATCGCCATAACTAATTTACATGTCGCCCTGACTAAGAGGCCATCGTGAACAAGTGTACGTACGGTACATGTTGGCTAGCCTCGTGGCGAAAAAATTGAGGCATCCCCCCTGTCTACCTGTACACATCGCACGCCCAGGGCTTGCAGAGCTAGCAATCAGGATTACAGGATGCATGTATACCTTTTAATATCAATGGAGACTACCCAAGCCTAAAGCATAAACTTCTGTTTGAGGAAATGCGGGTAGCTGCCGCAGTCAGTACTAACACGACACCGCTCCGTTCATATCAAACGAAAAAAGACAAGGAATATACACCTCGAACATAACACAGTGAAACCAATCAATCATGCCAAAGGAAAATAATAATATCTTTCGAGGCTATGATACTACCCGAAACCTCCTATCTTCCGTAATAGCCGAAATAGTTACAAATCTGTTCAAACAAAAACAGAAAGAAGACCTGGTGAAAGAAATTAGACCCGATAAGTGACTTAACTCCGCCCCGTTTGCACCCCCTGAAGGTCTAGTAACCTTTGATGCAAGAATCTGGTATCTCCCCCGATGGTAGTATGCAAAAAGGTGATATTTCCCAACCCAGGTCCTTGGGTTTTTTGTTTCTCGATGCGCCGCAGATGTTCTCTGCCTGATTGGTAAAGCAAGTGTAAGGGGCCGCCCACTACCGATGCGTGTTGTCCACCAGATTATGTATATATTCCCATGTTCCAACCCACCAACCAACCCCCCTTACCTTAGTCACTTCTCTATTCCCTAGTGTCTGGGTGCGAGATTGTAGATGAGATTTAGATGTAGATATAGATAGCCGAACCAAGATCGAGTGTAACGCGCCGATGAAACCTGATAAACAAGATAGTAACCCTCTCGGGGAGAAAAATTACAACTGGTGGAGGGGCCAAAAGGAAAAAAAGAAACAGCGAAATTTAAGAGGAAATGTAACATCTGCTGGATCTGCGATAGAGGGAATCATGCGATAAGGACAGAAACCAAACTTCCCAAGTGTGAAGTTGGTGAACGATATCCTCCAATGGCTTTGGCGTAGGAATCTGCTCCTCGGCCAATTACTAGTACCGTCATTACGTAGGATTCTGTTGATATGTTTTGCTTTTTTTTGTTCATGTACTGCCGACCCTCCTGATTTTAGTATAAGGAAAGGAAAGTCGAGCGAGAGAATCAGATCACCTCCCTTCTTACGTTATTAACAATGTGTGGTATCTTGAACTCGAAGAAGAAGACCGCCCAAAAATTTGCTTTTGATGCGCACACGAATGTATTGATCTGAGTGTTGCGCTCCTCCCATTGGAATCTCCACAAGTTCGTCATGCCTTGGTGTTATTTGTACTGGTCGTTACGGTCGTAAGTGCTTTCGAAGATCTAAGAATCTATGTAGCAGAGAATGGCGGAATCTTAAAACATCCGGTGCTGAGGAAATGCGCGGCCATACTCGTCCTCGTAGACGGAGCTCGGGCTATTGGACGCGGTAGCAGTTTCGCTTGAGGCAATACTCGACTGGTCCATCTCATATGATCCGTATGGGGTATGCTGGTCGCGGGTCATCGCGATAGTACCCCTGGGACCCGTCCGCGACATGGCGTAGTCGGCGAAGTTCTCGGGAATTGGTAGTCCATGTTGCTGAGGAATATGCGTCTGGTATGCCTGGTGTTGGACAAGCGGTAACGGAGGAGCGACGGGGTATTGACGTGTATTGTTGATTCCGACCGGACCGTGGCCTTTGGGAGCGACTTTGCGGTTGAGGCCTCGACCTTTAATGCCCTTGTTGCTATTCTTGTAAAGTTCTGCGAAGTGCTTGAACAATCTCTGCTCTTCGGCGCAGAGTTCCTCGCCGACACCTAAATTCTTGAACTTCGTTGTCAACTCCTTAATTGTATCCTTGTGGAATGTGTTGTGATGGTTCTATATGCAATGATTAGCAACCTTTCTATGTCACCCTTTAGATGACGGGAGGATCTTGTGTTTACAAACCTTAAGGTTGCCCCTTTGGCTAAACGTCTTCGTACAGCCATCGAGAATACAGTGGAAGGGCTTCGTCGGGAAGTGTGTCAATTTGTGAGGTTTTACATTGCCAAGCTGGGCAAATGCCTTTCCGCAAATATCACACTGGTAGGGTTTCTCTCCAGTGTGTCTGCGCGTATGGGTCTAGTTTCCTCGTAAGCATAGTGCTTTGAATACAGCTTGGGTTCTTTCCTTACCTTCAAGTTGCCTCGTTGAGTAAATCCTAAACCACATCCGGGCTCTGCGCACTTCTGTGTGAATGATTAGCGACAATGCTTATAAAGGATTGGGGTAAGGCATCCTACAAAGGGTTTCTCTCCCGTGTGGGCTCGCTTGTGAGTTTCCAATTGGGTCTTCTGGGAACATCGCTTTCCGCAACCCTTAATATCGCAGATATAGCGCTTCTGTCGCTCTCTACCAAGCTGGCTACTAGAAGATGGGCTTGCTTCTTCGGGGCTACATGACTTCCTGCGGAGATTGAACTTTTCCTCGTCTGGCTGCGGAGAAGGGTAAGCAGACTCTCCAAAGTCCGAAGGTTCCAGTTCGTTGTCGTCCCTCGATTGGATGGCCTTCATAAGGGTGTCGACTTCAGTGTGGAATACTATTTCATTAGCTGCGTTTTCCGCGACGTTCCGGGTGATTGTCTTCGACGCAGTGGGAACAGGCGCGGTGGAGGATCGTCGAGTGACGACCTCTGGCTCGTACTTGATTTGGGGCCTTCTGCCTTGCTCTCCAGGATACGCCTGACAGGCTTCCCTTTGATACGCAACAGGTACTACTTCGGTATCAATTGTCATCGCACGTGGTTGAGGTGGGCATTCTTCGTGGTAACTCTTGAAAGATGATGTTGCGGAAGGAGATGAAGGTGAGTATGGCCCAAACATGTAAGGATTGCTGTGGTGGTACTGTTGTGTTTGTGGGCTAGTTATGGGAGCCATGGTGTATGCGTTATCTACCATGAATTGGGTTGGCATGGCAGACCGTTGGATAGATATGGTAGTCGTGGGATTGGAGTTGTACTGCATAAGGCCAGGCGTATCGACCATGTGGTGATATTCTGGGTTGGATTGCTGGGGAAGCCATCGTGCCCAGCTCTGGGGGTCTGATGGTTGAGTGGTTAGAGCCAGCTTGATGATGCTTGAGGTGACCGGTCTTGCTTATTGCAAAACCAGTCGAATCAGTTAACAAGATTATTGAACTTAGGTAATTTTCCGAGTCTCAGTTGTCAAGAGGACTCAGGTATAGCTTCAAGAGGAGCAATAGGGAGTGTATTTAGTTCCAAAGTCGAGAGTGCAAGGTGAAACATGTACAGCTATAAAGCTATAAAACAGAGAGCCGACCCTATAAAAGAATGAAAGCACGAATCGGCCGTTTGCTAAATAGGCAAAACGGCTGCTGCAGTCTGACGAAGTGACCCGTGATTTTTGAATTCACATCCGATCAGAAGGAAAGGATCAAGATCGGGGTGTTAGTGAAGTATATACCTTGAAGGGCGGGTTTAAGTGATGTGCGCTAGGGTCCGATCTGGTGAGCCAACGGGTTGGGCACGCCCACTCGGAGATCTTGGGATGCCAAGAGGAGAGGCGGAGAAGATTAGTCTCTTAACAGTGAAAGCTGAATACGATGTAAGTGGTTAAGTGTCAGAGGCGGGCTGGTCAAGTACATCATCTTCTACCTCATATCAAAACACCCCCACCCTGGTAGACCCTCTTTCCTGGGCTTAGAAACATGGGATTGAACCAGCCTAGTAGGTAGGTACATACATACTAATGAAGCGGAGGAGGGTTGAGAAGGGGAAGCCCTGTTTGCCAGATAGCCACAAAGTTGAGTGGCAGATCGCCGAGTTTCTGCACTAGCGAGTAACTCGACGAGACAACCATTATCCTAATGCATAATACCATCGGTTAGATGGGCGAAAGAAATTTAATACCGGTCGAATCAGATATTACGCCATGAAGGCCCGCAGGACGCTTGCCCGTTTAACGCAGGGGACAGACGTATACAACCTAGCATGACGAATACCAGGCTCGACCTTCTGGTGTTGACGGCCACGCTCTCTACTAGTGGGGATAGCTTGCCGCATCCACTTTGACCACCTACAAGACAGAAGGAAAGATTAGGTAGGTACTTGGAATGCCACGTCGACCATGCAATCAACCATATCTAACCCTCGAAACTGGGCCAGCTCACAGAGCCAGAGCCAGAGCCAGTTTTGTTTGGTTCTCCCACAGCAGTGTGACACCTACGGCTAGTGAAAGGGACAGGGGGGGTTGGTGTAGGAGAGGGGGGGGTCCCCTAAACGGTGCTGTGGTGAGCGGAACAGTACCGGTAGCTAGTCAGTTGACGAAAAGAGAGAGGGCAGAATCGAAAAGCGCGATGGAAATCCGGAGGACAGATGGGAAACTGTAGGGACAAGGAGCGGAGACCGGGTGTCCCCCTGCAGCTGGAATTTTCCTGCCCGTCGGGGCAATCCCGTCAAAAATACGCCCCCTAGGCCCCTTGATCTAGCTTAATTACTTCGTTCATACCTTTTCGTACACTGAAATTGCCGTATTACTTCAGTATAGCAGGCAATATGGCCAGGTTCCAGCGCGATGGGTAGCCCCGGTCTCTAAAGTGCCACCATCTGTCAATGTGAAAATGACAGAATTAGATCCACTAGAGCCGTTCTCTTGATCTGAACACTATGCAGCTATCCATTTTGCCCGCCATCCGTTCAAACGAGCCTAAGAATTGCACGCGAGGCCCTGGCAAACAAGGCTCCTTACTGGCTGATTTATTTTACCACTATTGTGTACCATGGGGCTACGGCGACGAGGGGGTTGCCACGCACGCACGATACTCCGGTTTCGACATGCTAGGTGCGTTTGCCAATACCCTATTAGACCGCCGTCTGACGGTCGAAACGGTTAGATGGGTTTGGCATTAGCTTGGGACGGGAGTAGCCGTTCGAGGTCGCATCGCTTTAACACTGGGCCAGACCAGCAATTGTCCACTCAGTGTGCACAATAATATTTATTTATGACGTACCTGGTGCGTAGGCCTTCAGGGACCGAATTAAAACTAACAAGAGAAGAATTGGGTGCGGTAAGGGGATAGATACGGTAATCTCCATGAGCTGAACTGAAAGGGGACAGGGGGGACGATATGTCAATAAGAAGTTCGAGAAGTTGGATGCCACTTTTTTTTTTCGAGTTGCTTGTACTGTGTAGGATCTACCCCCCTGGAGATCGATGTACATACTCCGAGTTGAACAGGGATTAATCATAGATCTCAATTGAAGAGGGAAAAAGAGGGACTCGCCGTTTAGCAATATCCCTCCTCACCTACATACGGGGCTCTTATTACCTACCCCCTCGAAATGTCGTTGGGCTGTGATGTTTAGAATGAAGATAAGCCATACCCTGGTTTACTCAATTATACACCATCCATGCCCTGATCGAAACGTATTGCGCACGAGGTACCTAGGTAGGGTAGCCAGTAACCCCAAATGTTCGAGCGACCGTCCACTTACCTAACTAGGTACCTATTGGACCTCGTGCTTATGCGGACAGCACCCAAACTGTCGTCATTATAGGTGGCATCTGCGTGGTTTTAAGCATTAAGTACATACCTAATAATGTGATAGGGTATGGGACGGAAGCCTCTTGGCGCCGAAAAATATGTAGTGTCTTAGGTATTCTAAAAACCTGTGGCTGTTGATTCTCTCTGTAAGTACGATTCCAGCAATGGCCATATCTAAAAACTTATCTCGAGGCAAGACAGAGGGCCCAACACCTCATTGTAAGAATGCCATTACAACTAGACTTCCCACAAGCTCACCAGCACTACCCGAGACAGCAGTACTGGACGTATGCTAGGCTCCCTAGTTCTTTCCGGAAGTTGGAAAGGGCTGTACTACCCTACCTACCCCAGAGGAGTAGTGACGAGAGAGGAAACACGATCGAAGCCGAACAATTCTATCGTGAAAATCGCCGGCAGCTACCTGGCATACACAGTAAGATTAGACTACCGGGATGCTTTTTTCCAACGTTTATTCCCACAGCTAACAGGCTGGGAGGTTTGGTGGGAGAATGTCTCATAATGAGCGCCAAGAATTCAATCAATTTTCATAGCTGCTCCTTCAAGCGGCCCATAACGTATATGATCGTCTCTACCAGCCTCGCTCACTATTAAAATCCATATACGTACCCCATCTACCTCGGTAGGTACTCATTCAATATTCGGCGTTAGCATTGTTCGGGAAATGCGGCATTACGATCTAATATCTAAGCTCGATACTGTTTATTCCGTAGTGCTGGCTCAATGCAAGCCACGCCGAGCTATGAGGTGTAGATCAATAGGAATTTTCAGTCTCATAGCCCTTGGTAGACCCAGATCCGGTCCCGCGAAAGAGCGTCGCACAAATTCGCAATGGACCAAACAACTCCCGAGATGCCAAATCCAGGAGAGCAAGCCACGATCTAGAGCCTAAAGCGTGTGGTGCTGAATCTTTCGGGTTCATGCAGTAATCTCAGCTCGCAACGATGAGCAAGGCAATGCTTGAAGATCTCAGCAACGTGGAGGCGACCACATAATCGGGCATCGTTGGTTGGTAAGTTGGCAAGTCACCCTTGCAACGTTTCGAGTTTTGAGCACGACCTAGGGAGGGAGCATCACACGTTTTCTTACAGGGTCATTGTGGGTGAAGGAAGAATGTGATAGAGTGATGTGTCATTTTAGTAGCAGGCTGACAATTTGAGGGTATGGTTGCAATTTACACCGTTCTCCTCTTAAGTTGTCCACTTCTGAATGAACTACCGGGGAATTACTGGCTAGACGGAGAAAACTAAGCTCTACTAAACATGATCTAGATTATCGAATAACTAACCATAGTAGCTTCAGATGAGTAGGGCCAAGAAGCACCCAGGCAGAAAAAGTCCCGCTTTTTTAATCCAAGGGGAGCGGCTGCAACATATCCTAGCCCAGAAGGTAAGGCCCCCCTTGTCTGTGCTAAGTTCCCGGCGGGCTGGTTGATGGGTAGATCCCCAGTCCAGGTATTGATTGGCTTTCTCCCAATCTTACCAAAGGTGTTAGGGTTCGGGAACACCCTGTCCCGTTAGGATATACATGCAGACATGAAATTATAGCATCCCCAGTCAACACTGAACCCCAGGGAAGCGACCCGCAAGATCGAGACCATTGTTCATCTAAAGAACGGCCGCCGGAGAGCCGTAGGTATTCCTTGTCTTCAGAGGGACCGAACGTAATAAGTTGTTAGTTCCTTCTGTAGAGATAATTGGAGAAATACTTAGATTTAGCAAGGAATAGACAGGGTAATAGTATGTAAGGTGCCCTTGAACTGTCCACTTACACGTTCGTTTCTTCCTACCAGACCGCCATCAAGTTGTTCATTGTCCTGCGGAGGTGGACCTACCTTTCTCTCCGTTCACCGTGTGGCGTACCGGTCGCTGCAAGGACCTTTCGTGAGTGTTCAGTTGTTGGAATTGATGGGTGTGTATATTTGGTGGTTCTGAACTATACAATTTCTTATCCCATTATCTGTTTGACTTTACTTGGTATATTCATATTTAGGTATCTCGGATTCAATAAGGAATACAAATTACATTAGATAGTTGTGGTAAGTTACATGGCAATTACAATAACTATAGCGACTCGTGTGTATGTGTATAGTGTATGTATATGCGAGAGAGTCAGAAGTGGGGGGTGTTGAGAGGGTCAGCTGTTCCGAATCACTGTTGTGACGATCCCCTCAACATTTGCTCACAGCCCAATACTTCTTAGATGTGTTGATATTTGCTCAGTTTGAATAATGCATACATACATACGTCAGTAGATTGGACAACGGTATCGAGGTGGCTTTCCAGATCCCCGGATCATTAAGATCTCTTGGGATTCAATAGCATCCTTTTCTCTTTACTACGAAAGGCAATAATTGAAAAGCCACCCTTCTCAAAAGGGCATAACTTCCTCGTCGCACAAGCTAAGGGGATTAATTGATTAGTGATACAAAAATAGGTGCGCCATCGTCACCGATTAGGTACTCGACAGGCAATAAAAATTTAGGAGTAATAATCATCAAGTTCGTTCGAAATCCTCCAGGCCGGATACTTCTTTTGCCGTGTGCTTCGTAGAATTAGTATACTTTCTATCATATTTGTCATTTAATAGGAAACTGAATATCTACCTAAGTATGTATCTATGTACCTATGATCTTTGCCTCATAGCAATAGAATGAAAAATAGAATGAAAAATAGAATTAGAAATAGAATTAAGAATACACGTAACATACACTTGTATATACGTACATCTTGAGCTTATTAGACAGTACGATGTAATTCGCCCGGCTGAAACTTGACTAGTCCGTGCGCCTCGAATAGCCGCCCATACATATGTACTATGTTATGTACTTAGGTACGTTTCTATCTACATACATATGTAGATACTTCAGTACGTATTTACATATCTAACTATATATGGGTAGCTTAAAATATGTATGTACTGCAAGACCGGAGGTTAAGTTAGTTGACTAGCTACATCATATGTATCTAAGTATCTAGGTAGGTACCTAGGTAACTTAAAGCTGACGACGAAATTTAATTTATATAATTTCCTAATAATTTCCTAAATTTTCCTAT